GTTTATTAGTGCCTATCTAACATATTAGATTATATAAAGAGAAAAGCTAGATTTAGATAGAGAGGTAAGGTTCTCTTAAGTCGATATAGAGCTCTAACTATTCGAGAGATAGGTAATAGATGTTATTAGCCCTTTTCCTCTATCTATCTATAGAAACTAATAGGTTATTATAGCTATTAATTATATAATAGGCTAGCCTATTACTAAAGCTATTATAAGAATAGATAATAAAGCTATAGTAGTATTTCTCTATAAAGAGATCTACTATATATATAGTGCCCCTAAGGAATTATTATTAGATAATAGAGCAAATTTCCTAGTAAGAATAATCTACTATCTTAATAATAAGTTAAAGACTAAGTATAAACTAATAACGCTATACTATCTAAGAGTAAATAGTAAGGTTAAGAACCTTAATAGAACATTAGGTAGTATGCTAATAAAGATAGTTCTTAGAAATAAGATAGTCTTATAAGATAGCTTCCTACTAGAAGCTTTATACTATATAAGAACTAGAATTTATACTAATAGTAGGTATTCGCTATTCTACCTACTATATAGGGTATATCTAAGAATTATTAAAGATAAAAATAATATCTGTTCTTTAAAGATAGTAGTTACTAATCTTAAAAAGCGCCTCTTAATAGTTAAACATGCTAGGTAATTAGCTAATAAGAAGCTTATTAATAAGGTAATTAAGGCTAACTTAATATCGTCTAATAAGCTAGAAGTAAGAGAAGGCCTAGTATTCTAAAAAGGAGAGTAGGTCTTAATAAAGAATCCGAATCCTAAGAAATTAGTGCCTAAATAGATAGGACTATATAAGATTATAAAGGCAAGTTAGTTTAGCACTTACGCCTTATAGTGCCCTAATTTAATAAGGATTCTTTAGCATCTAGTCTATAGTAATAGATTAATTAAGGCTAGATATGATTTAGTAATAACGTTTTAGAATAAGATAGTTAACAATCTTACTAATAGGCTTAATATAAGAAAGCTAATACTAGAGATCCTTAAGATTCTAGATATTAATAAGCCGACTCTAGATATATAGTTAAAGTCTATATTAATAGAGACTTAATAAAAGACTCTATAAGAAATAGGTATAGAAGTATACTTATTCTTAGTAAAAGAGAAATCTCTTAAGGACTATAATATCGTAAAGTAGATAAAGTAGGCTAGAAGAAGAAAGGCCTTACCCTTATCTAGATAACGAGATAAAAAAGATAGAGCTTAAGGAGTTAATATACTATATCTAGAGAAGCTATTAATCCTTAATCTAGTTTTAAAAAGGACTCTACTAAAGAAACTATTCGATTTAGCTAATTGAGTAGCTAGGGTAGCTAGGTAATAACTCGTTACTAATCCTATTAAGCGATCTTACTATAAAAATAATTAAAAAGTTACTAGGGTTAAATGCTAATAGATAGCTAAAGAGAAAGTTATTATTATTTTATTAATAAGTATCTAGTAGGTCTATTTCCTTATAAAAGAAGGCTAAAACGCCTATAAAAAACTACTTAAAAAGAAAGCCTAAGACTCTCTAGAAGAATACTAAATCCTTATATCTAAGTAACTACTTCTTATATTCCTTACCCTTACCCTTTCTACCCTTATTATTATCCTTCTTCTTAAGCTAGGTAGTAAAAAGGCTAGTAATAGAAGTAGCCTTACTAATATAGGTAATAATAATATTATTATCCTTAGTAGCTAAAGACTTCTTACTAGAACTACTAGAACCCTTAACCTTAATAGTAATAGAAGACTCTCTCTTAATATAAGTAGAAGGAGTAGTAGTAGTACTATCTAGGATAATAGGTAATAAAGAGTTACTACTAAAGCTAAGAAGAGGAGAAGAAGGACTAGTAGTAGGACGATGGTAAGAAAGAGTATTAGGATAAGGCTACTAATAGCTACTACCCTTAGTAAAAGAAGAAGAGCTAGGAAGTAAAGAGTTCGAACCCTTACGAGCCTTAAAGGTAGTAATAGACTTTTTCTTAGTAATATTATAAGCATTATTAATATAGTTAATATTCTAAAGATCTATTTTAATATTAGATAAGTTATTAATAAACTAATAGAAGCTTAATATACCCTTATAAAAGAACTTATAGAGCTTAGGATAACTAGATATAGCGTAGTTACTATAAGTACTTTAGTAAACTAGATAAGTGCTAGTATCTAAGGTATAGTAAGTTAAGAAAGTTAAGTAGGCGTTCTTATAGTAGTAATAGTAAGCGTTCTTACTATAATAGTAAACTAAACTAGTAGTAGCCTACTAAGTAATAGCTCTAGGATAGTACGAGTAAGCTAGGAAACGGAACTAGCTAACCTCTTTATAAGTCTAAAATAATTCGTTATTAAGGTATAGGTAAGGGTTAGTCTAATTAGTAAAGATGGCGCTATAAGTACTAACGAATCTAGGAACTAGCTTACCTTAAGTAATATAACTATAGTAGAAAGAGCGAAGCTAGGTAAGATCGATCTACTTAGTATTATGTCTTATAAGAAGTATAGTAAGTAGTAAAACCTTAGCTAAAGAGTTAGGAATAATAAACTAGCGACGTAGAGATCTATACTAGGGTCTATATTATAGTAACTAAGAGGACTAGTATTATTATTTAAAGGTCTCTTACTACTACTACTACTGCTACTATAGCTAGAGAAGGTGCTACCTAGTAAGAAGTTAGTAGTAGTAAAGTAAGAAGTAAGAGTAGCTATTATAGAAGCGCATATAATATTATCAATTAAGTAAAGAAATGCTAGTATAGAGAAGAGGTAGTAGTACTAAAAAGTAAAGTAAGTTATTATTATAAGCGCGTAAAATAATAAGAACTTATAGTAAAGTAACACGACTTAAAATTCTATATAAATACGCTAAGAGTAATTTAGAGCTATAGTAAGTAAGGAACTACTAAAGCTTACTACTTCTTATATAGGAAATTACTTAAGTAATTAAAGTATAAGAAGTAGAAGGATAGATACTAGTAATATAAGGTAAGAAAGGCTAATAAGAAAAGAAGAAGTAAGACTAATAGAAGCTATTACTAAAGAAGTAAGAGCCTACTAATATTAAGAAAGAGGAAGAGGTTAGAAAGGAAAGATAGAAAATACTTATACTAACTAATTAAGGTAGCAATAAGCTAGTAAGAGGCCTTATAAGAGGTAAGGGCTTAAGAGATTAGTACTTACTTATGCTCTAACTTTTAGGAGGCATTAACTAGAGGGTTAGGAACCTCTTAGTACCCTAGGGTAGAGCATTAATAACTAGGGGTTAGTAATAGTAGGCATAGTACTACTATACTAATTCCTAACTTTAGGAGGTACTAATAAGAAGCCTTAAGGGACTATTAGATAACTACTTTATAAGCTGCCCTTTAAGCTTCTTTAAGAAATTCCTAAAGATTATTTCTTAAGAAAGACTATATATTAATAAGGTAGTAAGAGTAGTTCTTAAACTAGAGGTTTAAGACTTAGTAAGAAAGGATGTTATTTTATAGATTTTATAGTAAGTGCCGCTAAGACTACTATATAGCTAAGGCTCTCGCCTCATTAAATTTAATTAGTCCCCTCTATAATTTTATATGTACATCGTTTATTATGCTCTCTACCATGCTATTTCTACTAGTGTTTACGTTTCTTGTTAACCTGAAAAGCTATTTAAGATCTGTTATCGTGTAGCAAGTTAATTTTAATGTATGGTTATTAAGATATGTTTAAATTGCATGCATAACTATCTTGTTAACTAAAACGCTCACAACAAACAACGCTTTTAAGTACTAACACTCTGTAAATCTAAGCATTGATATGTTTTTTGAACCCCACCATGCCAGTAGAATTCATGACTCCTTCAAATTGCTGTCAATATCTGAATGGAGTCGGCGAGATCATCGCATGATAGTCTAGATGCAAGCCTCTTGATCTAGCATATATATACTAGTTATGCAATGACAGATCAACAATTACATCCGATGTGGTCTAACGGCTAGGATTTCTCGCTTTCACCGAGGAGGTCGGGGTTCGATTCCCCGCATCGGAATCTTCTTTTGTGGTTTCTCCGCCGCATATCTGTACTACCTAGTACTCTTTCTTATATTTTTTTTTTGCATCGTGGAAGAAAGTATATCACATCTCATTGATTATCACTGCAATTGCGTGTCAATGCAGTGTAGCGGAACCGTATAGCATCTATTAGACATTTCAACCGCCGACTTGACCCACTCCTGTTCTAGCGATACTTTCAGCACTATCGAATAGACCGTGGAGCAATACAGCAGAAGGAGAATATCAGACAAAGAAATCACAAGCAAAGGGAAGAGTTGATCTCGGGGTAATGGACAGTTTGTCATGATCTTGAGGATACGTAGGAATCGATTCTGTCAACTCGACAGCCATAGGAAGAGTGCATCCATCATGTCTCCTGGTGTAAAACGCCTGCCAAGAAACAATAAACCCTCCAACGCCTTGCTACCCACACCAATGCGGTAATGCTTTTGAAATATCAAACTCCCCTCGCTCTTTAATCATAGTCCCGATACCTTGTAGCTTCCTCCAATCTCTCCTCTTTCTGCATCGCCCGAAGCACGGTAACGATCGCCCTGATGTGTGTTGCCGAAACTAGAACTGCGACGTGTCTTTTCATGATGTTGGGTTCCGCTGATGCTCGAGCTGTGTCTCTTCTCGTCATAAACGTGATCGGGAGCACGGTGGGCATCTCGAGGCACATTTAGACTATCACGAGTACGGTCAGAATCCGCACCATCATGTGTAGTTCCAGATAAGGTACCATCATAGCCACGTGAACCAGTAGGATTGCCTTCTCCAGATGAAACCTGTTTGATCGGAGGGAGGGCGGGAGCAGGACCGGAAGGATGAGTGTTGCCGTACCCAGTGTTGCCATAGTTTGCAGGAGCACGAGGAGCAGCTGCAGCTTGACGAACATCTTGTGAGTGATAGATGCCGCGCCCGTCGGCAATGTACTCACTACGTCCAATTGCCACATTGGGTCTTGCGACGTCTGCTGCGGTAGCTGCTGTATCCTCATCAACCTGGAAAACCTCGGCCTCTTTGTCGTTGAAGTCCTGTCCAGGGTTTGCTGTCTCGTATTCCAGAACTTTGATAAACTTGTAGAAGCCGACAGCGAGCACGGAGCCTAGGAATGGACCCTAAAGTGGAAACACAGTTAGCGTGACCTCAAAAACGTTGAACGGGGTATTTTACAAGCCAATATATCCAGTGGTAGCCTGGGAAAGTAGCCAGGATAACGCAGGGACCGAAGGAGCGAGCTGGGTTGAGACTGCCACCGGTGAAGTAGACTCCAGTAAGTTCAGCGATGAAAAGCGACAAGCCAATGCCGACAGGTGCAAGGAAGGTTCCTTTGTGTTTTTCAGCAGCCAGCATGAGAATGGTGAAGACGAGCATGGCAGTCAGGAACATCTCGATGAACAGTCCTCTGACGATCGAAGTGCCACCACCGAGGGTTGTCGAGACGTTCATGGCGGAAGGGAAAAGGCATGAGACAATGCCAGCAGCTGCAATAGCGCCGAGAATCTGGCCAATGAAGACGAGCAGACCACGGATCCATTTGCAGGCACCGATGAGACAGAGAGCGAGGGTGACCTGTAGAAAGGTTAGTGTCTTTCAACCAGTGGCTGGACGCATGCTGGACTTACAGCTGGATTGAAGAGACCGCCAGTGATGCGGAAGAAGACCCAAGCGTTAACAGCAAGCGAGAAGCCAAAGGCCAATGCAATGTACAAGAGGGCAGATGTGTTCGGGGCTTGAGTGATGGAACCATCATCGTTGTTTTGTGTGGATGAATTATTGGTGGCAGCGTTGGCGACTTGGGTAGCGCTGAAGGCGAAGAAGAGGAAGAGAAAGGTTCCGACGAACTCGCCAACGACGGCAATGAATTGGTTGCGGACCTTGTTAGGGAGCCAGCCGAATCCAGCGAGACGTCGTTCATGTTTGTCGTTCTCGCGGTACTTCATAAAGGGGAGGGTAAGACCCCTGCCTGGACGATCGAGATTCATGATGGGCTATGAGATGTAGGAACGAGGTGATGTAGAAGGGATGCGGTAGCGGTAGTGCTCTGAGGATGTTTGCTGCAAAAGTCTGTTGTGCGACTTGAGCACTAAATAAGTTTGAGGTACCAAGTAGGACAAGCACAGGATAATGTAAGCTTGATGCCAAAGGTGACAAGGATGCGAGGCGATGTGTGATGGCGAGAGATGCGAAGGCAAAGGCGGAGGCAAAGGCGAAGACTCGAGGGCTTCAAGGCGAGCGAAAGACGCGCATACAGACGGCAGGCAGGGATACACTCGAGGAAGGAACTATGCGATGCATCTATCTCTTAAAGCATGACGAAAGTGCTGCTGCGCGTACGGCAGGCGCCATGGCAAGCATATCTCTCAGCACTGATGACTGAACCTACCTCGTTGGAAAAACGGCACAGACTTTGATGTCCTCAGCGTCGTGCCGATCTCTGGTAGAGCGGCGTATTTTCGAACGATTCACAGGGCAGCTGGACGGTCAAGACGACCGAGACGAGAAAATGCTGAGACAAAATATGCCACTTACGCAGCTCAACGCCAAAGAGAGAATCATGATCGGTTTTCAGGAGATCCACCCCCACCTCACCCCACACGTCTGTTTGTCATGCTCACTGCTCCATCGAGTCTTTGTCCCCATCATAATTTTGCCATATACAAAATTTTGTCCCGTGCTGCATCATGCAAGGTTTTTTTTTTTTTTTGCCATATCTCACATCTACAGCTCTACTTCTGTTCCGGATAGCCGTTTCATATCAGTATTGGTCAGAATTGATTCGGAGCTGCTCACCGGTCGTCTAATGCTTGCAACGAAGTGATCGGATTGCTTTTGCATCGGCGACACACGGACCTATATTAGCACGGGTGATGGGCGTTAACCGGCACATCGTTGATGTCACGTACAAAAGTGTTTTTACGAATGGACAGAACTGTTGAGCAGAGTTCCGAGATACGAGTGGATCTAAAAAGGTCCTGGCTTTGGCCATGTATTCAAGGTATTGTACGAAAGATGACTCGAGGTTTGCCATGCAGACTCGAGTCATGTTCATATGTTGGAGTCTGCTTTGGGGAAGTCCAAACAGTGGTGGAGAAGGGGGTTTGGCAGTTACAACATCTAGAGCCAACCGTTCATCGCAATGCTTCTTTGCAGCTCAACTCTTCCATTTGGATTACGCCCTGTCTTAATGTCGACACATTGATCTTCGACCTGACGAACGCGTTCGAGATATAGGAAGAACTGCCATTCGGACATTTGAGCAGTCAGAATCGCGAAATCACGTGTGATGTCGGCTATCGGCAGTACCCATAGATTGAGTGTGATCAGGTCAAAGTCAGTCATGCGGCGCGCAAAAGCCAGAGCACCCAAAGTAACTCGACACCCCTCAGTCTGGCCTGATTTGGTGTCTTGAAAGAGAGAACGGCTGCGAGTGTTTATACCCTCTCAAGTTCTTTCTGTTGTTCGCAGATGCGCCTATTTGTTGATACTTTTCTCATTCTGTAAGATACAGCGAACCACATCTCTCACTTTCAGCTTGCCGCCATCATCCTTACACACTGCCATCGCCACTTCTGCCCGATATCCGGGTTCAGCGGGCGCATACCAACCGATAGCACCACTCTAATGATATGACCCACGCTCAAAACAAGCATCAGCGCCCATTGTAACTGCTACGGTACCACACCCTGTATATTAAATCCCGTATTGCAGCCAAGATGCGGCCTCTACGACTGCTTCTCTCGCTGTCGTCGTGCTTGATCTTCATCATTGTCCTGTCGTTTATCGCTGCATCCAAGACGAGGACTGTGTCTGCAGCACGCGACCACAACAACCGCCTCGGAGCTTACTTTAGCTGGAATTCTCCCTCATCACTGTTTCCACCGTCAGCCATCATCAGCTTGACCGACGACAACTCGACATTCTTCCTCGCCCGCCCCGCTGCCTTCGGCCCACCATTACCCGGACGAGGCCTTAGCGGTCAGATTTGGATCGGCGCCGGTTTTGGCGACGACAATCCTGGCCATGGAGGTATTGCTAGAACAGAAGGAGAGCTTGGTTGCAGCGATGTTCCGGGATGGAGCGACGGCGAACACTCTCCTAAAAGCTTCGAGGCGATCCTTCAGGACGATAAGAGCAATAGCTTGGGAAAACAAAGCGTCAAGGGTAGCAAGAACAAGAGAAGCATGGAATCCGAAGAACAAGCAGAGGATGACGCTGCAGACGTCCAGGCCGATGGAACCGATGACCACCTACACCAACGACTATCTACGTCGTCCGAGACTGGCTCGACACAGTTGAAGCAATCCTCGAACAAGGCAAAGAAGCCGAGTCATGCTGACATTCAATCACTGCAAGAGACAGCAGAGATCGCAGGCAAAGTCGTACTGCTGAGTCGAGGTGGATGTGGCTTCCTGGAGAAAGCTAAATGGGTACAGAGAAGAGGCGGTGTCGCTCTGATCGTCGGCGATGATATGCGTGGAGGTCCGTTGGTAACCATGTACGCCCGGGGCGACACGTCCAACGTTACCATACCTTCCATCTTCACTTCCCACACCACTGCACACCTCCTGTCAAAGCTGGTACCTTCAGGAGGCTTCCGCGAAGGCATGTCTGCTCAGGACGCTGCGCGCCTGGGTCTTGGCTTACCAGTGAGTGGCAACCCGACTGAAAAGAACAAGAAACAACCGGATTCGACCAACACTAGACCTACTCACTCTCCAATCGTCAACCGACAGAAGGAAGATGACGATGAGGGATCAGGCAGCTGGCTAGGTTCACTATTCTCATCTTCAGATGAGGATCGTCATGATAGCCGAAGACCACCTAGCAGCGGTAAGATTGACTGGGTCTTGCAAAAGGATTTCGAAGATGAAGCTCCGAAGAAATACAACACCAAGACTACTAGTACCACAAGATCGACCAAACAGACAAACGCTCCGAGTAATGACGAATTCGTCATCGGTGTCCATGATTGGCGAGACCCAGACTTGGTTGACTCACAGATCAATACCGCTCAAGCAGTATCGAGCAAGCTGCCCAAGTCGGCTGAACAAAATTCTGCTGTCCCTCATGCCGGACCTAAAGGTGGTAGCATCACTCCGGGAAGTGGAGAATATCACCAGGCTGGCGAGAAGCCAATCAACCTCAAGGCTCCTAAAAACCCCGAGAAAAGCAAGGCGGGTTCCAAGAAGGATCCGGCTCCTGACAAATCCAAATCATGGATGGGCCGTCTCGTTGGTTCTGACAATATAGAGGACCCCAAGCTCGAAGACGCAAAGTCATCACGCACGGTATCACAAGACATCAGCAAGCCTGTTAGTAAGACTCTTGGTGAGCATGACAACACAGGCGAGTCGCACGATGGTTTGTGGGTAACTCTGACGCCTGCATCCATGTCCTCTTCGCCGTTCTTTGACACCCTGCTGGTATTGGTTGTGTCACCTCTTGTTACATTGACTATTGTGTATGCCCTACTACTACTTCGCTCTCGCATTCGTCGCAGAAGATGGAGAGCTCCCAAGTCCATTGTTGATCGGTTCCCCGTACGAATCTATCACACTGTGCCCAGCAGCAACAGCTCCGATGCTCCGGAAAGTACCGCAACATCTCCACGTGCGCCGACTCAGACTACACCTCTTCTTCAGGCTGGAGCACGACCCATCTCCCAAACAAGATCAAGGCCAAGATCCCGTACTGTTAGTGAAGTGCCTGTGTCTACTTCCAGCCCTGCGAACACTCCGAGTCTGGATCCAGTGCAGGAGAAGCGTGAGGCTGGACTAGCCGAATGGCGCAGAAGATATGGTGGTAGGCAGCGTGATTGTGCGATCTGTATCGATGAGTTCGAGGATGGTGTCAGTCGTGTTATGAGCTTACCTTGCGGCCACGAATTTCATGTCGATTGCATGTAAGTTCTTCGTACGTTCCCGAGAGATGTACCTGATCTGACTCTGCCTAGCACACCATGGCTCACAACCCGCCGCCGTACTTGTCCCAACTGCAAAGCTGACGTTGTGCGTTCATTCAGTCGTGGTGGCGGCTCTTCGTATTCGTCATCGTCTGCTCAACCGCTTCTTGCGCACTCACACGATGAGTCACTGGATATTGACAGCGTACAAGAGCAAGCAGTCAATACTCGCAACTACGATCCTGCTGCTAATGAGCCGGTTACTGATCTGGAGCAAGGTAGTGTTGATCCTGACCGCACAAGATGAACACACAGGAACGATATTCATGACTGAGATGACTGGCGTTTCTCCCTTGGTACTTTGTGAGCAGGCTCTTTCTCCTTCTTGCATTGCTCATAGCATCAGCGGTGGAGTGAGTTTAAGGTCCTTGTGAAATAGATCTCTGCTTCACCATCTTCGTCTAGTCTAAAGAGGCTTTGGTCTCGTTTAGCTAGGACTTCTAAGAATATTCTCCACAAAGCAATGGAGCATTTTCTTCTCTGTTTCTAGTGCAGTGTCATGATTTGAGAAGTGTTGTGATCAGTGCTTTCAACCGGGGTCCTGGATCGCTTAGGTTCGAAGTGGCAGCTCTCGTGGCATGACCAGAGCAGACGCAACTGCGCCGAAGGAATTCGTGATCAATATAAACCACATGGTAAACACTTCCAAATCATAAAGTGCTGCATCTCACGGCGAATGCGCTCATCCGAAATCAGCAGTCCTAGTCTCTTCAGACCAAACCTGGCTGGCTGCCGGCAGTGCTTTTAGTCCGTGCTGTTAGATTGAAAACCAATGCCTCGATAAGCTGGTGCTTCAGATGCCAGTGGAAACGGTGTTCATGGATTATAAGACCTTTTGAGATTTCGGATGGATGTCAACAGCAAGTACGTACCTTTTGAAATGCTCGGATCAAGATGCATCCGCAAAAGAAAGGAGTCACTAGACTCACTACTGACAAGCGCGACGGTCCGCTGCCGACGGACCGTGAACGGATCGGATTAGCACCAGCCTTGGCTACGAGACCCTACGCACCTGCAGCCGCTGTTTCCCTTTTCACTTTTTGAATTTCACCCAAGTCATCCCCTGCATGATGCAGATTGCGCTATGTTGAACTTTTCAGAGCCACACCACCACAGAAGGACGGACTTGCTCGTTTGTTGGTTGTTCAACTTGTTGGTTTGCTCAAATACTCGGGCAAAAAGCCTTTCGAAGGACTTCGCGTAAATAAGCAGGCGGGAAGAGGTTTAAGATCAAAGCACACCTTGACTTGTGTGTTTGTACCTGCCTTTCTTGCAAAGTCACTGATTTTGCGCTGCTGTCTTTGAGATTCTGCTTTAGGCATCCTGCATGATCGTCGAGGTTCGTGGTAATTGCCAAAGTGCTTCCTGCACAATATATATGCGACAGAATGTCTCGATCTAGCAGCTTCTCACTCCTACAAGCAAGCTGCCCAGCATCAGGAAAATACAAGAAGAGGCATATGAGTAAAAATCGGTTGACTCAAGACTCGAAGACGCCATCTTGTACGCGAGCTTACGCCAAAGATGCAAGTCATGCTGCAAGTCGACAGTTGACGTGCAGAGGCAATTTGTGGAGACACATGGCTGGAGTTCAGGGCCAGAACGCCCCTGATAACATTTTGACAGTATTCTAGCAACGCGCCATCCACTCACACGTCGAGAAATCTGGATAATCCTTGACAGGTCTTGATCAAGATCCCGTGTACATGTGTCTGAATCCAAGTCGCCATGCGCTATCTGCCCGCACCTGCAGAAAGGTGGATGGGCGGGCCACGAGGTCTCTAGCGTAGGTATGCCATCGAATAGACCATTGCATGTACCCCGTGTCCTGGTTTTTGCTCTTTGGCCCCTTCATATATTCAGCAAGCCGTCATCTGATCTGCCTTATATGAACCCATCCTCTCTCACTCTCTGATCTGAACCAGTCTACCGGTATATCGATTCGCACTCGGCACTCTTGGAATCGAGCGAGCTATATCTTCAAAGCTCCATCGACCGACATCAATCTCTGACGACCCAATAACGTCGCCGTTGCCACTTCTGCAGGACCATTCTCGACTACGTTGCGGTGTGGAAAGCTTGGTGTTTCAAGAACCTCTTGAGCACTGCTCAAATAAACAGACACTCCACAACTTGTGATCTCAAGTACAGTCGTACTCATCACTAATCAGACACAACTCAATGGCGACAGTCGTTGGAGCTGCAGGGCCATCTGCAACAATGGCAAGCTCATCACTACCAGCCCAATATTTTCCTTTCCCAGAGAGCATGTCACCGTTACCTTCCTCTCTCAAGAAAGGCATGTTGGTGCCAGGAACGATGGGTCTCCTGTCGGCTGCTTGTGCTATCGGTATGCTGCTCTTCATCATATACAGGTTCCTGACATGGCGCGCGCACTATAAAACCTTCGTCGGATACAATCAGTATGTCGCGCTGATCATCAACCTGCTGTGTGCAGATCTGTTACAAGGTGTTGCGTTCATGTTCTCCTACCACTGGGTATTTACCGATGGTATCGTCGCACCCACAGTCAAGTGCACTAGCCAAGGGTTTCTTCTTAATGCAGGTTGGTCACTCATATCACCTCCGCTCTAAGCAATAACACTGACCGTCTGTTTTCAGGCAACCTGTCTTCCGGTTACTTTGTCATGGCTATTGCTCTTCACACCTTCTATGGTGCTGTTATGGGTCGTCATCTCAGACCCTCCATTTTCTATACCGCCCTCGCAGGTGGCTGGTTCTTTGCGCTCTTCTTATCTGCTATGGGCCCCATACTGCATGGAAACCACTACTACGTCCGAGCAGGTGCGTGGTGCTGGGCCGCTCCAGAATTCCAAACAGAACGTTTGGCTTTCCATTACATTTGGATCTTTGTGATTCAGTTCGGAACCGTGATTATCTACTTCCTAATCTTCCTTCATCTCAAGAACACTTTGACGACCATTTTGCCGTCTTCACATTCGACCACACACGCGAAGGTTGATAGAGCAGCACGATTGATGCTGATGTTCCCTGTTGCCTACATCATCCTCACACTACCTCTATCAGCCGGACGCATGTGGTCTATGGCACATCACCAATACAACATCCACGAAGGGTACCAACTCGCCTCTGGAGCTTTAATCGCCTGCTCTGGGATGGTAGACTGCCTACTCTACACACTCACCCGTCGAAGCCTGGTTCAATCCAATTCATCCTCCGAGAGCAAGAGCACAATCAGCGGTCTCGACAGCTACGACCTTTCTCGCCTCAATGGCATCACACAAACTCGCACCGTCACGGTCACTGGCGATAGGGTGTCTACCATCTCTAGCACCACACACATCACTGATGACGACGACGCATACTCCATGCGTACCATTTCCACAAGCCCAAAGAAGAAGCATCACCTCAGAGAACCCGCACGCACGCACTCGCCCACTAGCTCAATAGACAGGATCATGGGAGTCGAAGGCTTGGACCCAAGGAAGCCTGCACACAAAGTACAGATCTCTACGTGTGAAGCAAGAATGTCTGAAGACGTGGACAGTCTGAGGGACAGTGAAGTCTCAGAGTCGCCTGTTCATGTCATGAGAGGGCTTGCCAAGATGGTCAAGCTGCCAAACTTGACTGACAGGAAGTAGTGATATTGCCTGTTGCTGTCTGTATCGTTTATGATGGATGACTATTCTTTGTTTTTGTATATACCCTCCTTTTATCTCAACTATTGTCTTGATGTCCATGATAAATATATGCTACATGTTCATCAAATCTTCTCGACTACTTCGCATCTCTGCTTTGATTACAAAAGTCAGTGCGATCACGCACAGTGATTCCCTTTGATCGCGTCAAGATCCAACCTGGATCTCTGATCCGCTCTCGCGAGATTCAAAGCCAAGATCTCGCCCCACACAGAATTTTCGTACAGAAAATATCATCCACAGAAACAATAAAAGATCGGACTTTGTTCGACGTGATGATATACAACTACATCCTCTCGTTTTTCTCATTTTGTTTGAGAAAAGGATATTTACCAGCTTACTGAAGCACTTTTCATCATCCAATCACAAATGTGATACCAGGTCTCGTGGTCTAGCGGTATGATACTCGCTTAGGGAGGTGCCTTCGGTACCTTGAAAACTCTAAGCCAATTGCGAGTGGTCCCGGGTTCGATTCCCGGCGAGACCCTTTTTTTTTTGCCCTTGTTCAGCTTGTTAAAGTATCGTTCTTGACGCTGGGTAAGTTGGGGGAGGTAGTGGGAGGTTTGCAGTGAATTTTGGTGGGTTTGAGTGGGCGTGGAGCCTTAGATCAGTGTTGGAGCGGAACGAAGCTTTACCGTAGAATTTTCTTTTGTGTACATGTGAGAGGGAAAGGCAGCAAGGGCAAAATACCTTGTGTTAAAAGAGAAAGACGAAGTCTAGATAAACTCGGATGGATTGCTTCTTTTAACAGTTGTGTAGATAGATTATAAAGCATTAGAGACATATATGGAGCAAACGAGAACAAATACTTATAGTCCTTAGTTTTAGAATTATGCTTCACTTGAAACCATGGAGCAGACATGGAGCTAGACTGGCCATATCTGCAACAGCGGCTTAACATGGAGCTGTTGTTAGATGCGGGCAATACAATATGTTGGTATACTAGAGAAGAACGCACCTGACTTCAGTATCCATTCGATTGGTAAACATCGCATCTCGTGGCTGCCTATGGTTGAAACACCTCAAACCAACGCATGAGAAAGGTTAAAAGGACCAATAATATGTGCATCGGAGAATGACTCACGAGGCAAGAGACATCGCCTGGAGAGCATCGTTATTGTCCAAGTAATAGAGAATTTATCACGCTGTTTACAGCTTTTGCATCATAAAGACCAATTCATCATCATGGAGAGTCCTTCATCTGAGTCGAAAGCGCGAGCTAGAAGGATACCTCACAACTTTAAATCTCGAGCCTATACAGCTCAACAAGCAGAGCAAGAATGTCGGGTTGAAAGACGAGCTCTACTGACAGAGTACAATGCAACGACGAGAGACACCTCGAGAGAAGGTGCCATCAACGACAGTTCCTACTGTGGACAATCAACAGCCGTGAACAACACACACCTCGATCGAAAACGGTTCGATCGGGCCAAAGATACTCATGGCGATGACACCACAAACACATTAACAAATCGCATACCATTCGAGGACACAGCCTATCTTCCATCAGCACACTACGCAACGAAGAACTATGATCGAACGTCGTCCAAAATACATCTCGCACTCCCAAATCCCGAGATACAAATACCTACGGAATCGACATACATTAGTCACGAGGCAACCGAGCAACCAATCAACCAACACTCGGGAACATGCGTCGATTTCGCCATAGCGGCACTAGAGCAACGCATGATCAATTACATCGACACAACCCACTCAGACCTAGCCGCTCGTCTCAACAACATCAACCTCAGCTGCGCCAACATCGAAAAGAAAGTCGACAAGCATAATTATACTCCTCCAAAGCCCAACCAGAACAACAAAACAATGGCAAAGCCTAAACAGAACAACAATACCATGGAGGGCGCAGTGGAAAGGTTCGGTGATTCTGCAAAGAATCTTGGAGAGGCAATATCACAGTTGTCTGCATCCATAGATGCACTGGGTGTGAGATTCGGGCTCAATGGGAAGAAGGACGATGAGGCTGATGTTTATGAGTGGGAGAAAGATGATTGTTTGGAGAGATTCGCTTGAAGATATCAGGTCCGAGATGGATGACTATGTGATGACGCTCATGCAGTCTGTATACTCTCTGCCTTCACACGCAGCAAAACAAATCCTCCCTTACTCAGGCTCATTAGAGCTTGATCGGGAGGAGAAAGCCACCAACTTAATGGTTTCATTTCTCTTGGTGAGCATTCGCGGCTCGGAATGTTGTGACGATGGTCAGAGTCGAACCCCTGGCCTTTGAGACCAGCTGAGTTGACAGCAATGCTGCCGCCTGGCGATAAAGCGATGGTGGTTGGTGAAAGGCCACGGAACTGCTTGGTACATATGGTTTAGAGCCTGGAGTCGTGACTGGCGGATTGGCTTGTTTATTCTGATCAAGAAGAGAATGAGTCTTTGAGAACTATGTAATCTCACTTGGACACCTGGAATGGTTGTTCTTCCATCATTACTCGTGGTCCCAAACGTGATGATGTGTGCTGGTTGTGGGATTCTGACTTTCGTCGTTCAGTCCGCCAGGTGATTGTGATTTCGTGACTACGGCATACATGGTCGTTTACATCTTATCGAATACTTTCGTGCCGAACAAGCTCTCAGCAGAGGTCTCTCTGAAACGACGCGCGTCCTCCAGATCATCATGGTCAGGACCTTGTTCCGTTGAGAGCAGAGCTGTCTTCTCATCTGCAGTTCTTGGATGACTCGTCAAATCGCCGAACCAATTCTTACCACCATCGGCTGCCTTCGTCCTTGCCAACTCCTTCTCCTCGCAAGCAAATCGAGGTGTATCAGCAGGTAACAGGTAGCGGCGGTGCCATGCACCAAGAAAAACACCATCGGGGTCGACCTCATTGCGCACTCGCAGGAAGGATTTCAGGTTGTCGCCGAACATGTTTTGCAGATCATCGTGAGTGACAGTAGAAAAGTTCTTTGCCCAGTGAGGCTTGCCTCCGAGTTCCTTCATGAGGTATTCAAAGGCTTCGTAGTAACGCTCATGGCAAGGAGGATCCTTCAAGAAGGGACGGTAGAGAGTAGCATTGAGATAGAGGGTGGGGCCGTTAGGGTTCGTGTTGTCCATCCAAGGTCTGGGTTGGAAACGAGAGGTGTCGGAAACACGGACTTCAACAGGGGCATGAACATATAGCCCCTTGTTGCTGAAGGGGATACCAGAGCCCTCTTCGCCGTTGATCCATGCAGACATACGAGTGATGGCTTCAGGGCCCTTCTCAAGAGGCAAAGCCCACTCGTTGACGAATTGTGAGTACAGACAGTTCATAAGGAGACCAGTTCGCTGAGGCTCAATGCCACTAGTGACGGAATTATCGGAGAAGCCATACTGCATACCGAAAACGAACCACTCGATGGCGGGAAGAATACGAGGAATATAGTTTGAGATCCAGAGAAGAATATGGTAGGTATGGAAGCCAACAGAACCTCCATACCAGCTGGATACTGGAGGTCTCTCTGGCTTATCCGTCTTGGAGGCAGACCAGACGATAGCTCTCTTCATGTAGGGCAACCACCAGACACGAGTGAATTCCTTGTTTGTCCACAGATCCTTGTGCCAGCGCGAAAGCACCCAGTCAAGGGGTTTCAGAGTTTGTTCCCATTCAATGTTTGTGGCATCCGTCATCTCAAACTCGACCTCAGTGATTATTCCAAGAGCGCCAAGGGACGTGAGGGCGGCGCGGAAGAGGTCCTGGTTGTCGTCAGGTGAACAGGAAGCGATTGAGCCGTCGGACAGGGCGATGCGAATGGACTTGACCGAGTCGGACATAAGACCGTGTTTGAGAGTGCTACCATGGGTGGCAGTCGAGATGGCGCCGACAATGGACTGATCGTGGATACTGCCGAGGTTGGGCATGGTGAAACCATGGCTGTTGGCGGCCAAGTTCAGGTCGCGCAGACGGATGCCGCCCTGGACAGTGAGGCGCTTGCGGTCGTGGTCGACATTGAGGACGCGGTTGTACTTGTCGAGGTTGACCATCCATGACGAAGAGCAGGTCAGATCACTAGGCGAGTGACCGCAGCCGACAACAACAATGCGCCTCCTGCTTCGCCGGGCGAGCTTGATAATCTTCTGAATCTCTTGAGTGGTTTCTGGTTGGATGTATAGCTCGGGTCGCGAGTGGAATGTGCGGGCCCATGTCGAGTGGACGTGCTGCTGGTTAGCCGGGAAGGCGACGTCGGGGTCGACGTCCCGTATGTCTGCCTGCAACTTCTCGTCCATCATGTTGGCTGAGAGAAGAGGCTTGGTTCGTGAGCCCGGCGACTGCGAATAAAGTCCAGACTCTTGAGATCATGCGACGCTCCATCATAACCCCGATCTGGAAGGTTTAGCCTAGATCCGTCCTTGAGCTCTGACATATTCTCAACATCCTTGTCGAGCCTGTTGGCAACTGTCACCATCTTCCTTCTCCGAGACTGCCACTTCATCTCATTAATATCGCGCATCCATCGCTTGATATTGGCCTTGACCGTAGGATTTCAAAAGGCATGCCAAGCATCTCTGCTGTATACAAAGACCATCTCATTGGCTGCGTCTTGAGGATCTGCATCCTTCTCAGCCAAAACATGGTCAATCAGCACCACTTTTAGATTGTACTACACCCAAGAGGCTGAGCACTCTAAGAGCAATATGCTCAGCCTTTACACTCAGCGTTCCGGCGATACATATCCTCGATCGCCCGTCGCCTTGCCGTCCTCTCTTTCATTCTACACCTTTTTCAACCCCTTGCACTTTTCTGCCCGCTTCTTTGCTCCGCTTCAGCATGCAGTCCTTTCTCTTGATATCTTCACTGCTATATGTCACACGCGCAGAGAAAAGGTGTTTTGACACTCAAGGCTCAGCTATTGTAGATGGCTCTTTTGTGCCTTGTAATTCCACTGCAGCAGTGAGCGCCTGCTGTGTGAGTATCCTAGTCTCCAAGACCATGCCAACCATACTTACACTTTCCACAGGCCACTAACAAAGGACAACCCGATGTAACTTCAGCTTGACAAACAACTTTCTTAAAGTGAGTCCACTAAACAGCCACAGATATGTATCCAAGGAGGTCTATGTTACGCAACACAAAGCTCTTATAGCGGCTATATCTATGGCAATGGCTGTACCGATTCGACTGGAATGGACAGTTCCTGCCCTTATGCATGTCCCATGGCCAGTAAGCAAACATCAATCCTATGAAGGTATGGCGTCCCTCTAACCACTGTTTCGAAGAGACCAATGGATGGAAATCGTACAACGTGCTTCCTTGCGCACGGGACAGATGGTGTTGCCGCCAGGCTTCGGATCAATCAAACTGCTGCAACAATGACACCATGCTGATCGACTCTGATCAAACCTCCTACCTCGGACGCTTCATCGACAATGTAATCCCTGGAACCTCAACCATCTCCAACGATTCAAACTCCACCGATGCAACAACCACATCGACAGTCACAGCAACCGTCACGGCAACCTCATCCAGCGAACCAAACTCGACCAACACTACGACCGTCGTGGGTGCAGCCGTTGGAGCTGTTCTAGGTGTCGCTTGCATAATCGCACTAGCTGGATTGCTCTGGATGATGAGAAAAGTCAAGACCTTGAAAAAAGAGATGCAAGCCATGCAATCACATGAGCCATACTCCAACTCCAGCTCCACCACGCCTATGGCTCAACACTCATACAATGCACCCGTGAGTGAAGCCCCGACGGAACACGCATATGAAGCAGACTGGAACAATGGTAGATATGAGATTGACGGCACAGGAAAGTAATTCGGGCGTAGCGAAGCAGAATATCCTCTTAACACATTACAACATATATCTAAAGCCATTCGCCTGTTGCACTGGTGTAGGTCCGGATCTGCCTAATGGCTTGCCCTGATCCATTAACTGATTCTGCCTCCTCAGATAGAAGTAAGTAGCAGTAGCACTCGCAAATGCTATCACCGCAGCACCCAAGTTTACCGAAAATGCAGCCACATATCGAGGAGAGTTGTAGTATAGGTAACTTGTCCAGATGTTCGGAGTGTTGCAGATAGCATTGATAATGGCGATCGAAGCTGCTCGTTTGACTGCTGGCTGTGAGAGCGAGCCTGAGATCCAGGAGAGTTGGCAGATAGCGGAGCTGTAGAAGCTCAATGGCAGCAAACACATGGCGAAGTAGCGAGCACCAATGTTGAGTGTGCTAACGGCGATTATGTTTGCAATCACTGTAATAATCAAGGGAAGAGCGATGTGCAGATAACGTTCTCCCATCTATATTTGTGGTTAATTCTGCCGGTTTGGTCAGAGGAAGCAAGGAACTAATACTAACCTTATCGCTGTGGAAACCATTGCATAGCATCGCGATGACACAGAGAATGAAAGGCGGCGCAGTCAATACATAGGTAAGATTTCTGCCAAATCCCAGACCTCCGACAACCGTAGGGAAGAAGTTGTTCACCGCAGCCGCAGTATATGTGGCATAGAGAGTGCTGCACATAAGCCAGGTCTTTGGATCTCTGACTGCTAGCAGGAAGCCTTGCATTGCTGTGACCTCGTCGGATTCGTCTTGCTGTTTCTGATCTCTTTCGTAGTTCCACTTCAACCAATCCAGCTGCTGTTGTGTAAATGTCCAGATTTTCTTGTTGGAATTGGGAAGGTATGTCACAAAACTACAACGATGTTAGATCTTCACGAAAAATTTGTCCGTGACTTTTCTGCTTGCTTACACGAGTGCAATACCTATGGTCAGTACACCTTCAATCAAGAAGAGCCATCTCCAACCTTCCAGACCGTGGTGACCGTCGAGTTTCAGAATGCCGATTGCCAGTAGTGTACCAAAAGCATTGCCGAGCTGTGATCCAGAATAGAGAATTGCAGTACGAAGGGCAACTGTACTGTTTAGCAGGATTCAAAGGTACCAGACTTTTGACACAACTTACTCTGCTTCCTGTTGTAAAACATAGAGAGGTAGAAGAATGCGCCTGGAAAGAACACTGCTTCGACAAAACCCAGGCAGAACCTTGCCGCTACGAGGCCGCCGAAGGAGGATACTGCTGCGGTGCAAGCAGAGACTGCGCCCCAGCCAACGACCGCGCTGCAGATCCATACAGCCGGCCATCTGATCTTGCTGAGGACGAGGTTGGAGGGTATCTGCATAAGAATATAACCCACAAACAATATGCTCACACATGTATTGTATTGCTGAACAGACATGTCCAGATCTTTCATGATATTCGCCAGCTTACTCGCAGCAATGTTCTGCCGGTCAAGGTAATTTCTAGATCGTCAATCAGCATGGCGAAATAGTTCCATCTTAGATGAACCTTACAGAATGTAGAGAATGGTGAGTGCTGGCATGATCATGATGTCCAGCTTTAAAGTCGTCCATTTTCCGAGTTTCGATAGCTCTTGTTGACCGAGCTCGCGAAGAGACTCAGGGAGGTCTTCGAGATCATGCTGAAGATCCTGAACTTTGTCGAAGTCTTCGACGTGTTGTGTGGCAATCTTGTGATCGTCAACGGACATGATGGGAGTCTGATAGTAGTACAATGATAGAGAGCCAACGAGGGCAGCAAGCGTCAGACCACATACTTAAGCTACCGTGGCCATGAAATAACTGGCGCGCGTGCATCCCCATGGGGTACACCGTCGATCCTACTGTACATTCCTAGAAGATGTTGACCCCCAAACCAAGGCGAAGGAGCAGGCAGTGCGGGGTTCCTGACCCCCACTCTACCAACAATTGGTACTTACCTACCTGGTAGCAGAGAGTACAGTCTCGGATCAATGAAAAGACAGCATCGTCAAAACATTATCGGTTGACTCTACTCGCACACCCCATTTTCGCAAAGGTCACCATCATGTCTGGAGTATTGAGCCTTTTTTCGCTACAAGGCCGAACAGCCGTAATCACAGGTGGGACGAGAGGAATTGGCCAGGCGCTTGCGATCGCTCTAGCAGAAGCTGGTGCGGATATCGTCTTGATACAGCGAGACTCCAGCAATGTTGCCACCAAAGAACAAATCGAGAAGCTTGGAAGGAAGGCGACCGTATATGAAGCAGATCTCGCAGACCATGGTCAGATCAGTGGGTTGATCAAGCGTATCATTCTAGACGGTCATGACTTGAGCATACTTGTCAACTGTGGCGGTATACAGAGGCGCCACCCTCCTCATCAATTTCCAGACGGCGATTGGAACGAGGTATGTATGGACTCGCACATGTTGAGCCGACGACTGACAGCTTTCAATAGGTGCTTCAAGTCAATTTGAATACCGTGTTCACGCTGTGCCGCGATGTCGGAGTCCATATGATGACGAGAGAAGGACCCCACCGTGGTTCTATCATAAATGTAAGCATTCAATCGGAAGCCTGCAAAAAAATTCGCGCTGATGACACAGATTGTGTCTTTGGTGTCCTTCCAAGGAGGTCTAAACGTTCCAGCATATGCTGCTGCTAAGGGAGGTGTAGCGCAATTGACGAAAGCCTTATCAAACTCCTGGGCCGCGCATGGCATTAACGTCAATGCTGTGAGTGCACTGGGAGCAAAACATAGTGATGTACTGATTAGTGTGGCAGATTGCCCCAGGGTACATCAACACTGAAATGAACGATGCTCTGATCAAGGACGAGAAGCGTGCAGCAAGTATTTTGGAACGCATTCCGGCTGGGCGATGGGGCCTGCCCGAAGACTTTGCCGGCTCAATAGTGTATCTTGCCAGTCGAGCAAGTTTGTACGTTTCTGGAGAAGTCCTGACAATAGACGGGGGTTGGATAGGTCGATAGCCGCCAGGATAGTAGTGACAAAGATTTGATGAACTCCCGCTAAATCGTTTCATCTCTTTCGTCGTGATCACAGCCAACACTGTTCGCGTATGTCAATATATTGCCGGACAGATCTTTTACCACAGAATGTAAACATTCTGTGTACTTGAAGCGATGCTCGTCATCAAGGCTTTTGGTAGAATGGTTGTAACCATTCAATGCCTTGTATCCCTCACTCGGTAGACCCCACATGAAACATGGGCGATCCTGGCGTTCATATCAGTATGTGTGTTGTGAAGCTTGATGGTATCAAGCGGCCACATTTACGCGAAGTGAGCCAAAACACCTGTGTGGAGTGGGGGTCACAGCATCAGGTTATTGAGTTATAAACCTCGCTTCTCCCACGATCCTCATCATTGCAGAGCATCACTGTTAACATATCAGCAATCATGGCTCCAACATCGACGCACGATTTCGATGCTACTGTGTCTGGATCAGCCTCTAATATCAGGACAGAACTGGAAGCAGGCATCTACGTCCCGACCGTGGCTTTTTTCAAAGACGATGAAGAATTAGATGTTGAGACGACGCGCAAGCATGCTTTGAGACTGGCCAGCAGCGGCATAAAAGGCATAGGTGAGCAGCTGGCGTTCTCGAGATCGGACGTGTACTAACGTTTGACAGTCACGCATGGTTCGAACGGAGAAGCCGCGCACCTTAGCCACGAGGAGCGAGTTCTCATCACCCAGACGACCAGACAAGCTCTTGACGATTCGGGTCACGATGTCAAACTCATCGTGGGATGTGGAGCTCAATCCACGAGAGAAGCAATAAAGCTTTGCAAGGATGCCGCTTCTGCTGGCGGTGACGCTGCACTCGTCTTGCCGCCAAGTTACTTCGCTTCGCTGCTATCATCAAAGCTTCTCCTTGACCACTACCGAAAAGTTGCTGATGCCTCACCAATCCCCATTCTGATTTACAACTTCCCAGCGGTGCAAAGCGGACTCGATATTACCTCTGATCAGATCATTGAGTTGGCACAGCATCCTAAGATCGTAGGTGTCAAACTCACGTGCGGTAACACAGGAAAGCTGGCTCGGGTTGTGGCTGCTACGAAAAGTTCGAAATTCCTGACGTTTGGCGGTTCTTCCGACTTCCTCTTGCAGACTTTAGCGGTAGGAGGTGCTGGCGTTATAGCAGGGCTGGGCAACCTCGCGCCAGTGACGAATGTTCGAGCGATGCAAGCATATGAGGCTGGCGAGCTTGAGCGAGCACGCGAGATGCAAGCTGTTCTGGCTGAAGCGGACTGGGTCGCGATCAAAGGTGGATTCGTAGCTGTCAAGGTCGGGCTCAATCATGCTTGTGGCTACGGAGGACATCCAAGGTTGCCATGTGCGATGCCTGAGACGAAGGTGCAATCAGAGATGACAGTCGGATTTGCTCGACTGCTCGAACTCGAGCGCAGTCTCCAGAAACAGCTGTAATCAAGGTAGATTGTCCACTGAATTCACAATGTCCTTCTGATTCCGGGATCATCCTCATGGAGAGTGATTGGTCGATGGTTGGTTGGGGAGGAGCGGCAAACAATCCTTGGCAAAGCTCCAAGGTTCCTCGCTGTCATCCTTGCGCGTACGCATACCGGTACATTTCAGACTTGAATTCATCTCCCATCGTACAGATATATTCGTGGTTGTGGCGCATGCTCGTGACAATGGAGCGCCAGCGCGTCTGTCTGCAAGACTAATGCCGAATTGTCCACGAAAACCACCCCCAAAACGCCCCCAGCACCTCCGCTGCCTGCGGGGTCAACGTACCTCGGGAATACCTAATCTGCTTGCCCGACCTTGGGGGTCAAATTGGACCGGCTCTGGCTTTCTCTTGCATCTAGCTCGATGTCTTAGTGTGCACGATGGACAGGTCACAGCCTGCGGGACCTCAAAAGCGTAAGAGGGCAAGTCGAAAGAACACCCCAAAAAGATTCAGATGTGAATATGAGGGATGCACAAAGGTACTCATATTGGCGTGCTCAACTCATCGCCCGGTTGATCACATCATTAATAAATCTACCAGATCTACTCTCGAGCCGAGCATTTGCAACGCCATCAGTTAAATCGTGCGTCACATCGGGTAGAGTCGTGTAAGCCCTCTTAACGTGCTGCAGACAAGCCAAAACAATTGTTCCATTGCCAGACTGAAGGCTGCGATCAAACCTTTGTGCGTCTTGACCTTTGTATGAGACATCAAGCCAGACATGGCGAAGCTTCCAAAACGAGAGAACAGGATGTTGGCGCAACAGTCTTCGAAACCACAAATGAGGATATGGTAGAAGACCTTGCTGACGAGGTGGATCCGTATTTGCAACAAGATGCTGCAACAAACATAACCACTGAACAACCTCAAACATATGATACTGGCACCGCAGATTCGCATCAGGATGTATTGCTGGATGTGGTACCAAACATGCCAGGTTGGATTCAGAATGAAATGCTGGACAATCATTCTGGATTCGCAACAGTTCCTTCCCAGCAAAGCAACGAGAACTTCGTGACTTGGTTGTTTGATAGCCCTGGCTCTCAACAGCAGAACTTCGATCTTTCAAGTTACCTGCCCTATGTGGATTTCAGTCTCGACTATTGCTCTCCAACGAACGACTTCTCGCAGTTTGACTCCAACCAAACTATCGTCAACGCTTCCACCGGAAGTTCAATGAACATGCCACCAGGAAACAATGCGTTTCGTGAGGGCACTGATGAATACGGCACGAACAGTCATCTACGTATATCTACCAGATGCAGATCAAGAATCGCTCACAGCATCACTTCGTTTATTGCCAAGAAACGTCCACCAGGAATGCCAGATGCCATGGAAGAGACAGACTTGTTGTTCAGCACCGATGGCAAAGACTTTCCGAACTTGACAGTTAACGTCCTCGAGAACTGCTTGTCTAGCTTTTGGTCGTATGTAGCGGTTCAGCTGCCTATCATCCATCAGCAGACTTTCTCAAATGACGATTGTCAACTGCTTCTGCTGCTTGCAATCCTCATGCTAGGTGCTGGTCAAGCAGTGCGTTTACACCCTGTCGGAACGCGGAACGACTATCGCGTCCTTGCCGATCTCATAGCAATTAACCTCCGATGGGAGATTTTTCCTGAAGCTGAACCACCCATAACACTTTGGATGGCCCAAGGGCTTTTGTTGCTTGAGTTCTACGAGAAGATGTTCTCAACTCGTCGCCTCCATGAGCGTGCATATATCCACCACGCCTCCACATTAGCGTTGCTACGGCGTGGAAGTCCTATGGTCGGTCATGCTGAAGATGAAGAGCCTCCGACACGGTGTCCATCACCAGGATTGACCTCACAACAGACAATTGGGACCTTCAAACAGCTCGGCTGGTGGCGCCGCTGGGCACGAAATGAGTCATGGCACCGTGTTGTCTTCGCAGCTCTTCATATGGATACTTTACACGCCGTAGCTTTCGGACACGAGAGTTCACTTCTGCCATACGAAGTTCGTCTTCCATTACCCTGTGATGATTCGCTATGGTCCGCTCAGAGTCCTGAAGATGTTTGGAGGCTAGAGGAGACGTTCTCGATGCATGGTATCAGCCAGCAGCCCTTCCTCGACAGTTTGAGAAGGTGTCTTCATGGCCACGATGTACATTCAAATCATGGTGCACGGATTGTCCTAGGTTCTGGTTTGCTGAGTGTTGGCTGGCATATCAGACGTCGTGAAAGAAATCAACAGTTCTTGGAGTCAATGCCGTCAGCTCAGGAACAAGACCGCTGGAGAGTCTTGCTCCTCAATGCGTACAGCCATTGGTGTCGGAGCTTCCAGCAGGCACTAGAAAAGTCGAAAGTGCACAGTCGAAAGCATGAAAGTATCAGAGACGTGGTGTTCAATCCGACAATTCTTTATCGACTAGCATATATCACCTCACACATCGATATACTAGATGCCCAGGTATATGCAGGTTCGAAGCGGTTGCTCGGGCGTAAAATTACTGATAAAGATTACCTTGGATGTTCAACCCGGATGCGGAACTGGGCTACAACCTCCTCGGCTAGACTGGCTGTCGCTCACGCTTTCGAATTGCTCGACGAAACTCTCTTAGGCGTGTCTTCGGAAACCGCGAGACAAGCTGTTGATCAAACAACGACAACAAGTTACACTTGCCGTGCTGATCCGTCCTCGTATCGACCTTGGGTCTTGTATCTAGCATCTTTGACCATTTGGTCTTATCAGTACGCTCTCAAAGCGAGACCCTTACATATCACACCACAAGAATCATCCGATGCCGGCCGAGCCCTGTCGCAACATGTTGCTTGCAGCTACATTCGAAGGTGTGCCGCATCAGGTATTGAAAGTTGTTCAAGCCAGATGTCAGTTCAGGGATGCGGTGCAATGTGCAAGCTTCTGGCTCAGGATTTTGCGCTTGCTGAGTGGGAGCTGCTAGTGGAAGCCTCGAGAATACTCGACTCGTGTGCAGACATGATCTTGGACAGGGCTTAAGTAGGATAGAAGCACCTCCAGAGGTCAGAGACCAAATAACAAACACAATGGCAATGCACAGTGCAACCCCTCCGCGGTCGAGTTGATTGAGAAGCTGACGACGAAAACTTAAGACGGGCGAGACTACCCTGGCCAGAATACCGGTGTTGTGAGCGAGACAGAATGATATTCTACTGCATTGTCTGTACATATAATGCTACGTATTCTACCACTCTCTAATGGAACCATCAGGACCAAAGAACTCTTTTGGCGGCCACGGCCGAGTCTCCACCGATATCTTGCGAATCATTTCCTCATCGACTTCGATGCCCAATCCAGGACCGGTGGGAGCCGCAACATGTCCGCCGTTGATAGCGAAGACCGACTGGTCCTTCAAGTATGTATTGAGGTCTATGTCACCGGCTTCTGTGTTGTAATGCATGCCCAAAGACATCTCTAGGATGACAAAGTTGGGCGTAGACAGTCCAACATGGAGGGACGCAGCCTAGTTCGAAACAGTCAGTTTGGTCCATGTCGGATGAACTAACTCCTTATCAAGAACCTACAAATGCAATTGGACCCAAAGGACAGTGTGGCGCACTAAGAGCTGTCAGCATAAATGTCCATACGTCTAGAACCGCCGTGCGCCTTACATAGCAACGTCATACGTTTCTGCCATGTTGGCCAGGCGCTTTGTCTCTGATATACCACCAGCATGAGCGATATCAGGCAGGAGAATATCGATCAAACCAGCTTCAAAAAACGGCTTTGCGTCCCAGCGATGGTACAAGCGCTCGCCGAGAGCAATCGGGATGCTTGTTTGCGCTGATAGCTGCTTGAGGGCTTCAGGATGTTCCACCCTTTTGATCATCTGGTCAGTATAATCCATGCGAATTGGCGTAAAAATCTTACAAAATTGGCTCCTGAAATGGCAGTTGTATTAGCATCTTTGTTCAAATCCATCTGAAAGCAACTTACCTCTATAAAAAGTGGTCGATACGGCTCTAAAGCCTTTGCCAGCTGTTTAGCCATCGGCCGATGTAGTCGACCATGGAAGTCAAGGCCGGCGTTCAATCCGAGACTTTTGACGATCTTTAGGCGCTCGACTGTTGCGTCTAACACCGCTGCATCATCAAGCCATCCGATGTCTTCCGTAGCATTCATTTTTACGCAAGTCAGCCCTTGCTCTTTTCTTGCTTTACTAAAAGGCTATCAGACTTGGATTGTCGCTTTTGTCAGTAGCATCACTCACGCAGCATTCTCTATGTCAGCGGGTCTATCGCCACCAATCCAGCAGTAGACCTGGCACTTCTCTCGAACCTTGCCTCCCAGCAATTCGTAGAGTGGGACATCCAATCTGCGTGCTATGATCATAGTCAGTCTGGACCAGTTATCATTGCCGCATGATGCAGTGGTGACCAACCTTTGAGGTCCCACAATGCGATGTCGATGCCGGATAGAGCAGACATAAAGACAGGTCCTCCTCGATAGAAACCTGAATCTCTGGTCAGAGTGCATCTCGGGCTTTTGCGATGATCGTTTGGCTTACCAAGTCTCCAAATCTACCAGCAAAACACAAGATGATCAGAACTCGTATCATTCAAGTCAAAAAATCCAAACTTACCAATTGCCAAATGTGCTCAATGCGGCTTAGATGTGTTAGTAGACTCTTTCTACAATTTCGTTGGTACTTACTTGGCCTCCTGCCCAATCAAACGAACAATGATCTCGTCCAATGCTCCTTCCACAGCCAAAGTATGCCCCTCGAGTGTTCCCTCGCCCCAACCTACTAAGCCGTCTTCATCGGTGATCTTGACAAAAAGCCATCGCGGCTTTACTCTGAAGTACTCTATGAGCTTGATTGGAGCCATGTCGATCACTCTTGAGTGCGGTGCTGATTGTGAGCGCAGTAGCTGTACCCAAGACGAAGCGTCCTCGGCTCCAAGTTATAATGATTGTACTAGGATCCACTCAGAAGCCGATGTCAGATTCTTTTACAATGTACGGTAGTGTGTTGCGAGGACCCCGCAGATCAACGTGGGGGTACCAAGGGTCCATCTGGGGGATCCACCATTATGGTCTGCTGCTTTCCGAGATGCAGATTGTTTGTTCTCAAGATTTGAGACTTTCAGATTATTAATCTGAGGCTTAGTTGCGGTGCTTAAGCCACAGCATGCATTGACTACGTCAATAGAATGGCTGACGCCTTGTAATGAATTTTCTCGAAGAGTGTCTATTCTAAACATCTCCTGATATCGCCGAAGAATGATTGTAATGCATGACAAGAAACACTTTCTCCTTGATTAAAGGTGCTTTTGGAGAGCTGATAAGGTGTAGTGTGCAAGAGGATGTTGTTCAGTGATACGATACTACACCAGATGGGTCCAATGCATCTAAAGCTTTACAGAGCCCACCATCATCCTTTCCAATTCTCTGGTGTTTATCATATTACGCTCGATATCTCCGACTTTGCTTGCGCCGATGAATGCCATGTTCGTTTGCAGCTCGTTGCGAAGTAATTGTATCATGCGTCTGATACCATGTTCGCCGTAACCGCCAGACATGCTATATAAGACTGGTCTCCCAATACCAATTGCATTTGCACCCAAGGCTAATGCCTTGATGATGTCGGTGCCTCTTCGTATGCCACCGTCGACGAAGATTTGCATGTGCTTGCCCAGAATATGAGGAGCATATCGATCGATCTCTAGGAGAGTGAGAAGAGGAGGCTGTGCCGTATCTTGAGATCGACCTCCATGGTTACTCAACACGATGCCATCGACCTTGTGATTGAAAGCGGTAACTGCATCTTCGACCGACTGAATTCCTTTGATCACAATCGGCAGTTTCGTAGCTTTTCGTAGCCAGTCGACCATGTCCCAGTCAAGGTCAGCATTGATGAAGCCAGTGTTTGCTTTCGCGATGCCGACACTTTGAGTAGTCTCGACGACTTCCTCCAATCTTTCCTCTATCTGCTGGGTTGTCAGTAGGAGTTGGATGGACATTACAGAAATTGGACTGACGTCAATCACTGATTTCGATCGCTCATCTCGTTCACGATTACCAACAACAGGTGAATCAACTGTAAGCCATATGGCTGCCACACCGGCTCTTTCGGCCCTCTTGATGAATGATTTTGACTTTTCCAGGTCTTTATCCGCATACAACTGCCAGAAAATGATCTGATGTTTGGAAACCCGTGCTTCCATGATGTCCTCAATCGGCATACTGGAGACGGTGTTGACAACCTGGATACATCCTTCCTTTCCAGCAGCTGCAGCAATGGCACATTCGCCTGATGGGTGTACCAGTTTAGCCAGGCCGACAGGCGAAGTATAGATAGGCAGAGCAGAGGAGTGGCCGAGAATGGTGGTGCTGCAATCGACTCTTCCTACTTTCCGCAGTATCCGACCCCGCAAGAAGATCTTTCGATATGCTTTTGCGTTCTCCCTCATACTGATCTCGTCGTCGGCTCCTGAAGAAACGTAGGCCCATGCAGTTGGTGTCATTGTCTGGAAGGTCAGCTCGGGTTAACATATCTTCCAGGATTGTCAACCAACCTTTTCTGCGACTTTCTCAAAGTCATTGACGCAGATCATGGAGCTCAGCGGCGGACTCTTTTTAGCTTCTGATTCTGGCTCCGGTTTCCTGTCCAGACTCGGGATGGTCGAGACATCTATCGTGCCCTTTCTTGCATTGAATCCGAGAGTGTCCCGGACGAGCTCAGGACTGTGAAACAGTTCATACTCATCTGAAGCATCTTTGCCAGCTAATTTGAGAATCAAGTTTGCGCCGCCTGGATGTTGTTCGAGAAAGTCGGTTGTATCCCAGACCTCGCCATGGATGGCAAGCCAGCATGATTGTCTACTGTTATGCTTCGCGAGCTCTGTACCCTCTACTATCGCCATAGTGATCGTGAAACAAGTTGCTCGGACTTCGGAAATTGCACTCAGCCATGACTGCAGTATTCATGATGGTCAGTTTGGTACTGAGGAAGGTACGCGGAGAAGAGTGGGGGTCACATTCTCCCCCCGCCTCACCCCACCTTTCGTCGGCTTTTGGTATCCACTCGGGTCCTATCTCATCATAGCTCTTGGCCCACCCAGAAAGCAACCCTTGACGTCTCGTTTTCATTGCATACGGACCTGTGTAGAAATGACAGAATCAGGCGAAAACGTCAGGATATTACTATTTGGGCTGGGAGCGTAAGATCTCCATATCATTTCGAATAATCCATTGGCTAAGTCATTTAGTATTGGAGGGTTCTATGCATTTGTCCTTGGACGCAACAAGAACGTATCCTTAAGCGTAGTAGCAAGATCAAACTACCAACAAGTTAAAAGTCATGGTCTGGCCATTGAAAGCGAGAACCATGGCAACCACAAAGTCAACATAGACCGAGTCTACAAATCGCCAGATGAAATCATATCACCATTCGACTACATCGTCTGCGCCCACAAAGCTGTGAATCCGGACAAAGTACCACCAATCCTCAAATCTGCTGTGGACGACCAAACCACCTTTGTCATTATCCAGAATGGCGTTGGCAACGAGGAGCCCTTTCGAATCACCTACCCAAACAACACGATAATCAGCTGTGTAACATGGGTAGGAGCCACTCAAACCTCGCCAGGAGTAATCAAACACACAAAATCTGAAGATATGCAAATGGGCCTATTCCCAAACCCAACTCTTGGCCGAGATGTCGAACAAGCACGGCTAGAAACCTTTGCAACATTACTCAAAACTGGCGGAACCGTCTTCCAAGTCGAAAAGGACATTCAGATCAAGCGATGGGAGAAGGTCACTTGGAACGCCGCTTGGAATTCGATCACCACACTCACAGACGTCAACACTCAGGATTGGCTCAAATCATCACCTCAAGCAATGACCACTACCAAGCGACTAATGCACGAAGTGATCGATGTAGCGAACCGATGCAATGTACCCCTTGAGCACAGACTGGCAGACGCTTTGGTGGACAAGATATCAGCTATGCCTGGCATCTATTCAAGCATGCATACAGATATGAAGGAAGGAAGACCTCTCGAGGTAGATGTCATCTTGGGATACCCGATCAAGAAAGCAACCGAGTTTGGCATGGATGTTCCGGTGCTGAGTACCATTTATGCTTTAACGACTGCTGTGAATGGAAGGCTGAGCAAGTTGTGAGTCTAGAGAGGGTACGCAGAATAATAGATGCTCCTTGCATAGCTCTGTTTTCCGACTTTGCTTCTAGGAGACAAGTGATCCCTGATATTCATGAAGGATACTTCCACAATTGAGTGCGTCACAGTGTTATCGTCTGTCATCACACTTGATCATACATGTCACATCGCTCGATCTGGACACGCACGGCAGTGTTTTGGGGAATGTGACAGAAGATGAAAATTGTGCTACGAGGTATCATAAGCTCGTATAAGTGGAGATAAGTTTTGCTCTATCAAATCTATGCTCGTCGAAACCGAGGAAATCAATAAAAAAAAGTCGCTTTGCAATCGAAACCTTATCCAACCTGTTCTGGAGCGCTCGATGTCCCTAAACACCAAACCCCTTGTCCTATGCATAGCAAAAAAATACCATTCCCGATGCTAAATAATTAATCGTCGTCACTGATCCAAGGGACTCTAATCTGCTCTTGCCCGCAACATGCGCAACCGATTATCCTCATGGGGATGGAGTTGTGTCAATGGAGTGAGGCCATTTGGAGCAAAGCTACCAGGGGTAACAGCGCCGGTTAACGTCTGAGTGCTCGAATGAGATCCAGGGGTGCTGATGCCGCTCCTGACATGGACGGCACCAGGCCGTTGTGGGAGTTGCAGGGTAGGACTTGGCGGTCTGCTAGTAGCCTCCATATAACTGGGAGGGCCATCGGTGAAAGGCGTGAATGGTCCAGGAGTACGAACAGCAGCTCCGTAACTGGGAACTCTTGATAGCGTGCCCATGTCAAAGTCGTCCATATGGGGCACGTTGTCATCGATTAGATCCTCGCCGTCTCCAGAAGCTCGGCGTGACTCCGGTACGCTGTGCGAGGGCGATTGGTGTGGCGGAGAAGCATGACCAGAGTGCGATTGGGCGAAATGAGCAGCAAAATAGCCACCAGTGTACGCGGGAGTGTTACCGCCCGATGGAGAATGGTGAGCTGCAGGTGCAGCGCGGATCTGTCTGCTTGACCCTTGGTCTTGCAAGTTGGCGAGACGTGAACGAAGCTGAGCAGGTACAAAGTGACTTTCGCCGCCACCAAGTGCAGGCATTGACTGCGAATGGTGCATATCTGCGACACCGTTCAAAGATTGCAGGTTTTCCGAAGATGCGTTGCGGCTTTGGGCATAGAAAGGAGTGGCCGATCCACTGGGCGCGCGACTCATATAACCACCCGTGTTGATATCGTTGTATAGAGCATCGAGCTGGTGTCGACCGTATTCTGGTGGGGCGTTCAACGTAACTTCTTGCTGGTTCAACTCGGCGTCGGTCATGGTTCTCGCAGCGACTTGGACCTCGTTCGAGTCATCGACCGGTAGGTTAGGAGAGATGAAGAGTTTGACAGGAAGACGGCAAACGAGCTGAGAGATGTGGCCTTCCGGGTTATGAATGTTGACCATGAGCTTGAAACGATGAGTAATGTTGATGTTGTGTGAGTCGACATCTTGTCTGCACTGCTTGAGAGACTTGGGCAAGTCCAGAGTAGCCTTGAAGACGTATTTCTCATCTTCCATGATGGGGTTTTCGGCGCTCTCTTCGTCAAAAGTGACACGCGAGTCTTCGGGGAATTCCATTTCTGCTTTTGCAACATCTGACTCATCGACCTTGCATCTGTCACCACGCTGATCGGGTACCTCAGACGACTGAATTCGCTTTGTCACTGCTTCTATGAGCCTCATCTCGATCTTGCCGAGCTTGATACCCTTTCGAATAGGCGATAATTCGACGTCTGCGACAATCGAAGTTCCAAAAACAACGGCGTCGGTGGGAATCGAGATGCTGTAGCTGAGCTTGTTTGCCCAAATATCGGCGTTGGTCTGTTGGAAAGCGAGTCAGCATACTTGTTGCGATATTCCAGTTCAAAGTACATACCCTCGAGCGAGTTGTTTCCATCTGCTCGGCTCCCAGAGTTCTCACGATGCGAATGTGCTGTGTGGTAGTGATATCCTTTGCGTTCCAGCCAGGTCTCGAGACGCTCGCATGCAGGTAGTAAACGATGTAGGTACTGTTCATGCCTTCGATGCTTTCGGGCATGCTAGGGTCGAGGATGTATTCGAAGGGCCACTCTATCGTTCCCGAGTTGATCTTGTGCGTCCCAGATGTACCTAGAGCACGTTCCTCGCGCCAGAAGGTCTTTTTGTCCGACACTTCACCTGCTGCCATACCGCCCATGTAGAACCATCTGTAAAGACAAGAGTCAACGGGACAGTTCTGCTGTATTCTGCGCGACGACGAATGACTCACGAGATTCTTCGTTTGCCCTCAAGCCAGATTTTGACGTTCTTGATACTCATGGCATCTGGTGTAGTCAATCGGACGACACCATTGAGCTTAATAGTCTCGGCTTCGTGCTGGTCGCCATGGAAGACGATGAAGCGGTTGTTCGGGCTGTTGGGTGCAAGTCAGCCCTCTGGACGCTCGAGTGTGAGACGGTCACAAGTACATGATCTCAAGCACAGGCTTGGCTCGAGGGGTATGGACCATGGCGACGGCGAGTAGGTGGGATGTTCGTCGCGAGCGCGACAACCAAGTCAGACAATAATAAGGGTCCGGTCAAGTCTTCGCGACACAGCAATCGAAGTGGTAGAGAATACAAAGGAGAGGCTGAGGCACTTGGGTGGAAAATGCCAAATCGAAAGCTTGACCTCGGATGACGTTTCTAAAACAACCAAGAAGCTCGTGCCCGATTGCGATAAAGACTCGTTGGTGTCGGCGCGAGACGGGAGGCCCTTCTTTGTCCTTTGTTTGACAGAAAGCAACCGCCAAAGCCGTGAATCCAATCACTGCAACGCCTTTGGCCCCTTTGGAACCTTCACCGTACCGCCTAGCTCTCCTAGTCTGCCGAGATAGACAACTGCCCGGCCCGGCTGCAAGTGCACTGTACTCTTTGGGCTGCTTTGTTGCTGCGAGAAAAACAAATCATGAACCCGCAGACATGCACATGCAAAGCTCATCGTGATTCACGCCTGCCACTCTGCGGCTCTGAGGTGATCAGGGTCCGGCCACGCTTCGGTCCTACCTCCAGCGAACCCTGGAATCCTGAGATTTTTTTCTTGTTGGACAAGAGAAACCTCGTTTTTTCCGCCGCCTTTATCTTCAACAAATCTATTCATCCCGTGGTTGGGATTTCCACGCTCGCCCTTCCTACTGCACAACGGTCTGAGGCTTGATCCAGATTCACAATCATGGCGTGAGGAGCAGCGGTTCATCTCTCCTGAGCTCTGCATGATGCGCAGTACAGAGTCATGGCAAGCCATTAGGGTTGTTCTTCTGAATAGTGTCTTGGACAATAGCTACAAAGACGTGATTACATCTACATCTCTATCCAACCTAGAGATAGGTAGCTACTTCTTATACACAGACAGGATGGCTGTTACTATTTACACAGCGGTGGTCAGAAGCCTCACCACCCACTGCCACAGCTGTACATTATGGTATCTGACCGATCCACAGTCTTCATGTATAGTGTACATCTCGGACTACGTGCTTGCATTAGATCGCGCTGTTGTCGGCATCGCTGGAGTTGTGTCCGTTCTCTCCGGCTCCTTCCTTGGGTCGGTCCCAAGTATGAACATGGCCTGTGAAACGTCAGCCCAACGTGAAATTTTGCAGATTATCATCAAAAGGCCCGATCAGCTTCGCGCGACGCATCAAAGACGCGCAATTATCATGTTTCTTGTGGATCCCGGACGTCCCAACACAGAGCTGCAAAACACTCACCATCTTTGCACGCTGTCATGATACAGTCTTCCTGAAACTCAAGCCAGCTCAACGGATGATTGTCTATCTTTTTCGACTGCAATCTCAACATTAGCATCGACGCCAAAATTGGCGAAGCGTGATTTATTTCAGTGACTCACCATGACGGGCGGTAACATTGCTGTGCTTGCTTTTGTTCTAAAGCCGTGAACTACGTCTGTGCCATTTGTCGCACCCTCACCATCCTCTGAGATTGTCGAATGTGATCTGATACGGCCGACTGTAGAATTGGTCTCTTTCCGCGTGATGACATTAGAAGTCACACTGCCTCTGTGTTTGATCGACATCTGCGCAGCCTGGATCAGTAAGCTGTATCGCGAACAAGAGCTAGGAATAGAACTCACTGCTCTCGGTCGACCGAGCATACCAACGGAAAAGTCCCAGAGTAGGAGCTTACAATCTTCGCCAACACTGCCAAAGCGATAGTTGCGCTCGTCGCATCTCCAGGGATCAAACTTGACATCAGTGACCCAACTACTGTGTCCCTGACAACGGGCTACCAATGTAGCATCTGCAAAGGACCAGATGCTAACAATATCATCTTGACCACCGGTCAGGATGTACCGGCCGTCAGGCGACCACGTTACAGTAATCAAACCACCATAGTATGAGGTAAAAGCGTCCAGGAGCTGTTCCTTGAGGTAGTCGATGATACGCAAGGAGCCATCTTCTGACACAACAGCAAGATGTCTGCCATCAGGGGAAAAGGAAATGCAATTGATTTGCTGGTTGTTGATTTTCCATACAGCTACAGGGTTAGTTTTCTGATTTCGTGACTGAACAGACTTTTTGATGGAAAAGGACGCTGGACCAGGTTGGACATCGGCAGAGTCGGGAGATTCTTGTTCGGGTACAAAGGGAGCATCTTCCTTTTCCTTGTCATAGACGACCAGGGTACCGTCCATGTGAGCAGCCAGGAATAGGTTCTCACTGTTGGGCAGCCACCAGATGGAAGAGACGGCAGAAGAATTGATGGCGCCATTTTTATTGATGCGAGCATACTTTTGAGATACGGGCTCATACCAGATGATGTCGGACGAGGAGAAGCCCAAAATGACGTCGAGGTGGGTGGTGCTTTTGGTAAGTGGGTTGACATGGTGGCACAGGGCGTGAGCTTTGGTGAACAAGATCTTTGTGAGGTTCTCGGTCTTTGTGTCGGAAGAAAGGTCTAGCCATTGAAGAGCTCTGTTGATATTTGAGAAAGCAAAGGTGCCCTGTGGATTGCGTTCTTGGAGACGCTTCTGGAGGGCTTCGTGGGGAATGACTCTGGAGACAAACGAGGAGTTGCTTTTGACAATGTTGTTCTTGGGCTTGCGCCTCTTGGAAGGATCTTTGGAGTCCTTGTTAGGAATGGGGGCAAGAGCAGGGTTGTTGTCTCCAAAGACAGGAGCGGCAGATGATCTGAAGAACGAAGCCGAGTCGGTGGTGGGGGTCATGGGTTCGTCTTGAGAATTGGGAATAGCAGAAAGCTGGCTACTGGCGGTAATGGTGCGGGCGAGGGAGTTGTCAGGAAGCTTCTTGGGGGCGACTATGCACAGCGAGAGTCTAGTACCTTGGGTGGGAGGAGCAATGGTGGTAGCGAGGGGATTGGTGTTGGGCACAGGATTGTCGGAGGGATGAGGCGGAGGTGTGGCCAGAAGCAGCTCATCGCGTTGGACATAGGTACCCTCACCAACGAGGAGCTGGTATTCAGGGCCGGTATGCTTGGAGAGAGTGTTGTTGGTCTCGATGATGGCGCCTGGTGGGTAGCCGGTATATAGATTGCCGCTAGGGTAGCGCGGCGGGGGAGGTAAGACGCTAGCAAGGTGTCAGGCATGGCGATGGACCTGGAAAGACATACATACAACATTGCGACAAGAAGTCGGCGTGGGTTGTTGAGGCTTCTAGGTTGGCGTGTCGAGTGGATGCGGCACTGGGATGGACTGGATCAAGGTACTGTCGCAAGGGCCGAGGCGGCGAACTGAGACTCGGGATATCGATGCAGAAGACGAAACTAGACACTACTAAGACAGCATCTCAACCACGACAAGCGACAAGGAGAGCAGGAGATGTCCAGAGCCTCGCATGGTGGCAGCTCCGAGAGTCGCGAAGACGATCCAGACCCACGCGACAGACGCCGACATGTGGGGAAAGCCGATGCGCATGGTGGGGAAATGTTCCGCCTAAGCAAGCCTTGGTTGCGCCTGCTGCTGCTTGCTCGTGTTGCTTGCTTCGTCTCTGACCAAACACTTTTTCTCCCGTACAGCAGCATGGCGACGGTGCGCGTCTGCGTCTGCGGCGACGAAGGCACGGGCAAGTCGAGTCTGATCACGTCGCTGGTCAAGGATCTCTTTGTCACCAACAAAATCCAGCCCGTCCTGCCCCCCATCTCCATCCCACCCACTCTGGGCACGCCGCAAAGCGTCACCACCACCATTGTCGACACCTCAGCCCTGCCCCAAGAGCGCGACAATCTGCGCAACGAGCTGCGCAAGTCCAATGTCATCCTTCTGGTCTACTCGGACCACTACAGCTACGAGCGTGTCGCCCTCTTCTGGTTGCCCTACTTCCGCTCCTTGGGTGTCAATGTCCCCGTTGTCCTGACCGCCAACAAGGCCGATCTGTCCAAGAATGTCTCAACGCAACAAGTCGTCGACGAAGAGATGCTGCCCGTCATGCAAGAGTTCAAAGAGATCGACTCATGCATCCGCACCAGCGCCCGCGAGCACCACAACATCAACGAAGTCTTTTTCCTCTGCCAAAAGGCCGTCACTCACCCCATTGCTCCCATATACGATGCCAAAGAGTCCTCACTTAAGCCTGCTGCTGTTTCTGCCCTCCGGAGAATCTTCTATCTGTGCGACAAGGACCAAGATGGCCTGCTCAACGACGCAGAGATCCTTGATTTCCAGATGAAATGTTTCGAAAAACCTCTATCCGATCAAGACCTTGTTAGCATCAAACGCTCTGTCCACGCTCACCCAGGTGGCATCGATATCGATGGCTTCATCCTCCTCAACAAAATGTTTGCCGAAAAAGGCCGTCACGAGACAATATGGATCATCCTACGCAAGTTTCAATACACCGACAGTCTGAGCCTCAAGGACACGTTCCTGCATCCCAAGTTTGACGTTGCTCCATCCTCTTCTGCCGAGCTCAGTCCTTCGGGCTACCGCTTCTTTGTTGATCTGTTCCTTCTGCATGACAAGGACAATGATGGAGGTCTCAATGACTCTGAACTCGCCGCTTTGTTTGCACCTACTCCTGGTCTTCCCTCTTCCTGGATCGATTCTGACTTCCCTTCTTGTACTGTCCGTAACGAGGCTGGCCACATCACGTTGCAAGGTTGGCTGGCGCAATGGAGCATGACAACATACGAAGAGCCCAAAGTCACACTTGAATATCTAGCCTATCTTGGCTTTGAGAGTCCCCAACGCGGAGGCACTACCGCTGCACTCAAGGTCACCAAAGCTCGCAAGCGACGTAACAGGCCCGGTCGTGTAGAACGCAACGTCTTCTTATGTTATGTCATTGGCGCTGGCGGTAGTGGCAAGTCGAGTTTGTTGTCAGCCTTTCTCAACAGGCCTTTCAGCACAACCTATCACCCAACAATCAAACCAGAGATTGCCGTCAACAGTGTCGAGCTGCCTGGTGGACGGCAATGCTATCTCATCTTGAAAGAGCTTGGCGAGCTGGAACCTGCTGTGCTGGAGAATCAGGCCAAGCTGGAAGCTTGTGACCTTCTTTGCTATACATACGACTCTAGCGATCCTGACAGCTTTGGTTATATCGTCGAAATGCGCAAGAAATACGCCCATCTCGAACACTTGCCGGCTGTATACACGGCCCTGAAGGCGGATCAGGATAGAGCGGTACAGAGGAGTGAGATGCAGCCGGACCACTACACGGAGGAGCTGCGTGTACCAAAACCGCTTCATGTGAGCGTGACCTGGGCAAGTGTTTCGGAATTCTTTGTGCACCTCGCCGAGAGCGCGACGTTCCCTTCGACAGCATTCCCCAAGAACGAGGAATCAGATGTGGATCGAACAAATTTGTACATCGGGGTGGGAGCGGCAGTATGCGCGGGAGCAGCTTTGGCCATCATGTGGAGGAAAAGCATAGCAGCCAGCAACTAGGCTCGCGGCGCAAGAAGAATGATTGCATGGATGATGGAGTTATGGCGGTGAATTTAGCATCAAGATACCCAGCTCTGGAGAAATTAGGATTTGCAACAACAGCAAGAATGCAAGGCAATTTTATCGAGGAGATGAAGAAGTATGGATAAGGCGGACAGTTCGCAAGCAGTGTTGTCGCTCGGCTTCTCAGATCCGATCCGAGTGAACAGCGTTTGCCAAGGCTGCTTGTCAGGCCCCGAGCAGTTCAGGGAAGCGAAGAATAAACATGTCTTGTATTATTGTTGCTTGTTTATTCCTATCCAACATCTTTGGTGTGGTTCACAGTGTGCTTCTGCCACGAGTCTGATGTGGTGGCCCATGTCGCGTGTATGACGGTCTCCTGAAGTGACTGGCTTCTCCCTCGACTGCCTCTTTTTCCCCTCGCCATGCAGGTGCGTACAGTATCAGACGACCGCCCGTCGACCAAAAATGCCCCAGGCTGACCCCCTGCAGGCCTCACACGATGCGCCGAGTTATGTGCGCAGGCATACGCCGCAGATCTCCATATCCGACGACAATCACCACGTTACAGAGGCCATCGGAGGCATGTACGGCAGCGACGACGACGATTACCTGACGCCCTCCAATCGCAACTCACGACCTCTGAGCTTTGTGGGATCCGCCCTAGAGACCTACCAACTCGCGCCCTCGTATCTCGATACCAAGCGCTCTTCACCGCCCCGCTCTCCACTCCAGCAGACGGGTAGCAATGAGAAACTGCCCTCGTCCGATACGGCTGCGCGCAAAGGCAGTCTCGGCTCCGAGAACCTTCCTCTGGACTCATCTTCTCCCCCGACCTTATCTAGGAAGTCATCGTCGTCGGCCGACACGGCAGTACAGCAATTTCCCCTGAACGACATTGACTATGAGTCGAGTCCTGCTGCAGTAGCTCAAGAGCTCAACAACCTGCAAGCCATTCGCCGCATGTCAATGAGTGTTGACAATGCAGACCCGGATCTTCCTAGCTTTGGCGCATCCGCTCCCACTTCACCAGAGCCTACTGACGATGATGAAGCCTCGCGCCTATTTTGGGTACCAGCGCGCCTACATCCAGAACTTGCCCCTAAAGAATTCAAGACGTTTGTCGAGGACCGCGTTGATCGGATAAGGAAGCGCTCTGGGTCAGGAGACTCTCTGATGCCTGGTGTGGAAAGGTCAAATTCCGGTAGTAGTCTCACAAGGAAGAAGAGCATGCTTTCACGCCAGATTGATTCATCCAAGGGATACGAAGATGGCGCCGAACGCCTGCAACGAAAACGCTCAGAGAGGGAACAATCCCAGACTTCACCGACGGCCGAAAACTTGCAAGAGCTGGAAGGTCTGGTCAACAACGTCGGTCTTGATTCTGCTAGGAATAGCCTTGATTCGGGTGTTCAGATGACCGAGGCACCTATTCTGCCTCCTCCTGGTCCCGCGCTGAAACGCTCCACGAGAACTTATATGCGCAAAGACCGTGCACCCTTCTCCAGAAGAGGTCTCAGCCGCCAGTCCGATAACAACAGGCAATCTGAATCCGATGGTGAGGGGAGCCGTGCACCCTCGCCCGCGCTGTCGATGCGAGAGCCGTCGTCCCCAGGCATCAATCGTGTACAGACTGAGCCTGCGCCGGCTCGCGATACTGCTACTGGCGCTGGACGACTCACCTCTTCCTCTTCAGAAGATCTAGTCCAACACAAGACAAATGCTAGCCAAGTCAAGGATAGTGCTTCTCCCCAGGGCTCTGTTCCGGTCACCACTTTTCACTCTAAGATTGCTACCAATGGTCGGACGACTGCTCCTATTCCCGGTGCTAGTAGTCCAATTCCGCAGATAGTCGAGACGCCTCCAGCTGCCAACAGCTTCACGGTCCCAGAGCGCAAATCATCACACGTTCCACCCTCTACACCACTATCATCCCAGCAGCAACAACAACAGCAGCAGCAGCAGCAGCATTCGGCTCCTCTCTCACATGGGCCAACGCAGCATCATGGCCCGCCGCGGACTCGACCCAGTGCTAGAGGCGCTCACTCCCGACCTTCACTCATGCATTCGAATTCGTCTCGGTCTACCAAATCTACGCTGGAAGACATATCCTCACACCCATCACCTCTCCCTGGCAGCGGAAATACGCGGACGGATGCTCTCACTATGGTACCCACATACGAAGAGAAGAAGGTCGAGAAGAAGGACAGTCGCAAAACTAGTTGGAATTGGCTTCTTGGTAGCGACGAGAAAGACAAGGAAAAAGAACGCAGAACGGAGGACAAAGAGCGTGAAAAGGAGGCTTTCAAGAAACAAAAGGCTGCTGCTAAGCAACCTCCCAAGACTGCAGAGAAAACCCGCTTGGACGTCCTACAATCTTCCATCGATGGCAACGCTACTATCCCCAAAGGTCGAGAGTCACTGGTACTCGATCGCGAGAGCTTCAGACTTGAGGAAGAGCGCAAGAAGGAGAGCTCGAGAAAGTCTTCTGATGGCAGGAAAGACAAGGACTCGGGCATTCTGTCTGCCATCTTTGGAGGTGGAAAACGATCGAAAGAGCCCAAGCAGCAATATCATGCGCCAAAAGAGTCTCTGCGTGCACCCTCTCCAGAACCAGCTCCGAGAATCCTTCGGCCGGACATCGATTACAATTGGACGCGATTCAGCATCCTCGAGGAGCGTGCTATCTACCGAATGGCACACATGAAGCTTGCCAATCCTAGGAGGCCACTACACAGCCAAGTCCTGCTCTCGAACTTCATGTACAGCTATCTGGCCAAGGTGCAAATGTATCACCCTCAGAGTCAAGTCCCAGTGGCACAAAAGACGGCTCAGGCTAGACAGCAGCAATTGCAGCAGCAACAGCAACAGCAAATCCAACAACAGCAGCAACCTTTAGAGCAGCAACAAGACGGTGTTCCAGCGGATGGAAGGGTACGTGGGCGCGAACAATCTATTATGGCTTAATCGACTGACTTGATATTCTTGTAGCAGCACCAACCTGAACACCAGGCGTCTGCCGGCGCCGGAGCACCTGTTCAGAACGTCCCCGAGACTCCTACTAACAAGACGAGTCAGACGGATTACTTGGGTTATTCCACCGATTCACAGCCATTTGGGGATCAGAGCAGTCTCTGGCAAGACGAAGAGAAGAGCGAATTGTGGTGATTCTTGAGAGCATATGCATTGGGACACCGGCGTTTTTGCAACAAAACACACGAGCGGCGTTGTTCTTTCTTTCTTTCTTTTGGGCTTCTCGTCTTTCCTCTGAAAGCACGACTTTGGTGTATGAGTCTCTACTGTTTCTCTTCATTCTTCTTCCTCTTGTTGTACTATGCCAATCACCGAAATCCATACGAAAGTCACGATTTTCTTGGTATGCTGTTTCCCTCTCGATCTAAGACCATTCATTCTCTCTCGCGGCGTACTGCGGTACGTCGGACACAGTGGCAACGAGAATTCGAGGCCTCGCACTAGCTATTTACGGCTAGAATGATGCAAACTAGCCGCCTACGTGACCCTGTCGTTGAAATCCAACTTCGCTGCTCACATATCACATGTTGATCAGAACTATATATATTGCAGATAGAGATGAGCCTATTATGTTCCGGACCCATACAGTCGATGTTGTATATTTTGAAATAGACAACGCGATGATTCTAGATTTACTGCCTCCGCGTGTGCTAAAAGTCTATCACTTCCATCGTACTCTAACTGCAGCAGAGAGCAGAATATACACAGTGGAAAGGAACAATTGTTCTTTGAAGCAGAGGTCATCTACAGAACGCTAAGATCTCATCTTTTTCGGGTCTACTTCATGGGCGCTGTCTTGTTTCATGGTTGTATTCTACATGTTCATAGTTACATGCGTTATATACTTTAGCACACGGCCAGGTACGATATGGGTTACAGAAGAGGAATTGCCGCTTGACAGACCAAGGCAAGGTGGCACCATGCATGGCTCGATACGGAGGGCATGTCACAGCTTGCTCACCGCCTGTTGACTGCCCACAAGCCAGCCACATCTAGGAGTAGATCAACGGCTCGCGCATGTGGCAGGCCGCAGCGTGCCGTCGTGATGGGCTGTGGCTTTGAACGGGTGGTGTCGAGATATGAAAGGGTCCTGATGTCTTGTTGGCTGGGGAACGCCAACCAATGCGGGATGGCCTCGAACAGCAGCACGAGCCCCCCGATTTACGACAGTGGCTTGCTTGCTCAAAGGAGAATCGTCATTGCAAGAATTATCCACCAAGATCCGGATGAAAGAGTTGACGTTTCGCGATCAGCGGGTTGCAGGGTGTCGAGCTGCGCCTTGAAATAAATACAAGGGGCTGTCACGCACACGTTGAGACAGATCATTTTCCAACATCTTGCAACTGCGACGACATTTTCACAGATTGCACCGAACAACCAGGTAAGCTTTCATCTCATTTACCCCGCGTCCCATCGGTCCAGTGTGGATGGGCAGTGTCCTGGCAACTCTACAAATTGCAGACATCTGACCTTTCTCACCCCTAGAATCAAACTCCTATCCCATACACACAACCGCAAACATGGCTTCCGCAGAACGCAACCTGCCTACTAGAACGATGACCAACGACGACGATGCCATCCCTGACGAGGACACCAGTGAGGTGACCAAGCTCTTCCACGAGCGTCTGCAGGCATGGAAGCACGCTTGTGGTTACCTTGAGGACTATGTCTCGGCTACTGAGAAGATGCAACACGCACACGCCAAGGAGTACGAGAAGGTGCTCAAGGTAAGGCTCCTCCTATCGACCTTGTAGACTGGCACAAGATATTGACAACCTAGGGCAGACTGTGTCATCACCACTCAAGGAGGGCCACCACTTCGACCAGAACTTGGGCGGTGTCGCCGGCACCTTTGACACTATCCGCTCAAACACTCAGGTATGACGAATAGCATCCCATAGCCAAGTATGAAACTGAGCAGCAACATTAGGGCATCTCCAACTCGCACGCCGAGACAGCAAAGCTCCTCAAGGGTTCCGTTCTTCCCATCTTCGAGCGTCTCCACACCGAGATCAAGAACAAGACCAAGGAGCTCACCAAGGGTGCTGGCAAGGGAAGCAAGGCTGTCGACAAGGCTCGCGCAACATCGCAGAAGCACATTGAGCTGCTTGGCCAGAACACAGCTGCTTTTGGAAGCACTGGTGGCAAGATCAGCGCACACGAAGACCCCTACGTCCTTCAACGTGGTGTTTACCACCGTCTGAACAAGCAGGTCATCGAGGAGAACAACAACCGCAACGACATCATCGCTGTCCAGAACAGCTTCGCCCAATTCGAGGCTCACATCCTCACCACCATCCAGAATGGCTTGGGCCAGTTCAACCAGGTTGTCGGCAACCAGGCCGAGCAGACTCGCACCATGTACGGCAACATGACCAGCACTGCTCAGCAGGTCGCCCCTGACTTCGAGTGGAACGGCTTCGTCCAGCGCAACAACCAGGTCTTGATCGACCCCAACGCTCCTCCACGCTCCATGTCCAACATCAGCTTCCCCAACCAAAACCACAAGGCTACCGAACCTTTGATTGCTGGTTCTCTCGAGCGCAAGGGCAAGATGCTTAGAAAGTACGAGTCTTCTTATTGGGTCATCACTCCTTCAAGATACATGCACGAGTTCACGACCGACGACGACTTCGCAAAGGACCCCGTTCCCGAGACTTCTCTGTACCTTCCCGACTGCATGATTGGTGCCCTCGATGGTCTCAAGTTCCAGGTCAAGGGCAAGGACGTTTCGGGCAGCAGCTTCGGCAACAAACTCTCCATGTCACACGAATACGCCTTCAAGGCACACACTCCTCAGGATGCCACCAAGTGGTATGAGGTTCTCAGAAGCTCGACTGGCACTACCACCAACGACCTCCCTCCCACCAGCCCTTCGGCCAGCAGACAGCCCAGCGCTAGCATTCCCTCGAGCGAGAACGCTGGTGAGCCCACCAAGGTCTTCTCCGAGGAGGACACACGTCCACAGACCACCGACGCTGCTGCCCTCGAGGCTGAGCGCAAGGAGGCAGCATATGCCTCAGCCGGACCTAATGACGGTGTTGCTACCCACAGCAAGGTGTAAACAAAACATTCATGTCACCGAAGTAATGGATCGCTGGAACACAGGGACGATGATTATGAGTGATTGGCTGGTTTATGCACTATACCTCTTGATATTCAAATAGCAGAGCAGTAATAATATGATTGTTTTTTTCTCGTTGATTGTCTATCGCCGCTTGTATGCGCATCGCTTGCTTTTATCGTGCTCAGCTCAGACTGGCTTGTCGTCCTTTCTCAGCATCCACCTCATCTCATCGGCCTGCTCCTTGGTGACCAGTGCCTCTAGTCGTTCAATTCTCATAAAGTCATGATCACTGTACTCAAAGCCCGGGACGACCGTCTCACTAATGAGAAGGCCTTCGTTGTTGGTGGGGTCCTCGTCCTCGAGTGGCAGCAAAAAGCTGCTCTTGTATTTTCCACCATCGACGATCCACTGCAACTTCTCACCCTTTTCCACGTTCTGACCAACGATGAATGTCTCTACTCTTGCTTTTGACCTTATGCCCGAATGCGAGTCGTATTCTGGCATGACCTCGTCGGCGTGGATGATGACGTAGCGACCTCGTCCTCGGTGTAGTGTATGAATTGTTCTTCCTCTGTTGCGGTGGAAAGCACCCATGGGCGACTCGGGAGTCAAGAGATAGTGGATGCTGGTGCTTGCATTTCTCGTCTTGTCTTGCTCGTTCGCAGATTCTGTGGTTGCATTCTTGTCGGCATCGGTAAGCTTGTTGCTGAGGTTTGCGCTTACGGCGCCGGTCGAGGTGTAGAAGGTTGTTTGCTCGCTATCTGACGCTGAGGGAGAGGTGTTGAGGAAGGGGTTTGGTACGCGATTGGCGTCGCGATCTGTTTCGACAAAATAGCCTCCTTCGATATGTTGTTGGAGATGGAGGGTGGAGATGAGTTTGGCCAAGTGTGGTGATTCGTTGCGTGGGGCTGAACTGTCTTTTGGCTCGTAGACAGGTCTTAGCGGCGGGAGAGAGGAATCAATTGTCGAAGTCATAGTTGGATGTTTTTGTGTGTAGCTAGGGTCGGTGAAGAAAGATGCTTAGGTTGAAGGTGAAGCTCCAAGAAGACGGTCTCGGTGTGTAAGCTTACTCTTTCGTCATGGGCTGTTTCAGACAAACGGTTATGGTTCCACCCCTTCATTGTGGCTTTCACAAACATAAGATAGACTTAGAGCAATATTTGTTTGCTTGGCAGATTGGAATATACAGCTACTCGTCTATACAGCAGAATGTATGTGGAAAAAGAAAATCGAAGCCATGCAACAACTTACTCCCACATCTGTCGCACGTTGAGATTGATTCTCTTGCGTGCCATCCACCCTTTCCAATGTTCATAAGTCTCTGCTTGTACTCCATTCTCTCTACGAGGCCAATCTGCCATCCAATCGGGACAAGTGCCTGGCAATATCTGGGGCACGCCATGCCAGGCATACCGAGCTGCACCAGACATGACGAGGGCATCTCCAGATCGTAAACGAATTGCAACACCTTGGCTGCCTTCTAAGCCTGCCATGAAGATAGCATCGCACCCCAAAGAAATACTGACCAAAGGTCTGTCGCATTCCTCGCTCACATCCCGATGCAAACTTAACGTGTCACTAGGCGTGTAGAGATTGACTATGGCCGCTTGTGCTTTCATGGATGGGAACAGCCCCTCGACCAAGGCAGCCACATCTTCTGGGAAGGGCGGCGGCGTTGATGCTGGATATACTTTCTGGGTCCAATCGTATTGGCCACCAATAGTGACCCAGCGCAATTTCCTGTTTAGACAAGAAGCCATAGGCAAAGGCTTGTGGACCGAAGGATCTTTTGGCGGGTGCGAGATGTCTTGTGCCTCAATACTGAAGAAAGAGGATGTACTTCCATCAGAGCGTTGAGGATATGTCATGTCATAGTGCATGTGTAGATTGGTCTTGTGGGAAGGATTTGAAAGGTCGCGATGTAATAATTTGTCCAGCAAAGAAAGCTGGACGTTTCTGTCAAGTAGAGAGGGAACAATCAAAAGACCTACCGTTGGCTCAGAAAGAGAATCGAATGCCATGCAAGGAAGATGGCGTACCTGGGGCGTCTGGGTGCTCGTAGATTGTGGCAGATTCAATATCCGGCGGCAATGTAGTGACAGGCTCGCCGAGGAAGTGAGAATAGAGACGAGTGATATCATCAGGAGGTTGTTGAAAGAAATTACGGTGTCGATAGGCGGACAGATTGCGCCGGTTAGTATCAAACAGATCAGGGTCTGCGTCCAACAGTTGGATGGAGGCCTTTTGATAGTGCTTGTACTGTCGGCGGAGGTCTTCAGGCGGACGAGCATGGGCATCAAGATGAGAGGCCATTATTAGAGGCGAAATTGTGTTTGTGAAAATGGATGATAATGATGTAGATGTTTGTGGGTGGATTCGGGGGTTATGTTGATGTTGATGTTTGTCAGTTCGCGGTTTGTGGTTGTTGTGTTTGCATCTTGGCTCTGTTGCCCACTTTGTGTTTACTTTTGGTGGAGCGCCATCTTGTTGACGAAAATAAAAGAAGTTTGGCACGAGTGCACGACGTATCAAGACTTGATTGACAGCTCGACAACCTTCACTCTTTGGTCTCGTCATCCACTAACCTGCAGCAAACTCCCGTCGTTTAGCAATTGCCACGACTTTGTGGCTGCCCCTTTCTCGTCGCCAATCCAGGCACAAACGGCTGCTGCTGCTGCTGCTGCTGCTGCTTTGAGCCCCAGATCCAGCGCATACGAGCACTCATACATCAGCCCGCCAGCTGCCAACTCGACCCTCACTCCGACTCGCTTTCACACACGTCGTCGTCATGGAGAACTACCAGAAGATGGAAAAGATTGGCGAGGGTGAGTCTGAGCCCACCACGTCGGCCCTGTCTTCGAGTGAAGGAATCTGACAATTGTCTTGCAGGCACATACGGTGTTGTTTACAAAGCCCGCGACCTCACCACCCCCGACAACCGCATCGTCGCACTCAAGAAGATCCGCCTGGAAGCCGAAGATGAAGGCGTACCCTCGACAGCCATCCGCGAGATCTCGCTCCTCAAGGAGATGAGCGACCCCAACATCGTGCGCCTGTTCAACATTGTCCACGCCGACGGCCACAAGCTGTATCTCGTCTTCGAATACCTCGACCTGGATCTGAAGAAGTACATGGAGGCTCTGCCCGTCTCACAGGGCGGCCGTGGAAAGCCTCTTCCCGAGGGCTGCATGGACGGCCGCGCTGGCCACATGGGACTCGGCGAGGCCATGGTCAAGAAGTTCATGCACCAACTGTGCGCTGGTATCCGCTACTGCCACGCCCACCGCATCCTTCATCGCGATTTGAAGCCGCAAAACCTGCTCATTGACAAGGAGGGCAACCTGAAGCTTGCTGACTTCGGTCTGGCAAGAGCCTTTGGTGTCCCTCTCCGCACCTACACTCACGAGGTAACCCCTTTCCTGGCCAACCAATGCCACGACCAAGACTAACTTGGACACAGGTCGTCACTCTCTGGTACCGCGCACCTGAGATTCTCCTTGGTGGACGCCAATACAGCACCGGCGTCGACATGTGGTCGGTCGGATGCATCTTTGCAGAGATGGCCACACGCAAGCCTCTCTTCCCTGGCGACTCGGAGATCGACGAGATCTTCAAGATCTTCCGCATCCTTGGTACCCCTACTGAGGTCGACTGGCCCGGCGTCACCAGCTTCCCTGACTTCAAGCCCAGTTTCCCCAAGTGGTCTCGCAACCCTGACGACGACATCATCAACCACGATGGCGCAAGAGTCCTGGGTGAGGACGGTATCGACCTTCTAGAGTCGCTACTCATCTACGATCCCGCCGGCAGAATCTCTGCAAAGCAGGCCTGCCTACACCCCTACTTCAACGACTCAAAGTACTACGGTGCGCGAAACGGTTACCACTAGTCCGCCTCGCCGCCGCCGCCGCCTCCGCCGTCGTCACGTCTTGATGTCTTTTCGTATTCCTCTTCGGCTCCCTTCATGTCACCAACAACTCTTTCTTTCCTTTCAAAACTACCCAATTTTCTGCATCGGCATGGCTCGTCTTCGATACTGGCGTTTCAAGGCGAAAGACAAGGAGTCCAGGCTTCCACTGTCTCTGTTACATTTCTCTTCCATTCTGTTTTACTTTTCGGTTCCGACACCTTGTCGAGCCATGCCGGCTTATGCCCCGTTTATGTTCAGGAAAGGCTTTTTGGGAGGGCGTCTTCTTGATGAGCTTCTTTATTTCACAATGAATCTCCTTCTAGTCATGACATGTGTGCGGCCTTCTATGTGTCTACGTGTATCAACAATGCGTGTACAGTGATGCGTCTCAGTTCTCGAAGAGCAACCCTGCAGCATACTCCACATTGCCACTGGTTGCATTGAGAGCTGCGATCGCTTGTTGACTTGAGAATCCCAAGTTCTGCAGTGTCTCAATGTCCTGCGCAGGAAAGGAGTGCGCAGGTACCGGTATCGTCGGCGGCAAGCTACCTGCACCAGGTCTCTCCACGCCCGTTCCGCCTTGTAATTGACCCGACGGCGGCAATGCTTGTCTGATTGCTCTCGCCATACCTGCAGCCCATTGCCATGGTTCACCGTGCTCGCCAGGCTTCGAATTGAAGTACTCCCAACCCATCACGCCGCCGAATGTCGGATACTTTGCTCGTAGCATCCTTGACATATCGTGAGAGGTGCCTTGCTCCACATAACCTGCGCCATTGCCAGGGTTTGTGACTAGACCGACGACGACTTTATCTGCACGCCATCCCATACTCATGATGGCATCGTACCAGAAAGTCGTTGTCGCATCACCCCACCCGCAGTAGAATTGCGTGTTGTACCACGCGATTTGGTCGCCGCGCATCTGCTCCAATAGTCTGTAGTCAAAGCCTGAAAGATGGGGTTGGTTGGGTAATAAAGCAGTGGCCACAGGTGCCAATGTGATGAGGAAGGCAGGTCCAAAATCAGCGCGCAGACGGTCGATCAAACGAATGACTCCAGGAAGAGTCATGTGTTCTTCGATATCCAAGTCCAAACCTGATAGATTGTGTTTGGATATCAAAGCGTGCAATGGCTTGTAGTAATCTTCAAACTAGCATTCAGGGACACGTAATTAGCCTTGCGAATATGTTCTTAAGGTATGATATAGATCGACGTTTCAGTCTCACCTTTTGATCATCGGGGCCATCGAGTCTTTCGAAACTGCCCTTTGCGGCGCCACCCAGCATGCCCAACACCTTGACGCCAGAAGCCTGTAACCATGCCACCTCTCCCCAGAGTGTTTCGTATTTGGAAGCGTGCGGAGGATCGTCGTTCAAGGTGATGTTGCCCGGACCTTCGTTCAAATGTATAGCCGCCACTATGACATGCGTCACGCCCGTCTGGTTGGTAATGAGTGACAGCAGAGACACGTATTGCTCATCTCGGTGTATTGTTTGATGGTAGACAATGACTCTTGGTCCTTCGCCGATCGGCAGGAGTCTCGTTGTTGTTGATGCCATGAGTTTATCTGTGGATTGTGCCTCTTGAGCTATTTGTCTTCTCGTGCGTAGCAAAGTCGAGAGTCATGCGTACCTACGTGACACGAATCTAGTGGAGACTGTGGAGTGCAGCTGCTATCATTGTTTCCTCTCACCCGCGTTTCGCGCGTTGGTCCATGCCAGATCAGCGGCGGCCATTCCAGCTTAAATCTACCAACCTGATGACAACACACCGCTCAGTCAATTGACTCGTGCAGCATCAGCAATGCAGGTCGATGAAATGGAGCGGCAGAGATCATTTGTCGATATGCAATAATTTAAGGATTCTCACTGCTGTAAATTTACGAATGGTTCATTTTGCTGCTTCTATGTACAAAAATTGCAGTGTCCGAGAATGATACCAGGCAAAGAAAACCCCTTTCCCAAATGTAAAAATAATTCGTAGAAGTGAAAATGTTCATCAAATGGTATCATGTGAAAATCAATGGAACGCCCCTTGCTGGTCATAGTCCAGCACCCTTTGGCGTATAGGATGAATAAACAAAGGAAATGAGAAGTTCGGCAAGCGATATCACCATGAGAATTCTTCAAGAGGTCCAGAGGTTGCAGCCATTCCGGGAGCAGGGATGAGAGGCAAAACCTGAGGGAGCGGCTCAGAAAGTACTGGAATCTTTTCGTCGAAATACTCCATCATGTCTGCTCTGAGCAAGGAAGCAGTGCGAGGTGTCGAAACAGTAGCTGCATCTGTGGTCGAGTCGGCGTCAATTTCTGATTCATCAGTGCTGTAGAGAGAGCTAGAATCGTCGTGGAAGACCTTGCCGCCGTTTGCTGAGTCATTTCTTGCAAGCTCTTCGGCCTTGGATTCAACTGAGACGTTGTCGTCCTCCAAGCCTAAATCAATTAGCCATCTGTATGGACATATGAGAGGGTAATCGGCATACCTGAGTCTGAATCTTCCGGAAGGGCAATATTTGCTGGGTCTACAAGACTATCGATTGCAGGGTCTTCGGAAAGATGCTCTTCTGCATCCTCGAAGATTGCATCATCCTGTGAGTTTTCAGATTCTGGCTGTGCTGGTTTCTCTGTCGAGTGTTCGTCTGTTGTTTGGGATTGTTGCTCATGGGCTGATTGTGTAGATTGTTCTGATATGGCTTGTTCTTGGTCCATTTGCGACGTTCTCTGGGCATCCAGTTCGGCCTGAAGTTCCTTATAGGCTTCGGTCAAGTCCTCATCATCAGCCAGATCGCTTCCAATGACGCTCAATCGTCGGATTGAAGTGGCGTCCAGCTCGCTAAAGAGGTCGGAATGATATACAGGCTGCCCCGCATCGGACTTGGAGCGATGCTGGAGGAGGGGTGCAAGCGAACCCGGAAGCTCAACGGGAGCACAGTAAAGACCGCCGCTCTGTGGTAGCTGAGTAAATATGGGCCATGATGGAGTGTCTGGGCTGTTGAAGACTTCAGGAGCAGCGATGGCCGAGGCGGAGCGTGGGCGTGCTGGACGCGTTGGCGCTTGTGGCTTTACGACTGCAGGAACGTTGATGTTGAACTTGCGACGCCGGAAAAGATTTCGGAAAGCGCGTTTGAACTGTTCGAGTGTATCGGATGAAGATGCTGGGGACATTGTCAGACGAACTGTGGATAGACTCGACGTAGAGACGAGGATTAAGACTAACATGTTCCAGGCATTATGTCACTCTGGTGGGGCTCTTGCCCAGGGTGTGTGCAAAGCCGGGCACACAGAGACTTTGTAAGACAGAAACAGGAAAATAAGGTCGAAGAAGGATGGTGGATGGTCAAGTGCAACTCGAAAAGAAAGAGCAAAGGAAAAGAAGGGAGCGCTGCATGCTTGCGCCGAGGGCAAGGGCGACAGGTGCAGCTAAAGACGTCTTTTCAATTCGTGTCTCGATCCAATGAATGCGGAACAGACATGATTGACTTTGTGCTCCAGCACATGGCCGGCAGCCAGAAGCTTTCGCGGACAATTCTAGCGCCGATTGACAGGGTCGGGAGCAATCTCAAATCAGCCTCTGATTGGCCCTCCATTTGGAGCTACCGTAGAAATCGTCCGGCTACGCTGATCGTCAGCTTTCCACGCGCTGACTCGCAGCCTCTAGCCTCCGGCCTATCGCTATTTTGCCTTTGTCCTGTGCTGGCTAATGTCCTTCTTTCCTCTTTCGTCTCTATTTGGAAAGCGGCACACTGATTGGGCTCTGGTCGCTCCGCGCTCCTCGACCTGCATATGTACAGACCTCTTCCCCACTCCATTTCAACGTTGGCCATGTGTACATGAAACAGAAACGGCCTTTATCGATCCGAGCGCTGGTGGCTGCGAACGTCCCAAAAGACGTTGAAGCTATGCCGCTTGTTCTGTTCCTATCGATTCCGTCCGTTCGTCTATCTTCGTTGCCGTACAAGTTTCCAGAATGCAATCCTATACGATACGCGTCGTCTGCTTGTCTTCGACAGCTCATCAAGCTGGTCGATTGGATCCTGGCGGCGCTCTTGACCATGGTGCTCTTGCGACATTTGCTGCAGATGATGGTCCGTTCGCTGCCCATGGCGCGCCAGTAATAGGTGTTGCCGTCATTGGTGCTGATGAACCTCCTGACCATGGTGCCCGCGTCGACGGCTGTGCAGAGCTCATGTTTTTTGTGTTGGCTGAAATCGAAGACTTTGGTTGAGAACCCATGTGAGCAGACGTGGTAGGTATGGGAGCGCGAGGATCATGCTCCCATCGAAAAAGAGAACCAAAAGGGAAGTGCTGGACAACAGGAAACTTGGAGAGCACTTCGGCATTGTACATCTTAATCATCCCCTGCTGATCTATTAGCAAGTATACACTGACATCAGCATGGGTATGGCTCTTGACCTTGTTGATCTTGGCCCATCCATCCTTGATGCCTGATATGTCAAACAAAGTAGGACTGTGCTCCCAGAAAGGCCCCTTTTTGACATCGAAGATGAAGGCAATGGCAGAAAAGTACATGTTCGTGTCTCTATACATTTCGGCCGAGTCATTCTTGGCCGTTCGGTTGGGCGATGGCGAACCCGAGAGCGAACCCTCATTGGGAATTACAGTAGAGTCGGCATGGATGGGGGCACAGTACTGAGCAGAACCTAGGATGTATGGTATGAAAGAATGGTCGTCAAGTCCCCAGACGCCATGGGAACCTGCAGGTTCCAAAGAGTATGTCAAGATAAGTTTTCGAACGAGGTCGAGGTAACTGCATGATTGTTAGCTTTTTGCCTGTAAAAGCAGTATCAAAGCAGTAAAATACGGTTGTATGACAGCTGTGACAATGGCTCTTTCTTGAAGACCACTATCGGCGTGAGCGAAGCCACCCAGCTTCCAGATACAGGCCAGGAAGGCCAAGAAGCTCAGCTCGTGGCCAGTACCATAATCAAGTCTTTCGGGACTTCCAAAACTCCCGAGAAGGTATGCAGCCAACTCGAGATTCAAAGCGCTCAGCTCGGCGTCGTGCCGAGCACGGCCCCACAGCTTGTCGGAGAGGGCGTCTCGCAAAAGAGATGGTGTGGCTTCTTGAACAGTCTTGTACCATGTACGGAAGGCAGCGTTGCCGAACCTTCGAGGTCCAGACTCTGGAGGCGCCTTTTCCATGAGAGCATCGAGTGAGCGGATGAGATGGTTCAATTTGAGCACTTCGTCGGAAAGGGTAATGTTTTTGGATTGCAAAGGCCATGTGTCGACAAGACTTGAGTCGTCCGGACGCTTGACGGGGATCATGGAACGATTCAATTGCAAAATCCAGGTCATGATGTCGGCATAGGCCGAGGAGCGCAAGAAGAAAGAAAGGTCGTCGCCATCGTTGATACGTTTGGACGGTTGCTCGAAAGGTTTCTGTGCTGTAGGCTCGATGACCTGCAGCATCGGAATGCCATGGCCGTTGCGCAAATCGTCGGCCATGATGTTCAGACAAGTTTGTGGTGTTGGACTTGGTCACTGTGGATGGCGCTGTCCTTTGACAGTCGCGAATCTCATCGCGCCGGTGGTCCAAGCTCAGCATACCAAACGCCAACACCGATCTTCCAAAGCCGACTCATGTCTTCTATCATACAATCATTCAGTCATGACACATCATGGCTTCTTATGAAGTCCCAGATTACGATGACTCTGAGGAAGAGTCAGATGGAGACATTCTTCCCCCTCGAACCAACCAAGAATTGCGACTAACAAAACTCGGAAGCGCCATACCAATCCCCCCTCAGTCCGATATCCCAGGTATATTACGCTTTCGGTATTATCTGATCATTTGTGAATTAACCAGAAGCATCAGACAGTGAAGGTCCAGAAGAAGTCTTGCCCGAGGTCACCATGCTCAACTCGGTGATAATGTCTGGTGCTAACGGCCCTCGCACATCAGAAGCACCACCATCTTCTAAACCTGGAAAGCTGCCTAGGCCCTCAATTGACCTCACCCATAGACCACCGACTGAGGTCCCGCGCGAAGATCCGTACAAGATCGAAGCCTTACCTGAACCCGTGGCCCATCCAAGCTCTAGTTTACTTCGGCAGAAAGTGTCCAAGAAGCCAAAAATGTCTTCGTTGCCCAGTCGCCCACAGAGACAGATAAGAACTGCCTCCAGAAAAGGCATGTTGGATACAGATCCGCTTTCCGCCATCGTGGTTGAATCGCATTCCACCATAGGGCGTGTCGACCACACATATGAATCCCAAGAACGTGACCCAAAACGTCAAAAGCGCGAAACCGCGGTTCCAGAAGCTCGAGCTCGCCGTTCCGGACCAGCAACGCGCTCTTCAAAGCAACAAGTGACACCAAGACCCGATCTATCGCGACCTATTGGCAGGCAGATTCAAGAGAAGAATCGTTCGGTCTCAATGAATCAGAATCAGCCCCGTGTCCCCGAAAATGGCCTAACTCCTACACTAGACGCGCAGCGACTCTCCCTCAGATCTCCCCGTCGAGTATATACTGCACCAAAAAAGGTTTCAGAAGTTGTGGTTAATACATCTACTTCGAACCAAATTCCAACCGAGAGTACAAATACAAGTAAACAGCCGATATCTCCTCCAGCAATTGTTCAAGATCCGCCCATCACGAGAACTTCACCGGTCTCACCAGCGGATGCTGTGCAACATCATTGTCAAGAACGCATGAGTTTAGGTCATTCAGCAGATCCAGTATCGCCAGTGGTCGACATCAAACACGTGCAAACACCTGTGGTCGAGGAGAGCCTGAGATCTACCTGGGAAGACTCTTGCCTCTTCGAACCATGCACGCAACCCGCAAGGGATACGCGGTCCCAGGCTGAAATACTTGAAGCAGACGCTGAAAGGATACAGGGGCTTTATGAAACGTACTTGGAAAACGACTCTGAGGACGACTTTGCTCGGTCTGAGAATGTTATTGATGAGAAAAATAGTCGTGAGGATATCTTTGTGCCAAAAGAGCTGGACGCGGCTCTTAAATTTGCACACTTTATCCACGAAGAAGCTGATTCAGTTCGGCAGAGGTTCGGTGGCATTGACATCTCAAAAAGCTATAACACCCTGAAGAAAAGCGTCTTACGGTGGAAAGCCGCACAGAATTACGGCGAAACAGAACGACTTATCCAGCTCTCCCAGAAGACCAGGAAAGAAGCAAAGGCTATCCTCCAGAAATCTGAGTGGGACCAGCAGGTAGGGCTTGATTACATCTATAAACGTGTGTTGCCGACACTTGTGCGCATGTTGTATGTCACCTTGGTATACTACCTCTCGGATGTAGGAAAAATGGAAAGGCTTTCCTACGAACCAGTGGAGGAATCGAGAAGCGTCATCGCAGCTATTCTCTATATCTTCAATCAAACCAAGAAGGACGCAAAAACACGATATACTCGCTCACGGGATGTCATATCAATGATCGCCAGGATCAAGGAGGTAACCAAAGGCTTTCATCGTCGTTTCAAAGACCTTAAAGTGGCAAGATCGACAGCAGAGGCTGTTCAGGGACAGCAGACTCGGGGATTACGCCAGGAGGAAGTCGACCGAAGAGGTGAGGATGAGCTCAAGCTGAAGGAATGGAGACACCGTTGGACTGTGCTCCATGATCAAAGACTTGGTGCGGCAATGGAGGGTCGTACCTTCCTGAGCGGCGAACAAAGCCGTCACCTGCGACAGATTCCTCTCGACGATCCGTATGTCGCTGCTCGTTATTGGGACGATACGGACAGCTTCTATCTGGTAGAAGGTCTCGAAAAGTTCAAAGGTGTGCTTCGCTTCGTTTGTGCTCTCCATCTACACTGCTGACCGATTCAGGGCCGAATGTGTATCGAGAGATCTTCCGCAAATATTGTCGGCATGGAGGACCCCTCCAGCAATTTAACGTAGCAGAGATAGTCGACAAGGCAGTGTCGTTGAAAGCGGCAGTTATAAAGTTAGCTGAAGACGATGATGAGGAGCCGGAACAATGGGTCAAGGATGTATTTGATCCGAGATTACCTCCTCAAAGGCTGGGTCGGGACGAACGTCGCGATCAAGATTGATGAACGGTTGATATTGCTGGTCCAATACGACAAGGATCTTTTGCTTCTCTATTATTTCCATTAACTCTGCATTCCCCATCTAAGTCCTCCGTAGTCACGGGCTTCCATCTTGTTGCTGGGATACCTCTTCACTGTCCCGTGTGCGTTGTTGACATGGTCACCCTGACTATAGACATTGGCAGCTCATACTCGCTCAAACAATGGTGTTTGCCTCTTCATATAGTCATCGAGAGCATCAATAGATTACTTTTATTGGTATGAGTATGCTTATCAAAAGCTAATGTGGTTACATCTATATCTATATCCTGTTGGATCTAGTTCCAGGCGAGGACCGTAAAGCTCTGACAGGACCATACGACCTTTGCGACCAAAATCATTTTGTACTTTCAGGTTATTTTCATGAGAGAGGCTGGCAATTGACAGATGCATTACTAGATCGTCTATGGATGGAACCACGAAAGCAGGAACATTTACATTGAGAGACATCGCAAGCGCATCACCATCCTTGCATCTCTGTCAACTTGACCCGCAAGCCATTCTTGGGTCGAGAAGTGATACCACTCTTGACTTCCAGAACATAATCCTTATCCTCAAACTCCGTCTCAAACTTGCCACACCAGGCTGCAACAAGACAAGCAAACTCGGCATTGGCGAATCCTTGACCGATGCATGATCGTGGCCCGTGGAGGAACGTCATGAAGCTGTAGTTGGACTCTGCACCACCGTTTTTGTTGCTGACACCATCTGTCAACCAGCGCTCTGGCTTAAACTCCATGGCATCGTCACCCCAAAGGTGTTTGCTGCAGTTAATTGCTAATGGAGCGAGGACTACGAGCGTTCCCTTGGGAATGGGATGGCCATTAATTGTCTCATCTCGGGCAGCAACTCTCATGGTCAAGGCCACAGGAGCCCAGAGACGAAGAGTCTCTTTGCAAAACGCTTGAAGATAGTGGCAGTTGTCAATGTCGCTGGCGGTGATTTGTGCTTGCGGGTCGCGTACCGAGGGTAGCTTGGAATGTATCTCTTCGCGTAAACGTGCCTGTACGTCAGGATGGCGACACATCATATAGACGGCCCATTGCAATGATGAGCTTGTAGTCTCATGTCCTGCAGCGCTGATATTGGAGTCAGTATACTGAACGAAAAAAGATCAGCGCCAGAAAGACTTACAGGAAAGTCATCATCTGGCTGACAAGGTTCTCGTCATCGAAGCTTCCACTTCTCAAAGCCACACTGAGGATATCGGTTTCATCTGCAGCACCCTTGTCCATACGAGTCTTCTTTGCGGCGATCAAGTCGCGACATGTCTGTTTGATAAGCGCGGATCCTTCTGCGATCTCATCGTTGCGCTTGAGCGGCAGACTCCTAAGGAACCAGCGGGGCAAAAACATGCCAGCGACTTGCAGGTATCTGGCGGACTTGGGTGGGTGAAAGATGGTCTTGTAGGTCTTGTTCAGTTCATTGTCTGGGTTTTTAAGAGCCTCAAAATCACGGCCCATGCCAGCAACTCCGATGATGTCTAGAGTAGCCCGGCTGCTCCAGTCACCAACTTCGACGACATTGGCAGTGACACCATCCTGCAGGGACGAGTCTTGCATAGCGATAGATATTCTTTCGACCATTTCCTTTGACTTGGCCCAGAAGACAGGATAGAGGTCTTTGACATGTCTGTACGAGAATGCGGGCATGAGATTCTTGCGCTGAACTCTATGTTCGTCGCCTTCCGCGAACAACAATCCGATGCCTAGAATACGGCCGATAATGTCAAGGAAATGTGCTGGCTTGATGAACTCATAGTTCTTGCTTGAGAGAACCTCAGCAAGAGTCTTTGGGCTGGTCAAGAACACCCTCTCGGAGTTGAACCAATTGGTATAGCGAATAAGACCATCGTTCGGGATTGTATCTATCCATTCACGCATCGGATGACCTGATGGCTGTGCCATTATCGTGAATGCATGACCATTCCACCAACTGGCCCCAGGAGGCTCAGGAAGGTCCCTCAAAGGACTGAAGAAGTTCGGGTATATAACCACACGCCATGTTGCCCACGCGATGAACTCTGTGAAGGCGATGAGGAAGAAGGTTTGAAGACGCGAGCCAGGAGCGTAGGCAGGTGTATAGTGCACCAGCAGTGTTGACGCTACTGCCGAACTGACCAGGATCGGAAGCTTCGGCGGCATGTTCGCTCAGGAGATGGATACCCTAGGTGCCTGGAAATTACTTTGAACAGTTGACCCAGAGTGTCACAGCATGAGCGTGATGACCAAACGCGCAATGCCTGACCGGCCATGGGTTTGCCACTTTGGGTAAAGGCACCTGATTTACCGGCTTGGCACTGGTCTTGTCTGTTGCCTTCTTCCTTTAGCTGGTTACCTTCAATAGTCACATATCTCGGCCATGTCTCGGGCGCATCCAAAAATTGGAGTCTTTCCGCGCGTTTATGTTCGATGACGAGTTTTGGGGTCAGTAACTAATACAGTTATTCAGATTTATGCTCACCATGGCCGATGTCCTCGCAAACGATTGATTTCTAAGCATGATCGTGCTTGACGGGTTTCTTAATTCTAGGGCCAATAATTATTGTTGGCAGTATATAACGTAGCAAAGGTTCCCACTTAGAAAACGCAACTTCGCCATTTATACAGCAATTCTACATCATGCCTGAAGCAGTCTCTCACCACAACATTGTCGAGAACGTCGTTGGCGAATCTCGTCACGTCAACCGTGCCGCTCCCGGTGTATGTCATGATTGAAATCAGAATATCAAAACTCCAACCATACTGAACATGTGAACAGGTTCCATACTTTACCCCTCTTCAATCTCCTCCCGCTGGTGCAGCTTTCGTTCGTGAAGATGGCAAAACAGTGCCTAAGCTGTTCCAGCCTCTGAAGCTCCGTGGCCTGACTCTTCCTAACCGCATCTTCTTGTCTCCTCTCTGCCAGTACTCAGCAGAGGACGGCCATTACACAAAATGGGTTGGTGTCATAGTAACGTGTATAGAGCCACGCTGACAGTGACAAAAGCACATGGCTCATATCGGCGGGATTGTTTCGCGCGGTCCAGGAATGACCATCATCGAAGCCACGGCCGTCACTCCTGTAAGCTGTGAAAACAACATGACTTGAATCTACAGTGGCAGTTGAGCTGATAGTACGGAAGGAAGGTAGAATCACCCCCGAGGATGTCGGTCTTTGGAAGGACAGCCAAATGGCTCCTTTGAAGGAAGTTGTCGACTTTGCCCACAGTCAGGTGAGTTGTTTTCAGTATCAACCGTGTCCAAAATACTGAGTTGCGTGGTCAGAACCAACTCATCGCCATCCAACTCGCACACGCAGGTCGTAAGGCGAGCTGTGTGGCTCCCTGGTTGAGCGCAGCTGCTGTTGCACCAAAGGAGCAGAACGGATGGCCAGACAATGTCCTTGCACCTTCTGCTATCCCCTGGAACGAGCACCACGCAAACCCTCGTGCTATGACCCTTGAGGACATTGAAAGTTTCAAGAAGTCTTATGCCGATGCAGTCCGTCGTGCTCTGAAGGTCGGCTTTGACGCGATCGAGATCCACGCTGCGCATGGCTACCTGCTATGCTCGTTCTTGTCGCCCACTTCGAACCAGCGTACTGACAAGTATGGTGGAAGCTTCGAGAACAGAACTAGATTGCTTCTCGAGACTGTCGACCTCGTTAGAGAAATCATCCCCGAGACCATGCCCCTCTTTGTCAGAGTCAGCGGAACCGAATGGCTTGAGGAGGTCGCAGAGATCAAGGAGAGCTGGACTTCGGAGCAGACCGTTGAGCTTGGAAAGATCCTTGCTGAGCGTGGCGTTGACTTGATGGATATCAGCTCTGGTGGTAACCACCCCAAGCAGCACCCTCACGCAGCTCCTGGATACCAAGCACCTCTCAGTAAGGCAGTCAAGAAGGCAGTCGGTGACAAGATGGCTGTCAGCGCTGTCGGTAGCATTCACACTGGCAAGTTGGCAAACGAGCTTCTCGAGGAAGGTCTTGACGTTATCATGGTCGGCCGTCTCTTCCAGAAGAACCCTGGTGTCGTCTTCACATTTGCTGAAGAACTCGGCGTTGAAGTCAACATGCCAAACCAGATCAGGTAAGTCTTGATGAACCACAAACATGTACATTTATGTGACAGCCCGCTGACTTGTTGTGTAGATGGGGATGGTCAAAGAGAGGTGCCTCTCAACTCAAGACCCTGCTGGATGCCAACCTTTAAGATATTCCTGATCTAACGCAGACATGTAGATTAGACATTTAGAGAATACAGGTCGGCTCAGAGCATGTATTGTTGGACGGTCAAACCATGCGTTAATGTTAAGAGTATGTGTAACTTGACGGTGTGGCTCAGTCTTGTCAAAGAATATGATGTAAAACATGTTTAGATGTCGATGGATGGCCACAAACTATGAAAGGGTAATTAATCAATCATGGCAGTGGAAAGGAGACTGAAGAGGGTCGCATAGACGCTGGACATGAATTGAAGAGGAAGACGAAGCAGAAGCAAGGAGATTATGCGGATATCATGGCAGAAAGGGTATCGTGCTTTTGGACAAAGGAGAATTGGCGGGGTGGCGGATCCATGGGACGATCAGCGTGGTGCAGAATTCGGGGGATTAAGGTCGACAATAAGTCCACCAGGGTTGAGGCCCTTGACCGAGGCCCAGAGTTCACGGTCTGTAGGCTGGGTAGCAGCAAGCCATGCGTCTTCGTCGACAATTGTGCTGGTGGGCGATGAGGCGCCACTGGAAGAGGGCGGGAAGTGTTTGTTAAGAAGGTATGGATAGTCGCTGGCGAGTTTCGAGTCGTGATGGAGGACGTCGATGAGCTCGCTTCAGACATGTTAGCGTGTGGTTGGACAGAGGGCAGGCAGGACTCGGTGCGCACTTGGATGTCTGGGCACAGATGCGCTCCAGAACTTCGCGCTCCCTTCTCAACTCTTCCGGGTCGGGCTCTGGCAGTGTCGCGCCGGGGGTGACGGTGCCATACTGAGGCTGAGCTGCGTCTTCGTACAGGAGACCTTCGCTCTCGGACGCCTTCACCAAGTCAGCAAGGGGTCGCCTTTGCCATGAGCAGAATGAGCTCACCTCTCGCGCGGCCTGCCGATTAAGGCCGAGACAGCTCGCGCAGATGCCCATGGTCGTTGAAGGCCGCTGTCATCGAGGAATGGACCTCGAACTGACGCTGACGCTGACGCTGATGCTGCTGCTGCTACTGCGGCGGTCACGTCGTGCACATGCATCCACAATTTTATGCACCGCCCGCCAAGCCTCAACCAAGCCTCAACCTCAACCGCTGCTCGTACACATGCCGCGACATGCCCTCTCCATTCCATACTCATCACATACCTCGTCCTCTATATCCGACCACACGTTTAAAGATACGAGCGTCGTGAAACACTAGTTATCTAAACGCTTACTATTCATGCACTTATACCACATCTCTGGTAACCTGACCATCTCCGAGAGGCCAAGTACTGGTCACTCGACCTCCATCGCGCTTCGAGCGCTGCTCTAATTTCTACACACTTTGTCCTGGTCATCTATTTCTTTTCTCTCATCTTCTCATTTCAGATCCATGACTCAAGCATTGAAAGAAATTGTTTCATAATTCAAGCTTAATCCTTCTTGTGCTTGCCCTTGCAGACTGTTGCCTTCATACCTCGCCTTTGGGGAATGTAGACCTGACGTTGCGTGCGCGACAAGACGCGCTCATATCATGCCTCTACCGCATGGGTTTGCCAACTGCAAGGCAGACCCGCCACTAAATCCGTCACTATCTTCGATTTTCATGTGCGAATCTTCTCTCTGCCCACCTATATAGCCCACATCTTCTCCCTTCATGACTAGTATCACACTGCCGTTGGCTGCTTCTTGAACCAGAGTACGGATACCATCCTTCGCTTGGTGTACTCAACATGCGTTCATCCTTTTCCTTCTCAACCTTCGTTTTGAGCTTTGCTCTATTCCAACTTGTCGCCGCGCGAGCCACCACTCAGCAAAAGCGGGCTGAACAGGATACCAGCCCCCATGGAGTAGTCAACTTCATCCGAGACTTGTTTGGTCTGACTGCCCGTCAAGAACAAGTCTGTGTTGAGGATGACATCTACACCCAACTCCAAGCTTATCCCAACGCCAACGACTTCTGCAACCAATTCTTGGATCGTCCTCCCGAAGTCGTCGCCGTTTATACTACCCCCGTCACGTAGGTTTTGGACCCTTCATCACATCGATAACCCGCCTAACCTCCTCAGAACTGTCACCGATACCTATACGACCATCACCAGGACCGCGACCAACACAATTCAAGTTGCCGCCACTGTTGCAGCTGTTGTCACCCCGCAGGCCAAAGCCAAGCGTGATCTTACGAAGAACAGGTTCGAGCCTGGTGCAGTCGCTCGTTATATCAGAGCAGCTGAAGACAATGCCACTACCACTGCCGACTCCTCTTTTATTTTTGCCTTGTCTAGTGCTTGCAGTTGTCAGACTCTCACTGCGTCCACTACTACTGTGACCTATACTGAAGCTGTCTCAGTGAGTCTTCAGAAGGATGGGATTTATGGGTACTCAACTAATCTGTACAGACCTACACTCGGCGTGCTTATGCCAACACAGTTCAGACCGTCGATACGACCATCACAAGCGGAACCGTCACTACTGTTATTGCTAGCTCGCCAACAGTCGTGGCCCCATCGAGCAGTGTCTCTATGGCCGGTCAGGTGCCATCAGCAGACGTGGCGTCGTTGACCAGCATGTCTAGCACTGCAGCCTCACCTACCCCCACCTCTCCCGCCATTGTCTGCCCTAACGACGACAACTCCATCGATAGCCAACTTATCGACGGCCAGCTCTTCCAGTACCTTGTTCAGTGTGATACCGATATTACCGATGACAACTTGGCCCAATACCGTTACCAGACTTTCACCGAATGTGCCGCTGCTTGTGGTAGTGCTAACTATGGCTTCAGCTCAGCCGTCTGCCTGGGTGCCGTCTTCTATCCAGGCGCAGACTCGGGCTCAAACTGCTTTTTGAAGAAGTCTGCCAACTCGACCGTGGTCGCTGGAGGTATCAATGCCGTCATTCTGCAAAGAATCGAAGTTGCGGTAAATGAATCTAGTACCCCCAACGCAGTATATCTTTCCTCTCCAACAGTCTCTAGTATGGATACTTCTTCCATGCTCTCCTCTATCTTCCAGAACAGTACAACATCCATGCCCATCATCACGCCCGCCCCGGCAGTCGGTTTTGCAAGGGTTGCCACGAGTTACTCAACCTATGTGTCTGGAGGAAGCACTTACTCCTCTGCCGAGATTTATTCTACCTATATCTCTGCTAATGGTTCGTGGTACGAATCCTACTATACCACTTACACTGTTGCTTGGGCAGCATCTTCCACTCAGGAGATATCTTACGCAACTTCTTCCTCGTCGGACAGCGGCAGCAATGGCGAATCTTCTGGCAGTACCAGCGGAGGAGATTCTACTAGTGGGTCTATCGGCTCCTCTTCCGGCAATTCGACTGGAATTAGTGGTGGAGAGGGTGGTGCTGCTGGTGGCTCGGCTTCGGGTTCAGGCAGCTCTAGCGGCTACACCATCACTACGACTGTCTACAACAACACCGAGACCAATGGGAGCCAAGAGATCCGCAACGAAACCATCGTGACTACATACACGTGGTCGAACGGCACCATCACGTCATCTTCCACCACCACGATCACACAAACAAACATCGGCTCGTCGTCTGGAGGCACTTCTGGCAGCTCCTCTGGTGAGACGGGTGGTGCATCTGGCTCATCCAGCGGCTCTGCAAGTGGATCAGCTGGCAACTCTAGCGGCTCGACCGGAGGCTCCATTGGAGGAGGAAGTGGCGGAGGCAGTGGAGGTATCATCACAAACGGCACGATCATCGTTACCAACTCTACGACCATCACCAACAACACTATCTCTGTGAATGGAACATCTGGCGGTGCCAATGGGGGCAGCAATGGCGGATCTGGAGGTGGTGCGGCTGGCAATGTCAGCACCGACATCATCGTCTCCACAATCTTCTCAACGGAGGTCTCTACCGTCTATCTCACTGCCTCAACTCCATTCTCAGGCTCCATGTCAAATGCTGGTCGTTCTGGCTCTGAATCTCCTCCAACTTCTACTCCCTTCCCAAGTCTTACGCCATCATTCCCCCTCAACGGAACACTTCCGACTAGCATTCCCATGTACAACATTTCTAGTGGAGTATATGTGCTCCCTTCTACCACGGGATTGCCTAGCGGCTCGCCTCTGCCATCTGCCAATGCCACGACTTCCAGCCCCTTCTCAGTGTCCTCCACAGAAGGAAATCGTTCGGGCTCAGCAAGTCCCCCGACCACTCCATATGGCTTCTCCAATGCTTCGACTCCCGTGGGACCTACCGGTACTGCACCAAGCACATACTCTGGTTCTATACCCAGTATGGAACGCTCTGGCACCCTAGCGCCTCCCACAGGCATCCCTATCAGCAACTCGACTGTGAGCGTTCCCCTGAGTACTGGAGTTCCCAGCCTGAACAAAACCTCCATGGCACCATCTGCTAGCTTCCCCTTCCCCACCACAAACTCGACCTTCCTTCTACCTACCGGAACCGCTCCATCTGCCAGCTTCCCATTCCCAACTGCCAACTCGTCGGTTGTTATAGGTCCTACTGGCACCGGCCTCTCGTCTAGCTTCCCTTTCCCCAGTGCCAACTCCTCGGCTCTAATTGGCACTGGAATTTATTCGAGCGCGACTGGCCTGCGCAGTGGCAGTCTCAGCTCGCCCGGACCTAGTGCCACATTGCCTTCGTCCAAAAACGGTACCTGCACCGATATGCCGCCTGTGACTGTGACCATGTTCTCTACCATCACCGAAGCAGCCACTACTGTGTATGCAACTACCACCTTGCTCGGCTGCTTCTCCAATTGTCCTCCAGCAGGCCAAGGGTATTACGGACCCTTCGGCGGTTTCCCTGAAGCTACTACCCCTGCCCCTACCCCTGTTGTTTAGAAGACACGAATGAAATGTCACGATTGATGGGTGTGGTATTTTCAGTTTGTTACGATCAGGTTTTATGAACCTACGAAAATTCGAGGAGAAGAAGGTGCAGAATCTGAATTTGATTTTGATGTTTGTCGTTTCTTGGCAATCCGAACCAGTAGCCTTAGACAACCTAGTAACATGTTATATAGCAGTTTTAACAACCATCTTGCCGTCACAAGACCCCCAATATCTTACTAAGTCTTTATCACATCACATGACATGACACGCTAGGAATGCTAAAACTCCAACTGCTTTCACTCTTTCTTTTTGTCTCATTTCTCCCAGTCCTCAGCCGCTTTCGTGTAACATACTGCATTGCAGGTGTACACAAAAGGTAGCAGTCGGAGGGCCAATGCCATCAACTACGCTGAGGCACATCATTGGTCAAGGCCTCAGGTACTGTCCCTGCATATACGCAACCGAAGACCCTGCACAAATTGCACAATATGCACAAGTAAGATGTCCGATGCACAAACTTTTAAACGATCATGACTTTCGTGTGCTCGAGGATCTATAGGAGAAGTACTAAGAAAGGAAACAAAGAAAATAAAAGCATCGAGGCTTGCAACCACAACAACGACCAAGGCCCATGAGCCAGAAGACTTGGCTGAACCGAACCAAAGCTTTAGACAATATTTTTCCAATCTGGTAGAAATGAGATCTTGCCGAACAGACAAAGGAAAACCTGGACCATGGATACTGTACTATCAGCGCGACTTTCCAATTGCCTGAGTCTTACGCTGTTTCTCAATCTGCAACTGGTAGATCTCCTGGTCGAGGTCTTTGATGATCTCGTAAGATCTTTCGATGGACGCCTTCAGCTTACTGCCCTCGGATTGCCATCGCTGGATCTTGGCCACTTCTGCAGCACGACGGCGGAGCTTGGTGTCGATTCTCTGGCAGATCTTGCACTTATCGTTGCTCCTGGCTACCGCGTAGACAAGCTTCATGCCGCAAGTCTCTCCGGTGCGGTACTCGCGGTTGCAATGCTGGCGGAAGCGGTCCCACTTCCAGTCGCCGCAGGTCCACATGACTTGGTCGAAGAAACACATATCTGGAAGCAATGGTTCTGGAGATCGTCAGTATGCAGCATTAAATATTCTGGACAGTCTTGGATGCATACTGGTTCTTTGACCTGGACTTCGACGAGAGATGAGTCGATAAAGATTCAAGACGAGCAGCAAGGAAAGAATACGACCGATGGCAGTTGGCCTCAATGGAGGTAGGCGTAGGAGGTTGAAGGTTAAAGGGGGAAAGGTCAAGGATTGAGTGCTCAGATGGTTACAAGGTGTGGAAGACGAGTCAATGCTTGATGGTTCTGTCTTCTGGAGGACCTTGGACCAGCTATTTATGCTTTTCTCAGCAACAACGGGCTTCGACTTGAACCATCCGGCATTGCTTTGCTGTCAAGTACATCTGCAACAGCTCCCACCATTCTGCAAGACCACCTCAGCTGTTCCGCCTTGGACTAGTCAATTAGTCCTGCAATCATGCAACGGGATGCCATTGGAACTAGTCGATCGTCGAGTATGGGTCGAGATGTCACCCCGACCCTCCATCGCTTGCAACAGGATGAGCAGAGATATCACGCCTCCGTACCATCACCAGCGGTGTGGCTTTTTGCTTTGCTCGCCTATTCCTTCTAGCCGATGCTCAATGGCTCAGACTCTAATCTGCTGTCATGCCTTGGGGCGTTCTCAATGTGTTGTCGTGGTAGGGGTCAAGCAGTGGGCCTATGTCCTGAAGCTTCAGGAGGTCATACTGAACTTCTCTCTGATATCACGTGCGCTGCCTCGTCCCTCGAATTCACCTCGCAGTTTGTTTGTTTGTTTGCCTTGGCAAGGATCTCTGTTCATTGGGCAATTATTTTGCTTCCAATCTGGACTCTGCTGCAAACCTTCAAACAGAGGGTCTCTTTGCTCCGGCGGTTTGTCCCGTATGTGTCGGCTTTTCTTGCTCTTTGGTTTGCTTCAATCTCGAGGAAGAGGGGGCGCAAGACGCACATGCTGGTTCGGTACCAGGAGTGCAGGTCATTGAGCTGACTAGCAGGAACGGTAATGATCGGGACATCGGATGGATCGATACAAGGTCCTGCCATAGGTCTTGTCGCTGAGGAATCGACGAGGGAGTTGTGGGCTTGCATGCAGCATTCATTGACTTGGCGAGAGCATGCGCGGGCGGCAAGCATCGGTATCCAGTCAGCTTATCGTCGAGGACTGCGATCGTGTGTGAACATTACCACATGGGTGGAGCATTGCCCACGAACAAGGTTCGTCCGTCTCTGGTCCACGCCTCATGCGTCTCCTCGCTACTCGGATGATCGTCGAGACACATCTCATCCTCCCTGTGCATAGCGTCGGAAGCCACATAACAGGTCAATTTGACGCAGACGGCAGTGATGGGCTGATGGTGCTCGCCTAGGCCTGAGGGAGTACCTTCGTCACCCGTCACCTCAGGCAATCACGGCTGGAGCTGGCCGACGCTAGAACTGAGAGGATGCTCCCTGTCTCCGCCCTCTGACGTGGCAGAAGGACTATGGCGGGCTAATGAAAAAATCATCGTCACTGTCATTTTTTTCTGAGTCGATGAGCAGGCTAAAATGATGATCAGAAAAGCTTCTGGCGGACATAGTATGATGCCGTTCACCACCTCGAGGCGCTTGGTGAGACGATTGACAACAGTCTCTTTGATCAGCATGAGCAAAAGTCTGCTTCAGATGCCATTCATAAGCGACGACAATGCAAAACTTCTATGGATTGTGGATGCTGAATGGCGGGTAAGTTATGCACGCCCAGCAAAAGCCCTGGTGTTCGGACTTTGACTCCTGGACAGCTTTGACAAGTTGACACATACCACGGCCATGCTTAGCCAAGGTATAGCAGGGGATGATCGACTGCCAGCTTTCTTTGAACACCAATATAGGTTTGCACGTTTTGGCCAAAGGCGTCCGAAACATTTGTCGCCCTCTACGCGATTGAGCGCCAAATTTCAAGTTTCAAAATGTTCGAATGCTATTGAGGAGCGAATCACGCAGCGAGGGTCTCTGTTGCGTGAGCATCTCATCGCGGTAACGAAAAACAAAGCAGGTGCGAGTAAGCACAGTCTGGCGAGCAAAAGACAAAGCTCCACGCTACAGTCGACGTCGAAATTTACCTTTCTCAGGCTTTCTGCGCGAGCTTCAGTGCCGAACGAACGAATCGGGTCATGTGAGCGTCAGATGCTGCTTAGTGTCTTCATCTCATAGACCCGGCTTTCTCAATCTGCATCATTGAAAGAGCGGGAGATAGCGGACTGGGTGGCTGGGCTGCGAAGACAGGCGGACCGCTCACAGCGAGGCAAAGTTATGCTACTGCCACTCGGGACATGCACAAGTTTTCCCGGGCGTAGTCCTATTGGTGCAGTGAATGCCAGTCGTAGGACCAATTGTAAACCGCGTAGAGGCCGATCTTGGCGCAGGACGTGGGGACCCTAACCTGAGGCGGCAAAGGAAACACTTCGTATAGTCTCGTTGTATGCATGGATACCTGCAAGGCCTGCATGGAAGACTGGTGACTCAAGGTTCAACCCTGTGGGTTCGTGGCAGGCAGTACGACCCGCTCCAGCCTCCTCAAATCCGAAAAGAGGCAACGACAACGAAGAAGGTCAATGCTGATAGGGCGGCATTTGAAGTAGAGGCAATTTGTAGTGAAGTTATGAAAACAGAAGTAAGTGGGGACAAAATCTTGGAATTGATGTATGGAGAGAGGAGAATGAGGGACGTTCGGGATGCTAGAGAGACGAGAAAAGGCGTGCTCACATTCGTGAACAGCTTGTAATGCATTCAATCGCTGGTTCCAACTTCGACAGAGAATCAATGAGCAAAGGCAGAAATGGATCCTTGTGCGAGCGCGTAGGTATGCATAGAACGATGGAACAACAACAGAAGATGTCACGGGCGGCAAGGCGCGCGCTTGGACCAGCCCCACCACTGCTTCACCGCATCGCGCGCGCTGCTTGCTGCCACTACTCTCTGATCGTCCGAGATATATAACATAGTACCAGCATGGCGTCAACTGTCACGGTCGGGGCCATGTTCCTCACAAAATCTGGTCCAGGTCTCGATGCTCTTCCAGATGAACTTTTGCTCCAAATTCTTGGACATCTTGATTACCCTTTCCTACTGGCTGTCTCTAGAGTGAGATCTTATCAGTCTTTGCTGTGGCTCTTGCTAAAGCATTTCACGACAGGTGTCACACCGACTTCGTTCTGTTTCCCTTGATCGTGTTTTGCATTTGCAGCGTCTGCACAAGTCGTCTGTAGACCTGTCGTTTTTCTTACCAACCCGGCCTTTGCTACGATCCCTCCAGCCTCCTGCTTCGGCAATTTATTTGACTCGCACACATGTCGCTGCACGCCATCTCCATTTCCGCTTACTATCAGCAACTCTCAATCGCTCGTTATCACGGCGACCGTCTGTGACTTCGCTTGTCAACGCTCGAATTCTCCCCAAGGATTGCTGTCGCCGTGATCGTTCAAGTGGAGATATCATCGTCGCGCATTCTGGACTGTTTGAACGCAAGCGCAAGCTTGAGCTAGAGAAATTCAAAGAGGGTATGCGAGCGTGGCTTGAGAAGAAGGCTCGCGCGATCAAGAAGCACAAGTCGCATATAGGGGACGTTGGTATTCTGGTATGGAGGTTTACCAAGAGAAGTAAAGAGAACGATTTCTCACTCAGGAAATCTTCCTCTCATGCAAGCTCAAATACCGATCGTGTTTCGAGCCTTAGACGTTTCTGGGAAGATGTGGGTTCCGGAGAAATATCTGGTCCAAGTCGTTGATGTTGTGTGCTGTTCCGACCTGGTGGTGCATCTGGGCACTTTGCTGGCAGCTGGGACGGATGGAGTGCACGTTTCAGTTCTTGTTATCGATAACAAAAATCGTCATAGAATGTCTCTGTAAACTTGTGGCCGAGCGATTGACTCACAGTGCAGCGAGTAGGTGGTAAATCAGATTCTGCCTAAACAGCAATGGACACGCACAGATGACAATATTGTAGCAAGTTTTGGCTTTAGTCAGAGAGCGAGTAAAGACACGTTTACCGTAGAGCAGCCGCAGCATGAAACAGAAGTGTCAACTGCGGAGAATCGGGAAGCTTCTACGGAAGTCGCCGCGGGAGGAGGATAGGTGTTCATAACGCTCCGAGATGTTGCCAGCTAACAACTTCTTTGGCTTTCTATTAAAGGAGCTTCGTCCATCCGTCACTCCTTTCTGATCCTGCATACAAAGAAGTCCCATCCACAACTTGGACGCTTCTCTCTTGTCATCACAATTCAAAGATGGCGAGACGCACAAGAACCGAGTCACGCTTTGCGTGGTCAACCATCTTCTACCTCCTTCTGGTGCTCCTTGCGCCTATGGTGCTCTTTGGCTCCAATGCCAGAGCTCAGGAGAGCGGCGAAAAGGCCGTCTCTGGCCCCGTCATCGGTATCGATCTTGGAACTACCTACTCTTGTGTTGGTATCATGAAGGGCGGAAAGGTCGAAATTCTGGTCAACGATCAGGGTAACCGTATCACTCCCTCCTACGTCGCCTGGAACGACGAGGAGAGACTTGTCGGAGACGCAGGTAAGCACACATGCGACCAATGCTTTGCACGCAACCGCTGACAATCACCCAGCCAAGAACCAGTACGCATCCAACCCCGAGAGAACCGTCTTCGACATCAAGCGTTTGATCGGTCGCAAGTTCAACGACAAAGACGTTCAGCGTGACATGAAGCACTTCCCCTTCAAGGTTGTCAACAAGAGTGGTCAGCCCAGAGTTCAGGTCGAGGTTCAGGAGTGAGTCGGGCCCTTGTAGCTTTTGTGCCAACAGAGACTGACATGTCATGCGCAGTGGTGAGAAGACTTTCACCCCCGAGGAGGTCAGCTCTATGATCTTGGGCAAGATGAAGGAAGTCGCCGAGTCGTACCTCGGCGAGAAGGTCACCAACGCTGTTGTTACCGTCCCCGCCTACTTCAATGACGCTCAACGTGCCGCCACCAAGGACGCTGGCACCATCGCCGGCCTCAACGTTCTCCGTGTTGTCAACGAACCTACCGCTGCCGCCCTGGCTTACGGACTCGACAAGACCGGCGAGGAACGCCAGATCATTGTTTACGATCTCGGTGGTGGTACTTTCGATGTTTCCATCCTGACTGTCGACGATGGCGTCTTTGAGGTCCAGGCTACTGCTGGTGACACCCATCTTGGTGGTGAGGACTTTGATCAGAGAGTGATGGACTACTTTGTCAAGACCTACAACAAGAAGAACGACGTCGATATCACCAAGAACCTCAAGACCATGGGTAAGCTGAAGCGTGAAGTCGAAAAGGCCAAGCGTACTCTGTCTTCCCAGATGAGCACCCGCATTGAAATCGAGGCCTTCTTCGACGGCAAGGACTTCTCCGAGACTTTGACCCGCGCCAAGTTCGAGGAGCTGAACAACGATCTCTTCAAGAAGACCCTCAAGCCTGTTGAGCAGGTTCTCAAGGACGCCAAGCTCAAGAAGAGCGACATTGACGACATTGTCCTTGTTGGTGGTTCCACTCGTATTCCCAAGGTTCAGACCATGCTCGAGGAGTACTTCGGAAAGAAGGCCAGCAAGGGTATCAACCCTGACGAGGCCGTCGCCTACGGTGCCGCTGTTCAGGGTGGTGTCTTGTCTGGTGAGGCTGAGGCTAGCAGCATTGTCCTTATGGATGTCAATCCTCTTACCCTCGGTATTGAGACCACTGGTGGTGTCATGACCCATTTGATCAAGCGTGGCACTACCATTCCCACCAAGAAGTCCCAGATCTTCTCGACCGCCGCTGACAACCAGCCCGTTGTCTTGATCCAAGTCTTCGAGGGTGAGCGTTCCATGACTAAGGACAACAACCAGCTTGGCAAGTTCGAGCTTACCGGTATTCCTGCCGCTCCTCGTGGTGTTCCTCAGATTGAGGTTTCATTCGAGCTTGACGCCAACGGTATTCTTAAGGTTAGCGCTGGTGACAAGGGCACCGGTAAGAGCGAGAGCATTACCATCACCAACGACAAGGGCCGTCTGAGCGCCGAGGAAATCGAGCGTATGGTCGAGGAGGCCGAGAAGTACGCCGAAGAGGACAAGGCAACTCGTCAACGTATCGAGTCTCGCAATGGTCTGGAGAACTACGCTTTCTCTCTGAAGAACCAGGTCAACGACGAGGATGGTCTCGGTGGCAAGATTGACGAGGATGACAAGGACACTGTGAGTTGACAAAGACAAGCCTTACTGAGAGACTCGTACTAACATGAGCAACAGATTCTTGACGCCGTCAAGCAGGTCCAGGACTGGCTCGACGACAATGCCGCCGATGCTACCGCCGAGGACTTCGATGAGCAGAAGGAGAAGCTCAGCAACGTTGCCTACCCCATCACCAGTAAGCTTTACGGCGGCGCTGGCGGTGCTGGAGGCATGCCCGACTACGATGACGAACCCAGCCACGACGAGCTGTAAAACATAAAATTAGTTTTTGTATTATGGGGTTCGTGAGAGCAGGCATTCAATAGAAACCCAAGTGTTCAATTCAGCTTTTATCTTCATTTCACTCAAAAGGCCAATCTCTCAAGCCAACTTGACACAAATCAGTCGGAACCGCTAAACATGCGGTACATAGTGTGATGTCAGGGTCTGAGCCGGATTCATGTCATCATCTATACAGGTAATGCTCCTCGAAACGTGTTGCAAGGTAACCTGTCTTTCGAAACACATCGGGAACACGACAGAATCAAAGTCCAGAAGAATAGAAGGTGGAGATGAAATTGCTACATTGGGAGTCGTGAGCAGGGTTTCGGAGTCTTGATGGTGTGAAGCAACAGGGGCACGTGTTTCAGTCTGAGGGAAGCCAAACGCGGAAGGCCTCTGAGTACTGGACGACGTTTGGCGCGGGCTGGTAGAGCCCCTGGCCTTCGTTTCGCGGCGCCTGTTCGAACTCTGCCTCTTGGCTCGCCGTACAAGTGCGCATCGGTCGTCCACTTGCGCAAGCGCCCAATTCCCTGCAAGTATCGTTATCGCTTTGTGCAACAGTCAAAGGAGAGAGTCGCCTCCGACGACCTCCCTGTTCAAGACGTCTTTGTCGCAACGAGCTCTTCGTTGTTCTGTCGACAAAGACTCTCAGCCCTGAAGACAAACGGTCTGGCCGTTGCAGAAGCTTGTGCATTCCTTACAATACCTGTCCCAGCCATTCATGGCCTTGCGCTCCCTATTCTAGACTGATCGCACTCCTTTCTATTCACTCGTTTTTCTTCTTCTCAATATCACACACGCGCACGACATCTGCTGGCAGATATCGCGCTCTCAATAGCGCAGACAACGAAAAGTAGCCATCACAAGCAATCAACGGCTCAAAACGCCATTAATCGATCGCAGCTGGACTGACGATAACCCCTTTCCTTTCGCATACCAATCTTTAATCCGAAAAGTCCGAAAATGGGATGTTCGGGTGACAGGGAAAAGGGCCACCTGGATGAGTCGCAGAAATGGGACTACGTGGTAAGTGTATTGACCTGATTGACCTAACTACTGTGTGCGACATCCATGCTGACGTGACAATATGTAGACTCTGTCCGACTTTCGTGCTTCGGGTGCATTGACTTATGTATCCTACGGATGGCTCTGGATAATGGCTCTGGTAGCAGTTGCTGTGTATGGCGCCGACACTTTCACCGCCGTCAATCTTCTCGCATACGACAAATGGTCTTCTCAGATTGAGCCCAGTATTCCTCTGAAGTACTCGAAATGGATCTTTGCGGCGTGTATCATGTTCTCATGGGCCCTCTGCATATTCGAATGGGTGCGCGCCGTTCGCGTGATCCGCAGGGGCAGTGTTGCCGAGAGCTACATGGATTCGGTCGCCGCCACACTCCAGTCGATGCGACCCAAGGGCTGGAAACGCTTCCTTGTATTTGCTGAATTGACCAAGAGTAAGAAGGGAGTCGACTACATCGCGCTGTTCGTCTACTTCGCTTTCAAAGGTGCCGTACGCATCATATTGGCCGAGGGTCCTCGCCAGGTCGTCAACGCCATCACCCTCTACTCGTTCATGCAATCAGACCTCATCCCCACCGGCGATCACGCTGCGACTGCAGATCACTCTTCATTCGAACAATTCTGGATCAATGTGGAAACACTGGCCGAGTCAAATCGCGAACAGGCTGTTGTTCTCTTCACCATGCTCTTCACCCTCGTCATCTGGGTCATCTCCGCCCTTTGCCTGATCATTGCTGTCGTGCTCTATCTGGTCTTCTTGTGGCACTACATACCTCAAAAAGATGGTCGTTTGAGCAACTACTGTCGAAGGAAGATTGACAACAGGCTCGAGAAGGTTGTGGGCCAGAAGGTCAAGCAAGCGCTGGAAGAGCAAGAGAAGCAGCAGGCACAGAGCGAGGCCAAAGCAGCAAGAAAAGCCAATCAACTTCCGACCAGACCGCAGACCAACCGAAAACCGACCTTGCCTCAAGTTGCTGCACAGACACCCGACCTTGTCTCGAAGAGCGACTTTGGTCGTCAGAGACAGAACACCCAAGACCGTCCTGCTCTGCCTCCCTTGCGCACTTTCACCGCCCCTGAACCAGCATTGCGTCGCGAACAAACGCCGCTCAGCCTCAACGCAACACAACCTCCTGCTCGTACTCACACAGCACCACCGATGGCAATGCACCGCCAGCCATCCTCTTCCGAACTCAATGCTGACAGACGTCCGCACATGCCTTATCGTTCAGACACCGAAGCATCTCTCGCGTCTAACGCTACTTATGCTTCGGATGCTTCCTTACTTGGAAATGCCAACGACATGGGTTACAGTGACAGCGTAGAGTACTATCCCACACAACCGAGGCCTACGTTCGACAGGTCAACATCTTATGCTTCCAGGCCAACACCGTCATCGTTCGACAATCAATCTGAATACGCAAATCAACCATACCCAGGTAGAAGCGCAATCGTCGGCTCACAACGATCTTACGCATGGGAACAAGATAATCTCGATGAGCATCTTGAATATGAACGAGACATGACTCCGGAGCTTTTGGACTACCCGCCTACTAGATACATGTCACCCTATTCGCAACCCGTGCCCACACACCAAGATGGTATGGGGTATGATGACTCGGAAAGCACTATATTGCCACGGCAAAGACTGCAACAAAACTTCCAAAGGTCGTACACCCCATTGACAGGCTCTAACAATGGTTTGAGCTTTGCGTCGCGTCATATACCTGAACCCGAGTCCCAAAGCTTCGAGATGCAACCACGCAAAGCCGCAACACCAGAGCCCTTCGAGCAACAGCTGCCGCCTCAACAGCACTCGGCTTCTGCAGCATCTGAGGGCTATGTTGCTTTCAATCCATCGTTCACACTTGCAGCTGCCGCACCCTCATTTACACCACCAGAACGCAGTATCACAAACCCCCCAGAGATCACAAGATCTACAGTGGCAGCCGGACCACAGCGTAGCGCTACAGCTCCTCCTGAAGCATACGATGGGTTGATTGATGAGTATCGCGTTCGACCCCAAGACGATCATCGTCAGATGCCAGGCAGAAGCGCAATAGCGACTCCCAGTCAACGACCCGTAGCTCCTATGAGGAGCGCCTCGATTGCTTCCTACCAAGCGTACCAGGTTCAAGGCAGAAGTGCGTCCACTGTTCCTCTTCAACCGCTACATGAGGTGCCAGTCAGAAGCGCAACATCAGTCCCCAGCCAAAGACCTGTAGTTCCCATTAGGAGCGCAACCGCTGTCCCCCACCAGCCATATGAAGTACCTGGCAGAAGCGCTACCGCTGCCCCGAGCCAACACTACCACACACATGGGTGGTGATGAAAATGACCCTTAAAGAAACACTTTTTTATGTCATGTCCTCTTTGTTCATATCCCGTTCCTCATGGCCGACTTTTTCTCTTTTACTTGATGTGTTACAACCCCCTTTTGATACCCTTTTCTTCGTGCATAGGAAACGATCGTAACGAATCGTTTTATTAGCTAGACATACAAGAACTACTCTTTTAGACCACATTCACTTTTAAATTGTCCTGTGCCACAAGCATTATTACTTTGACGAAACCCGTGGCGAACAAAGCCGCTTTGGCTACATAGAACTTGGACGATAGAGAAGGCGATTGAGAATTTTTGGCAAGCCTATGTTGAAGGCAACTTTTGAACAATGGTATTTCTACATCAGTGATATTTCATGCAACAAGAATCAAAAGATCTAGAACTCGTTCTCATCGCTTCCAGCAATGATGACATTGTTGACCTTGAGCACCATACGGCAAAGTTGTGTAGCCAGGAGAAGTTGCTGTCTCTTGGAGATCAGAGGGTCAATGACAAAGTTCTCTCTCATGTCTGCGTAAAAGTCAGTAATTGTAAGTCTACCACGTTGATCTGGAAAAGTCTTACCATTAGTGCCGGTCTGCATACAGTCGACACCCAACCTTGAGTTGCCCTCCTTTGCCTGTCGGCTCTTGATCTGGGCCAATGTCTCGATGGGGCTGAGACCGGAGTTCTCGGCAAGTGCCATGGGTACACTGTCCAAAGCGTCTGCGAAGGCGCGCATAGCATATTGCTCAAGGCCAGGAGACTTGACAGCAGCGTCTTCGACGGCCAGCGAGCAGGCAATTTCTGCGGCACCACCACCGTACACGATTCTGTTGTCGCGAACCAAGTTGCGGACGACGCAGAGCGCATCGTGTAGCGAACGCTTGGCCTCGTCGATGATCATCTTGTTGCTACCACGCACAAACACGGTGACGGCTCTGCTGTTGGCGCACTCCTCAATGACGAGCATCTTTTCTCTAGTGGTACCGAAGGTCATTTCTCTGACAACACCGGCAGTTCCAAGCTTGTCGGCGCTGAGGTCCTCGAATCTTGGTACTATCCTTCCGTTTGTGGCAATGGCGATCAATTCAATCTCGGGACCACCAACCCATCGCACGGCAGGGAGCTTGTTTGTGAGCAGCAGGTGGTTGGCCTCGTCGTCGAAACCCCATTGACAGATGACAACGTTTGCGCCAGTGTCCTTGATTTGTTGGATCATTTCGGCGAACTTCTCGCTTTCGTAGTTTTGCAGGCGCTTGAACTCCTCGACCGAGGTGATGTCGAGCTTGTGCTTGGTCTTGGGCTTCGGGGGCTCGAAGGCGCAGGTGAGAATGGCCAACTTGGCGTCCTTGACCTCGGAGGGCATTTGCGGGTGTGAGAAGTCCTTGTCAACAATAACACCCTTGACGAGCAATGTGTCTTCGAGACTACCTCCGACCTTTCCGTCAACCTTGATCAGCTCGAAATCGACGTCACGACGCTCGAGATCAGCGACACTCATAACAGCATCGACGGCGATTTGAGCAAATTGATCGTGTGACTTGCTGACAATCTTGCTTCCCAAACTGGTCTTTGCGACCTTGAAGAGGTTCTCGGTGTTGTCCTTGTCGAAGGGCATAGTGTCTGAGATTTGGTCGAGGCGGTTGACGGCAACCTCGCAAGCGGCATCGTAGCCATCGGCAATGCGGATGGGGTGGATACCCTTGTCAATAAGGTCGGCGGCTTGCTCGAGAAGAGCGCCAGCCAGGACAACGACACCAGTGGTGCCGTCACCAATTTCCGAGTCTTGAGATTGAGAGAGGGAGACTAGTAGCTTGGCGACATGGTTGGAAATTTCCATCTGGATAGCAGGTCAGAAGGGACTTGACAATCGAAGACGGACGTGGATAAGCACCTGAGAAAGGATGGTAGCGCCATCGTTGGTGACAGTGATGTCTCCATCGGGGGAAATAAGAATCTTGTCGAGACCACGAGGACCAAGAGAGGTGCGTACAATACCAGCGACCGTCTTTGCAGCGAGGATGTGTGATTTGACGGCTTCGTTACCGTGTTGTCTCTTCTTCTTGCCCTGGTCTCTTACAATAATGAAGGGACGGCCGTTTTCATCTTTTGCGACCTGGGCTGAGGGGGGCAGCTGCGTCAGTCTTGTTTGGCAGGAGAGATTGGTAAGGCAGATTGGGAAGTACCGTTGGACATATCAAGTTCTGTCAAACATGTCAGCAAGGAGGACAATTAAATTATTTGGAGATTCTGCATACGCATGGCCATGGCGGGCAGTTGTTGCTGCTCCTGAGGAGCGTTGGCGAAGGAAGAAGAAGCCCGGAGGGGTTGCGGGAGAGCAGAGGAAGGAGCGAGTATTGATCTTGTTGCCTTGTTCAGTCGGTGGTTGAGTGATGTCGACCGCTTGCTTGTTGCTGCTGCTGCTCGGCCCTCAGACTTTCGTCGCTCCTTCACTTTCCACCAGACTTTCCCTTTCACTGTTCGGCGGGTCCGTGCGCCGCAGCTTGCTTGCTTCGCTCCTTCCTCCGCACCTTCCAACGCGTGCTTTGCGCCAGCGTCGCGTCTCCCTCCAGCTCTATTTCCACTTCGCCAACAACTTTTGGTCGCATTCGTTATTTTCCTTCCGCGCCGGTCGCATACATCCTAGCACTTCGATCATTCTCAACATGCCTCGTAATCCTATTTTCACAACCCAATGCGTCCTCCATCACTGACCAATTGCAGCCGCTATCTCAGACGACGAAATGTCCGAGCCTCTATCTGCCGATGACGAAGTCTTACCACCCAAGAAGCCCGCTGCAAACAAGTCCGCGAGATCAAGTGCCAAGTCTGCAAAAGAAGAAATCGTCCAAGACGAACATGTCAAGAACGGCGACGTCGAAGCTGAGGACGACGACGATGAAGAAGAGGACACCGACGAATACGTCGTCGAGAAGATCTTGAACCACGCCTTTGACAACGGCAAAGACTGTCTTTATCAAGTCAAGTGGCTTGGCTACGAGCTCAAGGAGGACCTCACCTGGGAGCCTGAGGACAATCTGTAAGCTCTGGCCAACCACCGTTGTCAGTCTGGCACTAATCTTCTTCTTCTAGATCCGGAGCTATGGATGTACTAAGAGCATACTGGGACAAAATAGGCGGCAAGCCTTCAGCGAAACCAAAGACGCCAGCAAAGAAGGGCACAAAGAGAAAGTCAATGGCTCAGGACACGCCAGAAGTCGCTGCCACATCTACCACAAAGAAGCGCGGAAGGAAATCAACCAAGACAGTCGACGCCGACGTCGCCGAAGACAACAACATGTCCTCTTTGCCCGAGGGTTCCTGGGAGGAGCACGTACAGTTGATTGACGCCGTCGAGAAGCCTGACGAGGGCGAACATAAGGGCGTCCTCATGATCTATCTGCTCTGGGAGAATGGCTCCAGAACACAGCACACTGCCGCGCAGTGTAGACAAAAATGCCCTCAGAAGGTAGCTGCTATATCTACCCTAAAGCACATGCCACAACTGCTAACATATAATAGCTTCTCGACTATTACGAGTCCAAGTTGTACGGCAATTCCTCCAAACCCTCCAATCGCCGAAGACGTTCCACTAACAAGGCCTAGGGTCTTCAAGACAAACACAGACGCAGAAGAGTAGTGCTGCTTTTCGTGTCACTCTAGTTTGCCTTCTACACAGCCACTTTTAACGAATCTTGCAGCATGACTGTTTTGCCATCCACAGCGCATGGCACATCAAACATGGTATCGTGTAATTAGAAGAATCGATGCCCCTTTCCACCACTTATCCACTCTGTTTCTAATCTCGTTCTCGTCAAGACTCAGTTCAATGATTCTTGAATGCCCCGCTAACATCGCACGTGACGTGTACCCGAACCAACCGAATAGCCCAGTTTAGGTTTGCTTTTCTACCCGTCTTGACTCTTATCTGCTTCTTTCTCGTGCGCTTTCAATCCTGAAACTGACATTACATTTCAATAACAACCATTAGTACTATCTACAAGAATACCTACTTTCGGTCGGTTCACACCTGATGGTCGGTCGCGCTTCTTCAATTGACCCAAAACGCTTAACGGCTGTACCGAAAGATTATGATCTCGACGAAGATGTTGCTGAGCCTGATGTTTATGCGCCAGATGGCCCACAGACATTGCCTATAGAGGAAGAAGAAAGAACGCTCGCTGGTCAACCACCTCATCAGTTATCTGAAAAGCCCGAACCTGTTTCATGGAAGAGCTTGCCTCGAAAAGATCAACTATTCATCCTCACCATGGCTCGGTTATCAGAACCGCTGACACAAACCTCTCTACAATCCTATATGTTCTATCAACTCCGCTCCTTCTCTCCATCTGCCCCAGACAGCACCATATCTTATCAGGCTGGTATGCTTCAAGCTGCTTTTACAGGAGCCCAATTCTGCACAGCCGTTTTCTGGGGTAGGATGGCCGACTGGGAGCATATGGGTCGCAAAAGAGTTATCCTAGTCGGACTCTTGGGTACTGGAATTGGCGCTCTGGGCTTCGGCTTTAGCAGCAGTTTTGCTGTGGCACTTTTTTGGAGAGCCCTCGGTGGAGCACTCAATGGCAACATCGGCGTGATGAGAACAATGATCTCCGAAATAATTCGCGACAAGAAATACCAATCGAGAGCGTTCCTTCTACTTCCTATGACCTTCAACATAGGTGTTATTATAGGACCTATTCTAGGCGGGCTGTTGGCCGATCCAGCAGGAAATTATCCTTCATCTTTTGGATCAATCGCATGGCTAAAGCAGTGGCCATATGCTCTTCCAAACCTTGTTAGTTCTGTGTTTCTCTTCTTATCGGCAATGGTCGTGCTGCTGGGACTCGAAGAGTCACACGAAATGTTGAGAGATAAGCCAGATCTGGGAATATGGTTCGGACGATGGATCGCAAGGGTTGTGTTCCGACATAGATTCGATCAAAGCTATCAAGCGGTATCCAGTGATGACTTGGATTCTTCGACAATGGAGATGCAATCACCAACCGACGAACCCCCTACGCCGAGGCTACCTCAGGTCAGGAGGAAGTTACCATTCTCACGCATCTGGACCGCCAATGTGCTCTTCACATTCACAGCTCATTTCCTGCTGGCTGGTCACGTAGGCACCTTCAACAGCCTCTGGTTCGTATTCTTGTCAACACCAAGATATGTGCCACATGGTCAGACAAATAATGGGACAGATGCAAACTCAAGTCTAGGCATACCTTCGGACTACAAACCACACCCGCCTTTCAGTTGGACAGGTGGTCTGGCGCTTCCGCCTGCACGCATCGGTTCTGCGTTAGCCATCTTAGGCGTTGTTGGTATATCGCTGCAGTTGCTACTCTACCCTAGACTGTCCTTCCGATTGGGTACAGTGACCTCCTTCCGGCTCTCACTCTGTCTGTTCCCCCTGGCATATTTTCTGGTCCCTTTTCTCTCTCTCGTACCAACAAGCTCTACTCCACCTGCAGCGGCCTCCGGACCGCTGTTGTGGATTTCAATCATCATTGTGCTGTGCATCCAAGTGACTGCGAGGACATTTGCGCTGCCTGCTACGGCGATTCTGATCAACAACGCCTCGCCGCATCCATCCGTTTTGGGAACGGTGCATGGCCTAGGCCAGAGTGCAAGTTCGGCCGCCCGCACTATTGGCCCGCTATTTTTGAGTTATCTCTACGGAGTTGGACTACGACGTGGCGTAGTCGGGCTGTCGTGGTGGTGTATGGCATGTTTCGCGACAGTCGGGGCTGTGGCTGGTCTTTTTGTCAAGGACGGAGATGGGCACGAAATTTGGCTAGAAGGAGAGAAGGAGGAGCAAGAACAAAATAGTTTACCTTGAGCATACCAGAATTTTATTTCTCAGCACATTATGCGACAGCACAAGCAGTCGAAGTGACAAGCAGTCGAAGTAACAAGCAGTCGAAGCACACATTGTTACAAGCAACAGAGCATTCGAAGGCAGGCATCATGTAACTTATCGAGAATTGACGATGCTGCATTAGAATCTCTGTAAACCGATTTGCGTGGCTTGAAGGAACGAGGGCCACTCAAGCCACTATGTCGAGGCCAAGCAATGAGCAGACGTGACATATCCATCCCGCATTAGTGCTTCCCTACTATGGGCATATGCGAGCTCCCTCTGTGACGATGCCAACATTGTTGCCATTCTGTGGACCACATCCTGCGCATAAAGTCGCCGATCATGATTCTCGCGATCAGAGATTCCATCGAGAATCATAAAATCCGTCAAAACCACACGGCTTTTGGCCATTTCTGCCCCCAGTCAAAGAAGTCATGCGCTCGAGCTGAAGGCTAATTTCGTCTTTCTCGCTTAGCTACCACCAACTTTGGTGCCAGGTCTTCGCTTGTATTTACGAGGGTCTGAGAGCCAAGATTTGTTAGCATCTTTGTCAAGTCACGCGATCCAAGGCAAGCTCATGATGGTCAAGCACGAGGACACGAGGTTGGTTGTACTTGCCTTTTCTGCTCATCCGAGTCTTGTCCCGAGTACCTGGTCGTACGTCAGCCCTCATGATCAAAGCGTTTTGTGTCCACCTGGACGTGACAGTGAACTTCTGCAGGTCCCAGCTGGAAAAATGCCACACGGCGCTAGAAGCATCGTATACAAAGGTACGGGGTTTAGGCTTTCACACCAGTGCGCGGGGAAACCTGGAGATTGCCTGAAACCATGGGGTTGTGGTCATACGCCAGAAACGTCATTGCCGATGCGAAGAAACAGCCGCCAATTTTGCCGCATCGACGATGCTGAGGTGAGGTGGAATTCGATGGAAAGATCGAGGACGTGATGGGGGGCAATGATGAAGAAATCGTCTTACCTTTGCCTCCTTCCCAGAATCCATGGCCTACCCTCGCAATGAGGCTAGAGCGGCAGAAATGACAGTCATCCTAGCAGGTAAGATAGCAGTTAGCATGTTGCTGGTATAGGAAACACCCTAGTCACAAACCGGTCTATAGTTTTGTTCTCTGGAACAATAGCCACAAATCATGCGGTTAGCATGTTCATTCGGATGGCTCTCCATCTCGTCATGGCATCTCTGCGAAAGTTTAGTGATGTCTTCAGTCATCAGGATCTGTTCAACCTACGTCGCACGGGTAGACCTTGCTGCAGCATGAGAATCTAAACCATCGATACGATTTTGCATAGTGCGTGCAACGACCACGTCTGGGCAATTCTTGCCCGGCGACTATGCCCAGATTCTCCTTGACTTTTCTACGTGTGGGCGCGCGACTTGCTCGTACTGCAATCGATCAGCTACGATTTCTGGAGTTTTAAGACATGTACCTACCTGATGCGGCGCTTACGTGCAAGAACTTGGTTTCTGGAATGCGGAAACTCATCTTACGATGGCACTCCCTACAAATTGCCAGAATCGAGTCTCCTCGAACTCCAACAACGCCTGGAGCTGGATAAGATGTGGAGCACTCTGAGCACGTCGGAATGAAATTGCTACAACATTAGTCAGTCATGGTATGCTACATATTTTATGTTGCATACTTGCCTTGGGAGCATGTCAACAACTGTACAACTATCAAGATCCAGATATCCAGCCCTCACTGAGTTCTGATGGATCAAGTCCGCTCGAAAACCTATCGATGTCAGTCATCTTCAAAGATGGAGGTTTGATCGACCTTCGTACCAATTGCAAGGGTGTTGGCACACTTCTTACAAATTTCGTCACGCATACCAGTAACGTCTCCCTTGGTATTGTTTCTCAGCCGCTGAACGTCAAGTAGATCTTTGCAACGTTCGCACTTGACCGTGATGCTGAGCGAGACGAGTTCCAAAAGCTCACAGCCGTATAACTCCAGATTGGGGAATGATAACATAATGCCACGCTCAGCGAGCCCAGACGTATTGGCTGTTGGTTCCTCTGATTGACCGGCATCCTCCTCTTCTGTTTCATCTCCACTGTCGTAAGAGTAAGAATCGTCACTGCTCCAACCATCTGGACCGTCGGTGGTCCATTCAGGAGGTCTTGGAATGACATGGATATGAGCTTTGTCAGAAGCATGGTCAACGACATCACTAGGGAGCTGGGCTGATCTTGGGACTACAATTCCTGCTCTGGGCAGCTCCTCAGGCTTCTCTTGTGCCTCGGGTACATTGGTAGGAACTCTAGCGATGGACATCGTATGCGCATGTTGAGTAAGGTAGTTAATATGAGCAAGCAAGTTTAATCCAGTCTCACTTTTGACTCTTTCTTGAAACGCCTGCTCAAGGACTCTTGCTGCAGCATCGTGGTTTCCATTGACCTCAATTCGAGGCAGATGTAAATTGTAAAGCTGCGGCACAACTAGTCGGATCGACTTCTGGTTCCGTAGAGCTTCCGGTAACATATTCTTCTTCGTAGGTTCGAAGGGGATGGTGAACGATACATCATCGGGAGACTTCATGAAGCCTGGCAGTCGGCCCAATCTAGCAACAAGTTGTCTGGTATCGGTCTGACGCTTCTTTTCAGCTTGCAGCTTCTGTTCGGTAGTGAAAGATGGAGTGTTTTGTGTACTGCGAGTAGTCGGTTCTTGCTGCGGCTTGGGAGCAGGAGCAGCAGGTCGAGGCTGCGTTTGAGGCTCGGCTCTTGGTGTGTTTCGTATGATCTTCACAGTGTCAGCCTTCTCGCCGGAGAGCAACGTCTCGAGTTGTTTGTCGAGACGATTGAAAACGCCGAGAAGGGTCGCGTTCGGTGAATCAACAACAATCTGGTCGAATCCACGTTCAACGTTGAGTTGGAATCCGCGTGGCATCTCCGGGTTGTTTATACGCAAACTTGGGTTGGCTCGCGGATAAGACAATGGTATAGTAAGAGAGCAATCCAGGAAGGGAAGGTCAAATGGAAAGTCGGGGTCGCTAGGAGCCAGTTTGAACTTGAAAAGAGTGGCATCTTCGAGAGTTTCTTCCATGGGAGCAAAGCGACGACGAAGTTGACCCATCTGAAATACTCGTGGATCCTCCTTCTCTGTCTTGGGAGTGGGCCTACTGACCACTTTGGAACGGTCAACCTGAGGCTCATACTGACGTCTGGGAGTGGCAGTATCGCTGCCATCCACACCCGTAGCTTTCTGCTTTGGGACTCGAGGTTTGGTTTCAGAGATTGTTGGTTCTGCTAGTTGTACGTGCGCAAATGAGCATTGGTTACCTGCCTTGCAACCTACTTGCCACAGCTGGTAAGCAAACTATAGATAAAGATCAATCGGACGTTAGATGCATTCCCATGGTCCTTGAAGTAGCCAGTCAGGTACCTTTTGTCAGATAAATGGACCAGCATTCCTTCACAGCACACTGGCCAAAGCAGCGCTTTGGTTGTCGAGAAGAAATTGAAGAAACGATATGCGACTAACCTCTTTTCGAGTTGAAATAACGACACACTTGTTTCTTCTTCTGACCTGCATGTGGTTGATTTGGCACACTTACCCCAGTCTGAGGTTCAGTTGCCAGCACTGCATCTGCGAAGAACTGTGAGCAGATGACCATTTCGCTGGTCGCATGGTTCCGTGGAATGCCAGCACATAAAGGTCCGAATCGAACTCACCCGTTTCCTGGCTCCCTTGCACTGCAGCCGAAGGCGGCTCTGTTGTCATTTTCCGCTGTGGCTTTTTTGTACACGAAAATGCCACTGGCGACTGTTTTGTACAAGACTCGCTCGCAAAACCTGATCACGTTCTGCGATTTGAACGTGCTTCTGACCTCTCTGTACAAGGCCGATGGGACTCGTTGTTGTATTGGAAAGGCACGCACAGCTTTGGTTTTAACATGTGATGACGAGCCTGAGATGCTGTCATCCATGAATTATTCATGAGTCATGAGCGAGATGCAGTCTCGACGAATCAAATCGCCTGTATCCTATCCTACTTTCACGGTAATATAGCCTAGAAGGGCAATCCTGCACGAAACGACTACCGGTATAGGCAGCTGCACATCTCGATCATGTCGGGCCTATATTGATGTGGGACGTGGCTGCATTCAACAATCGCCTGTGTCCCAATTAGCGATCCATCGACAAATGTCGAGGTTGAGAACCGCCGAGAATATCACAACGTGTAAATATGGTTGGGGGTCGTCCCGACAGTTCCGTTTTTACTTACAGACATATGGATCTACTACGCATCATGAATCAATTGGCAAAAACAGAACAAGCCGTTGAGCTCAGGCTCGTCGAGATCTTTTAATGCTCACAACACACGTCATTGTAGCAGTTTCGGCGCGCTCCTCCAGAGTCTCCACAGCTTGGTTCTAAAGTCGCGTCAAACATGATTAAGTTAACGAGAACGAAAAATTGCCTTTGTCTGATTTGTATTGTTGTACGGTAAGGTCAGAGATGCCTGCGTTCAGAGCCTGCATTCACTCTATTCATAGTGGGATCGAAGAAGCGGTGAAAAGGTACATAGCTTGAGTCGCACACTGCTTTTGCGTCTGACACAGCACTCAGAAGTGCCGCCAACGACGGCACAACTGCAGGATCGTGATCACAAGGACTGGAAGCTTTGCAACTTTTGAATTTCCTCGGCGCATCGGCCCTTCCATACGAATGTAGAGCCTATGTATATCGTACAACGATGTTTTGATGTCAGCTCAGCCGCCGCCGCCTGCAAACGTGTGGCCCCTGACAGCATTCGGCCCGAGAGCAAACTAAGCAGTCTGTTGACGCAAAAGACTGGACAATAAGCATTGTAAAGCAGGTAAGAAAGGAATAGGAAAAGAGGACCACACGTTGGTATCGAAAACAAAAAACAATTCTTTTCTGTTGGCAATTGCCAGAGAATAATGCCGTGACCGCATGAAAATAGAATCCAAAAACCCACGCGATGCCTGCTCGCTGATGCAAAAGAAGAGAGAAACTAAGAACGATGCATGTCGCTAAAATGCAGTAGCAATGAAACAAGTAAGGCTTGAAGAAGAGAAGACAGTTTACCAGCCTTTGGCGTGGTACTCCTGAAGCCCCTGGTTAAAGTATTCGTTGGAGAACTTCTTTTTGTCGTTCTCCTTAACCGACATGACCATCTGTGGCTCAGGGTGCTGTTTGAGATTTTTAATGTCGTGAGAGGTGTGTCTACGCTTCATGGCGGCTAAGTTGTTGGAGCTCTTGTGTTGACGTTCCCAGAGAAGGTTCTTTCGTAGCGACTCTGTCAGTTCGGTGGAAAGCATGTTTCGTCTAGTGGTTCGTGGTGAAAGAGCAGGTTGATGTGTGTTTGAGGTCGTCATGATTATTGGTCGTGGTTGCGAGGATTCTGAGGTCTCTTGAGCGTGCTGAGAGAGCTGCGACGGATGCGAGGTGATATCCGGGCCAGAACGCTCGACCTCCCGACGATGTGGTGATGGAGTGGCTGAGGGTCCGTTGGGCGAAGCACCGCGCGAACGTCGAAGAGCAGGAGTAGAGCGCGACGCAGCGCTTGCCATGGCGCGTGCACGATCCGGTTCGTGCATCATGGTTGTTAGCAAAGAGCGACGCGAGATCAGGTTGGGCTGCGAGTCCACTCGACGGAACATGCTCTTGTTTTCGTCGGCTGAAGAGTTACCACTCTCACCAACATCATCATCCTCCCAGTCAGATGAGTCTTCGTCCTCCTCAATGACACTCTCGAAAGCATCATCGTCATCCTCATCATCGGACTCTTCAAATACAGGACTGTCGGTGATGGCTCTATCCTGGATTATATCCCTAAAGGATGCGTGCTTCTTTGGTGGCTGCGAAATGCCGGTCGATAACGAGCCGACGCTGTTGCGTCCCATGTGGCTGTCAAGAGAACTCTCTTCTTCACCGGAAGAGGCACCGAGGGTGAAGGTTGCGCCCTTCTTTTGGCGGTTGAGGCGGTCCGGGCGGTACTGAGGCGAGGTCTTGAGAATGGGCGTCGGTTGAGTTGCAGCGAGGTTTGTTTGAGAGCGGTAAGACGAAGGCACCTCGGGTCTGAAGCCTCGCACGATGTTGTGGGTGCTCATCTCGGTGGACGAGCTTTCGGAAGACGATGCGATGGCCTGGGAGTCGGTACTACTGACAGTAGAGGTAGACGATTCCAAATGACTAGGTGCGGCGATGGTAGGGATGGGAGTGGCGGCAGGCTTTTCGGAAACTGATGCAGGCGAAGGTGCCGGCGCAGATTTCGTTGGGTTCGTGGCGGTAGGTGTTTGGCGATCATCAGAAGGTGTCGGGCTCGGCAGAGCAGGCGAAGGCATGGATAAAGCTGATAGCGGTTCAAGACTCTTCTTTTCCTTGATGGAAATGACCATCTTCTCGAGGTCAATAGGCGTGATGTGGTTTTGTTGGCGGCCTCGGCTACGATGCTCAGAGGACTCGCTCCTTCTCAACTCGGGTCTCACAACAGGGGAAGGCAGCAGTGACGACACGTCTTCTTCGTCCGACTCGTCCGACGACGACACGCTGCTCGAAAGGGCGGGCAGAGGAATGTTCTTCCGCGCGCGCGGCATGCGGGAACACACGAATGTCTCGCGGTTCCATAGACGCCAGCTGAGATTTTCAAGTCGCTTACCATCCTCCATTGCGTCTGAGATTTTGTTAAAAACTGTACCGACGACGAATCTTGTCAGCAACAATCGACAGGGGGATGAAACGTTGGCTGCAGTAGTACCTGACCACATTCCAAAGAGGTCCTCGACGGAACGAGTGTCAATGGTATGCATTTTGTCGACGTCAATCATGACTAACGAGTGTTGGGGTCGGAAAGGCATGGCGGTGAGTATAGGGCAGCAGGCGCTGCTGGGCGGAGTAAAAGGTGAGCGAAGGCGAGGTATATGCTAGAGTGTGGAGGCTCTTGGGGCACTCTGTTTGCGGACAATGTGTTGCGTCAGGCGGATCGCCAGAACAGGAAGGGTCCGGAAGTGGAAGGAGCCGGATTGATGGGTAACGCAGTCGATTGCGACAGCATCTAGAGCAATGTCGAGGCAAGAGTTGAGAGCGACGGCAATCCGAGGTACTGGGCAATTGGATCTGACCCAGTTGTGCGGGGTGTGTGTCTAGTTACGTGGGCGCGTTCTGGGGGCGACGAAAGGGACAGAAGGTGGGAGGCCGACTTACTTAACCAATCTCCCGTGCTTTCGTCGTCAAGGAACACTCTTCTTTTTGTGGCTCCCGCTAGATCAGCTGGCGCTGAGCTAACCCGCAAGGTGGCACTTCGGGCTCTCGCAAAAAAACAACTACGCCTCGGTTCGTTCGGAATCTTTGTACCGGCATGCCTGTTCGGGACCACGCCCTCCAGACAGACTACCGCTCGAAGAATGCTACACCCTGCGCTCTCTTGACTGGTGACCGATTCGCTGGCCGATTGAATGCCTGCTTTTGGTTTTGGTTTCATTCACACTCGTGCGCTGGCTGGTCACGTCGCCTTTCTTTTGTAACACCGTTCGCTTCTGTCCAAACATGTACTTTCATCTGGCGCTAGAAGTGTTGGCCGTCCTGGGCATCTTCCAGAATCCAAGATCGCCATTTTAGGGGGTTCTTGCATGCAGCTTGGTCGGTCGGACATGTGCTGCAGCTTTGGGAACACACCCAAGACCCTCTTTCTTCTGTACATGACTCGACGTCCGTTGCTGACGACCTGCACAGTCAGGTCTGCTCACGGTGCCCTGCTCTAGAATACAAAAGCTTGCAACTGTCAGGTGCGACTTCACTTGTCTATTGTCGGTATCGGCAGTCGATAAGACTGTTGTTGGTACTTCGCAGATTTGAAGGCGCCGTTGAAGCCACAACATATCCACGACCACGTGTTGCGCCCATGGCTGTGACTCCTTCCTGACAACCTCATGGCAGGCTTGGGTTTGAGCTGTGGTGACTGGTGAGAGCGGGCCTCTGAATTTTGCACCAAGGTTTTGAAGGCCAGAAAAGTCTGTTCTTTACCGGTGCCTTTGCGGCGGCCTGCAATACGGCCTTTTAACAGGGCCAAGAAGCCCATCCGACGCCGCCTGTTTGATCTCGTCTTGACTTGGCAACCAGGCTAGACCACTTCACAGAGCCTGGCTTCTGTTTGGCAAGTTATCGAAGATTGAAGACCTGGATGCTGTCTCCATTTGGTAGGCCTACAATGACATGTAAGTTACATGATACCTTGTCTACCTCGGAGACTCGGTCGTCCACATGTCAATGAGATGTGCAACCCGGTCTGCTCCGCTATGGGATTCTCATGACTCTTCCCGGTGTGCGGGAAGCTTTGGAGAAAACGCTTGTCAGACCCTTCAAACCCGGGGTGTGCCTGTGACACGAGATGAGATCTTTGTTTGTGGTTGCTGGCGGCAAGAACGCCGCGTTCCTCTTGACCGGGCGCGCACATGGTGACTTTACTGAAAGTTCCGATTTAACGTTTATACAGCAACAGTCGTCGGACCCTTATTCTGTAAATGGCATGAGGGGTAGCCTCCGCTTCCGTTGCGATCTTGGTCAGCAGCTCAGGTTCTCGAGCTAGATCGTCTAGCAAGAGTCTTCCGAACGTTATGAGTAGGGCGTGGAGTCAGTCTAGCTTTTGCTGTCTCTGTACACCTGCTTCCCTGTGCGCGTTCGAAGAAGAACAAGTCCAAAATTGATGACCGCAAATGTGCTGCGGGATAGGGCAAGATCGGCCACTGCTCCGATAGGTTCAGAGTCGGACCGCTGCTTTCGGGACCGAAGTCTCGTCGCATTCACTCAAACAACTCCTTGACCTACGCGTTTGCATCTAGTGTTTGATTCCTCATCTTGGTGAGCTGCCAATGACATCGAAGCGGTGCATGCTCAGCTGGTTCTTCGGTCTCATTCTCCTCCGGAGAAATATTATGCAGACATCAGATGGCTTTAGGCTGAGAGTCGCACATATCTGCCGTCTATAGCCGACTCGGGGCTGCGAGAACAGCGCCACTAAGTTAGTCCACCGCCTGTTACCAGTCACGCGCGTACGGCAAACCGTTCCAACTTCCACGCTGATACATGATAACCAGCAAGGGTTCCCGGGGAGAGAGATCCTAGACTGATCTCGGCTGGGAATAATGGCAGTACTTTACATGACAAGCAAATGACCTGTGCCCAGGACGGGAGCGTGGGGGGGCCATTTCGAGACAGATAATACAGCATGCTCGTTACTCGTATCACTGGTCAAACGTCCAATGGACAATATAGGCAGTTTGTCAGGTCGTGTTTCGTCTCCGTTCGACATGATTGAGTCGGCTGCTTGCTTAGCCATCCTCACGGGCCAATTGTCCTACTGACAATGTTCAGCAGCAGCAAGGGGCCTCTGCTCAATGGTGGCGCCTGTCACGTTCATACGCAGCTTAGAGGCATAAAGAACTGGTGTTCATCTGGTGGCTGGGACATGGAAAGCATCTTGCGTCTTTGTTGCCAAAGAGTTGGAGATTCTGCATGCACAATGTCAAGCATATTCAAATCAGCACCCCAGTATACAAGCTACGTCAAGCATAAAACGCGGTCGACTGGACGCTGTGGCTTTTGAGCATAGATGACTGAAGCTATCCAGGTAACGCGTAGTGATCAAAGTATGCACATGGCTCATTTTTGAAGCACAGTAATCAGTTTGGGTGGAAAGGCTCGGTGGTCTTGGAGGTAAACTTTTGAGCAGGCGCAATGCGTCGTCATGCTCGTGCATTGTCATGGTGAGTGACAGCACGGGCACGGTATCTGGAGCGATGCGAGACAGTATGGGGATGTTTGTGGATGGATGTTGATGGCAGAGGAGGCCTAGTGTCTTTGACAGACACGGGACTGAAGACGCACGTCATTTTGGTTGGCTTGGCATTGGAGTTGGAGAGAGAAATAGCGCAGACTGAGACTGAGACTGAGCCCAAGTCGCGGCACCAGCAAAGCACTTGCTCTCGTGCCAACCACCGTCTTGCTTGCTAGCAGCTCTCCATGTCTCTGGCGCATGGCATCCCACCAGCTGCTGCGCCCAGGCGTGCAGGCCTCATGACTCCGGCAGCTCTGTCAATCGTCAAGCTTCTCGGAGTCTCGCTGATCAACCTGCCTCTGTCGTACGCTGCTCCGCTGTTCTCCAACAAGTCCGACTCGCCCATCTACAGACGCGAAGAGCCCGAGCCTAAGTCGCCCGACGATCCCCAGCTATGGGTCTACCTGGGTGTCGCCATTGCCCTCGTACTCTTGGGAGGTGTCTTTGCTGGCTTGACCATTGCTCTTATGGGCCAGGATGAAATCTACCTGCAGGTCATCGCTACCTCGGGCGAGGGAAGTGAGAAGAAGAGTGCGGCCAAGGTCTTGCGCCTGCTGAAGAAAGGCAAGCATTGGGTGCTTGTCACGCTGCTGCTCAGCAATGTCATCACCAACGAGACTCTGCCCATCGTCCTGGACCGCTCGCTCGGTGGTGGCTGGCCCGCTGTGCTGAGCAGTACCATCCTCATTGGTATGTCCTTTAGTCCTGCCTACTGCTTACAGACACAGACACTAACAAGCTGCAGTCATCTTCGGCGAAGTTGTCCCTCAATCCATCTGTGTCCGTTTCGGTCTTCCCATCGGCGCTGCCATGTCTCCTCTCGTCCTAGGCCTCATGTGGATCATGGCCCCGGTGGCCTGGCCCACTGCCAAACTCCTGGATTGGTTGCTCGGCGAGGACCACGGCACTGTTTACAAGAAGGCAGGCCTCAAGACGCTCGTCACTCTTCACAAAACTCTGGGTACTAGCCCCTCGGATCGCCTGAACGAAGACGAAGTCACCATCATCAGCGCTGTTCTCGACCTCAAGGACAAGCCCGTTGGCGACATCATGACTCCTATGGGTGATGTCTTCACCATGTCGGCTGACACAGTCCTGGACGAGAAGATGATGGACACTATTTTGTCTCAGGGCTACTCCAGGATCCCTATTTACGCCCCCGACAACACCCGTAACTTCATCGGCATGCTACTTGTCAAGATCCTCATCACCTACGACCCTGAGGATGCCCTCCGCGTTCGCGATTTCGCCCTTGCCACCCTTCCTGAGACCAAGCCTGAAACGAGCTGTCTGGACATTGTCAACTTCTTCCAAGAGGGCAAGTCCCACATGGTCCTCGTATCAGACTTTCCTGGTCAAGACAAGGGTGCTCTCGGTGTCGTTACTCTGGAAGATGTTATCGAGGAACTTATTGGAGAGTGAGTGTTGTCTGCTGCATCATTTCTGTCTCCCACTAACGCCATGCAGGGAAATCATTGATGAATCGGATGTATTTGTCGATGTGCACAAGGCGATAAGACGCATCGCACCGGCACCGCGCACTAGATACAACAGGGGCAATCTCGTTGTGGATGCCCCTGCTACCGACGACGACACTGACGTCGACGAGCGTACTCATCTGCTTGGTCACAAGGACTCGAGCAGTCAGAGCCGCAAGTCTTCACTGACCGGCTCCCGCGAGGCTACTCTTCTGCTTCGTAGACGCAGCAGTACAAGCAGTGACAAGAACCGACCATTGCCCATTCGCTCAAATACTGCCGATTTGCGCCAGCACTTGAAACATCTCGGTCCCAGCAATGTTGCAAGCCGTCCAAAGGCCACCAAGTACACTTCTGTGAAGATCAAGCCTGGTGTAGGAACCATTCCTGAGAACCACGTACCTGCACCTGCCTCCACACAAGGACCCGAATCCAGCCAGACAGGTACTCCACAAACGGTTGTCAACGGCAATTCATCCAGACCTGAAGGCGGCATAGGTGCTGGCCTCATCGGCTCAGCTGCTCTTGAAGCTCAAGATGGGGCACACGCTGTCGCTCACGGATATGGTACAATTTCCCCCGGGTCCAAGAATCCCTCTGTCCACGAAGAATCTGAAGTGCAGGCCGAAAACAACTCGACTTCACCCAAGCCCATGACCGCCAGTGAAGCATCTGCTTTTGCTGATGGTCACACTGGAACGAAGCCCGAGAGCAAGGAAAATCATGGCCATGAACAGGAGCAGCAAAATGGTAACCACGAGTCTTCCGAGCAAGAACAACCTGATTTGCCTCAAAAGTTGGTCGTACAAGGAAGCACTTCCCGCCCTATTTCTCGGGATAGAAGAGGCTCAGGATCATCTCACTCCACGTTAGGAGAAATGGAAGATCGACCGGGATACAAGTCTCGTCGTGCAGTTCGATCCGGTAGTATCACTGAGAACATCATTGACGTGAACGGCATGAAGAAGGTTGTTCTGGAAGCAAACAGCTCATCCGACGGAGACGAACAAAAGGCCGCCGAGGCTAGCGATGGCGCAAACGACAAACGTGGCCACGATGAGGACCAAGATGATGCTGGTCACGATGATGCAGGTCACGATGATTCCAAAGGCACCAAAAAGAAGAAGAAGAAGAAGCGAGCAGGCAAGAAATTCCGCAACAAGGGCGACTCCGTCAAGAGTCGTAGTGGCGACAGCACTCCTCTGTTGAGCCAGGGTGATCGTTAAAAGTTGAAGAGACGGGTTTTTCTTTCGTCATGTCGATTGCCGTGCTTTCCTTAACACTGATCATCCAAGCATAGCGGCGTTTCAATGTCTTCGTTTCGCAGATGTATACGTAAAAGGTAGTTTCAAAGTTCATATCCGTGGTTAATAAGGATTACATGGTCGATACTCGAGGTTGCTATGTCCAGCCTCCCCGTGTGCTAAAGTCTGTAACTATAAAAAGGCACAGCTGTTCATAGAAGCAGGGACATAGCCAAAGAGAGCTGTAAAGATTTAGTCTCTCATTAGACGATATCCTGTTTCCTAATAGTATTCCGCGTTCCTATTACTGCATGCGTTACATCCTTTTTTATACGCGGGGAGGGAGTGATATCGTCTGAGGGCATACTTCAGCCTGCCATTGGTTAGATACAACATGTCTGAGGTTGGTATGAACCTCCATCGAGGGTCAAGATTCCATACTCACAAATGACGATACCATTGAGTGAACTAATTCGGCTCTGTCTGTATGAGTATGCAGCCCGACATTCTTATGGTCAAGCTTGAAGGCTAAGAAACACCTCGTAGGGCGCATTGCAGGGGACCGACCCCGCATCCATCAGCCGATAGGGAGGGTTCCGTCTACCTTGATGGCACATGTATACTCCAACTCTACCATTCAAAGGCAAGATGTCAATAGGAGCAGTGATGCGATCCACATGTGTCTCCATCATCAAAGGCCAAAGGTCGCGTCTATACTCTACGCTTCCTCCCAAAGCACGACTCAACACACCAACTGATTTCGAGGCAACCACGCTGCTCAATCACAACTCGAGATCTGCATTAGGCAATAATGAGTTATCCTCCGAAGCGAAGAATGGTACTGCAACGCGATTGAATCTTTTCCAAGCCATCAACTCCGCTCTTTCACATGCACTTCGAACAGATCCTCGGGTTTTACTCTTTGGCGAGGATGTCGCTTTTGGAGGAGTGTTCCGCTGCAGGTACCGGGTCATGTTGATGCATACCTTGCGGTGTAATTGGCTAAGCTGTGTCGTAGTATGAATCTGGCCTCTGAGTTTGGAGACGATAGAGTCTTCAACACGCCCTTGACCGAACAAGGCATCGTCGGTTTTGCGATTGGCGCAGCCTTTGAAGGAATGCGGCCTGTTGCCGAAGTCCAGTTCGCCGACTATGTGTATCCTGCATTTGATCAGTTGGTCAACGAGGCAGCAAAGGCGAGGTTCAGAGCGGGTGTCAATGCCAAAGGACAGAGTTGTGGAGGTCTGGTGGTGCGCATGCCTTGTGGAGGCGTAGGACATGGTTTGTTATGTCAACCATCTTATGAGTCGTCAGGAAAACAGCTAATCAAGTCATAGGTGCTTTGCAAGTAACCTTACGTCAAAGATACCAGCAGGTATGCTGACAGTCGCAGGTACCATTCTCAGTCTCCAGAGTCACTTTTCACACACATACCTGGACTGCGTGTAGTAATACCTCGCGGACCCGCGCAGGCTAAAGGTCTGCTACTTGCAGCCATCGCAAGCAACGATCCTGTTGTTTTCATGGAGCCAAAGATACTCTACCGAGCAGCAGTGGAATATGTACCTGCCGAGGCCTACGAGATTCCCCTAAGTAAAGCAGAGATTGTCAAGCCTGGCAAGGACGTTACGATCATCAGCTACGGGACCCCATTGTACACATGCTCGAATGCAATCGAAAAGGCAGAAGCAGACTTTGGCTGCGAGATCGAGCTCATCGACCTTCGCACCATTTACCCTTGGGACCGACCTACAGTCATTGAGAGTGTCAAGCGAACCGGTAAAGTTATTGTGGTTCATGAAAGTATGACTAACTCTGGAGTTGGTGCCGAAGTGGCAGCAACGATTCAAGAGCAATGCTTCCTGAATCTCGAGGCTCCGGTTGCCAGAATCTGTGGGTGGAGCACACATATGGGTCTCGTCTACGAGGTAAGTCGAATGTCTGGTTATAGTCAACGATACACAGCGCTGACTGCTATAGCGATTCAACATTCCAGATGTTACACGTGAGCAAATGCAGTGATGTGTTTTGATATGATATGCAGCTAACAAGAACAACCAGGAATCTACGATGCCATCAAGACAACACTAGACTATTAATTGGTTCAGTTGTGGGTCCTGCATGATCGGAGAATGGAGATATTCTGTAGTGGCGCAAAGTCATAGGTCGACGCATGGAAAAAAAAAAGCATATTAGGTGTTAGGGTATAGCTGCTCCGTCATCAAATTAATTTGCTTCAAGTCTCTCGACTTCTCAATGTCATGATGGACATATGTGTAGGGGATCAGGAGCGGTTCCACTCGGTTTTGCCCAGGCGGACGATGTCGCTCTGACCAAGAAGCCAGACCTTCTGCTGGACTTTGCCCTCTTGACATTGCAAAGCAGCAGATATAGCAGCCTTTGCAATGACATCGGCGTCCTGAGCCCAAAAGTCCTTGAGCCAGGGCTCGCTGATCTTGCCGGCTAGGGAGGCGATCTTGCGAACAGCGAATTCGGGAGGTCTCGAGTCGTTTCTCTCGCCGACGATCAAGCCAGGACGGAGGATTACAGTGTGTTCAAAACCAAGCTGCTTGACGGCCTCTTCCAATTCACCCTTCATCTTGGGGTATGCGAGAAAGCTTGTCGCATTGGCGCCTCCTGACGAGATCAAAACGTAGGTTGTTGCGCCCTTGGCCTTGGCTTCCTTTGCGAGGTCGAGATTCAAGTCATGGTCGATCTTGCGCTGGTTTGCTACGCCTCCGGCAGCAGCACGGGTTGTTCCTAGAGCGGAGAAGAAGATGGATGAAGCTTGGGGATACAGCGAGGCCCAGGTGGATGAGTCAGACGAGATGAGTGGGTGGACTTTTGCAGAGGTGGTGGGAAGGTCCTTGCGGGCGTATGCATAGAGGCTCGAGACCGAGGGGTGCGACGAGAGGATCGAGTAGATGTTGCCGCCCTTGGATGACCATTTAGCACGTCTTCATCACAGCGCAGTGTACTTGTCTAGTCGGCTTGTAGCAACTGATCCAGGACAGCACTCACAACCAAGCCCGTGCTTCCAGCAAGTGTGCATGTCAGGTCTGCCATTTTTGCGACGCTTGTAACAATGATCAGCGCGTGTGAGAGAGGAGAAGGATGCCAGCCGGCTGTGACGCCGCTGCTGCTGCTGCTGCTGCCCGCCAGACACACGATCCACCGACACACGATCGCTGCGCACGGCCGAAGTTCCTAACTCCGTATATCGGCTGGGCTGCCAGCCTGCGCTGCCCATCTGTCCATCTGCTTGTTATCTGCCTCTATACTCTTTTCAATTGACTTTCACATCTACCCTTGACGCATCTCGGTATCGACATGCTCCTTGTGCCCTCTGCTCACTTGACCGCCAATCCTCACTCATCACTCGACCCAACATCGTCTACCATCGTTTGAGCCCTCCACAAATCCAATACCGATAAACACGCATAATCAAAGAGGTACGCATCTTTTTGTATTTGACATCTTGTAACCCAAAGAACAATGCTTCAATGCCTGATTTCCCAAACCACCCTCATTCTCTTGCATACAACCTTCTCGATCCTTCTTGCAAGCCATCATATCAATGTCCTATGGTTTGCAATGATACACAATAGCAGTCAAACCTTTGCTTGGACGTGTCTAGCCAATTGCTGATCATTTGATAACACGTTCACAGTATTGAGAGACTCGACACCATGTTGAACGTACGAGCCCTCAACAAACTCTTGACCGAAAACGTCGACCACAAAGTCTTCGTGCGGTGGTTGTGAGACTTGTTCCACTTGCAGCATTCAATTGAGACACGTACTTACTGTATATGTAGTATCATGACTCCAAACGGATCACTGATGGCATACACTTTACCTGCCAACATGAAAGAACTTCGCGATCAAGTTGCTCTGGTCTCAATATCCTGGAAAGAACACCTAGAACGCAAAGACAATGAACGATTCGAGCCACAGTATAGCCAAGGTGGCCCCAATGAGCCGTCAAAACGTGTGGTTCGACCGGACGCATTAGAAACGCTCACTGTCGAGTTTGACAATCGCAATTTGATAGTCAAGTACCTGCAGCCCAAACTACTATTGGTACTCGAGGGTGGAGTGCCGCCGGGAAGGAAACGCGAGCTCAAGGTGACAGCAGAGGCACCCGGCGATGCACGGTATCCGCCCGACGACTCTGATCACACTGACACGATGCTCGGATCATCTGTTGGATCAAAAGCGTCGACGACAGTTAGTAGCACGCAACGCCTTAGTGTCCTCCAGATCCAGCGCCGGAAGGTGGAGATTATGGCCGAAACGATCAAACGAGAGCTTTCTGGGTTCGAGGTATGTGAGACATGATGTATGCTGAATTTGCAGTGCAGCTGACGTTATACACAGATGCCTGAGGATCCAACGAACAAGTTCTTCTGATTGCTCCAGGATGAGCAATGGAGGGTGATGTGATTGAAGACAACAGATTCGAGAAGGAGGGATCATTTGGTGTGCTACTTAGATGGCATGTGTTTAACAGTGTGGGCGGCGAGCGAGTTCTTGTTTAATGGCGGTGAATAGCATAGTAATGGGATATGCACAACCCTTTGACAAACATGTGCACAAAATTTGTGCTTGGCATGCCCGATGATGACGTTGGACGTAGCTTTCCCCAGTGACGTTTTGACAGACAAGCAAGCACGTCAAAGCCGAGCTAAGCAACAAAGTGAATTGAGCACGACTTGGTTGACTCGACCTCTTCCTATTCTTCTGCACCAATTCACACCGACCTTGTCAACATCAATCCAGCTTCACGGCCACAGTCTCTAAACAACCATGATCACCGGACCTCTCAGCCGCCGCCTTTTGGCCCAGCAGCCTCGCGTGCTCAGCCAGCGCCCCGTCGCAAGAGTCATCAGCAGACCTCTGTCATACACATGCCAGCTCCAGGCACGCAAGGACGCTCAGAGCAAGGATTCGCTCAAGCCTGAGCCCAACGAGTACAGCAAGAGCGGCTCGGACGATGAGGCAGCTCGCGTCGAGCAGACAGCTTTCGATCCCAACAAGACATCGCCCGAGGAGCAGCACAACTCGGCCGAGAGCGAGTCGGCTCAGGTAAGGCTTGGATGATGAGAGCAGAGCAGGGTGGCGCTAGGACACAGAGCAGCAGAAGCTAACCACTCGTAAGCTTGGACAGGCATCAAACCCACTGAACGTCAGCCCTGCAAACCAGGAAGTCAGCAAGCCCAGAAGTTCGACAGAGGGAGGACACGAGGGCTCGGCAGCTTCATCGAGTGACAGTGCCAGCGACAGGTCCAGAAGCAGCGGCAGCGGCAGCCCCAGCAAGGGCAGTCAGGGCCAGAAATACAGCTCGTAGTTTCAGACGGGCTGCAATAAGTGGTCTAAGCTCGCATGGAGTCGGCATATAGGCACGCATTCGAGTAGCTTGAGAGACAGCACGTTGAGAATACACTGAAACACATGTACGGCTACCTCGTGTACCAGTCTTTGTTTATAAAACACGGCAAACAGGCACAGCTATGCCGGCTATTAATGGTCTGCATACAGTAGTTGGTGCCGTCGTATTGTACGGTTGGATATGCATGGATGGCTAGGAATAGGTGCAGTATTACTAAGGCAGTGCGGGGTTGGTATTATCAGTGCGTCATCAGCGATGCAGCAGTCCGCTCTCTGCGAAAAGTCATGTTCAACCCAGCTGTCCACGCATTTCTCTCCAGACGCTCCTTTGCAACTTTTCGTACACTCGCCGCCGCCATGTCAGACACTTCGACTTACAAGTTCAACCATACCATGCTCCGGGTCAAGGACGTAAGCACAAGACTCTGCCCCACCAATCCATCTCGTTTCTGACAAGACTCGGTATACAGCCTCAGCGGTCCGTCAAGTTCTACGAGCACCTCGGCATGAAGATGGTCAACAAGATGGAGAACCCCGACGCCAAGTTCGATCTCTACTTCATGGCCTACGACGACCCCAAGTCTGTTTCCCACGCCAAGCACTGGTCAGACCGCGAGGGCCTCATTGAATTGACCCACAACTACGGTACCTTTGACCCAATCTGTCTGACCACAACTCAATTGACTCCCGCCAGGCACCGAGAAGGACGACAACTACACAGTCAACAACGGCAATGGCAAGGAGAACCGCGGTTTCGGCCATGTCTGCATCAGCGTCGACAACATTCAGGACGCTTGCAAGCGTATCTCTGATGCCGGTTACTCCTTCCAGAAGCGCCTCGAGGACGGCCGCATGCGTTCCATCGCTTTTGCTCTGGACCCCGACAACTACTGGGTCGAGATCATCTCCCAGAACCCCGTCAGCGAGACCGAGGGCAACAAGACTGACGTCTCCACATACCGCATGAATCACACCATGATCAGAGTCAAGGACGCTCAGAAGTCTCTCAAATTCTACCAAGAAACAATGGGCATGACACTGCAGCGCACTTCGGAGCAAAAAGAGGCTGGCTTCACTCTCTACTTCCTCAGCTACGGTCCCAAGGCTCCTGAGCAGTCTGCAAATGGCGTCAACCCTATTGCTGATCGCGAGGGTATCCTTGAGCTCACATGGAACCATGGCTCCGAGAGCGATGACAGTGTCAAGTACCACAACGGCAACGATGAGCCACAAGGATGTATGTCTCCCATTTCTACCTTAGTTTTCAACCCCGAGTCTATACTGACCCAACTCAAGTCGGCCACATTTGCGTCTCTGTCGACGACCTGGACGCTGCCTGCAAGCGCTTCGAAGACAAGAACGTTGCATGGAAGAAGCGCTTGACAGACGGTAGAATGAAGAACGTTGCCTTTATCCTCGGTAAGCCAATTCCAAAACTCGCTGTACTGGACTCATCACTGACTTGTCAAGACCCCGACAACTACTGGATCGAGGTTATCCAAAACGAGAAGCTCAAGAACAGAGCTAACTGGTAAACTCTTGACCAAATCAACTTTATTGGACGAACGCTGTTGAAAGCGTATAATTGGTACCCTCAGATAGAGTAAAATATCTGATACTTGTAGCGAAGCAACAATAATACATACATTTCCGATCTCCTTGTCGCATACACCACCCTTCGGCACCCTAGACTTTATCCACAGAGGACCACTACCTCGTTAAGCCGTCTCTAGGTACACTACCTGGAGATCATGTGTATTCCGAAACCTGCTTTTGATGCGGTGTGAGCTAATGGACACAGCTCTCGGTTCTCACTTCTTGCGAGGGGCGACCCTGTCGTCAATATATTTAAGCAGCACACGGCACCCCTTCCATACTTTGACATCAAGGTATACTGAGTAGAGCGCTGTTTGGTCGATTCGAGATGGCTTTTTTTTAATCTTTGTTCTTCGTTTTTCATCCACAAGGCTCTGTGGTGACCGTTCGTCCCGACGCCGAGACGGATCAGATTATTGTGGAAGGTCTTCACGTGTATAATCGAACGCAGATGAAGTTGCAATCAGGTATATGAATCACCAAAGCCCAAAGACCGCTCAGCGAAGGATATATCCATGAGAGAGACGGACCTGACTTTTTTGCCGACGATGCATGAGATGTTGGAAATATATGCCAGGGTTATACCACCAGCAACACGATATAAGACCTCGAGAAGCAGGCATCTGGGCGAACAGAAAGTGCACACACTACATCGACTGTTCTCGAACAAGGCAGGTACTAGGAACAATCAAGTAATGAAACGCTTTTGTTCAGCATTGGTCAACTCTATCCGATCATGATCTTAATCTGGATCATTCTCCATCAATTTGTCACTTTTTTATGCCTCATCACCTAGTACAGCCTTTCTGGAGAAGTCGTGGAGAGGAGTGATGTCGGTCCAGTGTTTGAACTGTGATAGAAGATTAGCTGACATGTCTGACATGTCGTGGTAAAAATTTGCTTACCTGGTGGACACCCTGTCCGACAAGAGCCTCGAGGCCGGGGACAGTTTTCCAACCGCTGTTCTCAGCGAGCTGCATCAGCGATGTCACGCGTGGCTTGTAAGCCATCTCCAGAAGAACCTTGGCCTTGTCACCGGGTCCAGGAATGTCACGGGGATTGTTGCCAGCCTCGAACAAGGAGCAAAGTGTCTCGCGCATTGCAGGGTCAATGGGCGAGTCACCAGGGATGGTACCGATAGCCACGACGGGATGTCTTTCAGACGACAGCTTGGACACTTGCTCAGTATCACTCAAAACCTCGATGTTGCACGAGGCGTCGAAAGAATCGGCCAGTGTCTGTAGCTTGCTTGTGTTGCGACCAACCAGATAGATCGGGCTGTAACCCATCTTGTGCAAGGCATAGATAGCGGCACGAGCGGTGCCGCCACCTCCGATAACCATAGCTGCTTCTTTCAAAACACCGTTGTTGCCTTCAGCACCAGCGAACTGCAGTGCAATAGTCATACCCTGCCAGTCTGTGTTGTAGCCAGTCAAGATGGTCTTGCCGTCAGCAGTCTGGGTTGGTACAATGGTGTTGACAGCACCAATGGTCTTGGCGGCCGGGTCGACATGGTCGAGCAATTCCATGACATCCAACTTGAGAGGGATTGTCACACTGCCACCACCAAAGTTGGGGGCACGAATAATCTTCTCAATGTCCTTTGCTACGGTAGTCTCGAACAAGCCATACTCATGCGGGAGTCCCGACTGTGCGAAAAGGGCATTGTGAAGAGCAGGGCTTCTGCTCTGAGAGATAGGCGATCCGAAGAGATAGAACTTCTTAGGTTCAATTTCGCCGATCAAGCTAAGACCACGACGGATGTCGGCAGCTGACAACTGGCCAGGAGCAGCAACGACGGGCAGAGCAGGGGACGAGACAGGAGTCATGAAGCGGTTCGTGATGCGACTGAGCTTACCGTGCTCACCCATGTTAAGAGCGATGAGCGGAATCTCGGGATGAGTCTTTGCAGCCCAAGCCTTGAACTCGGCAAGCGCAAAATTGTCCTCCAACGACTTTGCGGTACCAACAATCTTGATAATGTCACCGTACTCCAGAGCGGCGTTGTAATGTGGCATCCATGCACTGCCTCCGGTAGCCCATGAGAGCTTACCTGCGGGGTCATGATGCGATGCGATGATCTTGCTGTTACGCTTGTTCGAGATGACGAACTCCTTGAGCTCCGGCGAGGAGGTCAGCTCTACATCAACGAAATCACAACCCATGCGAAGTGCGACCCGATAGAGCTTGATTGCCTCTTCATCAGCGCCGTCAGGGAAGCGTCCACTTTGGGCTTTGGTGCGAAGAGTGAAGATGACAGGCAGAGAACTGCCTGATCGCAGAGCCGCAAGTTGTTCGACCAGGAATTCTGGGCTCGGGCGTCCATCAGGTGTGGATGGGTCCTGCAAAAGATCTGCACGGAACTCAATGACATCAACTCCAAATGAAATCTCGTTGAGACGAGACAAGAACGGAGCGACCGTTGGGAGTGTCAGCGAAACAAAGAAGGACTCCTTCTTCCTTCTCATACGCTCCAGAGCACACTCACGGTTGGTGAGTAGTCTCAAGAAGCTACCAAAGTCCTCGATGGTGTTCTTAGCTCTGGCGCCATCCATAGACTCGACTGTCTGACTGTGATAGTGGAAATTGCTGCACTCTTCATACCACGGTTTTCTGCGGAGCCACACACCCATCATGTCTTCGACATAAGCTGGGCGGGTCTTGTCAATCTGCAAGAAGTTCATAACGAGGTTGATGTCTCTGGTCACCAACAGCACATTACCGCCATTCTTGTGGTAAGAAGTGAGGATACCACGAGCTTCGGCTGATTCCACGATACCACCACCGGTAGCAAAGATGTAGCCAGTGGGCTTCTCCTTCATCACAGTCTTGAGAAGAGAGAGTTCAAGCTCGCGGAAACCCTCCCAACCCTTCTCTTTGATGATGTCGGGGATGGTCATAGCAGCAGTCCTCTCCAGCTCAGTGTCAAGATCGATAAGAGGCCAGCCGAGCAGACGGGAAGCCCAACCTCCTGTAGTGGTCTTACCAGCACCCCTCATGCCAATAATGAAGATTGACTTCTGGTTGCTCGAAGCGATCGAATGCCCGACCGAAGAAGAGGTCTTGGGTTCGACGCCCTCCAACTTGACCTTGAAGAGCAGAGACAACTGGTCCCACCACCCGGGCCAAGTCTTGCCAACACATTCTCTTTCCAAGATGAGAGTGGGCTTAGGTGCCATGGTGGACAGGACGGAGAAACTCATGGCGACTCTGTGGTCGTCGTAACAATGGATACCGCCTTGTGCCTCTTGCAGATCGAATCCGCGGCCATCAATCTCGATACCATCATCAAGTTCTCTGCATGTAACACCAAACTTGGCAAGCTCGTCCTTCATTGCCTTGATGCGATTGCACTCCTTGACACGCTGGTTGGCAATACCCAGGATACGAGTAGTAGCGCCATTTGAGTTGGGCTTAGCGACCGCAGCGAGTACGGAAGCGGTAAGGAAAGCATCGGTCATGGTTTCCATATCAACTTCAGGCAATGGCTTGAGCTCGCCGACAGGAGGACCAGTGACTGTGGTGGAGGTTGCCGTCTGTTCGACCTTGCAACCCATTGGTCGTAGCACCTCGACTGCGAAGCGCGCGTCGCCCTGGAGAGAGCTTGAGCCGATGTTGGGGACTGTGCAGGTAGTGCCAGAGATGGCAGCCATTGCAAGAGGGTAAGTAGCAGAACTGGCATCACTCTCGACCTCGTATTCAGCAGGGTTGGTGTAGGCCTTACGAGGGACATGGTAGACATTGGCTTCAGTGCTAGATCTCTCGACTTCAACACCAAACTGAGCCATCATAGCAATGGTCATGTCAATGTATGGTTGGGAGATGACCTTATCGCCGACAAGACGAAGGGTCACAGGGTTCTTGGCATAAGGAGCGCACATCAGAATAGACGAAACATATTGCGAAGACACCTTGGCGGTGAGCTCAATGACACCACCTTCGAAACCGCCGGCAGCGGCGATGCGAAGAGGAAGACTGCGGCTTCCAGGCTTGCCGATGTACTCAATCTCAACACCGTTTGAGCGAAGAGCATCAACGAGAGGTCCTTGAGGTCTTTCCTGCATACGAGCGTTGCCAGTCAGAACGGTATGGTTGACAGAAGAAGGCTTAGCAAGGGAGACGGCAGTGGTCAAGAAGCGAGAGGCAGTACCAGCATTGCCCAAGTAAAGTTCGTCAGAGCTAGCCTTAAGCTCACCACCGTTGCCGGTAAGAACCAGGACACGGCCTTCGTCTTCCCAGGAATAGGTTGCTCCTCCGAGTTTGTTGATAGCTGTAAGCATGACCTGGGTATCATCAGAGTGTAGCAGGTTGGTGATACGGCAAGGACCGGAGCCGAGAGCAGCAAGGAGCAGCACGCGGTTGGAGATACTCTTCGAGCCTGGAGGCTTGCAGGAAATGTTCAAAGAACTGTCGACACCAGGGTGGACGAGCACGCTAGGAGAAAGGATGATGCGGATATCCTTGTCAGCCACGGTGCTGGCCTTGGGTTCGTAGGTCTTGCCGATAGCGGAAAGCAGTACAATCTTCTTTTGACCGCCTGCATTCTTTTTGTCAACAGCCATGATGGAAATCAGGCGGTCGACGGGACAGTGCTTGTTAGCTGTCCTCCTGCGGACGACCTTGTCTTCGAGCGAGGTAGGCAAGCCGTAACTCGAGATGCACTTGGCAAGACGAGCAACAGCACCAGGAGCAAGGACACCCAAGTGGCGGGCCAACTCAGCCTCCTTGACCATTCCGATAGCAACACACTCGCCGTGCAGAATTTGAGGAGTCAAGATGGCCTCAATGGCGTGGCCGATCGAGTGACCAAAGTTCAAGATGTTGCGCAAGCCGCCTTCTCTTTCGTCAGCAGAAACAACCTCGGCCTTGATGCGAGCAGAACCAAGAACAATGCGCTTGAGAATATGGGCAATCTCTGTAAATCTACCCTCGCCCTTCTTGGTCTTGTCATCCAGAACCTTCATGATCAAATCGGCATTCTCTTCCAAAGTAGCGAACTCGGCCTCATCCCAGAAAGCGGCAGTCTTGACAACTTCGGCCATACCGTTAATGACCTCTCTCTTGGGCAAAGTCTCGAGGAACTGGAGATCGATGTAGATGCGCTGAGGCTGCCAGAAAGCACCAACCAGGTTCTTGCCCAGAGGAGTATCAATAGCGGTCTTGCCACCAATCGAAGAATCAACCATGGCCAAAAGTGTGGTAGGGACCTGAACGAAGCGCACTCCACGCATGTATGTAGCGGCGACGAAGCCGATCATGTCGCCAATGACACCTCCACCCAGAGCAATGACAACGCTGTCTCTGGTGACACCTTGCGAAAGCATCCAGTCTTCGACGGCGGCCTTGGTGGATCTGCTCTTGGAGCTCTCGCCAGGAGCAACCTGGTAGGTGAGAAGTCGCGGCGCATTGTCAAGCTTCGAGGTGTGTTCGTTGAAGGCGGCTTCGAAAGCAGGTGTGTAGAGGGCGCCAATGTTGGTATCAGTGATGAGGATATAGGTGCCCGAGGATACGTTCTCCAGCAGGTCAGGTACAACGAAGTTCTTCCAGAGTCCGTAGTCAATGATGATAGATTCCTTGCCCAGAATCGAAACCCGCGTGGGCTTGCTGGCACTTGAGCTGCCCGACATGGTCGACGAATGGGCTCACGGCAGCAGCAACAGCAGCAGCGATGGAGCTCTCAAAAGGTCGGGGCGAGCGGAAACGTCAATTGCACGGTGACTCAAGGCGTCTGGTCTCTGCTACATATGAGCACGCCAGTTCCACCCCACAAGAATGTCCCAAATTTTTGGAATGCCGCAACACCGACATCGGCACACATCGACTGACCATTTTCTACATATCTCACTTTCTTCACGTCAAGCATTCGCTTTTCACAGTCACAATCACACGCAACAGGCACTTGAGGAACAGGCGAACATATAGTGGCAATGTCTACTTAGATAGGGCAACGTTCAAGTACATCCCTTCGAGACAGCACAGGGCTTTCCCCCACTGGCAGCAAGGCCAGTGGATATCTTTCCCTCATAAGCGCCGTTCTCTTTGATCTAGAGTAGAGCAAGAATAGCGACGGTGAAGTGGAAGGCCGAGCAGCAGCAAATGGACTTTTTGAACTTTCGTAGTCGGACTTATTGAAATCCCCCATTTTTTGTTGTATCGACTTTTGTTTCATCAAACCCGCTCTCGCCCCCCTCGTTAATGTGGCATTTACCAGGTGGTCTCAGGGGCGGTCTCGGCGTTGGTCTCGGAGGCCCAGCCCTCGTTACCGGTCTGGACGGGAGCGCTGGAGGCAGCCCAGTCAGCACCCTCAGCATCCCAGCTGGAGTTGGCAGCAGCGCCGGCGGTGCCAGAGGCGGCAGCGAAGGCACCAGCGTTGGCGCCGCTAACCTCCCAGTCGTTGGCGAAACCGCTCTCGACGGCGGCGGCACCGACCTCGTCGGCACCGGCAACCTTGGCCTCATCCTGGTTGGCGGAGTCCTTGTTCTCCTCGGCTTCGGGGTCGCGGTAGAAGTACAAGTCAGTCATGACATCCCACTCGGCCTCACGGCTGGGGAGAGTGCCACGGAGACGGAGGACCTCACGGGCGAGCATCCACCAGACGAGACCGATGGCGTGACGACCCTTGTTGTTGGTGGGGATGGCAACATCGACGTACTCGGTGGGCGAGTCGGAGTCGCAGAGCGAGATGACGGGGATGTTGACGTACGAGGCCTCCTTGATGGCCTGGGCATCAGTGCGGGGGTCGGTGGTGATGATGAGGCGGGGCTCCTTGAACGAGCGGGTGATGTAGTTGGTGAAGTTACCGGGGGTGAAGCGACCGGCAATGGCGGAGGCACCAGTGTGGGCGGCGAACTTCAGGACGGCACGCTGACCGTAGGGACGGGCAGAGATAACGCAAATGTCGGCGGGGTTGTCGATGGCGACGATGATGCGGGCAGCAAGGACGATCTTCTCCCTAAAGGCGCATCCAGGTCAGACAGAGCTCTTTTTTGCGAAATTTCGAGGCTGCGAAAAGTTGCGGTTTGCGCGCTTTCCTGCAGCACCATCACCAAACGCACCAGGTCTTGCCAATGTTGATGACATTGACACCGTCAGGGCGAGTCTTCCAGAGGTAAGGCTCCATGTGCACCTGGAGGTTCTTGGAACCGATGTGGCACTGTTGTCCACATTAGTCGAGGAAGTCGGCATACTGCGCAGTCGCACGAACCTGAGCAGCCAGGAGCATCTCAATGTCTTGGCTGGTAGCAGCCATGGAGGCGGGGGTGTTGGAGGGAGACATCTTGACCGGTATAGTTGTCGACGGGGCTGGTGACAAGAAGGGAGGGAAGGCGCAACACTGCAAAAGATAGAAGCCGCGACTGGCAAGCTGAATTTTGACCGCGCCAAGCTGTGGGCGCGACCACGCTCCTACCGGGATTTAGCCGTAACAGATGCCAGGGTCACCTTGAGACTCTTGCGATGAACATCACATTTTGTGGGAGAAGATTCTTCCAGAGCAAGGCCGTGCAATTGAAATTCGACATAACCGTCCAGTTTGCTTGAAGAGATTGCGATTGTTCAATTCATTGTTCTCGGCTCACATGCAACATCTTGAAGCGTGTGGTAATCTTCGAACCAGCTCTTACCACATGTGAAAATAAATATATTAGCTTCACCATGGGTATCGAAGGATCCTCGGGTCTTATTAATGAGGTTTTCTTTTCCGTGTCTTCTCTCATGCAAATGTGATCGTGATGAAACATGCTTGCAACTCGTTGCTCGGGAGTCTGATAGAGCTTTTGGTGGTTGCGGGAAGTCTGCTTGGCAAGGAAGTCCGCCGATGCATCTCCGTCCAAGCCAAAATCAAAGACCCGGTTGAATGTATACTCAAGTCTCAGCCCACATACAACCATGCCGCCACGAGTTCCTCTGTTTTCGAGCCTAAGAGCTCTGAATGGTATGTTGCATGTCCATAGTTCGCGCTTTGCTAATACCAACCTCTATTGCAGGGCATGGCTATACCGCATCTCCATCAGCGCAGATCTGTCGAACTTTTGCCTCGACATCCGTAGACCAGGCCTCAACCGTCCAGCAGAAGAGACGACACCGCGACCCGTATGCGCTAGCGCAAGCCCGTGCTCGTAAAGCTGCCAACATATCGCGCCAGCAAGTCCTTGAGCAGGAGCGCTCAGCAGCCCTCGGTGATCCCGTACGAGGCATCACCACTCCCTTCGTCCAGTCATTCGAGACGGCCATTCCTTCAACTCCTACCTCTTCCGCCAGCGACACTCATGCTGCCACACGCAATGAATCATCCTCGCCGAACCGATCCCCATCTGGTCCAAACGCCCAGAATGAGGAATACAAGAACTTCTTCCTTACTCAGCGGGAAATCCAGGAGGCCTCCATCCGCAGTGAACAGTTGACTGCTTCCGTCGCCGATCAAGACTTCTTCGAGACCAACGATCCAGAAGAGAAACAACGCAGGGAACAGGAACACCAACAACACGAGCAAGAGCGCAAAGAGAGACACGCCACGGCCACCGAGGCTCTCAACCGTATCGTGTCATTGTCTAACGGCTCGTCCAAGGATCGTCTCCGTGTCAACATTCAACGCTGTGTCGATACTTTCGGTCGCCATCAGACAGACAAGAAACTGCCTCCCAAGCCTCCAGTCGCCGAATCAATCCTTCTGAAGAACCCTAGCGCAGTCACACAGAAAGTCGAGCGCGCTGGCCCTGACACAGGTAGTAGCGAGGTTCAGATCGCCATCTTGACGGCCAAGATCAAGACGCTGGCCGATTTCTTGGAGAGCAGAGGAAGACCTGATAAGATCAACAAGCGCAACCTGACCATCTTGGTCCACAAGAGACAAAAGCTTCTTCAGTATCTCAGGCGAAAGGAAAGAGGTGGGCCAAGATGGCAACACCTGATTGAGACACTCGGCCTGACCGAGGGAACATGGAAGGGTGAGATCAGTCTACGATAGACACTAAAAATCGTGCATTCCAAAACCTATAGCAAATGGGGGTATCTGTAAAATTACTCTGTTCCTGTATATCCAATTTCCTTCCATCATCACAGACGCACTGTTGTCAGACGAGAGACTAATCATCATGTTGTACTCGTATGCACCTCTGAATTCTTAACAGTATAAGTTCACCTTACTCTTCTTCACTCTCTTCGTCGCTGTCTGCACCACCTGGCTGTCCAGATGCCGTGTAGTCGTCCAAGCCTCCTTCCAACTCCAGCAGCATTTGCTTCTCGAGATCGTAATCATCGTCGCCACTGACGGTCGGTCCGCTGATGCTTGGTCGATGCGCCTGCGCGGGACTGGGTAGCTGCAAAGCGTCCACATCACCGTCTTCGTCTGCATCACTCTCCACATGATCGTATTCATTGGCTTCTTCATCAGGATCCATGACAAGTTCATCCTCGTCATAATCTCTTTCTCGATGTTCAGCGAGTGGACTTGGTCGTTGTGGAGCTGGCGAGTTGATGTGACTACCAGCGGGACTACTTGCCGCGCTTCGCAGGCTGCGTGGTCCTTCACCCAATCCATTCGTCAGGGCAAGACCTAGGCTTGATTTTGAATTGTTGGAATGGTATGACATATGCTCCGGCTCATCGCCTTCAAGGATCAAATCTCCGTCATCCTCATCCTCATCATCAAGCGAGAGTTCTTCTGGTTCTCTCTTCTTTGGCGGAGGCTTCGAAGGCAATGCAACCCGCGTCGAAGCACGACGGTCGAGACGAACAGCTGGCACTTGGACTTGAGCCTTGTTGTAGGAGTGTGTTTCTGGAGAGGGCGAGCGTGCCACATCCTTCGAGGCTGGATTAATCTCAGAAGGAACTGGTTTGGTTCGCGGCTTCGGCGGTAGTTTGGCAGTTTTTGGGGCAAAGGCAGAGGTCTGTTTGCGAATGGACTTGGCAATTGGTGTATTTGTTCTTGTCGAGGTTTGAGAGCCTGCTGGGGTGGCTGCCGGTGCAGCCTTTGAGGGAGGAAGGTGAGGGCTGGGCGAGTCTTCAACGTCCAGGTAGTGTCTAAAATCGAAGGGATTGGCAGCATCTGCATCAGCTGGATCTAGCGAAACGCCGCCGTCGTTATCGTCTGCATGCTCGAAGTCTTCTCCGTGCTCGTCGTCGTCGGTGGACAACAACTGCGGATATCGGTCGGCCAGGACTTTCGAGCTCGACTCCCAAGGCGCGCGAGACAGATTCAGAGCGTACGACGAAGCGATCTTTTCTAGCACGAAATCTTTACCATCCTCGTCGAGCAATAGAAGGTATTCATCGTCATCGTGGCGGCGCGTGCCGGTATACTTGTACTCATCGAGGCCGTCTCTCAATGCGAGCGTGACTCGGCCGTCCTCGGCGGCATGGAAAATCGAAGACTCGGCATGTTCAGGATCTGAGAGATCTGGTTTATGATTGTACTGTATACTAGAACACGACGGCAGCTGGCGGCCCAAGCGGATCGTGTAAGGTGCCGTGTTGCGTAGATCGAAAGCAGTCGAGGGCCGTGGAGAGACTGCTGCCGCCATGGTATCTAAACAGCTGGACAAGAGGGCTATGGACAAGCGGGCACACCAGCAAGTCTGTTGACAAAGAGTGGAGGATGGACGTGTGGTCAGGGACAATGGCTGGGTCGGGACCGACACTCCGGTTATTGACTTTCGGCAACTCTCCGATACCAACGGCGTCGCGTGTGTACCCTACAATACTTGTAAGTTGTACCTATTCGCCGGCTTTGGGGGACCTTCAGATTGTATGGGCAGCTCAAGAGACAACTAGACAACGGTGAGAGCAGAAGAAGTCAGAGGCCTGGATAAGGGTTGCTCGCTCTATGGAATTTTCACCAGCAGGAATCGAACAAAGCCAGTGTGCATTCGAGACACGTGCTTTGTGCCAGACATTCGATGAGAGTGCTAAGTCACCTGCATGAGCTTGCCCAAGTTCATGTGCGTTCGAATTTGTGGCCAGCACAAAGTAAACAACAAGTGCCAGGTCGAATGACATGTTCTCGAAGGAAATTGGCCTCGGACGTGTTTCACACAGCAATCTATATAAGGAGACGACCACTTAATTGGGCCATACCGACCAGGCTTCTCCCGCTGTTGTAGGCTTTTGACACACGACGTATGAGTAACAGCACAAGACGGATGTAGAGCCAAATAGGAAACATAAAACGGCAGGCAGACTCGTCTCACGACGATTCTCTGGACCACGCGAGACAGCAAGGTAGAAGTCAGTCTGTGCATACTATGACGTGCAAGGGCTTGGCAGTTGGATGGCTCAGGACACGCGAATAGTTGCAAGTTGACAGCTCTGAGAAAGACTTGTCTTCCTCATCAATTCGCATTCAAACCCACCTGCCAGAGCTTCCCTACTGGCATGTCAATTTTCTGGTGATTCTCGTAGTGTAAGTGAGCACCAATTGCAGCAGCCCTGGCACGCACACTAGCGTTTCGTTTCATAAGATGAAGCGGCTCGTGCAGCATATTTGTCGACCGACGAGTGCAATCAACAGCAACCTTGATTTCGAGACCCTGGCTGAAAGACTCAAAAGACTCCAATGCGGCCAGAAACACATGCTTACCTTTCGGTGCCCATAGCCATGTCGGTAAATCGTTCCAGTAGCCAAGTACGCAACCTGCTCGCCATGTTTGAGAACAACAACTCCAACAACACCACCGCCACAACCGCCGATTCCACCTCGCCTGACCGCGGCCGCTCCAACGGCCACCTGTCTCCAGCATCCAACGTCGACCGTCCTCTATCAAAGGTCCGCTCGAGCTTCGTCTCTGTCGAGCACGGCAGTCCAAGCAGCCCAACCCCTGCCATGGACATCGATCCGCAAAAGACAAAAGACGAGTATCAATCCAGGCAGCAGGAGAGTTCCGCCAGCCTGCGCCGCCACAGCTTCAGTCTGGACGATGGCAGCAATGCTATTACCAACCTCAGGCAGAGTATGACCCAGGAGGAGGAACGCCGGGGCTCAAACCCCATGGTAGCAGAGACAATCCCCGAGGCTGCCATTGAGCAGACCCCCGCCGTCACCACTCCTGCAGTCGAGGCCAAGGACTATATGGCTGCTGGACAAATCGCTCATGGCAACAATGAGATGCCTCAAAGCAAGCTCCGAGATGAGGTTTCGGCCGAAGATGTCGCTGAGCCTGCTACCGCCACTCAGACTTCAGAAATCAAGGCCGCTCAACCCATGACGCTACCTGCTGATGACATGCCTGCCGACAACCCTGACAAGCCGGTTAGGAGCTAGACCTGGTCCCCTTTCTTTCCAGAAGCTAAATCCATGTACAGGTGTCTGGCGTGCAAGAAGAGCCGGGTTCAATGAAGCCTTCTGACCTAACAGATCGTTCCCTTGTTTCGCCTACCCCTGAAGCCAGTGCAGACAACGAGTCGGCGCCGCCTGCAGAGCTTCCCTCGCGCGCCCGTCGCGGCACTGTCACAGCCGTCGATGCCAGCCCTGCCTCTGTGCCTCATAGACCCGCGAACATCGTCGCAACCGAGCCCGAACCATCAGCTGAAGCTCCGCCCAAGACGCCAACTTCTGCAAAGAAATCGCCGGTCCCCACGCCGGTCAAGAAGTCACCAGCAGCCAAACCATCGTCTACGCTCTCGCCCAAGCCGCCAGTTCGAAAGCCTAGCAATTCTTCACTTGCCCAAGCTAAGTCGAAGGCTGACGCTGCTTCTACCAAGACGTGAGACGACACATGCAGTATTCATCTGTGCCAGGTTTGTTAATGCGTCTACCAGGAAATCTCCCCAGTCTAAACCCACTCGTCCTCGATCGCCCACACGACCAATCAAGGTGTCTTCGCATCTCACTGCACCAACTGCCGCCTCAGCAGCAAGACAAGACTCGCAGCCATCCAAGGCTTCAGTGTCTGTCTCCAAACCCGCTGTAGCCAACCGTCCTCAAGCGCGTGCTCCTGCAGCTACTACAAAGCCCGCAGCTCGATCGTCACTTGCGTCAACAGCCAGCGTACCCAAGAAGACCGAGAGTAAACCTGCCAGTGCTCCCAAGGGCCCTGACGACAGTTTCCTTGCGCGAATGATGAGACCAACCGCGAGCTCAGCCAGCAAAGTGCATGACAAGACTGAAGTCAAAAGTCCTCCAAAGCGTACACCTTCTGTAATCAGACCAAAGGCTCCGACCAAACCCAAGACGGCAAAGGTTGAGAAGCCCAAATCATCATCATCTTCGGGCGAGAAGGCGGAACAAGCAGCCGGTGCTTCAACACCACAAGCAGTGTCGGATGATCAGGAGCACGGTAATGCCGAATTGGAAGCCACTCCAGCATTTGACACTGCAACGATTCGTTGAGGGTAGGTGGCGATGCGAGGAGTGAGTGACGATAAGCGAGCGTCTTTGATAGCAACTGCGTGCATTGGAAGTGTGGTTATACAAGCATAGCGCTGTTGGAAAAGGAAGAACAAACACAGAGAGATTAGCATTAGACCAGACCAGCATGGATATCAGACTTTGATAATGTCTGCTATCGTCGTGGATTTTGATCAATCCTGTCGTAATGTCATGACTTTAATTGACCCATGGTTTCTCTGACATGTTGAAGCAGCATGACCGTGTACATCCTTGTTCCTTTTAGCGCAACGAGAGAAGTGAGTCGAAGGAGTTTTCGACTATGGTGTAGTATTTGGCAATGGTTCCGTAAGAGGAAGGTGCCGAGGTGGTGCAAGAGTGGAGGTGGTGACTCTTGTACCTAGACGACTCGGTGGTGCCGTTGTCGCCGCTCATGCTTACCTACGACTTGACCTGATCAATAACAACCATGGCTGAAGACAGCACGGTACCACGGTTGCTCACTTTGCCCGCCGAGCTGATCCAAAATGTGCTTCGCTTTCTCGAGCCGACGTGCCTGGCAGATCTGGCGCTGACCTGCCGCTTTCTTCGTAACCATGCTCTGAGTGATTCCCTGTGGCAACAGCACGTCAACGACCAGATTCCGCACCATTTGACCAGTGCAGCTCCTCTCCCATCATTCCGGGATCTTTACATTGCTCATCACCCTTATTGGTTCCTTTGCCGACACAAAATCTGGTTCTCGGACAGTGAGCCAAACGGCAAGCTGTTGCTTGCTCGTTATGACTCGCGCAGAGGATGTATCGAAGCATATGCCATAGTTGCCGAGCCGGGCGTCCGCAAGTTTGAGCACTGGGAGCACGATGAAGATGTTTTCATTCACACCTTTAACCCCAAAGTCCAATTAGACCTCAATTCACCTGTTTTGAAGCTCGATCCTGGAAACCCACGCACTCAAGCACGTCTTCCTGACCAATATGACGACCAAGGGACCCAGCCTCTTCCCTTGCTGTCCCGTGAGATCATGATGAATTGCTCTGCTCCACCCGGTCTCTACACATCATTCATGCTTGCACGCGACCTTCCCGAGATTGCCATAGGCCCTGGAACAAGAGTCTGGCCGCCATTGAAAATTCCCGCTCTATCACGAACTCGCAACGCTTCTACTCGATCATTTCAAGCACTCGCGCATAGACCCTCAACCCTGGACGAGGTCAGTCAAAACACCTTTCGTTTGCGGAAGTGGGTCGAGTTCTCTGGCCGCCGTCATAGTAGTTCAATAATGGCCTTGGGCGCTGCTGATCGCATTCATACTGCTCTTGGATTTGGTGGTTTCGCTCCAACGCTCATGAACGCTGGTGGTCACGCCATGATGACGGTCCGCATGGGGGAAGAGGTATCCACGTTTGGAACTCTGCCGCCAAGTTGCTATGTTCCTACCAAAGAAAAGCCCTGGCAAGGCATCTGGTGTGGTGATTACAGCGGCCATGGCTGTGAGTTCCTTCTTGTCCTGCAGCCAGAGAAAGGTGAAGAATTGCCCTTGCCGGATAAAATGAACCATATGCTGGAATGGCTGGCTTCTGGTCAGTATCGACGCTACAGCAATGGCTCTGAAAGCAGTAACAGCAGCTACGCGAGTGCACAAGAAGACCAGGAGCCGGAGTCCGGCACGTCTCCCGTTAATGAACTCTTTGTGCCAGCTTCATCAGGTACCACAGGTGGACAGGATATATACAATGGACGTATCGAGGCTATCAAGCTGACGGGCGATCCTAACGTGCCACGCGGTGAATACACCTTCATTGCTCCTGACATAAGTGATGGCGGACTTGTGCGTATAGCAGATGAAGCTGCTTTTTGTGGCGCAAGGGTTGTCAGGAGTGCCGGCCACATTGCTGGAGTAGGTTTTACGGGAGGTAAGAACGTTTTGCTCCCAAATACTCATGGAACAGTGCTAACAGCTCCTATTCGTAGACGAATATATGCCCTCTCAGCTCATCCTCGTATCCCCTGACTGCCTAGCTCAGCACTGGATAGAGTTCGAACATATTTCTTACTACCGACGTGTCGATATTAACAGTCTTCTGCGGATATAGCAGATTGCTGGAAAGAATTAGGTAGATAGCAACCTGACTATCATTCATAACAACCGCGAATCTTGGTTCCTTTTTCAAGCTTTCATTGAAAGGGCAAGAGCCACTTCGATCTAACTGCAAGCAGTAAAAACATGGATGGTTCCTTCCTTGTTCGACGAGAAGTCTCAATTTGCTTCTCGCTCTCAAAAGACTTCTGATATCGTCCATGCTCTGTTCTCTGACCAATTCCTTGACAGTTCTCCCGATACGCGATGTCTTCCTTCATCTCTGTTCGGAATCTACTAAACGCCTTCTCGCTCACCACTGTGTTATCTACCTGAAGATGACATGACCATCAGAGTCTTGCAGCATGACTCGGCCATCAGCCAAGTGAATAACCTTGAGTTTGGCCTTGGTTGCTTTCTTCTGAGCACTGCCAGGGGTACGAGGTGGCATAGTAGCTCTCGCGAACAATGCAGCCCACGCGTACTGAGGACCGGCTGGGCGCATGGTCGCAGGAAAGTCGTCAGAGTTCCACGGTGGGGTGCCGTCGAGGTCCGCATTCAGATGGTATTCCACGCCCAGGGTGTAGCGAAGGCCCTGAATGTCGACAGCGACTCTGGAGAGCAGCTGCATCGTGTAGTAAACAATGATCCAACGTCCGAGACGACCTTCGTGTGTGTCCATCTGTTGGTGCTTGGTCGAGCTCTCGTGGTTCAAGAAGGCTTTGCAGAATGTCGACACTGTTTGATCGAGTTAGCATGCATCCAGATTGCACCGATATCAGATCACTTACACTGCGCCTCAGAGTTGATAGCACGTGTGTAGATGTTGTAAAGGTCTGGAGCCTTCTTACGGTGCTTCTGGACAGCTGGGATGAGAGATGAACGTCTGGCTCCCTTCTCTTCTTCCTGCTCTACGACCATGGTAGGGGAGTAGTCCGGGATCTTGGGAGTGGAGTGTGGCAGGGATTGGAAACCATTCTGGTGGTCCCACGATGCAAGAAGCTGTCTTCTGTCAAGCGCACAGCCTAAGGAACCAACGTGCGCGGGAGTGATCGCTCGACTGTGAATGTCTCTGTCGACAAGTAGATCGTAGAGGTTGCCAAAATCTTGTTGCAAGCGGTGAGCCACCGAACGTGTCAACCAGTGTCCGCTATTCTGGTGTACAGGCGGCGGCCATGTTCCGTAGAGTTGAGCATAGTGCTGTCGAAGGAAGTCTTGAAAGGCCAGGAGCGACTTCTTGACCCCAGCGTGATCTTCGAGTCTAGCCAAAGTATTTGAATTGATGCCAAATACGGCCATGGGCATCTCAGTGGATGAGAGACGGTAGTGCATATGTGTGCAGCTGTGTTCCAGAAGAGCCCGTGTTGTTGGCGAAAGATTGTCCAGGGATTCGTGATCAAGGACTCCACAGTTGAGCATACCTACGCAATGAGCGAAGGTTTCGACAAAAGCTCTGGACCAACGGATCTCTTCCGTCCATGCCAGAAATTTGCCTATATCAGCAGGTCTATTGGTGAAGTTGTCAAGCTTCGATTCCTGCACATAATCGCGGACGAAATCGGCAGCTCTCTCTGGCTGGTGCTGCCACTTGAAGGTATGTTTCACAACGATCTGCAGATCTTCCAGAGCAGACACCAGAGTACATCCGATGAGGGGTCTGCGGATGAGGGTTGCGATAAAGTTGCGAATGGCCAGGTTGTATTTGCCGACCTTCTCCATATCCTGGCCAAGTGGAGGCATTTTGAAGCGGTAGTGCCTACCCTTTTCGCAAACACATTCTACAGCATGGTCAGCGCACCGCCGCTGAGATACATGACGCTGAGATTACCTGAGATCAGCGAGATGAGGTCTTGTGAATTGGTTCCGAGAATAATCCTGCTGTCAAAACAGACATCTTGATTGTCCAGCCTGACTGTGCAGTCGCCTTCGGCATCCCAGAGGTCATCCTTCAAGAAGTTAACAGGGAAGGATGCAAAGCGTAGATGTTTGGTACTTACAAAACCATTATAGCGCTTGACTCCATCTGCTTCACCCTCGAAGACGAGCAGCAGATCTTTAGTCATGCCGTGATTTACAAGAGAGTTGATTGAAGCCATGGCAGAGACCCAAGACTCTGCTGGGACTAGGTCGGTGGCCTTGCGGAGTGCAGGGTGGACCATGATGGCCTCAAAAGAGTCGGCTGTGTTGCTAGTATTTGCCATGGTTGCGTTTGGAATTGTATGGGCGTCTTATCACGCTTATTGCCAGAATAGCTTAGCGTACAAACAAACGCGTGGTGAAGGTAGCGGTAATTGAAATCTTCAATGGTGAAGGTAGCATAATTGAAATCTCCAAACGTGAAATGATTTTGTCGGACAGTAAAGCAAACCATCACTTACGATACAATGACTCTCCAAATACAGCCCTTATACAGAGGCTCTACTGACATGAATCGGATGCCCTACGAATATCGGAAATATTGCCGTCAAATGCACCTAGCAGTACTGCAAAAAGGACGAAGGTATCATCAACAAGGAACTCTTTTGGTAACAAAGCAAGACACGATTTCTTCCTGGTCTGAGTCGTGCAAGTGTGAAATATGGCATTTCGAAAACAAGACAAACATGCACCAGAAAAGGATCTACGATAAAGAAGCTGCTTGCCTTGTAGAAGGGTGGCTTTGGCCGAAGCGTATGCTAGCAACCCATGTATCTGGATGACCGGTCGTGAGAATACCTACTAGATAACTGATGATGGAGCTGAGTGAAGCATGTTGAGTGAAAGAAGATGGTAGGAGCAAATGGCAGTGTGGGAGGTTGTGAAGCAAGGCTAGTGCAGAGTGGCTTTCTGCGATTGGCCAGGCTGAGGCGCGACTTCCTGCTTTTTTCCGTATCCCAACCACCTTCCATGCTTTCACACCCTTGCCAGCCCCGCGTGCTGTCGGGCTTGTCAGATCGCACCAAAAAGGACAAGAGCGATGCAGATGTGTTGGCTGCATAGAATATATTATCCCAGCCTTTGCAATCAAGTTTTTTTGCCCAGTCTCTGATTGCTGCGCGAGTGGTTTCGGTGGTCGTCGTCACCTTGTACAAATACTGACCGTGATCCCCCGTGAGACCAAGCAAGTGATTACTTCACGTACATACTGCGTGATACCTCAGGTCTTGAATTGCAGCCGTGCTGACAAGCTCCTCCTTTGCGAGCTTCCTCTGACTTTCTCCAAACCAGTCCATCGCACTATACCAATCGCGAATATGGCACTATCAGGCTTCCTCTTCCTCTCATTCCGCATTGCGCAGCTACTCACCCTCATCCCAATTGTGGGTATGCTTGCGTGGTTTGTTCATGGTTTCGTCGTCAACAACCAGCTCACACCTACTTACATTCTGTTGCTCTTCATCACATCAGTTCTGGCGGCAGCGTGGACTCTTGCAACACTTGTGACCTACCTGCGCGCTCGACACTCCGCCTTGTTCGTCGCATTAGTCGATCTTGCATTTGTGGGAACCTTGATAGCCGCTGTCTATGAGTTGCGCGCCATCACAAACCAAGACTGCGCTCACTTCAGCAGCGGAAGCATCTACCTCAGCCTGGGTCCCTTTGGCTATTACGGCCGCGAGAGCGGTAGCCAATGGGCGCTCCATATCAACAAGACATGTGCCATGCTCAAGGCCTGCTTCGCTCTCGCCATCATAAATATCATCTTCTTCTTCATCACTTTCGTAAGCTGCTCGTCCGTATACTTACTGCTTAGTAACTACTGACACCTCTCCAGCTTCTTGCCCTTCTGGTTCACAGACACCACCGTGAGCGCGATACCGTCGTCATTAAGAAGGAGTACCACAGCACTCGTCATGGTCAGCGACGTTCCAGCCGTGGTAGCTACGACAGACGCAACTCCCCCCGTCGATCCCACCACAGCAGCAGTAGACGCTATTATGTCTGAACAGCTCGCACGCCCATTGAGTTTGGAGCTATACTGAGGCATACCGACCACGATACGATCGTCGAGCTTTCCTTCTACACGGCCTTTTTCACGACGACACGAATTATCCAACATACCAACCACGGCGTGCATGGAGCATTGAAACATCACCTGCTATCTCTTGCTTCCGTGTCTTATGTAGCTCTTCTTATGAACAGTTGCATATCTCCTTGACTCAAATCAACAAATGTCTCGGTCTCTTTGTGTGTTGTATTGCTACCACCGAGTTTGACAGGAGCTGTCCGAATCAATGTCAATAAGTAACCTTCCCGTGTGCTGTAGATAGTCACAATGTTGCAATGAAGCTCTTCTCCATCCCGAGGTACAGAGACTTTTATAAGCTATCGAGATGCACCGTTTTAGACAGAATGTGAGGCTAGCCATTGAGATAGCCTGTAATGGGATTCTCTTTGTGGAAACCACGTTGTTCTTGAAAGAATTATGCATTTCTATAGCTACACTCTGACTCTCTGTAGCACACGAGGAGGAAGTGATTACCAGCTGAAATTTGATATTTGCACGTTCTTATACAGATCAATAGGACAATTGTAAAATGTTGATTTCGGGTTGTTCATTGTTGCAGTCTTTCGACAGCGTGACTTTTATTGTGACCAAGGACTTTTGATAGTCATACATGAAACAGTCCGTAGGTACATATTATCAGAAAAAAATATCCAAACGCCAATCGCTAAATGCCATAAGAATAATGCGATATGATGACAGCCACCAGACTTTGTTTAATAGACGATGGCAAGCTTCGAGCGAGCGCGCATCAGATGTCCGTACTTGTAGAATACGAAAGGAACCAAAGTAAGCACACAAGCAATGAGCGACAAGATGAGGCCGGCGTACTGGCTGCCGACATTGTGGAAGAATTGGGAAGCGAAAAGAGGAGAGACGGCACCAAGAGTGTTTCTCATGAGACCCTGGCCGGCAATGGCTGAGGATGAGCTCTCTCCGTAACAGTCGGCAGTATAACTGTAGGTCGACTCGAAGATGAAGTAAACACCAAAGGAGATGGGGGCAAGGGCGATGGTAGGACCAACCCAGGACAGATATCCGTACTGAGTGAAACTGTAGATGAAGAGACCAATAGGCATCCAGACGGCTCCCCAAAGGGCAGCCCAGAGACGGTCCTCAGGAACGACCTTGTGGTTGGGGTCCTGAGTGAGTTTGAGGTATCTTCTCATCTGGATGTGATGAGCCAACCAACCGAGGGTAACACCAATACAGAGGGAGATGTAAGGAAGACCTGCAACGCCTTCATTCCAGCCGCGCTTCTCCTGGAAAGTGATAGGGATGACAGACAAGAACAAAAAGACGATGAACCAAGAGAAAGCGATCCAAAGGCCGAACAAGAACACAACAGGCTCAGTAGCCAACATGTAAATAGCCTTGACCGAGGATGCCTTGAGCATAGCCTGGACACTAGGAGTCTCAAAGTCCATGGCGCTCTGGTAACGGTCATCACCAGTAGCCTTGCGGACGGCCTTGGCACGCTTCTGGAGGGCAACACCTCCACGGGTCTCCTTGAAGAAAAGGAAGATGCAGATGAGGAGAGGAATGTTGCTCAATCCCTGGATACCTTCGATCCATCTCCAGCCAATAGTCATATCAATGAAGCCAGCGTAGATAGGAGCGCCAACCGTACCAAGGATGGCAACGTACGAGAACATGGCCATGGGCCTGGCACGTTCGTGCACATCGTACATGTCGCTGAATGTGCCGCCAACGAGAATGGTTCCGACACAACCGAAGAGACCGAGAAGTGTACGCATAACGAGGATAGTGGCAATGTTCTGACCAAGAGCCAGACCGATGAAGCAGAGACAGAAGCAGAGGTATGCTCCAGCGTAGATGATTTTGCGACCGACAAGCTCACAGAAAGGTGCAAGGAAGAGCGGCGCCATGGCACAGGTCATGTTGAACGTGAACAGACCCAATTGACCCATCTCGGTCGAGCGGTGGAACTCTGCAACCATGCTGTTGATACCGGAGCTGTAGGCAGTGGTAGCGAGACCGATGAAGAGGGTCATGAGGTTGAGCTGGGTCGAAATGAAACGTCTCTTCCACTTGCCCCACTTGAAGGGGTTTTCCTTGTCGTCAGGCGCGAACTTGAGCTCGATCAATTGCTTGTCGCCTTGGTTGATAACTTGAGTGCGAGTAAGGGGCAGGTCGACATCGACCTCAGTCAAAGGTCCGTCGAGGTTAAGGTCCTCGTTCTGGCGAAGCTCTTCGAGATGCTTGCCACCACAAAGCCAACCTTGTGAGTGAGGCTCGACGTTGGTCTCTTTCTTGTCGGTAGCATCATCATCGGTGGATCCTGAACGAGGGGACTCGGTGTCCTTTTCCTTATAGTTCTGCTCTGTCCAAGAGGCGGTGGCCGTCGAGGCGTTCCGTGAAGGATTCTGGAGATGTGTAGGTGCAGTATTCATGATGGGAAATGACAAGGTGGATGCAAATGCAAAGTGACCCGGGGAGGGATGGAGCAACTATATACGATGACGGAGAGGTGGCCCACGAAAAAACTCGCCCCGGATGGCCTTGGAAACAAACCCACCGTCTTCTGATCAGACGTACCCACCGAACCGGCGGTGGCACGACAAGCAAATGCCAGTGAGATCACAGTCTCAACCTAAGGTTCCTTCTCGGTGGACGTTGGATGGTCCGCGATGTGACCGACTGACGGACCGAAAACTCAGACTTACTGGTTGAACTGCCTTTAGTCGCTTGAAGCATTTTCATATCTTCATTCCGAGCATATCAAACCGTTTGCGTGACCTAACTGCGCCATTCTCAATCTCTATATTACCACTGGCGAAATACTGATGGCAATTCAAGGATTTCTGACGCCCTTTCAGATGAGCTTTGTGGTTGGAAAAAGGTGTTCGGATCTGGAACCTGGACTTCACGGGCCGTGATCCGCCAAGAAATGCAAATATGCTATCTTCGAACCTAGAATATGACGTCGAGCCCTTTTCTCTTCGCCCCAACAGACAAAAGATTGTTTGCGTTGTCTACCTTCTTGCCGAGCAACCGACTCGTCTGACGTGCGACACCTCTGCACCATAGAATTCAAACAGCGCATCTGACATTTGTTTGCACCAGAATCTAGGGCTGGGCAGTGCAGGCCCGCACTATTGGGTTGTCCGGCTGCCGAGTCTTCCTTCCATTGCATGCCGGTGGCATCCTCGCATTCTGTTGGACCTCATGGTAGAAAGTGACATGGAGCTGGACCTCACAGCATGAAGATCTGTTGTGATTATCTCGAATGACGCAGATGCTGCTTGTTGTCAGATAGTGCATGGAGTAGAATCGTGCAGAGAACTGGAGTGCCAATTTTATGGTTTTGTGTTTGGTCCAGCAACTACTGATGTTAACTGATTTGCTCAGTTTTCTAGGAAACGTACATAACATACGGAGTCAGCAGCATCTCGACAGGGGCTGAGAGGCTCTCAATTTCTGCCTCTAAGTTTACCGGGATCGGGCAGAGTTGTACTTCATCCATCTGAGATGATTGTCTACTTATCACAATGGGCATAATAGCTTGCTCGAGGCTTCTCGCATGAAAGGTAGGGAGGGGACTGGCTTCTTCATGCGCTATCGAGAGATGCGGTAGTTCAGGCAATAATACAGCGTCAACTAAGGTAAGGGCTTGGTACTCGTAGTCGCTCAGATGCTCAAACGTCCCTCTCAAGGTTGATGCGTTGAGAAGTTGCAAAAGACTTGCTACAAGTACATCTCCCCTGCCGATCGTTGTCGTGCCGCTTCGGCATTGGAACGTCTAAACTTTCAAGGTAATAGCATTATTGATTATTGTGCTGGCCGAATTTTCTATCTCGCGGTCTTTATCACGACTCACGCACGAGCGATGAGATGCGAGCGCTTTCGGCAACGTCTTGCTGGTGAATCGAGCATTTAGCGAAACACGGTGCCTCGATTGGTAGCCTCTTCTCGTTCGCGAGCAAACTATTTCCCACAGAAACCAAGATGGGGACCGAAGGACGACCGGCCCCGGGTTTCCAATGACGACTGAATCCCTCGACCAAACACAAAGCATACTGTTGACATGCATACACCGCAACTTAGCTATCTTGAACAGTTCTGCTCAGGGTTTCGGATGGTTGTTAGTGCCGACAACGCGGCATTGGTTCGAGAGGCATTCTTGTCACTGTAGACGACATCTCGTGATGCATCGGCTCATGTCATGTAAAAGTTGAGAGCGAATCAGGTTGACTGTTATCCTATGCAGTAGTCACGACTCACGAGGATCCAATATGGATTATCGGAATCCGCCCGCGGCAATGACGGCGGCGGCGCAGGGAACGTGCTCGGGTGACGCTACAGTACTCCAATCTTAAAGGTCATGAATGACAGAGTCTGTCAAATTAAGCTCAGCTACATGAGTCGTTGTCACTGTTTCGGCAGCCTCCTCAACGGAGACAATAATGTCGTCTCCAAACATAACACTGAACAACTTGGGACTTCCAATCGTGTAGAGCGGGGTAATACTCCGTACTGTAGATTTGGTATCGCTTGCACTTGCCTTCCTGAATGTCGGACAATCTACGCTCGTGTCCGCTGGTTTCAGAAGTCACATCTGGAGTTTGAAATCAGACACATGACCGATAGCTTCTCAATCTTGATATTGCTCCAATGCAAAGCATTATCTTATGGCTTGACGCACATCTAATTGCTTACAACACTCGTTTGCACTGATCAACAAGCTTGGAATGAAGACCTGCTTGCTTCTTGAGGATGCTTCCTGCGGATTGCTATGTTCTGAGATGTGGGAAAATTCAAGACAGGGTTACCTATTCAGCATGACCAAGCCATATCTTACACGCATGTTGATGCAGCATACTTCCTGCTCAAGAGCTCCTCGAAAGGCCTAAGCAACTCAGTACATATTGAGGGATGAAGAGATATATTAGGGAGTATTTTATCGACATCTATATGTGTCATAATCGTCGCCAGGGTTACTGAGGCAAGAATAAGTCTAAGAAAGAAGAAGAAAAAAAAAAAGAGAAAAAAACCGATGGTCAAGAACAAAATGTCCAGAAGACCAGACATATATCAAATGACCGAGCCGGCATCATCTCCGCCATGGCCGGCCTCCCTTCTGGCCGCTCCATCCTCCAGATCCTCTGCCGTTTTGCCAGTTCTGCCAATTTTGGCCCCAGCTCTGTGTCTGGGCAGGTTGGGCCGGCGCGGCTGCCTGAGATGTAGTTATTCCAGTCTCAACCGGAGGATTGGGATTGTTCGAGTAGTACGCTGCAACTGCACTGACGATCTGGGACTGTTCGTTGTATGCGCCCAAGCTGCCAAGGTAGTTGATTCTGCTTTGTACCTGATCATCCGAATAGGCATCGGCGGACCAATCCTGTGCTACGAACCGTGGGTCGTCAGGATTATCAAGAGACTCAACATTATCGTAACCCAGGGTTTCGAGCCTGGTGACATTGAACGAGGCCATCATCATGGAGTCTTCGTGGCGAAGGTTGTGGCAGTGGAACATGTAAAGTCCATTCCAACTGCTTCAGGTCAGCACAGGATCCTGTCCAACGGACATAGGGTTAGACTTACGGGCCATAGTGTGCCTCGATATCCACGGTTTCGCCAGGTTCAAGAAGGACAATATCTTTCAAACCTGCAGATTCGTACGGAAGAACACCGCGGCTACCACCAGTTCGAGAAAGGACCTGTGCACGTTTAGTCTTTGATTGTGCATTTCAGAATCAATTCGTGACCGACCTTGAAGTCCACAAGGTGAACATGAATTGGATGATAGCCCGGACCTCCAGCATAGACCAATCTCCACCGTTGTGTCGAGCCCTGAGGCGGTCTCGCAAGTATGCGGTTGTTGACATCGTTGAAGTCGACTCCGTTGATCGTCCAAACATTATCTTGGGCAGGTCAGTAAGTACTTCTCGAAGTTGAGGACAATGCTAGACATACCGCCACCTCTTTGGAATCGGAAAGTATGATCAACTTGATCTCTCTCCTCTGGCCAATTGATGTTGGGATTCAGAGTGCTAGGAACATCGTTTGACGACCAATCGCTCACAGAGTCGCCAACGACGAAAGACATGGCGAGATCCATGTTGGCGTACTGAGGGTATCCTGGCCCTTCAAGGTTGAATGCATTTTTCAGGGTCAAGTTCTGATTGGCGAATGCTGAGAAGTCTACAACAATCTCATAGCGTTCGGCCATTCCCATTACGACGTTGTTGGAATTGACAGGAGAGCCAAACAATCCAGAATCAGAAGCGATGACTTGGAAATCAAGCCAATCGCCGTTCGACTGCTCCACGTGAAGATCGTAAGGTCTACTTGTGGCAATGTTGTAAAGACGTAGTCTGTACTTTCTGGGCTCAACCTCAAGGTATGGCCAAGGCTGGCCGTTGACTTCCATAATGTCGCCGATAAAGTCATCAGACTGATTAGCAACAGAGACAAGATCACCCGAATCGGTGTACATTTTGTCAGTGATCATTAGAGGGACATCATATTTGCTCGTGGGAAGACCCAATTTGTCTTCTTCCGGATCGTAGATGATATATGTGCCCGTTAGACCTCTGAAACAGTTCAGTGTCGTGATGCCGTCGGCATGGTCGTGGTACCAAATGGAACGAGCGTTTTGACTGTTAGAAGAGAAAAGTTAGCATGGCACCCAGGCATACATCACCCACAGGCATACATACTCATTTGGATAGTAGTAGTCTTTGAATTGACCGTATTTAATCTCATCACTTGGCCAGCCATCCCATGGTGAATGTGTGCTTGAGCCGTGAAGATGGACAACCGAATCATCAGTGTGGTTATTGTGGTAGCGAATGATTGTCTGCGTGCCCTTTTGGACATAGTAAGTCGGACCTGGTACAACACCATTGAAACCTACGAGGTTGGCGGGCCCCAAATCAGGATAAATCTGCTTCTGGAATGGCTCGATGGTAACCTCGTAGAAGTCTATTTGTTGACCATTGACATTGGCAGAGCTGAGAAGGATTTAGCCTGAGGACTCTGCCACACAGTAGCTGAGCTTCTCACCTTGCCGGAGTTGCGATTGGTGCCAAAGGCAAAGGATTTTGGAAGATGGCGCTGTACGTCGGACTACCGGCCAAAGCAAGAGGGACCGAAGCAAGACTAGCAACCCATAGAAGCGTGCGTGATGCCATTGTGTCTATACTTTGAGAATGAAATACAGAAATTTGACAAGCGAAAGACTGCGCAAGCTGCGCGATTGGGATTTGACGGAACCAGAGAGGACAGTGTATTGGACAGGTCTGCAGCAAGCTCTGCCTTTATGGGGACTTGCCTTGCCTCCCTGCATGGTCTTCTACCTCGAACACTTGCTAAGTTGCTCATGACGGTTGAAGAAATTCAAGTTCACCCATGTTTAGCAGGCATCCATTATCCTACGAATATGCATGTGTTGCTGTGGCAAGCATGCGGCTCCACGGCGATTATTACCACTTCGAGCAAGATGCACCGGACGTTTTGGGGATCCGAAGGGCTGTCATTGGGTGTTGACGTTTATTCAAGAGCAAAATCGCGACGACTTGCAGAAAGATCGACTCTCGGCAATCGCCGCGCATCTCAATTGGCTGTATTGCTGAATCTCGTCCGAAGCTTAATCAGACCTTGCAGCGGCTTGATGCATATCGATCGCTAAACCACGCTCTGCTACGACGCCAAGTTTTGAGACTTCCAACTGCTATAGCATACATACAATTGTGATGCTCGCCGGTTCTTGGTCCAGACAATGGTGCGACTGGCCCTTGGCCGAGTGCAAGAACATCTCACCAGTCTGATCCATTGCATATACTTCAATCGTCCAGGTCCGTGGCTGTCGGCACGCCTCATCCTTCGCTTTCATGCTCAATCGAGACTATGATCTGATCCACTGCCATGATTTTCCCAACGCAAGCCGCTGCACGGCACCCCGGCAGCACGGCACATTCTACATGATTTCGTGATTAGGCCGGCTACCAACCCTTGAAATGTGGCAGTTTACATCGGTAGACACCTGTTTCACATTTATGCTAAAGTCGGTTCTTGCTCTCCTCAAGCTGGTCGAAGCCAGAAATCAAGCAGAAGACACGGTCACCCCGTTAGGAAAGCACACTCCTGACCATATCACAGCTACAGATGAACACGGCCCTGTTTCTCGAGAGGAGCACAGTCTTAGTCACAGAGCATGTGGCAAGCCCTCAAGCTTCCTAGCCCTTGTCATTGACGGCGGACGGGCTAATGCTAATAAAGAGATACGAGTATATGCATCCACCACACCCTCTGCCTATTTCCTTTTTCCCTCCAAGACCCGGTCCGACACATGAAACTTATCTGTTAAGTAAAAGCAGTCTGATTGTGCAGATGGAGGGTGTGTTGAAAGCCGTGAGTGTGATCACTACATCTCTCAAATTCAATGATTTGTGTACACTTGTAGTCAGACCTCGATTGTTTACGGTATGAACAATAATATCCTGGAGATATGCATGCAATACTGCGATATTTATGGTCCTGCTTTGCCTTTTGTCCAAATTATGGCATCTGACAGGCCATGCACAGTAATGCCATCCTCTACGTTCGGCTCTTCGGACCACTCTCCACCTCTCAGAAGGTGGTAGAACTCACCTCTCTTGCGCAGCAATCCTTCGTAGCTTCCTTGCTCAATGACCTTTCCTTGAGAAAGCATTATGATATTCTTTGCAATGCTCATCATGTCTTTGCTGTGGGTGATGATTATAACAGTTATACCACTGCCATCGCGCTCAACCAAGCCTTGTATGGTGTCTCGGACCAAGCTCGAGCTTTTTACGTCGAGCGCGGACGTTGCTTCGTCGAGGATCATGACTGCTGGTCTGCGGACCAGAGCCCTGGCGATGGCTAACCGTTGGGCCTGTCCACCTGACAATCCAGTACCACCTTCGCCTACCAAAGTCTCATAGCCCTGTGACAGACTCATGATGAATCCATCAATTCCCGCTGCAGCTGCAGCTCGACGGACTGATGCCATGTTGTTGTAAGGGGATGACTGCGGTAGTCCATATATTATGTTCTCCGTGATTGTTGCAGGAAACAGTACTGGAGTCTGTGAGACGACTGTGATCAACGAACGCAGTGTTGGGGTATGAATATGCTTCAGGTCGCGACCTGAAAGCATGATATCCGGTGTCTCGCCACTGACTTCGGAAATCTCGCTTGCAGTCGTGTAGAGATTCAGAAGCAAACTAGCAATGGTAGATTTTCCTGATCCCGAAAATCCAACCAACGCAGTAGTCTCGCCTGCTGGTATGAGCAGATTAACGTTCTTGAGTACTGTCTGTGCCGGACGAGAGGGATAGGAGAAACTCAGGTTGTGTAACTCGATGTCACCAATCGATGTGATCTGCGTGTTACCAAGATGTTCATGCGAATCTTTCGGCAGTGTCGACAGTCGAAGCAGGCGAGAGGCACAGTCCTTTGCAAGACCTATCTGTGGCACGAGACCCAAGTAAAGGCTCACGTTTGTGATTGCTAAGACAAGCTGTACAAAAACCTCAACAATTTTCGTTGGGCTAGCACCATCACGTATTAATCTCGCTCCAGCATAGAACATAAGTGCCATAATGAAGATTCCAGAAGAATCCGAGAGACCGAAGAAAAAGCCGGTGTAGACAGAACGTCTGAAGCCAATCTGTAGCACATTCTTAGTTGCGCGGAAGTACTTCTCTCGGAAGTGAGACTCAAGAGTCAAGGCCCGCACGGTCTTGATGTTAGTGAATGTTTCGGTGAAGATCGCTTCGGCAGCTTCAGCTGCGTCGTTGCTTCTACCCTCCCAGTTTCCACTAATAGTGCTGAAAGATTTGGTGACGAAGTATACGTACGGGCCGAGAGCAATTGCGATCAATGTGAGCTTCCATTGTGAAGTTAAAGCCCAAATGAGGGCGACAACGCTCAGAACAAGCGCTATGTAGAGAGATGATGCGAAGCGGCCGAGGAGATTACGCATTTCTTCTGCATGCCGGTCCAAACCCTCCATCACATGCGAAACCGAGTTCTCCTCGCGGGTGAACCAATCGCGAGGCTGATCAAGGATGCGCTCCAAAGACCTCTCGCGCATGGTATTGATCCATACCTGACCGGCGTATTCTAGGAGTAAATGTAAAATGTAGCTGCTGACGCCACTCAAGACTGCAATACCAAGAATCGAAACAGTGTAGACCGTAGCGGTATGTTTTTCTTTGTCGCCTTTACCATAAGTTCCTATCAGCTTGGACAAGATACTGGAGAAGATTGGGGTACATGCGCCGTTGATGGAGGCAGCGACCAAAGCGATGATGAGAACAACTTTCATATACCAATCAAGACTAGGCCAGATGGTGCCGAGGATAGCTTTTAAGGAGAATATCCGCTGGTCGTCCTCAGGTAACTGTTTCTTCTTGTACTTCGACAAAGGTTTCATCTCGGTGCCACCACCGGCAGCAGATATAGACCCATCAGAGGGAATACGTCTTCTCCTGGAGTTACCCGAAGTAAGACGCGCACGAGCAGCTAGATCTCCGGTCGACTCTACGAACTTGTAGAGAAGCTCCGGCGCCATAGACTTCCTATTGTTTATTTCTTTACCCCCGCCAGCAATTTTGTTGCTTTGCCGGGTAGTCTCATCAGTTCGAAGCTCGTGTGAGGTAGTAGGGTCTGCACCGCTAGACCTCCTGTTCATAGGCGAGGAAGGTCCAAAATTTGGTGAGCCAAGTTCACTAAGCGTAGTAGCAAAGCCGTATGCACCCCTGAACGCTGCCTTCGTGTGTCTGTTCGCGAAAAGTGCAGGCAGATAAGAATACCGTGGATTCTCACCCGCATGCAAGTGGGCCTCCAAGGAGTCGTCTGTAGGCTCTTGATGAGCTGGCTCTTCATTCGACTCATTTTCCGTGTCGGCTTGGATCTCTGAAGGATCTGGCGCGGCAACAGCCTCAAAAGACAAGAACTTTTGAAAAGGGGAATCATGTATCTGCTCCATGCGTTTGCGATAACCCTCTTGTACAAGTTTGCCGTCCTCGAAGACCATCGCGTAATCATCAGGAAGAATTTGTGTGATATCATGAGTGATGATCAGGGTCGTCTTGCCTTGGCGCCATTGGCGAATTGCTTCCATCATCAGTGAACGACTCACTTGGTCCAGTGCACTGGTTGACTCGTCCAGAATAAGCACAGGCGTATCTCGTAGATATGCTCGAGCTAGGGCCATCCGCTGCCTTTGGCCACCACTCATAGTGCCGCCTTTCGATCCAACCATAGTTTGGAATCTCTGAGGCATATCGTTGATCATGGCCAGCAAGAGAGCAAACTCGGCAGCACCAGTTACGGCTTCATGTGAAACGCCCTGACGATTGTCGGTTCCAATGGCAATGTTCCCGAAGACAGTGTCCTCGAACAACATACTGTGCTGCTCAACAAGTGTGACATGATTTCGGAGCCAGGTAGGATCCAAACATTCTAGAGGTAACCCATCGAAGAGTATCTGTCCCGAGGCTGCTAGATAGAACTTCAAGAGCAACTGGCTGAAGGTGCTCTTTCCGGATCCACTCTTCCCAATGATGAACGTAGTGTCGTGTGCTGGAACAGAAAATGTGACGTTGCTCAAAGCCATTCGGTCTGGACGCGCTGGATAAGCAAAAGACACCTATGAAGGTGTCAGTAAGGGGTAGAAGATACACATAGTGTTTGACTTGCATTTCGAAATTCAATGTTGCCGTCGCATCTGCCTGGCTTCGAAAGCGACGGCGACGGCAGAGCATTTGGGTCCTTCGCCATCTGTGCCATGATGGCTCTAAGAGTCGACCCAGCTGTTCTTCCTTTCTGGAGCACTATCATCTGTGGCAGAATACCGGATATGGCCTGGAACGCGCTGATGGCCGAGAAGAAGGTTGTGACAACATCCCCTGTGTTCTTTTCGTGCTTATCGACCTGAACACCGCCGTAGTAAAAACCCTGTACGAACATGGCCAGTGTCATAAAACCCACGAAGCCAAATTGCTGGGCATTTACATTGACAACGCGATAATACCAGCTTGCGGCTTCTTTGAGGCGAGACGAGTATTTGCTTAATTCGTGTTCTTGGCCATTGAAACACTTGACAGTCTCAATGGCATTGATGGCATTGCTGACGAATTTGAGAGCTTCCGTGAGTTTCTCTTGCTGCTTCGTGACTGACTGTTGCATGGACGACCCTAGATAGCCGACAACAAGGACGATGACAGGCGCGGTCGAGATTATGACAAGAGTGAGTTTCCAGGAAGTGTACAGAGCGAGTCCTAGAGAGGCTGCGGCGCCTGCGGCTGATGTTACCAATTCACCAAAGGGTTGGGCGGTGGCGAGTTGAAGGTCTCTTATCTGTCTGCTATCGTCAACGCAAGAGTTTTCCATGGCATATCAGAGTGGTGGCTCTTACGCTTGTAGACGAGGTATCAAGGCGCCGATTCCGTTCTTGCGCATATCGTACCATTCGATCTCCTTGTCCAGCATACCCAGAAACAGCCTTTCTCTAGCACTATTGGCCTGAAGCTCTCCAAATGCAAGCCAGGCTGAGAAGAAGACAAAGTGCACTAGCCAACTCGCGACCCCGAGAGCAATGAGGTAAATGGTATAGTTGGTGACGCTGGAAAGGACAGCGCTAGGATTGCTAGAATTAGTGAATGCGTTGAAAGCTTTACCGAGCAGATATGACTGCGCTGGTGTAATGCCACCAGCTGCGATCGCTGCCGCAAGACCGATAAACAGACATGTCAGGTGTGACTTGGTGGTGAAGAAGAACAAAGCTCTCCATGGCACTGTTCGCCCGCCATCTCCCTTCGATTTGTTGGACGGCGCGTCCTTCTCTGAACGACTTTTTGCAGCAACATCTCGCTCATTGACAGTTTCGGTCCCCCTAGAGCGAATTGGCATTGGTATGCTGGGCATCTAAGCGGTAGAGGTGAAAAGGTGAGACTAGCAGAACGCGCAGCACTGTTGAATGCCGGGACGAAGTACAGAAATCTCGTGGCTGCTGCGATTGTTCTAGAAAAGACGTTTTCGGAGCGATCGCATGATAATCACTGAGTTGGTACAGTGAGAGTGGCGTAGTCGCAGCGGTTAGTGTAAAGAATGCGTCGCGTTACTATTGTTCTTGTCCTGGCTTTGAGCAGCCGCAACACCACCTCCTTATTTAAACCCTCTCCAAATGTCATGTTTCATGGTCAATCATGTGTCCGCCAACTCTAAAGATCTACCGCGAATTTACTTGGATTCTGCGTGGCAGGTTTTAGCGCCTGAACTCCTTATCCTTGCGACAACCACTTTTCCTTCTGCTTCGCGATTGTGTCGTAGCATCATCAAACCATCAAGGTAGATCGGAACTCATGGTTCTTTGTTCGTTGAGCAGCGGCTGACTCTGCAACAGATCATACACAAGGTAGCGGAGTTGCAGGCCGTCGATAAAAGCCACAGTCCTGCCTGCAGCCGCCTAGCAGAAGTCATTATCATGCACTCGCAGCTCAAGATGCCTTCTGGCCTTGAGCCTTCTCGTAAACCCAGTCATTCAGACCTTCGCGATTTCTGTCCAGTTTCATAAGCAAGAATTCAATAGAACAAAATCCAAAAGCATACCTCAGGATCTCAAGTGCGTAGAACTGCATACGAACAGCTAGAGTATCGATGTCAGCCACATGCTAGTGACATATGAGAGTGATTTGTGATACCGAAGATGGTTTCGTCCTGGCCGTACTCAAAAGCAGGGTTGGTGCGCAAGAGGGTGCCAAAGTTGAAGTCGTCAACCTTCTTCTCGTATTGGTTGATGAAGTTTCTCCAGCGCTCCTTGCCTGTCTTACTCTTCATCTCATCCTCATTGATGGTGGCCTTGGGGTCGTAGTCGGGGAACTCCTTCTTGAAATGCTCGTAGATCTCGTCGTCGATCTTGGTGAGGCGAAGCTTAGAGCCCGGGACCTTCTCGAGAATGGACCAGTAAGTGGTCATGTGCTGGACAGCTGTCGAGAACAGTCAGCTATGGCATGCTTGGGGCAATGACAGGGCACTGCGAACCCTTGACGGCGAACTGCTTCTCGATGTCCTCAAAGTTTTCCTGCTGCTCAGCGGTGAGAGACATGGCGGTTGTTCTGTGCTTCGTTGTTGTGCTTGGCTAAGTGCTCGCAAACTGGTATCAAGAAGTTGGGACGAGATGGGCGGTCGAGAAAGTGCTTGATAGAGATGGAATTGAGGATGCCTTCTCACATGAACTCTGAACTCTGACTTCAGAAATCTTGAAGTGAACCCCACGCCTTGGCAAGCGCGTCACTTTTGGCTAGCACTCGATGCCGAGTCTCGCGATTGCGAGACACGTCTTTGCTCCGCCGTCTTCCATCACCTCGCCATCAGTCGGCGTTATACGCCGTTTGCATGGCCATCATATTTATGAACACTGTCTGTTATCGGAGGAGCTCTAGAGGGGCTGGTCGCGTAGACGTATGCGGCGGAGGACAATAAGGATATTGCTCCGCAGAAGATAAGGCTAGAAATGCGGCTCAAAAGATTCACTTGCCCAGAACGTGACGTGGGTAAATCGATCAACCGACTCAAGCGCACAACAAGCCAGCTTCCAATTATGCATAAGTAGAGCTGGCTATGTGCTGTGCTGTATGAGAAAAATAGCAAGTTGGCATGTTTGCGATAGAGCCTCACGAGTACTAGAGGCATGACAGGTTTCATTCGGAGTTAATGAGGTCTCGAGGCCACGGATGTCATGAATGTCACCAACCGAATCTTCAACTAAGCGCTGTGGAGAAGCAGCCGATAGGTGTTGCATGAAGCCTGTTTTTCCAGACATCAATCAGGTGAGCGAGCGTGGGCGCTGCCGGTTAACGTGCAGAAGCGCGAAAAACACCATCGAGCAAAGAAGTCTCATTTAGCAGCTACAGTACAGCTCGGGCATTCGGTGTAGCTCTACTCGACAGCCTCGTTGATGGACGTGTGGGTTGGACGATTGGCTCTGTCAGAACGTTGAGTGAGTTCCTTGAATTCATGGAAACAGCACGGGCTTGTGGGGAAGGAAGCAATCGCATGCATGTCAACGTCATGGCAACAGGCTGTGGAGGCAGGCGCGATCGAATCGAAAGCTCCGCGTGCAGCAGCTCAGAGCAAGCTCACGTAGCTGCCTTGTTTAAGAACGTCTTCCCCTCTGCTCTTGTTCCTCTCGTCCCTCAACCACTCTCCTCCCCCAATTCAATCCCTCTACAATCCACGCCGCCGCCATGATTGTTGACCCTGTCGAGGCCTTCAAGGCCACGAGCTCTGTGGCTCCTCTGCCCACTGTTGTTCCCTCTCTTCCCGAGTACCAGACCATCACCGAGACCGGTACCCGCACTCTGTGGGCCGTCTTCGTCCTGATGCTCCTCCCCATGATTGTCTTTGTTGGCCTCTCTTGGACTACTCCCATCTCCAAGCGTCTCTACCACATCATCACCACTCTCATTGTCACCTTTGCTTCCCTGTCCTACTTCGCCATGGCCACTGGCCACGGCATCAGCTACCACCGCACCACCGTCACTGACTCGCACCGCCACGTCCCTGACACCACCCACGACGTCTACCGCCAGGTTTACTGGGCCCGCTATGTCGACTGGAGCTTGACCACTCCTCTTCTCCTCCTCGACCTGGCTCTGCTTGCCGGCCTCAGCGGTGGCCACATCCTTTTGGCTATCGTTGCCGATGTTATCATGATTCTGACCGGTCTCTTCGCCGCCTTTGGTAGCGAGGGTACTCCTCAGAAGTGGGGCTGGTACGCCATTGCTTGCATTGCCTACCTCGTTGTCATCTGGATGCTCGCCGTTCACGGCCGCGCCAACGCCATGGCCAAGGGCGGCAAGGTTGGCAAGTTCTTCGCTTCCATTGCCGGCTTCACTCTTGTCATCTGGACCATCTACCCTATGTAAGTACCATTTAAACATGACTTTTGGTATCCGCTCTAACAACAATCTCAGCGTTTGGGGTATTGCCGACGGCTCTCGCAAGATGACCGTTGACCAGGAAATCATTGCCTACGCCGTCCTCGATCTGCTCGCCAAGCCTGTCTTTGGTGCCTGGCTGCTCTTCACCCACCAGAGCATGCCCGAGACTCAGGTCGAGCTCGGCGGCTTCTGGACCCACGGTGTCAGCAGCGAGGGTGCTATCCGCGTTGGTGAGGATGATGAGGGTGCATAAACTGCTTCGCCCATCAACCATCCAATGCCAGCAACAAATTGAACAGACAATCCAGACTCAACGTGGGAAATGAGAATGATTTAGGGAATGAGTCCTTCCAATATCATGCGAAAGCTCTTCCGCCTTTGACTGCCTTGGCCGGCGCTTGCTTCGCCGTAGCAGTCTTTTGTGTACATTAGTCGTTAATGATAATGCCGCTGAACGTGTTTAACCTAACTTTCCGAGCATAGCAGTGCCTGCCATAAACAAAACCCTGTGACTGTGACACGTTCCTTTGCTAAGCACGACCCCGCACGCCGCATGCAGGGTCCTGTAGGTCGGGTGACAGCAAACTTGAACAAAGGTCCAAAAAGCTCAAGTAGCTTGACTTTGTCCATTACCTGTCTACTGTAACATCACATCACGACATCTGCTGGGCGAGTCAACCGACCCCTGTCATCAATCTTCCAACTGTTGTGAAACCCAACGATAACTCCTGAACAATCATGTCGAGCGATATACCTCCTACCACTACCAGCCCCATATCTCTCGAGCGCCGAAACAGTCTTGAGAAGGCTATTCAGAACCGGCCTGAAGCTCACGAACTGAGGGAGAAGCACATTCTTCTTAGCAATGCTGCGCCGTAAGCTCTGCCTTCAATTGACCTATATTATATGGTTACTTATAGTTTACAGAGCTCTACATGCTCAGCAACAAGAGCTACAGCGTCACCAAATCACAGATAGTCTGAACAAAGCCATTGCTTCTCGTCCTGAAAAAGAAGAATTGATCGAGCGCAATATTTTGCCGGACTCCACTGCTGCTCCTGCCTTGCAGAGTCACCAGCGTGAGCTTGCCGCAGCCATGCGTCGTGATTCCATTGAGAAGCACTTACAGACTCGACCCACACCAGCTGAGCTGATCAAGGAAGGCATCCTCGAAGGTTTGTACGTTGTCAATTTCCCCGGAGCTCTCTGTGTACTGATCTTGATGTAGCCAATGAAAACCCCTTGGACGAACCTTGAGTCCATGTCTTCGTGTGATGGCTCAACATGGCATAGCCAACAAACAAAACATTCTTCCAGAAGTGATGGCTCAGCTTGAGAGTCAAGAGTCAAATTGCCATCCTCTCGGCTTTTGTGTAATTGCTTTCATGTTATGAATATGAATCACAAATCAGGTTATGTTTAGTCCCCCGTGCCGGCGTCATCTTCTATCTGCTCAATTGTCATTTGCGCACGGCGTCTGACCACTTGCTTGCAACATGGTGTGCCTCTATTAAGCGTATTGGAGTCTCTCGCTTGTCCACTCTGGCTGCAAATAAGTCCAATCCTGCGCAAAGTTGAACGAAGTCTCGTAGACATTGTAGGCAAACAATGAAACATTATCAAGCTTTGCGCCCGCATCTGTCTCTGCCCAAACGCTCAAAGCAAGCGTGTTTCTGCCTTGGTTGTTGATGACTCCAGGTGGGAAGGGGAATCGTGTCTGTGGCCCAATGTGAGGGATGTATTTTCCGTATTGGTATCCGTTAAGATAGATTTGCACACTAGCCACAGTACCCGAAGGGGCAGACAGCTCGAGGCCAATTGGTACGTCGAGATCTAAATCGATGCCAAGCTCGAACGTTGTAAGGTACCATCTGATGCCGCTGGAGTTGAGGCCTTCAGCAGGAGAACCAACAGACCATCCATTGCCAGAGAGCTTGAAACCAGGCAGGTGCCATCCGAGACGTTCCCCATACAGACCACCTTCATTCAGAGGTCCTCTGACTGGGTCAATATTGGCAGATCCCCCGGCATTTCCTTGGATCTTCCACTGCTTGAAATCGACGGTAGCATTTTCAGAACTTTTAAGGACTGCACCTAAGAGACCTCGAGGGTTTGCAGCACCTTTGCCAGTAGATGTCTCATCGTGACCAGTATAGTCAGTCACCACTGTCAGTACATTGTCCTTATCAAAGAGTGTTGCCCTAGTGAGATCAAGCACATCCGATGTTGACAGGAGTGAAGCGTTTCCTGGATGGCCACCAACAAGTTTGCCGTTCAACCAGGCACTCCAACCTGCGGCTGAGCCGCCCTGTGCTGTCAAATTGGCTGATACAGCGGTCTTACCATCGAAGTAGCCACGGTAGACTTTGACGCCGGCATAATAACCATAATCTGAACTGTAGAGTACAGGGAGCGAGAGTGGCCTCACTGGGGCTAGTGTGGTTGTCTTGTTGCATACAGCCCAGGACGAGTCGTCATAGTCTCTTGCAACTTCGGGTAGGGAGTCGGCTACTTGCCAGCCAGAAAGAATCGGCATAGTCACCTTGCGGTCGAGAACGCTTGTGAGATCAGCTGTGAGAGCACCATAGGCAGTCTTCTTCGTAGCAAGCCTTTTACCATTCCAGGCGATTGTGTCAACATTTGCATTGCCAACGAAGACTTCAAGTGTAGTTGAGTTGGTGTTGTCGCCATTTACAGAGACGACATTGCTGCTAACACTGGCATTACGAACGAGGTAAGGACCTATAGCAAATATCTGCTCATCTGCTGCAACATTGGGGTCCGAGGTAGTGACTGGTGCCCAGAAAGACCAGGCTGTTGACACATCCAAGAGATACACCATGACCCCGTTTGACATCTGAATAGCGGTCTTGCCAGTCGTTTGCTTATAGACAAATTTGGTGTAATACGAGGTACCGTTGGCTTTCATACGACATGTTGTGACGCTTGTGTTGCCGTATGATGTGCTAGAGACGTTCCCAGGGAAAGCAAATTCACCAACTTGGCCAGCCTCAAGATACAGCACAAGAACTGATGTTGTGTCGAACAGACCATATGTCAGGATATCGACAGATGAATATAGCAGAGTATGCTTTTCAAAATGATAGTCCGTGACGGCAATCTTGCTCTGACGGCCATTGAGCTGAACACCCGGTACAGTAATTAGACCTAGTGATGTCTGAAGATTGATTGAGAAGTCCGTCACAGCTCTTGAACTCGACTTTGAGTGCTGTGTCACATAAAATCCAGCAGTCGTGTTGGGATTTCTCAAAACCCAGGTCCAGATATCTTGCGTTGACACAGCGTTACCAGTACCATTGCTTTCCATATTGGTGTACAAAAGATCCTGAGACACTCTTGTGAACAATGCAATCAGTTTTCTGGAGATTTGTGAGTAAGATTGTCGAAGAGGGAAGACAAACAACCAATTGCGCGATAAAGCTCTACTTACGTCTGTGACATCTTGAGCTGAAGCTCACGAGTCTCACGCATGGGTGCAGAATAGTCATAGCTCGTATACACAACAGGCGCGGCCAGATTTCCCCAGTTAGTGCCTCCCATTGTCATGTACAGTGACATGAGTGTTCCTCTTTGGCCTATGTTGTTCTTGTAGTAGACATCGGCGAATGCAGGGTCGTGTTCCGCTAGACAACTATCGTAGAACACTCCATGCCACGACGTGAAGTAACCGGCCTCAAACTCGGGCCAGAACTCTGGCCGGGTGTAGGAATAGTTCTGGAACCATTGGTAGTAGTTCCGGACCAGATTGAAGCCAGAGTCGATATTAGTGCAGCTCAAACCTCCCGGGTAGCTGTCTAGACCGTATATGTTGACTGCGCCTAAGCACATGTCTGTTCAGCCATCAAGACGGACCAGAGAGACATCTTGATGCACATACCTCCTACATCCTGGTAGTCAGTGCTCCAGCTCTGGCTTCGTTGCCCTTTCTCGTTGTGCGTCAACGGAATTACAATACCAGAATCCTTGACAGATTTCTTGAGCTGCTCCATGTAGGTGACGAGTGTGTTGTTAGCCTTGTGTACGGTCTCCTGTAACTCGTTCTCGATCTGGTAGAGAATGATAGGGCCACCCATTGTTATTTGGTTCTTGACTAAGATCTTGTTGACTTCTCGCATCCATGGTTCCCAGGCTTCATAATAAGTCTGATCTGAGGTTCGATAGTTCCCTGGTGCTGATTAGCTGGAGAAACTTGATGGACCGTGCTAGTCATGCCTCCAGAACCATCGCTAGTCCACAGTGCTAGACCGCCTCCATTTGTCTCGGCGTTCGCATATGGCCCTGGTCGTGCTATGATGCTATCCAGAGAATCTTAGCATTAGCGTATCAATTTTATTGAAGTGAGATTAAGATACGTACTATAAACCGGCCTCTGCTGCTGCATCTATGACCCTCTGGATGTCTTTGCCTCCGGATTTGAAGTCAAACACATCACGAGATGCAGAGTGATAGGACCAGAAGAAATACAGGCTGACCGCATTGAATCCATTCGCCCTGAATTTTTGGAAAATGTCGGACCACATTTCTGGCACAGGCATTCTTTCATAAGCAAACTCGCCAGAGAATAAGAAAAGCCGCTTCCCATTAACCATAAGACTGTAGGGGTCCCAGGTGACTTGAGTGGTCAAGCCATTGTCTGTAGCGAGGACGAGGACAGCCAGCAAAAATGTATAGATGAGTGTATTAAAGCAGAGTCTCATCTTGGATTCGCAGAATGCAGGAAGACTCGCGCGAACATCAAGAGATGCCTACCTACAGTCGATGCGACTTTCAATATATGTACAGCCTTGGATTTATTTAGGTAGACATATTAGGCGGGTACGTTGCGTGATATTATCCGCCAATGGAGGGATTTCTCTGTGCACATCATCAGAAGATCGCTCTTCGCTTCGTTCAATCAGCCAGTGCTTGCAGATCATAGAGCATGGTCGGGATAATTTAGCGTATGATCTCTGCATGCTCGACGAAGAATACGACATGGCGGATGGTGGGAAAAGAGGGGAAAAGTTGGTCGGTGCTGACCCGAGAATTGTGGTCTGTCGCCCAGCGAGAAGAAAACATTTCTTGTATAAATTTGGTCTAGAATATGGCTTTCGTGAAAGGGGCGCGTGAGTAAGCTTGGAAAAATAGTCGATGAAGTCTTCATGAGAAACTATATACGACGTTGCGTGAAGCTGGAACAGGCTGAGCTGTTTCTTCCTTGTCAGTGAACAAAATATGTCGCAGTGAGGTTATCTGTCCTTTCTGAGGATCAAAACCGGGTGGGCAGCACGAGTGACTGATCTCTATCAGCTACGTGAAGATTATGTGAAGGCAGCGTGGCGCAATGCATTGACAAAGTGCGTCAATGGCATTAACATTCACGACCGAGTCACTGAGACGGTGGCATGCACCAAGTAGTGAACATGGGAGGTAAACCAGAAGTTCATCATCCGCATCTCACGTCAACATCTCATCAGGGAGACTGTTGTTGACTGTAAGGAGGTATTGGGCGTTTTGCAATCTGCAAGTGGGAGAGCGAAACCATAGTGGATGGTCGACATCTCTTCAACCCTCCTCGGTTGCTTCAATTGCGACACCCTCACCGGCAGCTTCCTCGTCTTCCTCGTCGCTTGTGAAGCTTGCAAAGTCGTCTTCTTCCTCTTCGTCGTCGATAGAGCCTCCTTCTTCTTCTTCTTCTTCGGGCTCTCCATCCTCATCAGTGACTGCGCGCTTTCTCTTCTTGATGACTTCGGTCTGAATCTCAGCCTTTGCCTCTTCAGCGGCGGCCCAAGCGGCTGCAGAGGCTGGTGGTGGAGTGAACCAAGGAATCTTGCCACGAAGGAAGTCGTTGAGAACCATCTTGGCAACACTGTCCATATCGGCTTCACCACCCTTCAGCAGCTTACCACCCTTGCGAGCGAGAAGCTCGAGGAATTCGGTATGTGTCTCCCAGTCACGTACGTCGTACGTTCTCTCAATGTGGTGTCTTTTGCACTTTTTGAGTGCGGCAGCAACATACTGTTCAGGGTTCTCAACGTTCTCGATACGAACGACACCACGCAAGAGGATGTCTTCATCTGTATCTCCCATGTTCGGAGGAACGACACCGGGACAATCGATGAGGTAGATACGCTTCATCAAGGTAATGTATTGCCAGACCTTGGTCTCGCCAGGAATAGGGGCAACGTTGCACACCTTCTTCTTGCGGAGGGTGTTGATGATGGAGGACTTGCCAGTGTTGGGGTATCCAATGAAACCGACCGAAATCTGCTTGCGCGAAGAATGCAGAGCAGAGAACTGGCGGAGAAGTGAGATCAAAGAGCCTTTGCCGAATGAGTTGTTGATGGAGGCGTGGAAAGCAAGAGTAGGATACTCCTTGCCGAGAAGGCGGACCCAGTTGGCCTGAAGCTGTGATTAGTACAATGCGTAGACGAGGGTAAAATGGTGGATGTGTAGGAGCACGAGAACTAGAACAGAATAGAAAAGACAGGAAAGAAAAAGGAGATGTGTGAATCATAACTAAGAGAGCCTCCATGAGCCACTCGGATGAGCGGGAGAGGTACTCAACTCAAACGAAACACGCTCGAACCCTTATGAAAGCAAACCAAGACGGCAAGCAATCTACTAGACGTCCATAACGGGGTCTAGCGGCGGGCCGACTTTGATCTGCCAGAGTTGTAACAGTCTCTTTCCATGGGGAAAAACGCACACGAGATGCGGAAGGAGCCTTGACTTGAACGCTGGCATGGGACGCGGGATGGGAAAGAAGAAGAAGAAGAAGGATAGGAGGTAGTAGAGCAAAACTTACAGCAACACTTGTGGGAATCAGATCGCATTTGTTGAGAACAAAGAGAAGATGCTTATGAGGAGCTTCTTCGCGAATGTACTTTTCGACGCTTCGACAACGAGTACCAAGAGGATCTCTGGCGTCCAGAACATGAATGACAACATCACTGGAGTCGATGACCTTGTAGAGCTCGTTCCAGATACGCTTGCTCTGGCCTTTTGAGAAGATGGCTTCTCTGGCAGCAGTCAGAGCACCATCAGCTTCGGTGTCTTGGCCATCGTCGGTAGCTTGTCCACTAGCAAGACGAGCCTGCTCGAGGCGATCAAGGTAAGTCTCGTGCATTTTGTCCGACTCGCCAGCGAGGTCGACAAGAGAGCTGACAGCAAGCTTTGGGCGTTTGCGCTGGGCCTTGGGACCGAAAGTGTCTGAGAAAGGGGCGGTTTCGACGGCGATTTTCGCCTGGTGCTGCTTCAAGCCGTTCTTCTTGGTCTCGTCATCCTTAATCAAGCTCATGGGCAATTTGTTCTGCTTGAGCAGGTAAGAGTAAGGATCATTCTGCTGAGCCTGTACGGCGCCACGGAAGGCAGAGAGAGCGTCTTGAGAAATGACACGGGTGTTGGTGAACCACTTGCGGTTTGGCTCGATACGAGCCGAGGGCCTCTCGCGCGACTGGAAGACAGCGGCTTTGGTGATCTCACCAGCGGCATTGCGCTGAGCGGTTCCTTTGGTAAGGACGTTGAGCTTCTTGACCTTCTTGGCATCTCTGTAAGAGGCATCAGCATGGTTGACGGGAGTGTTTCGCAGCAGGAAGAACAAACCTGTAGAAGTTCTCGCCCTTGACCTTGACGTTGGCCATGCCATCGCCAACCTTGCCCTGACGGGTCTTGCGGGCGGCTTCCTTCTTGCCGGTACCCATTTTGACAAGGGCTACGAGTCGAGGGGTTTTCTGTGAAAAAGTCTGAGGAGGGAGCTCAGAAAGGGCAACCCACGCAGAGACAAAGCAGGAGCGAGGGAGAAGGACTTTTTTTATGCGCGGGCGGACGCTAGCAACTCCGCAATGGCACGGCCGCCTTCTGTGTTGATTGGCTGCCTCTTTTTTTCTGGCCGACGACGCCAAGCCCAGCAAACAGCCCGCCCAAGAGGGCAATTGCCAGTCGAACAGCTGCCTTGTCGAACAGGCAGACAGCATCCACTGTTCCACCCAGCACAACCCACCATGCCTGTCCGTCTACCACAGGCTACCGGCCTCTACAAATGCCCATCATGCGCTGCCCGCTCGTCGCCCCGCTCCTTCTCGGTCTCGACTGCTCAGCTCGCTCTTGGTCCTGAATCTCCTCGCTATATGGACATCCCTCAGCCACCTCAGCAGACTCTCCCTGACAAGACCCGCCTCAAGGGTATTCTGCCTGTCCCACGCGATGTCTTTGCTGGCCAGGACCCCAAAGCCCCTTTCAATGTGGACCAAGCCACCAAGGAACCCTCCCGCTCACAATCTCACAACGACCCTCGCTCTGTCTGGAAAGAGCGCATGGCTGCTTCACGAAGGAAGAACTTGAAGGAGGGTCTCAAAGCTCTGCAGTATCGTAGAATCAAGTCTGACGACCACATGGCTACTCGTGCCACTCTCCGCCAGCAAGAACGCGAGGCCCGTCTGCACCTTCCGGAACGCGAAGACGAGCGTCTTACCGCCCCTTCGGTCGATTCCAACCTCCTCGACCTCCTTAAGAAGGGTCCACTACAAGATCCTAACAGAGAAGCCCGTCTGGCCGAAATGCGCGAACGACATGCCTTGAAGCAGGCCGCTCGTCAAGAAGACCGCCGCGATGCTCTGCACTCACTCTACGTCAACGCTCGCGAGTTTATCGTCAATGACTCCCAGCTTTCTGCTGCAATTGACAAGGCTTTCGGTACTGTTGATCAGCCTCGTGCCTTTGGCCAGAACGGTGCCAGCATCTGGGACAACACCCCAAGCGCCCCTAGCTCTATTGTTGACATGCTCAACTCGGCAACTGCAAGAGGCGTCCGTGGTGGTGCTCTCAACCAGTCAGCTATGAACAGAGATACCGCTTTGACTGCGGCTAGAGTTCGCAGAATGGCTGCAGAGTTGACAGGAGGTCAATTACCTTCAAAGTCTTCCTTCTAGTCTGCTTTGTATAATATCCAATTTTTCACCTCCCTTCATCTCTACTAGCTATTGCACCCAGTGGCTGTTTCTGTTGTCTTCCCTTTGATCCAAAGATAATACCCACCGTCCGATCCTTTGTCGTCCTTGTTACTAAAGTCTCTAGCTACCCAATGTTTTGACACTAGTACACACTGGGACAGAAGTGTACATCTTTGAACCAGCTCTCGAGACTCTGTGTACTGTACTATTGACACCAACAACTTGGCCTATGGCAGAAGGACTCTGTTAGTCGGAACATGCCGTACAGATATACTGGAACATCCATTTGATGGAAGTCTAGGCTGCCTGAAGCCTGGTATCTGAAGCCTTCATGAGGTACTGTAACCATCCTCGCTCGTCCAAGTCCACCAAGAACATATAGGAACAGAAGATGTATTTCGAGCCTCCTCAACGTTTGGCCCAGCTCGTTGACTCTTTCTTGCTGCACTACAGCGTCAAATTCGGCATGTGCAATGGTTCATCTTCCAACTCGATCCGCGCCGAGAAATACACTGCGCATGCTGCATACCGTCACCATGTCTTGCTCGCTCACTCCTCGAGATCTTGCTCGGCATTCTCGTTCGACAGTTCGACCAGGACCCGCTTCTTTCGCAAACCGGGACCACAGCGCCTCACTGTCTAACTCACTCTATCATCTCACTCCAACTTCTATCGCTTCTGTCTCTACAACTCCAACATCATTTACCCTTCTCTTCCCTTCGCACATCTTCCACACCAAGCGCCATTAGCTCTGCCGTCACAATGTCTGAGAGCTACTCGGAAGACACCGTCCAAACACGCATCAAGAAGATTGTCAAAAAGCGTCAGTCTAGTCAGAGATTCAATCTCTCTGATGAAGAGCTGGTTCTTTTCGCACTTGCCTATTCATCAGATCAGTGGCTCACAACCGCTCAGATCGGCGAGTTCGCACTTGAAAACAGCCTCTTCTATCAGAAGCAAGCGGCTCAGTTCTTGTTCGGAGCTAGTCTTTACGCTACTCCCAGAGGAATCGGCTCCCTACCCAGTCGTATTCAGAAGTAAGTCAATAATCTTTGTAGCATTTACGCCTTCAGAGACACTGTGCTAACTTAGCACTCAAGTTATCTGCGTACATATGGCATACCTGTGCACTCCAGGGTTGACGACAACAACACTAAGCTGTACTCCATGACCGGAGGCGCGTCATATGCCTTACTGGAGGAATCCTACAAGAAGCGCTCCAAGACCACTCCAAAGAAGCTCGTCACATGTCCCCTTCTGAAGATTCCTATCGAGATTCGCATGAAAATCTACCACCTTGTTCTCAAGGTCGCCGGCTTTCGCCTGCTTGTCGGTACTCAGTCGCTCTCTGTCTACGACGACAAGATTCCTTCTTGGGAATCTCGCTCTCAGGATGCCCTTAGAATGCCCCCCCTCAACGAAGTCCTTGCATTGCTCTCGGTGAACAAGCAAGTCTACAACGAAACCATGCCTGAGTTCTACCAAGAGAATCACTTTCAGTTCAGAGACATGGGTAGCATGAAGAACTTTCTTCACAACATCGGTCCTGAGAGAAGAAAGCACATGCGCAACGTGACCGTCTCTTACGACAACTTGTCTGCCGCCGCAGCTGGAGCTAGACTCCTTGCTGAGTCTGACACTCTTCAAAGGCTCACCCTGACTATCTCGGCTACTCATGACCCTGCCGGACACTTTACTGTGAACTCTAGCCGCCGCAGATTCTCAACTCTCACCCAGATCCCAGGCTTCTCGTCTATGAAGCGCCTTCGTGGTGTTCAAGAGCTTGTCTTCAACCCTGGACTTGAGCACGGCGTTGTTGATGCCTTCCTGCGCCCAATCATTACGACACCCAAGCCATCTAAGCTCGCAAAGAAGAAGTCTATCAAGCGCAAGCGCAAGCACGGCGAGCTTATGTCCAACGACGAGGCTGGTCAGCCCGTTGTGAAGGTATCAAAGATTGGTTGAACGTGGAGCTGTGACAGGTTCCAGCTGCGCTCAATCTAGAATCCGCGAAAGACTACACAAAAGATCGAACGGAAAGAGTGAATGATTCTCGCTAGGGAATGGTGGATTGTTGCCAAAGAGAATTGAAGTGGATGATTATTACCGTGCAAAAGAATGGATGTTTACACAGCGATGGCCAGAAGATGAGGAGATCGATTAGATCAATGACACGGGGTATGAAATTAGGAACGACGGTCGTGATGGTGAAGCAGGTCTTCCAGAATTCTGATCGTTAGAGCAAATAAAGGTCCTCGTATACAAGCCCATCCACTTCTTATGTAATTCGCCGTTCGCTTCTTGTGGCGGTTCAGAGCTACATCCTCCCCGTGTGCTAAAGTATGCAATGCGTGCAGCCGTAGACATGCACAATACTAGTAAGAATCAAGAACAGTGCCCACTGAGAAGCGAGGAATTATAGGCCCTGTGTGGACATGTCTTTGGTTCCAAATAGCACTGTACCTTTTTACAGCGTATACTTTGCTCTCTGCGTCGTCGGAGGATGCTAAGATTCAATTGGGGGTTGCAGATCAGATGTGTATGGTATGATCATTGCTTTCTGTAACTGATCTTCCGTGAACACACAGTCCCGAGTTGTGCTTTGTCAAAGCAGACTATTGTTTCTGCACGCCTCAATCATTGGGTGTGTAGGACTGTTCGATATGCACGTCGCCCAGTTTCATACTGCAACCTGCTTCCCCCCTGAACGTAGGCCAAGGGACTGATCGAAGCCCGTCTCTACTAGTTGCTTTTGGGCGCTAACGCTCGAGAGAAGCGGTCAAGTTCATCGCTCGACAACGTTGCAGCTCGGAAGGATTCTGGAGCTTAGAGATCGGCTTTGCTGACTCGACTGATGGTAACATATGTTTGCCAAGTCGCACAGAGGCTTTTCAAAATCCTTGATCTTGAAGCCAGTTGCTTGTGAGAATGCTTGCCTTTGTGCTGACGGTCGAGTCAATTAAAACTCACCTCCTGCCTGTGGGAAGATGGCGGAATGATGGTAGGACTTGAAATCAAGTGTCACATGGCCATCAAGGTCGCAGATCGGTCTGCTACTCGTGTATCTGGGAAGATCGAGTGCTATCAATAGAATAATATTTCCGACTACCCATGAAGCTTGTTTGATTCAAGTAAAAATACAGGTCAATCGTGATTCGTGACGTCTCTCTGGTTTAAAGGATGTTCGCCAAGCCTGCACCCCGCCTTTGTCTGTGGGGTCTCTCATCCATCCATCGAACATCAACGACTAGTCAGACAATTCTCTAATCAAGGTGAGTGGTGACTGTATCACTTCTGACAACCTATAGACCGCAACGCTCTCCTGTATCGACCGTCCACGGAGTTGATCATGTTAATAAGTGCCTCTCGAGGGTGTGTACAAGATGCTGTGTCGCTTTAAACACTCGTACCCGCCGCGTGTCGAGCCATATACCGCGCTAGGTATACCACGACTGCGAGATCGACTGGTCGCATCCAACGTTGAGGGTTTCCTCGGAGGATCCGAATTGACATATGAGTGATTTTGTTGCTCAGATGACCTCGTATGATGTATCGGAAATAACAGTCCTAGCCATGACAGGTCATACAAGGTGAGGATCAATTGGCGACATCATTGCTTTGCTGCTCTTACATTCCTAATGCAAACAAGCTCGCTTTCTTGGTACTCCTCATCTTACGATCGAATGGTAGGTTTACTTGACAAATGATGATATCCTCTTCATCACATATTTCTCGAACATATATAGCCCATCCCCAGCAGCTTCATTCTTCTTTCTCCTCATCATCATCACATCTCACTATCAATCGACCTGCAGCACATCAACAACTCTTCTGCATCATAATATCGCAATCATGAAATCTATCTTCGTGTCGGCAGCTCTTATTGCAGCAGCAGATGCACTCGTTGCTCGCGACTCTACATGGTGAGTAAGGAGTTCAATCATGTTAGGATCGAGCTCTAATCATCAATTCTCAGCTGCTTCCACCTGACAGCTTCTGGAGGCCCTGGTGGAGTTGTAGGCCAACTCTCTGATGGTCAGAACCGCATTGGACAAGGTATCTTGTGTTTAGCCGCTTATTGGTCCTCGTACTGACCTTATTGCTCAGGTCTGCCTGGTGCGCAGTACTGTATCGATGCCAATGGTGGACTTACCGATGGCAATGGTCGTGGATGTATCCTGACACCACCAACCACGCAGTTCCAGTGTGATGCCGGTGCTAGCCCGACAGACGGCTTCTCTGTCTCTTGTGACGGTACCCTCGCGTTCAAGGGCAACACTGAGTTCAAGTCTTGCCCTACCGGAGACAATGGTGGTTACAACATCTACACTACTGCTCCTGCTGGCCAAGGTGGTTGTGTTTCAATTACCCTGAGTGCAGACAACTGCAAGTCGGGTTGCCCTGCTCCCGCTCCCAAGAGCTGCCCCGCCGCTCTCTCTGGCGATTACCAGTACCCTCACCTCATCATCCCAGTAGACTCCAAGCAGCCCGACAAGGCCTTCGGTACTCAGTACAACGGCACAGTTTCAAGCTCTGTCTCTAGCTTATTCAACTTTGACATTCCCAGCTCCGACAGTGGAAAGACTTGTTCTTTGGTCTTCCTGTTCCCCAAGCAGGCAGACTTGGAGACTTCCTCGTTTGACTTCACCGGCGCCGGCGATATCGACTTCGCAATGTTGAAGGGACCTGCCAGCTCCAGCACTACATACAACAACAAGCCAGGCGTCGCCACTGACTACGGTGTGACCAAGGTTGCCCCAGGAAACTCTTACACCATCGCCACGTTTGCCTGCCCAGCCAACTCTGCCATTGGCTTCAGCCTGTCGGCCTCAGACGACACTTTCCTGTCCTGGTTCAATGACTACAATCCTTCGCCGTAAGTTGCTCAGGAGGGCTCTTTTGTGGTCTAGAACTAACAGAGGATACAGTATCGGTCTCTACATCACCGTGTGCTAGATGACTCTCGGTATTCAGACATTTCTGGGCTGATGCCATCACGACTTTCTGATGGTGCTCTGGCCACTTTTCGTATTTTCTTTTGTATGATGATGTCTCTTTGGACTAATCATCACGTTCGTTTATGATCATGTCTAGCTTAATCACCAAACATAATGACAAGGATGTGTCTACCGCGAGCTTCGTATGCATCTCCTCATTGTTCTTTTGAACCAACCTGCAGTGTCCTAGTACGTGGGTTTTGAGTTGCCAAACATATCTGTTGGGTCTAATTCGAAACAAATGCTCTGAAGATTTACGAGGCAACGTGATGTTCACAAATTCTTGCCACAGTTTGATCGGACAGCCATTCATCTTGTCAAATATCATGCCATCGATTAGCAAAGACCTGAATTACTCGATCAACACCTCCACAACCCTATTGTCGCTCTGGGGGATTGCTATGAGAACAAGAGTTACAAGGAGCAGGGTCGTGGTTGCATCGTGCAAGCGAGATATCAACAGCCCCGCACAAATTCTCGCCAAGAGTTATGACTCTCTCCATTGACATTTTTTGACCAAGTGGGAGGGTTCGAGCTATACTCATACACAAGCAAACATGGCGGACCAAGCACAAGCAGCAGCCAACGCTGTCAAGGAGGCAGTCAACAATGTCGCCGACAAGGTGAGCGAGCTGACAACTGGCGACAATGCCGCAGCTCCCACTCTCTACTTGGACGAGGCCACGGGCGAGAAGGTCAGCAAGACTGAGCGTGCGTAGCCCGAGCGTGACAATGGTCATGGTGGAGTGTGCTGATAACATTGCAGTCAAGAAGCGCCAGAAGCAGCGTGAAAAGGAGGCCAAGAAGGCCGAAAAGGCAGCGACTGCTACCGCACCGCCAGCAAAGAAGAAGACTGCCAGCGCCGAGGAAGAGGAGGCTCACTTGAACCCTAACCAGTACTTCGAGATCCGCAGCAGAGCCATCCAGAAGCTCCGCCAGAGCCACGAGCCCAACCCCTACCCGCACAAGTTCCAGGTCAACTACGACCTGCGCAAGTTCGAGGCCGAGTTCGGCCACCTCAAGTCAGGCGAGCACATCAAGGACAAGACGCTGTCCATCGGTGCCCGTATCTACCACAAGCGCTCGTCAGGTGCCAACCTGTGCTTCTACGATGTCCGCGCAGAGGGTGTTCGCATGCAGATCATGTGCCAGGCCCAGGAGTCAACCAGCGACAAGTCCTTCGCAGAGCAGCACGAGCTCCTCCGCCGTGGAGACATCATTGGTGTCAAGGGATACCCCGGCCGCACAAACCCTCGCAATCGTGACCAGGGCGAGCTCTCGCTCTTTGCCCAGGACGTCACTCTGCTCACCCCCTGCTTGCACCAGCTGCCCGACGAGTACTACGGCTTCAAGGACCAGGAGCAGCGTCATCGCCGCAAGTTCCTTGACCTGATCATGAACGACCACACCCGCAGCACCTTCATCACCCGCTCCAAGATGGTCACCTACATTCGCAACTACTTCGACACCCGTGACTTCATCGAGGTCGAGACTCCCATGATGAACGCCATTGCTGGTGGTGCTACCGCAAAGCCCTTCAAGACATACCACAACGACCTCGACATGGAGCTGTACATGCGTATTGCCCCCGAGCTGTACCTCAAGCAGTTGATCGTTGGTGGCCTCGAGCGCGTCTACGAAATCGGTCGTCAATTCCGTAACGAAGGTATCGATCTCACCCACAACCCCGAATTCACCACCTGCGAATTCTACGAGGCATATGCCGATGTTTACGATTTGATGGATACCACCGAGGACCTCGTCTCCAACCTTGTCAAGCACTTGACCGGTGGCTACGAGACCAAGTTCGAGACCCAGCACGGTGAGGTCTACACAGTCAACTGGGCCAAGCCTTGGAAGCGCATCGAGATGATCCCCGCTCTTGAGGAGGCCTGCGGTGAGAAGTTCCCCGAAGGTGATCAGCTGCACACCGATGAGACCAACGAGTTCCTCAAACGCATGCTCAAGAAGATGAACGTCCAGTGCTCTGCTCCTCTCACAAACGCCCGTATGCTCGACAAGCTTGTTGGTGAGTTCATCGAGGAGAAGTGCATCAACCCCACCATGATCACTGGTCACCCCCAGATGATGTCTCCTCTTGCCAAGTACCACCGCAGCAACAAGGGTCTGTGTGAGCGTTTCGAGGCTTTCGTCTGCAAGAAGGAGATTGTCAACGCCTACACCGAGTTGAACGATCCCTTCGACCAGCGTCTCCGTTTCGAAGAGCAGGCTCGCCAGAAGGAGCAAGGTGATGACGAGGCCCAGCTTGTCGACGAGACCTTCTGCCAAGCTCTCGAGTACGGTCTGCCTCCTACTGGTGGTTGGGGTATGGGTATCGACCGTATGGTCATGTTCCTTACCAACCACTACTCGATCAAGGAGGTTCTTACCTTCCCTTTCATGAAGGATGACAAGTCGCAGGGCGAGAAGCCCAAGGCTGCCGAGGTTGTCGACGTTACTCCCATGCCTGAGGAGGGTATTCGTAAGTCTTGCTTTATGTCTCGGTTTTGTAACTCTGTTTACTGACATTTTCTCCTTGCAGCTCACAAATAGACCGAGACGGATACTACCCGGCTGTGTGGAAGTTTGAAGAACTTGTAGGCCCAGCCATGGAAGCCACGAAGAAACAAAACACCGTCACATGTAGACACGATTCAATAAACGCTTTTCTGATCATTAGATTTCCGTCAATGTACTCGTATAGAGCCTGTTTGAGACTTGTGCTTTCTCGTTCTTTGCAGATTCTTTCGAGGGCTTTATAAGAGAGTATCGATGCCTATTTTGATATCATAATAACAGTAAAAGAAAAAGGGTAATGTTGTTCCAATGTACGCCGCCGGAAAGAAACCCCATGCTTCTTTCGAAGAATTGTGTCGAATGCTTATAGTTCTGGAGTCGTCGTCGTAACATCAATCAAGCCTCTACATAATGACTTCGTTGGTCACATCCCTGCGAAGATCCTTGTAGGGCAAGCAGACGCAGTTCTGGACGCGCACTTCATCGCCAACGTTGCACTCCTTGCCCAAAATAGTAACACTCTGGACTTTGACCCCGTTCTTGATGATTGTGGTGTGATGCTCACGAACGGGGGTGGGAGTGCCCTCGACACGAGCCCAGGCACCTACACGCGAGGACCAGCCAATGATGGAGTAGAGAACGCAAGCGTCGTGCTTGATCTCGGCGTCTTCCAGAACGATCGAGTCCTTGATACGAGCACCGGCACCGACGACAGCACGAGGACCGATCGAGACGTTGGGACCAATCTTGGCAGTGGGATCTACCTGTGCAGAAGGATGGATGTAGACGGGCGGGAGAATGGTGGCTGAGGGTTTGGCAAGGTCGTCACTCTGCTGCTGGAAGGCCTTCATCAGGTAGAGGGCGTTTGCGGGCACGGCGGAACCGGCAGTCTTGATCTGGCGCCAGAAATCGGTTGTCTCGAGGACAAAGAACTTTGAGCTGTCTGCCAAATCGGAAAGAATGTCTTGCTCAAGGCGGATAACCTCGTTCTTGCGGTTCTCGTCGTCTTCATCCTCGTCGGCATTGTTGAGCGAGAAGTCGCGGCTGTCGAGGGCCTCGGAGGAGGGGTAAGACAACAGACGGGGACGGTCGCTGCGACGCTTGATGGCGGTCTTGATGCTGGGGAAGATGCATTCGGTGCTGAAGAGGTAGACACCGCAGTTGATCAGGTTGCTAATGTGGCCTTCGGGCTTCTCGACATAGTGGAGAACACGCTTGGTATGGGTATCGCTGACAATGCATCCGAAGTTGGTGGCAGCGTCGTTGGAGACGCGTGTTCCCAAGATGACGGCTTCGGCGTCCTTCTCCTCGAAGAGACGCAGCATCTCGCCCAGGGGGAAAGAGCAGCAGACATCGGCGTTCAGGACGAAGAAACGGTCGGGGCGGCCCTTGAGAATAGCATCGCGGAAGTGGTACAGACCACCAGCAGTGCCTAGGGCGGTGTATTCACGCAGGTAGCGGATGGAGATGTGGGGGTATTCGCGGTGGGCATCCTTGATGAAGTCGCGGAAGACGGTCTCGTCGTAGTAGCCGACGAGGAAGACTTCGGTGATCTCGGGGACTCTGGTGACGGCGTCGAAGCAGTGCTGGATGATGGGCTTGCCGGCGACTTCGAAGAGGGGCTGTTGGCGCAACCTGGTCAGACCAAGATTCATGGGTGGGCAAGGATGCACCTGATCAAATTACCTTGGGCACATCCAGAGAGAGCGGGCGGAAACGAGTACCTCTGCTGGGTCCTCCGACCTGTGCGATTGCGTTAGCAGCTGCGAGATTTCCAGAAACATAGCTGCACTCACCAAGATGACAGCTTTAGTTGATGGCACAGGGTTGCGGCTCCTGCTGCGGGAGGGGAGTTGTAGCGACGCCATTACAAAGTAGAGAGAAAGTGTGTATTAGAGAGAAACAAAGGTAAGAAGAAGTCAAAATCTAGAAGGCAGTCAAGGTGAAATGAAATGAACTGGACAAGATGAATTAAAGCACCAGCTGTTCCAAGTGCATCAATCACCCCGCCGCTGCACGAATCAACGCCAGCCCAGGGGCAACGACGCAGCCTTGCAAGGGTCTGCCGCCCCTATTTCTGGCTCTGCGATACGAATATCCGTCTTTTCACTCATAACGATATTGCCTTGCCAGCTCTCATCCAACCGTTTGTACCACTACTCCCCCCTTTCTGCTGTCCTTGGTCTGGCCGTCTTGCCTGGAGCCACGTCACATAGTCCGCTGCTACTTACTGCTTGCTTCCAGCTGACACTTTCTCAATCACCTCCTATGGAGACATTGTAGCCAGCTCTGAGCGCACAACTCCCCGTAACTCTGGTCTTCGAGATCTATATGGGTGTCCTCAGATTAGGCATGTAGACACTATGTATAACAATTGCGATAGCGAGGTTTCGTATCATGGGCATCATCAAAAGACCGGGTTGCTACAAGTTCGCTGCTGGTGCCCCTTTCCCGGAACCCTACCCTGATGCTCGGGTTCACGCACAACACAAGGCTCGATCTCTAGCAAGCCTAAGGACCCGATGAAAGACACGAGGTGGTGACTTCAAGATCGATTTGGACTTTCGAGTCCAAAAATGTCTACATATTGGTGAAGCAGGGTCTCCCTTTCATGATCTCAACAGAAATATCAAGTGCAACAATCTTTTCTTTGACAGCATCGCAGACGGATTGACGGATTGACACTGATCGAAACACATGTCTTCGTTCGTAGAGGACTCAAGGCTAGGCTTGACACTGCTTGCCGCTGCCAGTCGATACTGTTCCATCAACCTGTCAACTTCAGAGTGGCTTTCATTAGCGAATAAAGTATTAAGACGAGATGCTCTCTCATGCAATCTTGGTTGCCGTTTTTCATCTGTCCCGAACCTTCGCCTGACAAGCACAAGGTTCAAGGCAGTATGGCCACACCCATGGACAATACTGCTGATGGGGAGAGAGCTTCATATGAGCTTTTCACCTCCGAAGAGGGCAATTGATTCAAGACAAGACGTAGTCGGAATAACACCGAGAACAGTTCTAGCTGAGGGTGAGGAAGACAGGGATCTATCTACAGCATCTTCCACTCGTTTGGAGACACACATACATCGATGCAAATTGACGCTCTTGTAAGCTATCACGACCAGAACTCCGAGCGGCTCTCTATTTTCTTGGCCATCCTTGGACGCAAGGTCAATTCTGAGATCCCCAAGCAGATTGGATCAGATACTATGCGAATCATGTCGACGTGGAAAAATATCTGCAAGAATCGTAGATCGAACACCTTGTAAACAATCTCTGGTCGGAGAAGTATACTGATTCTGCGACACGGCAAAGGTTCTCCTCGCTCAATTCAGAAGATGATCAGGTGCAAGAGACGAATTCTTTGGCGAATTCCTAGTTTAGAGTCTATCGTTCAATCTGCTAATAGCTCTCGATGAGTTCTCGAGAAGACTAGTGAGTTCTCGCAACGTCAACAGTTTAACCATATTGGGCTAGCGCGCTCAGACGAGTCACTGACCAACAGTCCCGCGCATTTGAGGCCATTGGTGTTCTGGATCTGCAATGTACGGACGAGGGCATCAATGCCTCTCGCTCTTGGAACCGAACATTGAGACAATACAATGCACACGAGCCGTGAATGTGTGGCTCGCTGTGGCAGTCACACGCCGAGAGCAAAATGGTAGACAATAGGTATTGATTCAATGAGTTTACTACACCTCTTCAAACCTCTGCAAGGGCACGTAGGCACCCCTGTCAGAGTTCCCATCACCTCGTTTCCCTCTGAACATACGAACAAGTCCATGGAACCAATCACTGACACTGCGGCTCTGAACTGCAGTGCCGACATCCATAAACAACTCAGCCTCGCCAACTTCTTTGGCAGCGGCATTTCTGATGAACCTCGGTGGCTTCCATCGTTTGAGCAAAAGACTCGATACAACAACCGTGACACTCGAACACGCCATTGCTGCACCAGCAGCCATAGGAGGCAAAGAAATACCCCAAGGTAAGAAGAAGCCCATCGCAATGGGTAAGCCGATTGCATTGTACAAACAAGCCCAGATCAAGTTCAACTTGATACGTCGGAAAATGGCACGAGACAGGGCGAGAGAAGAGGGTATGTCGAGAAGGTGATCAGGGCGCATGAGCACCACATCTGCAGCTTCGATAGCGACATCTGTTCCCGACGCGAGCGATATACCGACATTCGCGGTTGCAAGGGCAGGGGAGTCGTTGATACCATCGCCTACCATGGCCACAATGATGCCTTGAGCCTGGAGCTCTTCTACGATCTCGCGCTTGCCACTGGGAAGGACACCAGCATGGACATTGTGCTTGGGGATATTGAGAAGGCTGGCAACGTAGTAGGCCGTGCTTGCCTGGTCACCGGTGACGATCGAGCAGGTGATGCCCATGCGCTGAAGAGCAGAGATTGCTGCAGGTGCTGAAGATTTGAGTGTGTCGGAGAGTGACAGAGCGCCTGTGTAGACCCCATCAATCGAAGTGTGGATGGTGGTGACACCAGCCGATTGCTGCTTCGAGGCCGCATTCGCGTCTCTGCTGGCTTCAAGATCGTTGCTGTCATCCGCGTCTTCAGGGACTGCTACGCCGTGGGATCGCAAGTATGAGGTATTACCAATCATGACGTTGTAGCGTTTGCGTTCAGGCGAGATGGCTGCTTCTACAGAAGCTGAGATACCCTTGCCGACAGTAGAGACAAAATCACCTACACTGCCATCAAGTGTGCCGTCTGATCCAAGACCGAGATGTGTTTTTGCTGCATTCGTGATTGCACGCGCAATGGGATGTTCACTACCCATCTCAGCAAGTCCGATGATTGTCCACCAGAGACGAAGCTTCGCAGCGTCGGCGGTCCAGCCGCCTTGCACATCTGATCGGGATACGCTCATCTTGCCCATGGTCAAGGTGCCAGTCTTGTCGAGAACAATATGAGTCACCTTCGTGGCTGTTTCCAAAGTAGCTCCGCCTTTGATGAGAATGCCTTGCTCGGCGCCGACTCCAGTACCGACCATTACAGCTGTTGGGGTCGCAAGACCGAGCGCACATGGACAGGCGAAAACAATGACAGCGATACAAAGCTTGACGCAGACCATCAAAGGCCCACCACTGGTATCCTTAGTGAAGATAGTGGGTGGTGTCTGCAGGACGTGGCTCAAGATCATCCATGCTGTGAAGGTAGCCAATCCAAGTGTGATGATAATAGGAACAAAGTAACCAGCGACCACATCGGCCATACGTTGGATAGGAGCACGGCTGGTCTGGGCTTCTTGGACAAGTCTGACGATCTGGCTGAGTTGTGTATCACGGCCGGCCCTGGTGACCTGAAAGTCAAGTCTTCCTGCACCGTTGACAGTACCTGCCATGAGATTCTTTCCTTTGTTTTTCAGAATAGGCATTGCTTCTCCAGTGACCATACTCTCGTTGACGAAACTATCGCCTCGAATCACAGTACCATCAGCTGGTACTTTATCGCCTGGCTTGAGAATGACCACGTCGCCTACTTCGAGTAGTTCCGTAGGAACGGTCTTCTCCTCAAGTGCACCACTTGGTGAATTCTTTTCAGACTTCTCGTTATCGCCATCCCATTCATCAGCGGCCTTTTGTGCTGCAATTGGGTCCGTGTAGATAAGGGCAGTAGAAGGCGCCAGGCTCATAAGACGAGATAGAGCCGCTGAAGTTTGTCCTTTGGCTCTGTTCTCGAGGAAACGACCGAGCATAATGAAGGTGATAAGCATGGTGCTGGTATCGAATGTCGTAGCAGGTCTCGAATGTGGTGGTGTGAAAATCGAGACTAGCATAGCGGCGCAGCTGAAGAAGAATGCAGCAGAGGTTCCCAAAACAACCAGCACGTCCATGGTCGGTGAGCCGTGCTTGAGAGATTTGTAGGCAGATCTGTAGAATCGCTTACCAATACCGAATTGGACAGGTATAGTAAGAATAAGACAAACGACGTCTCCAAGCCACAATCCAGGTATCAAGGGAAGTTTGATGCTTCCAAAATCGAGAGGCTTAATGAACATAGGAAATATCATGCTGGTCAGAAAGACTGGGATAGCGAAGAAAAGGGATACTTTTAATGACCTGGACCATTCCTGGATCTCTTTTGTCTTTGCGAGCGATTCCAGTTGGGCGTTGTTGTCGTCGTTCTCGGCAGTCAAGGCATTGAGACCTTCATTCTCGATTGACTCGACAATGGCGCGAAGTCCAGTCTGTGTTGGGTCATAAGCAACCGAAGCTCTGCCAGTTTTGAAATCAATCTTGACAGCTGTGCTTCCCTTTCGCTTCTTGAGAGTGGCCTCGAGAGCCGAAGCTGCTTCGGCATTCTGGAGACCAAACAGCTTCAGTTCAACAGTGCTACTTGCTCTTCTGGAGCGAGAAGCTCCTTCTTCTCGCGAGGTCAAGATTTTGGCATCGAAGCCACAATCTTCGATGGTTTCAACAATCTTCTCGGGAGAAAGTTTCGTCGGATCATGCAGAACGACAGCCCTCTCGGCTAGCAGACTGATGTCGAACTTCAAAAGACCGGGGACGTCGTTGAAGCCGCTTGTTACTGCAGAAGTACAAGCACCACATGTCATTCCTTCGATTGCGACGATAGTTGTGAAGAGTACATCATTCTTCCTGCTCTGCCTTCTGGCCGAAGGTAGCATCTTGGTCCGTACGGGCTCTGAAGGCTTTGATTCAATGATAGATGCATCAAAACCAGTGTCTTCGATGGTCTCGGCAATGGTGTCGGCGCTAATTAATTTGGTGTCGTGCTCAATGACGGCTCTCTCGGACAGCAGGGAAATGTTGAAGCTCTTGATTCCAGCAAGATTTTTGAAAGCGCCCTCAACGGCAGAAGTACATGCGCCGCATGTCATGCCACCTACGCTGACGGTCGTGGTCATTAGGCCGGACGAGGCAGATGTGATGCCGAGACCCAAGGTTTCTTGATCCGACTCTTCTTCGACAATATCATCCAGTGTCGACGCGGGCAAATCGGTGTTGAGGACAGTTGCGTCGAATCCTCGGTCTTCGATGATTTCGCGAACCTGGTCGGCCGAGATTATGGATGCATCATGCATGACAACAGCACGTTCCATGACCAAACTGACCGAGACGCTGCCAACACCACTAACATCCTTGAAGCCAGATTCTACAGCTGAGGTGCAGGCACCACATGTCATGCCCTCTACTTTCAGGGTGGTGGTGGCCAAGTGCTTTGGTTGCGACAAGGGTTGGGGAGGTGTACGGGGACCCATGTTGTTGTTCCAGTTGGCGAACTGTGTTTGAGGGGAGGCGCGCGGTGATATGCCGTCGGATACTGTAGATGGCGAGCCATGTAGGGCGTTCTTGGGCGGCGAGCCAGTGGGAGAAATGATCGAGTTGCTGTCGCGGCGAGAGTCTCTTTGTGAGACTTGGAGATACTGTGGCGCCATGGTCGGTGTCTGCGACACAAAGGGAGAGCGCGACAAAGGAACGACGGCGACGTGACCGTCTAAGAATATGCAGGCTTGACCAGCAGGATACCTAACTCTTTTACATGTGCCTTGTCAGACTCAGCTGATCGTGACGGATTCCCCGGTCCTGCCGCGTGGCGCCTGTTTGTCGTAAGCGTCGGTATATCCGGCAGCCTGTCAACTCTAGAGGAGTGAGGGGGCAGGAAGGTGACTCAGAAAAATTGACAGTCTTCAGACACGAGGAAAAAACTATAGAACAGGAGCCATGGCGGTTGTCGCAATCAATACATGACCTCGAAATTGCATGGCTTGATGGCCGTTTCGCGAACGTGCAAACGATCCCCTGCATCTGGTGCGCGTAGAGAGGCGAAACACTTCCACGCGATCCGGCAGTCTGGCAGACCACCTTTCGGCCCCGGAACTCGGACATGCATATTGTATATCGATCCAATCAATATATCCCCGACGCTATTCTACCACACTATTCTTAGCATCCAACCTCCCTCGTCTCTGCGTGCTAAACACTTGAGCACTCTCGCGCACTTATAGTGGCCATAAGTTACACAACCCTTTCACAAGAGATTCACAGGGATAACGTTGTCTCGGCACCTTCTTGTGGCTGGCTATACTTCTGCTTGGGAGAAAGCATTCAATAGAAACCACAATCTGACGGCTTTTGGCACACCGCTTGGCGCCACGACTTTATTCTATCTCTATCTCTATCTCGACAAGAATCATGATTTCTAGAAAAAGTGTTCCACCTTGGTCCAAAGGAATCCGTCTCGAGATCTGTGTAGACTCTCCCTTAGTGCGTAATCATCCTGGGGAGCCGCAACGGCTTCTCTATTGACTCCCATGTGTCGACTACAAACTTCATACCACTGTTTCCTTTTTCAATCTCCTAGTACGAAGCGTTTGTACTTGAGTAGCTTTCCCCTCCATCTTGATTTTTCTGATCAACTTCTTGAAGCATCCAGCCTTCCCACCTCGATCCTGCGACCCACCATCCACTCGGAATCGTCCAGGCCGGATCTCGATGCCATCAAGTCTGGCCGTGGCTGATGCAGCTCGGTGCCGTTCGCAAACTTGAGGCCAAAGGCTCCGACGCTTCTCAGCTTTCGACACGCTTCCTTGGCAAAGTCTATCCATCTATTCTACCCAAGGTGCTAAACTTCGTATGTATCTACTTCAACACCAGCTACAGCAAAGAATAAAGCATACACTAGTAAAAGACACGACTTCTTCGGAAGCAGAGGTGTGTGCATGGGAAGCCACAAAGTTGTCACTTCCCAGTGAGCTCTAACCTGTTTCCTGGTCACCACACACGTTACATACCTTATCACAGGGAGAGAATGTACTTGCCCCCCTTCCTCGGCCTGAGTGAGTCTTGAATTTGCAACTTTGCTCTGAATCCTCCTCCCATGAGCCCCAGATCGTGGCTAGAGCATTTCAGCCACTGTCGATTTCTTGTCTACATTTCGTCACTCCGGCCGCTAAGGAACTTTCTTGTGCCGATCTCAACGTGCTACCAGCCTCAAAACGTGCCCTTTTTCCACACACTTCTACACAAAAACCTGACTTTTGGCAAGTCCAAGAGAGCGTGATGACAGAAGCGGCAGCTCTGGACAATCCTTCCCCTAACTCTGTCCCGTCTTGATGTCTTCCTCCGTGAGATCGACGTCAGATCCCGTTGCTTAATTTCAAAGCTAACTGGCTTCACTTGCTTCTAGTCATGCCCCAGCAGTTCATTCTTGTCTGTCTGGATGCGTGGAGGCTTGAAGTCTATGCCTACAAGGCGATGACGACGATGAAGCTCCTTCAGAGGTCTTCTCCATATCTTCCCAGACATTTCTCCTCAATTTCTGCTGTTTCCATCACTCACTCTTCCATCTCGTGTTCTATTCATCCCATAGTCCAAGATGAATATCAACCAACCTCTTGGTGGGCGCGGCCTAGCCATTCCTTTCACAAAGGCTGCGGATCCTAGCGCAGATCTGAATGATGATGACCTTCGTCTGCCCTTAATTCATCGCATTCCGGATAATATCAGGTACACGCTCAGTTGATGCATGTGTGTTTGTCCAATCTACTAACACCAATATAAGAAACCACTTCATCGCCATGTGTGGTGAATTCGTCGGAACTGTGCTTTTCCTCTACTTTGCTCTGTCTGGCGCTCAGGTTGCCAATAGTGTCAACACATCGAGTGGCCAGTCCATCGCCCAGACTGGTAGCAATCCTCAACAGCTACAATACATTGCTCTGAGTTTTGGGTTTTCTCTAGCTGTCAACGCTTGGGTTTTCTTCCGTATCAGCGGTGGACTTTTCAATCCTGCTGTCACCTTCGGCATGTGTCTGATCGGTGCACTTCCCTGGATTCGTGGAGCTCTCTTGTTTGTCACTCAGATTCTCGGTGGTTTGACCGCTGCCGCTCTGGTATCATGCATGTTCCCTGGCGATCTCAATGTCCGCACTACCCTTGGCGGTGGTACTACCATCGTTCAGGGCCTTTTCATCGAGATGTTCCTGACCGCACAGCTTGTCTTTACCATTTTCATGCTGGCTGCCGAAAAGCACAAGGGTACTTTCATCGCCCCTGTTGGTATCGGTCTTTCGCTCTTCATTGCCGAACTCACTGGAGTATTCTTCACTGGTGGCAGTCTCAATCCTGCTAGATCGTTCGGTCCTGCTGTTGTAGACCATGAGTTTGCAGGTTATCGTGAGTCAAGCCCCAAAGCTGAAACACCCCCCCCCCCCCCCCAAACCAAAAACACCACCACTACCCACGACTTCCTTCGTGCAACAAATTGAACACATTTCTGACTCTACTGGCAATCAGACTGGATCTATTGGGTCGGTCCAGTGCTGGGATCGATCGTCGCGGCTGGATTTTACAAGTTCATCAAGATTCTGGAATACGAGACTGTAAGTTGTACCCTTCGCTTACTACAACCCGCTCAGCATGACTAACACATTTCAAGGCAAACCCTGGACAAGATATGGATCATGCAGCCAAGGTTGAGAAGAGAAAGAACCTGCTGATGGCTGCCGGTATCAACGAAGTCGACGCTCACCACGTCGCAAACGAACTGCAGACCAACCAGACCGTGAGCGAAAAGGGCGGACCAGATGGAGCAATCGTGGCCAATGGTCAAGGCCGTCGCAACTCCGGAGAAGACACTGCTATGTACGGTACTGGATTCCGCTCAAACTCACATCAACACACTGGCTCTACCAGCTCAGGAGAGACAGCTGTTGTTCGAAGACCCCAGGCTGTTACCACCGGAAGCCAGCTAGGTCGTTTCAGCTACCTTGGCCGTGCCGGTGTCCACCAATCCAGAATGAACAGTACTGTCAACGAAACAAGACTGGAAAGTCCGGCTATGGCAACGAACGAGGAGCTCTATGCCCCACTTGCTGCAGGTGGTGACGAACCGCTTGGTGGCATGGTCGCAGACCACGACCCTAGGTATCGCTACTCTAGAACCATCAGCAGTGGTGTCTAGGTGGATTTGAACCCATTCACGAACTGTACGAATGATGTGACTTCAATATAGTTTCTTGTTGCTTGTATATAGAATAGTTAACGGTGCGAAAACTCATTTTCTAGCTCACATTCCACACATGAAGAGTACACTTTGCACGAGACAAATGCTAAAACAACGTCACAGAACTAAGAGGGTTTTAAGCACGCAGAGGTCGAACGAGCACGACAAAGGTTCAGCTAACACAATAGGCATCGCTAGGATCCAAAACGGCTTGCATCTAGGGGCATATAAATCTGTTTTACCAGTTGGCAAGAAGATCACGGTCCTCCGAAGACCAAGTAAAAACAACGATGAACTCCACCCAATCCAGCCCGCAAACAAAGTTCAACTATGGTCAGAAATAGGGTCGAGTTGTATGGCTACGACCAACCTGAAAGGTTGTGGTACTCTGTGCTCTGATATCTTGATGTTCGAAAGTGTGAACATCGCTCTGCTAAATGGTGGTAGTGATCTCGGCAACTGTCTGCCATTCCGATCTGTTTCTAAAGATCGTCAGCTCAAACACACATATATGGTTGATGGACCATCAAGCAAATGTGTCGTCGTGTACAATGGCTTGGTGAGAGTTCCTGACGAGATGCCAGGCTGCGCGATAATGAATCAAGAATGCACCACGTAAGCTTTGTCTGTGTATTGCTCAGTACCATTGGCAAGCTTGACCACATATGTATAACTGACCTGTGGGCACAGCATGCATCTCATCTCGCCTCAGCCCAATACCAGCCACATGCCTTGTTTAGGAAGACACAATGGTATCGCGGGTGTTCTGGATGTCTTTAGGACCAGTGCGACAACATCCTCCGATGAGTCTGGCGCCTTTTGCAAACCACTCTCGAACCAGCTCGGCATGTTCTTTGCCCTCGACACGTGGACCGTTCCACATTCTGGCTTCTGCGTTCCATGTCTCGCCAGAGTTTGGGTACACAATGAGCGGCTTATCAGTCAAAGGCTTGAGATAATCTAGAGCTGCGGATACATTCTGCTCGGGGATGCAATTGACACCCACAGCTACGATTTGGTTGCAAGCGTTGACCAGGTCAATGACCTCTGACATTGAAGAGCCGTCACTCAGTAGAGACGCATCTGATTCTCTGAGCGTGACACCCAGCCAGGCGGGTGTGTCTGGGAAATCTGTCTCGAGCAGTTGAATCAAAGCCTTGATTTCTGGCAAAGATGGGATAGTCTCATAAGCCAAAATGTCCACATGGGCTGCCACCAAAGCTTGGATGCGAGGTCTGTGGAAGTCCTTGAACTCATCGTTTGACAGGTGGTAATCACCCCTGTATTCACTTCCGTTGGCAAGGAAAGCACCATAAGGACCAACGCTTCCCGCAATGAGAAGCTTTCTCGGTTGGACCAAAGGATTCTTCTGTTTCTCCTCTTGAAGGACAGTATCACGAGCCTGTTGAGCGAGCTCCACGCTACGACCGATGAGCTTCTGGGACTGCTCGAGGCTCATGCCGAGGTGTTGTGATAAACCGAGTGGGGTGGCTTGGTAGCTTGCAGTGATGGCGATATCAGCACCAGCTCTGAAGTAATCAAGATGGACTCCATAAATGGCTTCTGGTGTTTCCTCCAAAGCTTTGGCAGACCACAATTTTGAGCTGAGATCGAGTCCACGAGTCTCGAGCTCTGTTGCGAGCGCACCATCCAAGATCAAGGCAGGAGCATCTCCAAGCAATTTTGCCACTGGATCGACGAAAGGAGACATCTTCAGTTCGGTTGTCTCTTGGCCGGATGTGAGATGCCGCGTGAGGGGAATATAGAGTGGTGTCGGTCAAGCAAGAGTGCTCTGGAAGCATTTTCGAAAGATTCGCATGTTTTTCTAGATAGGGAACTTTTAAGCGAGGAGAAAAACGGCCGACAAACTAAAGCATGTCTTCATGCCAGTTCAACGACAGGCTTGTGATGGACGATAACGAATTTCTGGCATTTCAATCTCTACACGGTCCTGAAATGATGAACAGATCAGACTCGTAGATAGCAGAGACTGTGTGTCTTGGCTGCTCGAGCGACTTGTACAGAGAAACGATTGCTGGACATGCTCGGAACGAGCAGGCAAGGACGCCGAGAGCTTATCGATAGTCGCTCAGCGAAAGACCCTGAAAACGACGAGCTTCGCCTTCTCTCCGTTTCGAAGGAAAGCTTGACACGACACATGCGATTGAGGATTACAAAGCAGTCAAATCAGAATGCGCCATCAAGCGAGCTTCTGTCTTGTTGCTGAGACCGAGGTTTCAACTCGGATACGATCAAATTTCTCAAGGAGCTTAGGTATGCCTACTGCTTTATAAGCTCATTTAGGTATTTCGTCATCTCGATTGAGCTCCCTTCTTATTAAGAAGTGTTCCCCTCGTCTTCTGTTGTTCTCACCTTCCACCACATCCTTTCACCTCCCGCTTTACACGTACACAATGGTTCAGAACAAGGCTTTGATCTTCAAAAAGGTGCCTCAGGGCCTCCCCGTGCCCGGTGAGCACTTGACCATCGAGTCGACCGAGTTCGACATCGACCAGGCCCCTCCCCAGGGCGGCTTCACCGTCATGAACCACTACATCAGCTTTGACCCTTACCAGCGTGGCCGTATGCGTGATGCCAAGGTCAAGTCCTACTCGCCTCCCTTCACTCTCGGCAAGCCCATTACCAACTCTGGTATCTCGACCGTCCTCAAGTCGGACAATGACAAGTTCAAGGCTGGCGATGTCGTTGTCATGATGCAGGACACTGCTGAGTACAGCGTTGTCTCTAAGGATCAGGCTGCTTCCGCCCGCAAGCTCGAGAACCCCTACAACCTCGACCCCAAGCTCTTCGTCGGCGCCCTCGGCATGCCCGGTCTTACCGCCTACTCGAGTTTCTACGCCATTGGTGAGCCCAAGAAGGGTGAGACCATCTTCATCAGCGCCGCATCTGGTGCCGTTGGTCAGCTCGTTGGCCAGCTTGCCAAGCACGAGGGCCTGAAGGTCATCGGCTCCGTCGGTGACGACAAGAAGAAGGACTACATTACCAACGACCTCGGCTTCGACGGCGCCTTCAACTACAAGAACGAGAAGCCTGCCGATGCCCTCGCCAGACTTGCTCCCAACGGTGTCGACATCTACTACGAGAACGTTGGTGGTGAACACCTTGAGGCTGCGATCAACGCCATGAACGACTTCGGTCGCATCATCTGCTGCGGTATGATCTCGCAATACAACACCGCTCCTGGTGAGCAGTACCCCATCCGCAACCTTATGCAAATCGTTGCCAAGCGCCTGAAGGTTCAGGGCTTCATCGTCGGCGACGAGGGTATGGGCCCCAAGTACTTTGCCGACCACCAGAAGAACGTCCAGAAGTGGATTCACGAGGGTACCTACAAGCCCCAGTTCAGTGTCACTGAGGGTATCGACAACGCCGCTGAGGGCCTCCTTGGCCTGTTCTCGGGCAAGAACTTCGGCAAGGCCGTCCTGGAGATCTCTAAGCTTCAATAAATGTGCCACACAAACGATATGAGACATGACCATCAATCAAAATATACATCGTACATTCACCCATTCCCTTTTAAACAATTTACCTTTGTCCTTTCGTGAATGTGTCAAGAGTAGTTGCCAATATTAGACAGGCGGGTATTGTTCTTATAGCGTTCTTATAGCCCCGCTCATGTATCGTCATTACAGTATCCACGGAAAAGTATTGACTAGTTTGACTCATGGCTGAAATGTGCTTCTCTTCAAAAAGGGAGGATCTATTGTATGAGAGCAGGAAAAAAGTACTTGTTCTCACGAACAGAAATTTACGATTTAGAACCATCGGAGAGAGAAAGAATGGGATAGTCATAGCGCGACAAGATTGCAACGAGGACAGCGAGGTCCATTACAGGAGGTACTGAAGTAAAAGGGGAGATAAAAAAAGCTTGGATCCTGATAAAAACCTATAATTCCAGTTCCCAACCATGTTCTTCGATGTCCGTGGTAATGATACTCTCAATGCGCTACGTGCGCAACCATGTTTCTCCTCGCCCCGCACCAGCCATCTTCCACAACCGAGCAGGGAGATCATGTACTGTGTCAAGGTTTACTCCAGCGACTAGTCGATGCTCAGACGCTTCATGCTCTCACCAAGAACATCGTTTCCACTGGACGTGTTAGTGACTTTGTGAACAACCACACTGGCTCCTTCTCTGTACCAGAGATATCTCTTGCAGTCTCTAGCCGATGCACGCTTCGAAGGGTCCCGCATCATCATTGCTTTGAACAAAGGAACAGCTTGTGCGGGAATATTGCAGCGAGTGGGTGCGGTTGCAAAGTTGCTGATGGTGGTGTTGAGGATTTTCAACAGGACGACTCCGAGAGACCAGATGTCTGCTCTGCTTTCAAAACCCCGAGTATGAATCTCCCCGAGCTCTTTTGCAGTCTCGGGAGCTCTGTAAGGCTCGTAGGCGCGTCCAGACATTGGCTCATAAGGAAGTGTCGGGTCATTGTCGTCGTCGACGGTTTTAGAGATGCCAAAGTCTGCAAGCTTCAGGAGGTAACACGGTTTGCGCTCAGTGCCGGTCAGGAAGACCAGGATGTTGTCGGGCTTGATGTCTCGGTGGACGATGGCTGGTTGGAGGGAGTGGATATGATGGAGGGCTTCGGTCATCTCGTAGGTCACGAGCTGCGACAGAGCTACATGCTGGCTCTTAGGAAGTTGATGGTGAAGGTCTCCGAGGTTGCCTTCGGTAGCGAATTGCAGAACGATGCCACCTTCATCCAGATTCTCAAGATACAAGAGGTCCAAGAGCTCCATGAGTTGGGGGTGATTTTGAACTTGGGTCAGTCGTGTAGCCTCTACACGAAAGATGATCTTCTTGGGTGTTCCGCGGTGATCACCAGTAGTAGGAACGACCTTCATGGCGAATACTTTCTGGTCCTTGAGTCTTTGGACTTCGAACACAGTACTGAAACCGCCACTACCGATGCGCTTCTTGACTTTGTACTTGAGCTTACGATCGCTGAACGACACGATGGTGGCACCGATCGAAAGCTTGCTCTCGAAGCCCATCATGTTGGCGCAGATTTAGGATGATTCCTGGTTCTTGTATTTGTCTGTGGCTGAGGAGTAGAAAGGTCGGTTTAGCTTTACGTCTTGTAGTAGTGAGATGGAAAGGATGCAAACATCCAGATGTGTACGTCTGAGACTTTCAAGCATTACAACAAATGGAACAAGTCGTGGCCAGCTTTTCCGGAAACGAGACATATATGTCTGTACCAAGAGTTCCATCGTTGGAGGATATTAGGTAGATGGAGCTTGCTCTGACCAGACGAGCAATGCACGCTCAGATGGATGAGCAGGGCTTCGAGACACTGTGGTGCGAATAAAGAAGCGTGTTAGAAGAGACGCGAGACCCAACCAAATGTTGAAAGGGATGTCTGGGTGACCTTTTTGTGTTGCTTGTCTAGGATTGAGGTAGGCCTTGTTATCGCAATGTTCCCTTCGATCTCGTAGCTGTCATTCAATTTCTCATTGTCGAGACACTTACGATGCCAGAAGTTGTCCTCGTGGTCGAAGTCTCTCGTCACGCAAAGCCTTGACAGTCTCAGTTGTCTTAAGATTAGTGGACGTCGGATGTCGTATGATGTTTTTCTATTGGTTGGATGAATCACTCACGCTTTGCGTTGCAAACCACGACCTACGAAGGAAGATCCAAGGTTCCGAACGCAGTATAGACGGCACCAGTCACAGACAAGAAACGTTTGCGTGCTGTGTTGTCTGACGCTTTGAGCGATCCCGCCAATGATCTCCGGCACGATGTCTCGCTTTCCTCATCCAATTACTAGGTAAGCAGTACGATGTTGCTAGACCAAGATTGATGGATCCCAATTGCAGGAGATCTAGAATAGGAAATTTCAAAGGCGCAGCTATAGATGTTCTCGGCGCCTATTATGCTGGACGGATCTTTCGGAGTCTCAAATTTCGAAGTAGTGGCCAACCTTCGTGACGGGCAGGACATGGTCGGATGAATGTATTCTGGGTAGCTTGAGCTTACTTGGGCCTCAAGGCCATGTCAAAGGCATGTGTTAGTGGTATGAATTCAATGTGCGGATGCTCACGCCACGCGTTAGACGAGCGGGAGAGGTCCAACATGCACGTGTAAGGATAGTACGGAGGTAAACCTCGGTCACGATGAGGTTGAATGAAACCGGACAGTCTTGGCGCCCGTCAGCCTCTCCCCGCCGCAACGGTCGCCATCACACCCCCAACATTCAAAGATTACGATAATCCTCCTGCTTTTTCCACCATGTTCAAAGCCTAATCTATAAATTGCCAGATCTTCCCTCTATACCTCCGAGTCACGCAGTCCTGAGCGCGAACGTGGTATTGATCTGTACAGCGCGTATATCCCACACTCTACCGCGCTCGGACGCCGTCTCGAGCATAAGACAAAAACCTGAATCTGATTCTGAATAAAAAAGATTCACACGCCTGCTTCGGCTTGTCGAGGTATAACACAAGCATGTCAGCAGTTCGGCTTGACTCAGCCCAGCCTGAGAAGAAATCAAAGTTGAGACGATCGCGAGATGAGTCTGACTCCAACAACGATGAAAGCAAGAAAAGAGGAAGACCTCGATTAGATACACAGGACGAGTCGACTGCTGATGTAAGTATTTTGTTCGTTGTGTGCAAACGAGGGAACGGAACCATCGCGAAAGACAAGAAATGAAAAGAAAAAAAAGCATCTTGTTAGCTCGTCGCTATATCACTGTTGATGCCATCTTGTCATACGAACGATCCACTGACTTGTACAGAAACGAAGATCACAGATCCGCCTGGCTCAAAGAGCCTATCGACAGAGAAAGGAGGACACTATCCATGAACTTCGTAAACAAGTCCAAGAACTTCAATCTACCATCCACTCGATGAACCAGTCTTTCAGCGACTTTTCCCAAAAATGTTCTGCCGCCAATGTTCCACCCACCCTGCTAGCTGATCTTCAAAACATTGGCCAGATACACTCTGGCCACATCCGAGCCGACTCGCTGAGTCTGAAGGGATCTCCAGAGCGACACCCTTTTACAGCCAATCCCATTGCAGACACGAGCATCAAAGAGAAGGACTCGTCTCTTACTGCGGAGGCAAACAACATCTCGCCCCGAACCGAGGATAAGCAGACTATCTGGAGCCCTCTCACTGCTCCTGTCGATGCAGCGGACTTTTCTTATGGAACTGAAGACAATACTGTATCGACGTCTATGCTGCGGTCTTTAGGAATTCCGGCGTCATACAGTTCATTTGAAAGAACGTTCGCTAGGAGGCTTCACCGGGCGAGCTGTGAGTATGCCTATCGACTTGCTTGTGACCCCACCCGAGTTCCTGTACTTTTCAACAACGTTTTCAAATTGACACTTAAGGCTGCTGGTACCGTTGATCGACTCAAGTATAGTCTGCAGTCAACTCTGAGTCGAAGCACAAGAGAGCCACTCTCAAACTGGGGTGTCACATATATCCATGTCGGTGGTGCGGGTACACATTATCCTAGACCACCCGAAGAGGGCGGTCTTAGTTATCAATCACCAACCTCTTGGGCCGTAACCGCAGTTGGACCTCATAAAATTGGCGGATCTACCATTGAAGAGGCTCTTACGGCAGAAATGTTACTGCGCGGAGTTATGGGCTTGGTCGGTTTCCCTACATGTGGAATCAAATGTACAAAGCTAATCGTGTGTCAGGATGGTGAATGGTTCGACGCATACGACGTCGAGGGTTATCTTGCGGAGAAAGGCATTTATTTGGACCCCAGTGCGACTTATGCGGAGATCGAGCTGCCAGAAGAAGAGTCTATCAGCCCAGAATCTTCTGTGGGAACTCCCCCTATGGATCCGATAACAGCGCGCGTTCAGAACTTGGTTGCCTCAGAACCTGTCTCTCGTCCGAGCCACTCTACATATTATCCTGGTCTACCGAACGTAGGATATATGTCTCCAGAGATGAACAATATTCCCCCTCGAAGGTCTGATCCCGGATGGCAACCGCACTTTGAGTTACCAGTTGACGAACGACGGTCGACGCTGCCCCTGGTTGGCCAACAGTACGGAACAATGCCAATGACAGAAAATATGTATGCCTACGCCTTTCAGCCAGTGCGGAAGTCTCGCTTCACGATTGATGTTGGGAAATTCGTCGAACGTAAGCATTTCTTTTTCTGTCGAGCCGATCAAAGTTGACACAAGACACAGAGATGTATTTATCAGGAACCTGCTTGATGCGAGCGCCAGGATATCGCCGCAAGGATATTGACATTGCTCTGCGACGAGCAATAGTATCAGCGCACTAGCAGTTCAACCTGGGCATGGCTCAGAAATGTGATACGTGCCTCAAGGATTAGTTCAAAAACTCATACACACTGCCTCTTCATATGGAGAAAAGCTCAGTTTTCAGTGCAACATATTAGCATGTATAAGATGTTCCAGAACAGTATAACATGTTATGCCTTTTGACCTAGTGATTGCCCTGGCGACAGACAGTGGCTGAGACGAAGAGCGACTATCGCCAAACTTTCTCTCGCAGCCCCACTACTCAAAAGAAAAAATTGTCATATCGTGCCATTCTAGAAAGCATACTAGTTGAGTGAGGAAAAGATGGCAAAGGGCCGAGCGAAGGTATTTGCTAATGATGGTGGTGATTTGAGGTCGGACCACACTGTTTACATGGTCAGTGCCATTGTTTACAGCAGGCCCTGCCAGGAGGGGTCAGCCCAGCGACGACCTCAGTTTGGAGAAGTCTTCTGGCAACAGCAGTGTATAGAGACCCTGGATGATGATGACAGAGCGTTTCGAAAACGATAGGCTATACAGTAGTGTAGCTGTTTATTGTGTGTATCCAAATCAATCGATGAACTTGGTGCAAAGAGGTGAAGGTGTCAGTATGCTTTCCTTCATTTTTGTCTTGGCTTTTTTGGTGACGACAGCGTTCCTTTCCATTCTACGGAAGGTGCGAGATTGTCTGAATAACCAGATGTTCGAGAAATACGTTTTTTGCAAAATGGCAACCAGGAAAAGACTAGACTATGTAGATGTGGTTTTGGAGAGAATGAGATACAAGGAAGGGCAAAGAGCAGGTGAAATCATGCACTGATTCCTGAATAATGTGGGATGGATTGAGGAAGACACTCTGAAGCGGGCTGTTGGTCGTGTCCCAGGGTTTTGCACCTGCCGGCGATTCGTTCATTCCGGCCGTGAACGAACCAGAAAAGCAGCTGTCCCCTTAAACATCGCTTCCTCCGCCACGACCTTCAAAACTTAACACTCCTTCTTCTGTATTCCCGACGCTCTTGTAGTCAGGCCAGGTCAGCCTGCTTAATTCTTTTCCTTACACGCCTCTTACCTGTTACGAATTGCGCAAATCATGGATGCCTCCGCGTTGCTTTCGGCGACTCTGTCGCCTGGTACGTCCATTCCTTGACTGCGCTGCTTGTCTTGAGCAGGTCTCCGACAGGAAGCTGACAGTCAACAGACACTCAAGTCAGAACTGCTGCCGAAGCGCAGCTCAACCAGGCCGCAGAGGCCAACTTCGTACGTATCTGACAGTCTTTTCACAGCCTTCCGGGCACGTGCTGACATTCGAACCACTAGTCTGGATACCTCACCCATCTATCACAAGAACTCGCCAACGAGCAAGCACAACCTCAAGTGCGCATGGCCGCCGGTCTCGCACTGAAAAACTCTTTCTCCGCCCGTGAATACACCCGCCTACGCGAAGTCCAGGATCGATGGATCAACCAAGTCGACCCCAACGTCAAGCAATCAATCAAGGCTCTCGCCCTTCAAACACTAAAGTCAAATGACTCCAGATCAGGACAGTCCGCAGCTCAATTCATCGCCTCAATCGCCGCTATCGAGATTCCCCGCGAGCAATGGCCCGAGCTCATGCCCACTCTGGTGCAGAACGTTGGCGAGGGTGCCGACCACCAAAAGCAGGCATCCCTCACTACTATTGGTTTCATCTGCGAAGCTGAGGATCAGGACCTTAGAGATAGTCTCTCTCAACACTCCAACGCCATCCTCACCGCTGTCGTCCAGGGTGCAAGAAAGGAGGAGCCCAACGCCGATGTCAGAAATGCCGCCATCACTGCTCTGGGAGACTCGCTCGAGTTTGTCCGCACCAACTTCGAGAACGAGGGTGAGCGCAACTACATCATGCAAGTCATCTGCGAGGCCACTCAGGCCGATGACAACCGCATCCAGCAGGGTGCATATGGCTGCTTGAACAGAATCATGGGCCTTTACTACGATAAGATGCGTTTCTACATGGAGAAGGCCCTCTTCGGCTTGACCATCCAGGGCATGAAGAATGACGAGGAAGATGTTGCCAAGCTTGCCGTCGAGTTCTGGTGCACCGTCTGCGAGGAGGAGATCTCTATCGAGGACGACAATTCTCAGGTACGCATCCAAACAGGAGAATTTCTGTGAACAAGACTGACAGATGGATAGGCTACTGCTGAGGGATCCACAGAGATGCGCGAATACTTCAACTTTGCCCGCATTGCAACTCCCGAGGTGGTGCCCGTTCTGCTCGAGCTGCTTGCCAAGCAGGACGAGGATGCTGCCGATGATGAGTACAACATCTCTCGCGCTGCTTACCAATGTCTGCAGCTCTGGGCCCAGACCGTTGGTGGTGTTATTGTCCCCGCTGTTCTTCAGTTCGTCGAGAAGCACCTCCGCTCCGAGGACTGGCACTACAGAGATGCAGCTGTCTCTGCTTTCGGTGCCATCATGGAAGGACCTGACGAGAAGGTCCTTGATCCCCTGATCAAACAAGCTCTCCCTGTCATGATCGGCATGATGGAAGACCCCGTCATCCAAGTCAGAGACTCGGTCGCCTACGCTCTCGGCCGTATCTGCGAGACCTGCTCCGACTCGATCGACCCCAGCACACACCTGCAGCCCCTGATCAGCTCGCTCTTCAACGGTCTGTCCAGCCATCCTAAGATGGCCTCGTCCTGCTGCTGGGCTTTGATGAATCTTGCCGACCGCTTTGCTGGAGAGCCAGGATGCCAGGAGAACGCTCTATCTGCCCACTTCCAGAACAGTGTCACCCACCTCCTGCAGGTTACCGAGAGGTACGCTGATGAGTATGCTTGTGTCTTGGAACCAAACTGACGTGTCATGTAGAACCGATGCCGACCACCAGCTCCGTACTGCTGCTTACGAGGTCCTCAACGCCTTCGTCACCAACTCGGCCAACGACTCTCTCCCTATCGTCGGCCACCTTACCAACGTCATCCTCGAGCGTCTCGAGTCTACCATTTCTATGAGCCAACAGGTTGTCAGTGTTGAGGACAAGCTCATGCTTGAGGAGATGCAGACTAGCTTGACCAGTGTCGTCATTGCCATCATCCAGCGTCTCGAGACCGAGATCAAGCCTCAGGCCGATCGCATCATGCAGCTCATGCTCCAACTGCTCAACACTGTTGGCCCCAAGTCCTCGGTTCCTGACACCATCTTTGCTGCTGTTGGTGCCCTTGCCAGCGCTGTCGAGGAGGACTTTGCCAAGTACATGGAGGCCTTCGCTCCCTTCCTGTACACTGCTCTTGCCAACCAGGAAGAGCCTGCCATCTGTGCCATGGCCATTGGTCTTGTCAGCGACATCTCGCGTGCCTTGAACGAGAAGATCCAGCCGTACTGCGATGCTCTGATGAATAACCTTCTCAACGACCTTCGCGTAAGTCTAGCGAATCATCCGGAGTTCCACTACTTTTCTGACGAATTTTGACAGAGCTCGACGCTCGGCAACCAATTCAAGCCAGCCATCCTCCAGTGCTTCGGTGACATCGCTCAGGCAATCGGCGGTGCCTTCGAGACCTACCTTTCTGTCGTCGCACAAGTCCTGCAGCAGGCCGCCTCGATCAATGTGCCCGACACTTCCTTTGAGATGCTCGAGTATGTCGTCACTCTCCGCGAAGGCATTATGGATGCCTGGTCCGGTGCTTTGATGGCCATGAGAACTGGTGGCAAGAGTGAGTGCAAATGGCGGGTTGCTTCTGCTTCTGTGACACTAACTGGTTTATAGGCCAACTCTTGGCTCCTTACGTCGAGTCCATCTTCAGCCTCTTGCAGACCATCTACCAAGACCCCAACCGCTCTGAGGCTTTGCTTCGTACGAGCATGGGTGTCATTGGTGACTTGTCCGAGACGTTCCCCAACGGCGAGTACAGTGCCTCCTTCAGCCAGCAGTGGGTTACCAGCATGGCCCGAGAGGTCCGCGCCAACAAGGAATACTCTCAACGCACCCAGGACACTGCCCGCTGGGCTCGCGAACAGATCAAGCGCCAATCTGGTAAATCACTACTCCAAGCACTTTGACCAAAAATTCCGTTGCTAATCAAGATGTTTGTAGCCGCTGCCGCCAACATTCAAATGTCCTAGGAGATATGGCAGTATGGCAGAAGAATGGCCAGACCCTAGACACATTTCTGCTCGGAAGAGAATCTTCTGTGCGCACACTGAGACTCTGTTGATAACAATACCTCTCGTTTAAGCTCGGCACGAAGACGAGACGAGAGCAACATTGACAACCGGACTCCTCACCTCACAGGCTCTAGCCCGCGCTTGACACCATGAAGCGGGAACAAGCAGCATTTCGAACAACTGCACAGCAGAATAGGGGCCACGTTTTGAGCTGCAGAAGAGCGAGGAGGAGGAAGACGCATGAGTTTCGAAGAGAGGTGCAAAGGGTGCAGAGCGCTTTTATTGAACGAAATTGCATGCCCTACGCACCGTCCCCCATATCCTACACCCACAATACACCGATCCATGACACCATACCCACACTCATCACACATCCCATCCACTAACATCACCATCCATCACGTACCCCATCCAATGAAAGACTCATGTATACGCACAATCATGTAAGGGAGGACTAGACTTTTTTTTGACCACACTCGTCGAGGGGGGTGTCAAGCAACTTTGACGAGCTAGTACCTAGAACCCAGATAAGCCCTTCGAAACCTTTTACGATACCCAAGATCATTGCTTTCACATGACCTTTTGGTTTCTCATATTCAGACTTGATAATGCTTTATTCCGTGAGTGTTCTTTTCTCGACTTCAAAAGTAACGGCCATTCACCATCAATCTAAGTCGAACGAATGCAGTAGATCGATGCCTCATACGATGTTGCACACGATCGTAAGCTCAGCCAGGATTTGTGAAGAAAGCAGCTGTGCCACCCTGCGAAATTCCATGTGCCTTTGAATACTGTACGATAAGGGAATGCAGATATGCTTCTTGATTGGTCTCAGTCGATGTTTTTGCAAGACATCAGTAGGGGTAGATTTGGCTGCTATATACCTGACTACTCTGCCAAAGAAGAATGCCAATAAAAGTGCTTTCGCAAAAGAAGTGACGAGAATAGGAGAAAGATTTGACCCTCGAGTGATATAACCCGTCGTTAGCACCCAGAAGGTTCCTCGGCAAATGCCCCAAAACCCTGAACGCCGGCGCATATAATAGAGATGATAGTGCATATGTATGTATATTAGGAATGGGGTAAAAGAGAAAGAGGAGAGAAGCAGAGGTCGCGCAATGGGGCTAGATCTACCGCCTGCTTGCCCTGGGATCATCGGCTTGTACCTTTTTCCAGTCTCGCACCTCCTTGGTCCCGATACTACCGCCGCCACCTTCGACCCTACGTTCCCAGCCACCCAGGCGTACGACTATAGCAGTAGCATTGTCAGATCTGACGCCAGCAATTTCAGTGGCAAACGTCGCCAATTCTTTGGAAGCAGCTTCTGGTGTCTTTGCTTCTTTGACAACATCGACAATCTCCTGGTCTTCGAGTGATGCTGTCACGCCATCCGAGACGAGAACCAGGAAGCTGTATTCACTGGGCTCCATATGGGTCATGCGGATTTCTGGTTCTGCAGATACACCTATGCGTTTGGAGCTGATATCGCCAAAGGACCTGGTGTTTGCAAGGCCGAGAATACGCTCTTCGCCGAAACTGTCGGTCACGAAGGTTGCGGCAAAGCGACGGAGACGAGTTGCTTCGACTGGAGTGGATGGATGGTGGTTCGTGGTCAATGGTACTGCTTTGCCGTCGCTCACACGACAGAGCAGAATACGAGTGTCGCCGCAGTGTGCTGTCACGATTGTAGCTGGAGATGCCGGGTTCCAGAAGGGAGTTGGTGTTGGCGTGGAAATCAAGGCTATTGAGGCTGTAGAGCCACCCTGGAAGCGGGTATGTCCGCCTATAGGGCGGTTGAGGACGTTGGAGAGATTCTGTGAAGCAGGCCTGGCGGGAGAGGAGAGGATGTCGTTGTCGTTGAGAGGCCGGTCACTTAAGACAGGATCATCTGTAGAGGCGGGAAGAGATGGCGAATGCTTGGACGCTTGGGCTGCAGTGAAGTCCATGTCGGCGTGGAGGAAAGCATACATCAAGGTAGCTTGGATTGAGTTGACGGCAGTGGGCTGCTCGTCAGTGCTGGCGGTAGGCTTGAAGATGCTGAAGTACTGAGGGCGGAAGCGTCGAAAGTAGCCGCCCACGGTATCTTTCCAAGTGTTGACCAGGTTACGTTGCAGGTCATGGACTTGGTTGTGACCAATATCGGTATATTTGGGGTCTTGAAGACTGCTTTCCATGTGGAACTTGATGGCCGAGTCCTCCAGATATGTGTGTAATCGGTCTTTCAAGAACTCGGAACATTGAGCGCCGCCATGACCATCAAAGACACCAAAGTAGAAGACCTGAGGGTCGCCGCTCTCACTGGCAGCGCCAGTCTCTTGCAGGGCTTTGTTTGCGCGGGTCAAGCTGACAGGTTGGCGTTTGGCAAAGGCGGGTATCTCGATGGTGCCGGCCTGGTGCGTGTCTTCGTTGTGCGGGCGACCGCCTCGCAAGCAGGTGGCTCCATAGTGGTGCTTTGCCGACTTGAGGGGAATGCGCACGACGGTCGTGTCGCGGCGTGCGGCAGATAGGACGGCGGGCTGTCTACCGGACGGCTTGTCGTGAGGGGCGGCGACGTCGCGAGGCAGTTTGTGGTTCGAGTCCGGGTGCAGCGACGATTGCGGCAGGTGCGTGACAAAGTAGTCGTGGAAGCAGCGTCGCCATGACCGTGTCGGCAATGAACATGGTCTCATACTGTCATGGCAGGGCAAGAGGCGATGGACTCACGACATGGCCGGTCTGGGATGCCGAGCCCACTCGACTTTTTGCCAGTCGACGCTCTTGCAAACGCGGGCACGGCGGAGAAATGGAGCTCCCCAGCGTCATCAGCGTCCAGAGCCTGCCAAGATCCTGGAGACACTGCAACATCTCCATGCCATCTCCATGACCCGCCAGTCCGGTAGCCTTGGTCCCTCTTCCGACATCATGGCCAGCATTGGCAATCGCTATATTCATCACATCGCCATCACTGGAAAGCAACAACACACCAATCTGATCATACATAGTAGACCTCGAGTCTTTCGATTAAAACATGAGTTGCCAAAAAGCATACTCCTATGGCAATAAACATAACTCTAACGACATCCATGTCCCAAACTCCAAGAATCCGTTCCAGTCGTGTGTTTCCATGCCCTTGATACGAAAATAGTAGAGGCGACGAGGCTGTGAGCTCAAGCCAAGTCAAAACTTACTCTGGCCTTTTGTTCCTACAGAGAGAAAAAGGAAGAAGGCCATGTTCTTGTCGAAACTAACACGCCATTGACTTGTTTATCTGATGGTAGTGGTCTTGGTAAGGGATGCCTTGGCCGAGGCAGCGCCCGAAGCCCCGGCAGCAGAGGTACCACCAGCCTTCTTCTCGAACACCTTCCAGAACTTGAGAGACTCATCAGCAGCGGCGGTTGCGAGCATCTGACCGTCAGGAGACAGGCAAGAGTGCAACACACGAGATTCGTGAGCGGGGATCTCGACATTCTTAACCAGAGTGGGGTAAGACCAGATGCTCAGAGAGTTGTCAGGGAAGCCAGACGAGCTGACAAGCTCCTTGTACGACGTGCTCCACTTGAGTGAGGTGACCTGGCTGCCAGTGTCGATGCTGTTGGTGCGAGCACCAGAGGTGGTGTTCCAGAAGTGGATCATGCGGTCGTGAGAACCACCACCAGTGGCGAGGAGGTTGGATTGCCAAGGGCACCAGGCAAGAGCCTTGACGGCAGCCTTGTGGTTGGTCTTCTGGAATTTGGGTGCGTTGAGCGAACGAGCATCCCAGATGCTGACAAGGTTGTCGTTGCCGCCGGTGGCCAACTGGGCACCATCGGGGCGCCACTCAAGACCACAAACCTCACCAGTGTGAGAGACGAGCTCAGCAACCTTGTGCTGGGCGATGCGGACATCGTGGTTGTAGACGAGACCGGAGCGGGCACCGGTGGAGAGAAGGTGCTTGTTCCAGCCCATGACACCAACGCGAGTGTCGTGGCCGAACATGCTGCGGAGCTTGGAGCCCTCCTCGACGTCCCAGATCTGGACCTCGCCCGTACCGAGACCGGCAGCGACATAGGCACCATCCTGGCTCCATTTGACCGAGGCAATGTATGTGTCAGCAGGGCACTCGAGGAGAGAGTTGACCTCGCCAGACTCGGCAGACCAAACGTAGACAGAGCGCTCGAGACCAATAGCGACCTGGTTGCCAGAAGACCAGTCAAGGAGGTTGAGGTAGTAGTCATCAACAAGGCCAGGTGCGTCAAGGACACGCTCAGGAGCAGTCGCAACACGGCGGCGGAACTGTGTGGCAGCGGCAGTAGGCTTGAGAGGACGGTTGTACTGCGAGCGAAGATCAATGGGTCTGGACGACTCAGGGGCGGCAGGCTTGAAGGCAAGAATTCTCTGGCCGAGCGAGATGTCGCAGGCCTTTGCAATCTCATCCTGGTAGGCGGCAGTCTTGGGAGAAGGCTTGTTGTAAGTCTTGTCGTCTTCGTCATCGTCAAGGTTCAGGCCGTCAAGGCCAAGAGCAGCATCGATCTCATCGTCGTGGGCGGAACGTCTGCCAAGGTCAAAGGCAGAAGAAGCAGAGGCAGCACTGGCGAGGACAGACTCGGTCGAGGACTTTGAGCGGGAGTGGTCCTTCTTGTCGATCTTGTTGACACCAGAGTTGGTGATGGCATCCGAGTTGGTGCGGCTGGGGATGAAGCGATCGGCCGAGGTGTAGCTGATCTTTGTCTTGCCAGTCTTGACGGTCTTGAGGTTGCGGGTCCTTGAGGGGGTAGCTTTGTTGGAGGTCGAAGGACCAGTACCGGTCAGGTTCCAGTCGCTGACACCGAGCTCAAGGCGGCGAGGGGAGTTGTTCGAGACATGTCTGGCGATGTTTGACTTTGGTGAGTCGCGGACATTGGTCTTTGAGATGGAGCGAGAGAAGCGGGGGAAGAGGTTGCCGCGGTGGATAGACTCATCCTTGTCGAGAACAAAGTTCTGCTGCTTGGGGGTCTGAGGCGAGGGAGTCAAGGGGGCGCGGCCACCAGCGAAACGGGTCGAGAAAAGACCATCACGACGCTTGATGGGCGTCATAACCGAGGGGCTTGCCATATCTGCGGCGATGTGTGTGAGGGGTTGCTGTCAATGTAGAAGTGATGCTGTCTGCAGAAGCCGTTAGATAAGAGATAAGAAGCGAGGTGGTGGTTTGGAAGGGCAGCGTACAGATGTCTCAATTAAGAGCTCCGTTAGTATGGTTGCAGATATGTTGCAGTCGTCGTGGATGGTATAGAGGCAGTGGGAGAACAAGAGGCGCTTCCTAGGAAGCTTTGGGCAATGTGGAATGCTGTTTTTTGGGTTTGTGGTGTGAGGTGAGGAGTGTCGAGTACGGTCGAGGGAGCGGTGCCCTTTATGGCTGTCTGCTTACAAGTGCAAACAAAGTTGGCACAGCAACCGCACAGCCTGGGCAGCGTCACCGTCGGCGGCCGGCGTCAAAGACGAGACAGGCCATGATGCGAAGTTTGCTGGTTGCGACGACGACGACGACCGACTAAATTGACTGCCGTCTGTTCACTCGTCTGGCTCGAACAAGGATCCGCGCATCTGGCCTCTCACCCTGACTGAGACCAGACAGGCACTGTGCTGTGCATAGTCTGCGACCAAGACATAGCTCTTCTTGTGCCGGTCGCAGAAGCAGTCCGATTCCAATAGCAAAGACAGGACGGTATTAAAGAGAATGCCATAGTCGACGACAACATGGCTACATCACTTCCGAATCTCTCGGCTGCCTCGCTGCCGCCATCTTCGCGTCTGTCTACCGGCTCTACCAACACCTATGTCATGTCTACTTCTCCCAGGTCAAGCCGTACCTACTCGTCGCGTCGCAGAACACACGACACCTACATGCCTACCATCATGACTACTGTGGGCCAGCGCCCTGCCTGTCTCGTGAATGCTTCCGTCACCTATGTCGGCAATGATCAGATCTATGCTTTTGGCGGCTTCGACCAATATACCGACGAAGTCTACAACCATGTTCTTAGGCTCGATCTGCAAGCCAAGCAATGGAGTCTAGTCGACAACTACGGCGACATTCCTGGCGTGCGCATGGGTAAGCTTGATCCACTCACCATCACCCCTTGCGCGGTGCTAATTTGAATACCCAGGTCACACTGCTTGTCTCTGGCAGAACGAGAAACTCCTTGTCTTTGGCGGAGAGAATGAACACCGCTCTCACCTTGCTGATGTCATTATCTTTGACCTCAAGACCGCTCATTGGACCTCGCCTGAAATCCAGGGTATCCCTCCTCGTGGAAGAGCCAGACACTCAGCCGTCATCCACGAGGACAAGCTCTTCGTCAGTGGCGGTATGACTGGCCATGATAATGCTGTACTAGATGACATCTGCTATCTCGATCTCAAGACCTGGACTTGGTCGCGACCCTGGAAGTTTGTGCCCAGATACGACCATTCAACATGGATCTGGCGCGACAGACTCTGGGTGTCCGGAGGTATGACCGAGGACATGGAGCGTACCAGCGATATTTGGTGGCTCGATCTTAAAGGAATCCCTGCTTTCGAAGGCGCCAATCCCGCCGACGACATGTCCAGATCCTCCATGTACTCTACCACTTCCATCACTCCACAGGCAGGCCCCACTGGCGCCTATGCTGCAAACTCAAGCAGTGTCCAGGTAAATCCCGGTTACATGGTCCAACGTAACCCACCCGTTGCACCAGGCTCCATCTCTTCTCTTCGTTTCATCTCAAACCCCAACCTCCCCGTACAAAATGTAGGATATCATTTCCATGTCTTCTCTTCCGCATGCTTGCTCGACTTCGTCACCCCGGCGACTCTCATGTCTGCCTCCGAGACTAGCCTTTCAGCATTCGATCTGGACTCTTTGCGTTGGCAGAAGCTAGCTGACGGAAAAGATATCTTCAATCCAAATTATCGATGGCATTACTGCTGTCTTGATGCGGATGGCACACATGCCTGGCTGCTTGGGTGCCCCAATTCACTTCCCAGAAACGCACCTGACGCCGAGGAGTATCTGAGCGATGTTCTTCACCTCGACCTCAGAAAACTCGGCCTCCTTGGTAACAAGCTCACTCTGGAGTCTAGATCTGTTCAACAGACACCGACTTCTGACAGCCGAGTTTCTTCACACCTCTCTGCTATCGGTGCTGATCTTGCCCGCACGTTCGATGTCCCTCCTGAGCAGGGCTCTGGTGCCGATTTCATTATTACGGCCAACCCGGACGATGACTACGACCAGGACTACGACGGAGACAGTGTGAGGTCTCATGAGAAGCCTGCAAATACGTCCTCGCCCATTCATGTCCATCGCTTCATCCTTTCCGCACGCTGGCCTCATTTCGCCCGCCTTTACAGTGCTCAAATGTCCGAATTCCATACAAAGAAGATGCACATTCCAGAGCCATACGCTGCGGTACGCGCCTTCCTCTACTACCTCTATACCGACTCCATCGCGCCCTCGTCTATAACAAACTCTGCATCCCCATCACCCAGCCTCGAAGATGTGGCAGGTATGCTTGTCATGAGCAATATCTATGACATGCCACGCCTGCATCATCTTTGTGTCGCAAGATTGGTTCGCGAGCTCGACATACAGCATGCTGCTCTCATCTTTGACTGCGCAAGCGTTGCTCAAGAGACTTGGCTCAAGCGCCGTGCAGCCAGCTTCTGCATGACACACTGGGGCCGTGTGGTGCGTACAGAAGGATTCCGACGACTGTCGCGTGCAGCCATGCTTGAGCTTTGCGAGGAAGTGGATACCGAAGGTCGAGTAGTCGGTGGAGACGAGCTTGAGGCAGTGGGAGCACTCGGAGGTGCCAGGCTCAGCACTCTTAGCAACTGGCCCGAGGGCAGAAAGAGGAGAATGAACTCTGAGAACGGACTCATGGAAGAAATTGCTGACGAAGATGAGGAAGAGGGAATGGAAGTCAATTAGTTGGTGAACCTCGCTCTCGCTTCAGATTGAGCTATGATTGATGATAGGTATCTCTATCCGAGCATGTACATATTTTGGGCATAGGTTATTGGCGTTCAATGGTTGTCAGCTGGGGCGCTGGCACTGGCAAGGAAAGGGACATAGATATCCGAAGGAAAGGCATCATGCAGGCAATGCGGCGTTCAATCGAGTACAAGATCAACTTGAAGCTTTCCAGTCTTCTGTCCTCCCCATGTACTAAAGCATGTAACGCAAATTTATAGAAATGCATGATAGTGATGGGAAATCAGATGGTATCCACCGAAAGGTCACGAGTGGTGACTTTCTCTGGAAATGTCTCTGCTTCCCTCAACGATTATGCCTTTTTATAGTCTACAGTCTGCTCTTAGCTGTAGTCGGAGTACTCACCCGTGTGCCAAAGTCTGTAACCCCCCTTTAGATTCATCATCCTCCAAACACGCAGAGAACAGACTATACGCTATAAAAAGGCATAGTGTCTTCTAAAAACAAGGACATGTCCACAGAAAGTCTATGATGAGTCGCTTCTCAGTGGACACTACTCTGATTCTTATTAGTATCGTGCACTTTTATAGGCGTTACATACTTTAGCACACAGGGAGGTACATCCTCTCAGTCAGATTTTGGGGCTATGCACTTGGTTGAGCTCCTCCCAGAATGCACGACGCATGACAGGTCTGGAAGTGGATCTCAACGGCTGCCTACGGATCATAGCCCATCTCGTGACCATCATCACACCGCACCGCAAGATTGGGAGCAATATTTGCACGTAGGGAAAGGATGCCTTGGCATGATTCATCTACTTTTGAAGCAGCCAGCTGCTCCTGAACCAGGGGCTTGGGGTTGGTCGTCAAGTCGCAGCCTCCCCGCATGCTAGAGACAGTCACAGTGTAGCTATCAAAATGCACAGTGGTAATCTGAAGATCATGCTATCCATTGAGATAGTCTTCACTTGGGTCCTCTCTATGGAAATCACATTCTTTACGAAAGTATTGTGCATTTCTATAGCGACACTGTGACTGTCTTTAGCACACGGGGATGAGATGTAAACACAATGCGCGTTTCCTAATGTCGATCTTTTTGTCGACGTGTCTTGTTGGTGGTCGATCCGATTGGGAAGGTCTCGACGCGTGTAATAATATAGTCAAGCTGGCACATAGCCATAGGGTAGCAATCAGGTAGAGAAGAAGCTCCTAAATCAAGAAATGCCTATCAAGTGAAGCCCAACGAACAAAGACGTGTCCTGCTTCTGTGCGGGATGGCGCCTGAGAAGTGGAAAGTTCCAGTTCTCAAGCGGTGATTGGCCTCCGTCATCTCGGCCGGTTGACAACCGCTCCTCCCCAACTCACACCTGCCCCCTCGACTTGTTTCCTCCACAAACAGCACCACTTCAACTCTTTCCGCCAAAAAATCGCCCTTTCCACACCTTTTCCTTCTCCAAAAGGTAAGAGCCTCTACCGCTTGCACCTTGCACGCGCGAATCGAGCCAGAATGCGTGCGAAAACGAACACCCCCCTGCTGTCAGAGTGCTTGATGGACGCGTGGCTGGGCAAACACACCGGGAAACAGCGACATGGCGCAATGCGAGCTGCGACGACAGCTGCCATTGATGAAATTGCGACAAACAAGATGCTCCAAAGCGAAGAAGACGCTGTCCAGAAGCTGTTCTGGGCGATGCGCTCGCGATAATAACCGCCTACCTCCGAACCTTCAGAGCTTTCAGCTGCATCGCGACTGCCATCAGAAACCAATTCGCGCGAGTTGGTCGCGCTTTCCCATCTCTTGCGACCCGTCACTGTGTTTGCCTGCGACAAACCATCACATGCCAAAGACTTCTTGGGTCCATTTGCTTTCACACCGCCCCTGGCTCGCTCGTTCCCCACTCTCACAGCTGTCTTGATCAATAACCTTACCATACACTCCGACCATATCTTCTGGCCCAATCAGAAACGCTAACACAATGTCGCACCAGACTTCACATCACAAATCATCAAAGATGGGTTACGAGGATTCTGTCTACCTGGCCAAGCTCGCCGAGCAGGCTGAGCGTTACGAGGGTAAGTACATCATCTGTCGTCTGCAATGTGCGCAATACTGATTTTGGTGCAGAGATGGTCGAGAACATGAAGAACGTCGCTTCCGCCGACCAGGAGCTCTCTGTCGAGGAGAGAAACCTCCTTTCCGTCGCCTACAAGAACGTCATTGGTGCTCGCCGTGCATCCTGGAGAATCGTTACCTCCATTGAGCAAAAGGAGGAGTCCAAGGGCAACGAGCAGCAGGTTACCCTCATCAAGGAATACCGCCAGAAGATCGAGGCCGAGCTCGCCCAGATCTGCGAGGACATCCTTGCTGTTCTTGACAAGCACCTCATTCCCTCTGCCCAGAGCGGCGAGTCCAAGGTCTTCTACCACAAGATGTTCGTGTTCCTGAGCTACTCTCCTGTCAAATCGCCCCACTTACTAATGCGCCTCACAGGAAGGGTGACTACCACCGTTACCTCGCCGAGTTCGCTCTTGGTGACAAGCGCAAGACCTCCGCCGACAAGTCGCTCGAGGCTTACCAGAACGCCACCGAGGTTGCCCAGACTGACCTCGCCCCTACCCACCCCATCCGTCTCGGACTTGCCCTGAACTTCTCCGTCTTCTACTACGAGATTCTCAACTCCCCCGACAAGGCTTGCCACCTCGCCAAGGCTGCCTTTGACGACGCTATTGCTGAGCTCGACACCCTCAGCGAGGAGAGCTACAAGGACTCCACCCTCATCATGCAGCTCCTCCGTGATAACCTGGTAAGCATTTCTTGGCACACATTCGTTTTTCGAATCAATCACTGACTCTTTTCACTAGACCCTCTGGACCTCATCCGAGACCGAGCCTTCGGGCGACGCTGCTCCTGAGGCCAAGGAGTCCGCCGAGGCACCTGCCGCCGAGGAGACTAAGGCCTCCGAGTAATCGCAGTCAAACATATCAAATTCCTTCCATTCCATTGAGAATGGCGGATCACGTTATCATGGCAAATGTGAACAGTCAAACCCAGGTGTTGTCTCTTTCTAACAGAACTCGATCATGGGGCGGGCCAAGGAGAGATGGTTCTTTTTCTTTTTTCTTTTTTCCTCTCAAGTCGATTTTCTTGTTCTTTAACCCCCCAAGTCTCTTATTCTCTCCTTTGCACGGCACCTTGACGGACTTTCGAAAAGCTTCCTCTTGGACCATTGCGTGTGGGAGAGTGGCACGGGTGAAATTTGGGGATGGGCGCCCAACAGTCAATTGAAATCATTAGATTCCATTTCACTACCTATCGTCCGTTGTTGCTCGCTCATCTGTGTTAATGATCTCGCGCATAGCTCCTCTCGCCACGTGGAAAGGTGGCTCAAAGCAGCGTAAGAGTCATCATAGAGTTTCATCTAACATACGACCCCTCATCTTTCTGTTCTGTACTCTGACCAGCAACATTCATCCCAGACGGCCATTCAAACATCTCTTAGCTGCTGCTTGACCAGTTCCTCTCCCAACACTTTAGAGACCAAAACGCCACTCACCATGCCCACCCTTCCCTCGACCGCCAACAGCATCGCCGGTCTCGAATTCATCGGCTTCACCCACGCGACAGCAACCCACATCTATAAAATCTACTCCAAGTACGAACTATCCTCCACATCTCCAGCAGCAGACAATGAAGATCTCTTCTCCTTCACCCACGGCCACACCATCATGATAAATACCTCCAGATTTACTGCATCCACAGACCGACAAACCATGACAAATCTTGGAATCAGCGAGGATACTCAGAATAGAATTCTGAATCCAAGATTTGAAGGGGTTAGAGAGACTGAGTCGCTGGAATATTGGATTGAGGATACGGTTAGGGTTGATTATCATACTTTGATTAGGATGATTGAGAGGAGGAAGGAGAGAGAGAACGGTGAGTGAAGATTTGTGGGTTTGCTGGCATCGCTTCTTGAATTAGTCTATCGAAATGCACAATGCTTTTCTTCTATGAATGGTGAACAGGAGGAATTTCGTCATCGATCATATAATGTGACCATCATCAGCTCTCTCAGTGGACCTGGTCTCCTTCCATAACTGTTCTTGCATTTCTATGTCTGACTCTGTTGGCACTCTGATGCTTGGAGGTGTGATATGTCCTCTGGACGACAAGCAACCTCCCTTTTGTCCATTTGCGCACCCTTCTCTTGATTCTCTCCTCACTGCGCAGTCCTTCTCTTTGACTTTTTACAAAAGATTATGCAAAGTTCTGAGCACGTAGATGCACGATCAATGATATTAAGCTGAGGTAGTCTGATGTTACATTTGGAATTTGTTCTTCTTGTGATTCCTGGTATTATCTAAGACTTGAAAGAAGAACAGTGACTAAACTAGCTAATACTTCCCACAACTGGCCTGTTACTGTACCCTGTCACATCCTCGCTCATGAGCACATTTGACATCGTTGCTCTTCTTCAAACGCTCGAATCAAGTACAATGCAAGTTCGAACAGAAAAAGACAAGGAGATCGGGGAAGACAGAACCTGACACTTACCATGCTCTGTATAAAGTCATGGACATCCCCGCCCGGCCTATGACCCCGACGCAATCTCCTTTGCCTTGCTCTTTCTGCTTTCATGCTCAGCTGACAGTGTAAAACCACAATAGTTGCAAACAATGCATGCTTCTTCTTTCTCTTTCTCCTCTCATTCAATCTTCTTTCCTTGCCGCCGATGCGATGATAAAAACAGAAAAAGCCTCCCCATGAGAAGGTATAAAACGCCCCCAAAAAAACAGACAATAATCAGATAACATAGAATCTTGTCTCGTGTCGAACTCTCAGCAGCCATACATAGCTAGGCTGACCGACGAATCCAGTAGTGTGGTTAAGTATATTGATCGATATCAATCAACGAGTGGGCGCTGTTACTGGTGCGTCTAACACCTGGTCTTATGTGTAGGTAGATCGCCTCTACTTCAGAGGACGTTCCAGTTGACTCAGCAAATCATCCAACTGCGACCAGTTCCCCTTGTCCATGGCGAACTTGCGGTGCTTGCGGGACTGACAATGAGCATCAAAGTCGTCGAACTTGTCTCTGCAGTTCTCACAATATCCTGCCTTCATCTCACGCTCTACGATCACCTTCTTGCGCACCTGTTGGGCACGACGAGACTTGGTTGTCTCTTCTTCGCCTTCTTCACGGATGTGTCCCAACGTCTCTTGTGCCTTGCGCTTGGCCGCTCTCGGTGCTTGCTGACGGTCTCCATTGATTGCTGCGCGCATATCGGTAAGGTACGACGACTGCAGGGGCTCGTTAGAGTTTGCGCTGGCCCCTCTCTCCAATGCTCGGCGCTTAAGAGCAGTAATCTCTTTGCTTGCGCCAACATTACGAGTTCCAGGTGCTGTTGAGGAAATGGTCGATGAGACAATCTGCGAGCGGATGGCGGAAGTGATGTTCGAGGGCTGGACTCCAGATGCGACAGGCTCTCCTCCGATGAAACGCGGTGCGCCTCTCATGTTGGCTTGGGTGCTACCGAAGAGTGCAGGCATGCTACCAGTATCCATCGAGGCCTGTCTCTTGCTAGGAATACCCTTGGGAGGGTCCAGAGGCTTGACGTGATCATCGACAGCTTCGGCCTTGTCCTTGGGCTCCACTTGTTCCTTGGGTTGTGATGTGGTGGATTGAGAATTTCCAGTACCTGCAGCAGCCCGACTGCGCGTGACAGGAACACCGGCGGCCAGTTTGCGTTCCTTCTCTGCCTCAGCGGCCTTCAGTTCCTCTGCCATGCGCAGCTTCCTGGTGTGCGAAGGGTCTTCGACAAATGGACATCTTCCTATAGGGGTCAGGCGGAATTGTGGCCACTTGCCCTCCTCCTTATGGGTGACTTTAGGATAATCACGGACCATGACCGGGCGGGTTCTTTCGTCCATGTCGTGTACGTAGATATAGTATCCTCTGAATTGGACAGAATCCTGAGCGGCGACGGCAAGGTCACGGTCGGCTGGACCAATGACTTTCTCGTTACGCAGCAGGGTTTGCAAGTCTGCCTTCTCTCCTCTGCGCAAGGTTGAGGCAATGTTCCTTTGTTGATCAGGTTGCTCACCAGTGTCAGTATCGAACATGGTTGTCATCATACGCTGTAGCTTTTCCAAAGCCCAAATTTTGATGCCAAGCTCTCTAGCCTTGGATAAGACATCGTTACTTTGGACACCGAGCTTGCGTGGCTCGACAGTCTGGAGACTGAGGGACAGTTGGTTAGCAAGGGCAGTAAGAGAGGGTGAGGGAGTAACTTACGTCTGGATGTTAGAAATATGATTACGGCCTTGCAGACTAGCTTCGAGAAGATCAGCAGTCTTCTTCTGAGCACCAGTCAGGGTCGAGTCTTGAGGACGGTCAAGAAGAGAAGGGTCGATGGTCTTGAGAGAGGCATGGTGGGTATTGCTTTTGGAGGCATGACCATCATCAAAACTTGTCGAGGCAAGTTCCGGAGGGATTGGGCGGGTCGTGACCACATGGGTGACGGAACGCGAGAAGAACTTCTCCTCTTTCTATTGATCATGGTTAGCATAGCACCGTAGACATGTATGGAGAAAGAACATACGGCGCCAAGATATTGAATCTGCCTTGAAACCTTTGTCCGCACGTCATCGGGTACACTCTCAAAGTAGAAAACGAACTGAGGAAAAGCTTTTCTGTAGTGCCGTTGCCATTGGCGAATGCTCTCGAGACTGTCGGCTGTTCTCTGTGGCTTTTGTGCAGACGGAGGCTTTCTTGCAGCAGCCAATTTCCTTTCAAAGGCAGTGGGTGGAGCATTGCCAGGCTTTCTCAAGAACAGTTGTGCGTCCTTCTCTTGCTGTGCCAGTGACTGACGGATCAAAGAACGTGGTTGGTGGTTCTCATCGTGGTCGTGGTCAAGAACTTGTTTCTTGAGAGGAGGTTGGCTCGCATCACGCGGGTCTTGGGCTCTTGAGCGCTTGCCAGAGACGGGATGGATGGTTCGGAAAGGAGAGTTGACGGCATTCGAGTTGTTGGCCAGCGGGAGCCGCTTGCTGGACATGTTGGACAGGGCCGACAGAGTGGCCATGTAGGGGTGGTGTGCTGGTGGTGCTGTCTCTGTGTGTGGACGGCTTTGCACGCGACTCGACGCGCTCTACTGGGACATTGTCGCAGCGCAGTCGAAGGAACAAGAGAGAGCAGGCTGGTAGATTAGCTGAGGACGGATGGTCAAACACAGGAGAAGAGAAAGGAGCGAATATGGACAGAGGGCAGTTGCAAACGCGACGAGTCTGGATGGATGTGGATGTTTTGATGTGTGCATGCTCTTGCCCTGTCTGATGAGGCCCCGAGCTTCGCGCGTTCGAGCGACTCACACTGTATGCACAACTCCCCGCACAATTACATCTTGCCTTTAATCGCCCTCAAACACCCTCTACTGGCTTCTATTGTTCTGATTCCATTCCTGGCGATAAATTGATAGCGGCCTCGACCTTTGCTGGGTCTATTTTGCTGTGCTCGTCCTCGTGCATCGCAGCATTGCACATATCCACAACTTGTCACTTAAAAGCCTATCTGTATGCAGCCCCGGCAACTACATCATTCTGCACTAATTAGGGCCGTACAAATCTTAGCGCGTTCCACTTCTTTTATTTTGTTGGTAAACATCCCCTAACGCCTGAGCGCTTCGATATCAACAACCTCCTTTACTGCCTCTGTTGTCAACACATAAGGTTGCTCTTCTGTTATGCACACACTGTCTTCGATGCGAATTGCTAGCCCTTGGAAGTGCTTGGGCCATCTCTCGTCTTTTGGAACATAAATTCCTCTGTCAACTGTTAGCAACTGAATACCTCGTCAACTCCCCTTCACCATCTACTCACGGTTCAATTGTGATACACTCTCCGGCTGTCAGTCGTCCCGTTCTAGGATGTCCAGGAGCATCATGAACATCCAGACCGATAAAGTGTCCGACGTGGTGAGGGAACAATATTTCGAGAGCCTTCATACATTAGCGCTGCATTCGAATCATTCTTTCACTGTCACAGAACTCACATTGCCTTCCATGTTAAAGCCTAGAGACTTGAGCCCGTCCCGCAACCCATCTTCAGTGATACGGTGAAGCTTGTCAAGCGAAAGATCTGCATCTTCGCGACAGAGCGATACGACGCTTCGCTGGACCTTGAGAATCATCTCGTATAGGTCTCTTTGCGGATCTGTGAACTTGCCATTGACTGGCCATGTGCGTGTAATGTCGGTGATATAGCCACCGTACTCGCCGCCGGCATCAACCAGTACAAGCTCGCCCTCCCTACAATGTTGATTAGTACAGCATTCACTTGTGTGTTTTTTGCACCTACTTGAGCGTCTGGTCATTGCGAGTGTAATGGATGCTCAAACCGTTCTGTCGCTGGTCAGTACTTGGTACGTCTGTAGCCCACGTTCTATCATACCTTGCCGCCAGCAACCACAGGCACGTAAGCAGAGCCGTCTAGACCACCAATCTTGAAACCAGTCTCGAGCATGGTCCAAAGATCCTTCTCGGTGGTCATGGGTGTCTTCATAGTCTCGGTGAATGCTCGACCAGACACCTGGCCAGCCTTTCTCATGTTCAGTATTTCGGCCTCACTCTTCTTGACCCGAAGGTTGTTCATGATGGGTCTCAAAGGTCTGACATTGTTCGCCTGCAAAAGTTTGCCAAAGCCTTCTGAAGGGACCTTTTTCAGACTCGAGAAGTATCTCTTGAAAGCGGACTTTGTTGTAGTGCCGAGCAGATCGGTGTAGACTTCTTTGGCGCGTCCAATGATGTCTGGAAGAATAGTATGGCAACGATTGATGTCTCCGGCCTAGGTGGTGGTCAGGTCGAGCGGGAGATGAATCAGAGAAGAATTGGTACCTCGTCAGCGTTGAAGACGTCCAAGGCAGCCTGGATGCCACTTCGAGCACCATCCCATTGTTCGGCTTTGATGTCCTTGGGTCGGACAAAGAGGTGGAAAGTATATTCGACGTCAGAATCACCCTTTTCTGCAAATTTGTGAGCTGATGTCTCTCTTGCATGACATGTTTGCGACGCACCCACCGATGACAGCGAGTGCTTCTGGCTCGTTGAAGCCTGTGGAAGGTCTATTCAGCATCCATCCCTTTGTGCGGTGGAGGTGGCGGATGATTACCAGTCAGGTAAAAGAAGTTCGGTTCTTGGTGGAATTCGTAGAAGACGGCACCGGAGCGGTATTTGATATCAGAAGAAGCGAGGACGGCGATGCTGTTCTTGGGGAGAGCTTTGGCGAGATTTGCGCGGCGCTGGTGGTATTCGAGAGCAGAAATTCCGGGAGTCACTGTGTCGGAGAAGAGTAAGCATGTGGTTGCTACGATGGTTTGAAGAACAGGGAGAGTTACGATCACCGGGCGCAATGAGATGCGGGTGTGTCTCGTGCAGAGGCTGGCCAAACTGCAACTCGGCAGCCGAGACCAAGGTACGGCGAGAGAGGTGTGGTATACATGATGGTCTCGTAAGCGAGAGGGCAGGCCGAAGGCTCGAGACAGCCCTCAGAAGAGTGCGACAGCTTCTCATGCTTGGGGTTGTCCTTCGCAAAGGATGCTCTCACGACTCATTGAAGGCAGGGTGCAGGGCCAAAGTTAGCTAGCGACCCTGCTCGCGTGTCCGCAAACTCCGAAGCACAGACGCAACCTTAATTTCATGGCGGGGATCTCTGGACCGACGTCACTTCCTTCCTTGTTAGGCTTATCGTCGCGTACCTGCCCATCTCGTCCATGCCTTGACCTCGTACTCGACGGCTGCCTCAGCTCCCGGCCTCTGTCGCATACCTAGTTGCTCCAGTACAAACGTCTGCTCGCCAAAGTGTCGTCGGGACGGATCCGGAAAATGTCTTCGGACATTGAGAGCTTCACGGCTCATTTGCAGTCGTCGAAACGCATATTAGCTTTACTCGGTGCTGGATTGTCTGCCTCTTCTGGACTACCCACCTTTCGTGGTGCCGGGGGTCTCTGGAGGACTCACGATGCCACTTCGTTAGCCACTCCTGAGGCTTTCGCTCGGGATCCAGCACTCGTCTGGCAGTTCTACAGCTATCGTCGCCATATGGCTCTCAAGGCTAGCCCAAACCGAGCCCACCTCGCTCTGGCTGAGCTAGCGACGAAACACCCAGGCTTTCTCGCTCTCAGCCAGAACGTCGACGGTACGTTCCCTCCTGTCACTATCTTCTCTCAAACTAACACTATATGTCAGGTCTGTCCCAGCGCGCAAGACATCCTCCAGAAAAGCTTCAACTGCTTCATGGCAGCCTGTTCAACGTCAAATGTACCTCCTTCTACTGTTCATATCACGCCCAGAACTTCACAGATCCCATCGTACCAGCCCTCAAGATCCCCCTCGACGAATCAGATCCTACCACTAAAGAAGCCAGACATGCTGTGTCGGACGCCTTGCACGCCAAACAATATCAGAAAGAGCTGGATATAGCAGACGCTCAGGTTCACCTGCCTTCTGTCCAGGTGTCAGACCTACCAAAATGCCCAGAGTGCCATGAAGGTCTTCTGCGTCCTGGAGTAGTCTGGTTCGGCGAGTCTCTTCCGAGCAAAGTACTGAATACCGTCGACAAATTCATCAGCGACTCGTGGAAAATCGACCTGATCATGGTCATTGGCACAAGTGCTAGCGTCTATCCTGCTGCTGCTTATGTCGATGATGCGAGAGCCAAAGGAGCTAGAGTCGCCGTCATAAATGCCGATCGTGCAGATGAGCCCGCCGGAGGTCTGCGGGATAACGATTGGTTCTTCGAAGGAGATGCTGCCCAAATCGTTCCCGATATTCTAAAAAGTGTTATTGGCGAGATAGAGCAACCGGCTGAAAGGCTATAGGCGCATCTTGCTCTACTCACGATTGCATGAATAACATATACCTCACGGCCGTTTTTCGACAAGCACGAAGCATCAATACACTGTTGGAGTACTCTAGCCTTAATGACTTGGAATTGGAAAATCTTTTACGAATGTAGATCTAGACATTCTTTACCTTTTTGTCGCCCAATTGATTTGTATACATTAGTACTTATCAAGCAACCTAACTGGAGAGCGCCTCATCCAGTACCTTTACAAATTGCTTGATCTCGTCCTCTGTGTATTCGTCAGCACAAACATTCACCAGTTGCATGCATCAACGACTTACCAGTATTATAGTGCACCAGACTGACTCTGACGACACCGTCTACAGGATCCAGCCCCAAGACTTCTTGGACCAAGCGGTTCGAGTAGAAAGCGCCCCAGCGGAAGCCAAAGTCACTCTTTGCCTCGACAGCTTCAACAATGTCCTTACTGCTGCGTCCATCGACAGTCCAGCTGATTACAGGGACACGCTTTGCAGCATCTGCGACAGGCTCACCCCAGATCTTGACATCGCTTCTCGAGTTGAGGTAGTCAATCAGAATACCCTGCAACTTTTCTTCATGACTCGCGATTGCTTGCCAAGGAATCTGCGATAGGTATTCGCAGACCGCCGGGATGGATGCAGTAAGTTCGTAGTTTGCAGCCGCAAGACCGAGTTTGTCTTCTAGCGAAGCCGAGCCCTTGAAATAATGACCTAGAGATTGCAGCTTTGATTGACTCGACTGTTTTGCATAGAGCATGGCGATATGTGGACCATAAACCTTGTACCATGAGAAGCAGTAGAAATCGACATCCAGGTCTCGCATATCGACTTGTCTGTGTGGTGCATAAGCCACTGCATCTACGCACAGCAAAGCACCAGGTACGGTATGGACGGTCTTGGCAATCTGCTTGATATCGCTGATGGTGCCGAGAATGTTGCTTGTGTGTGTACAGCAGACTAGTTTGGTCTTGTCTGAGAGCAAAGTCTTCAGGACAGAGCATTCAAGCTTCGGGTTTTGCTTGTCGGTTGCATCCCACCATTTCACAGTCAGGTTCCTCCACTCGGCCATCTGCAGCCACGAAGCGACGTTCGCTTCATGATCTAGCTTGGAGAGAATGATTTCCGAACCAGGTGTCAGATGTTCATAAAGTGCTAGAGAAAGATTGCGGAAAAGTTGAGTCGTTGAGGGGCCGAGTACTTGCACGATATTAGCTCTCAATATCTCAACTAGGTGTCATCTGCCAAATGCTCACCGACTTCATCCGATGTAGCATTTATATACTTGGCAACAGAGTCCTTTCCTGCTGCGAAGAGATTGGTCGACTTTTGAGCTACTGGGTAAGAAGCACCCAATTGTACATTCGTGCCGGACAGATATTCAGAGACAGAATCAATCACCTCTTTGATGACTTGACTTCCACCTGCATTATCAAAATACACTTGTTTCTTGTCCAAAGCTGGAAAGTGCTTGCGAAGAGCAGTGACGTCGAATGTTTGGGCCATTGCCTTGGTGAATCTTAAGTCAATGTGATGTTCTTTCGTCAGGATGAATGTGGTTCTGTCATGTAGGATCAACCTCACAGCTGTTATCACGTATGCCTACCAAGACGCCCTAGTGACGATCACTGTTGTCCTCCTTCCTTGTCAGCGGCAAAGCCTCGGTCCATGCGGCATCTTTCGGTTACAGGTGTTCCATGAGAGCGAACGACATCAACAATCATGTTGGAGTTCCCATAAGTTTGTAGATACATTTTGTGTTGTTGTTCATTGCTGGTTACTTAATGGAGGTCACGGCAAGAGATCTCAAGTTGCTCGCGATCGGTGCTGTGGTGTCTGTAGGACTTACTGCTCTCTTGACCTCACAGTACCACAACAACGTACATACACCAAGCCGAATCATCGACTCGCCTCTACCCTTGATACAGAGGACTTTGACGAAAGAACAGCAAAAGAGGCTTCCTTATGCTCCTGATGCTCTGGAAGGAGCAAGAGATGTCGAAACTCCATTTGGCAGCATACGAGTATATGAGTGGGGCCCAGAAGATGGCAAGAAAGTACTGCTAGTACACGGCATTAGCACTCCATGTGTAGCTCTGGGTGGCCTGGCAGATGAATTGGTGCAGCAAGGTTGTCGCGTAATATTGTTCGGTGAGTGAAATCCCTCATTTCCCAATCGTCTCGATACCGGAGCCCTGGAGAAGAAGACAATCAGGTCAAGAAGCAGCAACACGAGTAGCAAGCTTCTACAGATCGTACAAACGCCACGACACTATCATCAATACGACTTTGACGATGATCGATTGCCAATAATGGGACCCCAGCGATGTCGAGGATGAATAATCTTCATGAGCAGGGTCATACCATCAACATATTCGACACTGTTTTAGCAGAATTTCGGTCCACTCACAGACACATAATACCGTCCCATAAATGACACGAGATGACTAACGACACCATGGCCAGATCTTTTTGGTCGCGGCTTCTCATCAACACCTGACCCCGCTACTCAACCTCAGGACATTCAATTATTCACCACTCAAATTCTACTGGTTCTCTCCTCGTCCCCACTCAGCTGGACCGGAGATGGCAATCGATTTGGTCTGATTGGTTACTCACTGGGTGGAGGTATTGCTGCATCGTTTACTTCCTACTTCCCAAATCTGGTTGAGTCTCTTGTTCTCATCGCCCCGGCAGGTCTAATGCGATCTGAACGCATCCATTGGACGAGCAAGCTTCTCTATGGTGGACTCCTCCCTCAGAGGCTAGTCGAGTATTTGGTATGGAGACGGCTCGGCGGTAACGATAATGCTCCAACAGCATCTCAAAACGACAACGATAACGACGATGGCAAGGTCACTGCTAGCAAAGCTGCAGACGAGGAAGCACCATCTCATCCAGCACTCATGCGTGATTCCTCCGCCCAGATCTCCGCACGCAGACCTTCTGTCAGTATAGCAGACGTAGTCTCCTGGCAACTCACGCACCACGCTGGCTTCGTACCTGCCTTTGTCTCAAGCATCCAACACGCACCAATAAGTGCTCAAAACTCTTCCTGGAAATCCATTGCTGCAAGGCAACTACTTTCTCCTAATCAACGTCTTCTCGAAAGCAAAGTGTTATTGCTGCTAGGCAAAGACGATACCGTAGTCATCGCAGACGAGATGTCTGAAGATGCAAAGGAAGCGCTAGGAGATGCCGTCGATATCCGTGTAATGGACGGTGGCCATGAACTTCCAGTCACAGACGCCAATGTCGTCGCCCAGACCATTCTAGACTTCTGGAATCAAGCATGACCGTAGCGGTGAACACTTTAGTAACGACCTGAAGAGTGAAAACTCTGCTGCTGTCGGGGTTGCTGGAAAGAGAATGCTGTGTTTCTGAAGCATGGCGGGTCTGCTGCATATTTTAGATATATAAATCCTCGACGCAAGGTCTGCCGTACTTGTGTCCGTGAACCAGATTTCTATACTTTCTGTGTCACTATCATATGAAAGTAGGACAGACCCACGGCTTTAAGCGTGCGTGCATATCCTGTCGTGTACTCGTATCTGTCAACCACTCAACGCGCATGTAGCTTGTTGAGAATGGCAAAAACATGAACCAGGTTACATGAAGCAAGGAGGCAAACAAACTACAGCCGGCAAAGGACACCCGATGCACGTTGCTATCATGATCACGGTTACACAGAAACAATAATTTGTTGAGAAAGATTTTTTTGTATTCGAATCACATCTGCTTTTTGTGTTATGCAGCCACTAGGCTTTGATTGGGTATGGAGGAAATAAGAGAGAGAGAGAGAGACTGAAGAAGAAAAAGGCAGACAAAGTGGTATCCCCCTCCTCCAAGAAAATTTGCAATTTGGTATGAAGCCTCTTGCGGGCCAAAAGAGAAGAAAGAGCAACAAGCACGAGTCGAAAGTAAGACTCGCCCAACAGCAACCACCGTCGTTAAGCAAGTGTTTTTTTGTCCCAGGATTTTCTGAATAGCAACCTTCGTTGGAATGTATTTGCGGCCGTCGTAAGTTATGTTTGAGGTAACAATGTGCAGATGCGGTCCATCGGATGATGTCGATGGCCGATGAGAAAAGAAACGCTGAAAGCAAAGAGTACTAATGTATGAGGAACGCTTGCAATGCAATGATGAAAAAGCTCAAGGGTACGAAGAGACGGGCTGATACATGTTGTTACAACAGAAGAACATGGAGCTTCATGAGTGCACGAGGCAGTCGGAACTCATTGTGACGGGTACGATGTCGGATATGAGCTGTACTGGTATGAAGAGTGACCCGGGGCGGAAGTCACGTTTGAGCATGCATGAAGACGGTGCATCAGGTTTTGGTTCACATTGTAGCTCGAGTTGTCGTAGAAATCCTTCTCCGGAGTCTCGGGAGGCGTGAGGACACCAATGGGGACTGCAGCGTAAACAGGCTTCTGGGGGGTTTGAGGCGTCATGATGGCTCCTGGTACTTGCTGCACGTCGAGCGTCGATTGGGCCGGCGAAGGGTATGGTTGTTGCGAGGCAGCCTGTTGCTGTTGTTGCATGAGGTTTTGGCGTTGCAGGAACTGCTCCAAGGTGGTGGCAACATTTGAGAGGTGGGCGGACGAGTACTTGCGGAACAGAGCCTGCGAAGGACGCGAGAGCTGGTTGGACAGGTCCATGACGACGTTAGAGTCATATCTGGCAGCCCACTCGGGGTGGTGAACCTGGGGACGGCCGAGAATGTAACGGGCAAGAGCGAGCGATGACCTGGCCATGACCGAAGGCAGCACGGGGATAAAGTCCTTGTGGTAAAGAGCCATCTCGGAGATGTATGTAGCCATGTTCTGCACCTCCGCATCGGCTGCGGTCTCGGAGAGGGCAATCTCAAGGAAGCCAGTCACGGTCGGGTGACCGATGATCCAGTTCAAGGTTTGCAGAACGTGCCATTCCATCTGTGTGAACATGTCGTCGTCGTAGAGCGAGCAGCACATGGACTTCAGTTCCTTGATGGTCGGCACACGCTCTTTACGGTCGCCGTACTTGGCGGCAATGAGTAAGGAGGCACAACCCACCAGTTGGTAGTGACGCTTGTAGACGACACGCTTCGAGCAGTATCTGTCGAGGAGGTTCACGGCAAGGAAGAGAGTCTCGGGGAGCAGTTGGAAGGCGTGGTGAGCTTCGAGGAGGAAGTCGAGGAGGTAGGGACGCATGAACCATTGGATCTCGGTCTGAATCTCGATGGAGTTGATGTCCGGCATCGTCTCGGCCTGTTGGGAATCAGTATGTGCTTCCAATGAATGACGAGCCAAAACGTCTTACCTCCATGACCTCCATGTGGTCAAGCACATCATTCAGGTACAGCTTACTCGTCAGACGAGAGAGGTCTGCAGCCATGTGCTTTTGTTGGACCTTGGCGATTGCACGTGCTCTCTCGCGCTCAGCAGCCGCTCTAGCGAAGATGCCGTCGGTGTCTTCATAGCCCTCGACGAAGAAGGTCTCGCAATAACCATAATTGGGTTGCACTGTTGTGGAAGCCATATTGCCGATGTAGAGTGGTGGTAGAGGTTGGTCAATTCTCCAGGATTGACGGGCGAGAAGTTATTAATGAGTGAATGGTGTATGGACACTGGTTGCTTGAGTGTAGACGAAGAAAATTGGACAGTGTTGGTGTTGATGCAATAGAAGGACTGTAATTAGTTGGATGGATGAGGGATGTTGTAGATGATCCTAGAATGTCTGGCCTGACTGCCTTTGAATGGCTCGAAAGATGCAGGTATAAGGAGTCTACAAGAGAGCCTGTATGAATGAGCACTAGAAACGGAGAGGAGACGCGAGTGTCCGGGCCGAATATTGCACATACCTTGGGAGCGCAGAGGAGTGAATCCCTTGCGAGTTGAGGCTTGGATGTCGAGTGGAAATTGAATGCCGCAGATGGTACTTGCCCGATCTTACAGGCGTAGAGAACGAATCAACGACTCTACCAGTTCCAATGAGAGCGCGTCGACCTGGCTGGGCTAGGAGTTCGCAGATAGATCTGGGGAATGTCAGTCATTCCCGGGTCAATGATCAAAGGCACGTGCGCTGCAAGGGAGGGAAATATGCTGATGAATTATGGAAAAAGAACTTACCAGAGAGAGGTGGTCTAGAGGAGACTGACTTGGAAGAGAGAGTCAAATCAAAGATCGTGCTGAAAGAGCTGTGATGTTTTGATATTAGTGAATGCAGCTTCAGAAGTGCGTCAGTCATGACTGAGGATGCCGGATATACAGGTGACGGCGTTGTAATTGCCGAGGATGAGCCGGAAGGATAGGGAAGGAGCCATCTGGGAATGAGACACGACCTCGAACCAGCTCACTGTCATCAAGAATGCAAGCGCGATTGCTTCTGGAAGTGTCCATGCCTTGACGGCTATGGAACGCAGAGACCCCGCTCAGTACTCGTGTCGACGCAACACTGTTGAAGTGTTGTATAATATGCCAGTGCTCCATTGTATAGAATGGTATTGTTCCATGTTATTCTTGATGGTGATGCAAGAGGAAGCCGCAAGGATGAACCGCCAAGGTAGTTCATATGACGGTTCTTGCCTTAGCTTTGCATGCTTGAGGCCTGCAGACTTCATTGCCGACCATGAATGAACAAGGAGGGCACCATTGATATGTCGACCAGCAAGAGCAAGGTCTGTTCTTCCTCTTTGATGCGTTGGAATGTGGGTGTGCACATGAAGCTTCTGGCGTGCTTTGCCTTTGCTCCTTCCATATCCTTCCAGTCTGACCGCATACCCGTCTCTTCTCATCGACTTTCTCCACTCATCATCAATGTTTCGGATTGATCGAGGTCACGACCTGCTATATTAAGAGAAGGGGGAGGGCAGACAATAGGGGTAACGACGAATAGCTTGAGCAATGCTCACTCACCTCGTACTGATCAAGACTCGATTCGAGGTCGAAATGAGATTACAAGCTGTCAAGGCTGACGAGATGAGGTGAAGAGGCCGTCCACAGCTCTGCGTTCAACGAAGAGGAGAGGTCGGGGCGGCTTGAGAGGTCGAGGGGGTTAGGCGGCAGCGACGGTGGGTCGTGTCGAAGAGTTTGATAGGGGCCTGATGTCGAAAGGTGATGGTCGAATGGTGAGAGTCGACAAGGCTTCAGTCCAGGTCGAGGTCGAGGGTTATACGACGACCGACACTGGGAGGGGCTGGAGGGAGGTAGGAGTAGGTATGAGAGGCAGCCGTTTGGAAGCGGTGACCGTTTATCAAAGCTCCATTGACTTGCGAGGAAGAGTAGGGTTGGGAAGAGGTGGAGAGGGAGTGAGGGAGGAGGGAGGAGAAGAAGAATCGACAGCCTCGGACGGACGTCGTGTCCAGCAGTAAGACGTCGTCGGTACTGTGCCCTCTGCCTCCTGGTGGAGATGGCTCAGTCGGCCTGGTCTGTAAATCTTGGCTGAAGCCACTCTAGCCGCTAGCGTCGAGCGTCCAAGCGTTGGTACGTTGCCTACTACATAAATGCTTCTGATCAACCGGTTCCATACACGCTCCCGACGCTTGTCAGGATACCGGCCTCTCAAACACTATCGTCCTCGATCGTCTGACAAGAGTCTCGGGCACAACGCCCTTTACCATACTTTTGCTCGCCTATGTACGCGCACAAACACGCAGCATGCGACAAGCCAAATAGCTGCGAGCATTACTCGAGTATCTAGACCTAAACGTATCACATGAAATTGGGCCTGCTTAGCTTCCATTAATGGTGAATCTCGGCTTGAGCAACCACCCACCCATCATGCGACATGCGACAGCTGTCTCCTTGACGAGAGCCTGACGACAGTCCCCAGCCAATCTTGCATCCTTCTGCAACCGTCACGAAACACTTGCTGGCCAGCGTCTCTTCCTACGCGTTCAGTAGTGCAGGAACAAGCTTCGTCGGCGAGCACGAGATATCAGCTCCGCCCGGTCTGCCGGCTCTCCCACCAATGAGCCATTGTCCATCAGCGCCAATCTGCATCATTGAACTCCTTTATACCCCAGAACCTTGAAAGCAACCGCCAATCTTCCTGCACCACAGCTGCGCTGGATTACTGTTTTAGAGCCTTGTCGCTCCCCCTGCTTGCTTGCCTGCCAGCCGCGGCACTCCGATCGTCCCCCAAGCATATGCAACCACTTTGACGCCGTTTGAAAGTCTCCGTCAAATACGCGCTTCACGATCGCGGTCGAAACGCGTCTCACGGCGTGTTTCTATATACGAAGCATATCCAAATTTCATAATCTGCTTCACACCGTGCAAACGATAATTACCCCTGAGCTACTCTATCCGCAGGCGATCCCTATTATGCTCGTAATGAGTAAGTGAATGCTCGAAATTATGCCTGCGCGCTTGCTCTACGGGAGCAATCAAATGCAATAACCAGTGTCATCCTCCAATAACAATTTCGTTAAAAGTCGTCCGTTGGATGGATCGAGAAGGTGTGTCACGCTCGGCGCTTTTCGGTCTTGGGAGATAGCAAACAATTCCATTCGCAACCCTAGCATCCGGCGGGTTAATTGTCCTGGTACAATAATGCAGATTTATATCTAGTATATGCAGATGGCCGACGAGAATTTCGATCTGGCGACTCGCACGTCCTGATGGAGCCAGCCCAAGTTCTCAACAATGAAGCATCGGTGAACTTTTCCTCCACAGGATTACGCACAGATTCAAACTCTGCGCGGATCCTGTGGTTGTTGTCATATCCTTGCCCGTTCTGCATGTTCGTTCCCTCGTTCTCTTGGTCGTCCATGCACAGTGGCTGTCGATTGACTCGGCGGAGCGAGGCCGTGAAGCCGTGCGACGAGGTTTCGCGAGTTCTCACCACAGCCCGCAGCTTGCATATCAAGATGACATATCGCGCCGCCCAAGTATGTACTTACGTTGACTTATACCCAGTCAGGCTGTCCTTGCTTTGAACTTTGATAGACGATCGTTCCACCATCTGGAGCCTGCTATGCATCCGTGAGAGGGACGACAGTGTTTTTTCCTTCACTTCACATGCATACAACTTTTCCAGTCTGCATATGCCGTCATACAAAGGCGTGCGACTGGAAGTTTTGGCCGACGCCTTTCTTCCACGTCCACCAGTTTCTCAAGCAACGAACCTCTGCCGGCATCGCGTCCTGCCAAATCGACCCTGGATGAGCGCCCCAACATGATCAAGTGCAGAAGAAGAAAGAATTGAATTTCACCAAGACGCCACGCGACCAACAACAAACATCAGAGAGTTAGCACGCATGTTATACCCGTTTCTCCATATTTTGTACTGTACCTGTACAAAAGTTCTGATTAATTTCTCCACAAAAGGCTAAATTAGATATGCTTACATTAGATCGGCATCATTTGAACAAGCCTCGATCATATTTATTAATACACCCCGTACCCGAATTGAGCCTCATACTATCCGTTTCACCAGTTATCCATCGTCTGTTTTGAACTCGGCCTCTCTTACACCTCAATCCGCAAACCCATTCGCAGATGAACCAAGATTGCTTTTTCTTTCGCTACTCGTTCAACCACACACCACTTTAATCCTTTTGACTTGATCTTGCCGTCACCAACATCCTCGTCGACCACGGCAACCAAGTGTCGGGTCGCTTGGCGAGACTTTCTCGTTGACTCCACACCACCGATCAACATGGATACCCGCCATCCGGGCAGACGCTTTTCCAATAGTTTGGAGACATGCAGAGAGACTTTTGATGAGCAACAATGGTGGGTTCTGTCGCCATGCTTGCCCCGGATAATCAGTGTGTCTCTGAGCTCCGCTTCTTACTAGGCTATTGCTGTCTACAATACGTGTTCATTGTAACCTCCATGAGTCTTTCTCCTCGTTTCGTACCCACGCAACTAGCGGAAAGCGTTCCAATCTTTCGAGCCTCACGAATGAATGTCGGCCGCCTCGATAACCTGGTTCATAATGTAACTCGACGGTACCTCGTTCTCCACAAATTGTGACTTTGTCAGCCAGGATTTGAGAATCAGCCCGTTTCGACCTTGCAAAAGCCTAACGGCAGTACGCCCGCCATGCATTTTTATGATCCGCACATGATATAATCCACTGAGACGCGATACATACGCGGGAAGACGCGAATCACGCGATCCACTTTACGCTCTAACCGTGGAATCTCGTTCGATCTTCCATCTCCTGACTCCTTAGTTCTCAAGCCGTTGACGAGAGGCTGCGTAAACGTTCAGGATTTGGCCCTCGGCCGAGACGACATGAGACGAGTACCCGTCTTCTCCTGACGAGACGCGGCAGATCGCGAAACCTTCGCGTTTCGATCTCATTACATTGCCGCTTTTGGGCAAGTGAGCACGGAAATCGATTTATAGACAATGCACTTGTTGCTAGTCTTTTGATCATATTTCAATGAGTCGCGTGCTGCTAAAGACAAGGAATCCTGAATAGTCCCATTGTAGTTCAATTGTATCGGTAGCCAAGTACGAGACTTTCAGTCAGCTGCTCTCAACAAGAGGAGGCTTTTCGCCTAGCTCTCAGCTGTGATACAACAGCGTGGAGAACTGCCTTTCCACCACGGATAAGACGCTCCAGGACATTAATATCCAATCGAGGAAGATTTGCGATCATTTTGTAGACATTGTTTCAGAGTCTAGCTGGCACGAAGGAATCACCTTCAATTCAACAAAATATAGCAGTCAGCTTGTGAAACTATTGACATAATAAACGCTCAGGTTCATCACTCTTACGCACCCAAGTTGTCATACACCGCCGTCTCTGCTCCAAACCACGCACCCATTACATTGGGGTCGCCGAAAGGCATGACCTGAGAAGCAATCATACCAGCAACACCTTTCTCACGATCCGCCCACCAGAACAAGTTGGCAATTCCTGCCCAGAATGCAGTGTTCTTTCCACGTCCTGTGACTCCTGGCTCAATGGTCAACATGGCGCTGAGGCACCATCCCTGTCGTCGTTGTCAGCATGTGGTCAAATCTACAGTAACACGTGAACAACACATACTTGTGCAACATCACCCTGTGGGTATAGGTCTCCCAGCGGGTTCGTGTGCTCTGGCTTTGCATCGGGGATGCCACGACGACCAAAGCCCGGCATCTGAGGAATTTGGTTCTCGAACATGTGCTTCACTGTCTCTGGCTTGAGTATCTGGTGCTTCGTCTTGGGACACGTGCCGTCGTTCAACAAGGCGGCAAGCACCTTGACGTACTCTGTGGGACGAGAGAAGAGGCCAGCACCACCACTGCACAGGATTCTGCTTTGCTCTTCTTTCCCTTCGGCGACTAATGGTCTGCGGTATACATGGTCTCTTTCTACAGCCTTCTGGCTACCTGGCCAGCGTTGGTGCATGGACGCCATATTCGACTTCATCTCCTTGGTGGGGAACATGTTTGTGTTGTGGATCCCAAGAGGCTTGAGGATGTTTTGTTGCATGTAGTCGTTTAGACTCATGCCGGTTTGTCTTTCGAGTGCGATGCCTGCCCAGTCGATGTTGATGCCGTACTCCCATCTGCTACCTGGCTGGTTGACCAGAGGCATCCTGAGAACCTCGGCCGGGTCACCAGTGAAGACGTCGAAGCCGACAGGACGACCGTAGTTCCTAAGCTTGGTGTTGAAGAACTCGTATCCAAAGCCTGCAGTCTGTGGCACTGGTCAGAAACAAAAGTTGACGGACTTTGGCAGGCAGCAAACTCACATGCGACAACAACATCCTCAGCGTAATCTCAGCCTCCTTGTCTACCAGCTTTCCATCATCAGTCAACACCTGCACCTTCTCCAGTTCTGGGCAGAGTTTGTACAGCTGCTTGTGGTCGTCAAGGTCAAGCTTGCCCTGCTCTACCAACTGCATGACAGCAATCGTAGCAATCATCTTGGTGCAACTCGCGATCCAGAAAGTGGTTTCCAGGGTCATTGGCTCCTTAGTGTCTAGTCCACGGTTGCCAGACGCATTGGCTGTTAGGATGTCGCCATCTTTGTTGATCGCTGCAAAGACCAGGCCAGCAACTCCTGTCTCAGGATTCGAGGTCACTCCATCGAGAGTGGCCTGAACTGCTTTGTATGTCGCTTCGGACTTGGAGGTCACTTTGGCAAGCCCACTATCACGTCGATTGGCCATATTCAAAGCATTAAAGAACTACAAAGATCAAGATTGGGGTAGGGAGAGGTTGAGATGATGTAAAGATGTATATCAAGAGTTGATAGGAGCACAAACCTGGGCTTGAAGAGCTCTCTCTATAACAGTTCCCCGCTATCATTTACCCCTCTTCGATCCGGAGCTCTTCTTCCGTGACCGAGGCTTTTGAGTCAGGGTCTAGTATGCTGCCCAGCTGCACGCTCCGTGATTGCAGATCTTGCTAGAGCTCCATGACCCCGCGTCTACCCCGCACATGGTGAACTCTAAATCAAATAAACTCTCCACGCCCGGATCTTAAGCTTCCGGGATCCACGTGCAAGGTGCTTTGAACCGAGCACTCGGTTCGTCTTGATAAAAAGTGATTCTCTGGAAGCATTGTGTATTATAGAGGAGAGATAGGTGTCTGCTCAACTACAAGAAGAGACTGGTATAGGTGGTCTTGTATAGGCGCTAGACTTGAGGTTTCCACACAGGTCTTCCTCTTCGGCTCCAAAACCACAAGTGCTTTGCTCGGAGTGCTTGGCCAAACCTCGTTGGTCAACATCGGATCGTACGAGCTTCAAGAGACGTCTCCCAACGTCAATCAGAGCTCAGGACTTTGTCTTGCAACTCATCTTTGGCCTCAATTCAGCGTGAGATCCTTTCTACAATATACTTGCAGACCATAAGCGGCTGACGTGAGCATTGGCCCCCACCCTCCAACAGCTCAGAAGCGGGCTTACGATAGCACAAGGATCCTAGCTGGGAAAACTCTCTCGCATACACATGAAAAAGCACACGACTTTGACGATGTTCGATATGACCCGAGACACCTCAGCTGGTCTTTCCTCGAGCCTGCTTAAACTTCTTGAACTCTTTCAGTGCCGCCATCACCAGGGGCACAGCCATGGGACCGAGCAGGGGAACATATACCGCGACTTTGTGCTCGTCTGGGAAGTAGACTTGGCCGACCATGGAAGGTTCGAAGAATGCTTGCTCCGCTTGTGCTTCAGCAATTCGTGCATGCTCCAACGCAGCGTCAAAGCGTCCCTCGTGAAGATGAGAGCATGCCGTATCCAGATGATGAATGGTTTTTTGTACCGAGTCAGCCACGTTGTCGGGAATAGCAATGCTGGTCAGCTTGAGTGTAAGCCTGGACAAAGCTCCCAGAGTCGACGAGGCCGACAGAATCAAGGACGCCGCCCTTTCGCGTGTCAAGCTCGAAAGACGAAGAGGAAGCGAGGCCGGTGACTGGGGTAAGCCGATGAGAGACTCCAACTGCTCTGCAAAGATGCGCACGACCGGCTCGAGATCATCTTTAGTAAGAAAAGTGTTGTTGTGGTCTTTGGAAGGGTTCAATATCTGAACTCCGCCCCATTGAGGAATCAGCCAACTGGTTCCGCCGGTCTCCTCAATGACCATAGGAGCTTGCTTAGGAGAAGGAACGTAAGCGACGAAGTTGATAGTTGGGCCTACACCAATGCTCGGACTCAGAGGCCACTCGGCTGCGTTGATGAAGGCACTCAAGTCAGAACGCATCAAGGTCCATTGATCTGATGTCTCGTCGTGTTGAGGGCCATGTAGCGAAGGTGATAGGGATGCATACAGCTGCACCTGAGTATCGACACTAAACTTGCTGACGGATGAAAACGAGGCCAGGAAGGGGCCAAGATACTCGTCGAGCGCTGCCTTGATATTCCAGGCAGATGGTGATGCCGAGCCCGTGAAGAGAGAGAATGTCAAGTGGTAAGTCGATGCATACTTGAAGGCGCGATTAGACCTGCTTCGGTAGCCTTCGACAATGGATGAGGAATCAACATCTCCTGAAGACTCATGATGGTTAGTCTGACCTGTCAGAAGATAATCTAAAGTGATTTGTTCCTCTGCGAACAGCTTCAAAAGTTCAGCCGCAACGAAATCAGCAAGGTCAGAGACGCTGGTGGGTTGAGGCAACGTGCCATGGTAGATGCTTAAAGTTGGGTTGAAGGGCTGAACCTTGGCCACGGGGTGAGAGTGGGAGTCATTAAGCACGAAGTTGACAGTGACAGCCGAGGACGACGAAAGGTCAGTATATGGCGCATCTGCTGACTGATCTGCAGTACCGTGCCCCGAAGCGATTACTCGCAAGCGGTGAACAGGAGACTTGTTTTGTCTATCCAAGCCTTGCTGGATCTGCTGAGCAAGGTCTGTAGTGGTTGCAGTGTCAAGATGGGAAGCAGCAAGAGCAACATGCACAGGAAACTCGAGTTTACATGTCTTTTTTGATGCTCAGTAAATATCTTAATATACAGCGAGAGGGCGAGGCATACCTGACCTGAGGCCCACGCATCCATCGACTCCAAGGGCAGTGCAGCGCGGGGAACAGTGGTCGTGGCGAACCAAATAGGCAGGCCGAGCAGGCCGACAATGGCCCAGAAACTGAAGATGATCCATCTACGTGTCTTTACGCCCTGCGGAGATTCTGGCGGAGGTTGTTTTTTGGCCAAAGCAGCATGGACAACCCCTTCAGCAGGGACGTCTTTGATGGCACTGCCGACCTGCTGAGAGACCATTTTGCTCTGCTTCCTGAGCAACAAACACAGGACAGAACCTCTGCGGAAAGGAGAAGTGCAACACGAAGCTCAAGGAGGGGCGGCTAAGGGGAAGAATCTTGGCAGGACCTCGGACGACGGATAGCAGATTATGATTGGCGCGCCGGTACGCCACATAGCAGGACAGAATGGGGCTGAGGTCGTGCATGTACTGGGTACGTACGGACCCAAGCCGCGCGTGTTCTCGCTTGCTAGCATCTATTCTGGGTCTGCTCTTCATATGTGTCGGCTGGCCTCAGTCCGAGAGAGACTTGTGTTTGTTGCTTTCTCACCATCTTGTAAACCACAAGCAGCGTCCACTGAAGCCGACAACACTCATCTATCCGGCACGATTCGCGTGTCGAAAGTTGCACGTTCCGCGGCCGTTCCGACACCTCAGCCATTTCCCAGCGTCATCGTTATCCAAGTCGCCGTCTCCAAGTCCGTGCGGCGTGTTGGGGTTGGTCTTGAGCACTCTTGCGCAACTTCTTATAGTCGTTGCTTGCCAGCCCTCCCGGCATGCTGCGCATACCACGATTATCCGACATGGTCGTCATGACCAAGCGCGCTCTCAGCCCGACTGACGGCTCCGAGAAGACCAAAGCTGCTATTGTGTGTTTAACTCCGAGTCTTTCTGTTAATGCCGCACCCAACTGACATGGCCATAGGTTGTTGGTAGTGTTGGTGCCGTTCTGCTCTTTGCCATCATCCTTTTCTTTGTGCTCCGAAGTATTCGACTACCCAAGAATATCCGACAGGCCCAGGCCGCAGCCCGCGCTCACGCGAGATCTCAAAGACCCCGACGATCATGGATCCAAACCATCCTCTCGCCTTTCCGTCGCAATGACCGCCCATCCGCTAGTACTGCCACTCGAGAAATGACCCAAGACCCCGAGGCCGCAGTCAATAGGCACACGAGTATCCGTAGTATCGCCACTCTCCCTGCCTACTCTGCCGTGCCTCTTGAAAATGAGGGTGTTCTTGGTCGCGAAGGTGAAAGAGCAGGCATGGACACAGTCGTAGAGTTTCCTGAAACCACCGAGGAGGAAGAAGGCAGAAGAGAAGCCGAGATGGAGTCTCTCTGGCAGATTCGTCAGCAACGCAGACAAGAGGCCGCTGAAAGAGAAGACCGTAGGCGTCGTCGACGCGAAGCACGTGCTCGAGGAGATCTGGAGGCTCTCAGCGCTCTGCGACACGAGACGGCTCTACGTGTTACTCTGGAGCGTGCCAACGGCTCAAGTTCCATGATTGCCGAGCACAACGCCAGGCCTCGAGAGAGAAGGATCAGCGCAGTTTCGTATGGTGACTTGGGCGTTGCTCGCCATGATGGCTCGCGTGTGCGCGCGAACTCTACCGAGTCTGATAGCCGCCCTCTGCTCAATGACGCCTCTCGTGTAGGCAGTACCAACCCTCTTCGACCTTGGCTATCCCGCGCTTCTTTCTCTACCCATCATCGGATGGCTTCTGCCACATCCGTTGTGACTACTGATAGCGCAGACCAAGATGACAGTGACTTTGAGGTCATTTCCCTTCAACACACTTCCTCTCGTCCACGCTCATCGCGAGCTCATTCTCGAGCCCATTCCATCAACCTGAGCCTTCGAAGAACTTCGACAACACAAGTGAACCAGCTTCCTCGAGCCGATGGTGATTTGGGTGAGAGCCGAATCCCTCTCCCTGAGCTACCACGATATGATGCCATGGGTTTTGAAGAAGCCCCTCCCTACGAAGAAATTCATTCAGCACGACCATCCCTTTCGAGGGCAAATAGCCAAACACGAAGAAGTGAGAACAGCAGTCCACTGTCTTCCCTGCCCGAGATTGTCCGTCTCCCAAGCATTCGCATCAATGAGGCATCCCCTACCGAGTCCCCTCGTCAATTCAACTTCCCAGCCAACCCCAGGCCAACAACTGCATCGACGATCGATGAAGAAACGACCATTTAAACGCCACATTACGACCCCTCTTTTTATGCTTACCATGTTTTTCCTTCTGTTCTGATACACGACTTGCATGATTTCTCTCTTTCTGGTTGTTCACATAGAGATTGTCGAAGAATAGCATTCATCGCATTCGCTTAGCGCCGGCGTTAGGTGGAGGAAGTCAGGCATCTCACCAAAAGTTGATACCAAGACACGAACTACCATATTTTTCTTTTTCTTCCAAGCCTCGTCCCATCAATCGTCCCAATGCTGCACTTGACTTCCGATGAACTGCGACCTGCCCTCATCTCAATTGACTTTACCGCGTCTGCAGGTGGGTTGAAGGAACATCAACCCTAACGAGGATACAGCAGGTCTGTGCATGCACGTGGTCGAATCCCACGACGGTACTTGGCCATTCACTCAGCAATCCAATTGCTCACTATAACCTGCCGTGTTGATATGCCTCGAACACTTGCACGATCGCATATAGCTAGGGTTGAGGGCAATCACTTCGCCAAGGCACAGTTCGCCCTACAGATATGGCGAACGAACCCACCCACGTGCTCCCAATATGGGCAGTAAGAAAGGGTTATAAAGCGGTTGATGGCCTCGAGCATGAATCCAGAAGAAACTGCATCTCACATTCTACATTCTACAGCATGGCCTTGACTGCAGCAAGTCTCCTCGCTCTGGGCGTCATCTCAAGGTAGGTTCTTTTCTTCTCGAGTATATTATCTATCGCATTCGAGTCAGTCCGTATGATCTACCATATCGTAGAGAGCCGAATTTCGACCGCCGCTGGGAGGATCCCGCCAGATCAAGCTCGAAGTTGGATCCGAATCCAGTCGATCCCATATAGTGACCATGCCGGTCATATCAGGAAGTCGCTAATATTTGAGCAGCTCCTCGGGTCACGTTATACCCCTCCCTGCCCAAATCAACCATACATGCGACAGTATTCAGCTTGGTTACCAGTGCCAGCCACAAATCAGCCACTATTGGGGTCAATATTCTCCATACTTTTCTGTGCCATCAGAGATTCCTGCAAATATCCCTCTCACATGCTCGGTCACGTTCGCCCAAATCCTTTCGAGACACGGAGCTCGAGATCCCACGGCTTCTAAGACGGCAAAGTACAACGCAACCATTGCCAAAATCAAAAAGAATGTGGCCAATTTCACTGGCAAATATGCATTCCTCAATGACTACGAGTACACTCTTGGGGCTGACCAGTTGACGGACTTTGGACGACAGCAGATGGAGAACTCTGGCATCAAGTACTATCAACGTTATGCGGACCTTGCCCGCAAGGCAGTTCCTTTTGTTCGCTCGTCTGGCGAATCTCGCGTTGTAGAGTCTGCAGAGAAGTGGGTGGATGGATTTACTCAGGCCAAGACTGATGACTTTTGGGCCAACAAGCAGTACCCCTCGGTCAATGTGGTCATTAGTGAGGCTGCTGGCAGTAACAACACACTGAACCATGATCTATGCACTAGCTTCGAAGACGGACCTGACTCGAACATTGCTGATGCTGCTCAGAAGACCTGGGTATCTGTCTTCGTTCCTAGCATTCAGAAGAGGATAAACGCCGATCTTCCTGGAGCAAATCTTACATCAACCGAGATTGTCTACTTAATGGACTTGTGCCCCTTCAACACTGTTGCTTCCACAACCGGTGCAATTTCACCTTTCTGCTCTCTATTCACAGAGACCGAGTGGCAAGACTATGGATACTACGAGTCTTTGAACAAGTTCTACGGTTATGGCTCAGGGAACCCTCTCGGACCAACCCAAGGCGTTGGCTTCACCAACGAGCTCATTGCTCGTCTCACCAGGAAGCCAGTGGTGGACAAGACTTCGACAAACCACACTTTGGATAACAACCCTACAACTTTCCCTCTTGATCGTGCATTGTATGCAGACTTCAGCCACGATAATGACTTGACTGCCATTTTCTTCGCCATGGGACTTTACAACAGCACTTCTGCCCTCTCCAACACAAGTCTTGAAACAGCACAGCAGACCAATGGATACTCAGCAGCGTATACGGTTCCGTTCGCGGCTAGAGCTTACTTCGAGAAGCTGCAATGCCTTGGACACGGTGAGGAGCTCGTCAGAGTTATTGTTAATGATCGAGTGATTCCTCTCGATAGCTGTGGTGCTGATGTATTGGGAAGATGCAAGCTCAGTGATTTTGTTGATAGTTTGTCTTTTGCACGCAGTGGGGGCGATTGGGCGACATGTTCTGCTTAGATAGTACAAGTAGACATTCTTGCAATCGAAAAGGTTGTTCGTGTTGATATTTCTGTCAAATTTCACGTGAGGCCGAGGATTCTGAGTAGTCGTTGGTGAAAAGAGTCTCGGTAGGGCAGGGTGACTAGAGGGGAAGCTGCAGCTCTCGGCGAGGCACGACGACAACCAACACGACCAAACACTTCTGGTTTCGCAATTTACAATGGCTTCCCATTTCTCCTTCACTCCACTCACAAAGCCATCGCTATGAATTATCTCAGCAACTTCATCGGCCGCCCATTCGCTAGTCACGCCCAGGACGAGGACAGCGACACCATGACCGCGCCAGAAGCGTCAACATCGTCGCCACCACGCAGCTCCATGTCTTCATCATCTCAAATCCCAGGCCTCAATCTCCTGTCAGCTGCACAGTATGATGCACAAGTCGCCGCCAGAAGAGCAGCATCGTCGCCCATCACTCCTGCTACCAAACGTCCCAAACTCGACACACCAGCCAGCTCGTCGTCGACAGCCCCGCGCACACTCCTTCCTTCCAAGATCCGTGGTGACTCTGCAGCTAAAGTCAATGATATGTGTCAGAACCGCCATCTGCGAGCCGACTATAATTTCGAGGAAGGTCCCCCATACGCCTTTTCAGCCACTCTCCGTTTGCTGGATGGCGATCAAGCGATAGAGACCTTCGAAGCGCCCGGCACACACGGCAGTAAGAAGGCCGCCAAAGAGAAGGCTGCCGAGATGGCTGTGATTTGGCTAGAGAAACAACCCATCCCAAAGAAAGGTCAGAAAGATGCAGGACTCCTGCCGCTCTCTGCTGCGAAAGTCGACCCCTCTGAAAACTGGGTTGGTGTGTTACACGGTAGGTCCTCTGCTTCTTCGCGTGTCTATTGTTGTGGTGTCTGGCCCTACGACTCAATAGGTGTGCCTCACGTTACCCATGACCAGTTTCCCGAAACGTCCTTGACCGCCTGCATATCACTTTCGTCGCCGAAACCACAGTGCCATGTATACAAGGATGTGCTAGTGAGAGCGCTGCTGGTTTCAACTACCAGTATGCCCTTCACAGGTTGTATATCTGCAACTGGCTCGCGACGATCAACTGTAAGTTTGGTATGCAGGCTGATCAACATGTCTCTGGACCCTTGTCATGCTTAATGTGAGGCACACCTCTATTGTCTTTCTCCACGACCATGTTTGGCTCGAGACCAATCTATACACTGCACAAAATCAATCAGGCAAGGGTCGTGTCTGCAGAGAGCGATGCTGATCAAGGCGCTTGTGTCTGATTGGCTTTACGCACTGTTGTAGTTGACCACGAGCTAAGCATGGTCATGGGACAGGCGTGATGTTTACCGACCTCATTGCTTTGTGTACGATAGTCTTCTTCGATTTTGCTAACCAGACCCTCCCGTACTCCCTTCGTACTATCTGCCATATCTAACAGCAGCACAGAATTCTGTCAAGGACGCCAAATTGATCAACCAGAGTACTCTATCTATGAGCTCGGCCTCCAACGCTTCGGCGCAACATGCACTATCCTCAACCACACATACCACGACCAGAATGCCGCCTTCTCAAGTAAGAAGATTGCAAAGACCGCCGCTGCTCGTGCTGCCGTCTTGGCCTTGCGTGAGGAAGGCGTCTTGACTAAACATGCAGCACATGTCCGTATCCAGGTGGCTCCTGCCATTCCAGCCTTTGGCACGCCATTGCCTCCTGTTGCTGCTGTTGTCACCAGTCCACCTAAAGTACAGCCAAGCCCATCGCCCTCGGCATCTTCGCTCGTGCCTACCTTGTGTGCCGAACTCAACATTACGCCTCCAACTTACAAGCTCGTACAGACCTCGTTGTTGACTCCTGACTACTGGGACGGTGAGGCTCGCTTTGATCATGCCGTTGAGCCTTGCCTTCGCGGCGCCGTGGGAAAGGTTGAGAGGGTGTATGGCAAGAAGAATGCCAAGGACAAGGTTGTGCAGCAAGTTCTGGAGGTTCTAGAGGGCGTCAAGCTACAGAGGATGGCTGGCTGAGGCTTTGGTCCTCATGATGAAGCATCTTCTTTCGATATCGATTACGTAGTGTGTTAAAGACGAAATTCAGATTCTATTCATCACCACTTTTGAATGCCTCCCAGTTCACAACAACGAGCGAGAGGAGAAAAAAAAAATGTGCGCATCTGCCGACAAACCTAAAACAAGAAGTCATATCCACCACCACCAGAACAAGCCAAAAAACCAAGCTCTCTTTTCAGAGCTTGGGAAAAACCCCCACCTGCCTGCAAAGTATTCTACCTTTGTCAAGAGTCGAAGAACATGACGTTTCCGTCACATCCAAGGATCGAATCGAGGACTTTCGGGGAGTTTTATTGGGCAGTGGGATTACAAAGTGAGGTCTTAGCGATTGTGCCAACTCTACCACTGACTGCTGAGAGCATGGCAACTTAGCTGACATACGAGGGGTTGGATTTTGGAGTGGTGAGTGCAAGGGAAGTGAGAAGGGAAGGGATCTGGATGGAGGGTTTGTGGTACATGAGTTATGCAAACCATGATGACTGTTAAGGTCACACTCTTTTGCTTATCAACCAAAATTAAGAGCAGGTCACATACATGCCCGTCTTCTCCTCAGAAAGTCATTCAATATGAGAGGTTCTTGTTGAATTTTACAGAAAGCAATAGACTCATGAGTCTTGATAGAGGCCACAGAAGGCAAATGGATTTAGCTTGATCGTCAGATCATGGCACCAAGAAGTTTCCTTGGTAGCAAGTATCAATGAAGCAAAAGAAAAGGAACGATGCATGGACGATCGACCATGACAAGTGCTTCCAGATGCACATCATGTCCGCTTCAACGAAGGATGTTGCGACCAGACCAGTACAGGATCAGAAGCTGCCAAAAAGTAAATAAAGGGAAGTCACGACCACGAGATGTCGAATCACTTGCACTTTCCTGGTCTAAGAGTGTCATGGACGTATGCTTTCTGACTCCTACTTCTATGGAAACCCAATCGTCCTGCTGAGACTGAAACCATCCTTCTCTTCAACGTAGAACGAGTGTTTGGTTTATGGAGCTGGAAATCAGATCTTCTCCAGTGTACCACGCACCAGGAACGTGGCAAGTCTGTTCAGTCTCACCGCTCGGTTCTTCTGTTCTTTCCCGGGTCTCCTCGTCTGTGTCATCCGCCTCTTCTGCTCCATCCCCCGTACAGCCATCAAAAGCGTCAGCTCTCAACTCTCTTCCGCCGAGTAAATGACCCATGTGAGTATGACCGAAGCCCTGACCATTCCTACGGAGCACGAAAAGTTCCTTCAAGAATGGCAGAGGGGACTTCGAGAAATAACAGGGACCGAGACAACCAATTCTCTTGCGATCCTGGGGTGCAACAAAGCCATCGCTTTGTACTGACACACCTTCAGCATAATGATGTTGAGTTATGAGACCCAAGCCACTGCAAAGAGCTTCGTATTCGGCTTTGCTGTCTAGGTATAGAGACCCTGCGAAGAGATTGAGGGCACGTACACCAGCGATTGGGAACGAAAGATCACTGGATCTGGCGTTGGGTGTGTAGAAGTTCAAGTCGCTGAATGAAACCATGGCCCTGACCATGCGAGGAGCATAAGTGTGCAGGCGTATCTTCATCGACCTCTTGATCTGGGGAAGTAGCTCATTGGCCTCAAAAGGGCTGATGATCAGGAGATAAGTGTGCTCAGTGCTTCTCAAGATCCAGTTGACTGGCCGCATGTACTGATCACGAGATGACGATTGCGGCAGTTCCACAGTGTGCCAGAAGTCCTGACTGACAAACACATTGAAGACTCCAGGATCGATCTGTTGCTGTTCGAGCGTATGGGCTGCGCTGGTGTCTTCCATAGCCTTGAATGCACGTTTGACCCCGCACATTGCAAGGTCTGAGAAGTTTCCAGTGTCGATATATCGACGAACACCCTCACTGATGGCATGCTGACGAGGAGGCGCTGGAGGAGGAAGCTCGACTTTAACTTGTCTCTCGATCTCATGGGAGAGTTCACGCTCCTGCTCATTGTCGACGTCACAGTCTTCAATGGCAGCTTTGTTCATGGAGTCATACTCGCCGACGAGATGTTGCATCATTGGGTCGCTTGATTTGCGGTCCAACAGACGCTGTAGTGCACCGATATGTTCTTCCTGCACTCCGTACAGGCGCTCCAAGCTCCGAGATTCATCTTCTTGAATCTCATTCCAGAACTGTCGGGATCTCACCTCATCTGCAGCAAGAGATGTTGATGATAGGTTAGCAGGCAGGTACTCGGAGATAATCTTTTGTTGGCGAGAGTACTCAAGACCCTGCATCGCTCGCAAGGGTTTTGCAGCCTCGAGAGATTGGCAGGTCTGATTCATAGACCAAGCCAAGACGTCGTACGATGATAGATTGGTTTCGTCGTCGCAGCCTTTCAAGTCAAGAATGCTTCTATGAACTTCGGTTGGTGCGATGAAACACAAGCTGTGTCCTTTGCCTAGCTGACGAAGACGCATACATGCTGATGGAAAATTAGTCAAATGCTTGCCGACCATTCAAGAAATATTAAACATACCTTGAGTCAGACGATCCTTGACAAGACGGGGTCCTAATGTGACGGCGGCATGAGCTCCAATAGGAATCGCCAGATCGATTCCACGGGTATGGACTTCATCCATGTAAATCAGACAACCTCCAAGTTTGCCAGAGAAGGGGGATATTCGCAAAGAAGTGACAACACCGCGGTGATCTAAGACCATCGGCTCGTCCCGTTCGTCAAAGTAGACAGCGGCTTTCGCATCAGTTCTACACCGGAGCCACTGCTGCACAAGCTCAAGATTTGTAGCCTCCAGAACTTGAGCGCCAACATCGATGAGTACATCTATGACTGGTTTCTGCTGGGAGATGAGCTTCAGTAGCTCTGTAACAGAAAGCTTTCCACCTTGGTCGCTGCCTCCGTGTATGTACTTCTGATTTTCGGGGCGTAGAAGAAGATTCAGCACCATGGCATTAGTATGCTGCAGCTCATCGAGGTCTTGCTGCTCAATTGAGTAAGGTAGAATAACACGACTGTCGTTGGTCCCGCTGAAACCTGTGGTGACCAGATCCAAGGATGCAGAGGATGAGGGGATGTCCCAACCAGAAGCGGACAGCCTCTTCGAAAACTCTTTGCCCTCTTTTGGGAAAACGACTTGGTTTAGGAAGAAATCAATACACTCGAGGGTGTACTGCAGTTTAGGAAAGAGTGATTTTTGGCAAAGAAGGCGGTCGTCCAAATTTATGGAGTCCAATGAGGAGAAATTGGCAGGAAGATTGCTTGCCAATGCCCAACCAGTGTAAATGTCCTGAGCATTGGTATCCTTAAGCAAGATTCTGAAACAATCTTCAACCTGTGCCATGCTCAAACCAGTGTAATAGTAGCTCAGGCAGGTCAAAACGACACCGACGTCCGCGTGACCAAATTCAGAGTTCTGAGTCGGCACGCCTTTTGCTTGATATGGAACAGCCATCAGGCAGCGAGCCGGATCAAGCCCGTACTCAACGAGCCATCTTTTGCGCAGCAAAACAAAAGATAAAATGTCACGAGCGAACAAACCGCGAAGAATAAGAATCGTGTTCCAGTGTGATGAACCGATACAATTCTTGTGGAGAGTGGCAAGATCTTGTTTAGAAACCTCGCGGTAATGGATGAAGTTTCGAATGGCAATCTTGTCCTCGACTGAGAAGTAGTGTAAAGCCACACCAGCGATTTGACCTTCGAGAGCATCATCGACAAGCAAATCTAGAAGGCGATAGAATACAGCAGGATCCAGAAAATTGATGTCAGGGATGGACTTTTTGCCCATGGTCGCGTTGATCTCTGAAGGAAATTGCTTCGAGAGGCTCAACGCGTGATGCTTCACTTGGCGAAGCACACCTTGCGCGACAAGCCAGCGATCATCCTTTCCGTCCAGCATATGTTGACTGCCGACCGGATAGATAAGCTGAGATCGGATGCCAAGAATCTCATCACTTTCATCGATGATGTCGCGGCAGATGTTCTTTAAAGAGTTTTGGAGATCCAAGATAGCTGCAGCCAGATCCTTGTCAGAGACGATCTTTTCTCTGGTCATTAGCTTCATTGAGAGAATCTCTTCAGGCAAAGCGACCATTACTCCTCGATTGCTGCAGAAGTCGGTTGCAATTTCGGACATGCCGCAGATGGTTTCACCGTCGATTCTGGTCTTGCGAGAGAATGGGATGTGACAGATGCGATGTCCTAGTAAATTGCCCAGACGCTGCAGAAGGACTTGTTCTGTCTGTCGCAAAAGCGATTTGAGGACTACTACACGCACCAAGTGGTGTCCATCGGCCAGTGCGGTAGCCAGCATTGGTATGATGACTGACGACTTACCTTCACCCATGTTCAGTTGCATGACAGAGTTAGCACCAGAGCTTGGAGACATCATTTCCTTAGCAACCTTGGCTTGCAATGGGCGAATAGTGATGTTGTTCTCAATCTCCAGGAGGAGCCAGCTAGGATGTTCGTGTAGGGACCATCCTTCTCTACCAGGCGTTTCAAGTTCTTTACAAAGGGTACGATAATCCTGGAGCTTGGCCGACCTCAGCATGCGTTCGGCTCGCTGCAAGGAAGCAATCTTCTCAGCGAAATTCAACAATGTAGCCTTCCATGCAGGAGCTAGTTTCGAGATCTTCGCGCTTGAAAGATAGCTGAGCAGAGCCGATTCGGAGGTACGGGGCCATAAGTCTGCATTAGCCAGTATAGTCTCTGCGGAGCCTGACGGGCCCAGATCATGGTGGATGGCTTGCAATTGTGCCTTGACCGAATCAAGAAGATCAGAACAAAAGTCGTTGAATGCTTCGACTTTCAATGGTGGCTGTTGATGAATAGATGAATGTTCGAGTTGATGAAAGGCATGCAAGCTCGACCGCAAGATAGAGGCGTACTTCTCATGAGTGCCTCCCTTGGAAGCCAGGCTGTCCACAAGTCTGTTCAAGGAGGTGATGTCTGATTGTTCTTTGCCTCCAGACTTGGCTGACCAAGTCAGGGGAACAGGAGGCTGTACAACAATCCTCGATTGAGTAATTGTTTCGTCACACGAGAGTAAAAAGTCCAAGTCCAGCGTCAATAGATAATCGTGAGATTGAACGTGGTTTACTAGCGGCACCCCTGACCAAGAACAGTCCTTCTGTGGGCAGTAAATAGTTTTGAGCTTGTTGCTGACAGATGCAATATGGGTCAAGAAGCGACTATTCTTGTACCATTTGGACCACAAAATTTGACATTCTTGAAGGACACGCAGCATGGGAATACCGGGAAAGTTTCCCTCGGGCAGTTTTACACTTTCAGAAGGCCACTGCTTAAAAATGAACTCAGTGACTTGATCGACTTGGTAATTGACTGCGTCTCTTTCTCTGGCCCATGTACATTTCTGCTGCTGTGAGGCGTACTTAGGCTTACTTGGGTACTCTGCGCGGTTTTTGATCATCTTGTTGATCTGCTCAAAGTTTGCTGAAGCGCCAGCAGATAGATCGTAGGATTCATGGTGCGCCGGGGGATCTTCGCAGAGAAACGATGGAGACATAGCAAACGCGAGGAGTGTTCGAAGGCCAAGTATCTCTTCATCTTTTACTCCAAAAGTCATGGCGGAAAACGTAAAGAGCAGTGGGTATGCCATAGAGTTTCTATCGGCCTTTCGACACATCTCGTAAAGTGATCCCCAGTGGTCCGCAAGCCGGATAGTTGTCAGATTGTGCATGAGTGCTTTCTTGGGATTGAAAGAGCTCTGGTAGCCAGATACCCTCTCCCAACTCTCGAGAATGTATGCGAGGTCGTCGTAAACAAAGGTGTAGGAAGGCCATTCTTGAACTAGCGTTGCAATCTCATGCACTTTTCGAGCCCGTAGGTCCCTATTGAAGGCGTCTCGAGCACTGTAGACAACATCATCGTGCTCACGCGGGGTCAAACTTGATATAAGACCAGCTTTTGTGGTGACAGAGTTTCTCTTTCGAGCTCGCTCAAGCAGATGTGTGTCGCCACGATCTATCTTTATGCTTGTGTCGTTTCGTTGACCGCATGCCAGCTCGTACTTCCGGTGATGCTGTACGATTGCTTGGGAGGCCAACACAAAATCATCGTGTTGAGATAACATGGGAAGATCAGGATCCCAAGTTACTGTTTGCATGACTCTGCGTCCTCGAGGATAGAACTGACGCGAAGGTGTCAGGCATGAAATCTTTTCCAAAAGTTCTATCTCATCTGGCTGCAGCCCAGATGAGGTAAACATGAATGCACTTCCCAATATGTTGAGAGCTTCTTCGGTCCCAGTACTTCCAGTGAAAGAGTCAGGAAGACAGTATGACGTGATAGCATGAAGATAAGCCTGGTATAGATGGCCAAGCAGATCCTGAGCACCTCTGAGTTTGCGAAGATGTCTATCCACTGTGTAGACAAAGTGGCGTCGCTTGAGCTTTGTGCTATCGTTAATGGATACAGACACATGATTCTCAGTCCGCTCAACACTGATTGGTCCAAATGGTACCAGAACTAGACGTTCCTGCGGACAGCCCGGCGGGACAATACTGCGGAGCACCAGCTTGTTCTGGAGACCTATAAAGGTACCAATTGCCTGGTCTTCATCCACTACAGCATTGAACTCAAGGGATTTGGTTTCACCCTTCTCAGATATGATGAAATGAAGATCGTAACGCGGTAACTCAACTTTCAGCTGTGCGCGATGCGAGTCATCGAAGATGATGTGACAATGTAGAGGATCGTCAAGTGTGCAAAAGATGGACGTGACGGTTTTGCCCACCTTACTGTGAATATCAATGAGGCGTTTGGAACCTTGTTGGAGCATAGCTTGTGCGGTAACGAAATTCAAGCTCGAAAAGCACATTCTCCAATTGTTTTGACTCGCTTGCCAAGGCTGATCGAGGGGTCGGAATTCAACCTCACCAGTGCTCTCGTTCATCCAGTGGTGGAAAGACTTGACAAAATGATCTGGGAGAGCGTCATTGAACGTCTCCCGAGGCAGAGCGTAGTACGTCTGATCATGGACCCGACTCTTGATGACAACCTCGTGGTTTCTCACTCCAAGATGGACTTCATTGCCTTCAATGTGCTGCGACACCCGGTAGTCCATGTCAGGGTCATCCGATGCAAAGACTCGAAGGACGGAATTACCAAACAGTTGTAAAACCAAGGGATCGCTCTTGATATTGTCAGGGACCTTCCCCATCGGCTTGCCATCCACGAGCAAACTACCGCTGAGGAGGTTGTAGTCGATCTGTTGAGCCTGACCAAATCCTACAGGAATTGTCTTGTTTTGCACCCATGAAAGAGCACTGTTCGACAATACATACCATGTAGGCTCCAAGCATACGCCATTCCAAATCTTTTGTACGGCTGAGGTGATACCGGCACCATGCTGACGAAGGATACCATGAATACGAGGTTCAAGTTTGTGAGCAATCTTCAGATGGCCAACGAGGCTTTGCCGAAGCAAGAGACAGAGAGCCGTATTGTCTGAAGGTGTATTGTCGCAAACGATTGACTGCGCTTCGATGGCAAGTGCAAGATCCTCAGCAGAGTTCAACAGCTGCTCAATATACTGATCCTCGACATCAAATGTGCTATAGCACAGCAACGCGGCAAGAAGAATACGCTTAACGCCATCGTTTTGGATCTCCTCATTGCCAGGGGTTTGATAAATGTGCAACTCAATCTGCTGACACCAGTCCAGCGCGACTCTTCTTGCTCTGCGCAGAAGCTGAAGACAACCCAATTCGGTATCAGTGTCAGAAGTCAAGGACGTCAGACGAAGAGTAAGTTGAATCACAGCCATCATGCTGTACTGTCTGTCCCAGTTGTTCTCGATGGCAATCAGCCTTCGATGTAGCATACTGAGGAGCTTTGAACAAAACAAGGGGCTGGCAAATTCAGCATGAGCATTTCGTAGGATATCGTTGGACGGACTGCCTGCCTCCCAAGCTGCTTGAAGAATAGCAGTCGTTACGGCAGGATGTGTGAAATCCAGATTTGTACATCCTAGCTCACGCAGGATGTTAATCCACTGGATTCGCTCGCCAGCCCTGAGATTGCCGAAAGAAAGAAACTCGTTTTTCTCGAGGCGGACATCACATTCGTGCTGTCGTGATATGACTTCGTTGCTAGTATGCTGGCTAGTGCGTATGGCCCAATCGAGATCCTCGTATGGCCCAGAGGGTAGGGTGAGAGTGCAGTGAGTCTTGAAGTCTGGCTTGACACCAGGCCAGACCACCCAGGTACTCGCCGACACATCCCATAATTTGTATTTGAGAGAGTTCTCAACGAACAGCTCCTTCATTGTAGTAGGGAGGGCTTTGTCTCTGTAGTGAGATCTGATAGCGGTGGGTTTCGTCGAGGATCCCAGAGTAATGCGTGTAGTCTTGCAGGCAGCATATCTCCTCAGTTGATCATAGGTAAGTACCGTGGTCTGTGCTGGCCCACCAGTGGTCACTTTTCGTTGACCAATGTCGTTGAGAATGAACCAAGTGGCGTCTCTCCAAGCAGCAAATTGAGCGGGTGTCTGTAGCTCAAAGACGGCAGCTTTGAGCTGAACAAGATTTGTTGGAAGTGACTTTTCGACGTACTTGATAGTCATGTCTTTTGCCTCAGACTCTTTCTGACATTTGACGCAACCACTTTCGTCATGACTCTCATCATCATCATCTTCTTCTTCATCGTTATAGTCATAAGTGTGCTCAAGTTGATCAGCTTCTGCCATGAGTTGCTCATACCTGTGCGTTGCTATGGCTAATTCTTGAACTTTCGCTGCCCTTGCGTCATCATCAGATTGTTTAATCCTTGCATGGAGATCCTGAAGAGACGGTGAGATATCATAGAAGCGAACAGTGAAACTGCTCGACGTTGGATACTCGAAGGCACTATGCTCAAGATGAACTGCTTGTGACCAGCGTCTGTCGATGTATGATTCAATGGCCGAAAGACGTTCCATCTGAGATGTTGTGGGAAGCAGCAGGGGTTGGAGGATATCGGTAGGTACCTCGGGAGGATACTCCGCCATCAAAGGGGTCTGCAGACAGCTGATTTTATCGAGCGCGACCCAGAGCTCCATGATCACGAGCAAGGTGTGCGACATCTCGCGAGGGATACCATGATATGCAGTGGCAGCCTGATTCCAGTACTCTGTGATTGTCTTCAGGAGCTTTTCGCAAGGCTCAGCGATGTTCTTCTGCAAGGCAAGTTTAGTCCAGGCAGAAAGATGGTGCTCTACCCAGGTCTCAAGGTCTACAAGATGTGTAACCGGAAACTTAGCGGAGGCCGACGACCCGAGAGATGGAAGCACCTTGTAATCCTGCGAGTGACGTGTCTGTGATTCTGGGGTGAATTTGGGCACTTTGCCTGCACCATTCGAAGAGGATAACACACGAGCCAACTTTTCCCTAATATTAGGTAGAGTTAGGGAAGTGGCATCCTCCCACCCCTGCACAGCAACTTCTCCAAGACTCTCAATCCTTGCGATATGCTGGGTCCAGGTCTCATCCAGAGTCGCTCGGACGATGCTGGAAATCGACAGAACATGGTCGCCAGGCGACTTGCCGTACTGTTGTTCGAACTTCAAAGCACGTCGAGCAAGCTTGACATGAACAACAGACAGCATTTGTAAGTCAATCGGCATCTCGCGAGAACGTTTCAAAAGGCAGGCTACGACGTCAATCATGAAGAGCTTGTACTGCTCTCGAGCTTCTTCTGGTGACAAAGTGAGCAGAAGCGTCCGCAAGATCGCGACCTTGCAGAATATCCAAAAGGGTTGTCTTCGCCAGCAGTACTTAGTGTCTTTCCAGAGAACGTCATCGCGAGTGCTCTTTTGGCTGGTGATCGAGGGGTGGTTTTGCCCGACCACGCTGAGAATCGTCATGAGGTAATCGTTCACGAATCCAGGATGCATCGTTTCTCTTGTTTCGTGCAGAGCATTGTTCGATCGAATGGTCTTGGGTTGATAAGACTTTGGTGGTCCTTCAGACCCAAGTCGGCGAAGTGCGATGTGTAGTTCGGCCTGGAAAGATGTGTCGAAGAACTTCTTGGACGGACAAGCAACCGCACGACTAGGAAAATGTCTTGTCAAACGACCTTGTGTGCTCATGATACTCTCGTTGGTCGCGGACACTTCGAAAGCTTCGATGACAATGGTCTCTGGGCTCTTACGTAAGAACAGGAGAGCCGAATTATGCGAGGGGAGATTCAAAGCTATACAGTCTACAATACGTTAATCAATGTCTCAGATAGCTTGGTGCAATACTCACCACCGGGGCCCGAGGCTTCCATATGGGTGATGAGAAAACCGTCGCTTAAAGTCTTTGCTCTCTCAGTCTTGGCCAGCGTTGAGAGCATCTTGGTGACTGAAGTCCAAGCAGCGCAGTTGCGATGCTCGAATGTCTTTCCGGCAGTTTGCAGGAGGAGTAAGATGTTTTTGTCGATAGTGGAAGGGTCGGGCTCTTCTGCCTGTGGCAACTGAGGTGGTAGGGCAATGTGGTTGATGAGATTCTGAACGTCCTGCACGCCGAGCGCGCTGCCGTTCGGCCTCATGTTAGGCTATGCTCTGATATGGCTATGCTGCGGCAGTGACGAGGAGACAGAACCAGAGATGTTGGCGCAAAACGTGCGTTGAGAGTGCAGGGTGAAAGAAAGAAAAATTCACGCGTAGACTGAATGTTGGTCGATGCGAGAGTATGAGTGTGCTTTTGTGAAGGATCCAACTGAGCGACAATCGGGTCTTTCTCTGTTTACCGGAGCGATGTTTGTATCAATGCCGACAGGGAGAAGCGCCAGTGGTCTCTGGAGCTCAGGGTGGCACAAGCCAGGCGTTTGACGTTGACCAAGGCAGAGAACAGAAGTTGACAGAGCTAGAAGAATGCACTTGAGATGGATGAGAGTGAAAGCGCGGCGGACTACGAAAAGTGCAGAGCGGAAATTCTTTCTGAAAACAAGTGAAACTGACGGTGTGATAGGCACAAACGAAACAAGACTTGCATGTGTGAACCCGACTTTAGACCCGGATCTCCTTACCAGTGAAGCGGGTGACTAGCTGTGTCCGAGATACGAGACGATGATTGATCACTTCTGTTTGATGAGTATACTGAATGGCAGAGAATGACAGGTTCAGAAAGCAGACTATGAAGAAGAGACAAACGAGTCCAGGTGGACCCATCCCCATCACTGTGGAGAACAGTGAAGAGGCCATCGTCACTCTCATCCATCTTTGCACAGCGATTAGAATGGTCAAGGTCCCAAACAACAATACTTGTTGCGAATGTTGTTGGCAGAGAGAAGAGGTTGGTTTGGAGCTGCCAACTTCGGCGCTGGCTCGACGGCAGATGCCGATGCGTACGGCGGTCGATAGCTCAATGTGTGACAAAATTATTTAGCGTGCATAACTTCCGTACGGATGTAATAACTAGCTAGAATGATATTTTCTTTATTTATCTAATTGTTTATATATATGTATGATGTATATTATATCTATAGCTAAGCTAAAAGAAAGAAAAACTTATTTATTAAAGAGCTAGAGAAAGTTTTAGATTATAGTAATAGATCTTCTTTCTTACTTAATAAATATTAAATATGGTTTATAGCTTAAGCTATATAATTATTGTCTAGTACTTTAGATAAGTATTAATAGGAATAAATAGGTCTAATAAGTAGAACCTATTTTAAAATATAAGAGCTTAACTATACCTTAAATACCTAAGGCCTTACTCTTTAGAGAGGTAGACTTAGCTATATAATATTATCTTTATATACTATAAGTAATCTAGAGTATAGAATCCTAATCCTTCTATATTTTTTCTTACTACCCTCTAAAAGAATAGTAATTAGTAGAACTTTATAAGAATTTTTCTTTTATATTATAGTATATTTATTAATAGTATATTCCTTATTTTATATAACCCTTCCTTCTTATTCTTAGAATATCTATTACTTAAAATATTTTTACTATATAAATACCTTACTTTTCTTAAGCTATACCTTTTTTTCTTTCTTTATACTTAAGTACTTACCTATATAAATTATATTTAAATAGTTCTTTTATTTTTCCTTTCTTCTTATTTTTCCCTTTTGCTCTTAACTTTTATAACTTATATAAACTACCTTACTAAGTTATTACTTAATTTTACTTAGATAGTAAATAACAATTTTAAAAGTTACTCTATTTTATATACTTATATAATCTTTATTACTTCTAATAAGAAGGTACTCTATTTAATTCCTTATCTATATAATCCCTCCTTTTTATACCTTATATCTCTTTATAATAACTATTACCTTATCTTCCTTTTACTACTTTTTTAGTAATATCTACTTTTCTATATTCTCTATATAGCTAATTATATATATTAATATACTACTAGTATAGTTAATAGTAATAGCTTAAATATTAATAAGGTCGGCTTTATATATATTAGTAGTAACTAAGTAAGTAATAGTGTCTAGCTATACTATACTTTACTAACCTATATAATTTAGCTTAAGCTTATTAGCCTTTATCTTAATAATACTTAGAAAGAGGTTATAGTACTACTAGATACTAGAGTAGTTCTACTCTATGCTTATTATAATACTAAATGTATATCTAAGTATCTTTAGTATACTTACTATATTAAAGTACTACTTATTACTTCTTAGTTTATATAGGTAGGTTTATATAATAAAAGCAAAAAATACTAACTACTTAGTAGTAAGGACTAATAGCATAGTAATAATAAGAGTAAGGGACATAGTAAGAATAATAGCTATAATTAGTATAAGGCATAATACTATAATAATACTACTAGTAAAGGACCTTTTAAGGTATAAGAAATACTATTTTTATATATGCCTATATAATCTAATAAGGAGTAATAGTTTTATATAGTTCTAAAGAGCTATTTTAATAATATCTATTCTAACTACTACTAGTAGGATAAGAGTACTAAATATAGCTTTAATATTAATAATATTATAAAGGAAGATACTATACTTACTAAGAAGGAGAAATATAAAAATAAGAGTTATATAACTAGAGGAAATAGTTACCTTATCTATCTTTTAAAGAAACTATCTAGACCTAGAATAGTTAAGTATAATTAGAGATATAGCTATAAGTTAGTAAAGAAGTAATTAAAAGAGTAAATAAAGGCTTTAAAAGGACTAGAAGAGTAGAATAAAAGGAGTTTTAAGCTATATAATAGCTATAAAAAATACTTATAAGAAAGAAGGGAAAGTCCTTTTCTTTATTAGTATTAAGATTTTTTTAAACTAAATATTAATTAATATCTTAATTTAGAATATATATAATTATTCTATATAAGTTAAGGTATATAAGTTAATTAAAATATAATAAGTAAAAAGCTCTTAGAGATAATTTACTTAGTACTCTCTATAATATCTTAGATTTTTTTACTTTTCTTTTCTTAATATTCTTTATTATTTTTTTCTCCTTAGAGCTACTATTAGTATATAAAAAATACTTTAGTAAGTATTATATAAGTAAGTAGTAGTAAAAATATAAAACTTCTAACCTTTAAATACTAATATTACTATTCTATGTTTCTAGATTATAGTATCTAACTCCTTTTATCCCTAATATAATAATACTCTTTTAAATAACTTTCTATATTATTATAGTATATAAAACTTACTATTATACTATAAGAAAGAAAAGGATAGTTTATAACCTAAGAAGAATACCTAAATCTTTATAATAATATTAGATCTTAAATCTCTATACTCTAACTATAATCTTAGTTATATACTTAAGCTATATAATTATTATCTACTATAATAGGTAGAATATAAGCTTAGAAAATATATCTAATAAGGGTACCCTAAAATTAGGCTTTAGAAAAAAGGATTCTATAATAAAAACTATTAGTATATTATAGTTCTCTAAGTAGCTTTCTACTTCTTAGATATATCTATATATCTCTATCTATAATTACTTACTTACTTTTAGTAATAAGAATACTTTTTTTACTCTAGTTTTCTTATTATACTCTTAATAAGAGTTATAAAGTTATAATACCTTTTACTATATATTTTTCTATATTTTCTAAGTAGTATAATATATATTTTAAGTAATAGTATAATCCTAGTTTATAAATATCTATACTCTTAGGCATTTATAATTTTTAAACTTTAACTATTTTTTTACCTTTTTCTAGCTTAATACTTTTACTTAAACTCTATATTAGAGAGCTATACAATATATACTATACTCTTTATATATACTTAATCTCTTTATTCTTTTATCTATACCTTCTTAGTCTTATATTACTTTAAAGGTATACTTACCTACTTACTATTTCTTTATATATTTTCTTTATTCCTACTTCTTTTCTATTCTAGAAATAACTACTCTTTTACTTTATATAGCTAGGAACTAATCTTACTTACTTACCTTCTAGCTATATAATCTCTTACTACCCTTAATATCTTTATACTATTACTACCTTATCTACTTTTCTCTTCTTTACTAGTAGTAGGTTCTACTCTTTATTATTCTTTATATAGCTAAGCATATATACTTATATATATTATAATAGCCCCTTATATAATTAACATAACTCCTTTTTAGAATAAAGTTAACTAGAACTAAGATATTACTAGTAAAGAGGTAAGTATACCTATCTAGTATTTTTATAGCTTACTAACCTATATAATTCTTTAGTTTTTCTATATTACTTATCTAAGTAAAGAGTAAGAAGAACTTTATCTTTATAAGAAAAAGTAAAAACCTCTAAACTATATTATTATATAAGAGTATATTACCTTTTATCCTACTTAGTATAAGTTATATATTAATATACTACTTATTACTTCTTAGTTTATATAAGTAGGTTTATATAATAAAAGCAAAAAGTACTAACTAGGAAATATAGTAGTAATAAGGAGACTAAATATAAAGTCTATTAGTCTAGAAAGGATAAAATAAGTTTTATGCTATATAGTCCTTTTAAGGTATAAGAAATAGTATTCTTATATATGCCTATATAATCTAATAAGGAAATATAAAAGTATATTATCTAGTAGGATTACTTTAATAATACTTATAATAACTATATCTAGGATAACTATACTATATACTATAATAAATCCTTAAGCTATAATAAGTAGATAAGAATACTTTAGCTTATAGATAATAGTAAGAAGGAAAGTTATATAACTAGAAAAAATAGTTACTCTATCTATATAGTTAAGAAACTAGATAAGTATAAAGTATTAAGTTAAGAGAAACTAAAGTAGTCTAAGAATAAGAAAAAGTAAAAGGAAAAGTAGTAAAAGAGTTATTATAGAGTAAGCTAAGAGCTTAAAAAGGAATTTAAGAAGATTTAAGATATAGAAAAGAAACTAGGGAAAGAATTAAGGAAAGTATAATCTATAAATTAAACTCTATACTTTTCTTTTAAAAACTAACTTTTAAATATAGATTCTTATTATATATTAGAATTATATATATATAACCCTTTATATAATATAAAGAATATAGATTTAAAATAACTTTAGAGATATTATCTTAAAAAAACTCTTAGATATTATTCTAACTTTTTATCTAATTTCTATAGTATTTTTTACTATCTCTTATAACTTAGACTATATAAACTATCTAAAATATACTAGGTATATAGAAATAAAATATATAGATAAAGTAGAAATTATAGTTAAGGTTATATCCCTAATAAGTAATAAAATCTATTAATTTTCTAGGGTAATAAAAATATGCTATATAGCTTCTAAACTAGTATATATAATATAATTATACTATTTCTTTACTATCTTCTATATCTAATTTACCTTCTTTCTTATCTATTAATTCTTTTACCTATCTCTTTTCTTATTTACTCTTAGAATTCTCTAGCTAAGGCTTTTTAAGCTTTCTTTTAATATCTCTATTATTAGAAAGGTAGTAACTATATATATAATAAGGATTAGATTTAGTATTTAATAGGCCCTTTAAAAGATTATTAAAGCTTTATTATAGTATTAGTACCTTTATTAATATAATATAGTATAGTATCTATAATAGTTAGCTTTTATTAGAAGATAATTAGACTATATAATACTTTAGAAGCCTTTAGCTCCTTTTCTAGTTTCTTTTTAATACCTTACTTTATTTTCTAAGGTTTAGGCTTTATAAATACTTTTTAAGGCTAACCTCTTTTTAGTTTCTTAGATACTACTAGTAAGTTACTATTACTTCTTTTAAAGACCTTCTATTCTAAGATATATAATTAAGGTATAGTTGTCTTTACTACTAAGGTAATAGACTAGTATACTACCTTACTTAGTTTTAAAAATAGTAGTTACTTAGTAATAAGATTAAAGAAAGTTATTAGAAGCTTAATTAACTTAAGACTTAGTTAACCTAGTATTTATATAGGTTTAGTTAGATTATACATAGTAGTAAGATAGACCTTAGCCCTATCTTCTATCTACTTAGACTATTATAGTATTACTTTTATAGAGATTAATTAAAGTATCCTAATAAGTTCTATCTTAGTCTCTATCTACTAATTTATTATAGTAGTAGTAAGAAATACTACTCTATTAATTATATAGCTTACTTTTATCTAGGAGGTATAATATACTAATCTATAACTAGGCTTTAAGTACTTTATCTTTCTTTTTTAATACTATAATAATATATAGAAAGATAGGGGTCTTTATATTATTAATCTTCTTTTTAGGCTTTTTAACTATCTTTATACTAGTAAAATTTAGTATCTAGTTTAGATAGAAGGAGATTAGGAAGCTATAAGTATTATATATAGACTTTTCTTACTTTAAGGTCTTTTATATACTCTCTATATAATATTATAAATCTATAGTTATTTACTTTAGATCCTTTTATAAAGAGTAGAATTAAGTAGATATATAGACTATAGTAGCTTTAGAAGTAGGACTATTATTACTAGTAAGGTTAATCTTAGGTATATTTATATAGTAGATAAGGGAGGTTTCTATACTAGTATTATACTACTATACTACTAAAGGAGATAAGAAGTAATACTCTTTATTCTTTAAGCTATAGTACTAATAGAATTAGGTATTTAGATATCTTATCTAATAGTTATAATTTAACTTTTGCTTATAAAAATAGGTCTAATACTAAGGCATACTTATTATAAAGAATCGTATAGCTTAAATATATACTTAAAATTTTAAAAAAAGAGGCCTATTAAGGTATAAGAAGTTCTTAATTAAAATCCTCTATATAAGCCTTATTATTAAACTAGTTAAACTCTATAGCGCTTAGACTACTTTTACTTAGCTTTTAATTATCTTCCCTTTAGGGCTTCCCTTTTAAATTACTTATCTAAGGGTCTCTATCTAGAGTTATACTATCTAATAAATACTCTAGTATAATAGAGTTTAGCTCCTAATTATAGTTACCTATAAGATATAGTATCTTAAGAAGCTTAGATAGGTCTTACTTCTTATACTTATAGAGTAAAGTTCTTAGCTATATAAATACTTCTTTATAAAGCTACTTACTAGTATTAGGAAAAAAGTCTATCTTATTAATATTAAAGAAACTATAGCTTTTAAGAATTTCCTAGTAGACTTTTATAGTCTCTTATAGTAATACCTTATTAATATCTACTACTAGTTAGCTTAACTAAGAGTAGATTAGGCTATATAAACTAAACTCTAGTACTATATACTTAAGTTCTCTAAGTAGCTCTTTATCTACTAGAAAAGTAAGGTCTTTAACCTAGTTTTCCTTTTTATATAGGTAAGTAAGTTGACTAGATACTATATAAGGCCTATTTTTCTAAGTCTAGATATAATAAAGGTTCTATATATATATAAATACAGTAATTGCCCTTTATAGGATAGGTATATAGATATAGAGCATAGTAATATAGTCGGCCTTTAATACCTTATTAAAAAGGCCCTAGCTTTTATAGCTCTAAAATACTTGCTACTACTATATTACTAAGCTATATAATAACTTATTAATAGATTATAGTACTTATCTACTACTTTATAAGTATGCCTTTAGATAGTTAGTTCTACTAGGCTTTAATCCTTTAGTTTTTCTTACTTATACTAAATAGAAAGTAGTCTTTAAATTATATACCTAGATAAACATACTTTAATATCTTAAAGTAGTAGTTAGTAATTAGGATAGTCTCTATTCTATAGTCTAATTAGATAAAATAAGTTATATATCCTATAGACTTAACTACTTAATAGTACTAATAGAATATACTAGTATTATATATTAGTTATTATTTAAAAAGATTTATATAGTTTAGAAATAGTACCTAATCCCTATATTTATAGAGATACTAATATAATACTAGATAATATATCTAGAAAATACATTAATTGTACTATAGACTTAGAAGCTAAAGTTCTTAAGCTTATAATAAGTATTAATTAACTATATATAGTTTTTTCTACCTATATAATACTTACTATAATAGTACTAGAGATTATAATAGTAGGATACTATACTAACTAGGTTAATCTCCTTAACTAGACTAAATATCTTATCCCTATATATATATAATATATATTAGTAAACCTTACTACTTTAAAAGGTCCTAACTATATAAACTATAAGATAACTATCTATATTAAGTAGATTAAGTAGAAGTATATAAATAGGAATTCCTATCTAAACTACTTAATAGTACCTATATCTAGTATCTCTTTAATAATGTATTTCTACTTATCCTTAATTTGCTTCTATTAAGTCTATATAATATAGTAGTATATTCCTATTAGTTTTCTAAGGTATATAATACCTCTTAAAGAGGCTTTAAACCCTTTATACTTAAAAGCTTAAATAATTTACTTATCCTAATATACTTTAAGGAAATAGAGTAAAGTAATATAGTAGCAAAGCTATAGAGAGTTAACTATTATAATATATAATTATATATTATATTTAGTAATAATATAAAGAATTATATAGTTTAAGTAACTAATCCCCTACTAAGATAGCTACTTTTAGCTATTACTAATAGTACTATATTATACTACTTAAACTAGCCCTTAATAAAACTCTTTTAGTACTATAGATAGTCTTCTAGCTATTATATAAAAGATAGAGTAATAGAGACAAAGATAGCTATCTCTAGGTATAGTAGTATAGCTTTAGTATAAGGGAGTTTTCTATTAGAAGATCTGTATGCTTCTAGTCTTTAATATTGCTATGGTAACCTTGCGCACAAATTGTACACTCTAAATAATTCCATAGCGTGCATATAATCGGCATAAAAATACGCTAAATAATTTTGTCACACATTGAGCTATCGACCGCCGTAATGCAGCTATTTCGTCGTGCCATGGCAGCCGCGACACTGAACACGCATGTCCAGCATGGGTAGCACCTGCTGCGCTCTACCACGAGCGGGAAAGGAGTTCACCGCTAACAACACATCTATGCGCGATTCAGAACTGATATTTCTTCATCAACAACCTCGACCAGCTTCTACGGCGCTACGCCCAGCACGATCCTATCTCGAGCCAACGATGCAGTGATAACAAGCTCCGACGACTTATCAAGCCAAAGAGGGATAGAGCGACAGAAGAGGAGGAACGTCACATATGCATAGGCGCGTCACTGTCACAGCCAGCGCGATACGATGTCGACTCATCTCGAGGCCAGCGTATCTGCAGAGCTGCATCTCTCACGGCCTCCGCAGTCCAGTCTGACAGCACGCGTCTCGCTTTGTGACATGATAAAGCGGTCTTCTTGCTTTCCTCACTGAAGATCCCATACATGGGTTACAGAGAGCAAAGCGTCCTGAGTCGCCGCGCAACTCAGCGAGACTCGAGACAGCTCCTTCCTGAGACCTTCAACATGGTCATGTGGCAGGACACGATCCTTCGAAGAGTCGAGATGCTTCCTCAATGAACAAAGACGCCTCGAAGTTGGCCAAGGACCTGAACGCCGGTGAGACGGAAGGCGCCATCCTGATTTACACAGCGGTTGATGAGGGGTAAGCCAACTTTTCTTCCAAATATCTCCTCTCGTCAAGTGGGGTTCGTATTCAAATAGGCCATCATACCTTCTTCAGTTGAACTTTTTCCTTCAGTCGTACCTGACAGTGCTCAATTCTCTCTGCTTCGTCTCGTTTCAGCATCTTCATACCCCGCATCTTGTTTATACAGCGGAATTTGTTCCGTACTACATCAACACCAAGCACCAACCTGCCACAAAGCAAGACCGCAATCACAATGGCAAAAGGCAGTTGCATGTGTGGTCAAGTCCACTACGAATACACCGTAAGCTGGTTCTCTCGATCCATCGTCAACCTCTCTTCTGACTTCATCCCTTCAGGGCGAACCGGCAGTAACAGCCCTCTGCCACTGCACAGACTGCCAAAAATGGACTGGCGCAGCCTACACCTCCAACGTCGTTGTCCCTCGCAAAAGTTTCAACGTCACAAAGGGCAAGCCCAAAGACTACGATGCCGTGGGTGCCTCTGGCAAGATCAACAAGCATTGGTTCTGCTCTAACTGTGGCTCTTCTCTGTACACTGAGTTGGAGATCATGCCTGACATGACTTGTGTCAAGAGTGGAAGTTTGGATGGTGGAGCTGCAAACCATGATATCAAGGTTGAGTTCTACAATAAGGATAGATTGGGATATACTAAGCCTGTTGAGGGGGCTGATCAGAAGGCAGAGTTCTCTTAGGATTTTTGAGGATCTCACATCTTTTGAAAGGTGGTGATGCTCTTGACTGATGAGCTCCATTGCTAGTACTTGGGATTTCTTGGTTGGTATGCAATTTTGGCAGATTATTTTGGAATACAAAACTCATGTCGACACTGATACTCTTCCTGTGTCCTCATTGTCGTGTCTTGAACAAAGTCACGAGTATACTTTCTGCTTTCAGTGAGTGAGGTAGGTCAATGGGAAGCCCAACGCAGCGCATTGCTGAACATCCCTGAAAGGCATCATGACCGAGTTCCACTGCAATTCCATCATCCTCGGCTGTGCAGCATTCACCTTCTCCCAAGGGCCCGACCTTTCGATCTGGTTGATGGTGTTCCAATATCCTCTCGCTTTGAGATACTCCAAATTCGGGTTAGGATCAAGGTTTCTCGCGAAGCTGGTCCAGTAGTCGGTCATGAGTTGGCCAAACTTTGCATCCAGTCCATCACGATCAGGGAAGCCAACACGAGCTACATTGCCAAAAGTGTTTGCAAGATCTCCAGCATGGCACTTGAAGTACTCTTGAGAAGGGTCGCCATAAGGATGAGAAGGTGTCACCGGAGCGGCACAGACGAGGTTCGGGTTGTAAGCTGGATCCTGGTATGTGCGGTTGAACTCATAGAACCAGATGTTGGGTAGCACGCCATCTTTCACGCCAGCGTAAGCTTCAAATTGATTGAAGCAGCGGAAAGAGACATCTGTAGAAATACGAGTAGTGGTGTTGAAGACATCCAAGGTCGCATTATTGATGCTACTGGTGCCGAGAGGGAACAGATCAGAGTTGATGATGCTGCTGGCATTGAGATGGTCTGCAGCAGCTAGATCGTCGATACCAGTAACAAGATTGGTGGTTGGATAGACTGTTCCGAGAACACCCTCTTCATCACGATTGACTCCCATGACCACTGGTACACGGTTGGTGATCGTCGTCGTGCTGTTGAGATCGATGAAGTCAGACACAAGGTATGTGCCATCAACAACCGGGTAGCTACAATATATGAGTAAGTAGAGGATGTGTTAAATTGAATAAACTTACTTGAAAACAGTCTTGAGGCTGAGCAATGCAGTAGCATTGTACGCCTGGAGACATGCTAGCTGGTCAGCTGCAGTAGCACAACCTGTTTCGTTGAGAATGGGATTGGTAGTCTGGTTGATCGCAGTAGCCAGAGGAACATAAGGCTGGTAGTAGTTCGACTGCATTATCGCTCCATGGAAAAGATCCTTGCCCTTCGGCGACGCAATGAGAGCATTGACAGACTCTGCGCCGGCTGACTCGCCAAAGACAGTGACACGAGACGGGTCTCCTCCAAAGTTTTCGATGTACTTCTGAACCCATTCCAAACCAGCAATCTGATCAGACAAGAAATAATTGCCGTTATGAACACCGTCATCAAGAGCAAGGAAACCAAGTGTAGACAGCCTATAAGCAATGTCAACAACGACCACATCGCCGCGTGCAGCCAAGTTGCCGCCATCATTTGTTGGATTGCTTGCAGATCCAGTCGTAAATCCACCTCCATAGATATAGACCATCACTGGTTTTAGATCTTTCTTCGCGGAAGAGCCAGGCAAAGAAGTCGTCCAGATATTGAGAAACAGGCAGTCTGTAGAACCATTATTCGGCAGAGTCAGACATTCAGGTGCAGGCTCAAGAGCATCATTAGTACCTGTCCCTTCATAAACAGAAGAATAGGTAAATCTCTCTGGCTCAGCAGCAAACCGAACACCCATGAATCGAAAGGTCAAGAAGTCACGGTATCCGATCAGTGTTTGTGAGCCGACGGATTGAGAAATTCGATATGGAGGAGAGTTGTCTGCATATGTGATATTGGATGCTGGTGCAGTTTGAGAGCAGAGTGAAGGGAGCTTCTCTCTGCAGTTGACTAGATGGATTTGTCCATTGACGTCCATGGCTTGACATTGTGGTGCCTGATGAGGAGGTCCTGGATGAGTGGCAGGTCCAGGATGCTTAGAATGCAGTGTCCAGTGAGATTGAGTAATCCACATGAGTTGGTCGCTCGCAAGACGTCCACTATAAACTTCGTATGAAAGGGAGTTGTTTAGACCAGCAGTAAAGGGTAAGGTGGAAGGTGACCACAAACTCTCAGACAAGGATTCGCATGCACCGAGTGCGGATGACAATGTCACCGGGCTGCTCAAGAGGAGTGCGGCACTCGTCGTACTGTTGTCTGGGGCTTCACCAAGATCGTTAGTATAAGGCTTGTAGCTGTGTTCGATAAAAATTTGAATACGTACTGATCAAGTCATCGGAAGCTAGAATCTGGACGTCTCCAAGCCGTGTTGGGCTGGGGGTTGCAAAGACATGATTTCCAAAAGCAAGTAGACCAAAGCATGTGGTGAGAATATAAGTGCTCATCGTGTCTTGAGTGACCGAAGTCGTAGTGATCGACTCTTGAGAATTGGCTCATGGGATTGGGAGGGCTGCCATGTTTATATAGCTCTGTGTTCATGCTATATTGTTCTGACCACTAATGACGATGTTGCTGGTCTCAATGGCGGTATACCGGGTACCCGGCAGCATTCATTGACCCCCTCAGCTCTTCCATCACTCTTGGCGGCTAAATCGTGCATGGTAGACTTCATGTAGATATTTAAGTGTGGCTCGCCTTGTCTGCAAGGTCAGAGGCAGTCGACCCCACTGGATAAATGTGTCTCTGCCGTTACCCCACACCCATAGCGGAAACTGCATGCGCGGTCCTGGCCTACTCCTCCTTCCTCAGCCGGATTGGAACGAGTGAAAAATGTGTTGGGCATATAAAGACCTCCCCGTGTGCTAAAGACAGTCACAGTGTAGCTATAGGAAGTTGGACTTAACGGACAACCAAGACAGGAATCTTACAGACTGAACTCAAGACGATTTCCGGCATAATCTCTTGCAAAAAATCTGCTTGGGTATTCAACACCTTTTGAGCCTATTCCCATGATCAGTATAAGACCCAAAAGGCCATTTAGGATATCAGTGCATCAACCCACCTGAATTCTCTTCTCCAGGTTTATCAGCCGCTCTAGGAGCTCCTTTGCCGCCGGCTTCGAAATGCTCATAGACGCGTTTCTGGAGCTTTAAAAGAGCCTCTTGTGACTCTACACGAAAACAAGGATGACGGGATGATTCTTCGTTTGGCGGACCGAAAGCAATGTGAACTTGCTGACCATTTGGTGTGATATCGAACCTGGGTATTTCTCATGAGCTTTGGCTCTGCAAAAAAAAAAAAAAAAAAAAAAAAAAAGATGCTTGATAGCGATCAGATTGACTCACCAAGCGAGTCTGTCTCTCTGCAATGCTGGCACAGGAACGCGCTTCATGCCGAGTGTGTTGCTGTAGAACGCCTCCGCCTCGTCGAGGGTGCTTGAGGGCACCGTGAGGTTTACGTGAGCGATGCCGGTCAACATTATTCCCTGATAAATGTTGGGTCTGGTTACGTGAGAGTGTCGAGAACAGCAGAGTGCAAGTTGCTGCTATATGCTCGTTTGTGGTACCTAAGCAGAAAGGTGGCACTCAGAAGGTGGGGAGCATGCGGGGTTCTCGCCGACTTTTGCAGAGTGACTCAAAAACGCGCGTCTCAAGTCTGATTCGAACCGGCGACTCTGGTCTGTGGTCTTCACGCAATCTCGAAGCTTGGGACACCACGATAAACAAGCAAAACTCACAGTACTCCGAGTACAGGTCGTATCGAACCGAAACCACAGTGGCTTGTTCTACTCTGGTGAGATCTAACACTGGCGCTCCATGGTCGAGCCTTATTATGTGTGGAAGTAGGCTTGATTCTAAACAGGGTCTGCGTATTGCACAAGAGCACTCAGCGTCTCGGACATGGTCTGATCATGATGAGGTTCCAAGATGCGGACAGAATTTGCCGATAGAGTTCATCTCGTGAGTCGTACGGGCGGCTGCGATTTTCAAAGCTTGAAAGATGCAAAAGTGTAACCATTCAAATGGCTGAAGCCTCAAGCGATAGCGAGGATATGCCCACCTGCCCGCACGAAACTGGCAGGGTGGAGACAGAGAGATTGGAGGAACGGTAATCACTTTCAGGATGTTTAGCTGACAAGTATTTAGTTATTATCATTCACGCAGAGAAAGGTCTCTCGACGTTTGCCCGCGGCTCCAACAACGTTGCAAGGTCTGGATGTGCTCAGGTAGTCCGATCTTCTTGACAATCAAGGAGTTCGATTGAGGTATGCTTATCGCAGACAGATCCAATCAAACTATCATTAGATGGGTCCAGGAGATGAAGGCGAGATGCACACACCGCACAACAGCGAACAGGAGCCACATTAGGCTTGGACCTCGCTGTACGTAAGTAGCGTGTAAACAGGGCGCTTGTCACAGATGTCCGCATTGCAGACCAGGAAGCAACCACTGACATTCAAGATCCTACATGCGAACAGCTTTTGCAAAAGAGCGACGTTAATAATGCCTTGAGCAAGCGGTGTTCATACGCTTGCTTTATGTATGCAATCCTTCGACAGAGAAAGTCCGACCTTCGGGCGCGAGATGTGAGAAAAAGGGTCCAAGGCCTGGAACGTTCTTTCTCTTGTTGTGGAGACCTACAATTCAGACCACGGCTGCCAACCTCCCCTCTCCGCGTGCTCTCACCAATGCACCATTGACGCCTCCCTGATCTCAGCATCGTCGATTCGCAACACTGCATACAGATCAAGTGCAATATAAATAGGTGAGCTCGGATGACTTGGAGTCTTCAACCGAAACCGAGTCCGCTTCTGCCTGTCTCTGTGTCATGCAGAAAACGGTTTGCTGCCGCCGGCCGGTGAACCTTTTTACGAGATGTCACTTGTCGCAACTTGATTGAAACACAGGTCCAGATCACGTTCTCGAAAGATCTCATGTGAGGAAGGTTTCCACATCCGGAAAAACAGGCTCTAGGGCTGGGCTAGACCAGCAACAACGTTCGCCAGGCGCAAGGTGCAAACCAATTTCGACCCTAGAAAGGCCCAAGGTACGGAAACGCAACGCGCGAGAGATCTGATTCGTTGCCTCAAGTTATGCTGCATCCTTGTCTATCACCAAACAACAGTTCCATGAATCAAGATGATTCGGAGCCGACCTGCTTCTGAACATACCCGCTATCAGCACGAAGACATGAACCATTGTCTCGTCAGGATGAGACAGCCCTGGCCCCGGCATACGAACGAAGTCTGCCTTTATTTCCGGCTCCAGATCTCGACTCTGGTCTAATACCTCGTAATCCCATACGAGTAGGAGCAGGGGGAGGCGAAAACAATGCTTCGCATGTCAGGACAGAATGTCACCGACCGAAATTCGCACTCTGCTTGTATATTATCCCTCATTTATGCATCTCATACAGACTACGGCAGGCCGGCCTGGAAACGATCATGGCGCATGCGGCAAGCCACTGCACCGTCCGGCTCGCACCCTGTGGTCCTCATCTTGCCCAGAGCTCGACCGCGTTCGCACGTTTGGTGCAGATCAACGGACGGTAAGGTTGGCGGTGCCTCCGGCAGTTTGTGGCGCATTGCAGCCATCAGTCGAGCCCCTCTGTAGTCGCGGCAGGAGATTATCAAGATATATCATCTGCCTGCCTCTACTTTACCTCTTTCCGTGTTTCACGCATCAAACCTATTCAGAACTTCAAGAAGCATTCACACCATGGCTGTTCACCAACCCTCGACTTACCAAGCCAAACGTGCAAGCATTTCTTTGCTCCTTCAACCTATCAACAACAACATTCAGCCTGCCATGACAGCACAAGCACTAGCTCTGGAGAAGCTTGGCCGTTCAGTGGATATGACCGTCTTTCAGGAGTTGCTTGATCTGGACACACCATCTGAATTGTTCAGCAAAGATGTTGTCAGCGAGTATCTAGTGATGGGTCCAGAGTCATTGAGTACCATGAGAGAAAGCTTGTATGTCGAATGCTTCATTTTCTACCATCAATCTTATACTAACACGTATCCATTAGAACACAAGTCAACCTTTCAAAGCTCAACACAAGCACACAATCACTTCGCTGCGCATCAATGGTGCTAGGCCTCACACGTATTGAAAAGTCGTGTGCTCGTATCGAGACTATCCTGGCGCACGGCGTCGAGCTTCAATACACGGGCATCAGCCTTAGCCAGATCTGCGAGATTCTCAGCTATGTCGTCAAGGATGCTCATTCACACTTCGAGTCTGCTAAGATGGCCTTCACGTCATTCTACAACCTGCCAACACATTATTCGTCGCAAGAAGATGCTTCTAGTATCTCAAGCATCGAGCTATGATCAACTTGACTCGTCAATGTCCTCGCTGGTCGAGGTTATTGGCATTCGATTTCTCTTCTTGCCCTTGTGGCTTTCTCTTTTCATCTGGACATAAGTTTCTTCCTCGACTTTCTTCCTCGATCTTCACTTCTTCATCCACCATTTCAGACGTATTTTATCCCAGCATGGCCTTACGATACCCCCCAGCCCTGCTATCCATTTCTACCTTTCCTCTCTTCGTTGGATGGAGCTAGACAGTCAAGAGGCTGATCTGTCGGCTGGTCAAAGATGTATTTATGATTACACGAGCTATGAATAATGTACTTTTTACTCCTGCTTCTGGTCCCATCTTCAATCAGTTATACCTTTACGTCCAGCGAGACGAATGCAATGATTAGAAGGAACAAGTAAAAGCAATAGAAACTGTCTGTACTCTCCTTAATTCGAAAAGTGCTTAGACGACGGGTGCTCCGCACCTCGATGTCAATAAGTACAGGGCGGTATCGCAGCCGTTGGATAGCGCGCACATTAGTGCGTCTGCACATCCAAGGAGTACATTGGATAGTAGGAGGCACCAAGGTCAGGATAGGCAGTCTGTAAGCTGCACACTGTCCAACGGACGCAGACGCACCTTGTATGTACGTGGAACACGATGCCGGGCAGATCATAAGAGAAGTAAACACCAACTGGAGTAGATCATGGGAGGTTTCCAGGAAAAAGAAGATGATTGTACATACCGACCCCTTGTGAGATCACTTTAACTAATGGCTCTTTTCTGATGCTAAACACGACTAACAATGCCTTTTTCTTGTGTGCCACAAAAGTCTCCAAAGACAAAGATGCAAATATGCAATATGAAAAATCCCAACACACCAAACTCTACTGCTCAGCAATCCTCCAAGCTCTCAAAGGCAAGCTCTGCAACTGTAATGCCTTGGGCTTGATGAAACCCCAGAAAGTGACAATGCCGATGATGATGCAAAGTACATTGACGATGTAGTAACCATCGGTGGTGATGTTGCAGGTACCGCCTCCGTTGGTGCAGATATGGCGGTCGTTTTCTAGTGCGCAGGAAAAGGGTTTGGTGATGAGTTCGCCTTTGAAGTCGGGAGGTGGGATCGAGGGGGGTGTGCACGTTGCAGAGGTGAACATGTCGACGAACTTGAGGATGAAGAAGCGAGGGAATGTACCACCGAGGTTGGAGACGCTGAGAGGTGGTGTTAGTGTGTGCGAATCGATGAGTGGATGAAGTAGACTTACGTAGCGAGGAGAGTCATGTAGGTACCGCCGATGTGAGGATCGGCAATCTTTGCATGGAAAGCGCTGACGGCGACGAACATGACGGTGCTCATGAATGTGCTGAAGACGTGCTCGACGATGACGACGCAGAGGTACGGAAGATTAGTACCACCGCTGGGGAAGATCATGACGGTGAACTGAGCAAAGGCAGCAGCAATCAGTCTGCCTACAAATGCCCAACACCAAAGACGCATCGGGGCATACTGCTCGCTCCATTTTCCGGCGTAGTAGCCTAATGAGATCTCGAAGGGGAAATCGATGAGGACAGTCAAGGCAAGATCTTCCTGGCTAAAGCCCTTCTCCAATAGCTTAAGGTTGGTGACGGCATCATTGGCCTGGAAGCCAATCTTTGCGATGAGATGAATGACGATGAATGTTTGGATGTTCCTCAAGCTGAGGATACCGCCCATGACTCTGTAGACCTCCATGATGCCATCTCTTTCCTTGGTCTTGTCTTCCTTCTTGAGCACAGCGAGGCCGAGAGTAACAAGCAGGTAGGCCCATCCCCAGAAGCTCAGGTAACCACCAAGAGTAAGGAGGCCAGTCTCTCCAGGAGTACTGCGGAACCACTTGTTGGCGAAGTCTTTGGACGACAGGGCGAGGAAGACAGTGTAAGAAAGGAACTGGCCAGCGGTCAGACCGACGGTTTGGGCGGTACTGGCGTAAGAGAGGTTGGATGGTGACAGGAGGGTAAGTGCCCAACCTAGGCTATGTTAGTAACGAGTCTTGCGAAATGTCGAGGGTATACACACCATCCACAGCGATATCTTGAGTGGCGCACATCAGGACCAGGGCGAACCACCAACCAGTAAATTTCCAGACACCTGCGCCGCCATTCTCACCAGCCTTGACCATCATGTCCTCGACGTGAGATCCAAGCCAGATCATGCCAAAGCCACTGATTGTTTGTATAGGAAGAATCCAACTCTTTCTTCTGCCCAGCTTGGGGGTCCATACAGCGTCGACAATGGGCGACCATAATAGCTTGAGCGAATAGGGGTATGAAGCGAGCGAGTAGACGCCAATCTGGCCGTACGAGAGATGCGACTTGAGGAGGAAAGGGACGGAGCCACTGGCCAGACCCATAGGGATGCCTTGCAAGAAGTACAGCAGGACGAGTAATAGGAAGTTGCGCTTGTCTTGCTCGGGTAAGTCTGTGAAGCCTTTGGAAGCGCTCTCTGGGTGAGGTGTCGGCGGAGGTTCATTGTCAAGGGTGAAGGAGCTCCTGCTCATGAGATTGGCGGCCACGGTGGCAGAGTCTGGAGATTCGAGCGAGGCATGCTTGCGCCGTTGTTCAAGCAGGTTTCCAGACATGTTGGTGTCGTCTGTGGACGAGGCTGACGAGGGAGCAGAGCCCGTCGCCCTGCTGCTTCTGCTGGGAGTGCCGTTGGCTTTCCTGGGCATCGGAGAAGGCGAATGGGCCAACGAAATGTCTACCGGGCGCGAGTGATGCAAGTTGGCAGCTCCTACGTCTATCGGCTGGGGTCTTCGATTTTCTCTAGGTATAAACGTGTCCAGACGGATATTGTTCCGCTCGTTGTTATCGATATCCACAATATGGGATCGAGGATTCGCGTGGACCAGGTCGTTGGACAGTGTAGCAGACATGCACCAGTCTTGTTTTTCTCAGATCCAACAACAATAATGTCTGCTTTGCTTTTGTGATAGAATATGTGTTCAAAATGCTCTACCGCCAGCAACCTTTCCCTTGTCTCCAACAGCCTTTGTGAAACACGACGCAGGTCCACTTTCTCCTTTCGTAACGTGGCCCTTGCTCGCTCCCCGCAGAGCCGCGCCAAGATCCTGCCACTTCGCCGATCTCTCTGACCTGTCTTTGTTTCAATCTTCTGCTTGTCACCACATGCATCGCAAGCAATATCGCCCGACTATCTTATTGGATGCACATCTCCACCGATAAGAGGGCTTTGTTGTCTGATTGAGGGGCTATTCCTGGGCTCTGAAAACCTCATCTGAACAAGCATAGCATCACTGTTTTTCACTGTTATAGTCCATGGTCAAGTTTTGCATGATACTGCTCTCAGCGATCCTGCTGTCATGGGAGTTGCTTGTGCTGTGCGATGAATCTCATGAGTCTCTGGTATAATGTAGGAAACCTGCCGTGTTGTCGTTTGCACCTGCAAGTAACCGCTGGGAACCTTCTGGACAGCACTGAATTCACCCATGCTGAAGGCGCATGGGTGAGAGGCCAAGTACTCATCTCTTTCCTTCTCTCTTCTCTTGTGACTAGACTTCCTTATTTTGTTGTCGTCGTGAAGTTGAGTGTCGCTCTTACGTTCTTGAGATTGTGCGCTGCTTGTGTCTCCCGACTGTTGTTCTTGCGGAAGGCGCGACTTCTTATCAGGCAGACATCAACAACGCGACTCAAACATGGCGTCAACCACTCCTGTAATCACGGATACGTCTGAGCATCTCACCAGAGTTTGTTCATCTCGTCTGCACATGCACGATCAAAACTAATAAATCTCCCAGCTGAATATCGCGCACCCGACTTCCTCTGTGCATCACAGCATGGCACCCAGCGTTGATCAGCCCTCTGAGAGCGAGCATACCAAGCTGACTCTGGAGGCTCTGCCTCCTGAAATCAAGAATGAGATCTTCTCGTACCTTCTGCTAGGTGCCAAAGTCAAGTACTCAACCAACGGTTCCTGGCCTGGTCACAAATACAAGTTCGACACAACCATCATGCGTGTCAACAAACAGTTGAGCCAAGATGCTAAAACTTATCTTCGCGGTCAAAATGACTTCGCCCTCATCAGCTCCAAGTTCTTCGCTTTCGAAATTGACAGGAAACGCTTCTTGCCCACAGTCGCTACGGGCAAGGCTGCCAGGTCCTTCAAGGGTCCCTCGATCGAAGCTACCATAACCCATGTCGAAACGCCCTTGTGCGTATGCTGCAACCCTAAAAAGCACAAGGACAAGGACCGCGCCACCCATGCGCTATTCCTGGTCGCCGATCTCCAGCATTTGATCAGAGAACTACGCTTGACATTCCACATGTGGCCTTCCAAACCCATCTATGTCATCTCAGAGCCGTCCATCTCCCTCGTCGAACATATCCCGGTCAATGTCGACACCCAGGTCAAGGTTGTCTGGAAGGTCCACCCATCTCCTCGTCAGGACTTGACTGTTGCCGAGCGCCGAGCTAGACAGACCCGCTTGATCGCCCCTCTCGACTTTCCCACAGGCAGTGGCAAGAACATCTCCGTGCTGGGTGCGGACAAAGACATTGCTCGCAAAGTCACAGAGCAAGAAATGCCTCGTATTCTGTCTATCGATGCTGTCGGATGGGACCTATATCACCTCCTCAAGGCTCAAAAGAAGCACCTAGACACCATCTTGTCACAAGAACCTCCGTCCTTTGCCAGTCTCATCCACTCCTACACAGATCTCGCTTGTGCAGGATGGCAATTGGATATCACTGGCCAGTGGAGGTACGCTTCTGTAACCAGACATGTCTGTATTCACGGTAGAATGGTTAGCTTGTGTCTGATGCCTTGGGATGAGCTTGATGACGAAGATTACGAGGAGAAGGTTGCAGACTCGTGGCAGTTGGCTGTTGTATCCTTGGTACTCGATTGTTTATTCACAGTCGCCAGGCTTGGTCTGGAGGAGAAGACCTTTGACCATCTCAAGGACTGCATCGACACCATTCTGCATATCATTGCTTACACTTTCCGTCCCCACATGGCGCCCTTCTTGTTCCCCGACCGCTTCAGGGCCTTGCTGGGACACTGGGAGGCGTGGTACACCGTTCATGAAAACTTGACCCGTGACCCCAGGGGCCAGGACCGCTATGCACGCGGCATCGAAACGCTTGAAGCAGCAAGAAAGCTCATCCCAGCTGAAGACGATGAGGTTTGGCGTCCGATCAACGAGGACTTGGAGTTCCTGAACAAAGTTGCTGCAGTAGGTTGATCTCGCCGTCTTCACAATATGCTTTACTGACTGGTATCAGGGCGAAGCTGAACCCTGGAAGAGAGACTTTGGTCGCTTCTCCTTTCCATGCATCAACTTCCAGGGTCTGCTCAACAGATCACGCATCCACAGCACGCCTGTTCATCCCAGACCACCATGCGGAACTCATCACGGCTGGGCCACCAAGCAAGGATTCCCCAAGCCGGACGTGGCTGCAGACATGATGAAGTTCGTCGACGACTTCTCCAAGCTCAAACCCGAGGAGAGAACCCACGAGTGGACCGACAAGGCACTTGACCACGGACACTTTGCTAGTGCTTTTTTGAACCTTCCTCGCGAGCCCGAGGAAGATGGAGACCCCGGCATGCCTCCAGATTTTCCTCAAGGCATCTTTGGGATTCAGGTTGGACCAGTGACCACTGTTGGGGAGCTCTTCGCAAGCATGGGTATGCCTAACGGTCCCCCGCCTCCACCTCCTTGAAGCGCTCCAAACCGAGCTCAAGACCTGTACGGTGCTGTGAAGCGAGTATTGATGTTAGACGAAGGATGGCAGTGGACTCTCAAACCTCGCAAGGTGTTGAAGATGAGGAAAACCAGTATAGTATACCCTGCAATGAGCAACTCTTAACCTCTTCATGTGCCAAAGACTGTCTCAATTCTGCAATTAACGCCTTTCTCCATTTCGAATGCAAAGGTCATGATAAGCTATCGAAATGCACAATTACAAGTCAAATATGAGTCTCGTCATGGAAATAGCCTTTGAAGAGATATCGCTGTGGAGACGACGTTTTTTGCGAAAGCATTGTACATTTTTGTAGCTACACTGTGACAATTCCTAGAATAAGGAGGAGCTTTAACTTCCATCCAAGTCACCGATCTAATGATCAGGTTCCCCTTCGAACATACATAACTGATATATTCCCAGACTGCATTATAAACGCCAGATGTAAACAACAAAAAAGTAGAAAACACCACAAACACCCTAAAGTTCCCTTTCAACACCCTTAGGCACCAGGAAACAAACCCAACAACCCAAGCCTTGTCTACCTTCTCCCCAGGACTCTGCAGCTCGAACGCCATAGATACCTATCTGTTCTTGTTCCATACTGACCTTGTTTCTGCCCATTGACGGAAGACTAAGGACTTCTCTCAAGGTAGTGGGGCTGTTGGTAGACGAATCTAGCCAATCCTTTGCTTGTGAAGTTGCTGTTGCGATGAAAATGGAAAGAGGTGTACTGTGGTGGAGGCTTGGGGTGTAGATGGAAGTGTCGTGGCCATGAGGGGTATCTTCTAGCTTCTTGTCCTTGTGTGGTAGCTTGGGTGAAGGAAGAGAGAGTAGCGATGTGTGTAAGCTGCTGGATAGGTATGGGATGCTTAGGCTCAGGTTCCCCGTCTTGGAGACTCTGGGTTGGAGAATGAAGAATTGGCGGTGCAAGAAGCGGACTTCGGTAAGCAGAGATAGTAGATCTGATATTGCTGGTGTAGTGTTGCTGTTTCGTGTTTTCGTAGGCTTGCTGGCCTGAATGGGCAGACGAGTTGTGCTGGGTCCATAAGAGTCTGTTTCTAATTGCTGAGCCAAGGAACACCAGATATCGTCTTCCTCGACCCACTGCTTTTGTTTTCCTTTGCTTGTACTTGAAGAAGAAGTAGAAGCAGCAACTGCTAGCTCTGCTCTGACTTCTCTCGTAAAGGAAGAAGAAACATCAACTTCAGAGCAAAGAAGCCATACACTGCTTCCATCTCGCACCCTGACAATTCTCTGCACGATCTGCAGAACCACAGTTTGAGTCTTGGAGACACTTCGAGGGAAGCTGGGTTCGACGCGTAGACCACACTCGACATCGGCGCCGTACGGCAAGTTCATGAAGGTGCAACTGCCTACTTGCAGACTATTTGCACCGGCTACGTAGTCTTGGGATAGGAAGCGGATTGGTTGGCCGTTGATGTGAGGGTCTGTGATGGCAAGGCGGCGAAAGACTTGCGGCAAACCAAGGAGAGGCGAAGATGAATTGACAGCAGGTCTCGGGCGAGGATCATTCTTCCTGGCATTGCCTGATCCACAAGATATGGCAAGTTCACGAACAGAGAGATCGACAGGAGAGTTGAGATGGCTTGCACCTGGTAGTGGCGATGCATAACCTCTGGTCCTAGACCTGCTGCGGTGAATATCTTGTCCACGAGTATCTGACGACCGAGGTTTTGACATAGTTGCGAATGAATCTCCAAAGGTTGGCGAATCACAGCGATCCGATAAAGTATAGTCGAGACTGTCGGCGCGGTAATCGTATCTGGCGGCGAGTTCGTCAATCAGAAAATCCAATTCGCTTTGTACCAAAGCTTCTTCGTCAATCGGTATGCCAGGGACAGGGAAGCCAGGCGGTGTAAGGGGACTAGGAAATCGTGGGTCCGAGGTTGGTGTGTTGAGCGAGATGCCAGAATCTCGGATAGAAGGTGTAAAGAAGAGTGTCTTGAAACGGTTACGCTTATGAGGAGTGCTGGCAGGAGATAGCAGATTTCCGTAAACGGAAGGAGAAGGGAGAGAAGCGATCGCCCCGGGATTAGCAGAAGATGATGCAGAGAGGAAAGAGCGATTCGAAAGATCAGACCGAGCTGATGAAGATGACTTTTGGCGTTGATGATACATGTAGGAAGCGAGTAGGGCTGACTATCAAGAAATTGTTGTTTGTACAAACGAGCAATTATATATACTCACCGCCCACCTGGAATCTGAGACAGCCGAAATTTCGTGTCTTTGAGTCTTTGAGACTGGAGTCGCAAACTACAGGACTCGCACTGTTTTAAGCGTCTGAGTAAGACACTCATCTCCGTCGGCTTGTCGTAAAATGTCTCTTCCTAGCCTCTCGGCTTGTTGTGAAAGTATCTAAAGCAGCATGAAATTTTGGCAAAACAGAAACCCCCCTAGCCGCCGTGTTGCTAGGGGGGGCAGAGAAAGCAAAGCTTTCGTCTCGATTGTTGTCGTGCGAGGATTACTGGGACCCCTCATGGCTTGAATAAGTAGCATAATAAATGGCAGGTCGAAGAGTCGAACCGGTGCAATATTGGCTAGCAAGATGGGCTACACCCACTGCGCCATTGCACCGGTTCGACGGAAACATTGCCAGTTTGGGTCACCATAACACTAGGTCTGCTGGTTAGTGCGGGATTCACTTGTTTCCTTCCGAGAAGCATTCACTTCTAGATCCACCCTGAAACTTTCCATGAAAAGGAGTCATTAGAATGCACATTACTATCAGAAGTTCGGGCAACAGCCACTTAGAGTGCTTTTTCCCTAGGCAACTTCGCCGAAGTACTTTCCAAGAAGTTGGCAAACGAAAGAGACAACCTCCTGCTCGTTTCCAACACCGAGAGTGCCGGTCTGCCAAGTCAGGGAGATAGTGGTAGCGCCTCCTTTCTTGGTAACGACATTGACAGCAAGGCAACTGCCCATCACATTCGCCGGCTGAGCAAAGAGCATGGATTCGACATCCCAGTCACCTTTCTGCGCATCTGCAGTAGGATCAAACACTCCAAGATTGCTAATTTCGTAGGAGCTTTCTCTGTCATTTTCGGCTTCTCCTTGCATCCAGGGGCGGAACCTGCTGAGGTAGGATAGCAGGCCGATAGGTTGATCGTGTAGAGTGTTGGCACGTTGGGCAAGGTCTTTGGAGGTCTGGCGAGCTGTAGTCCAAATTGGGCTGTCGCTTTTGGGGTTGCTCCAATCTTTCCAGTTTTCGACATTGCCGCGACTGAAGAGCTCGAAAGAGGCGGTAGGTCCAGGACAGGACATATCGTTTGAGCCAATACCATTGAGAAGGTGACGGAGATCCACAACAGTCAGGGCCACGAAGCTGCCAATATCATCTCCGGTAGATGTGTTACCAGGCAAAGCTTCGCTCAAAGCTCTAACAACTAGTTGATGCAACAAACTGGTGAACTTGACATCATGAGCTCTGCAAAGCTGCAGTGTCTCATCCATGATTTTGGGGGAGATGTTGAAGAACTCAAGCCCTGTAGTGAATGTACTGTGGTCGAAAGGAATCTTGATACCTTTCCAAGCATTGGCAGATTTAGGTGTAGTCGAAGCACGTAGGCCCAATGACTTGGTGACAAACTCCGGGAGGTAAGCGCCGAACAGTGGGCTCAAGAGGTAGGACCAAGAGATAGAGAGTTTGCCAGCTTGTTCAATCGTGGGCGGCAGAGGATTCGATGGTGTTTCACATATGAAGCTCTCGTGAATGTCACTCTTCTGGCCATTGAGTCCTTGCAGGAAGGTTCTGTGGAATGCCAGAGCAGATTTGCCATCGCCGTGAGAATGATAGTATGCGAACAGGATGAAGAATCTTTGAATGAATTGATCTTGATCTTCGTCGTGATTGGGCAGATTGAGGACTACAATCTTCCATGGTGGTGTGGTCTCCACAGACGAAAACTTGCTGTCGAGCGTGCGAACCGTGACATGGTGCATGAGATCCTTCTCTGACGAATGCACAGCTCCTCCTTGGAGATCGTTGATGCTCAAGATTCCGACATGATCTTGCAAGTTCAGTGCTTTCGGTCTGGCAAAAGCGGGAGATTCGGTATCTTCGCCTTCGATGACGGCACTCAATAGTGGATGAGTTGCTACGCAATGCTTCAAGGCCGGCACGAATGTTTGCTGAGAGATTTGGTCATTTTTTTCTCGCTTGACAGTGTAGATACCACCAATGGCAAGTGTACGATAGTATCCCAGTGACTGACGAGTGATGTATCGTCTCTCATTGTAACCTTTTTCAATGTTCAGCAGATGTAATTGAGAGAACTAAGTGCGACATACCTGCAGGCCGCAAGAGCATCAATTGACTGCCGAAGGTCGACATATTTGGACAGTAAGATTTTCAAGGTCAAGAAGTTACAGTGACTGAGTAACACTTGCTCACATTAATCAACCAAGCGCGTTGTGGGACCACTGCTTCGATATAGGCAGCGGTATTCTGTTTGGGAAGCAGGACCCACTCGGGAGTGCATCCTCCCGAGGGCTCGCAATTTCCCCTTTGTATCACAACCTGCCCACCTGCATCCGGCGCGTACCACAGGAATGGGATTAGAATCGAATGTCTTCATATTGGGTTGTTAATCGTGACGGACAACAGGTTCTGGTGAAGGTATAACGCGACTAGGGTGAGTGCGAAGATCACGCGTTGTTTCTTCAACGTCCGCTTCCCAACCTCTTCCCAGCCATCTACTTTTACCGAAAACAATCTGTTCCAGTTTGGACAAGCATATGTTTCACAATAGCTCAGACATGATGCATAACTTATAATTTAACAGTTCCACGACAAAAAGAAACTCCTGCATGACAGAGAAGCTTCGAGTCTTCTTGAGAAGGACCAACTCAAGGCTTCGAGAGTTGTTCTTTCCGGAAGAACTTGAAGAAGCCAATCGGAATGACAAGCTGACAAGCCAAAGCGATCCAGAACCAAGGCTTGCTAATCGCGTTGATAACACCAGCACTCGGATCGGGGAACACGTCTCCAGGACCATCTCTGTTCGGTGCAGTCGCCTTCGCAATAAGTGTGACTGCTGTACCAAGCACCTGTGCTGAGACCAGCGTCACACCGATATGGATACGTGTCAAGGTCTGCAACAGCATCATGCCGAAGCCGACACCTTGCACGGCATCTAAAACGCCCAACCACAGCCAAAGAGCTCTACCAGCTATCGCGCCTGCTTCAGGGCCACCAGGAATCCACGGTAGCCAGAGACCAAAGCCAGAAGTGCCCCACCATTGTTGCGCCCAGCGAGGAGCAAGCAGGCCAATTGCGAAGATGGGCAGGATCCAGCTATGGCTCTTGCTAAGTCTGCTGAAAACGTACAGCATCAAAGCCCAGACGACAATGAAGAAGACAAGAACCAATATTGCAACTACCCAAACAGGGGCATATTTCGAGCTCCAGAGATACTGCCAAGACCTTCCATATTGCGAAGACAGGAAGTAATTCTGCAAAATGACTGCGATAAAGAACCAAGATATGAGTTTGCGACGAGCAAGGGTCTTGTAGAAGCTTGGAATCTTTCCGGGGCGCTGATGGTAGTATGCTGGTAAGCTAGTGAACAAAGTGAGCGCAATCAACCACAAGAGAGCTGCAATCGGGAGCGTGACAGCAGCCATAATGGGCGAAGACGACAGCGTGTCTTTCTCAATCTTCTGTTTTGGTGTGGCTTCGGTAAGTGTACGCCCCCAGTAGAACAGGCCCGTAATGTATAGTTGTTGTGTACCCTGGATGAGGCATGCTCTGTATACCCAAGATGAGATTGGCGAGCCACCTATAAAACATTAGTCGAGTTCTATAGAAACATGAGATTGACTTACCCTCATCACCGAAGTTGAGCGTGAAGTATAAGCTCCCGCTGGCCGAAGCAGCTGCATAAACACCGTCTGCCACGTTACGCATCCAGTTTCTACCAGCACCCTTGGGAAGGAATGGCGCCATCCCGACGAAGAGGAACGCAATTCCGTACATGACGAAAGGCACAGAAAGAACGAATCGAGCCTTCATCGTTCGGAAGAGAAGCCACCAGACAACGGAAGCTGCAATGTAGATGCTGCCAATAGTGTAGATCATCGTTGGCTTTGGATCCTCTCCGCCAGTCAGTAGTGTGATCTGGTAGCTGTTCGCGGCCATAATCTGTCCAAGAGCGAGCAAGAATGAATAGAGAGGCCAATCGCCAAGTCGAGTGAGCATCCAGCGTTTGACGAGTGATGGTCGTTGGTAGTTGTCGCCAAGCAGGAAGTCTTCCATGGAGCCCTCGCCGACACTCGTCCGTTCGTCGGCGTCAACAGAAGATGCCCGAGAGACGTGCGATACACTCAACCTGCCGCCGTGATGTTTGCCAGTCGAGCTTCGTTCCCGTGATCTGCCTAGTTTGGCATCGCGATACTTCTTGAACCAAGCTTTTTCACTCTCCACAAGATACTCTTCTATACAGAGATCTTTCTCGGATGTCTTGCCATTGAGTTTCTCCAGCATTGCCTCGAAGGCACGGTAGTATTCTCCAGTCTTGTCGTCGAAGTTGAGCTCGATCTGTTGTAAGCTATAGTCTCGCTTGTCACCAATCACTGTCGTCAAGTCGAGTTGCGAGGATGTGCTCAGCCTCGAGGCATCGCTCAGGCGTGAAGACGAGCGATTTCGTGGTTCAGCAGTCGGCAAAAGGCTATCAGCGCTTGCTCTTCTATTCGTTTCCTCGCCTGTTTGGACGGATAAGTATGGCCCAGAACCTCTGTTTCGGCTTCTGCCTCTGTGAAGCTCCCTTGGATCCGGACTAGGCGACCTCGAGCGATGCCCTGGTATAAGCACAGGCTGTGGCGCACTCAGAGACATATTCCTACCTCTACCTTCAAGTTGATCCAGAGCATCTGCTCTGTCGGACTGTCTCGTAAATGTATCGGCTTCCTCGCGGGTGATTGTCTCTTCTTCTATCTCTTCGCTGTACTCGCTGCCGAACGAATCTTCGTCGTCCTCAGCAATATCAGCATCGGTGACCTGTACGCGAGGAGTTCTGCCATGATGACCAGGTCCTGCCCTTGAGCCTAGAGACAAGGTGCGATTCAAGTTGGATGGTGAAGAGCTTGTGTGTGGTCGAGTTTCGTAGACCGAACCAGCACTTGGGCTGGCATCTCTCGACCGGGCTAGAGAGATGTTTGACTCATTGCCAAAGTTTGATACTGACCTTCTGGCTGGCTGTAATCCGTAATTTGCCTCTCGCTGATGAATACGAATGGCTGTGCTCTGCAGCTTGTCAAGGTCCTCCACCCACTTCTGGACGGGGAATCTTTGCACGGCTGATCTTGCTCTCATCATAGCTTTGGTTTCCGTGGTCGCAGCCAGAGCATCTTCGATAGCAGACTTGAATTGGTGAATTAAGTGGGCTGTTGTTGTGGATTCGACGGTGTACCACCATCCAGGCATCTGTCCCAGACCGCCAACACGCGCTCCAACACCAAGAGCACCCTTGCGACCAAATTCGACAGCGACTAGCCCGAAAGGCTCATCTCTGGAGGGAATCAAGGCCATCTCTGCACCAGAGAAGATGAACTATCTCATGTTATTAGACATCCTGGACCTGTTTTGGTCCGAATCCAAGACTTACTGGAGGCAAAGCAGTGAATTCTGGTTTCGAGTAGACGCGCTTCGGATATTTCTTCATCATGACATCTAGTTTGAGCGCTGCAAACTTGCCGTACATGTCCTGGAAGATATCAGCAAAGAACTCAAAGTTCTTGGGTAACAAGCATCATACGATCACAGGTCCAACGCAGATAAGCTGAACATTCTCGTGCTTCTCCAGGATGGCAGGGAAGACGTCAGCGATCAAGTCTACACCTTTCTGGTTGCTCCATCGGCCAACGAACACGAAGAGTTGGGCGGTGGGGTTGACTTCGAGGCCAGCCCATTCTTGAGCTTGTTTGCGCAGCTCACCTCGCGAGGCTTCGTATACTGGATCCACCTTGATGACCTGATTTGCTTCTTCCTCACGACTCCAGGGAGCTGTATCAGATGGATCAGGATTCGGTAACTTTCCAATTTCCTTGAGACCCCAAAAGATTGGATAGCGCGCAAAAGATCGAGCACCATATTTGTTAGACACACCAACAGCACCGAAGCCCTTCTGGTGGACTCTCAGATAGCTCACGCCGGCGTGCAGGAGGTTCAACACCTCGCCGAATTGGACATACTAGATCTTACATTTAGCTTCTCTTTTGTTGTGCGATTCGAGAAGACACTCAATACCTTTTGAATAGTTTCTTTATCCAGGTTGTAGACACGCGATACTTCGTCTGATTCTTTTTCTGTCCGCATGGGCCACAGTCCTTGGAACTCAGCGTTGTGGAGCCTGTAGCGGAGTCAGAGGATTCTCGATAAAGGATAGTACCAGGCTTGACTTACGACAGACAGCACGGGATGGTCTCCGGAAGAAGATACAGAGGTGCCGCGCTTCCATGGTAGTCCTGAAAATCAGATTAGCATCCTCAGTTTGAAGCAAGTTTGAAAGCGTACGTTGATGTGATAGATGTCAGGCTCAAACCTCTTGATCGCCTCCGCAATACATGCATTCCAAGCACTGTAATAAATGGCGGAATCCAGATCGTCCATGCGTGGTGGATATGGTTCTGTTTTCGTCTGCTTTCTGAACACTGGTGCATCCAAAAGGACATAGGTGATGTTGTTCAGCTGATGATATTGCACCTGAATCTCGTATGGGTTGCCGAGAATTGTTACGATCATTGGCTCAGCAACCTGGTCGATTGGGTATTCGATGCCACCAACACATGGGATGACCCCTATATCAGTCAGCGGGATTTTGGGTTTGTAAGAGGTATCGCTTACAGATCAAGTCTTGATGCGTCAAGCTCTTGCCCATAAGCTGGGCCATGACTCCAAGACCGCCCTAACGCAATCCTTCGTTAGCAAGCTGGCTACTGTTGTGAGTTATACTACGAGGGTCACTCACAATCTTGACTTTGATACTCCAGTCCTCGATGTCGTACTCCATTGTGGCAATGATGACCTTACGTCTCTTGTCTTTATTGACAGCTATGGTAATGCCCGAGGCGCCAGAGTCATATCGTTGATGAGATTTGCTTAGGAACAATGGTCTCATACGATGACCGACTTCTTCCACATCGTCATCGGCCAGCTTAGTGAACCTGTGGCGTTTCCAGAACGAAGGCATGACCTTGGGCATAGAAAGACCAATCTTGTTGAACTTAACTCCATAGAAAGCGCCCATGTAGGTCCAGATGCTGATGGCGCCAGTCAAGACAGGGAGAGACCAAAGAAGGGCAAAAGTAAGGACCTGTACTAGCCGACTGCCAGCAGGTATGAGCTTGTATCTGTAGCTAGCATCGTCGATACTAATCTTGTAGGCCAGATATGGGCTGGGAGGGAGCTCAGTCATGTTGATAACAGCAGGGCTTAGAGCGTCAGGTGGTAATCGATCGAGGACAGTATCGTTATCAATGTCGCCGTAGATGAAAGACTGGTCGGGTTGGCCATCGGGGTTCATACCCCAGACGTTGACCTGAACTTGGTGAGGCCATTCAGTCATAAGATGGAAGTCCCACCTATCGTCAGCCGTTTTGAAGGTGTTCTTCAAACCACCGTCAAACCCAAACTGGTTGAAATCGCCATTCGCAAAGAGATGTGGGAATCGTCGAGGCGCTTGTTTTTGGTTGGCATCAGCATGCTGTATGTGGGTACTGCTTCCAATTACACGGTTCCAATATTGAAGTACAATATGGTCCCCTGTCCACGTTTGACTCTTCGTGCCAGACCAAGGTTGTTTCTTCACGGTTGAGTTAGTGCCATCGTAATTTTGCCAATCACTCCAAGTGGAGCCCCAGTTGGTCGAGTAACGCCATTTGTCAGCTCCGGCAGCTTGGTGCGATACAAGCAGATCTCCGTTAGAGCCTTCGGAGAGTACATTACTGCTGTAGTTGGCAGTACGAGGAAAAACGATAGGGTTGTTGACCTGCCCAATGCGGAAGAACACATGGTCTGTAGAGCCAGTAGATACGCCATTGGTTGTCGAAGCATTTTGAATGGTCAGACTGTGTACACCATTAGATACGTCAACCAGAGTAGCTTTCCAGCTCCATGCTGAAGTGATAGCTCCGATGTAAGGCGGAGGGTTGGAATCCTGTATCTTGCTGCAGACAACACTCTTCGTATCAATTCCGGGACTACTTTTGTCCGCTGTGGTTGAAGTGACTACAATATTCTTCGTGATCGAATCACAGTCCATCTCTTGAGAGAAATGTAGCTCAACGTCGACAGACTCTTTCTCGCCTGGGTTGACTTTAGACAAGATACGCGCATCATGGCCAGGACTGAATCTCGTCAGCATTGGTGCGGGCTCAATCCAATCTGCTTTGCGAACGTAAACCCTGAAATCCCATGGGTACATGGTAAGCTTGTCGAGACAGCCATTGAATGTCTTTGAGCCATCAATGCCAAGCTTCTTGGGTCCTCGCTTGAGAGTCAAAGTGTCGTATGGGCTAAGCAGGTTTCGAACCTCCTCTTCTTCGTCGAACACCGAGATCAAGGCTGTATCGTTGGACGAACAATCAAAAGTATAATCGACAGTATGATTCTCATTCTGGTAAACAAGCCAGACTGCTGGTTTTGCGTCGGCAGTGCCAGTGAGATTTTGCACGCCATTGAAGAACTGATTGCGCATCACACTCCACATGCCAAGTTCGGTAGCAGTACCATTTGATCCGGGAAGGGATACATCATGCGTCTGATTCGAGAGGGATTGCAACAACCATCCGTCGTTTAGGATCGGATTCTTCGTTCTGAGGTAATAGAATGACTTGATGATGTTGCGGATCGGGTGTGTAGGGTCTCTGTGGTCCTGGGATACTCCATCATCGTTGCAGCCGTCGGCACCTGCATCAATGGGAAAGTCGTGGAATATGTCTGAGCCAAGGTTATAGCAACCATGTGTCTGCCAGGCAAGTGATGATGAGATTGGTTGACGTCCAAATACATAGTTCGAAGCTGTATTATCGAGCGTGTAAAGAGCTTGTTCTTCACCCCAGTTGAGAAGTGGTACGCCTGGCATATGTAGAGTGGTCATGAACAGACCAAGCAGCATTTTCTGCGTCCCGTTCTTGATAGCCGGCCAGCGGAAGACGTCTTGATTTGATGTCCCTAAACATGATGTGTTAGTAAGAAAATAGAGTACTTTGTTTGATATGGATATTGACAGTATACTGACCATACATGTGGCGAGGGTCGAATTTTCCAGTATTCGGGTTGACTAAGTCGTTCGTTAGTAGCATTTGGTTCCAGCCGTCTACTGGGTTCGATGGGATATCATATCCCACTGTCAGGTTGCCATCCATGCCCAGGAAGCGCTGTAGCTGGCGATACACGCTGTAGTGAAAGGCCGAAGCGTCAAGAGCACTCTTGCCTGCTGCGCGCAGGAAGAGCTTGTCGTCTGATTCATTGCTAGTCTTCACGGCGTCTCCAAGATCACTGATCTTCTGATCAGGTTCTCTGCCACGACCCAGGTAGATCGAGCCAAAGTTGTTGCCTCCAGTAATTTCTCCAGCTATAAAGAAGTTCTCTTTGCCGTTGTTTCGAGCACACTCGCGGAGCGACTCGGTGAAGTTCGCCAATGCATCCACTGTGGCCTGTGTAGATTTGTCGATACGGAAGCCATCTATGTCGAGCATGGAGATGGTAAGACAGTGTAAGTGCTGGAGCTTGTCGAGGACCGATGGCTTCCATTCACGCAGTCTATCTTGCACAGATGCAAACTTTGAGAGCTGTCTCTGCCAATCGGGGAAAACGCCGAAGGCTTCAGTGTCGCCGTACTATCAGGTGTCAGAAATGGAGCATGAAAACTGCTAGAATAGGCCTACCTGGTCAAAATCGCTGTCGAAGCAGCTCCCAAGCGAAGTTAAATTATCGAAGGTATAAGAGAACTCGTCTGAATTGTCATGTGTTTGAACCTGGCTGCCACTCTCGTCCCAGAAGCGAGGCAACTCGCATGGCGAGATCCTTGTGTTACCAAACTCAAAGTCGGGGTACTGCCGCTCAGTCTTCCAGACCACCTGATGTTCCTCCGGGAGAAAAGGTGTAGACTCATTGAGATACCCATCGAATCCGATGAGATCAGCCATACTAGAGATGGTCAGTAACGCTTTGGATAATTCTGTGCGGTTGCTGTACTCACGTCGCGAATGTGTTGTCGAGGATTATATACATCCCACGTCGATGGATCTCGTCAACAGCGGCTCTCCACTCCGCGATGTTGCCAAAATGGTGATCGAGCAGCGTGAAGTCGAGCGGGGAGTAGGCATCTGACTTCCACGGCATATTGATGAATGGCGTTCCCGCTACGTAAAGACCCTATCATGTTCAGCTGTTGTACATCGCGATGGTAATTTTGCATACCTTTATGCCCAAGCCTTGGATGTAGTCCAGTGTGTCCACCAACCCTGCTAAATCTCCTCCGTGGCGCATTGTGGTACCCATGATATCTTGCTCGAACAGTGTGCCATTGTTGTTATCGTTAGATGGATCGCCGTTGACGAATCGATCAAGAAATAACCCATAGAAAGGAAATCGCCAATTGTCGGGGGATGGATAGAATGTGTGGTCTTGCCATGTTCCCGAGTACTCCAAAGGACTAGTTGCTGCTTGGTTGGTATTGAGATTCCAGTCTGCCTCACTAGGATCGTATTTCAGAGATTGCGCAAGTCGCAAGCTGCACAAGAGCAAAGCTCCAAGCAGACCCCTCGCTCGCCCTAGCTGAACCATCTCGAGTTCAGACTAAGAACTGTTCTAGCTTTTGCGAGAGGTATGAATATCGATCACGCAAATAGTGTGTTGGTTCGGGAGACAATGAGAGGTGATCTTGGAGGCGTGGAGAGAGACTAGATAGCTTACCTGTGTCTACCAGCCAGTTTTGATAAATTTTAGAGCTGTCTACCATACTTGGAGAGTCATGGCTGCAACAGTGGCTGGCATCTAGTGCTTACCTCAACTTCCACCCACCCTCACACACAAGGCCTCAAATGTAAGGCCCCGGACCATTGTCTCAGACAGACCTGCCGTGATAGGATTATGGAGCTCGAGGCTCAAGCTCCGCTTTTGACTACCGTACACCCTGTGGAGCGGTAAGTTGTAGATGCAGAAACTAATGTTACAATTTCCAGATTTAGGCCTTGTACGGTTCGCTGCGAGCTTGGTGAGCCGTATACAAGGATCAGCCCTACGAGGTGGCTTCTCGACCGGAGCTGAATGTACGGCAGCATGAGTAAGTCACTATCCATTTTAAGGATGTGGCGGATGGTGACTTGACAGATCTTGTGCGAGGTTGCTTATCTGTCTTCCTTCGTGAAGGATCTCGAAAGCCGCATGCAAGCCACAGAGGCTCCCACATGTACAGCGTTCGATATCAGGAAACTCCACTGCGTATGAAGACCAACTCAACCTCAAAACTCGCTACATTGTAAGGAACACTGAGCATGTCCAGTCATGGGAAATGTTAGGTGACTGGTTTGAATGATTCCTTAGACAGATGGATACCAAAATCCCGTGCAACAAAACACATGGGTTTATCGCGTGGGGACGATCGTGCCTTGTTGCATGTACCGTAAGCTCTAAGATGTTAGCTCGCATCAGCATGCAGTGTACCGGTCAGTGGCATGTTCGTCCAGACTATCGTAGCAGATATTGTTCGGATGTTCAGGCCAACCATTGGCCTTTCTAGTATGCTCAATATTCGTCGATTGATTGGGGCTTCCGCCTCATAACCGAAGCCGAGAAATGTGGACAGCTTCGGGGTGGTATTGAAGGACGGTCTCGAATCCATGCGAGATATCAGCAGCAGCAAAGGAGCCTTGAGCATCGCAGTGATCGCGTGAGGTACGCTGGACCGGTCTCCGCATGTCGACAAAACGAATATGACACTCCGGAGGTCAATTGTGAGATGGTCACAGAAACGCCATTGTCTAGAAAGGTCGCCAGTCGTCGCACCCTGCATGCCAAATTTCAGGTGCCGAACCGGTCATGATTTTTGACAATTGGACCGCCCAGCAACCGCAGCACGACTTTCAGCTATCGCTAAATATGTTGCTCCCATCTATTCTCAATGCCTTACTCAGTTCTACATGACGATGACTGTCATACAACAAAGGACAAGGACAGGCACTACGCTTGGCTGTGCAAGTTGCCTCACTCACACAGCCACAGGTTTCGGCCTCAAATAAGGCAAGGCAACCAGGAAGTGGGGTGTGTTCGTACTTGCTACTTCCTCCAGGATCTCTTTTAGCCAGCCGAAGGATGGATGCCAATATGGACATGCAACACCGTTTGATGAGGTTTGGTTTTTTCGGAGCTGGAAAGTCGTGTCAAAGCCACATTCAGAGCTCAAGTCGAGACTCGTCAGAGGAGAGCTATGGAGTGATAACCTTAATGAGCCTACGGACAAGGATCACGTAGGTGCTAAGTTGGGCAGTATCAAGAGCTTGACGAAGCTTTCATCAGCCCTCTTCGTCGTATGTCACTTTACTTTTAGCAAGAGCCGAAAGGTTTGTTGGTCAAGGTACCGTATATGCAATGCGTACACGATGCCACAGAGTACGTAGTTGGTGGAAGGTCATGCTACTCTTCTATGTTCCACCCATGCCCCAGATCCGCGGTTCTGTTTATCTCTCCTTGCGACCTGTACTGTTTGCATTCTTTCTCCTGCTCGCACCTGTCTACTCCTCCTCTTTCCTAAACAGATTCTGAAACGTCAGCGTAAATCACTCATATACCGCGATGCGGTGCCTCTCTTACCTGTTGGTGGCCTTACTGGCTTTTATATACAGTGCAGCTGCGCAGACAGCCACGGCTAGCTCTTCTCCGGCTTATCATACCGTCGTGGTAGGCTACAACTCGAATCAATTCTCTCCAAACAACTTGACCGCCAATCCTGGAGACGTGGTAGTCTTCCAGTTCATTGCACAGGGCCACACAGTGGTACAGTCCAATTTTGAAGAACCATGCGTTCCAAGAGATGCCTACCATCCGGGCCGCTCGGTATTCTTCAGTGGCTGGTATAACGGCAGTGATGTGGAAAGCAGCCATGTAAGTTGCATCGTCCAGCCTACTGAACCGGAGGCACTAAACAGATGAGTAGAAACCAACGTGGAACTTAACGATCAACGATACAGCCCCCATCTTCTACTACTGCTCACGTTGGAACTCCTGTCTCAAGGAGCACATGATTGGCTCAATCAACCAAAATGCAACCTACTCGCTCCAAGCACAGCTGAACTCGATAAACAGCTCAGACATCATGCTTCAACCTGGCGAAGCCATCCCTGAAGAAGGAGGCACTCCCTCCTCTTCTGCCACGCCTACCCCTCACCACTCTGTCACACTTTCTGGTGGTGCGATCGCCGGTATTGCAGTAGCTGGCGTAGTCGTTCTCGCTCTCGCTTGCGCGCTTTTCTGGTTTGTAGGCCGCCATCGCACATTGAAAGACTCTCTGAAGAGTTCTTCTCAACACTCAGGGGCAGTAGAGAGTTGGGTCAACAGCACCAACCCACCTTCCACAGTCGGTGGCCCCTCTTCCATGCGTCCGCCTTCCTATGGACCAGGTGATGGAGGCTACATGACTCCCATGGACGCACACAAGCATTGGGATTATTCGCAACCGAGACACAGTTATATGCCTATGACACCGCCGATCCAGGAGTTGGGGGTTAGTGAGCCAGTAGAGATGGAAGAGACAGGAAGGGGAAGGACTCGAGAAAGGGAGAGCGAGTAAGTATCCTGCTTTTTGCGTAGAAGTTCGTCAAGGAACACCAGAGGCTGACCACATAAGATTACAGATCGCTGATTCCAAAGTGGTAACATCGGCGCATGTTTATGAGAAGGAGTAATGTGCTGGATGATTGGCTAGAGTTTTGCTTTTCCATTTACATTTACATTGTGTATATTTCATTCTTTAACATATGATATACTCTAAAGTGAAGCACGACGTATACTAGTACATAATCTCAGTCGTGTCGTGGGTAAATACTGTTTCTCGGTTGCGAGCAGGGGCTCCAATGAAGCGATCAACGTAAATGTTGTTTCTTGTTGTGTCGTAGCTTTTGGTATATACTTTTACGTTTATTTTTGCTTTTGTATTTTTTTTTTTTCTCATCGTCGACTCTTGACAAAGCCAACAAGATTTTCAATGACACCTTCGAATGCCTCCTTATCGCCTACAGCGCTTTCCTTCCTCTTCATCCAGTACTCAAGCACCGTGCTAGCATCTTTGATAAGCTCCTCCAGCCTCTTCACGTGTGCCTTTAGCTCTTCATCAGAGTAAGCCTCAGTGGCTGTATCAGTCGTCTTGGCAAGCATTGCTGCTTCGTTGGCGTTGAACTCTGGCGGAGGTGCAGGACCCTTCCGTCCTCCAGTAGAGCTGCTACTACCATTTTGCTTGGCTTTTTCATCCTCTTTCTTCTGTTCTGGCAAGTGGATGTTGGGTAGGACTAATTTCTTTTGTTTGCTGGCGGGCAAAATCTCGTCCAGGTCGACAGGGACACCAAGGGACACCAGGAACAGGCGGCGAATGCGACTGCGGATCCAGTTTGGTGGTTGCAATGGAGGAGGAGCAACAAGTTGAGACCAGAGAGACGCACTACGGTCGGTGAGGATAGGATCAGTAGACAGGGTGGCTGACTTGTCTGTGGATGCAGTTTCTTGGTCGTAAAGTTCAGGGAAAAGTTCAGACATATAGGGCGACATGGCCGACAGTATATCGTCCGAGGTCTGCAGATCCGCGAAATTGAGATTGGGCTGCACGCACGAGATGAGCATATGCTTTCTGCAATTCTGTATTTGGCAGAGCTACTTACAAGGTGTGCTAGAGGCTGCTGTACAGGTTGAGGAGGAGGTACGGGAACGGCGGGCTCTTCTGCTTGTTGGAAGCCATCGTCAAAGTCACCAAAGTCATCCTCATCTCCATCTGCCTGATCTGCGCCGCCTTCTTCAAAGTCGTCAAAGTCGTCACCGAAAGCATCATCGTCGTTGTCGGCATGATTGTTGTTTTGTGTTTGTGGTTGATCGAAGTCGTCAAAGTCGTCTTCGTTTTCCTCTGCTGGTTGTATGGTGGTAGTGTCGGTCTTGGGTTGGTTGGGGAGATCGGATTGGGAGGTCTCTTGGGATTTCTGTGAAATGAGGGTCTCAGAGGAAATCAGGACGTTGGCTTCTTGTTGGTCGAGTTCTGGGCTTGGGGATCGAGATCTGTCATTGGGAGTTGGTGATGCTTTCTTCGTCAAACATGAAGGCTTGGTTTGGGGAAGAGGTCTTGTGAACTCGTGGAATGGAGTACTTACGCTCAAGAGGGGCACTTGACGAGGCAGGGGCCTGCTTGACTTCGTCGGGTTGAGCATCGGCAGTGCGCATCTCGTATGCATCTGTGCCGGGAACATCGCCATGGCTAGGGGCGCTTGGATCGACTTTTTCGACAACAAGATGGGGAACTGGAGTGCCACCAGGAGTCACAGGTCTGTCAGACTCGCTAACCCGTGAAGTGCTGCGGCTTCTGGTGCCGTCGGGGACAATCTCAATCTCGTCAGGTACGGCGTCTTGAGATCTAATGTTGTAGGCTTCAGTGCCGGGAACCTCGCCATGTCTGGGCTCGTCGTCTACTTTCTCAACGCGGGTTACGGGAATGGAAAGAGCACGGTTACGACCGGTGATGGCAGGGGGATATGACGCAGTGCCTTCGGAAGCATCTGAGAAGTGGTCATCGGACTCTTCGGGTTCTGTGGTTGGGTCAGCGATTGATAATTGGCAGAGAAGTTGAAGAGACATACCAGAGATCTTGGGTACGCCCGGCAACTCATGGGCACCAGGATCCTTGAGATTCTCAATGGGCTCTGACGGAGGTTGAAGAGCCATGGTGTGTATGCAGTGTGTAATGTGGAGTGTGGAGAAGGACTGGCAGTCGACGGGGAAGGGCGAAGTGTGAAAGGTGGAGAGACACTGGGTATGAAGAGGAAACAGAATCAGAGATCAAGGACGAGAACAGAGCAGGAAGCGGTCTGGTAGATAAAGTCGGCGCCGCCAAATAACGCGCAGTCCGCAGCAGCTCTCGACCGATGAGTGACGTGGAGTGCGGGTCCTGGGGCTGAGCAGCAGTCAGGGAAAGAACGACCGCATGTTTGCTTTGTTTGTTGAAGAAAGTGCTTCTGCGTCCAAGCGTCGCGTCTCTGCGTGTTGCTTGGAAGGTCAAAGAGAGCTTCACATTCACGCCAGCTACCCATTGCGACTGCCTTTTTCCATTGCTCCTTCTCGACCACGTTAGTCGCCTTACCAACAGTTTCCCATATCGCTCCGTCCGACTTCCGCGACTCAGATTGCCAGAGCACTACCTTAGAACGCGCCCTCGACGGGTTCATCACCCCGATTGATTTCACCTCGCCATGTCCTTCAACTTCGGCTCCAATACTTCGTCAGGAAGCACTCCTTCCCTCTTCGGCACCGCTGCAAACAAGGACGCGACCTCCACCGGCGGTGGTCTCTTTGGAAATGCAAACAAGACTCCTGCAACCACTGGCTCCATCTTTGGCAATGCTACTTCTAGCACTGGTCAAACAACAAGCGCTTTCGGCGCAGCTTCTCCTTCTTCACAGACTCCCACCACTTCTGGTTTCAGCTTTGGTGCTAAGCCTCCCGCGTCTGGCAGCAACCCTACAACTCCAGGTGTCGCTCCTGCTAGCAATCCTTTCGGTGGTGCTGCTGCTTCTACCGGAGGTCTGTCTTTTGGCAACAATTCGACCACCCCTGCTACCACAAACAAGCCCTTGTTCTCCACAACACCTGCTGGCCCACCCCCGACTCAGTCGACCGGCGGAGGTATCTTTGGCGGCAAGCCCCTCTCTTTTGGCAAGCCTGAAGAAAAGGCTGCAGAAGCTCCCAAGTCTGCCCCAGCTTTCGGCGCTCCTCTAGGTGGTGCCGCTAACACTAACGCATTTGGATCATTTGGAAAGAAGGCCGACGACAACTCTGCCGCTCCTTCACTGTTCGGCCAGAAACCTGCAGAGGTTGCTGCTCCTGCAAACAAGCCCATGTTCAACCTTGGTGGTGCTTCTTCATCAACCCCTCAGTCTGCCCCTGCTACCACGCCCGCTTTCTCTTTGGGCGGCAACTCCTCAAAACCAGCCTTCTCGCTCGGTGGAAACACATCACAAACCCCTGCGTCTACTCAGCCCGCATCCTCTGCTGCAACACCTGCACCTTCGCTCTTTGGTGGGCTAAAGGGAGGCGGCCCCACCACTTCTGCTGAAACCCCTGCTACTACCGCTACATCAACATCTGGTCTGTTTGGTGCCAAGAAGGACGATGCTACTGACAAGCCCGCCGCACCTACTGGAAACTTGTTTGGCGGTCTGAACCAGAACAAGGACGCAGCCGATAAGCCTGCTTCTTCACCCTCGCTCTTTGGTGCAACTGGTCAGAAACAGGACGAGGCCGCTAAGCCTCCTGCTTCTACAGGCAATCTGTTCGGTGGTTTGGGCGGTGCTAAGAAGGATGATGCTGCAAAGCCCGCTGCCCCCACTGGCAACCTCTTTGGCAATCTGGGCGGCCAGAAGAAGGACGATGCTGCAGCCACTCCTGCTTCCACAACCACTACCTCAGGATCGACTCCTGCTTTCTCACTTGGATCAAAGCCTGCCGAGTCTAGCACACCTGCCTCGACTGGCGGTTCCGCTTTCAGTCTCAAGCCAGCTGCAGGCGGCTCTGGAGGAAGTGGTGGAAATGGTGGTGCCCCTCCCGCTGCTGCTGCAGCAACACCAGCTGCCGGCTCTACCAATGGTACTGGCAGCAACAGCACTGGAGCAGTTGGTAGCAGCACCACAAACGCGTCAACTTCAGGACCTGCACCCCCTGCCACATCGCGCTTAAACTCCAAGTCCCTCGACGAAATCATCACACTCTGGACTACATCCCTTTCATCGCATCAAAAGCAATTCTCAAACCTAGCTACCAAGATTGGATCCTGGGACCGCATGTTGGTCGAAAACAGTGACAAGATCAGCAAGTTGTACAGCCGCACCTTCCAGGCTGAGCGCGATACTGCTGAGGTAGAGCGTCAGCTTACCTCTGTCGAAGGCCAACAAGAAGAACTCAGCCACTGGCTTGATCACTACGAGCGTGTCTTGAATGACATGGCTGCCAAGGCTGGCGGTGTTGACAGTGGTGTTGATGCTGAACGCGAGAGAACGTATGTACATTCCGACATCTTGAAATATCACAAAGCTGACCATCGAAATAGCTACCAAACCGCTGAGCGCTGCTCTGCTCGTCTGACCACAATGTCTCACGACTTGACCTCGATGATCGACGACATCAACCTTGCATCAACCAACCTCTCTAAGTCGTCCAAGACCGCCGAGTCAGATCCTCTTTCTCAGATCGTCCGCGTGCTCAACGCACATCTTGGTCAACTGCAACAAATCGATGCTGGTGCTGAACAACTCAGACAAAAGGTGGAAAGTGCACAGAAGGAGGTCCGCGGCTTTGGCGGCAGAGGAGCTTCCGATGAGGGTGTTGAAGGTTTCATGAGAAGTTTGAGGAGATGAGAGATCAATGTACGTGGAGTTCCACATGAGTATGGACTAAGAAGATTCGTTTGCAGATAAGGAGGGATAGGAAAAGATGTTTTATGCACGGCGTTGATAGGATATCAATCGGTCTCCCAGGAGATGTGAGATGCACACGACATCTCTAGAAGGAAAGACCTCGAGAAGGTCAATGAAAACAAGTTTCGAAGCGCGTACAATGTGTCGACTTCCCGCAGTCAATTAGTGTGATACTGATGGCGATTTATCGATATGCTTTGTGGTGAGTTCAATGCTCCAAAGGTCCGTCCCTGTGCTCATCTGCCTGTTTTGGGGCTAGAAGGAGCTTTGCGAATGTACAACGACACTCTACGGTGCACAGAAGTATGCTATGATGAGGTCCTCTCTGGCGGCCTTGTTCGAGCAGAACTGTCTTCAATCATAAGAAGCAGCCTCCTGCTATGCAAAGCTCGAAACAAGATAGCTATGCGGATGTACAGTACTATCAGAACCATACCTATAGAGACACTCTCGTATGACGAGCTTTCTATGGATGATACCTCATTTTCGAATCTTCGCAGCCATACTGTGATGATGCTAACCAGACGGAGAGTATATGATGGTGATTCGTTGCTTCATTTGCTATCTGCGAATATAGTATAGTACAGTGCGGCCACTCCAAGCCAACTGAGATTGTCAGGCGTGTCATCAAGTCCGTTTTTTCCTTTAGTTCCACCCTTTCTTCTTGTCTAAGCTTCCTCTGTCTCAGGCTTGAGGTCCTGTGTTTCGCCCTCCTTCTTCAAGTTCTCTTTCAATGCAGCAGCGTAGTTCTCGGGCTCGGAACCAGATTCGGCAGCATCAGTGTGGTCGTCGACGTTATCGGCGCCAGTGGCCTGCTTGTTCTTGTTCTTCTTGTTTCTCTTCTTCTTTTGCTTCTTGGAGGGCGATGCGTCGACCGACTCAGGAGCGCTGTCCTTAGCAGGCTCGCTGGTCTCCTGCTTCACTCTTTGCTTCAGCTCGTCAAGGTCATCAGCTGCCTCTTCCTTGACTTGCTTGGCATCCTTCTTGGTAGGTGTCATTTTACGCTCGAAACTCTCGACACGGTCGCTAACAGGTCGAGAAGGGCGAGGAAGTTTGCCTTTGCCATCCTTAAGGGCTTGGAGATCCTTCTTGACTTCTTCTGGCAGGTGGCCAAGCTTATCCTCGAGTTTCTTCTCGGCGGCCTTCAAGTCCTCGGGCAGGTGACCAAGCTTCTTCTCGATTCTCTTTTCGGCAGCTGCAAGGTCCTCTGGGAGGTGGCTGAGCTTCTTCTCGACTGCCTTGCCAGCGTGTTCGACCTCGCGGTTGGTTCCATGTGCAGCATCCTTGGTGGCGCGGCTGACAGAGTGACGCTTGCTTCTCGATTTGCTTGAGCCACTGCGGAACAAATAGGCCTTAACAAAGAAACGAACGAAGAGAATGGTCAAGGGGAAAAGGTAAAGAAGGTTCAACCACACGGCGAAACTCTGACCAGTAGTGTCAATGCAGTCGATGGTGGTGTAGTCGGTTCTGTAGCGCGTCTCTTCGTGATACTTCTGGATCGCTTCCTGTGCCTTCTCCATGATGATGTTTCCTTGCTTGTCGCGAACGTTTTCGGCGACACCTTCGTCACCAGCAGCACGAAGAAGAATACGGCGAAGGATAGCACCGTAGGTCTCGGCTGGAACGGCTGAGACAACGCTAGAAGCGGTGGAAGAAGCCTTTGCCATAGCCGATGAAATAGGATGGAAGATGCTGTATGCAGTCGCAATGGGAATGTCATACTTGACAAACAGGTGGAGTGCGGCGTAAGATGCGCCGAACAAGAATTGAGTGATCTGCATGGTAGTCAAAGTGCGCTTCAGAGAATTAGGAACGCGAACGTTGATGGCAGAGAGCGTGAAATAAGTGTACTGTAGTGCTATTAGCTTTGAGTTTCCAAGCTGACCTGTTGCCTCTACGTGTGCTAAGACTGTCACAACTTCGAAGTTGACGCTTTCCCGCCGCGAGGTACAGGGATTCTTATGCTATCGAAATGCACAATGTTATCCACGAAGGAGTGTAGCCCAGAGAGAGCAAACTCTCTGAGCTACCTCAATGGATATGCTCCTGATCGGATAGCAACTGTGCACTTCTATAGCTTACTATAATCCCATACCTCACAGCGGGAGAAGGCTCAATAGCGAAATTGTGAGTCTTCGGCGTGAGGTATTTGTGTTCACTTACCATGAGAGTATGGATGAAAGAGTTGATAAAGACAAACATCCAAATAGGAGGTGACATGTAGCGGATACCAGCCCACATGCACAGTATGGCGCCTGCGTGGTGGTAGGTCTGCAGGGTAGCGCTTCTCTTGCCCTTTGCGACAATAATGGCCGTGTCAATAACCTCATAGAACTTGGACAGGTAGAAGAACCAGCCCCAGAATGCAAGACCCTCGTTCCACAAGCGACCAACATCGGTAGTGTCGGGAGTACCTTCTGGCAGCAACTTGATCATGGCATTCTGGGTCTGCCAGAGGTTGGAGGTTGCATTGTAGTAAACAGCATCGCCTAGACCACGAGGGCCGTTGATCTTGCACAGAGAATCGGCGACACCAGCCAGACCAGCGCTGTTATCAAGACCAGGCCAGGTCGCGTTGATAGCACGGCACATGGCATAGAAGGTGACACCGGAGTAGACAGCCAAGAAGACGTTGTGCAGAACGACGAAGAACTTGAAAACGCGAGTTTTGCTAATGGCCCATGGCTTGTTTCCCTGGCGTCTGTTGTATGCGTTGATCAAGAGGACAGTGATGACATAGGTCGAGGCGATGGTAATGGGGACTTTTACGTCCAATGCGCGGTTAAAGACATCAAAGTCGATGGGAAACGGGGACTTCCATGTGGCCTCGTCAGATGGCGGAGGGAGAGCAGCTGGTAGATCGTCTGGCGGGAATTTGAAGAGCGATCGGTGTGGGAGCGTGAAATGTATCGAGGGGCCGGACATGGTGGGTGGTGGTGTTGCGCGCGCGACGCGATAAGTCAACGGAGTTGTGGTGAGAAAGGCGATAGTGTTGTTGGAATTATGCGCACAGCATGGCCTGAGATCTGCTAGAGTATACTCGAGCTCGATGGGTGTGAGTGTGTAAAGAGAAGATCAAGAGGGCGCGTGTCGCGTGGAAACCGAGGGAAGCTCTCCAACTTTTTGAGCACAACGTCACTGTGATCGCCCAGCCACCTTCCGTCTCTGTCGAGCTGCCATACCTGATCAGGTAACGCTTGCGATTCTTCCTCGCTTTCCTCGCTCCCCTACTCGAGTATTACAATATGTAAATGCTATAACAATACATAATACTATTTGAAAACAGCCGTTGTCCACTTAGAGACGACATGTCATCGGCTTTCTGTGGACACATCTCTGCTCTTGGACACAACTGTGCGTTTTGACAGCCTACTTCTTGCTCTCTGCTAGACTTGGGAGCACGATTGTCACAGCACACGCACGGTGAAAGTCCACATTCCTTTGCCAATCTCTTGAAATATGATCATAACATTTCATAACACATTACTACTGTTGTACCTCGGCTCTTTTTAGAAGCTCTGCTTGGGAGCTTGGCCCTTCTCATCTCCACTGCCGTACTTGTTGACTGGTGTCTTGGCTGCGTTCTTGTCTTTGGCAAAGTGCTCAACCTCGGGTGAGTCCATCAACTTGACAACGTTGTCTGCTTGCCACTTCTTGAACGAAAAACTAAAGTGAGTCATGTTAGCATGATTGCATGACTTGAGGTGGATCCAGGACACTGTGCACGACCGCGCTTGACGATTGAGCTCACTGCAACCGCTATTCTGGCTATGTTCCTTGCGAACACGAATCTCAGGATGAGCGATTCCAGAGAGCAAAAAAGCACCAGCGTTGGTCGTGTTGATGTCTGCTATTCAACGTACCCTAAGCCCTCGTGCGAGTAGTCCTTGTCGTTTGCCTGGTCCTTGTGGTACTTGACTTGAATAAAGTCCGAGTCCACAGTGTCGGGGTCGAGAGACAAGGAGACGAGTGCGTTGATGGTGGCGGTCTTGGGAATAACCTTGAACGTCCATGACTGTATCTGTTAGCAATGATCCGCAATATGGAGTCATCTCTAGCTTACCTGCTCGTTCTTGAACTGGATCAAGTCTCTGTCGTTCTTGATAATCTCGTAGCGTTCGTTCTTGCTGGCCTTAAACAGCTTGGGAAGAGCGAACCATTGTCCGGCCATCTTGTAGCGGTCGTTGGCGTAGACAAACTGGTCATCATAAACACAGTCTGGGGTGTAACGCTCCACACGTCTAACAGTAGGCTCGCAGCTGTAAAGAGCGATAATGTCGTCAATCAGAGCCTGACGTTGAGGGCTGAGCTTGATGGACTTTGAGGGGTCGGGAGTGTAGTCCTCAGATGTCGAAGTCTGGCGAACTTCAAACTCCTCTCCTGGCTTGCTAGACATGTTTGCGGTTTGTTTGTAGATTGTGGATGTGGGACGGATGAAGGAGGTCTTAGGAAGACTGGTGATTGTTCTGCGTGCGATAGGTTGAAGGTGTGTAAGAAGCATTGCGACAGCGAGAATGGTTCAACATAAATTTATTGGAACTTGAGGCTCTGAGCTATTATTCTTCCTTCTACTGGCCATCCTTTGAGTCGTGACGTAGATCGTCCACTTAAGAACAGTCGCATATGCCATTTTACCCAATATGCGTCGAGATCTCAGTCGATGATGCTAACACAAGCTCTAAATGCTCCTGAACTGCTCCTGTGATCAAACGAAGAGGGGCAACGCAAAAGGCGGAAGACGCGTAGAAACGACTATGATGCTTTGTGATGTAACCAAAGTGATCGCTTAGAGTTGCTGCCATCGTTGCTCGGAGTTATGCTAGCCCGAGCAGGGTGATACGCTTAACCACTGCTCAGACGAATATATACGATATATTGGGCATCAGATTGGCTTTCTAGGTCGTCTGTATCAGATCTTGTGAGTCTAGGGCATCTCTATAATGTGTTAGAGAAGATTGGACTACATGCTGTGTGTAGTTGGGAGTATATTCGCATGTTCAGCAAAGTGACAAGCATTTTCGACAATCATTCAGCACAATCATATTGTTTTTGATCACAACCAAGGGCAACTCACATGTACTTTGAATTTCGAGCTATCATCACCAACACAGCAAGCAGATAAATGGTCAGTTTATTATGTAACAAGGAGGCAATAGCGGCTGATGGACATACTGTCAGTGTTTGTTCACTGGAGGTGCACGGGAACACCGCCTTGTCCGCAGTATATATTTTAGACCCACGTAGAAATTTACATCAAGCCTCGATAGTATAACGGCTAGTACGAAGGTCTCATATCGGTCATCGAAATGACCAAGCATGGCTTGGGTAATCCTTAGATGGGAGTTCGATTCTCCCTCGAGGCATTCTTTTTTATAGTTTTGCACTTCTTCCCAACTCCACGGATGACGCAGAGCCGCACTTCGCTTCCATTCAGTTGTGTTTCATCTGTGTTTTTGCGCACGGCACGAACCAATCGGCTCTCTGTCAGTGTGTGCAATGATCTGCCGGAAATGAGCTCAATCACCAAGCGCCATGAAAACCGCGACCGAAGGATCCATACTCGTAGGCCGATGTTCATCAATCGACCAGCGCCGTCTAGACATTCGATAGAAGGTCAACAAAATTTCGTGTTAATATGTCGTGCAGCTCTTGTCAATGAGTCAAGTAATCAAGCGGAAGGCTTCCATCAGACCGCAATCTCATCCTTGCCCAACAAGTTACTCGTCTGAGGCCCCCGTCGTTCATGTCATCGGGATTTCGACGCAGACTGCGCAACAGCTCAGACAGCACGGGTTCGGTTCTACTTCCAGACCATCTTCCTTAAATCTATGAAACCTGAATTGACGTGCCAGAACTGCAGCGTCGAGTGGCCGACCCACAGCAAGCTTGTTTAAGGTTGTTTCGTGTATACAAGCCCTAGACGAGACGTGATCTCGGATCCTCAGGCTTCAACCCTTCCTTATTGATCTGCTTCGTATTAGATGTTAGGTTATGTGGTAGGTTCTTTCCATATAATCCCCTCTTTTCCTTCTTCTGAGACATTATTCTGCAACACCATCTTCTTCGCAAAATATCAGTCCTTCTTTTGCTAGTAGCCAGTCTACACCACACTCGTTCCAAATTCTCTTCTACAAGGTCTGCGACCATCAATAAACACCCTTTTCGTCATTTTCGAATTTGAAGCAATCAAAACATCATGTACTCTATCAAGTCCATTGCTCTGCTGGCTCTGGCCACCGGTTTTGCCAGCGTGGCCAGCGCTGCCCAGACTGGTAAGACCACCCGCTACTGGTAAGTCCACATCGATAGTGTACACGATATAGATCTTCATGGCGAAGATCAGAGCATACATGCTGGGCGGTAGAGGTAACCACCCTTGTAATCCCGTGCTGACTTCGGTTTCAGGGATTGCTGCAAGGGCTCTTGCGCATGGCCTGGCAAGGCAGATGTCTCGGCTCCTATTACCACCTGCGACAAGAACGACAACCCTTTGACTGATGCCAACACTGCCTCCGCCTGTGACGGTGGCTCTGCATACATGTGCTCTGACCAGTCCCCTTGGGCCGTTTCTGATGACCTTGCTTACGGTTTCGCTGCCGCAAACATTGCCGGCGGCTCAGAGGAGAGTTGGTGCTGCTCTTGCTACAAGTAAGTCATACTTGCTTATTCTAAAAATTAATGTGATTAACCACATGAAGGCTCACTTTCACTACTACCTCCATTGCTGGCAAGACCATGATTGTCCAGGCTACCAACACTGGCGGTGACCTCGGCAGCAACCAGTTCGACCTTGCCATTCCCGGCGGCGGTGTCGGTATCTTCAACGCCTGCACTGACGAGTGGAACGCTCCCGCCTCCGGCTGGGGTGCTCAGTACGGCGGTATCAGCACCAACACATGCAGTGCCTTCCCCAAGGCCCTGCAACCTGGCTGTGGCTTCCGCTTTGACTGGTTCGAGAATGCCGACAACCCTGAGATGGAGTTTGAGCGTGTTGAGTGTCCTGCTGCTATCACCGCAAAGAGTGGATGCAAGAGAGCCGATGATGGCACTCAGGCCTACCCATCTATTGTCTCGGCTGCCGCTGCTTCTTCGTCATCGCCTGTTGCTGCTTCTTCCTCTTCTGCTGCTCAGAAGGTCGCTGCTACACCCTCATCGAGCGAGGCTGCTGTCTCGTCCGCTTCAACTGCTGCTGCTGCCGTCGAGTCTTCTGCTGCTGCCTACTCCTCTGCTGCCACTGTTGAGTCGTCCGCTGCAGCATACACATCCGCCGCTGCCGTCGAGTCGTCATCCTCCTCTGCCACTTCTGTTGAGGCCACCAGCGCTGCTGCACCTTCAGCTTCTTCCAGCTCCGACGATGCAAACTGCAACGTTCAATACGTCTACGAGTACGACATTTAGAATGCCTTTGCACCTGTAACTTGCAAAAGATGATTTGACTCGCTTCTCTGTTTGAGGCTGTAGTCGATAGATGGCACAGTCTCTTCTTGTATTTACCTTCTTGCATGGCTGTATATTTGTATGAATATCTTTTTCCAGAATTCGCTTGCTTGAGATCTCCATGTCACAATGTCACGATCAGACGCATCTGCCACTAGAGTTATACGGCGACACTCTAGCCATTGGAATGTATAGAAGCTTCGTAAACCAGAAGTGCTTCGCATCACGACAGTGCATGTCCCAATTGTCATAAAGATCGTCACAAGAAGATAGGAAAGATGGATGATCACTGCGGGGTTTCGGATGCCCCGCCTGGCAGAAGAGGTGCAACCCCTCATCTACCAGCAACCATAAACACATATAGATGTAAGCTTGATTGACAATTTCCATTTATTACTACAGTCCAGCCTGGGAAGCTACTTTCAAGCACTACGAATTACGCTCAGAACGTCTCCTATACCACAAAACAAACACAATGTCTTCATCCTCGGAACCCTCACTCGGCCGTCTGAAAGGCAAAGTCGCCATCGTTACTGGAGGAGCCAGTCCCCAAGGCTTCGGCTACGCAATCGCCCGCCGCTTCATCGAGGAAGGCGCAAAAGTGATAATCGGAGACTTGGATGGCTCTGGCGCCGAAAGCAGCGCCTCCTCACTCTCATCCCAAAATGTCAAAGGCGTAGCCATGGATGTTTGCAAGCACGAAGACTGGCAACGCGTTGTGGAAATGGCAGTCAAAGAATTTGGCGGAGTCAATATTCTGGTCAACAATGCTGGATGCACGTACAGAAACAAGCCGACTGGAGAGGTTACGGAAGAGGAGTTTGAGAGGGTCATGAGTGTGAATGTCAAGAGTATCTTTTGGAGTGTCAAGGCTGTGGTGCCGCAGATGCAGAAGCAGGGGCAGGGCGGAAGTATCATCAATATCTCGAGCAGTGGGAGTGTAAGGCCGAGACCTGGGTTGGTGTGGTATAATGCCAGTAAGGGCGCAGTGTCGAATGTAAGTCTTGTCCTTGGACGGCGGTGGCACACTAGCTGACTTGTTTACAGGCGACCATGGGACTGGCTGCGGAGTACGGCCCAGACCAGATCAGAGTCAATGCGATTGCTCCGCTATTGTCCGCGACAGGCTTGTTCGAGTCGTTCGTCGGAGTCAAGGACACGCAGGAGAACCGAGACAAGTTTGCAGCGTCGATCCCATTGGGTAGACTGACGGACCCAGGAGATATAGGCAATGCGTGTGTGTTCCTGGCATCGGACGAGGGCAAATTCGTGACGGGCACCAATTTCAGTGTTGATGGAGGTAGACACATCTGAGGACGATATAGCTAGCTCAAGCACTCAAGGCTTTTCCGACCAACTCTTGACATCTTTGCGACATGTGCAGCTCGAGAGCCATCTTGTGACCCTCGGGGCTCATCTTGACCCACGTCTTTTGCAGAATCTTAATGATCTTGTCCTCGTCAAGAGTCTTCTCGAAAGCCTCGAATTGATCGTCAAGGAAGACGAGGCAGGCAATGTCTTCGAGGGCCTGTGTGTCCGGATCGCCCTCGCGCAAGCCTTGCTTCTCGATCATGGCCTTGGTCTTTTGTATGTCCTCGGCACTGAAGCCGCACTCTTCCATGATGGGAGCAACCAGCTGAGCCTGTCTCTTTTTAAGGAACGTTCTCCAGCTGTGGTAGCCGATGCGCGTCATAGGATACGAGTCGCGAGGGACTTCCCAGCGACGGAAGTGCTGTGCGCGGATGGCGAGTCTGAGAGGGTCTGAGGCATCTGGCGCGCGTCTCTCGAGGTACCAGGTCATCTGGCGAGCATAGTGAAGCTCGTACGGCACTTCCTCTCCATCGATTGTGACCTTCTTCGGATCCTGAGCATGAGCCTCGTCAATGAGCTGGAGCGCCTTTTCCAGTTGAGGTGCCATTGTTTTGTATGGATGCTTGTCGTGGACAAGGTTACGTCTGGCGAGTGACTGTAATCACCTCGAAGACTGCTTATCTCAAAGAGGCCCGTGCTATAATCATCGAGCCGCTTTGCATGGGCTTGCGACACCAGCCTTCCCAGTACCTTGCACAGTATAAAGCAATGCGTCGTCTCGCACTTCTGATCTCTCTCGCAACCTCACACACAGCTTTCCTACCATTCTCTTACATGTCCTTTCTTTACGAAGACCTCACCCTCGGATGCCAAGAGTCTGCTTATATCCAGACGTGATATACAGACCGAGCTTGCCGCCTCGACAACACCAAACACACTCTGCTGACCAATCTTCTTGATCGTTTGCACGCCCTTTCAAAGACACTCTCACCACTCAACACGCACCACAGCCTCATCACCTCTCGGCCGTCCTTGAGAATCGCACGACTGGAGACGCGGAGATGCAACAGACATCCTACCAGTCTAAACCGGATAAGGGTATTCGGTGCGACTTGGCATATTGGATCTTCTCGACGTCTTGTCCGATGACGTTCAACGCTCTTAAGTCCGCCATCCACTCATTGTTCCCATGTTGTATATTCAATAAAACCAAAAGGTAGGTGAAGGTTGTGGGTAGGGCAACTAAACAAGTGTATGCGCCACTCAAGCATTACATCTGAGAACCCATCCTCATGGCATCTCTAGATCATGAAAACCACAAGGGTAGGGTTAAACCGTTGTTCCGGCACTTGTTTAGCTTTCCCTTATTCCTTTTACATAATGATGTCAAAAACGCCTATTTCCTTGCCGCATTCAACTTCTCGTTAAAGCCTTCAGAGCCTCATCTCTTATACAAAACATCGCATAAACGCTTCGGTCTCATGCGGTTCTGACCAAGCATTTTCTCAAGCCAGTATTCTTGAAATACGCCCATGGCCCGCCATCTTGTCCTTGAGCTTGTTTTGACTCTTTCGTTGCTCTGAGATTCGGTGCTTGGTTCCTCCAGTCCTTGAGTTCCTGGCTCACCATTTTGCTCTTCTTGCATTGCTAGTCGCCACATGACATGACACAGTCAGCGCAACTTACACAGGACCAGCCTTCATGGGGTCACAGTAGCTCAGATACACTAGAAGCAAATAGAGTCGACGAGCAACAACATATAGCACGAGAGAAATCACAGACCAGCCAAGAAATCGATCCAGATGTGGAAATCGTGGATTGGGATGGGCCTAATGACCCTGAAAACCCGTATGTTCTGTACATTGTCTTGGAAATAGATGATAGCTGACAAGAATTTGCAAAAGGTTCAACTGGCCAGTGCGACAAAAATGGATTCTCACATCAGTGGCTCTTTTTGGAACATTCATCGCTCTTCTAAACGGAACATCGATGGCTGTTGCTGCCGAAGCCTACAACCGCCAATTCGGTATCAGTGATGCACACTTCCCAAACTCATACTGGCCGATTGCGAGTTGGGCGTTAGGTGGTGGTGTCTTCATGATGATCCTGTTACCCATCCTCGAAGATTTTGGAGTCAGATGGGGTTACCTGATAACCTACATTGTCCTGATCATTTTCATCGTACCTTCGGCAGTCGCGCAAAACTTTGCAACACTGGTGGTTACTCGCTTCATTGCTGGCGGATGCGTCTCACTACTTGGAAACACGATCAGCAGCATCATCTGCGATATCTGGGCTGGAGACCGTGGCAGGACAGTACCTATGGAACTATACATTACCGTCTACTTGTTTGGCAGCACCATGGGTCCTGTTGTTGGAGGCGCCATTTACCAATTCCTCAATTGGCGTTGGATTTTCTACATCCAAATCATCTGGTACGGCGCTTTCATCCCGCTCTTCTTCTTTACCATCAAGGAGACCCGTGGTTCTGTCATCCTCAAGCAACGTGCGAAGAAGATCCGTGCAGCTACTGGAAAGAAAGCATATACACGCGACGAACTAAACCATATTCCTATCTGGCAGGTTGTCAAGACCTCAGTACAAAGACCAGCATACATGCTTTTCACAGAATGGGTTGTCTTCTCACTTACCATGTGGTCGGCCTTTGCTGTAGGACTCGTCTACCTTTTCACTCAGAGTATCGAGGAGGTCTTTACAGGTCTATATGGCTGGCCAGCCTACAGCACTGGTTACGTCCAAGCTGCCGTTGGTATTGGAGAACTGCTTGGGTTCTGGGTCTCGTACGCAAACATTCACTTCTACTTCCGGTCTGCAAAGTCCAATCCTATTGATCCTGGTACGCCTGTTCCGGAAGCTAGACTCTATATGTCTCCTGTAGGTGGCTTCTTTGGCATGACTGGAGGTATGTTCATTTATGCATGGACATCGTATCCAGATATTCCTTGGATAGCTCCAGCGATTGGGCTAGCAATGGTTGGTTTCGGCATCAACATCGTTTGCTCGTCCATTGCGCAATACCTCATGGACTCATACTCCAAGTACGCCGGCTCAGCGATCGCAGCGGTAGCATTTGGCGAGAATGTGTTTTCTGCATTCCTGCCGCTTGCTGCACAGAGTATGTATACCAACCTTGGATATCAGTGGGCGAGTTCGGTGTTGGCGTTCTTGTCGTTGGCGCTGGCTTGTGCGCCTATTATTCTGTTGTTGAAGGGACCGGAGATCAGAGCGAGGAGTCCTTTCATCCAAGAGGCGAGATATGAGCATGATGTCAAGGGCAGTGGTGGTGAAGAGGCTTGAAAGAGCTGACTATATATGTTTGTGTTATTCATAGATACCCACATAGCAATAAAAGTGTGCTTTTTATCGACATCAAGCGATTCAATTTAATGTATGGATGTCATACACTCGCTATCAACCTACTCGATGGCAAAGTTTTAGATGCCTCAGGCACGCCAAGACACCTCGGCATATGTCCGAGGCCTCGACGGCGATCATGTGGGGTGAAGACCGACCAATCGGAACATGCCTGATGTGTAGAGCTCCGTGAGAATGCTCTTTCCAAAATCTGCAGAACAAGACCGTCGAACGGATGAGAAGGAACGATAGACAGGCACAAGTTGGGAGATCGGCCGGTGCATCTTCTTTTCTACCTTGATCGTAAAGTGCCTGGACCGAGTCAGCACTTTGCGTGTCACATTGATATGCGGAGAGCAACCATCAAGGATGAAACAGTTCGGATCAAAGCAATTCTACCGACCGAAGCCGGGCGTTGTTTGAACCCTGGAGAACAAAACCTCTGCTCGAAAGGTGTTTAACCTCGACGCTCGACTCATGAACTCGGATAATTTGAAGCCATGGCCATGAATATGCGCCGTATCGAGGTGTGGACTGCACCGCTGTGGACTCGAAATGGTCAGCGTGACACGCGTAGGCCAGGACCCTGCAGGCCCGGTGGTGTATTTATCCCCCCTCATTCAGCGATCATTTACCCCGCCGGTTAGATATGCTCCATGGGCGACCATGTTTTTGCGGGTCAAAAGAACACGAGCTTGACGTTAAGGTGGTAGGTACTTCTTAACAATTTTTATCTCTCTGTCGCCCCTTCTTCTTCCTCTTCTCCCTACATACTCTCTTTCCTCGCCTTCGCAGCTCTTCAATCCCCCGTTGAGTTCTTTCCACATCCAGCACAATGACTTCCACGCAAACAATGGTCAAGCCGACGATGTCGAACATTGGTGTCTACACCAACCCTGCACATGATCTCTGGGTCGCCGAAGCAGAGCCTTCGCTCGAGCAGGTTCAGAGCGGCGAGAAGCTTGCTCCTGGTGAGGTCACAGTCGCAGTCAAGAGCACTGGTATCTGCGGGTGAGTAGCAGCACAACTTGGACAATACGAGACCATGGCAACTGACGACGACAAGGTCGGATGTCCACTTCTGGCACGCAGGCTGCATTGGTCCCATGATTGTCGAAGACGACCACATTCTCGGTCACGAATCTGCAGGTGTCGTTGTTGCCGTCCACGACAACGTCAAGACGCTCAAGGTCGGCGACCGCGTTGCCATCGAGCCCAACATCATCTGCGGCGAGTGCGAGCCTTGCTTGACTGGTCGCTACAACGGCTGCGACTCTGTTCTCTTCCGCTCCACTCCTCCCGTTCCCGGTCTCCTTCGCCGCTACGTCAACCACCCCGCCATGTGGTGCCACAAGATTGGCGATATGAGCTACGAGAACGGTTCTCTCCTTGAGCCTCTCAGTGTTGCTTTGGCAGGTGTACAAAGAGCAGAGGTTAGACTTGGTGACCCCATCCTGGTTTGCGGTGCCGGTCCCATTGGTCTCGTCACACTCGCTTGCGTCAAGGCCGCCGGTGCCGAGCCCATCATCATCACCGACATCGACGAGGGCCGTCTGGCCTTCGCCAAGGAGTTCTGCCCTTCAGTCCGTACCCACAAGGTCGACTTCAAGCACACACCCGAAGACTTCGCAAAGGCCATCACCGAGCTCGGCGGCGGCGTCGAGCCCGCCATTGCACTTGAATGCACCGGTGTCGAGAGCTCCATCGCCGGAGCCATCCAGACGGTCAAGTTCGGCGGCAAGGTCTTCGTCATCGGTGTCGGCAAGAATGAAATCAAGATCCCCTTCATGCGTCTTAGCACCCGCGAGGTCGACCTCCAGTTCCAGTACCGCTACGCCAACACATGGCCCAGAGCCATCCGTTTGCTGCAAGGAGGTGTCATCAACCTTGAGAAGTTGGTCACCCACCGTTTCAAGATCGAGGATGCTCTTGAGGCTTTCAAGACAGCGGCAGACCCCAAGACTGGCGCCATCAAGGTGCAAATCCAGAGCTTCGAGGAGGGCGAGTCAAGGTAGATTGGGTGTGACAAAAAACATATCTTCACACGAGCATGCATGGTTTGGGACATTTCTTCTTCCTTTTCTACTATCTATACATTCGAGATGATAATGAGAATACTTTTTCGACAAGCATCTGAACTTCCTTCCAATCACCTCTGGACTACAATCCCTAGCCAATCGACGTGGCTGGTAGCAGGGCATCCGCATCAGCAAGTCAGTATGTGACAACTTCTCGTCTGGGTAGCGGGTACTTGGTCATCCACGTGTCCACGGCTGAGCTATCCGCTGCTCAGGTAGCAGGATCCAGATAATTTCGTAGCTGGTAGGTTATAGTACGTGCCAGAATGTTTGGCAAATCAGAAGGTGTGAAGCGAGGGACCTCAGAAGGCTGGCGGTACGACTAGAGGTGCCGAGCCATCAGCTTGCACAACTGATAGGGCTGGACAGAAACAGGAGCCCGGAAAGTTAGTGGTAGCCTGATCTACGTACAGAAATCAAGTCAGAAGGTCGACATTTTCCAGCTGATCTGCCCAGCGTGTAGATGAGCTTCATAGAAGTGGTTTATTTATGGGTCGCGAACTTGATTCGTGGGTTGAAACAAATCAATCTATTTGTGTGAATTGTATATAGGATGAATGTAGTGGTCTGAGGAGGCTAATAGGTAAACATTGAGCGTCATATATGTGTGGAGAGAAGTAGGCTTAAGGTGCCGAAAGGATGGCGGTGAGATCAGATGCCCTTGGGAAGCATTGTGCATGGACTATCAGGTTGGGCAGATCAGCAAGTCTGAGAAAGTAGTGATGGCGGATGTACAGAGCCGAGATCAGAATGTCGAGGTCGTTGCTGATTCGCTCAAAGTTGATATAATGCTCAGTGAATGGAAACATTAGACAGATGTGAATGGAGAGAAGGCGCCAATGACAATGTAGCACACTATTGCAGCAGCAACAAGGTCAGCCTCGAACGGTACTGGTGACGATAATTTGATCATGTGTCTGCATAGAGATTGGTAGGTACTGTAAGCAACACAAAGGCGTCAGCTGATAGACAAGGCTGAAGCTCTCCTGACCATAATGTATGATCCCTCCACCATCTCCACCAAGATTGATCCTTCCGATATAAGCGGCGAAGCGAATGTCGACAAACAAAACATTCGAGAAGGAACAACAAGATCTGCAACTGCAGAACGCTGAACAACGAGTGAAGTAAAACAAGATTCCTTCAGTCTCTTCCGGAGCCTGGCATCTGAAAACGAACGAGTGTGTTTGTAGATAACTTTCAACCTTCACAGCTTGATGGCATCTACGATGTATAGTCGCTTCTGCATCCCAAGCCATCTCTGTAGTCGCAATGCTGTATTGACGTGTACTCTGGCAACAACAGTCTCTCCTCCTCCCAAACCATCATTGCCTGTACATATGGGTATGCTGCCTATCGAGTATGGAATTTTTGCTTGGTCATATTCTTGATCTCCTGTTCAGAGGTCAGTAGAGTTCGCGAAACATATGTGATAGAACGAGGATGTATGTTCTGCTCTGTGAGGCCAGAGATATGACATCGAGGAACCGGTGAACGTACCAAGCTTTTTCAAGAGTTCACGCTTCTTCATCCGTCGTGTTCGGTTCTCGCTGTAGCTGTAGACGTAAACAAATTCTCGAGGCTCAGCCTCAGGCGTTCGCATCAACTCGTTGCGGTCAAAGCTGGAGCTCTTCCTTACGGGACAGATACTTTTTTCCTTTTGGGGAAAACCGTCTTCTGAATCGTGTACGAGCTTTGGAATTTCCATATCCGAGTATAAATCCCGCAGAGTGTCTGGAGTTATTGATTCTGAGTTGAGGAAGAGTTGCGATATGCTGCCATGTTGTCGTGATGGTCTGACTATTTAACAATTGACCGGCCGGAAGATGTATGAATAACAGTCCGCACTCGGTTCCTCTTTCAGACACAGCAGATGCAGCCATGTCAGCCTCACTTGACCACAGCCATGTCTGTTTACAACATGACCGAAGACGGTCTATTTCTGGATGACTGAGTTGCTATTATCATAGGAGGCTGATTGGCACAGTAGTTTCATTCATTTCAGAGGCTGATATTGCCTTTGAGATATGATTAAGATCATTTGAGATCGATACAGCAGGCGCCAGTGGGCCATGATCAGACCCCATGGCAATATGGCTGGTGACTAGGATGGGAAGAAGCAAGAGTCCCAGGAGGACAGCCATTTGTCTACCTCATAGCGCTCACTAGTACTGTAAAGGCAAAAAAACACGATTTGATCTTGATTGCCGCTCAGCCTTGCCAATGAGTCGGAGCCACGGCACACATGATGATGATCTAGCAGCCTTGGTGCACACACTTCTGCAGAGTGCAGGTGATGTTCCAGAGTAGCGAACGGTGGATGGCAGTACGTTGCATGTTAGCGTCTTGACAGGGTACGTTCATGATGGCGGCGACACGCGCGCGTCCACCGCCCATGAATCTCACTAGTCCAATGTTATCGCGAAGATCTAAGATAATCAGTATCGTGACTGAATACAACGTGCGTGGATGGTGCATAGGCTTACGCAAACCTTCGATTGTCAGGCGTAGCTTGAAGGTGGTGTCAGGATGGATTTGTTAGGCCAGACGAAAGGAAAGTCCAACAAGGAACGCAATTATGAGGCTTAGTAGCCGGACGTCAGTAATAGAAAAGTAGATAGGCGTGCTTTGCACTCATTCAAGAGGCTGTGCTGTACCGCAACACAGGACTTCGAGTCGAATGGCAAGTACATGTGCTCAGTTCACCGGCTGAGCGAGGAATGTTATGTCAGTAAGGCCGAGCCTTCCATGCATGCACTTAGCCATGTCTAGTTCTGGTGGGAATCCAGCCCGTAGGCTATCCTAGCAAGCAGGGGCTCCTGCGAGAATGTTGTTCTTATGCAGGCTGTGCGAAGGCTCTGAGTATACATACAGGTGTACTTGAGGAAGATGGCCCCCAAGCATGACTTCGAATCTGCTGAGGCCTGATCATCCAGCATCAGCGAGGGCGTTCTCGAGTACCATTCCACCTACACTGAAAAAGCGCCGTTTGCTTGTGGTCGACCTGAGATGGCCACATCTTCAGAGCAGACTCTTCGTAGGTTAAGCTGTAGTTTTGTTCTGCTCTCCACATTCTGTGCTGGCAGAGATTCCAGAGACTGATGCTTTACCGATAAGGCAAGATAGAGAGAGAGGCGTGTGACTGACCCTGCATAATATTGACGCATCTTCCTGCAGCCTCATTAATGTAACAGCCAGAACATAACACGCATACGGCCCCCAAAATCTCAGCCATGATCATTACCTGAGGCTGAGCTGTTGACATGGACGCAGCAGAAGCAAACGATACGCCATTGGCACGAACTCGTTGAACACCTTGGTTGCCTTGTTCAGACCATGCGCGGACGTCTTGCAAATACGTTACGCAGTAGACCTGCTCTTTTATTAACAATCTATCGCTGTCTCACCATGTGTATAACCCTTTGAGTCACCTCAGCATGAGCCACGCAAATCTCATGAGGTGTGATTGTCCAACCTACAAGAAAGAGTCGGTCTTGACACTGGGTAAATAGCTTGGGTCGCACAGCTGGTAGCTCTTGCAGCTAATCAAGAATCGATAGATGGCGGCGGCATTCGGGGTCTCGTGTCTCTTCTTATTCTCCAACGAATTCTAGAATTCATACGAGACGAGGAGCGTTGGTGCGACACAAAGATGGCTGAAGCAGGCCATCGAGCACCACGCACCGACGGAAGGGACAACACCGAGATGCCGCTTGCTTGCCACTACTTTAGCTTCATGTTCGGCACAAGCACTGGAGGGTAAGTGTGTTCCGGGACGAAGACGATGGTGTGAGACTCAAGAGGAAGGCGTTGACGCCCAACAGGATCATCGCCATCATGCTCGGTCGACTTCGTATGGGCATCAACGACTGCATCGACACTTACCGCAACCTCGGCCGCGAAATTTTTGAGAAGAGACAGCCCTTCCATTTCTTGGGTCAGAACAAATATGATTGCACGAAGCTTGAGCGAATCATAAAAGATGTTGTACAAAGGCGTAGTGGGAACACAGATGCCCCGATCGCAGACTCCAACGTGTTGAACAAATCGCATCCTAACAAACAGGATCGAGCGCAAAATAGATGCATACCATGTCGCGTGTATGCCTCCAGTATAAAATCTTGCAAGCGGCCACTGACGGTTACACAGGGGCGTCTTTGCAGTACAAAGTGACACGCACAGTGGCATGGATGAGAAACTCCACCTTTTTCGAACGTATTTCAATCCGACGCCCCCAAGTGCCAACGAACGGCAGGACCTCACGATTAGTCTCCATCGACAGAAACTCGACTTTCCCATATGGAAGATAGCGCGGGCTACCTCTGCCGCTCCAACTTACTTTAAGTCTATCGAAGTGGACGGTCTCAAGCTTCTGGATGGTGGTCTGCTAGCCAACAATCCGAGCCAACATGCCAGATACGAAGTAAATTCTATGCACCGACATCACCCGTCTGGTAGCTGCAAACCATCTGAAAGAGGAACATTCGATGGCGGCATACGTTTCCTGGTCTCCCTTGGCACAGGCAAGCAAGCTGATCAACTGATCACCAGAGGCGCAGGTCCCATTCCAAAACTTCTGAGCATCGTCAGACGTGCACTAAAGAAGATGACCGACCCGGAACCGGTACATCAAGATTTGCACAGCGCTTTGGATGAAGGTGTGTATTACCGCTTCAATGTCGAGGAGGACCTCAAGAAAATGAAGCTCGACGAATGCATCGTCAAGGGTGAAGACAACATCACCTTCAGCAGAATTGAAAGCGCGGTCAGAAACTACTTCAACAACGGAGTTGTTAGGGACAATGCACAATCTCTTGCTAAACAGCTTGTCAAGCATCGTCGGGACAGACGCAATCCCGGTCACGAGTGGTACCGCAACCTTACAATACCTGGCCCACCACCGAGTTCAATGGATGAAAGGTATAAAAGCGACGAGTTTTCTAACGGTACCATCAACGCAGATCGAAGACCCTCGCTGCCTGAGCCATTATTCCGGGCTATCGAAATGCCTGCACAGATGCCAGAGATGCCGACGGGATTGATGATTCCCGAGCTGGGGCCCGGAAGCCCGATGCAAGGCTCTACTCGCAGTCTTCCCACAAGTCCGATATGTATGTACGACTCAGCTAGATCTCCTCAGAAAGAGTGGAACACACCAAGCTCACGAATCTTGGAGTACTATACCCCTCCGCAGGAGTGGGACAATAGAGGCCTTGGTATACATGACTTTGCTGCATCGTCGGACAGAGAAAGTAGCCTTCCTCCGCCGTCCGCACTAGATACTCCAAGTTAAACACCCGCATCTCTGCACCCCTTTCTTATTTCCGTTTCCTTGTTTACCTTGATCCGCATATACCCCAAATTGATCGCTTCACCCATGTCATTAACATTTTTCGTTGGTCCATGTACATTCCTTCTCTTTTGAACCCAAGAAATGGCTATTGGTTCCCACATAACTCAAGGCTTCATTTGGTGTGGACACTCTCTTAACATACTTGATCTGACGTTGGTGTTGACTACATAGTATAGGCAAAATACAAAAATGTGTACTTGTATTTCTCATACATGACCTCGAGGACAAAGACGGCTTGCGATACACGTGAATGAATGACTCACACATCTTCTGAGTATTGCTACATTCAATGTTTATGGATCGCAATCGGCCAGTGTCATGTTGCTACGGGATCGAAACAACTGTTGGACGATGGGCAGTCAAGAGTTCTAGGAGCACCAAAGAGTGAGACGAATGAAAAGAAGAACAATGTAAAAGTGAGCTCGTTTGGCGTAAACTTCATTCTGTATAGCAAACAAGAGCAGTTTATTCTTGATTATGAAGATAGTTATGGCGCAAAAGATCTTGGAGAACATACACCCTGACCATTTCAACCAAGTACGCGCCCTCTTGACATGATAGATCACGGTAGTCAACAAGCGATCTGAGGCGGATACTCTCCGCCATTGGCCCAGACTTGAAGTTTTTGATGCAGGAACTGATAGCTGCCATAGCGCTGGATAAGCTCATTCGTCCTTGTCAGATCATTGTTGGCGAGTATTCATGTCGGGATACCGAAGCCTTATGATGCCATCATGTACACATTTTGGATGCAATGACCAAGGCTGAAATGTGACAGCCTATATCAGAGGAAATTCCAGATCCACAACTTTGGCAATCAGGTCGGCGCTTCTCGAAATAGAGAAGGCGAATAGTTTGTACTTAGTAGCTGATGATTCGTTCCTCCAATACTCAATCGAGAATATTCGATGAGTCAACGTCTGACGTGTGTTGGCTCTTTAGGTAGGCACGGTATTGTGCAGGTAGCAGAGTCAGGTGGGCGTATCTCAATATACGATGGCGAGTTGTTTGTGCTTGTAAGCTGATGGTTTGCCTCTTGAACACGCAATTGAACCTGTTGGATGAGTCAACTCGGAAATATATTCTGGTCAATGGAGTAAGTACACGCTAGCATCATGTAGGCAGCAAAGCTGACTGAGAAAGTGGAAGGCTCCCTAGGCTCCAGTGCTTGTTTGGTGCGACCCCAGACCCAGATCTCCGGACAGATCTCGAAGACGACTTGTAGGAAGTAGTCCAGATCTGGAGAGTATTTGGAAGTCATTTCAAGTTGCTCGGCAAGTAAAGTGGTTCAACATTGAGACCAGGATTACCCAAGCGCCGGTTTGGAGCCTCTTGGTTTGAGTATGGTTAGATTCATGTTTGTGGAGGCGCTAATTCACAGGAGCATGAATCAATCTGTCAACGCATTCCTCTCACGGGTCTGTGGAGAGCAGCGCCGCTTCCGTACAATGGCTGACAGTATATATTGAGGTATTGGCTATGCGACAAGTCAGGGAAGAGCTCAGGAGACTTGCGGGTCCTCGTTGGAGGAATCAATGGGCGCTTCGGAAGATGTGGAGGCTACGGACTTCGAATCAAGAGTTGTTCATGATGATGTGGCGTATGATACAGCAGAAGGCCCAACAAAGGTATTGAGAGCGTGTATCTGATATGTACTGGAAACACATGGCGTCAGCTGAGGACAAGGCTTGGATCCTGGTGATCAGGGTGCCCTCCTTGAACGTTCCATGAGATCAATTCAGCCGAAAATGACCAAAACAACATATCTCTCGTACTGAATGGCATCAAATCTCAGACAAAAAAAAAGAAAACAAAACAAAATTGCAAGACAGATCATCGACCATACGCAAAAGAGAAACCTTTCCTAGCTGGAGGAAGGTACAAAGAAGAAAATCTACCATATTGTGCCGATCATTATCGTGGATCGAGGATTCATCCCTTTATCGCATCCACGATATACAACTGCTTCTGCATACCAAGCCACCGCTGAACCCTCAATGCCATATTGACATGCACCCTAGCAACGACAGTGTGACCACCACCAAAACCTCCTGTGCCTGTCTTGATAGGTACACTGCGCATTGAGTATGGTATTGTTACTTGGTCAATATGTTGATGTCCTGTTCCTTCCCTATCAGCGTTGCAATTAATGACTTTGAAGACAGAGCATATGCTGGGAACCTTTGAAAAAGTCTTGAGTTCTCATTCGTTTCGTCCTGTTCTGACTGTAGTCATAAACATAGACGAAATCGCGAGGTTCGGCTTCAATCCGCATCAATTTCTCGTTGAAGCTCGATCGCACGTTCAGTATGTCGACGTCCGGACCATGCTTGGACGAGGCTGGAGTTGACTTTTCGCAATATTGGGTTTCCATTTGGTATTTTGGTTTGTAAGGCTTTGTTTGTGATAATGTTGAGCTTGAATCGGAGGGCGATATGCACATTTCTTAAGACCACTGAAGTCAATTCTTGGTTGTAAATAAAATTGTGTACCGCAAAGTGTGTGGGCACAGGCTACTTATACATCACAGAACCACAGAGGCTCCCAAACAGGGGAATGACTGCAGATTCATGCCTCGACTGAGTGGCTAGCCGCGCGTGAACGATATCCTATATTTGCTTTTCTTAGCCGTTCAGTACTTCCGTGCATCGCCGAACTATACCAGCCCGGCTAGGGCTACGCTGAGTAGGGTCGAGGCTATCTCAGACCTACCGGTGAAATCGGCTTGCAGCTTCGAGCACCATTTTCTCCCTTTGGATATAGCATGCCCTCTCGAAATTGAGTACCAGTTGACAGGTCAAGTGATGTTGATGCGTTTGGGCTGCATATCTCTAGACTAGAGCCAATCACCCAACCTGAACACAATGGTGTTGAATGAAACTGCCTTACATCACGAGCTGCATTTTTCTGTACATCTCCGGTCAATGTGCTTCTCCATGATTGGTCATGCCCAGTACAGAGTGGAGGCTTGGAAGCCGCACGACTGGGATGTACACATGATACATGACCGGCGAGAAGATTGAGAAAGGCCGGCCCCATCAAGTTGATCGGTGTCCTGGAGCGGTAGCTGAGGCATACATGGGGCTGAGCTGCAGAGGTCGTTCTAACGAACATGCAAGGCGCAGCAAGGATAAGCGTCACGCGACAATTTCGTGATGATAGGGTGTCGAGGTATACCCAAGTAGTGAAGTCCATACAATAGGGGTCCATGTATGTAAGTTCCGAGTCAACAAGCAGAACCGATTCATTGCCGGGATGCATACCGTGTGTCATAAGGTGTCAGAGTTCCTATAGTCGCGATCGCTGATTCTTTGGTCAGATGGGAGTGCGGCTGAGGAAGCGCATGATCAAGTATGCAGACATCTGCAATATTTATGCGTCTTTCTGCAGCCTCGCCAATAATTCGACAATATTTTTTTGAAGCCTCGTCGACGCACCTGAGGTTGCAATAAGTGCGTTGCAATGCCTCAGCAATGGCTTTTGGCCCCCGGCCTGAACGAGTATTCGTACAAGGCAATGCGCCTCATTCGACATGACCCGAGTGATCAGGTTGGCGCAGTACGCAGAAGCCGAGAGTGGCGAGCAGCAGTGAAAAACCTACAAATATCGGCAGTCAGTACGACATAACAGTCTTAGGAAAGAATCACCCTGCCTGTGGTGTCACCATGAGCCAGGCACAGACAGATGCTGTGTGTCGATGTGAGCCGTACTTGAGAGAAGCAGTTCTAACATTTGGTAAGCTGCAACCACACCGGAGCCCAACTTTTCGAGAATCTCTGTGACTGATCCTATGCTTCAGATGGTGGCGGCATACGAGGTTATGCATCACTTTTGATCGTACAGCAGCTCCTACGCCATATCCGTACTGCCGAAGGCGAACTTGGAGAGGAACCTGGGAAAGTATCGAAGCCGACCTCCGGAGAAGATGATCTCCCATTGCCATGCGATTACTTCAATTTCATGTTCGGAACGAGCACTGGAGGGTGAGTAAAAGTCGCAGTTGGAAACACCTCCAAAGGCCTGAATTGTCGCGCTGACGTCAACAACAGAATCATTTCAATCATGCTTGGGAGACTTCGCATGAGCATCCAGCAGAGCATCGATGTCTACGAGAGATTTGGCACACAAATCTTTGCGAAGAAACGACCATTCTTTTTCCCAGGAAGAAATAAGTACGACTGTTCAGAACTCGAGAGAATCGTCAACGAGGTTGCTAAGAGGCACTCGCCTAACAACGACGGTTCAGACCCACAGCTTTGGGATCCTCTTCTCATCAGTGAGCAGAATCGTCTTCAAAATAAGAGATCAGGAGATCAACCCGCGCCCTGTCGTGTGTAAGTGTCGTATGTTGCCTGGGTCTTCACGATCGCTAAACCACCTAGGGGTGTACTTGCCATACAAGAGAATCCCGACAACCATGAGTACGAAAAGCTTCACCTGTTCCGGTCATATTTCAATCCTACACCCTTCGCCAACACTGGTAATCTCACACAATTGCACCTCAACCTCGATGCTCAACGGGGGTCTAGCATCCGCAAGATCGCTCGTGCCACATCAGCTGCACCGACCTATTTTCGCTCAGTCAAGATCGATGGGCTGAAATATATCGACGCTGGCATTGATGTCAACAATCCTTCCGACGTTGCGTGGGCCGAGGTCGGTTCTATGCATCAGAATCACCCTTTAGGAGGCTGTCCACATGGAGCATCGACAGACGGGATCCGCTTTCTGGTATCGATCGGCACTGGGCTTCAGGCCCCTCGACGGATCACGAGCGGAGGTCTCTCCATCTTAAAGATACGGAGTATTTTCAAGAGAGCCATCAAAGCAATGACTGATCCCGAGCCTATCCACAGATATCTACTGAAAGCAGCAGTTGGCGGGGAGGACAGTCGTGTCTACTATCGCTTCAATGTGGACAGGGGACTGGAGAAGATGAAGCTAGACGACTGTCAGATCGTCAATGGTGGTGGAAATCATACATTTGCCACAATTGATACAGCAGTCACGAGATACGTCAACAGACCGGCAGTTGAAAAACGACTCATACAGCTTGCGAAAGATCTGGTTCAACACCGCAGACGACGACGAGCACATGTGCCTGCGTCAGGAGATCAGCCCCCAAACATACCCCCACCATCGGGCGACACAGTCGAGTTATCGGCATCATCACCGAGCATGGAACCATCGTCTTCGGCCCATGAGCTGCAGTCTTAGAGCCCTCGAACTCCTCAGAACCCTCAAACACCGCGCAACACAACAGGTTCCAGGCTCAACACGATATCTCGCGAGAGCCCTCTAGGTGGAGAAAGACTTTCCGCGCCATGATCTGGTCTGAGAATAGACACCACTTCTCACACGAGCAACAACCACTAGAATGGAGTGAACTCGTCTTCGACGCATGCTGACCAGGACTGCATAACAGCTCGTGCCAGCATTGCTCTCCGCTTCTGTTACCTCCTTCCTTTCTTTCTTGTTTTCTCTCTTCCATATTTCTTCATTCTTCACTTCGGCGAGAACTGATTCTTGTGTCTTCCGGGGAAGATTGATCCGGGGATTGGCATTCATCTTGCTTGTAGGCGGCACGTCGCGTTTCACAGTCTCTTCAGATGCATCTTTTTTCTCTGTCTATTCTCTCAAGGCTGCCCTGCGTTGCTGAATAAATGCTGATAGTGGACGTACAACCCATTAGTTGGGTTTTGTTGAGACCAGTATCTCCTATTTGTAAACCATTGGAAAGGCACAAAGGGACAAGGTAGGAACATATCGATACCACTACATACTGTTTATAGATTTTAGTTAGATACCATAGTGCTTTTTTTCTATTCATTTTCTATTTACTTTCTAATTTCTCTCTTTTTCGCCTTCCACGTTTTTGAACAACTCTAACATTGTGCTGTGAGCAGAGTTCTGCTATATGGTCTTGAAGACAAGTCTAGCAAACGACATCGTTGAACATCTCGCTCGTCCGACAAGTCTCGTCTACTCTGATCAACTCGTCTCCACTTTTATCCACGGCTTTTCAGGCTCTTTGCTATCAAACCACGTCCCGACCCATTCGGTTGTGCATCGCCTCTGTTTACCTTTCACAACACAATGCAATGTCTCGCGAAGACGACTGCTAGCATCGCCATAGACATAGCTGTTGGTGGAAAGACACGTCAAACGCTCAGCCTCGGGCATGGCTTGTCATTCGTCTCTGTCTACTTCTCCATGCTCTGAGTAGCATCACAGAGTCATCGAACAGTAAAAATCACTTGCGCAATTTTCATGAAGAAGAACAATGTATGTTATGTTATACAAAAACAAGTAAACAATAGTCTAGCCAAAAGAAACATCACTTTTCTCATAATGCATGCACCAAAAAAGGATACCCAACAAGGTTTTTCGCATAAGGACAAGATTGGACTGGATGAAGCGGGCAAATCTACTGCTTGTCCATGTGCTGCATGCGAATCTCGACAGCGCGTCTGTGGGCCTCGAGTTGCTCGACCTTGGCCAGTTGCATGACTGCCTTGCCGACATTGCGCAGACCTTGGGCTGTGAGGTTGGAGCTGGTGATGTGCTTGACGTAGGAGCTGAGGTTGACTCCCGAGTATTGCTTGGCGTAGCCGTAGGTGGCTGTGATGTATTAGCTTGGTGTTCAGAGGAAGAAGGAACGGATCAAACTTACGCAGAGAGTGGTTGACACCAGCAGAGTAGTCGCCAACTGACTCAGGAGTCCAGGGACCGATGAAGACAGAGCCGGCGTTCTCGACGGTCTCGGTATAGGCCTCAGCATCCTCGACCTGCAGGATCAAGTGCTCAGGGGCGTAGTAATTGCTCAGCTCCATGGCCTCTTCGCGAGTCTTGACGACCAGCGTCAGACTGTGAGCGATGGCGCCACGGACAATGTCAACACGGGGCAGAGCCATGGCCTGGTTGTGAAGCTCATCCTCGACAGCCTGCAGCTCCTCCTCGCTCATGTCGATAGCGATGAGAACAACCTGCGAATCAACACCGTGCTCAGCTTGTGATAGCAAGTCGGAAGCAACGAAGGCGGGGTTGGAGCTCTTGTCAGCAATGACCATGACCTCTGAAGGACCGGCGGGCATGTCAATACTGACACCAGCCGAGGTGTCGTTGGACACGATCATCTTGGCAGCAGTGACGAACTGGTTACCAGGTCCAAGGATCTTGTCAACCTTTGTGACCGACTCAGTACCATAAGCCATGGCAGCAACAGCCTGAGCACCACCAGCCAAGACAATGCTTTCAGCACCGACCTTGTGGGCGACGTAGACAATCTCGGGGGTAATTGAGCCGTCAGAACGAGGAGGAGAGGCAATAACGATCTTCTTGCAGCCAGCGACCTTGGCAGGAACACCGAGCATGAGAGTTGTCGAGGGAAGAACAGCAGTACCACCAGGAACGTACAGACCGACACGCTCAATAGGACGGACAAAGCGAGAGCAGACAACACCAGGCATGGTTTCGACACGGAGATCCTCGGTTTCCTGTGCAGCGTGGAACTTGCGGATGTTTTCGTATGAGATGTCGATAGCCTCCTTGGTCTCGGGAGCGATCTGCATGAGGTTTTCGGGGAAGGGAGCCTTGAGAACGGTGCTGGTAAGAGAAGTAGCCTTTTCAAACTTGTGAGTGTACTCGAGCAGAGCCTTGTCACCGCCCTTGCGGACACCGTCGATAATGGGGTTGACAATGCCCATAATGCGGTCAGTCGACTTTTGAGAAGGACGCTGCAGAGCCTGCTGCACGGTGTCCCTAGTCTCCTTGGTTGTGTAGTAGCGACGCATGCTGATTCTGCCATCAACAGTACCTGCTGGGTCCTCCTTAGCCTTCGGCACCGAAGCAGCCTCCTTGACCATTTCCTTGTCTCCGTTGACTTGCATGCCGACCTTCTCGGCGAATTGAGGCTTGGCGTCACCCTTTCTTCTCTTGACCTTCAAGTTCTTAGCATCCAAGTTGCGCTCGATATCCTCAAGAGAGACGTCGTTGGCAATGCACTTGGTCAGAGCAAAGTAGATAACGTCGGCAGCTTCAGAAGCAATGTTGTCCTTGTCTGTGGCGTCAACCAACTCTTGTGCCTCTTCAAGGATCTTTGCTGACAGCATCTTGGGGTCGTTGAACAAGCGGGCAGTGTAGGAGCCTTCGGGAGCAGAACGCTTGCGACTCGAGAGGGTCTTTTCGAGACGCGACAAACCAGCGTAGTCACCGAAACATGTGGGGGTTGCCAGGTGACAGAAGCCTCTGCCCTTCTGGTGAACGATGAAACGGAGAGCATCACCATCGCAGTCCTTGTCGATGCGGATCAACTCTTGAATGTCTCCGCTAGTCTCACCCTTGTACCAAAGACCACGCTTTCTGCTGAAGAAGACACCACGGCCAGTGCGCAAACTCTCGGAGATGCTCTCTTCACTACTGTAGACGAGGCCAAGAGCGACGCCGCGCTCATCTGTGACAAGAGTGGTGAAAAGACCATCGGGTCTGTCGGTAGTAGCGTTGGCGAGGAGGAGAGGAGCAGCGGGGATGAGGTTGGGTTGGCTCTTAGGGTCAATGGTCAGGTGCTGGGCGGCGATGACGGGAGTCGCGTTGATGTGGGCAATCTGAAGGGCTTTCTCGAGGGTGGGCTGGGCGAGCGAGACGTAGACGGGTGGTCTGTTGGAACCGTAGGCCTCAAGCAGGCTCTCAACAGCAGTAACGTCGGCAATGGCGGTAAGGTAGATTCCAACCTCGTTGCCCTGCAGGACGTCGAGTGCTGAATTACCAGCACCAGCGAGCGACAAGACTAGCCGTGAGGCATCGACGTTCTTGTTCTGGATGTTTTGCAACTGCTCACTGGAAACAAAGACCTTGACGGCACCGGCGTCGAGCAGGGAGAGGATGTCGTCGGTTGAGTCGAGCTTTGTTACGTCAAAGTATGTGCTGAAGTAGGTGGCAGTCTGTTTCAGGTGGTCGAAGGCGGCATCGATGGTCTGTTGGGTTGCGACAGCGTAGACAGCGCCAACGTGACCAAGGCTGGCGGCGCTGAGTCCTGTAGAGGCATTGAGGCCGTGTGCCAGGTCAATGGCGGGCAGGAATGGTACCGACATGGTGCGGACCACTGTTGTATGGATATGAGTTGCTATGCAGATGTGTCGGAGCTTTGGCAGACTAGAAAAGCGTGATTTCTATAGAAACGGATGAGAAGATGAGGATGACCCTGATCGTGGTGCTTCGCGATGACTCGATAGCGGGGCGAGATTTGAGAAAAAGTTGGATCATTCGTCATTGGCTGACAAACGCCCATTTGATTCTTTGTCGCAATCGACTGACAACACCTGATGTTTGCTCTACCGTCTTTGCATTTTGTTTTCATTATTTATTGCTGCATAGAACCCTCTATACTTCCATGTGCCTACCTTGACAATCTGCAGCTTGTCTATCACGCTCGTTGTTGGCTTGTGACCAAGCTCCGATGTAGGCGCTCAATGATCCATGTTCCGCTTCGGCTTCTGATCCTTGGTCTTGCCGGTTGTCGTGCCATTAGCTCTCTCACAAACAAAGCTCCAAACCTGACCGCCCTATCAACTGCCCCAGTGACCAGGTCATCCATCCATGTAGGTCGCTTATACCAGAGAAGCATAGTGCTCCGTTCATGATCGCCATCATGACCCAATCGCATCCATGTACCCATGTTCTTCTACATATTCCGTGGCTACTCTCACTACCGCCTTGATATCATCTTCCCCCAATCCTCTTTCTTTGAAAAATGGGCGTCACACTGTCTGCACACTCATCGCTCGCCCCAATCTCGCTCGCAAGCACTATTATTGGCTTTGTCTCATTTTCCTTTACTGTTGCTACCCTACTGCGTGTCTTTTGGGGCAATATCACAACGGTTCTCAATGCTCATGACGAGATACACGACCTCCTGGGCACCCTTCGAGTTCAATTGTATGAAGAACGACAATCTTTACGAAATCTGCGACGCCATAATAAAGAATGGGGCAAGCGACGCCGCCCCAAAGGTCTTCCCCTCCCTCGTCTCGACGACTTGACCATCAGGTCTATGCAGGATACTCTCCGCCATCTCACACGGAGGTTTAAAGCACTCGAACGTCCTTTCCTTGACAAAGATACTGCCTCTGGCCGCCGCAGATATCGCAAAAGCTTCCCACCAAATTCGAGGGACACGTGGGACTCTGAGAAAGGACTTCGCAGCCAAGAACGGGAATGGGATAGAGAACTCGATGACGAGGATGATCCGAGAACTCAAGGAGACGTCTACTGCCATGTCACTCTAGGCAAACGCATTCTTTGGGTTCGTCAAAGGTCTGATGCGCTTGCCATCATAGAAGCGGTCAGTCGTCTCCAAACCAGGAGAACTGCAAGACAGGTCGGTGAGATCGCTGTCGCATTGTACGAGTATGGAGATACGATAGAGAGTATGGACGAGGGTATGCAGGAGATCGAGGCCCGCTTCAGCAAAATTGTCGGCATACGGAGGGTGACCTAAGCAACAAGCAATGATCCATGAAGCTAATGACTTTTGTTCTGTATGGAAACCTGCAAGCATGAAAAACCATGTAATCGTAAATCTCGTCCACGACGCATTAAGACGAAAGGTTTGATGTGCCATCAATCGAGTGACAGGGTCACAGTTTGAGATGATCGTTCAAGTGAACACGCCAAGCCCTCAATCAGGAACGCGCCTTCCGTTCACCAGCGCGATCATGCGCGTCAAATTATCGACAACATTCTTGATCTTTCTCATCATTAAATCCAATGTCCATCACCGACTGAATGCCTCACATACCGCCGACCATCGAGCTTCTCGAGCATGCGCAACTCCAATATAGAAGAAAGGAGTATGTCAAAGCCATAGACCTCCTCGATCTGGCCATCAAGCATGAACCATCACCAACAGTGAAATTGCTCGACACACGTGCAGCAGTCTATGAAAAGCTCGGCGATCACAAGCTAGCTCTCAAGGATGCCCGAACTTGCATTCGTATCTTCGAAAAGGATCCTACTGGTTACTTGAGAGCAGGCAAAGTGCTTCAGATAATGCAGAAGACTGATGTCGCTCTGAGCATCTACAAACATGGAATCAGCAAGAAGGTTAACAATGTTGAGCTGCTTCAAAAAATGCATGACAAGCTGCTACTATCCCTCGCGCCCGACAAAGCCGCAGATCCCTTTGCTCAACTCCCTATCGAAATCGTCGAGATGGTTCTAGCGTACCTAAACTTCCGCCAAATCGTATACTGCACCCGCGTATCAAAGCAGTGGAATATTTTCATCAACAGCTTGCCTGGCCTTTGGATGAACTTGGACTTTTCGGAAGCCAAAAAGCCTGTCAGGTCTGCTTTCCTCAGTCGTTGTATCAACACGTCCAAACGTAAAGTTATATCCGCCACCTTGAAACATGTCAAGGACATGGAGAAGGTCATCAAGGCTCTGGCCCGAAGTTGTCCGGAGTTTAACTCACTCCGTCTTGTCGATGGCGGGTTGCAAGGAGAAAATCTTGTCCACAACCTCAAATCGGCCACCAAGCTGAAGAAACTTACGCTTGGCGCTTCTGCCAGTATTTCATCTATGACCCTTCCCAGCCTTCTCCTAGGTTGTGAGAATCTAGAAGAGTTCGAGTGCAGAGCAATCATACCCGGTAGCCTGAATCTGCATTGGAAAGGCGAGTTTCCTAAGCTTCGTCGTCTGAAGTTGATGAGAAACTTCCAGTCACCAAATCGCTCAATGCATATTCTTCGCATTTCCACGCTCCTAGCGCTGATGCCAAACCTGCAATCTCTCGCACTAAACGACTGGGCGACACCCTACGACATCCTATCACTCGGAGAAGTAGCCAAAAATCTGATCGAATTAGACATGACGTCCGACGTGTCTTCCGGTCCAGTCCCTTTCCCATTTCACGATCTTCCACAAACTCTTCGCGTGTTGCGACTCGATCTTGACAGGCCACTCAGTAGTGTCGTTCTGCTGAGCCCCAAAGACTTCTTTCTACCCAATCTCGAGGAACTTGTCTGTTGTGGTGCAGACATGGCCAGTCTCTTCCTGTCAGACCCTGAACTCATTTCGAAATACCCGGACCCTGCAGATAACAGATTCCTCAAACAGTCTAATCTATCTAAGCTCTGCACACTACATGTGCAATGCACAGGCGCAGCACAACCGATAACTTCGCTTCTCGCTCTTCCTCGATTGGAACGCCTGCGTAGCCTGCGACTGACGCACAATTCTAATGTCAGCGATGACGTGGTGAAGCATATCGCTACCAATCTGAAGCAGTTGCAAGATATTGATCTGTCCTCGACGATGATCACGGGCGCGGGCGTGCGCATACTTGTCGATGGTCTCAAGTCATCTCTGAGGACACTCAAATTCGTCAACGTTTGGCATTGCAGTCCAGATGCACCGGAATGGGCGAGAGAGCAAGGTATACGCGTGCAGTATTCGCAAAACGCCGACACCAAGCCGAAGGGACGTAAAATTCGGTATGAATGAGACATGATTCTATGACATGGCAGACAGGACAGGCATGATGGACAAGGCAGCAACACACATGGTATGTAAATTATGGACAAGTATAATCAATGAGAACTTCTTAACTCTACTGAAAAGCTTGTGGAAAGACTTCGGGCTGCTGCTTCAGGCAACACCTGCAATACCATACCTCCATCTCCTTGGCATCTCGCATACCATTCTACAACTATGCATCACAGCAATAATCGTTATTCTATAGTAAACAAGCAGACGTGGTGGCCGATCATGTAAGGCAGCGAGTGCATACACTCTCGGGCATTCAACCTCTAATTCACGCATCGTGCTTCGCATGGCCGCCACCATCGATGACTCTTGCCCGAGTCTCCGCACATACATATTTGCGTAATTCCTCCAGTTCAACTCATCCACTTCCACTTGAACACAGCTTTTCATCAGGCACATCTCATCGCATACGTCAGCCGTATTCATCAAACATCGACTACCGAACTCTCGTCATAACAACCAAGACATCAAGCTACCATTGACGAGGTTCATCGACACATTCTTCGCCTACTTCGACGAGGAAATTTCCAACTTTCTACAACATCAAGCAGACAACATGTCTGCAAGCACTGACGTCGGACACGTGGTACCCAGGTCTATCAACTGGAAGGATTGCCACGTTTGTTTCGAGACGACTGAAGAAGAGAACATGGTGGCGCTGCCTTGCGACCACTACTGGTGTCTGGACTGCTTGTCCCGTGCTTGTTCGGGTGTACAGCACGATATCGACAAGCGCATAACATGTGACGACAATTGCAACGTGCCGTTCGAACTCGCGTTGGAGATTCTACCGGAAGCCGAATCCAAGCGCCTCAAGAGCAAACTAGAAGAGTTCGAAATACCTCCGAAAGAGCGTTTCTACTGCGCGAACAAGGACTGTGGCGAGTTTATCCCGCCAGTCCCTCAGCCAATAGACATTCTTGCCGATTGTGAAAAGTGTGGGCACTCAACGTGTAAGCTGTGCCGTGCTCTCAATCACGAGGGGGATTGTGCAGGACCCACGAAGGAAGACGAACAAGCATTTGCTCTCATGGTGAAGGAGCGCTATCAACAGTGCTCGCAATGCTGCAGAGTGATCGAACGAACACAAGGATGTTCACACATGACCTGTCCCTGCGGCTACGAGTTTTGCTACCATTGCGGAAACCCAATCCTCGCATGTAACGGATGCGGACATCTAGAGCCAGACATTCTAGCCGAAGTTACGAACGATCCCGCTATACCTGTTGAACCATGGGAGATAGTGGAAGAAACACTTCTCAGCTTGCGCATCAATGACCGCCCTGCCTCTCCTGCAAGTTTGACTTCTTGGTTCAATGGCATACTTCGTAATGAAGGATATCGCGGTCCTGCGGTCATCCTAGGCAACGATGGCTCTGTCGGATTTATTCTTGGCCCGGAGGGAATGCCGAATGCAGAAGAGCTTGAAATTTCAGATAGAATGCTGTTTTCGATGTCTGGCACTGCACGATTGGAGGTGCACGCAGATGGCACTTCGACAGTGCACGTAGGAGAAGACTCGGACTCTGAACACGGTGAAGAGTGGGACGGCTCGGCCGACTGGGCCATGTGAAGAAGGTGGAAAGACACCAGCTACACTAGAGTGTAGATGAAGGAGTCTATGAGAATCAACCTCCAGATAGGACGTGGCATGTACCGCATATCAGCCTACATGCACAACATGGCGTCTGCGTGGTGGTAGGTTGCAGAGTTGCACAATGGTATAAGAGTGTCGTTTATAACTTTATACAGTACTGAGCATAGCAATCTGTTTCTTTACTTGATCTTCTTCGAAGCCACTATTCGGCTAGCGTGACACATGGGAATGCTCACACATCGCAAAGATCATAATATCCTACTGCTCCCGTCTCTGGGGTACCCACTGCTCAAGAAGCAGCTGTCATGCTACATGAACATTTTACCAGACCACAAGTGTCCAGAGAGAGCCCCAAAGAAGCATTTCAGAGCTTACAGCCCTCAATAGAGTATTGCACTTTTTGGAGGAGTTCTTGCTCAGGACCATGTCAATCATCCCCGCTCATCATGGTTCATGCAGCATCAGAAGGTGGTCAAGCTATAAAAGCAGAAAGGAAAGCCGCCGACCCCAGAGTTGAACTCGGGCACAAGAAGCCAAAGTTGGGCAGCGAAAAAGAAAAAAAGAAAAAAAAGTGTTTTTCAATGCAAGCAAACACAACCAACGACCCGAGACAACTGTATCTAAAGAGCAAAAAGCATATTCCGACACGGGGAATTGAACCCCGGCCTCCTCGGACCTGGTTGTTTCTTGGTATAGAAACTGTTTGAGAGCGAGAAATCCTAGCCACTAGACCATATCGGATTGATGAAAATGTCTTGCCAAAGTGATACATATAGCCACAAACAATTTGTCAGCCCACTTGGGTGTGTACTGACAAACAGAATCTCACCTTTGTCTGTGTTCAATGTGAGGCAGTCCTACTGCGGATGCCTTAGAAGAATTTGGTCATAGATATCTAGGCCATTGAGAGCTTTACTCCAAGTAGATATCCAGTAATCAGTGTTACTCAGCAACCTGTAGGTATGTCTATATCATACTCGCTCATGTCTGATGATTTTGCAGAAGTGTCAGATCATTTGACCAGATAACATGGAAAAGTATAATAGGGCAAGAGTGGGGGTTTCAAAACTTTTTTCGAAGCCAGGCCCAAGCTTCTAGATTCCACCCGCGCAATCTCAAGCACTTTGGCACAATAATTTTTTCATTCTTCTTGCCTCACATCAGAGTCAAAAGAGAAGCTGAGACAGATCGCCATGTTCGACGTCCTCTTGGTGGATATATATCACTCTAACAAAAACTGCTTCATCAACCAATACCAGCTCAGCTGGCTCATCTTCATTGGTCTAGTGGTCATGATTTCCGCTTGTCAAGAGTAAAACCTCGTCAAGCGCGGGAGACCAGGGTTCGATTCCCTGATGGAGAGCACATTCTTTTGTTTTTTTTGCTATCGATCTGTCATGGCAATAGGGACATTCTTTTCTTGGAGTTGATGAAAAGCATTGGCTCAAAGTTTTGCGTAATGGTGGGCTGCCCTCAGGTACCACAACCTGTCTCAGCCTGTGAGAGCCCATCTTCATGTACGGGAAGTGCCACAATGTAGCTATGATAATGCACAATATGTTACTCGAGGAACTGATACATGCGGTGGCTCAATACGGATCAGGAAGCAACTGGCATTGGGATAGCTTGTGTTACCAGCCTACGTCGATGTGAGAGCAGAGCCCGGTGTTCTACCCTACGATTCCTTCAAGATGGCCTCATACACAGGAACCCACAAACCACACCTCCCATCGACAGCACTTTGAGGCAATACGGTGACACCACTTCCTCGAACATCTCCAACATCACCCAAGACAGCGAGATCCCAATCTCCTTGCTGTACAGTCCCATTCAAACCCATCAAGATCCCGCCAGGCAAACCGTCAGATGCTGTAGAAAGAACAGCGCCTGCAGTACCAGTGCCCACAGCATTCCATCCAGGTCCATTGGCCGGATTTTTCGCGAAGGTAGCCCAGGCGCCACGCATGAAGCGACTCAAAGCATATTCTTGAGTTGTGACGTTAACAGTGGGGTATGTAGAGAACACGATGGAAAGTTCTGAAGAGTGGAAGACGCCTAGACCTGGATACGATTGCGTGTTTGTGAATGAGGCGTTGAAGTAGTATCGCCAGGTAGGGATGCCGCTTGCAGCAGATGCATTGGCCCAGAGAGCTTGGGACTAGAAGAGCATTGTGAGCAAATGCGTCGTGTGATGTTACATTCGACTTACACATTGGAAATACCATTCCGTGAAGATCTGCGATATCACATCATAAGGTGTATTCAATCCATCAACGCCAAGTGGATATGCTTCTTTAATAGCAGATACAAGAGCTGGTGAACTGCCGAAATATGTATCGAGGAAGGCTGTAATATTGTTCTGTCCGAATACGAAGACACTGTGCAGTATGAGCAGAGTCAAATCAATAGTACAACAGTAAATCTTACCGTCCTTCCTGTGCATTCGTGCCACCCATGACTGGGATGTTGGCGATCTCGCCCAATACACGTCTTTGAGCAGGATTCGAGACGAGGGTGATGTTGTCGGCAATTGGGTTGAACAAAAGACTGTTGACATCGATGATCTTTTGGATATCAGTCGCACTTGCTGCTCTGACACAGCTCAAGTTACTTCCAAAATTGCCGGGACAGCCGAGCTCAGCGGTAAGATTACACCATGCAGGCACGCTGCTGGTCGGCGGGGTAGGTCTGTAGCTATACTGACCGCTCTCAAGAATTGCACCGCGGAATGGTGGATTCGAGCCTTTTGGGAAACTCGTGAGTAGTGTATCTACCGAGAATGCTCCAGCCGACTCTCCGAAGATAGTGACTTTAGCTGGGTCTCCTCCAAAAGCGTGAATGTTGCGTTGCACCCATTCCAAAGCAAAACGCTGGTCTAGGAAACCAAGGTTGTGTCCTGAAAGTGGTAACTCTGGAGAGCTTGGGAAGCCGAACACGTTTGTTCGATAATTTGTGGTCACAACTATCACGTCTTCGTAACCAGCAAAATGACTTCCGTCGTAAGTGGGCTGTCCAGCATTACCAAACTGGAGAGATCCACCATAGATCCAGAACATAACAGCACGTCCCTTTCTATCTTCGGGTTGTGTAGCAGGTGCATACACGTTTAGGTACAAGCAATCTTCAGATTCCTGAGGGGGAGGGTTGTTGAACACTAGTTCGGTGAACTGTTGAGAAGCCAGAGGATCTATGGATGGTCAGTCGGCTAGAATCTGATCAGCTACAAGATGGGGTCTCGTACATGTGAACTGTTGAATACATGCCGGCTTCCAAGCTGTGGCATTGATAGTAGGCACGTAAGGTGCTGCTCTTGGAGGCGAGAACCGCTCAGGCGGTGATTGAGCAAATGGTATTCCCAGGAACTTGTTGACTGTCGCACTGGCAGCTGGTAGGCTAGTTGTCGTTCCTATGACTAATCCGTTCTCTATACGTGCTGTTGGATTCGAGCAATTGGAACCCGAGACGGCGCTGATCAGGCCAGCTATCGAGACACACAAAATGAAGCAATGCATCGCGGGTCAATCGACACAAGAATGGATGGAAATGGAAAATGAAAGTGAGCGAGATTACTGTACGACCTAATATATGACTTCCTGACAGTCCGGACACGAACAAAGCCGTGCCGAGGATAACTGCAAAATCCAATGCCCTATATGGACTCGACGGCACAGAGTACTGTGAGGAGAAGCCAAGTGCGGCTCACAAGCTCTGTTGATCATAGACATCCTGAATCGTGGTGTTCCGGCATGTAGAGATCAACTCTTGCCTCGTAGAAGCAACCGTGGAACTTCTTCTACTCTTGGTTACCTTGAAACGTCTAGATCAGACTCTGAATGCCAAAATGTGCGTTTTATCTTCCAAGAAGATCATCGACTCCTAGTTAGAGACTGAGAGCAGTCTTAATGGTACTTTGTACATAGGGCTGAGGTATTGCGGGGTATGCGTTTCTTCCAAGGTCCAACATATACGAGTACGGGCTTCCAATGACCATCAATGCCGAGGCAAGATTGGGTTCAATGAGTTGAATCCAGGAAGAGGGGATGCGAAGTCTGCATGACCAGTGCTCAGTAGTACGGGTAATGTCTGGCAGCTCTTATGCGGTGATGGTCGTTTCAGATCCTGGGCTTGAGGGAACGTTGCTCATCTTCATCATAGGTCATGATCGGATTTTGGAACAGGCTGGAGTAGCTTTGACAGCAGTTCATGCACTCTTTCTTGTATCTTTGATTTGCGTACCACACTTCAAAGATGAGAGCTCTCAGAAGCCTGGCAACTCGAAACTGGCCTGGATCAGGGCATCATAAGCACCAAATTTGCATACTTGACAAGATAGTCGCGGTTTGAGGTTCCTTGTCAGGAGGCTGATAACCAAGATCCGAAGTGTAAGAGTACATTTACAGACCAATAGGAGGCGCCACAGTCAGCTTGTCTGTTTCCAGAATGACACTGGCCAACACTCGGAAGGGCCGTGCAAGGTCAGACAAAACTTCCTGCTGGTTCTGTTGATGTAAAGCATGGCACTTGCTCAACACTGAATGGTCAGCATCCGGGTTGGTCCAATGAAATGACAAACAAGTGTAAGCAAATTTGTGTCGAAGTGCTTGGGTGGCTTGACGGATGTTGCCGTTCGTGGAGAGGGCCGTCTTGTGAGCCAATCATACTGTCGTCAAATAAGCATTTTGAACACGCTCCGCGCGTGGCTAACGGCTTTTTCTAAACACATCCGAATTCGATGCTCTTCCAAGCCATCGAATGGACTTGGGATACCTTCGCTGAAGGCGATTTCGAGCGCGAGGTGTTACAAAGTATTACAGACTGATTGCGAAAGATGCAAGGAACCGTAGCCAGGTATCTCAGAACAATCGTGCTCTTCTGACGCCTAAAAAGCTCCATGGCGCAGATGGAAGGGCTTGCGGGGAAGGTACATGAGTAGCGTCGAAAAAAATGGTCAGGGCTATTCTTTAACGCAGTACCAACGTTTTGAGCAAGTATTTATATCACCAGCGCCCTTGTTCGTTCCAGTGTCGTCTCTCTAGCCTCATCACCTTTTTCGACATCATCAACCCTTCCTCTCTCTCGAAGCACAAGGCAAAAGTCCTAGTCACCCTATTCGTCGGACGGATTTTCCCACCAATCTGAACACGATGGCACTGCTATACATTAAAAACACCATCTTTCCAGCCAAGAAACAACCCGCCTTATTACCTTCGTTCAAGAAGCAACAACAATATGGCGCTTGCGACACAGCATCAGAGATATCTCAAACTGGTTCAGATTCTTCAACTTTGAAAAGTGATACAGGCAGTCACTCGTGTTCGTTCAGAGTCGACCCTCGTATCATCTCTGACGCCACTATTGGACTCTCGGATGGTTTGACTGTCCCCTTCGCACTTACGGCCGGCCTCTCTGCACTCGGCGACACGAAGCTTGTCATCTATGCTGGTTTGGCGGAACTTTGCGCGGGTGCCCTCTCGATGGGACTGGGAGGTTATCTGGGTGGTGTAAGCGAGGCGTAAGTCAATCTACTTTCATTCCAAGACCAACCACTAACATCGAACCAGACAATCTTATGCAGCCACATTAGCAGAAACGCAGAAGATCGTGAATCAGGACCCGGATGAAGCCAATCAAATTATCAAGTCAACTTTCGACTCGTACGGTCTTTCGGAGGATGTTCTGGACGCTTTCGCTACACAAATCAGCTCATGCCCGAAGCGATCAGAGAGTTTTATCATGCGCTTCCACCACGACCTGCCAGAATCTCAAGCAGATGCCTCACGCGCATACATCTCGGCTCTTACTATCGCACTCGGTTATTTCCTCGGTGGACTTGTCCCACTCACTCCTTACTTCTTCGTGAGCAACAACCAAACTGCTCTTTGCTGGAGTATCGGCGTCATGGCCTTTGCGCTATTTGTCTTTGGCTATGTCAAGACTCTCTTGGTTGGTGAAAAGAAACGACTGCTTTGTATCAAAGCAGGCGTCGAAATGATGGTCTTGGGAGGTGTTGCAGCAGCGGCAGCAATGGGATGTGTCAAGGCGATAGGATCATGAGACTTGACAATACTTCACCGCACGCAAATCTCTCGACGACTACATCTTCAGATTTGCTACGACTTTGGCATAATGAACCAGCCAGCACTTACGATTTTGTACCACTGTTGTATTACTAGAACAAAGATACCCAGATTACTCTATAGAACTTGATTCCTACCTCTTTCCGGTACATGCGCCATACCAGAGAATTAAGAGTTGTTGACTTCTAAAAGTAGAGCACTGACTTGCCACATCTCAGCAAGGCCGTTTGATGATATTTCACAGACTGAGAAGCAGAATTCACAATTTATACAGACACGAGTAGTAGTCTTGGAGTGAACGTTTTGCTCAGCGAATGCGACGGGAAGCTGATTTCAAATCTACCATGACTTTGTTACGTTTGAAGAAGGCAGAACACCTCCGTTCGACACCCTTCGAACTCGTACCATGTTCTTAGTGATCCACCAATGACGAGGACAATCTCTTTGGGCACTCGAAGATCTTCAGAGGCATCTATTTGATCAAGAGACGCCTGCAAGAATCTTCTTGCCGATCTCCATATCCTTGACCTCCTTCGCGAGAGCAATACGCTTTCTTCTGAGGCCAATGTCCTCGCCAGCAATCTCCTCTAGCTGCTCATCAGACAAAGCACTGACAAATTGAGGTGAGAGAATCTTCAGAGGATTGTTGGGTCCAGTGACCAGCAAGTAGTCTGCAGCCTGCATGCAAATGTTGTCGACAAATCTCTTTCTGGCGACCTTGTAGTAGGCCTTGAGAATGTCATGTACTTCGAAAACAGTGTGCTGGGCATTCGACATGGGATGGTTCTGCACGATATCGTCGAGCGCAATCGTGCTACGAGGAACACTATGACCGTTGGTCTGGAAGGTGGCGTGCTTTTCGAGAGAGGCGCGGAGACGCTTTTGACGACTATAATGTTGGCAGGTCAGCAAGAGTTTCCTCATCTAGATAAGGCAAGTTAGCATGACTCACGACTTCTCCAGGTTATCGTTGAAGTAATGGTTGATTGTCTGAGGATTGCTGTGCTCAACGCGCAGGACGAACTGGACTTGTTCGAGGGCACGGCGGTAGATATTGAGAAGAGGCTCCATGAGGACAGACATGATGCCCTCCCTGACTCTTGCAGTGGGACAGACGTGTCTGAGAAGGGTTGTCACAAAGCGGTGTGCGAGATGAATGACATCCAGGATGTACCCATGGGCGAGGGGCTCCCACTTCTCTGATTGAGCCTTCATAGTTCTGGATAGCAGGTTCTTGTCGAAGGTTCCTAGCTCAAAGCCACGGCTGCCCTTGTAAAGCTCCGACAACCACTCAATGATGTTGCTGCAGATCTTGTCTAGAGAAAGCGCGCTTGAAGCAACAACACATCTTCCCAGTGTGAAAGACAGTCATGGCGTAGCTGTAGAAATGCATAATACTTTTATGACAATTGTGATTTTCGCAGGGAGGCCTCATCCAAGGCTATCTCGATGGGCAGCCTCATATTCTAGTTGCAACTATGCATTTCAGTAAGCTCATGATAACTCTCAATCTCGGGATGGTGGATTCAAAGTCGAGGAAAGAGCTAAGAACACTTTGTAGCTTCTGTCTCCTGTGTGGAAAAGCATATAACGCGTGTGCCTATGGAGATGCATAATACTACCAGGAGACAGGATAACACCCTGAGAGACCATGAATTACCAGCTCTCTGTGGACATTCCTCTGCCACTATAGACCGTTGTGCCTTTTTACAGTAAACATTCTGCTGATTCTTACAGTTGGAGACTTGGAGTATAGTGTCGGACGGAGGTGTTTTGCTTTCTCCAATTGTGACAAGGTCATATTAGATTTGCAATCAGTTCCTAGCTGTGTTCGCTGAGCAGAGAGATCAATTCAAAGCCACTACTCGTGTTTGTATGTGCAGTGATGCCCGATGGTTGTATCTCTCTATGCGAGCTGAAGCTTGGAGAGATGGCATTCTCGGTCCGATATTGCATATCTCTTCTGTCGTCCGACCTTTAACCGAAGCCTGAGTCGACGTTACGCGCCCCAGCACTCGTGCTATCAGACGCCCATCATAAGATATGATCACTCACAGTACTTGATCGTGTTTCAAAAGAGCTGGAAAATGACCTGTCAACATCAGCGAATACGGGTCATCGAAAGGGGCACGAGATGCATCGATCCGCCGAGCACACATCATCACACCGGATAGCGACATCTGCATGCATCACGGCCTGACAGCCAGCAAGGACTAAGACACATACCGGGCGACACATATGTGTCACTTAGATAACTTTGTCAAGGCATAGCACCAGCTGTGTTGCATGTGGCGTGGCCAACAGATCTCGATGCATTTGGTATTGGGCAGCGGGCATGTGCCTAAAAACTCAACTCAGACCGAACATGGCCAACGTGGTCTCGTATCTAAGGACACTTTCAACCTTGCGGCATGTCTGTAACCGTCGGACATGGCGTGTTCTAACTGTATCGATACCCCTCCGAAGCTATAGGTCAGGATTCGTGTTTTACCCCTCTTTCATGCAAACAGGCCCGAAGGTGAAGCTGTCTGATCTATAGCTACGCTACATCTTGAGAGCACACATAGAACTCGGTTAAGCAGTTCTGATACAGAGAACTGACTGGACATTTAAGAAAGCATATCTTCTTTGAATAGAATGGGTATTGCCGTGACACTGCACGATGGCTGTCAGCAGCTGGGAATTGTTAGAGGTCGATAATGTCATGCAAGAAGAGGTAAAGGCATTAATCCTTCTACGGAACCAAGCATATGGCAAACAGAATTGGGCAAGTACGCTGCCTTGGCTGCCTTCGCTTGTATTTCGGCTATTCCTTCCTACCATTTCGAGAAGCACACCCTTCTCACTCTCACATGGCATGCTTCCTCTTCGTCTCGTCAATTTTCGTTTCTACGCAGCCAACGTTTTGAATTTTCTGCTTCGTTCGCTATGGGTTCAAGCGCATCTGAAGAAGATGATAACTGTCTCTGCTGCAGAATCTGTCGATTCCAGGGAGGCTTGGACCTTCCCACTCCAACTATCACCGACCTTGAAGACCTGCGCATTCAGTCACAGACTCTCTCAATCAGCATTTTCAGACACTGGGTCTTGCTCAACAAGATACTAAAGCGTTTCGAGGCTCAGATCCAGAAGCGATGGACAAAGCGCAACAACCATCAGAGACTTGCAGTTCTGCTACAAGCCTGGCCACACATGGCAGCTACTCATCGCCCTGAATTTGCGACTTTGCGTAAGATCAGTATGAACAACAACAAGCGTCGCCCCAACCAAGCCAGAGAGAAGGAGACTTATCTTTGGCCATTCATCAACCAGGAGGATCTGGTTCAGGCTCACAACCTTCTGGTCTTTCTCAACTCTCGCGGACGCCATCTGCCTGACAAGTTTGCCTTCGGCGATCAACACCAAGCAAGCATTGGCAAGCCATGTGGCACGAGCGAAGTCGATAAGTACAAGATGTCGCTTCACGGACAGAAGTCGCCCAAGACTTATGGTTCGCTCGCCCTTCGTGACACAGGAGACGAAGTTCAGCAACAACTGAGACTGGAGCCTGCTGCCGGTCTTCAGGTCCTTGAGGTTCAAGAACGCATTCTTGATTTCCTCGTCAAGTGTTGTCAACTTATCTTACATGATATGGACCTCACTCGGCTAAACCTTGTTGAGAGCAAGCCTGCTCCGCCCCTGATCAACCCCGCCTTGCCTGTACACACCATTACTGCCATGGCTCAACTTGCACCATATCGCCTGCCACAGAAGCTTGATCTGAACAGACTAATGGTGCTTGTTGCGGCAAGGCGTGAGGAGGCCGAGGAGCATGTTTGGGCTTTGCGTGAGGACCCGGGCTATTTCGCACAGACCATGAGGGAATGGTCAGAAAATTCACCCTTGAGGATTCCTGACAAGTTCAAGAAAGTTCACATCATGGTTGGTGAGCCTGCATTCTGGGACAAAGTGGCTACCAACATGATCTTCCACGCTTACAGCTGCCTGATCTACTTCGCTACCGTTGAGGACGCTCTGAATATGGCTCAAAAACGCCTCGACAGCTGCCGCCACGAACTCGAGATGTCCACTAGCCTCCCACACGAGGTTGAAATCTGGTTCCAGAGACTAGATTGTCTCGTCCAAGTCGTGGCCGAGGAGCCCCTTCGTGACCTGACATTCGGGTTCCCTGCGTCACCACCTATGCGTTATGGTTATGAACGGGCGGGCTCTGATTTGAGCCCCACGTTCGACACATTGAAGATGAAGATGGGCAGACTGAGTACAGGATGGAGGGTTCAGGTGCTTTTCAGAACTTTGCTGAGTCTTGAGCAGCAAAAGAAGGTGAACAAAAGCTTTCTATTTCCTAGTCAAGACTCTGTACTAACAACCTTAGCATGGCTTGAACAACACAGTCGAGGAGATTCAGAGAATGTTAGACGAGCACAGCAAGGACAGCGATCTCATCACTGGTTGGGTGGCCAGCAGATTCTCCGATCTGGCACTCTTGTCAGAAGCCAGACGACAGCTTGGCCTTTTCCAGCCATGGTGTACTGCTTGGCGAACCAAGTCTTTCATCGAGGAAGACACTCCCTACTTCTTCAGCATGGTTGAGACTGTACACGAATTTACTTCATGCGCTGTTCTTGATACAGCTGATCCTGCATTGTATGCATACCCTTCCGACAAACGCAGAACACGCGAAACTGTCGCACAGATGCGTCTCGCCGAGAAGCGTTTGGACAAGTTCTGGGCCATTGTGGACAACCACTGCGAAGTGCACACATCATATTCAACGCCCCAACTCCTCATGGTAAGAGTCAAAAGAGTTCCCGACTGTAGAAGTATCTGTATTGACTTGTCTAAAGGACTTTTTCAACGATTGGAACCGAAAGATCCACAGAACCAAGCGTTGGGTCGAACCGAAGGAGAGTGATTGCAGTCCCAATCAACAACCCGAGGATGAAAAGGATGAGGAACTGTGAGTGGCTTGTCAACAAGAAATGTTTCGCGATACTGACTGAGCTCAGCGGACTGCCTCTGCACGTCTTCGATCCCAATGCACGCTGTTCTCACCCCAAGAAGAGTGAGCTGCTAGGAGGCGTCACTCCACTGAAGTCCAAAGCCAAGACTAGACCAGATGGTCACACACCTTCTCCGATGCAGGAGACACGCAGAGATTCGGCAACAAGCACCGACGACAAGAACGAGACCGAGGTGAAAAAGATCAAGGTTAACAAACGAGCTTTCAAGGTCTTTTCTACTATGTTCCATGTACCTTCGGCCACTGAGCAGCAAAACACTGGAGAAGTTGCCTGGACTGAATTTTTGTACTCGATGAAGACGATTGGTTTCTCTGTTGAAAAGCTGTACGGATCTAGCTGGCAGTTCACACCCGACACGATTGATCTACAGAGAAGCATCCAGTTCCATGAACCACATCCTCGCGCCAAGATGTGGTACTGGCTTTCGAAGTCGTACGGTAGAAGACTGAACAGGTACGTGATAGCATCGAGTGCTAAAGGCAACATACTGATGAGGTTGACAGAGCCTATGGCTGGACTGGAGGAACGTTCGACTTGGAGTAAATGGACCTGGGTCCCACTGGTCAAGTGAAAGCATCTGCTTTGTTCAGATGAGAGTTTGTCACAAACGAAAGTAGATTCAGAGAAGGAGGAGGATGAGTGTGGAGAAGGCTGAGCATTGGCATGTCGACCGAGTCATCGATGGCTGTGTGACGACAGCAAAGCGGTGGCTTGTAGGCTGTGTAGGTCGTTGGTGAGCTCGGATACTTCAGTGATTCGCCAAGCATAGCACGTTCGTAATCATGGCTAGAGAAAAGGAAATACAAGGCAACAATTTAGATCAATCTCTGCTCGCACAAAATCCGAGACAAGAAGAAGTTGGGATTGAAGACGACGATGTGATGCGTATACCGAAGGCTTGGCGTCCGGATTTAGGAGCACGGAGAAGGGGCTGACGCAGCCCGGAGCAGCTGCGCCTTCCAATGATGATGGACTAACAAGAATATTTGGTCAGGCCATTCGCCGCTTGAGGACATCCTAAACATCGTATTGGATATCATGTTGGACGAGAACCTCCCCGCCTTTTTCTATCGAAACTCGCCTGACGGCATAGCACACCACAAAGGCATCTTCTTTTCTATTCGCGGATCCGATCCAAGCCCCGCATACAGCTTGAGGCACGGCGACCCCGCCACCTCGCGCAATTGCTATGCTGCCGGTCTGTTCGACTGTTACAATCCCGAAGTCTTATATGGAGAAGTCCTGATCAAGCCGCAATGGACTCACCCTTCTTTGTCACAAGAGGAGATTCGACTCAATGGCGGTGTACCACCTCCGCCGTCGCCCATCCTGCCCACTCAATTCACTGTGCAGTTGTACAACCCTGACCTACAAGTAGTAGTGACTCAGAAGCCTGGTAGTTGGGGAGGTAGTGCCTCGTATGAGTTTAGCTTGCCTCAGCTCGTCTTTCGCACACCATCGGCTTCAACTCTGGACCGGACTCAAGATGACCCTGCTGCCTCGTCGGTCACGCCCAAACTCAACTTTGTGTGGCGCAAGGAAAGCAAACTCTCCAAGGACCTCACGGCCTACATGACTGGCAAGTCGACTGATGAGGTTGTCAAGAAGAAGCACCGAGACCCAGACATCATTGTCGGTCTGTTCCGCGCTCTCCGCGAGTTGACCGTCTACGAGCCGAACCTCTATCGTGTCGAGTTGGAGGATCCCAAGGGCCTTGAGCTGGTACTGCTACTTTCTGCCGCTGTCATCAAAGACCTCTACTTCGCCAATGACATCAACCAAATCTTTAACGTCTCCGATCCTTGTCGTCTTGCTTCCCTACCCACCGTGGCCTCGCCTTCTCCTCTAGCCGCCAATGCCGATCGGCGCAAGTCTTTGCCTCGCCTACGAACTAGTCCATCTGGAGCTGCCACAACTCAACGTCCTCCACTCGCAGGCGTTGGTACCGCTTCCGCCCCCGACCCTCGAACACAATGGGAACTAGATGCTGAAACTGCTCGTTTGCGCGCCCAAGTTGAGGCTGAAGAAAGAGAAATGAAGAGACAGGAAGCCGCTCGTCGTCGGGAAAGAGAAAAGGCAGATGAAGCAGAGACCCGACGTCTACGAAAGATGGTGGAGGAAGAAGAGCGCGAAGCCCGTCGTCGGCAGGAAGAGGTCGATCGCGAGACAGAAAGATTACGGAAACAATACCGTCTCCAGCCACCTTCGCCAGTAAACAACCAGCACAGGCATTCTGCACCTTCGTTACCTATTCAGCAACAAGCTGGACCTTCGCGCGCTGTGCCTGTGGCTCCTAATTATGGCAGCAATGGGATGATCATGAGTGGAGGCAATCCGCATATACCTCCTGTCGCTGCACCACCAAAGATGAAGAAGAAGAGCTTCTGGGGATTACGGAGCAACAGCGATCAAGGCAATTCGAGTAACAACAAACTGAGTAAGAAGAGCAGTGCTGTTTGGTGATGATTCTATCTGCATCCAGAAACCAGAATAAAGTACGTTCTACATACGCCACCACAAAGCGGTCTCAGATCCAGCTCGGAGCCGAACATCGAGTTGCACAGCACGGCAGCACAGACTGATGTGGCTCTGCAAATGGTTTTCTGATCAAAGTCCCGCCGAAATCACCAACAGCCTTCTCGAGATGAGCATGATAGTTCACTGAAGTCGATGTTTCATCACGGCTGCATTTACGCAAGAGGAGGCATAGTCTTTCTTGCTCTCAGAGGTGTTGTCGCAGAGGTGACTGTAGTAGCGATGTTGGGTCAACATTCAGTGCCTGATTTTTGCTCTCGAGAACCGAATTGGCGTGAGCATTGATATGCTTGGCAGATTTAGTGATCTCTCGAGAGACGGGAACAGAGCGCTTCTCCATGGCCTGACCATTTGTTGCAGAGATTGCCAGTGTAGTATCCTACTGGCATGGTTAGAGTAACAAATTCAAGATGAATGGTTCGTGACTGTAGGCGGGGCAGAATGTACATACATACCTCCGTAGGATCAGAATGTGCAACTGAGGTTGACATCGAGTTCAGCGCAGAATGTACAGAGTTCGGACAGTACAGGTTCACGGTACGCAATCCCTTAACCGGCACCTAGTCCAGAATGCAGCATATCGGAGAAGGAGTGGAATTTGAGATCGCACGTTATACAGGCTATGTTCCTGTGTATTTTTGTTGTGCTGTTTTAAAGTGTCAGTCAGAGTTGTATAGGTCTCGAATTGCTACAGGCATCTCTCTAGGGGGCAGATGAAGTGGACTCTTAACGCGTGTCTTGTACACAGCTCTATAGTTCCAAAGGTTTCGTCGCAGTGGTTGCAGTAATCACACCACTTGAAGCTTCCGAAGCCACACTCTCAGAAACCATTCTTTTGCAGCAAAATGTTGATAGTATCAGAGTCGATTCAGAACTTTGGCAATTGTTGACTCGAAAATCTCTTGGGACTTGGTTATATGTTGAATGGGTGATTGCTTGGAGAGTGCTTCACAACATTCTTCCCGAAGGGAAGTTGCGACTCCTTCGGTAAAGAGACTCCCATGAACTTTGCTACATCTATAAACCCTACCTACCATGGCAAGCAATCGACTTCGAGCACGAAAGATCAAGACTCAACCACAGCGCAACCAAGAATAAAATTATTCATGCTGGATGATTGGAGGAAATTGATGAAACATTATAAACGACATCGCTAAACAAGCACTTTTCGACAAAATCCTGCTTTTCTTCGCTCAAATCATCACGGCTGACTTCTAGACTGCAACACTAGCTCTTCCCTTTCTCTGGAAGCCAGCGATTAAGAAGGCCAATTCAAGAGCCTGCTTCTCGTTCAATCTCGGATCACAGAAAGTTTCGTATCTGCTTCCCAAATCCTCGTCTTCCAGACCAACACTGCCACCTGTACACTCGGTAACGTCATCACCAGTCAACTCCAGATGCACACCACCCAGAACACTACCCAAAGCGCGGTGAATGCGCAATGAAGCTTCCAACTCGTTGAACACGGCGCCGAAAGATCTGGTCTTGATGCCTGTGGCGGTGGAACGAGTGTTTCCGTGCATGGGGTCACATTGCCAGACAACGATGTGGCCGCTCTCTCTGACGGCCTTGATGTGTGTGGGCAGTAGGTCTGCAACCTTGTCTTGACCGTAACGTGTGATTAGGGTAACCTTGCCGATCTCCTTGTCGGGGTTGACAACGTCGAGGAGCTCGCAGAGATCGGAGACAGAGGTTGTAGGACCGACCTTGATACCGATAGGGTTGATGATACCACGGAAGTACTCGATGTGGGCGTGGTCGGGCTGGCGTGTGCGGTCGCCTACCCATAGGAAGTGGGCTGAGGTATTGTAGTGGCCTGATTCGTCCTCCTCATCTTCTGAGTCGCTGTTATTGCTGCGAGTCTCAGCGGGGACTCCAGCACAAGCGGAGAACTTGTTGTTAGGGTGACGGAGCTTTCTGGTCATTGCGCTTTCGTACTCCAGAAGCAGACCTTCGTGGGAAGTGTAGAGATCGACAGTTTGTAGTTGTCCTGCTGTATCTGCACCAATTGTGCGCATGAAACGGAGCGACTCAGCAATTGAGTCGACGATCTTGTGGTAGCGCTCTGCAAGATCAGGATCTGATACATGACCCAGATTCCAGTCCAGAGGGTTGTGCAAGTCAGCGACACCAGAAGCCAGTTGAGCGCGAAGGTAATTCAGAGTGGCAGCAGAGTGGAAGTAAGCCTCAACGAGACGTCCAGGGTCAATCGCTCTTTCCTCAGCAGGGAAGCCATTCAGAATGTCACCACGGAAAGAAGGGATCTTCGTGCCATCGGGTTGAGTCTCCATTGGTGAAGATCTGGGTTTTGCGTACTGGCCTGCCATACGCGCGATACGGACCACGGGCTTGTTGGCACCGTAAACCAGTACTAGTGACATTTGCAAAAGCAGTTTTGTCTTGCTGTCGATAGAGCCAGCATTGCAGTACGAGAAAAGTTCGGCACAATCACCTCCCTGGAGCAAGAAAGACTTTCCAAGCGCGACATCTCGTAGCGAAGCACGTAGTTTCCAGATCTCATGAGCAGTGACGAGAGGAGGTAGATTGGTGAGTTTGGTCACGGCTTTGTTGACCGCAAGTTGGTCGTCGTAGACAACTTCTTGCTTGATGGGCTTTGAGCGCCAGGCTGTATATTTGTCAATTCATGAAAGGCCACTGAGGTGTTAGTGACTAACAGGTTGGCGTCCAGTCGTTGGTAGCTGCCATTGCGTAGATGTGAGGGCTTCTTAAAATACTGCTTATAGAGAATCAGTATGTGCGACAAGCAAAGAATCTGGAACGCTTAGAAAGACCAAGAAAAGCTTCTGTGATTTTCACTGCTTCCAGACCAAGCAGGCGACGAAGATGCAGGAAGATCACAAAAGACGTCTCTTGTTCAACATTGACGAAAACGCGTGACAATAAATTCCCGAAAAAGAATTTCAAACAGTGCGGATTTCAATGCCAGAGAAACAACGATACAAGGAGACAGCGAAAGCTTACCTCTTTTGGAAAAGATATCAGGCAACTATTGAGAAGCAACAGAATGAGTGACCCTCGAGGAAAGAGATGTAATAATCCTGTGAGTCAAAGGCAGGCGCGCAACACGGTCTGGCCACAGGGCGTGGTTTCAAAATTATTGATGACCTAGCTCCGTTAACCCCGTCTCACCCGCCGGTTGCCAAGCTTTGTGGTACTTCTATAGGCTACGTCACCCCGAGCCTGACAAAAACACCCGAGTGAACATCACCTTACTCTTGAACAAGAAACCAAATCGAATATGGCCGAACCACAACCTTCCAGGATCCAAGAGGGCGACCAAGCTCCTGCCGCTATCCCTGGCAGCAACAAGTCTGAGACGGCAGCTTTAAACTCTTTGGACAATCAATCCGCAGACTTGAAAACCACCAACACAGCTTCGACTGCAGCACTAGGAAAAGCGATGAAGAACTTGAGCATTGCGAGTGAGGACAAGGCAGAGGTCAAAAACGTCAAGGTCGAGATGGCAGATGTGGTACTATTGGTGAGTCTCAAGAGAGCCACCATTATTGATGAAAGGTGAATGAAATGCTAAAGAACTATATCCACAGGCTGAGAATCTGGACGTCTCGAGGGCCAGAGCTACGGAACTGCTAAAGGCCAATGATGCGGATCCAGTCAAGGCAATGCGGGCATGGATCGCGGCGTAAGCAGAGTCTAGTCCAATTACTAGCACTAAGTAAGGTCGAAACAGCGATGCAATAATGAACGAGACGAAGACACGAATCGCAAACACATAACTTTCTACTCCCGGATACAACTCACCGTGGGCTCGCAAGGCCATTCAAACTTTGCGAAAGACGTCGAATTCGAGAGAAGTTTGACACAAGTCAAAACTTGGTATCATAGGTATATGCGTGAAAGAAAGGACAACACCAAAACAATTGAAACAGAAACCGAACACCACCATTCCAGCCAATCCAACCCCATCATAGTCTCATAAAGTTACAGTAATTAATCTGCTCAGTCTCTTCCACCCATGAAGGTAAGGCGCCTGTTGTCCTCATCTCTGATCCTCAACTTCTTTACCCTATCCACAGGTGCAGTCATCTGACCAGCCTCCAGACCAGCCCCTTTTGATCCCAAAGTTGAAACTTCGAACTTTGCCGTTGGCTCATCGAAGAATGCATCCGCCATTTCCTCATCATCGTCCCAGGAATCTCTAGCTTGTTTGCGTCCGGGAGTCTTCTTGACTGGTGAGTCGTCGCCCCAGAAGCTCGATGCGAGAGACACTCTTGCAAGGCTCTTGTTGGCAAGAGCAAGGTTGATACTTTGTCTCGAACCAAGACTCTTCCTGTTGGCGCTGCTATTCGCACTACTCGTGTTGCTGTTGACGATGTTACCGTCCACATTCCTCAAGGCAGCAGGCTCCATAGACTTTCTTCTCCTGCGGCCGCCACGAGGTACCTCATCGAGATCGACAGTGTAGATGTCTGCTTGTTCATCAACGCGAGTGCCACTGCGCTCACAATCGGTTACCCAGCGAGAGTTGACGCAGAAGATCTTTTTGCCATTTGGATCTTTGTTGTTCAGGCGTACTCTTTGAAGTGTAGTGGGAGAGCCATCTTTGAAGATGACATGGGTAACGCGATCGGACCAGGACTTTGTCGTACGTGCACCTAAACCCTGGAGAAGGGCTATGAAAGGACCCGAGGCAGAGGAGCCGTCTAACGTAAAGACTTCAACCAATGCTGTGACGGATTTCAGTGGCTGCATGGGATGCGGCGTCATAGGGTAAACGGCTGGTGTTGCAAGTCCAGCGGCTTTGAGCGGTGTCTTCATTGGAGTCCGTGGCGCTTCACGAAGACGCTTCACCGGACTACGGCTGGCGTCGCGGAGCTTCATGGGACTTCGCATCTTCATTGGGCTACGACTGCTGCTACGAGTCTTCAAAGGGCTACGGCCGGCATTTCGCACTTTAAAAGAAGAGCTTGGCGTATGCCTTCTGGGCTTTGCACCGGAAAAGGGCACGTAAGGAGATCCCTGGTCGATTTGGAACTGGACGGCACTGGTACGACGCTGAGCTGGTGTAGAGTCACGCTTGCGTGTGCTCGATCTTTCTGCAGGGACGAACGAATGCAATTCGGCCAAGTCTGGAATCGTGTGTTCCAAAAGAGATTTTCTGACTGACGATTGTCGCTGCTTGCTAGCCCACAGCTTTGCGAACGAATCGCTGGTTGTCGGCTTGATGGAAGTTCCGGCAGTACGTGGTCGGACATCGCTGCTTACTGGGGTGTGAAAAGTAGCGACAGGGAGAGATTTGCGACGTGAATCAAAAGCAAAAGTTGATTTTGCGTAGCTTGGAGAAGTTTGCGAAGGTATGCTAGATCTTCGCTCACCGCGCACCTGTTCACTTCGTGTCAAAGCGCTCTTCGGCTGGTAAGATTGACGACGAGCGTTGTATCCTGGAGTTGATAGCTCCATTGGCTCAACGTCGATTGGCGTAGATTCAGCAGCGGGTGTCTTAACATCTACCTTGGCCGGAGAAACATGGTCGAAGTCGACGAGATTGAAGATGTCATCCTGAAGGAGACTCATACGCTCTTTTGGAAGTCCCATACTCAATCGTTCACGAGCAACAGGTGTTGCAAAGTATGGAGTGGGAATGGAAGCAGCATTCTCGAGATTGGAAGCTAACTTGACGCCATAATCGTCCTCTTCCAGGAGTGAAGGATTGATGGTCACGGTTTGATCAATCTCGGTCTCTGCGAAATCGTTTGCTGCCACAGAAGGACTGTCATCAGCTCCAGTGGAGTCGATACCACCAAGTGCAAACTGCATGCGAGGAGTTTGAAGCATTTTTGCTGTGGTGGTGGAGAAGGATACTCGCGATTTGACATTGGGAGTGGTTGCTTCTTGCTCGTCGATTATCGAAAGCAGGTCATTGTCATTCAGTGACAGTCTCGGTGCTGGAGCAATCTCTTGGGTGGGTGACTCGAGATCCCGCTGTATGACAGAGGAAGGGGTCGAAGGTGTAGGCGAAGAAAGAAGCTCAGAGTCTTCCAACTCGGTCTGAGGAGGGTCTGCAGCGATGGAGGCTGGTGATGAGGGTACAGAAGTAGTAAAGTCGGCCGAAAACAGTGGTTCGGGCAGGATACTATCGTCTAGCTGACTGTCCTCGACGGTGCTTTCTGAGTCGTCCGAGCCATCGTCTTCTGCGTGTGCTTCAGTAGGAACATATTCTGGTTCTTTCTTGTCATCAAAGTCGACCACTGTATCCTCATCAAGGTCATCGTCATCGTTTTCGTCATCGAGGGAACATCCAGCACCAGCAAGTTCATCCTCTGAGTCGCATGAAACATTCTCGAGATGGATGGTGTGGGCAGGTGTGGGCATGATGGTAATGTCTTGTTCTTGGAGGCGACTGAGTTGATCGTCGAGCTCGTCGGCGCTGGATTCTTCCAATTCTGTTTCTGATTCATCGTGGACATCTTCTTCAGTCATATCGACATCAGAGTCACGATCAGTGGTCTCTGGCTTTGGCGTATCTTGTTGCTTCAGAGGACGGAAAACCATTGACTTCTCTGTGCCTCTTGCGACAGTCATGGGGCGAGGAGGAGACGAGATGCGTGTGGCATTGTGTGGCAAGCGTTGTGTCTGAGGAGTGCCCTGATTCGTCCTGTGGCTGAGGAACCGGCGAGCAGGGGTCTGTAGTTTGCGAGCAGTCGTTGAGACGGTGGCTGTTCGTGGTGCAGCTTGACTTCTGGTAGTGCGTCGCATTGGTGTCTTGGGCCCACAGATCTCATCCTCGGAAGAGTCGTCGTCGTCATCTTCTACTTCTGCTTCCTCTTTAGCATCTTGCTCGGATTCCTCCGACTCCTTCTCGACGCCTTCTTCTTTGTGCGCTGTTGAAGCCAAGCTTGGCTCTGTCGCAGATTCAGACTCGGGCTCGTGTTCTGACTCAGGCTCAGGAACGCTTTTGGACTTGTTGGATCTCGTAGACTTTGATTTGGTAGGTGGAGGTGAAACAACTTGTTGTTCCTCTGCTGGTTGATCTTCTTCTACTTCTGCTTCCGCTTCTGGTTCGGGGTTCTGATCCGGCTCAGGTTCGACCTTCCTCGATCTCAAGACTTTCCCTCTAGCGACATCGGGAAGGGCAGGTTTTCGCCGGGTAGCAGGAACTCTTTGTGGAGCAGGGTCTGGTGGTGGAGCTGCGGCGGCTCGTGTCTGACGTTTTGGGCGGGTTGCTGGTGCTTTCTTTGGTGCAGCGGAAGCTGACGGCTTTTCGGGTGCGGTAGATGGCGAATCTTTCGTGGTGGTAGCAGCTGATGATTTTGTAGTGGAGGCCTTCGCAGTGGCACGACGGACAGGCTTCTTGCGCAAGGCCAACTGATTGTCGTTGTCGTTGTCGTTGGTGGAAGTCGGCGCCTTTTTGGCAGCCATAGCTCGTGTGGCGACCATGGCTGTCGCTTGTGTCGGAGTGGGATGCTGTGTGTTAGTAATGGACGAGATGGCGTGGTTTAAACCAAGCGCTGGAGTGTTTACTTTTGTACACAAACAATTCCCGTCGGCACCGCGATGCCCGTGCGCCGACCCTGTGGCTGGCCTAAACTCCGCCTTATTTCCTCCAGCACATCTACTCTTCCTCCAGGCAAGGAGCGGTGCACTGCTGCGCCTTCTCATACTGGCAGGATTTTGATCCTTCCTCTCGTAAAATGGATCTGGCTTCTTTTTCCTCCCTCTGCCAACGACCCATGGCTGTTCTTCGGATACCATGGCCACCTTCTCACAGCTACCACGCGAAGTACAGCAAGACATACTCGATCATCTGGTCCTCGATAAAAGACACCTGACAAAAAGCGATCGCAAAAACTTGTTTGCTCCCATGAGAGTCAATTCCTTCTGGTTCAATCATACCATTGACATCTTGTGGAACAGTCTCTATCAGTCAGAAATCTCGATACCATATCCCGATCAAGGATTAGAGGAAATCGTGTCAGGCGTAGTTCTTATGCTTAGGATTTGCAAATTTCCCATGATAGCAAGAAAAGTCTGAAAGATCTATCAATGAAAGGTCTTGATACAATGTCCCAGAAAAGGGTTGATGAGAGCTACATAAAGCTATGCCAATAAAAGAAGAAAAGCAGTGGACAGCAAACCAGCGCTGCGAAGAAGCTGCTGAACTCCAAACAAGCTGAAGATGAAAAACGCCAGATCCCTCTGCTGCCCCGAAAAGATAAAACTTGCTTGGTATCCCTGCCGATAGAAAACTAATACGCCATGTCTTGTCCACTACAACATAACGCCACGCGAGCCCTTTCCATGTTTCTCATTCGCCATTAATGATTCTGTCCTTTTCTCATCGTCTTTTCTTTCGAGATTTATTGTTCGGAGATAAGTGTTGGCGCGATCCTTCGTCTCTTGTCCCTGGATGAGTCTTCGCCGCCCTCGTTTTCACGCTTGATAGATGTAGACTCGTTTTCACGCTTTATAGATGCAGACGTAGAGGAAGTGACTCCAGCGCTGGTGGCCGGAGGACCAGCAGGAGGTACGCCAGGAGTCGCGGACACATACCCGGGTGTCTGTGGAGGCGTGTACATGGGCATGCCGCCATGCATAGTAATACCAGAGCTGGCGGCTGTAAGACTGGGTACACTGCTCATCTCAGGAGTATCGGCTGATTGTTCAGGAGCGGCCATACTGCCGGCAACACTGGCTGTAGACAAGCTTCTGGCGGGACTACCGGGCATTGTGAATGGGGATGGAGATGGTGCGCCATGGCCTTGAGATGATGGATTGCGCATTAGTTGAGGCATACTTGCTGCAATAGGTGTTGATGCAGGTGACGCAGCAGCGAGAGAGGGAGATCCGGCAGTGTTGATCGAAGATGGAATCTGGCGAGGAATGGGAGGATGCTGATACGAGACACCGAGTTCTCCAGGCTGGAAGTTTAAGCTGGAGCAGAACCCATCGGATGATGTTATGAGTAGTGTGTTGCCGTCGATCGACCTAAGATATAGTTAGCATGTCATGAAGATGTCTAAAGAGAGTGCTCGACTCACCAAGTCAGGTCAGTGAAGGTGGCATAGTGCAAGTTGCTGACGACACACAACGGCTTAGATTGCTGGGTATCGTAAACATGGACGGAATCTTGGGTAGCAACAGCATAAACTATGCGATATGGGAGATCAAAGACTGGTGGAGGACCGCTCAAAGGTGTGGGTGCAGTGGAACCGTCCTCGGTCCTGGGTGATGGGATAGGAGCTGGGTGTGCATGGCTTGGTGCTGGGGATGGCACGATCGGTGGCGGCTCCATGGAAGAAGTGGGTTTTGAAGGTACGACAGGCTCTGGTAGAAGAGGGATCTCATCGTCCATATGCGTGTCAATGGTGATATCGTTTGTCGGAACCGGAGAAGCACGGAGTGTGTAGAAGATGGGCGAACATTTGACAGCCAAAGAAGGCTTCTTGTGACCAGGCAATTTTGCGACGGGTGGCTTGTTCAGTCCGGCTCTTGTGTAGATATATGTCATGTTGACCACGTCGTCTGCCTTGCTCGGCTCTGTTGTAGGGCCGTGTGCTTCCTTGTGTTGACCGGCGGGCGTGAAGAGCAGACTACCATCGGGAGCGAATGTCAAGCGGCGGAAAAAGGATGTGAAGGTCTCGTTAGCGTACATGCCGGTGCTGCGAGAGGGCATGTTCAGGCCACCGCCGATGCTAGGTGATGCGGAGGGCATAACTGCGGGTAGAGGCATTGACGGACTGGGCGAGACCGAGCGACGCATAGACTGGTTTGAGACGGAGACAGAGCCAAAGGACGAGCGACGGCTGTGAGTGGTTTGCGGAGGATTCATGGGCAAGGCGAGCGACAGAGGCGTACCGGGCGCACTAGGAGCCGGAGACTCGTTGCCGACAAAGGATGCACGACCTCGGAAGTCTGGTGGAGCAGGACTACTTTGGCTCACGCGGCGGGCGGGCATATCCATCTTGCTGATCTTGTTGTGGTTGGTCAGGGTACATGAGCCGTCTTTGGTTTTGAGCGTGTAGACGTGGACGGAGCGGTCACTCGACTGGGTAGCGATATATTCGTTTAGGGGATCCCAGGCAACGCCCTGGACGTAGTGGTTGTGTTCTGCAACCTGGCGAATGACGGAGCCTGTCAAGTTGTCAGTCGTTTGTGGCAGAGCAGTCGAAGGAATGGAGCATACCTGTCTGGGCGTTGTAGATGCGAGCGACGTTGTCCATGCTGCCAGTGATAAAGTAGACGCCGTCTGGGGACCAGGCCAGATCATATATTTCCGATCCCGTCGAGCGACACATTGTCTTGGTTCGCCATGTTTCCTTGTCTTCCAGCCCGTCTTCTCCAAAATTTGTTGCGTGTAGAGCGGCGTTCTCGGCGGGCACCCAGAGCAGAATGTTTCCGTCATCTCCAGCCGAGGCGAGCATCTCACCTGGTCAATCGTCAGGTCTTGTGTGAAGTATGGAAGATGAAAGATAGGAAGAACCTTTGGGACACCATCGTACTACGTTGACGGCTTGGGTGTGTTTGGCGAGGGTCGACAAGTATGTCACGCTTCTGTCTTCTCCACTTCCCTCGATTTTCCAGAGCTGCCGACAGTCAGTGAAATTCGTGCTTGAGAGGGTTGATTTCGGCGTACTCTGACATTATTGTCGCCTCCGGCGGTTGCAAGGCGACCCTTGCCGTGGGGCTCAAAGTGAGCAGAGTAGATGGGCGTATTGTCGTTGTGCCATGACACCAGCAGAGGAGCTGCCTTCATCGTGGCCGGAGCAGGGTTGAACTCGCTGCTGAGATGGTGTGTACTGGTTGTGTAGCGATGAGAGTGTGGTGTGGGTGTTAAGCGGGGAGGTTCAGTGATTTCAGGGCGAGAATCGAGATTGGTAAGAAGTTGGATGCAGTCGTAGATGGATCATGTCGATACGACGGCGGACCAGCTTCACAACCTCCTTGTCAACTGCATCCTCCCGATCGATTGGCTTCGTGACCACTTTCCCGACCAAACATTCTGCATTGCTCACTACTCTACATTCAGCCTTGCTTCTTCATTCAGCGTTCCCATCCAACCATCCTTTGATTCTTCCCGGACCATCTTCTCACTTGCCAGGACTGCCCTGCCTTATTTGCTGCAACAAGAAATCCTCCGTCACCTCTGCCGCGTTCCAATCAAGTCCCCTTTGGGAATGGTCGCTGACTGTGCCAAGCATCCAATCCCGCTGACCTGTCACCACCACGAAGCCTTTCCTGTTTCGCTCTTTCCTCCTGCACTGTCTTGCTTGTCGATGTGTGCTTGCTTTTGGTGCAGAATGTCACTTCCTGTCACTCGTCTATCGGACAAGTTCGTTCAGCTTGATGACTTGTCATATCTGACTAGCTTACACCAGACTAATCGAGATGCTCTCTCCACCGACCTTGCAGCAAACGGTGAAGCTGCTGCAAACGTCCTTGACCATTCCCAATGCTTGATCTCCACAATCCACACTATTGCTTCATAGATCCCTGTCGTGATCTGTTCCACCGCCTTGGGACATCTGATATGGGTCATTGGTGTACAAGTCTGGTTGGACGTCGATCGTACAAGGCCAATTCGTCAAGCCCTATCATGGCCACTTTGACTTCTTCTCTTGTTCACTGTCCCAGAAAGTGCAAACCCAGCAAGCGCAGCCAACAGCGTAGTTCCCTTAAACACCGTCTCATATTGTTCCCATTTGATTGACTTCGTATATGGCTGTCGTGAAATCCTCAAGAAGGCGCCGCCCGTGATTGCAACGTAAACGCCAGCAAGCAAGTAATATCGGTAGTTGTGTAGACTCGTCTCGGCAGTATCTGGGCTGGACATGGCGTCCATCTATCGTAGAAAATAATGGTTGATATCGAGGCGCTGATATCGACTTGTCTACTTTAAATTCACCGATTGGAAAAAAAGTGTAAGCATCATGATGTTTGAAGTGGCTGAAGTACGGGGTCAGGGTTTGGAAGTATGATGATGCCGCCGGTTGCGCGTTCGCCGAGTATCGAATCAACTACCATATCAACTGATAGCGAGAGAGAAAAAAAACGGAAAGATACGCACAAAACGTTCAAACAGAGTACTTCACTGCACTTAGATCCGAATCTATTCACGAACTTCATTGGATGGTTCTTCTCTCAGAGCAAAATCATTACACCCTTCATCCTTGATTGAATGCGGCTACTCGTGTGTACATGGCATGGCAGATCACACAGCTGAAGCTGGAATAGATGACAACGGGAAGAGAATCAAATTAGTACACATTAATGAGCAAACCAGAGAGCTATCTGAAATACCACTATCAGAAAGTGACAAGCAACCTTCGTATGCTTGTTGTGAGCAGTTTCTCTTTTGTCCATAGATTTCTTCCGAACCATTTGTATGGGAGTCTTTATCTTCCTGTAAGATGTGTGTATTTTCCCATCCGTAAAGGTTTGCTTTCTCATCGTGCTAGAGAGTTAGACATGAGTCCAAGATCACCCTATTTATCATCTTCGAGATTGATGATGTCCCGAGACATGTTTTGCTTCGAGCTTGGAGTTCTTCTGTTTTCTTGAGTGCTATTGCTGGCGGTTTGATCGAGCACATCTGATGGCCGCTGATCTTGAGCTTCGTAGGCTTGTCTCTTGATACTGTTCAGAAAAAGTGAGCCAGAGTCAAAGGGGTCAGAGTATGAGTCATCAGAGCAAATGGCCCTTGCAGGGGTTGGAAGAGGATATCCGACCGCTGAGGGAGGGTTGAACACAAGATCCTCGGAAAACAGAGTCTTGTCCTCGTTGGTGGTCGGTATGGCATTGTCGGTAGAATTGCGAGCGCGTACTCTTTCTGATCTACGCAGCTCAGGTTTAGCAACGGATCCACGGTTGTTCGTACGATGTGGTGTTGGACGAGTCCTGCGCTTCTTAGGCGAGGTTAGGTCGGCATGAACCAGTGAATTCAATCTGGGAAGAGCGTCCTCATCATTGATGGAGACCATCTCAAGGAGTGAGGCTCCTCCGCTAGACTCGCGACTGGAAGAGCTTAGTAGCGAGCCGAATCGTGGGCGTCTTGTCGTGGAAGTGCGGGCAGATTTGTCGCCGTTGTGGCTGTTTGTGCCTGATGGTGAGACTCTGTTGTTGGAACTATGATGCTCGGTATTCCAAGCTCTCTCGCCCTCCCCATCGATACTCGTGATGCGTTCCTCGTAGGTATCGCGGAGTGGGGGTGAGTAATCGTCTGTGAACCTCTTTGATTTGACATCCGGACGAGCAGGTATGTCGTAATAGTTATCCTCATCTGGGTACGAGTTGAAACAGTCGGTATCTTGTACTTCTTCAAAATCAGAGTCTTTGAGAAGCGCAGGCATGGCTCTCGAAGTTGCAGTACTGAACATGCTTGAATGGATCCAGTCATCGAGCATGTCCCTCGCACCCTCGATCTTGATGGCAATCTCGTCATCCATTGTACCAGGATGGAGCTTGTTGGTGATGACACCTAGTAAACGGTCGATAAAATCACATAGGGCGCTGTCTCTGTAGAGGCCGGGGGGAAGTTCGCAGACAGCGGTTTGGACTTGACGTAGTTCGAGCAGACCGCGCAAGATGACTTCGATGTTAGATATGCCGTGGATCGACGAGCTGCGAAGAGAGAAGTCAGTCGTGTTTTGCCAGGGATATGGTCGCCATAGATGGCTTCGAGGCTCAACAAAGCGCATTTGCAGGCGGTTGAGACCGAAGCTACCATCGTGCTTCAGGAGCTTGACGAGGGCGCGAATCATGAAATGCGTATGCATAGCGTTGTGACGACTGTTCTTTTGCTCTGAGGCTGTCTCGGTTGCTGGGTAGATGCGAACCATAAGGCGCTTGATGCGCGAGAAGCTGAATGGATCGTCAGGACCCTCGAAGCGCTTAAAGCGAACCTGTGTAAAGTTTTCACGGTATTGGAGGCGCTGGCGACCTGAATTGAGAAACTCGATGCCACCGTCAGAGATACCCTCGTAGACGTTCAAGGCAAATGTACGCTCCTCGTACAACATGACCAGGATCTCCGAGGCAATCTGCTTGCAGAGAACCAGAGCATCACCAACAGCTAGAGCAGGTTTCTTCTTCTCTTTTGCAGTCTCCGATGTAGCAGCAGTGGCAGCAGTAGCAGCAGTAGCAGTAGCAACCGAAGCGGCACTGCCGGTTTGTTGTGTGTTAGGTTGCGGTGGTACGCTCGGGGGCGTCTGAGTTGCTGCATTCTGGATAATCTGCAGTATGTTCGCGGGCACGGGTTGGTTATTCTGGAGCATCTGAGTTACTACATTCTGGAGGGCCTGCAGCATGTGCGCGGGCACGTTCGGGTTGTTCTGGAGAACATGTGCCATGTGATGCAAGTTGGCTTGAAGAAAAGGCACGAGAAGTGCAGCAGGTGCGCCAGGTGCGACAGGTGCGACAGGTCTCGGTTTCTGAGGCTGAGTAAGTGTCTTGTAAGGCTCGATGATCTTATCCTTTGGCGGCAAGATGTAGCCGAAGATAGCACGGCGCAATTCCTTGGGTAAAGCGAGGAGAGGGGATGATCCATCAGCGGGTGGGATCATGGGGTTCGAAGATGCGTCTATGTCCATTGGAGTGGCCATGGTTGCTTCGGAAATGGCGACGTGCTCGAGGATTTGTTGTTGGATTTCAGTGGGCAGTCGCACGAGCTGCATGTTTATGCTAGATCTTGTTGACGACATCTCAATGGCGTAGTCAAGGCATCAGCAGTTAGGGTGTGTTTCGAAGGTGTGATGATGAGGATGATTGCGCAGGTTTTTAGTAAGGACTGATTTACATGGGCGCGTCAAGTGAAACAATCAGAGAGCCAGTGTGTGAAACAGAAGTGAGTGATACGTAATCAAGGTCCTATAGGCATGCCCTCGTGGTGTCTTGATCCGAGTGAGTCAACTGAATGGTAGGTAACTTTGAAGTCGACGGCTGCTGCCTCGAGGTGTTCTGTTGGCTTGAAGCTCAACACGAAGATGACTAGCTTCAGGTTGGCCACATGAGATGACCTTGACTGGAGTGGTTTGTCGGTCGGAAAAGACATGCGAGTCTTCAAGATACGGGGGTTCTCTGCTCTCGACTCTGGTCAGGGGTTTCGCGGTAGGTTCGTCAAAAATCGCCGACCTGCTGTGATCTCCCACATAGAGACCTGTATTCTCAAAACCTTCTGCATTGCGACAGCATGATATGGACTGGCCTTGACCCCTGCAGGGACCCCTAGATCATCTCTTCCAAGTGTCTACAGCATGCGCAGCTCCAGCAGTCTAATGAGCAGGCAAGTACGTGCTATCGACTTTGCTCGATGAAAGCCATGCTGTCAGCACGTACGGGCCGAACAGTGCTGGCGTCGGTGAGCACCTTGACGAGGTCGCATACATGAATTGTGGTTGGCTCAGTGAGCTGATTGACACTACACAATCTTCGAACTTGACATAGCGCACCATTGAGGGAACAGTCACTATATGGCAAGGGGCAGTGTTAACTTAAAATTCGTTTCATTCATGATATGATGTGGTATCAATGACTTATGGTCAAATCGTCAATCCTCTAATGAGCCGGATAACGGAAGAGTGAATCTTGTTAAGACACCCGCGTCGCTATCTATGCTGCGGTCCATACATGGACGGGAGCGCTCAGAGGGTCGCTATTGCGTGCGACATTGCTTGAAGAGCTGATGCAGAAGATTTAGTGGCCGACCGAGGGGCCCTGGGTGATGTTTCTGTCACCGTTACGAGCAGAGTTCTATTGATTGTCAGTCAGTACATGCGAGTATGCTGTGGCCGGAGACCGGCGGGTATGGGAATAAGCCTTACCTCAGACTCCTGGATGTCACCCTTCTCGAGGATCTGCTTGACGACCTCCTCCTCCTTGTGTGTTCCGAACTCGTTCTCAAGCTGGCTGTTCGAGGCGCCATCGAGGATGCCGGTGGTACCCTGCCTGTTCAGAGCAATGAAATTAGCCATGATTCGCGGGGTACTGGTGGGGCAGGTAGAGCTGAGCATGTCGACACGTACTTGTGGGTAACGAAGATCTTCCAGCCGCTGACGACCTGAGCGAGAGGAACAGACTTGTCGGCCTTCCAGTCACGGACGGCCTGGGCAGAGTCGACAAAGACAATGTAGTCGTCGTCGGCACCCTTGAAGTGGACCTTGACCTGAGCAGCGTTTCCTCTCATATTGACGGTTGTGTGGGTTGTAGTGGGTATGAAAGTTGGAAATTTAGCGTGAGCTTGTGAGTGGTTTGGTTTGTTGTTGAGTAGATGGAGTTGTGTGAGATGAAGGAAGGAAGAAAGAATGCTTTTGAAGACAACAGTGAGCCATTGAACACGCGACTTCCCTGACTTCATAGCTTCAGCACGGACCTCCATCACTACGTCACACGCACCGGTACCTGGCGGTGGGGTGTTTGACTATCAGACACCTTGAGACTTCTTATCCAACACGCTTTCGAGTGCTAAACACTGTTAAGTTGTTACTGTAAAAATGCACAATATCGTCCCTGAGGGAGTGCTGGCCAAGGAGACAATTGAACCACGAAGCATCTCACTGGACACACTTCTATCTGTGACACCACTGTGCCTCTCTATAGATGACAATAACATTGCGTAGTAGAGAGGAGATGAGTTTGTTTGGGCTTTCACGTGAATTTTAATGTCCATTCTCCAAAATTGAGCGTTCAATATCAACGTCTTCAATGTTCGGCGTCCTTTCCGACCAATGCCACTCTCTCTCCACATCTTTGGGCATAAACAAGCGATGGAAACAAACAGAAGCTTCACCACGCATTACTCCAATGGCTCTGGAACTCCTTGACACTGGTCATGGCCGATAAATCCATGATTGCTACTTGATACTCTTGTACCCAATGTTACCCATACTCGATGTGGTGAGGACGCCTGACTGTCCGGTTGCTGGAGCCATGAGCAATCAAGTTGAAGCTTCGATCTCGACGACCCTTTCTCCACATACGTAAACAGAATCAAGGTGTCTCCACCCGACCATAAAAATACCTTGCATCATCCTGCTCATTCGTCACCAACCCGAGACTTGCTGGTCAGATACCTCAAGAGTCTTGGTCTCTTCTTTTTTATCACATCAGATTCCACAGGCTTCGTCTCACCCTTCACCTCGCTCATCCCTGTGACGCCGACGTTGCCCGCAAGTGGTCGCAAGCTGTCCTTCCTGCCCAGTTCTTCCACGGTCTCAGCTTTGACCTCTGCCTCCGCTGATGTACGTGGCTGTCTCGTGCTATTGGCTCGCTTGATCTCGGGCGCCTTGTTTTCTGTAAAGAAGAAAGGCGATCGGGGTCGGTCTGTCATCGTCAATGTTCGCAACCCAAGCCTACGGCTACGCTTCGATTCTGGTCCTTGCAGTTCAAAGTCTTCGGGCAAGAATGCATCTGGCGCATTGTGGAAGTTGATAAGAGGTGGACGCTTCGGCTTGTTTGTGTCGGGTCGTGGCACTGGCTTGACCTTGACAAGCTTCTCCGATGCCTGATGGCTCTGGTGCACACTCGTATAGCTCATTGATCGTCTTGAGAAGTTGCTGGCAATACTTGCCATACTCAGCTTGCGAAGTAGGTCACTGGCCGTGTCCTTCAAAATGTTCTCAGGGCGCCTCGAGCCCATTCCTGGATATGGAATCGAGTCTTTCGTCCACACATCGAACAATGCAGCCTCTACCTTGATTCTCTCTGCTCGCATGGGTGCCAAGATAGGTACACCGCTGGCGGTGGGGAGTGATTTCGATCGTCCAGGAAGTGAGGAAGTGGAAGAGTTGTTAAGGTCATCTTTGGGAGCCGAGGTATGCATAATGATGACTTGATTGCTGTCCGTCATTGGTCCCAATGTGGCGGTGCGCTGGACTGAGAGTCGGCGGACAAAGCCTCTAGCTTTGCTATAAGCTTTGCCGAAACTGCGAATGTCCCTGGTAAGTGGTGATTGGAGGTCGATGGGAGTGCTATGACCTTCGGCAACATGCTGTGCTTCAACGGCGATGCGGCCAGCAAGACGATCTCTCCAGACATTTTCCTCGATGTGGGAACAAGCTCCCATAATCAGCTCGTACAGCTTGCCGGCACTTCCAAACACGACTTTCCAGGTAAATGGCGCTGTGTGGCATTGGAGACCTGGAGAAGTTAGCAAGTCTTTCGTCGGATGCATCAAGCAGCATACCTTTGCCGTTGTCGCTCTCCTCGATGCTGGTTGAGGCCAGGGAAGTACCGACCACAACCTTGTACCTGGCCGAGGAACGATCTGGCAGAGCCAGTAGCAGGCATGATTCATACAAGATACAGATCATGTAACAACCCTGAAAAGTGGTCTTGTTGCGATAAGCAATATAGAGAGTGCCGCAGAGTGACAATCTGCCCAGACGCTGGAAGAGCAGCTCACGTGGAACCTAACTCGATCAGCAAAGAATAGCGCAGAGGAGATCAGTTCTTACCTTGTCCGAGAAGCAGAGTCGATCTTGGAGAAGCCTGGAGTTCTCCATCAATCGAAGCTTGTCTGGATTATCCTTGGCATCATCGACGTTACGACACGTCTCGCCCAGACGGTAGAGAACGTCGTCCAGAACTGCATGTGATGTAGGGTCATCACAAGATGGTGTGACTCTGCAAAGGTCCTTGAAGAGGAGTTCATAGCGAGTAATCCGCTGAATAGGCTAGGTTTTGTTAGTTCAGGTCACCAGATGATCTCAATGTAAGTTTCACCTTGATAAGCAAGTCTTTGATGCTGAGTGCCTTTTTGCGATTCGCTTCTCGACTTTTGACAGGGTTGACAGAGGCCGAAAGTGTCTCGATAGCTTTGTCGTAGTCCCAGACAGAGAAGGATGACCTCTGAGTGAAATCAATATCATCATGTATCGATTCGCACCTCGCGCTGTACTCTTCATACAAGGCAAACCGCTTGATCTATGCTGTCGTCAGAACCGCTGTCAATGGAAGCCAGTGGAGTTTTACTAACATTCTTCGCGAAAATGCGACCAACATCAGCAGCTGTGGTCGGCGTACAAGTCAGGGATTGTGGCTCCTGACTTGGCGATTTGTGCGAGTCCAGCGAGTAGCGATGCGACCACCCAGTATGACTTGTTGCTAACGGAGCCCTTCGGACAGGCAGTGAATCCTCGCTATGCCATCTTACATGGTGAGGCTTGCGTTTGGGCGTTGATATTCCAGTGATCGCCTGGTCATGTTCTGAGAACGGTATAACTCGGTGGAGATTCTCTAGTAGCTCGGTGTGCAGTTGGAGTAGATTGGTGATGCTGCTTCGGGCTGAAGCACGAGTCTGCGCCCCTGAGAAAGGCGAGGTTGGAGGCAGGAATGTCAAGTATGCCTGCGATGGACGGATCAGTATACAGGTCTGTCTGTGAATCACACCAAGAACTTACGCTGCTTAGTGCCTTCAGGTCCGCAAGGTAGCTTTCCTCGGTCTTGATCAGCTCCTCGATCTTCTCTCGACGCTTCTTCGCTCTCTGACGAGCAGCATCATCAATCATGAGGCTCAAGGAAGGACGACCACTGTCAGTTGAGAATCGAGGATCTGGCTCGAACAAACCACTGCTTCCACGATAAAGCCTGGGATGACCAGACATTTTGCTGGCTGATCTCGATAAGGGGGCAATGCTTGCGCTTGCGACTGTCATGGTAGCTGACTTGACGGCGGTCACGAAGTTGGCAGATGAAGCCCACGATTCTGACTTGCGATGGCCCCTGACAGATGGCTCCGGTGAAATAACGACGGGCTGATTCGAGAAGAGGGCATCAAGCTTGGGACGGACCCGACTCTTGTATGAAGCTTTCTTCAGCTTTAATGTGTTCATCCACCTTGAGAAAGGTTGTTGGGATACCAGAGAAGATGTCCCAGTGTCATTTTGGGCATCTCGGGTCTCGACGTTGGGAACCGAGCTATCGTAGATGTCGGATTCAAGCAGAGCATGACCTTCTTCCCAACCACCTCTCTCTTCGTCGACAAAACCCAAAGCAGAGTTCAAAGCAGGTGTACCAAGGATTGGTTCTGACTCGGCCGGAGATGGCAGAGGTGTGACGACAGGTACGGGTCGGGAGACAGCAGGTGGCACGCTCACGGGACGAGATATATTGCTCGAGACAGGTGGACGATGGAGTGCGGTGGAATACGTTCCGTTCTCAAAGTCTGAGTAAGATGTTGACCGAAGCGGTGTGCCATGGCTTGAGGGTGAGCGCCAGGATGGACCACATACTGATACTGCAGAGGTCAAGGATCCGACCGAAAGCTGTCTTGAACGGCGATGATGAACGGTGCCTGTACTGCCCAACGATGACCATGATCTTTCGTGACTTCGTTGGTCGTAGGGAGAGCCCAGAGGACTCTGGGGCATTAGAGAAAGGACGTAAGCCATATCTAGGTATCGAAGATGCTTTGTTGTGTTGTACCGGGAACTAGTTGGATAAACGTTGTTACTGTTGATGAAGTGCTTGCTCTTCCAAAGGTGGATTTGACATCCGTCCAACGAAGAAAGTCGATCCAAATGCAGCCACCAAGACCAAGAACTGATTGTTGTGTTCAATCAGAGGGCATGACTCTCGACGGGCATGCGGCCTCTGGGCCAGATTGGCCGGGTTGAATGGAAATACGATAGATGAAAGATCAAGCAGGGGAAGCCTCAAAGATGTTGAGCTTCACGGCCACTCTTCGAAAGACCTGAGCAGGATCGCTCCTTCTCCCTTCCATTACACCTGACGCTTGACGCGAAGCCTGCAAAGGAATCGGACCAAAGAGGCTGTCACAAGAAGATCAGCGTCATTGCAGACGCCAATCGACGCCGCTTGCTTCTGCTCTCATGCGAAGATACGACATAGATTATAAAGAAGGAAAACAGACGAAGACAAGATGATATTCTACTTCCCTGCGGCGGATGCCTGCCGAGCACGCGTCCTTGCTTCACATCTGAAGCAGCACGAGCCATGGTTCTGTCAATTTCTTGACATTAAAGTACTGTATACACATTCCACCACCTCCAGGACTGTTTCCTTCGCATCGAGAGGCTGCTTGCATCAACAAGGTTATTGTTGTTGAAGGTTGAACAAGTCGCAGAGCAAACAGGATTTTGTAAAGAAACACCCTGGCTCCTTGGCTTCCTTCAACCTCGGTCGCTCATCTTCATCCAACGCTCCTCCTCTACTCCTGTTGTGACAAGCATCTCACACTCTTCCTGACATGTCATGAGATTTGGCTCTGTACTTTGGATCTGTCGGGAGATCATTACGGCAACGCCATGTCTGACTCCGAATCGCAGGTTCAAGCAAGGACAAACGGCAGTCGTTCCTTTGTGTCTCTATCGGCATGTTCCCGCAACACCGGCATGCTACCTCCGAACACACTGTACCACAGCAAACGAGCAAAACTTTCGCAATGCTGCATGACAAGCTGTCTTACCGTTCCCATGCTCAGACCGCGATGGCTCACGGTTGGCTGCTAGCATCATCGGAGCTGGCTAGCTTGGGCCCCTCTGTCACAGTGTCAGCTCGTTCATGGCCAGGCAGTATCAAGTGACATGGCTCCAAAATTGTAATCATGTATTCGAGATCACAGCCTTATTCTGTGCTCCCCCAGAGGACAAAAAGGAAATGCCTGAAAATATGTCAAGTACAAAGGTAGGCAACAACCAAGAGCAGAACGATATATTTCTCGCAAAGCATCCATCTGCCAGTTGAAACACCAACTAGCAAAATACAACAATACCCCAGAGCAAACGCCACAATGCAACTCGCCTTTCTGACCTTCCTCCTGGCTTCTCTTCTTGCCGTCTGCAATGCCTCTCCTACACCACTGTCTCCAGCTCTCAGTACGCGCCCACAAGACCGATACTTATCTGTCAGACAAGCCGGCTGTAACCAAACACTATGCGATCAATGCCGGGAAGATGCCGGATGCACTGCTGGAACCCCTGCTTGGTAAACTTTCATTGAAAGAGCGCAAGAGCGTTCAACTGCTGACATGAGATCGAAGCTTCGACTGCGATACCTCGCCATACTGTGAATGTGACGTTTGAAGGGTTTCGAATAATGGGCCTGAGTTATGTCGCCAACGGCCTAGCTTTTCGTTCACCATTTGCACAAAACTCGTCTTGAGAAAGGATGTCATCTTGCGAATTCTATTGCGTCTGCATGCCTGACTACTGATGACTGCAATGAGTTTAGCTAGTCTACCTTGGATATCAAATTATATTGCAATCACAACTTTGGTCCTCTATCTCTTCCATGCATGTATACTCAAGCCTTTGTGCATACACCAATGATTCACTAAAGCAAACCAACAGCAGTCCGAGAATAGTACAAGTCACGAGAGCGACCCTGGTCGCCTGCGATGAGTGAGCTTGAGGTGCAACGATGGGGACAGTACATGGCTCAAACTTTGTCTTCTCGTTCTCGTTTCTCGTTGCTGGTTCCTGCTGTACTATTATGCATTGACACAAAGAGAACATAAAGGTGGTAACCTTCGAACCGATTTTTCAAGGAACTTGATCTCGTCGGTTCCCCTTAAACACCTTTTGTGTGAATACAAGTGCATAGATCCATGGCTTGTAACATCACCAAGAAAGACTTTACTCATGATAAGGTTGAATGATCAAGTGGATAATATGTTTGAACATGATATTATTATTCGTAACCAAAGATCTTGTATACTACAAAACCCAAACTATCTTTTATCTAACAACAAACAAAACTCCTTGCCAGAAGAAGGGGTATGGTAACAACGTCTAACCCACAACACTCCAAACAAAACAAAAGCACCAATCATAATCTACATGACCATCATGATAGCAGCGACAGCGGACATTGCAAATGCCAATGAAGGCACAGCGCCCTTGGAGCCACTGTTCTTGAAGGTGAGCACCTCATCCTTGGAGAGCTTGAATGCAGGCTCGTAGGTGGTGTTGACGGTCGAGTCGACAGTGCCGTCCCAGCAGTAGCGCTGGAAGCACTGGTTGCAGACTTCAGGGACCTCGGTGTTGGTGCGATCGAGCGAGCGGCTGAGGATGGCGCAGCCGACACAAGTGGGCCATTGAGCGTCGAGGGTGCTGTTGCCCTGAGTGACAGCATCGTAGCCGTTCTCGATGATGTAGTCACGCTGGGTGTCGTTGTACTGCAGGTCGAAGGTGCTGACGTTACTTGCGTAGACGTAAGGAGCATTGGGAAGGTAGACGATCAGAGGAGTCATATGGGTGGTGTTGCTAGCGTTGCAGCCAAAGAAGGTTGGGCGGTAGTTCAGACCAAGGTTGACAAAGGTCTGCTGGTCAGGGATGGAGGGGAAGGAAGTGCCGTTGGAGATGGGCAAGAAGGTACGTTCGTAGGTAGCGACGAGAGAAGTACCGTTAGGCCAGTTGGCGGCGCCATTGTCAGCGGTAGTATCGGCAGACGAATCGATTGCGAAGATAACATCGACGTGTCTCTCAGGTTGAATGAGAGGGTGGAGAGGGATGTTCTGTCCATCTTCACCACCATCAACAAGAGTGAGCTGGTCGGTGTCGGCGATACGGCTGGTCGCGTTGTTGTAGCCAAAGAAGGGGTTGGGGTAGTTAGCAATGTCTTCGTTGTCCTGACCAATGTCGGCCAAGATAGCAGTAAGTGCCTGGTTGATCAGACCAGTGGAACCGTTGACTTTGAGGAAAGCCTCGTTGAAAAGAGAGCTGGATGTGCCCATCATGTAACCAGCGTTATCAAACCCACGTACACACTGCATGTCTCCTTGTACGACCACACCATCGGAGAAGTTTGATCCGAGATAGCGAATGGGGGCGAATGCAAAAGTGGTCGGATCGAAGGTACCAAGCTCCCAAGGGTTGATTTCGTAGATAGTAGCATTACCACCGACAACAAGCTGGCCTCTGGCACGACCATCAGTGACGAGGATGGGCATAGGAGTATCGCCAGCTCTGTATTGATCAGAATCGGCAATGGATGAGAAGGTGTAAGCAGGACCTCCCATGCTAGCGTTGATCAACTGGTAAGAAAGAGCACGGCCCCAGTAGTCGGTAATGGATGTTTCATAACCAGCATCTTTCTTGCCTTGAACAGTGTCGTAGATGTCATGGAGATATTCAGCCGTGTTCAGAATCGAGAGGCCACTTTCTTCAGGACCCTCGAAGATGGTTTGTTCAAACTGCCATGTGCCTCCGCTGTTGCTGGCGGGAGTGTCCTGGCTCAAGATGCTCTCGACAGAGGTAAAGTTGTTCATGAACAAACTTCCAACCAACCACGAACCACCTGAAAGACCAGCGAGATAAGTGGAGGCCTGGAGGAGACCACCGAGTTGACCTGCTCCAGTAGAGTTGGTAGTGCGGTTGTCGAAGGCGGCCACAGCACCAGCGTAGTTCATCATGGCGCGGTAACCACCGCCTGATCCAGCAATAGCAATATTGGGAAGAGCGCTAACATTGTTTGCCGCGCTATCAATGTATGAGTTTGTGTCAAATCCAGTAATGTTCATGCGACCAAGCAAGTCTCTCATAGCGGAAACGGTGTTGTTTCTTCGTACGTAGAGCCATTCAGTCTCGTTGTTGGAGATCGTAGATGCATCGCGGATGACAGGGCGATCTGAAGGGCAGTCGACGTGTGTAGGGATATAGCCATCGGGAGCTTCAGGTGCTGCACGCCTGTCGAGAGCGATGAGCGGGGCAGCAAGAGCCTCTGCAGCGGCCTCTTTGAGAGAGGGGTTACGGATAACAACAACATCGGCGGCCGAAGCTTCAGGGAGGAGGGCGGCGACCGACACCAGGCCGGCCAATGCTGTTTGAGCCTTCATCCTGGTATTAGAATATAGTTGTAGAATGCAATTAAAGAATTGGTAGGCATGCAGAGCTCGGGGCAAACAAAAGATATATCGAGTTTGCCGGCTCCCACGGAAACGGAGCCAGTAAGTGACGTCGATACGCTAAAGGCTATTACAGTTTCATGCAGGACCCAACACACCTTGGCGCATTCGCTTTTCTCATTTTACTGTCGCGTGTGCATACGCTCGAATACGCTCTCTTGGCTACTCCTGATATTACAGGGTATCGCGCATATAATGTATCAGCTATATGCGACGCGTACATAGATTTGCAGACTTCGACGTCCAGCTGATAGTCGTCGAAACACCAATCATGCCCAAAATATCTTTTCTCGAGCACAAGATCAAAGATCCATCGCCTGAGTCGATCTTCCGTGTAATCGGTTGCCGCGGAGGGGAACCCTGCAGATCAGATTTGCCAAGTCGGCTACAGGACAGTATCATCCAGCGTTTTAAGGTCTGTTTCGTTAGGGTGTGGCGTCGGCTCGGCACCAACGCCACTGCTCCCCAGCTGCGGCACCTCTATCCATCTTTTGTCTTTTTACAGTCGAATATCGTCATCCTGAGCGATGTGCACCATGACATCTCTTTCGGATCTTGACACTTCCAGCCTCCACCTTCTCTTTCTTGATCAAACTACGTACTTTGCTCAGCCATGCTCTCGGATGCTGATGGATAAACTTCTTCTCGGGCTTCTTTGCAGCCGAGGGCTGTGCAAATCCTGGGTTGCCGCGCACAACTACTAGCAGGCAAGGGAGGGCTCGATAGAACTGCCGCTTATTGACCGACATTAACGGGCATCGATCCTTTTCGTCTTCGTATTGCTTACGAGGTAGGTATGCGTATCTGGGATATCGTCGCCTTGGCTTGTCAGGTTGTTAGATCCTTCGCCCTCCGCGGGACGCCTAATAGCTGTAAGTCAGTCAGGTATTATTCAGCTTGTTGCGACTGTGCTACAGGACTTAGAAGAGCGGATTTAGTTGCTAGCTCCGATTATTGCTGCGCGGACATGAAAGTGACGGTGACGACGAGATCTGCCAAAATGGTCAAAAAGTCACCTTGGTGGCACCGTGGAACAATAGCACGATGACGAAGAAACACTCTGTATTGAAGATAGCAAATCGCACGCCCCATTCACACCAAGAAGAATCCCAATCTGCTCTGATAGCGCCACAATAACGATGCCCTTGAACTCCAAAATGTCATGTCATCCTCGTTTCCTTCCCTAAGCACTGACAGCCCTGTTCATTGTGCGTCTTCTGGGCAACTGCACCTCTTCCACCTCACTCTCATCACTGAAGCCGCCCCATGGCAATTCAACATCACTCTCCTCATCAATTCCATCAAGACCCAACGGATGACGTTGTACTTCCTTGACCCCCCGAGCTCTCTGTGCCAACTCATCAACATCAATACCCAGACTCTGCAACGTTTCTTCCACTTGCTCGTCATCCATCTCTTGAAGTCTCTGTTCGCCATCTGTGTCTGCGGCGGGTGACATCTGGCCCTCGAGAACGTCGTAGAGAGCATAGATCTGATCGCTACGGCGTTCAATCTCAGCCATCAGAGCGTCCATCTTCTGTTTCACAGCAAGGCGCTTGCGGCGACCTAGAGCAGGATCGTGTCTGTTGTACATCTTCTCGTAACTCTGAAGTTGGAGTTTGAGGTGTTTGACCTCGTCTTCGAGTTGCTTCAGGACGGTTGCCAGCGCAACAGGTGGAGGTCGAGAAGGTCGAATAGTTGCGTTCGTGTCATCTATATTGCGCTCAGAGACAGGGATAGGCTGAGGAATTGTGACTTCCTTGTCTTGCAAATCCTGAGACGGACAGGCGGTGCAGTTCAAGTTGTCATGAGAGACATCACCGACTGCGCTTGCCATGGTAGCTTCGGCTCCCGGACCAGCATGGAGAGTGATATCGGGCAGAATAAAGGCAGAGGTCATTTCCTCGATACTCTTACTGCGGTTCCTTCGGCGTGATGAAGTACTCACAAACGATGCCTCAACCGACTCTCTTGGCTCAGAGTATGAGATGGCATCGGAAGCGTGAGGCGATTGGATACGCACGTTCTTGAGAAGGCCAGTGTTCTCATCGACCTGAGATCTGATCGTGAAACGTCCTGTGTCGTGATTGGTTACATCTCTGAGAGAAGATTTGCGAGGTACAGCAGTCATATTTGTGGAAGTCGCATTCTCCTGTGTTTGGTGTGCAGATACAGCACGCGCCGTCTTCGAAGCACGGCGTTCTTCCTCAAGGGTTTTTCGCAGCTTTGCCAATTCTCTAGGATCAAGGAAGCTCAGGTAGGTGATATCTCTGGAGTCTTCGTCGTTTTCCACGAGTCCATCTCTGACAGGTCTAGAGAAGTCCAGGTTGGTCGTCGATTCAACGTCGCTAATGTCGACGACGCGTTGAGGCTTCGAGGTGTTCTGACGAGTATTGGATTTGGAACGAGAGCGAGAGCGAAGATTGGCAGGTGCAGCAGCAGAGCGTGATCTCTTGATCTCATTCTCGATGCTATCCAAGATATTGTGCTTCGTGTCCTGGCCAAGTCTTCCGCTGGATTTGGGCTTGCTTGCAGGCTGTTCGTTTTCCTGAGTAGAGCGTGACTTGGACGACTTGGACTTGCGATCCTGAACAGGCTGTCTCACATCAGACTCGCGTGAGTTCCACTGCTGTGTTTCTTCATTGAATTGAGCCTTGATTTGGGCGAGTCTGATGCGCAGACGACTGTTCTCTGCTTGTAGAGCTTCGACATCGGCTTCTAAGTGTTCGTTCGAGTCGCGTAATTGCATGTTCTCGTTCTTGAACTCCTCGGCGTTGTAGTAAGCAACGCCAAGCTGGGTGACCAGGTCATCACGTTCTTGAGTCAAACGCTTGACAGCGATGTCGTTGACAGAAAGTTTGCGCTCGCCGCGATCAAGACGGTCTTGCAAAGTCTTGATGGTAGATTGCAAGGTAGCTCTCTGGACGCGCCATTTCTCTTTGGCGCTGCTATCATCGTCCTCGCCCAATGCACTGTCGGGTCGTCGCAACTTCTGCTCAACATCGAGACGCGACTTGAGTTGACCAACCTCTGTTTCATATTCTTCCAGTCTCTTTTGAGCTTCACTTTTCTCTGCTTCGAGGTTTGCGACCTTGTCTTTGAGAAGCTGTAGCGAAGCAAAGATTGCTTTCTCTTCGTCGGGCACGGCGATCGAGTTGATGTTTGCATGGGCGATGGTGTTTGTGATGGTGGGGTTGTTGTATAATGCAGAAGTAAAGCGCGAGCGTGACTTTTGTGAGCGCGAGAATACTGGGGTGCCATCCTTGCGTACGCCTGACACAAGTTCAGTGATGTTTGGAAGATCAGGAAGCATGAACGAAGCTTGAGTCTGAGTACCAGTCCAGGTAGCGGTAGGGTTCTGAAGCGGACGCTGAGGTGTAGATGCCGATTGCAGGCCTTGGTCGTGAGAGTAAGAGGTGGGCAGGGTAGCTGAAGTGAAGCGTGTGTTTCGTGGTTGCACAGTTTGAGTAATTGGACGTTCCTCGCCAACAAATGAAGAGTCACTCTCGTGGCGGACCTTGTGATGCATGTCGGACAGGGAGCGGCGCTGCGAAGCATTGGCTCTCTTATCACTCGAATGAGCGCGTCGCAATGACGCTTCTTTCCTCAGGCTGTCGGTCTTCCTGGGTGTGGGACGCGTGCTTCTCGGCGGAGTGCTGTGCAGGTCGTAGAGGCTGTCAGTTGGCAGTGGAATATCAGACATGTCGAAGCTCTTGGGGCTGCCTTTCTTGCCGCGTCCTGCTTCGATGGACATGGAGGCCTCGGGCGAGGGTGAAGGGGACTTTTCGGTAAAGTCTGGGAAGCTGTCGCGCACAAAGGACGAGTCGATGTGCATTTCGGGCTGGGGTGGATTGTAGTAGTTGAAGCGCTGTGCACTGGATCGAAGGTTGGGCAGTTGCAGCGACTGGGTGGCCGTATCGAATTGCTGTGTTGACTCGAACTCGGGCTGGAAGGTCGACATGGTCGATGTGTTTCCAGGCGACTGGCGAGGCGAAGGCATGCTAACAAGCAAGTCTGCCTGGATATGCAATGCTGAAGAAGGATGCTTGAAACTTTGACACGACACGGACGGCGGCTCTATCCACAAAGTCGACAAGCTCGCGTCAACATCAAAACACTGCGAGTAAACACAAAACGCCAAGACATGGAACCCGACCCACCGCTGCCCAATCACTCCGTCTCGACTACCAGACGCCCTTGTCATCTGTGCCACTCGAACATCAACCCGATGCTGTGGGAAAGAGCTCATAAAAAGGAAGTAAATGCTTTCATACTCGCTGAAGCTAGTAAAATGCTCGTTCGCATTGGCATGAGACACACAACCAGGAGACTTCTCGACAATGGCATTGCTTCTTATAGCTACAAGATTACAACGTTATTAATACATAAAGGTGAGCTTAACAGAAGATGTGCTTAGATCTTAGAAGAAACAATCTCGCGCTCCGTAAAGGCCAGTACACGGAAACGTAAAATACACAACCCCTTCACACCAGAAGTGTATGCGAAAAACAGAGAGACTACTAGAATGACGATTCTCTTTGCGTAACTCTGCTTCTCTGGCATTGCAGCTCAAAGATGTGATCAGAGAGGGCCCACTTACACTCAAGCTCCTTGACTGGTGGTAATGGTTGTCTTGACCGAAGAGCGCGAAGTGGGAGTGTCTTTGCAACGCTTGGTAGTTCTGGTCGTAGTTACGGTCGCTTCAGAGGAATGGACCGTTTTGAAACGAGTAGAGTAGCTGATTGAAGTGTTCGGCTTTGAAGAACGAACCGTTCTGAAACTGGTAGACCAAGTGGTTGGCTTTGAAGAACGAACCGTTCTGGAACTGGCAGATCGAGTTATCGAAGTAGTTTTGCAACGCTTCGTAGTCACTGTCGTAGTTGTGACTGGAGTGTGAATTGATTTTGAGCGGGTAGATGAGGCAGTTGAGGATGAACGACTAGTAGATCGGACTGTCGAAGATGAATGACGAGTTCTCGTGGCAGTTGGAGAGACTAGCAAGCGGTGCGTGGAAACAGTACTGAGGACTGTTGTGGTAGAGCGGACGTGAGGAGGAACCAGGACCAGGACAGTGCTGGAAGCTTTGATGGTCGCTGTTGGCTCAACCATGTTAACGACAGTGGTGGTCGAGCTGGGGAACCCATTGTTGTACACTGTGAGTTCGCCCGACATAGTGGAGTTGATGGTCAATGTCATGGTCGTAACAGGTTCTAGAATAGTCGTGTTGGTTGATGAGCTTGACGAGCTTGACGAGCTTGACCTAACGACGGTCCAGAAAGTAGTATCTCCAGGGATATCCACATTGAAAGAAGCAGACGAGATGGCGGCGAAAGCGCTGAGCGCCAGACACAACTTCATTCTCAATACTGTCAAATGTTATTAGTTCTCTCGGTAAAGATTATGACGTCTGGGCCATGAAACAACACGAATAGTTCTTGGGCATAAGGGTTCTGGACATACCAGATATAGTATTGTCCAGAGGTCGAGGTTAATGATTTTTGGTCAGTGGAGCCCAATAGCGAATGTGACAAAGAACAACGGAACAAACGAAGGAATGCAGAAATTGGTGTCAAGAGGGGAGCAGGTCGCGGGATGATGAGGAAGAAGATACCTCAGCTTCGAAACTGGTTGAGGGCAGATTCGCCTTGGTCTCCACCATTCAGCTTTTGGGGAGCGGAAATTGAGGGAGTTTCTCGCGTGACAGGAGTGGAACTTGACAAAGTCTATTGACTGCTTCAATGCCCATGATTCCCACAGCACTTACGCTTAACAGCATGATTTTATGTGCGATCGAACTGGTATGCTCTAGCATAACTTTAGTGTTACCGAGAGATGCTGCGCCATGTTTGAGAGATGGTCAGCAGCTATATACAACAAATTTGTCAAAGCGACAAGAACTCGAGAAGCTGGTAAACGGAAACACGAGATTGATGGTCGAGATGAAGTATGTGGGAATGAAGACATTGGTTTGATAGCAAAGGCTAGATCAATTCCGGGTTGAAAAATGATGCTTTATGCTTTGCGTAAGAATTCGAAGGAAGGACCATCGCTGATTCGGTCCATTGAAACCAGAGGTACGACAATCATGAGATATACTTGAGCCAAATGCTGTCCAAAAAGTACAATATTCCTGCAGCCAGATACTGCAGCGTGAAACGCACACATCTATTGCAAGAGATGGTCCTGAGAATGATTAGCAAGATGTCTGCAGTTTCATGATCAAGAGAACTTACGCGGAAATGCTTTTGGTTGTTTCCTCTCTTATCGTTGCCCCATTGGTAGTTGGCTTGAGCTCTTTGTTCACGCTTCTTCTCTCTCTTCTCAGCAGCGCGCACCTCCTTCTTCTTGACCTCACTGACGCCAACCATGCCAAGACCGCCCTCTGCACGGGTGACGATTTGACGGCCGCGATCGTGTCTTGATCTTCTGGTCTCCTTTTCCTCGTCGGAGTCGTGACGGCCTTCGATAAGTCTTTGTTCCGCTCTCTCCTCGGGAGTAGGGTAGTTGCGAAGGTTTTGGCGATAGTACTTGGCAAGCGAACGATGACCAGCAGTGCGTCCAGTAGGCAAGTGCAATTCGTATTCGTCGTGGTAGACAGCGTGAGGGGTGGAGTGAGCGTGAGAGTGGTATCCGTCTGTGTTTCTGTGAGGGCGAGGATCCTTGTGGGAATGGTGTCTGTGGCGGTCAAGGGTCTTGTAGCGGTGCGAGTGGTCGTCAATAGGCACAGAAGTAATCTCGTCGGTCGGCACCGATGACAAAGAACCATCACTCTCCCATCCTTCGTCGTCCTCGTCGGCCATCTCTTCATCTCCGTCTCCGTCTTCGGTCTCGATTGTGACCTTGGTAGCACGAGCGGCACCGAGCTTGACGCCTCCTTCCTGCTGGTCATCTGCACCGTCCGTGCTCTCATCATCTTCGTCGTCTGAGTAAGTGCTTCTGAAGTCGTAGAACTCTCCAATCTCGAGCATTTCATCTTCAGTGCTGTATGGGATCATGCAGTGGCCTCTGTCGCGCATGTGTGTCTGGATACCAGAGGCAGTGTGCTTGAGCTGACCACAGTACAAGCACTGATGGTCATCATGGATCTTCTCGTGGAGATAGCTCAGGAGGCCCTCCACGTCAACCAGGAACTCTCTTTCGGGAATGAACATGCCGTGTTGCTTGGCCATGTGCTTAACATTCTCATCAAGGTCTTCGCAAATAGTGTTGCAGAAGAGGCATTGGTTGAGCAGGACTTCAACCATGTCATCGGTATCAGCAGCAGCCGAAGGGGCTCTGGATGAGCTGTCATCGTCGGTGATGTTGGCTTGTTGAACACCATTGGTGATGTGGGCAAGGTCGGTATCGCGCTCCGTGGCGACAGAAGCGACTGAAGCGGTCTCGACATTGGAAGCAGTCTCGAGAGGTTCGCCCAAGGAGAAGGTAGAGCTCATGACAGAGCTGGCGTCGTCGGCATCTCTCATGTGCATGCGAGCGACTTGCTGTCTGTGTTTCTGACTTCCAAGATGGTTTGCATAGGCATTCTCGCTGAAGTAGGTCTTCTGACAAGCAGAGCAGACCTTTTCGAAGGAGGCGCGAGCGGCGGTGGCAGCGGCCGAAGCCTTGTTGGCGAGGACTTTTTCAGCGAAGACTTCAGAGGTGAGTGGGGGAAGCGAGGCGACTCGTCTCTTGAGGTTGTAGCGGCTGAGAAGTTGTGTCAGATACGAGAGGCGTCACGACATGGAGACAGACTCACTGCCAGTCGCTTTGCATGTGAGTGCGCTGCAGGTCGCTAGAGCGGAAGGCGACCTGGCAGGTGTTGCAGGTGAAGGGGTGGGTAGGACCCGAAGCCATGCTAGCCATGTTGAGGTGTGTCGTTCGGAGTGGTATACGGCTTCTTTGTTAGGGAAAAATGTCAGAAGAACAAGAGCGCAGCGCGATAAGAAATGTCTGGAGGGGCAAACTTTCGCATGTCATGTCCCAAATTTCGTCAGCGAAACGCCGCAATCCCCGTCTGTCCCTGCCCTGCGCTGTTCCTGCCTCATCGCCAAGCCTGCCTCGACCTTTATCCATCTTCGACCATCTTCAGTCTTGAACATGACTTGCAACTTCTTATAGGTCCATATCTTCTTGATCTTTGTGAGTCTCTAGTGCCACGCTCCTTCTTCCAAAGCAGTCGTCTAAGACGGCCGCACCTTAGACTGCATCGTCAATCAAGCAACGAGTACTCGCTCTCATGTGTCGTTTCCCGCCGAAGCCAGGTCGTCCGCATCGCCTTTTGCTTCTATCCTCACGTGCCCAAAATCATTCTTGACAACATTGGCTATGTCAATATAGTTGCGCCTTCTCTTTGTTTGTTTTTGTATTAATATGGCCACTCAATCCTCGTCTGGCCCAACATCCTTGTCGTCTTCTTCATCTCGCCGCCATGAAACTCAAGACTTGATCAATCGGTACGTCTTTCTATGAGAGCCTCATTATTTGACTCATCGACTAATTGCTAGTCTTGCAGCTTTTTTGTACAGCTCTACCAGGGATGCGGTATTGCGACATGTCCGGCGCCACTTTGCGCGACCGCAAGGTCCCATCGCTCATCACCACCACTGCGTAGATATACTGCTGTCAGTGCCCGGACTATGGCAGTCGTCTTGGCCTCATCTGAAGATGCACACAACCGTCTCTGCCCAAATCTCCCTGGCCAGCTCCCCGTTGTTACTGCCACTGTTCAGGAGAGAGTCGATCACAAATCGATCATGCAGCAACTGTTCAATTCTGAATCACTTAGGAATATTCATCTGATCGAGAACGCATACTCATCGGAGCCCTTAGATGGCAAGTCTAGCATCAATATCTCGTCTTCTGGTCCCATGTCTTGCGAAGACTTGACCAAATTGTGCGATGGCATACATAACGCATGTTCCGCCGCATCGTCTTCAAAGCAAAACGACCAAGTTGCCTGTCTCTTTTCGAGACTGCGTTGTCTGTTCTCCAGCTTCTCATCTCTTGCACACTCCTTCATCGACAACCCCATAGATATTCTGCCAGACCCAACAATACCTCCGTCCACGAATCGTTGTACAAAACTCCATCATGCATTCGGGTCGGTGCATGCAATTGGTGAAAACGCCTCTACAATCGTTTTCAATTCCATGTGGGAAGCTCTTGAACCAGTCTTCGAGAGCCCTTTTGATCCAAGACATACAGGATCGCGAACTTTCCAGACGTTTCCAGCTACCAGCAAGGGCACTCAAGTCCCTAGCGTAGTGTATTATGCCATCCATGCGCTTAGTTCTTTTGTGCCACACGCCTCTAGGGAAATTTGGCACACAGTTTGGTCCGCAATTATTAATGGCAAGGCGTACGGTAAGCAGAAGCATCCGCAAGTCGATCATGTCACTTCATCTTGGCTGTTAGTCCTTGACAGATTTGAGCAAGAGCCTGCTCTGCGTATGGCGAGACGTCTTGTCCGGGCAATTGGTGCCAGGACATGCCTCGAAGAAACCTTGAGCGCCTGTAACACGGATGACACAGACCCAGATCCGCGACTGCAAATCTGGAAGACGAGTTGCAGACTCAGAAAATCGGTCATAGATATGCTGGTTCAGGAGGAGCAAACTTTCCGATTAGCCACATTCAAAACCAGGTATAGGGATGATTTGCGACATGGTGGCGAACTTGTTGGCACCACGTCACTCATTTGGCTTGAGTGGCTTCGCAAATGTTTTCTGAAAGAGTGGGACGGCTCTTTGCGCATCAATAGATGGAGTGTCGCTGGTTCGGCACTTGAACTAATGGAAGATCTATGTAAGAGCGAAAGCCCATTGTCCTTTTCGTATTACTGACATTTTCAGGGAAGCATCGAGGTCGAGGGCAGCTGGATATGCCCGCAAAACTCTTTGCATGTCCCACCATATTTGGCACTCTCGATGTCGACAAGGCAGCACAAGACTGGTTATCATACAAGCCAAATCCTGATGTCCGCCATCTACTATCGTTCAAGTTCTTATTCGACACAAGAGCGATGACTTTACTGGTTCGCACATCCCACCACATCCTCATGCGCCACGCCTACAACGAAGCCGACGCGATATTACATTTACGTCGAAGAACTATGCCTCAAGTCAATCTACAAGACGTGGTCTACCTAGATCGTCGCTTGAGAGCTGCCCAAGACCATTACATTGTGTTGAAGATCAACAGACAATCTGTACTATCCGATGCCTTCGACCAGTTGTGGCACAGAGAGAGACGAGAGCTTTTAAGACCACTCAGAGTCCGTATGGGAATCGATGAAGGCGAGATTGGTCATGATCTTGGAGGTGTTCAGATCGAGTTTTTCAAGCTTGCTTGTCAAGAAGCTTTCGATCCTGCCTACTGTAAGTGAAGTTGATTCTCGTTCCTGATCTCTGGTAATTGACGACTCATACAGCACTCTTTTCTATTGACCCTCAGACTCGCATGGCCTGGTTCCAACCCGCAACGATGGTTCCACTCTACAAGTATCAACTCTTCGGCTTGCTTTTTGCTCTTGCCATCTACAACGGTATCACTCTACCGGTTTCGTTCCCCTTGATCTTTTACAAGAAGCTACTTTTCCAATCACCCAGCGAAGCTGATTTGATTGAAGGCTGGCCAAGTCTGGCTAGGTCTTTGCAACATCTCCAGATGCATCAAGGTTCTGTTGAAGAAGATTTTGCCCGAGATTACGTCTACAGTTTCGATGCTAATGGCTTGCATCTGGATGTAAGTATGGATGATCCATGGGATGGTTGGTCAGTATGGGACAAGATCAAATCAGGCAAAAGCATGAGCCTGGGACGATTGAAGGTGATGCGCCAATACCCAGACAAGCATCACCCGGAGCCCAAATCCACATATGCTGCACAAGCTTCCACGCACAAACCACCACTTTCTACGGATCACACGGACTCAGGAGGCGACCAGACGCAGACCCAAGTGGAAGCTCATGGGTATCACCAAAGCAGATTCGAGTGGCCTGGCTGGAAAGTCGAGGTTGCGAACCCTGGCGAGCTACCTCAACCAGTCACAAACGATAACCGCCATGACTTTGTCTCAAGCTATTGCCAATGGGTCATGGACTGGTCTATTCGGCCTCAGTTCAATGCATTCGCTAAAGGGTTCTACTCAGTGATGAACCTGAGAGCTTTGGCAGTAAGTTGCTGCTCAGCTGCAACATTTCCATAACATGCTAACTTTTGTCCAGCTCCTGAATGCCGACCAGTTTCGCACGTTAGTCGAAGGTCACAACCATCTGGACATGGACGCATTACAAAAAGCTACCACTTATAATCATTATACAGCCACTTCCCCAGTCGTTCGTTGGTTCTGGGAGGTGGTCAAAGCTTATCCTCAAGAAAAGCAGAAGCAATTGCTTGAATTCGTTACAGCAAGCAGTCGAGTACCTGTAAACGGGGCCGAGAGCTTGATCTTTGTTATCGAAAGAAGCGACTCAGAGACGAGTGCGTTGCCTGGGAGCAGCACCTGTTTTGGCACGCTCAGGCTCCCTGAGTATGAGAGCAAGGAGGTTTTGGCGAGCAAATTGGATATTGCTTTAGAACACTCTTTGGGCTTTGGACAAGCATAGATGTAGTTTTATTCAATGAAATCCACAAACAGAAAATGTCGCTTATTGTTGGTCTGAAATACCTATTCAGCTATTGTGCCTTCGAGTAGCTAGCTGCAATTCAATGCTGGCGTTGGTATGGGGGTCTTTACTGAAAGTGGCGGGGGTGAAGAAATGGGGGTCTCCCGAAGCACGCGTCGTGTGACGACGACAAGCATGACGACTTGTCAACTCTTGCAATCAACAACGAAAATTACTGGTTCTATCTATCTATTACTCTAATTTAGTCTACAAATATATTCAGTATGCTATCTAGTGCGCCTCTATTTCCTTGGAAGCAACGTTCTCCTCGTCATCTCCAGCATACGCGTATCTGGAGAATTTTCTGATACGATCACCGAAGAAATAGAAGCCATACGGAATCGCACAACAAGCAAGAGCAATGAAAGCCATCAGAGTTCCAGCCCACTGATAACCGAGACGATGGAACATCTGTTCCGTGAACAAGACGACGCCGGCTCCCCAGAAGCTTCGAATGAATGTCTTTGCCGCAAGTGCAGACGCAGCCGAATGTTGGTACGTATCGACGAGGTAGTTGTTGGCGCTGTTGTAGCAGGGAATGAAGCCGAAACCGATGCAGAAACCGCCCATTGCAGGACCCATCCAATGAAGACGGGGATACGATGTCCAGGCAAAGATGAACATGCCGATTGCAATGAACCAACAACTAAACATCATCGGGACCAGACGCTGCTCTGCCGGTGGCTTGCCCTGGAACTTTATCGATCTCTTCGCATAGTCTCTGTTGATTAGAGGTGCTAGGAAAGCACTTCCTATCACGCCGATCGCCAGAGGAATGAACATAAGACCAGTGGTACTGGCTGAATATCCTTTTCCTTCCTGATAGATAATCGGGAAGGCAACGAAGAACATGTACAGCAGGCCGTACAAAACACTCATGTAAAGTGAAATGAGAAAGACGATGAGTTCGCGGAACAAAAGTTGGAAGGGTCGAAGGATGAAGACACGCATTCTTTCGCCGATGGGCCTTGTGTCGAGATCAGACTCGCTGACGTATCTGTTGTCGCCTGTCTCTTTTCTCATCTTCTTTGCGCGCTTCGCGAGGATGATAGGCGCATACGTCTCTGGGACCGTGAAGACGATGAGAATGTATACGAAGCCGGACAAGATAAGCTGCAACCAGTACAACCAACGCCAGCCGAGGTTGTCAGAGGTGAAGCCTCCAACGAGTGGTCCAATGGCTGGTCCGACGAATGGTGCAGCACTGAAAGCAGCCATGGGCACGCCTCTTTCTTCGGCCTTCCACAGATCGGCAAGTGTTCCACCGACTAGGACCATGGGTGCTGAAAAGGCGATACCATCGATCAGACGACAGACAAGCAAGGTCCCAATATTCTTTGCAACAGCACAAGGGATGACGAAGACGAGTGCGATCAACAAGGTACTGGCGTATACAGGACGACGACCAAAGGTCTCACTGAAGGGTGCGAAGGCCATAGGACCAACACCAAACCTATGAGCGGTCAGCTGAATCCAGACGAACAGAAGTAGGTGTACCTACCCTACAACAAAAACTGTAATGGTAAGAAGGGCGACTTCTTCGCTGACTCCAAAGGTTCGCTCAACGCCGATCATATCTGCGGTGATGACAGCGCTGTTGAAAGCGACAGCGAAACAGGTTATCGCGACGACCATGGTACACCACCATTTGTATGCCTTGCTCCAGTTCTTCGGGTTCTCCTTGTCACCTGGCGTGAAAGTGACAAGCTCGTAATCTTCGGTCCTGCCCGTCTTTCTGGATGTCACCTTGCGAGCTAGAGTTCCAGTGGTTGTCTCGGTAGTGTACTCTGCCATGTCGGCATTTTCGGTGAGTGTACGGTAAGGCAGTTCTAGTGGGTCTGTCTCGATGGGTCTTGAGGTATGTTCGCTGGTTGGGCTTGTGTGTGCCTGTTCAAGATCTGGTTTGGATTCGTGGGTATCCTCATGGTGATTTAATGTTGAGGTGCTACTCGGTGTCCTTGATATATACGCCGACATTTCTGAAGTGTATGGATTCAAGTCAGGTGTATTCAAATTAAACAAAGCGATTGTACTGAGGTAGTGGAGGTGGTTCTTCGAATAATAGATGCTTAGATACAAGTATTCATACTCTCATCAAGGAGGATGAAGGGCATTATATATCCACAGCAGCATATCTTGCAAGACAATATCTTCTGCGAGAAAACTCCTTGATAAGACCACTACTGAATTTCGATGCAACTGTAAGCGTATTCTACATTTTCTTGATATATTCGAAGCGGTTGCGACATGTGAGTGTGCTAGCAGTTTCCAGTTGCATTCTCAGATCTCGGACATCTCTCGGATCGCTCGACTTCCAGGGTTCACGCCAAGCATCCACCAGTTTATTCCTTCTCTTCAGCCTCTCTTGTTATGATCCAACTTTTCGTACGATGTTCACAAGTTGTAAATCTTCTGGTCTGTGTACCTATCTCGGAGAAAATTCTACATGATCTGCGTTGGTGTCTCGGCCCTCACCAGGAGCCAATCTTTCAGGCTCGTCAACCGATTCTTGACCAATAGACCTATCTTATCTTCCCATCAAGCCTTATCTCAGCAACAACAACAACATCATCATCATCATCAGGAGGGCTCTGTTGGAGACTTCCTGCCATACATATCACGTCACACTAATAAACATCGTTTGGGTGCTCCGTGCTTTGTCCAGTACCGCAAGGCTGAACCAATGTTCTGAGGCTTCGTATGCATCCTGGAATCATGCACAGACCCAGCGCCTAGTCGATGACATTGCTTGGGAGGTTCGGTGGCTCATGACTGCATGCTAGTTTGGCGCTTTAGAGCAATCTCTTGCGATTCGTCAAGGCTATGAAAGACTGACTTCATATGGAAAAACAGGGACCTACAAGAACTTCCAAAGTGAGTCTGATCAATCCAACTTGCAATCTTCTGTGACGAAAGAGTTGAAGAATCGCAACTTTGTCGGACTCGAGTTCAAATTCTCAGTTCCTTGAATGTACTGTAGCACCGAACAGGCCGAGTTGCAGGGACGTTTTCGGAGACTTCGACCGAAGGCACGCTATTCGGATCGTCCCGAGCATTAGCGCCTTACAACAATCTTGGCAACATGACCGCAATCGCAACTTCCTCGTGATGACAGACATTCAACTGCGAGACACCTGGAGAACGTGTGTCGCTGCAGATCCTTCTTTAACATGGTTTCTTCCAAGAACACACCCCGCATCATCATTCATGGCGGTGCTGGAAACATAACCCGCGATAACCTGGATAAAGATGCTTATCAAGCCTACCGCTCTGCCCTCCTCGCAACTTTGCAGTCTTCATATGCTCTATTATTAGAACCCGGTGCCACAGCTTTGGATGTCGTAACTCATGCTGTTTCTATGCTGGAAGACAATCCCCTGTTCAATGCAGGACATGGCGCTGTCTACACTACTGCGGGAACACATGAACTGGAGGCTTCTGTTATGGTGAGCAAAGGCTACCACAAGCGCGGCGTTGGAGTCATGGAAGTTTCAGGAGCGAAAAATCCTATCAAACTTGCACGTGAGCTATTGGTCAGGGGAGAGGAGGTAGATGGAGGTGGTGCTGGAGCCCATGTACAACTGGTTGGTGAAACTGCAAATAAGCTTGCAGAAGCATGGGGCTTGGAGACTGTGAGTCCTGGGTACTACTGGACCAAGCGACGATGGGATGAACATCGTAGAGGGTTGGGTAAATCTACGGATCGTGAGACATATCGAAAGCATAAGAGACGTGCAGACAGATGCTCTTCGTATGTCGCAGAGTGTGCGGCGGATGCTAGAGATTTGAATGTCCATGACCCTTCTTGGAATGGTCAAGACTATCTTCCTCAGGGCACCGTAGGTGCAGTGGTTCTCGACAGCGATGGCATGCTTTGCGTAGCTACCTCAACTGGTGGTCTTACAAACAAGCTTCCGGGCAGAATAGGAGTTTGTCGACACGTTTTTCATTTACAGTCCTGCCTACTGACAATTCGCAGGATACCCCCACGCTAGGAGCAGGTTTCTGGGCTGAACAGTGGATCGAAGAGAACCCGTTTGACCGTCCACATGGCATGGTATACCAGCAACCTACCTTGTCGCCAGCGGCGAGACTAGTCAACGGTGACTTTAGCAGTGTCCTCCAAGACTGCTTGCCGAGTTTCTCATCCTACCTGCCTGTTTCTCCTCGATTAGACAACAACGACGAACAGCCTATCAAGCCCCTCTCGGCGCGCCATGGAGTTGCTCTTTCTGGAACAGGTTACAATACATCTCACGGCTTTACCTTCGTCCCTAGCTAACATCCTCGCAGGCAACGGTGATTCCTTCCTCAAAACATCTGCAGCTCGTACAGCTTCTGCTATGACCCGCTTTTCCTTTCCGCCTCTTCCACTAGCGGTCTCAGTGAAGCGTGTGGCTGGTACAGACGGTATGCTTCAGCAAAGCGCCGAAGAGCGCTGGAAGAAGACTGGAGAAGGCGAAGGTGGTATAATCGGTATCGAATATCGCTTCGGAAGGGGTACAGTCGTGGCCGATTTTAACTGTGGAGGCATGTTCCGCGCTTGGGTTGATGATGCTGGCAAGCAGCGCATGATGGTTTTCAAGGAAGAGTTCTAAAAGCCAACAGACTGGCAAAACAAGCTCGACTATACATTATCCTCGCTTGTGGCGTCCAACGGGTCACTCTCAGTGGCATCATCAGACACATGATCATGAGATCGATACAAGTAGCAAAAGCACAAATCTCGTTCGCGACTCGGAGATGGTCCTGAGAAGGATCGTGGCGCGTCTCCCGGGCCGATTCAAAACTTTCGAGCTTTGACCTGCGCTACTTTAGTGCTACATAGATCTCGGAGATTTGATAAGATGAGATGCAAAAAGTCGAAAAACGAGTCAACAGCAAGGTGGAATGGGTTGATGACAATGGCTTGGCTATTGGAATCCGAGTACCTATCGACTGGACTCTATGAGCTACATGCGTATGCAGCTACTCACAGTTTTATGTGAGTTATTGTCTCTCCAGGATTGCATATCGAGGACGCAAGAAAACAACTAGACAACCGAGCTTCGATGCCAAGATGCTCACTTCTGCTGATTCACGCAGAGAATCGGCTTTAATCCAGTAGGGACTAGATGTATGACACAAATATAGACAGAGAAAGTAGTTTGGGACATGTTTTATCAGGTCTTGTAGTGTCAATACAGGCTTCAAGTCATGACCAGGGTGCTAGACGCAGCATGTAAACTTGAACACGGAAAAAAGCTAGGGTAAGAGGCTCGCTTGATCGCCCACAGGATTATGAACTGTCAAAATTATACTTCTGCTCAAAGCAATTCTCTCAAGCTGGTCCACAAGCTTAGAATCATTCACCCGTTCATCGCTTTTCGCAGGCCCGAAGATCTTTAAGCGTCAAACCAACTCTTGTGGCATTTGCCAAGGTATATATACTACAGCAACCTCCAGCCTCTCATCAGTCAGCAGCCAGTTCACACAGTGAACTAGATCAATCAGACCTGCCGGGGTAGCTCAATCGGTAGAGCGTGTGGCTCTTATCACCAGATAAAGTACAACCTCAAGGTCGCGGGTTCGAGCCCCGCCTTCGGCTATTCCTAAACACAGTTGACTGTTCTTTTTGCGTTTTTTTTTGTTGCACTATGTCGTTGTGGTTGGATAAGGTAGCGTATTAGATGGTGAAGTGGCTGCGAATTTGAGCATTTTTTTTCTTGTGTGGTGAAGCTTGGCTTGGCGGGCAGGGTCGGCTACCGACTTGGAAATTTCAGACTCACACTTTTTGCTTAGGGGTCGGATGTCGTTTTGCATTACTGCTTGGTCTTGTTTCAAGTTCTTTGCATTGTTCTGTGCTATTGGACTTTATGATGGAGAAAGTTGAATATAGAAGCGCAAAAGCGATGCAGATGCCGTGATCAGAACCTATCTTTTTGAAGTAGCAGCCGAGGGCGCGGCTTCAACCCGTTTGGTCAGATCACTGGTTCAAGACCCGCCATCGGCATGAGGTACAGATGCTTGACGGACATACTGACTTTCAAGATGGAACTAAGATACCGTAGACCGTTCTATTGATGATCTGTACAATGAGTTTACTGGATTGTGAAGTGGATATGTCCAACTCCTGCTCCCACTGTGGGATCATCTCAATATCCTGAGATCGAGACATGGACAGAAACTTGGAAGTTTCTAGCAGTTATCATGGAACGTATAGTCACGGCAATGAGAGTCTATCAAGGTGATCATAAACACATCTTGTATTTCAAGAATTTGTACAAACTCCTTTCATAGTAATATTACCCTTATATCTTATGTCCACATCACATACTTCGCGGCCTCTCATACTCAGATTTCTCTATGACCAGACCAATTTCTTCAACGAGTATCCCAACGACTCAAGATATCCTGTACTCTTCCTAGCCTCAGCCACGGAAATGACATCCTTCTTCTCGACGTGCAAGTGCAATTTCGTTGCACCCTCTTGTTGCTCTCCAGCAGCAGTCTGAGTCTGTCTATCGAGAGCTTTATTGCTCAATCGTTCAATTTCTTCACAGATATGGCGCACCATTTCCACTTCACTCAACTCGCCATCGGTGTTCTTGCCTTTAGAGGCAGAGTTTCTAGGTGGTAAGGCTTTGAAGGCGAGGAGTCTGCTTTCTGCAGGTTTGACGTCGGTTTTCTTGGTATCTTTATCTGCAGCGCTGGCTTCTTTTTCGTTGGCGAGACTGCGTGTGTTGGTGCGTACCATAGCGGGAGTTTGACTCGAGTACTTGACTACAAAGCCGACGTTTTTCTTTTCGTCCATGTGGGTGGGGCCGAGTGTACTGGTAATGTAGGTGCCGTAGTTGACGCTCTCGATATCGACGAGTTCGACGCGTTCGAAGGAGCCGACCTTTTCTGTGTCCCAGTCGAAGCGGCAGAAGTAGAGTGCGCTGTCAGTAAGAAGGACGATGCACTCTTCGAACGGCAGTGCACGTAGTGTGTTTGCTGATGCTGGGCAGGATAGCGTCCAGCCTGAGATCATATCTGCCGAGTCTTCGAGGACAATGGCTACGCAGGTCTCGATTGCGCTTTGGCGAATGCGACCCATATCAAGAGCGTAGTCTTGGTTCATCATATCGGTCTCGAATTCCTCGAAGACTACAGGTCCTGCATTGCCAAGCCAGAAGTCTATGCAGGTTTGTAAAAAGTAATCTCCGAAGATGTTATTGTAGTAGCGGTTGAGGGTCAGGCTAAAGTCGGTCAATGCACCTTGCCAGTTTCGTTTGCGGGTGCGAGTGAAGTCTCCTTTTAGTGCGGCAGTACCTGCGTACTGACGAGAGATGGCATCGCCGTTGTCAGCCCACAAGTTATTGTACCAAGACGTCTTGGGGTCGGTTTGAAGGTTGATCGACAGGCCCATCTCAGCAAGCTGGTCTTGCAGAGCGTGACCAGCTGCGCCAGATTGAACGACATTGGTTCGGTCAAGACAGTCCATGCAGTTTGTCCTCAGCACGCCGGTTTGAGTGTTGAGGAACTTGCCATCTTGCTGAACAGTCCAGCCGAAAGATTTCATAGCCGGCCTAAGAGTGTCCATAAGGATTGAGACATTCTCAAACTTCATGCCCTTGCAAACAGTATGGAAGTCGAACCAATGGAAGCCGACTTGCTTGCCTGACACACCCCCAGACTTGTTCAGATCATTTGCGTTTTTCTCATACGACTCTCCAATTTTTGCTTCTGTGCCATGCTTGTCGACCAGAGATGCGCACTGAACTTCTCCATAACGTTCAAGCATGTTCGAAAAGTGTTTCTCGAAAGCAGCCTGGTTGGTGGCTTCGGAGCCATATTGAATGGGAATTGGTTTGAAGCTGTAGGGACTCTGCGAGAAGAATAGAGGGATGGAGCCTCTGACCTGCAGGAACGAAAAAACCTTGTCTTTGGCGTCCCACGATGGCGTGGCAAGAATTTGCTCAGTCTCAACATTATTAGCGACATTGCCATCATCATCAATACCACGACGCAGGTAGCGTAGTCCTGCACGCTTGACGAAACGTCTAGAGATCAGCGTCAGCAGTAGCTCCTTTGCCTGCGACTTGTCATCGGTTGTGCTCGCATTCTCTTTCTGGGCCTCCTCCTGGGCCTTGACGACGTCTGATGCCTCCTGCTTCGCATCGACTATTTTGTTCTCTGCATTCTCAGTTGTGTCAATGGTAAAGGCACGTTGGCCAATGAAGCCTTGAATGACGGGTAGAACGAGGTTGTGTTGGCCAGCTTCGATGAGAGGTTCGGTCAAGTTGTGGTTCCAGAAGTACTGAAACTGTCAGTTGATGTTTACGACTATGTTTTCGTGGAGACACTCACTAAAGGATCAAAACGCTTGTAAAGAGGGACAGAGGCAGAGGCCGACTCCTGTCGTGAAAGACTGCGTGAAAGGTCGTAATCGTAAGAGAAGTAAAAGCTTCGTGAGGTAAAGTACAGGTTTGTTGTCTTGAGGATTCTTGGAATGAGATTAGTAAGAGTCGTGTCGGCAGGCGCGACAGGCGTCGACTCGGTATTAGGCTGTTGCTCGTCCGATGGAGCGGGCTGAGACTGGTTGTCGGCAGGTGCGTTCTCCACCTGCTCCTTTGTCTTGTCCGGCAAAGAGTCTTCGGCTTGCTTCTTCTGCTCGGCGGTCAAAGTCAGGTCAGTCTCGCTGGCGCTCATGCCTTGTTTGCGGATGCCATCAGACTTCCAACCGCCCTTGGAGAACCACCGCTGGGCAAAGCGACCATATTGACCCTTGTTCTTTATCACATCGGCAACTACAGTAGTAGCCTTGTTCACCGAGCCTTTAGGTACCTGCAAAGGCTCGTCTGGCAAACCAACTGAAGCGTTATCATCATGTTCGTCGTCGGCCGCCGAGCTCGAGTCGTCTTCGTCGTCACTGGTGTCCAGAGACTCGGGCTTGTTACTCTTCAGAGTTATCTTTGCGTGCTGGATAGCATGTTGTGCTTCTGATTGCGAGGCTAGGGGAATGAGGGCGACATTGGTAATGACGTATATAGGCTTGCCGCGGATTTGGGCGACTTGCTCGCGCTTCGAGATGGCGACGAGGTACGAGGAAGATGCGAGGTTCAAGAGGCCTTGAGAATGTCAGTCAAAAGAAGGCTTGAGTGGATTGTGTGCATACCGAGGAGACCATGAGCTTCGAGTCCTTCACCCGTCGAGTCGTCGTTATGTTGTTGGAGCGAGGGGCTGATGTTGTGTGTCTTGTAGTCGATGTGTACAGGAGGAGACGACGACTGTTGGTGTCGCTGGGAAAGAGGCTGCAAAAGCAGACCGTCTGCCGTCGCGCAACTGTTCAAGTATTAGCTCTACCAAAATACGTGCTTGTTGCAGTCGGCAAGGCACTTACATGAGGAGTTTGCGCACCAGACCAGGCATCGCTACAGCATTGGTTGCATTTGACGCTGCCTTGGAATCTGACTGTCTCATCAAATGTTCAGACCAATGTCTAGCAAGCTATCTTGTCCCTCCTCTGGATGATCTCGCCAATGTTTTTGCGACTCCGAAGCTGGAGATGGATGACGTCGATTCGGAACCCGATGGCCTGATTCTTCCTGTCGATTTTTCTAATTTTGCTCCTACAGCAACGCTTTTTTTTTGTGACTGTCGATAGACGCCTGACTGTCAGCATCAATTTTTGCTGGTAGAACTGACAGGAGACGTACAAAGGTTGTAAGGATGTCGGACGTGTTGTAGTTTGTTATCCTTCTGATCTCATGACCCCCGCTTCCACGCCAACCTCTGCCGTTTCTTGACCGACTTGCTTGTCGACTCGATAACTGCATCCTACCCAACACTAGTGACTCGAGGTAGACACTGACATCTCCAGAGTGAGTATAGCTGTAGTCGCCATGAACAGGTAAATGGTAGATCCATCTGGGGAATATCGATTCTTACATCTCATACCAGCTACGCTAGCTCAGCCATCCGTCGACTCTGTCGTCTTCGACCGAAACGGGCATACTATCCCCAAAGACATTTCAGTCGAAATGGTCAATCAAACACCATCATCGAAAGAATGCCCGTGGGAGCATGGGACAGTCATATGCATGTAACCTCTCCTGACTACCCTCTGGCAACGTCGGCCGCATACAAACCATCTCTACACAGTCTAGACCACGCCATGACTTTCGAAAAGACAATTGGTATTAACAACATCGTGCTTGTTCAACCCTCTATCTATGGTAACGACAACTCTTGCCTCTTAGACGCTCTAAAGGAAATTGGACCAACCCATGGTCGGGGCGTGGTGGCGTTTGATCCCGACGACATTGCCAGCGATACATTGCAAAAATGGCACAGACTGGGTGTCCGAGGCGTCAGACTAAACTTCAAATCCACAAATGAACCATTTAATCCGGATGCTGTCAAGCAGACCTTACGAAAGTATGCGGCTATTGTAAAACCACTCGACTGGGTCATTGAGCTATTCATCGATCTCGAGCAACTTCGCTTCATAACCGACATTATGCCTGAACTCGGAGTAAAGTTCTGCATTGCTCATTTCGGCGCTCCTGACATGAAACGCTGGACTTCATATCCTTCAGATGCGTCAGATGTACCGGGCATGCAGCATTTGACGACACTGTTAGCACAAGCTGATAATCTATGGGTCAAAATCTCGGCTCATTATCGCTTTGACCTTTCCATTGACAATATGGCTGGAACCGAAGCCATCACAAAGCTGTTGCTAAACACTGCGAGAGACAAGATGATCTTTGCATCAGATTGGCCACATACACGCTTCGAGGGTTTAGATGTGAAGCCTTTCGTTTCCAGATGCCTCGACTGGACGGAAAAATTTGAGGCGAAGGATCTGGTGTTCCGAGACAACGCAAGACGTCTCTGGGACTGCATTTAAGATCAGTATAAGATATCCTTGCAGAGGTCTCTTAGGTAGCTGCAGGCCAGTCCCAAGCCTCTTTGAGATTCTTCTGCGTGGATAGGGTATGGCGAGCGTGGACTCTTTCGGTGTATCTGAGGATCTCAAGCAGCTCTTCTTGCTCTATACGAGAGACGAATCGATCTCCGCACCATGATATACCCATGCATGTGGTGACCCATATGGCTGCTGTTTTACAACCACCCTGCGCTATGCCGCAAAGAGTCCTCGCATGAGACCTTAGTTCATTCTATTTCGGGTTCAGCAAATGTCAGACCTCGCAGACTCGTATGGAAAACTTACATCAACAGCCTGCTCGAAGGCCTTCCTGTGCAGGCCTAGTCGAGGTATATCTGGGTCATGGGCGACAAGAAGGATTTTTGACAGATGATAATGCTGGATGCCTTTTGCAATTGTGTCACCAGCGTACCAAGTCTTCGTGAACAAGTCTCCTTGCTCGCCGGATGGCTGAGACTGAAAAATGGGACTGAAAGACTGAGGCTTGTGAGTCATCCATGCTTCTCCGTAGTCGTGAAGGGCTTGATAGGTCTTTTGGTCGAGCGAGCCGTTCTGGAAACAGTGATTGATGACATCTGCACAGTGAACAATCATTCTGTTGGTCCATGTATCGTCATCAGCCGTGCAGAAAGAACGATCCAAGTTGCAATGTTCCAGAACAGGTACTATTGGTCTCTGGTTGATGAAAGCCACGACCATCTCTTGACGAAAGCCAACCCACCAAGCTGCTTGCCGCAGGCCACCCTGTGTAGCAATCCTTTCCTGTGCGCTGATGAGTGCGTGTATCGCCGGCAGGTGACTTTGTTGATCGTGGCCGGATAGAGAGACTTCATTCTATTAGTATACATTTGTCTACAGCGTATCTCCGTACTTACTGTCCATCTCTTCCATGACTCTGAGAATCACCACAGCAGCTAGTATGTAATCTTCGATTAGCGCATCAGGCTCGTTCAATACTGGTATCAAGTGGTCCAGTGTCTCCTGGAAGTAAATCTCGGGTGCCGGCTCAGTCGTTTCGATCGTCTTAGATATATGTTTGGATGCAACGGCAAAAATCGAGGTCAATAGGATAGGCGATAAGAATGCCATGCGAGGGACTAGCCGGCCAAAAACCTGTGATGAGCAAACTACATCGATGCTTGGAGCTAAATGCTCGATGAAGTGTTGCATCAACCTGGCTTCATGTGTAGATAGAGTCGGTATTGTAGGTAAGGAGAACGCCGCTTCTGGAGAGATTTTTGTGATACAACCTGCTGATAGGTCTTGAGGCGATTCAAAAGTTCGCAATGAGGGTGGTGATAAAACATTGTCCTGTTCGAGCAGCCCACTTGTCCGCGGAAAGGGCTGAGCAGGCGAGTCTCTACCATTGAGCGTGACCACAGGTGATATGCCAGCTACTGGGTTCGCGAGGGCGGCGTCTGTAGTGGCCTTCGTGAAGGGCTCTGTCGGAGCGCTACGTGAATGCTCTGCTCTACACCCGGCAGCTGCTTCTACAAGTGTCTCAAATCGAATCGATGTCTGGGACTGGCCCAGATCCTCTACAGAGTCTGAGTGCTCTCCCGGGGATGGAGTCTGGCCAGGAATCTGATTATAGGCCACATTAGCCGTAGCTCCAAGCTGTAATGAAGGGTTGGAGTCGGGGATGTCTGATGTCGGCTCTTCTGTGTCATCTTCACACTCTGATACCTGGCCGTTACCAAACAATGTCGATGCATTCTCGTCAATGAACCTCAGCTCTTTCCCAACTCTGAACCAAGGCTGATTGGCAGGAAACCTTGGTTGATGTCTTGATGGATTGGCTAGCCTGGCTACATAGTCAATGTCTATACTGACGAAGTCTAATGGCGTCCTTCCACTGAGGGCGTCGATCGGAAACGAGTTGCGGCACCTCACCTTGCCTTCTTCTTCGGCGGCTCAGGCAGGTCGGCCCGGCTCACACACTCGACATCGTCTTTCGAACAGCGCGAACACTTTGGTTTCTTGCGATCACATTTCAGATGCCGTGTCCGACATTGCTCACTATGATACAGGAAGCAGTCAGTACAGACGGATTCTGAGTGCTGCCGAATGTGGGAAGAGGTACGTACCACGCAAGTCTTTCTGCGCTGCGCATCGCATCCTTCAAAATAGCCACGTAAAGCTCGGAATTATGAGTTGTAATGATAGCAATGAGATGGAGCTTGCGGGCGTGTTATTACGTGTATGGGAAGAAGAGAATCATAGGTCGGTCGCTGCCGGATGAGATGACGCATTTGGCAGGTTCGGACCCGAACCTGCCAAATTGGTCAGATACAGCCCTTCGTGACCCCTCCGCCAAATCTCTACAGACATCCATATGCACGATGTGTATTGACGAGATAGGTAAGATCATGGGTTCCGCTGTCGGACTGAGCGCAAGAGCGTAGGGTATAAGAATGGACCTGGCTCTCGTCTGTCAGGCTGCGAAAATCATCTCAGTGTTCATCATAATCTCAGCTATATAGCAACATCAAAATGGTCCAGAAGCTCAAGATTGCCGCTGCAGGCCTCGGTCGTATGGGCGCTCGCCATGCCATCAACTTTCTACACCGCACCCCTCGTGCGGAGCTCGTAGCAGCATTCACACCCGATCTAAAAGAGCTTGCCTGGGCTAGAGTCAACCTGGAGCCTCATGGAGTCAAGCTCTACACTGACTACGACGAGATGATCAAACAAGAAGGCCTGCAAGCTGTGGTAATCGCTACCGCTACCTCAGTACACGCGGAGGAAGCTATAAAGGCCATGCATCAAGGCTTACACGTTCTCTGCGAGAAGCCCTTATCCACAAGTATCACAGTTGTAAGTTGCTCAAGCAGGTGCTGACTGTTCAAGACTAATCCCTTTTCGAACAGTGCAAAAAGGTGTTAGACGAAGCACTCAAGCATCCTCACCTGAAAGTCATGTGTGGCTTCTCCCGCCGTTTCGACGAGTCCTACCGTGATGCATGGGACAAGATGGACAGAGGCTTGATTGGACGACCAACGATCGTTCGCAGTCAAACCTGCGACAAGCATGATCCCAGCGGCTTCTTCGTTGAGTATGCAGCCTGGTCTGGAGGTGTCTTTGTTGACATGTCAGTCCACGACATTGATCTGGCTCTGTGGTTCTTCGGCGATGATGTTCAGGTGAAGAGCGTTTCTGCATATGGGGTGCGAGCAGTGCAGCCTGAACTGGCCAAATACAACGATTATGACAACGCCATGGGCATTGTCGAGTTCTGGAACGGCAGAGTCGCAAATTTCTATTGCTCGAGAATGATGGCGCACGGCCAAGAGGATGTGACCGAGATCATTGGTACCAAAGGAAAGTTGACTGTCAACGGCAATCCTCAGAAGAACTTCGTCAACTACTATGGCCCGCAGGGCGTAACTAGAGAAGTCCCAGCTCACTATTATGGCAGATTCGAACAGGCCTTTGTAGGAGAAGCCAACGAGTTTGCCGCTGCTTGTCTGGACAACGCTGCACTTCCTTTGAAGTTACGCAATGCAGTTAGAGCGGTCGAAATTGGCGCTCTTTTGCAAGAAGCTCTGGTCAAGGGCGTTCAGATCCGTCTGGACGAGGCAGGACAGCGTGTCCCAGATGCTTCAGCATCCAAACTATAGGCAGAGTCAGATGCAACAGATAGTATGCACAATCGATCAGCGCAATTACACGCGAGTGGTTACAACCTCGAGGCTGCATTACTGTGATGCTAGAGTGATGCAGATGTTCCACTGAATGTTGGATCAAGGTACGACATTGGCTCAACACAATCTATTTGTGTCGCAACAGCGTCTGCATGTGATTTTTCGTGGCTGTTGAAAAACGTACTCGATATTTTTGGTCACAACACGCAATGAGATGTAGCTTAGGGTCTGTCCTCGATATTGGCGCCGAGATCTGCTGTCGTGACAGGCTCGTCATGGATGGTGACAAGCAATGACATTGGAGTACCTTCTAATGGCTTCACAAACCGACGAAGCAGTCTTGTTCTTGGAAATGTCTTGTTGTATGCTCGGCGCTGCACTCAAGACACCTCGTGTGGCATCCCAGCGTGGTAGCAAGGTGAAGAAAGGACCGACTCTTCTTTTACGTTGCAGTCTCAACAGCGTCCAAGACATCCAGTCTCGTGATCCGAGCCGCCTAGGATTGTATAGATGTTGTAACCACAGTCGGAGCTATCCGATCACCCTTGGCAAGATAAGGTTGAGATGGTATAGCAAGCGCTTGGCTCTCGAGGGTGTTTTCCGGGAACCGGCGGCATCTCAAGGTATTTTCACTGGATCTGCAACCTTGGGTAGTAGTAGATACCTTCTTAGGTCTAGGTGTTCACGTCAAGAGCAATACAATATACATGCAAGCAACATGTGAACTTGGCAACGAACACCAAGATAGATTACCATGTTCCATGGAGACGATTCGGTTCCTTCATGGAATTCTACGCCAATAATAGCATAGGCTGAAGGTATTGCCGAATGCGATGCACTTGAGACAATATCGTACTTTTCAACAATCATAGCGATCGAGCGGTGGTAGGGATCGGTGCTCGTGGTCGATGTCAAGAAGTGTTCCTGTCAAGCTTCTTGGGGTGCCGCCAGATGGGTTTGTCAAAGCCGATCCTCGGACATGAGCGAAGACAACAAATTCTATAGGAGGATCGTTACAATTGCCGATTACTGTAAAGGCTGCAAAATAGGTAAATACAAGCGGCATGCGTTCCGTGCAAGTTGTTAGCGCCTGGCAAATTTCGTTAGCGGCGGGCGGATTTTGTCTGACAGCGCCGGTCCGTCCGGGCAAACAACATGTTCAGGAACCTCAGATTTCCTTCTTGCTGCTAAATTGACGACGAGTGTGTGTTTACCAAGTCATGATGACTCGTGCATAATGGCGGGGAGTCATTGACAAGCTCTAATAGCGAGTATCGTATATTGCATCAGACAATTTAGAAAAAGCTATGATGCAAGTGACAGACTCAATCTCCACCTTCGTCAATGTGATTGCGGGTTCATGAATAGGGCTCAACAGGCGGAGACTCGGGCGTTTGATTTTCCTCAGGCGTCTTGTGCACCGGCATCTTTGACGAAACATGTGCCGTCAAGAGCCTGCTGGACCTGCTGTAGACACGTAGACAAGCTTCATGTCGTGCTTGGAGTACATTGGAAGGATCAACCAAGAAGGAGACGCTCAGAGTTCCAGTCAGAACTTGTCAGTCGCGGTACGTAGATCGCGCGTCGCTACCAAAAATCGATCTTGGCGAAACACATGGAGATGTGAGGCGACGGCCGGTGGAAGTGCAACGGCAAGGGTCAAGTAGAGATAGCAGCGCAACATGTGGTGTGATCAGCCTCAACGGTGTAGAAGATACATATCAAGCAGGCTAAAGATGGATGTTTGTCTCAGGACAAGAAGTTTTGAAAGTCAAGGATGAGCTGCACAGCATTGGCGAAACGTCCATACGTGAGTAATACGATGTACACGTGCCAAGCGCGTGCAACTGGCAGTTGGATTTCTTGGAAGCGTAAAGTCACGGCGAAATTAGGTTGCGGGAGCGCCAGAAAGTAGGAGCTGTTGATGGGTGTCTTGGGTGTTGCTTCCGAGGGCAAGGTCCAAGAAGGAAGCGACACAAGCGGTGCTTGTACCCATGCGCCTTTGTTATCCATGATTCCTATTAGTCTCCTTGTCCCGTCCCTGAGAGTCGACCATCCCATCTTGTATCCTTCAGTCGCCGTCTACGTACATAAGGTCCATTGTCCGCGATCGTGAACGCAACAAAACCAACCACAAAGACAACAAGGCCGTCGCTGCTTGGCTCTCGCTTGAAGCTGTACGAAAGGAGCTTTTGACTTTGTTGGATCAGGCATCCCCCACTGGTTGCTTTTCTGATCGGCAGATCAGCTAGTCTGGCCCTGGGAACTGCTGAGCCGCGTCCCTCGTGCTTTGCATATCCTCCTTGTACGAGCGTCTTTTCGCTTACGCAGCGCTTGTACTCGTTGCTGTCTGCATTCCTTTCCTTACACTCGACTGCCCACGGTCGCCGACGCTCTTTCCATGTTCACGCCCTGCGCTGGCGACTACTTTGGCCATCACGTCTGCCGCTGATCGTCTTGACTTTCCGCGAAACCCGATTCTGACCAGGCCTCGATTCTGTCCTCGTCCTCGGCCGACGCCCACGGCCTTCGAGTCGTCTCTCCCCGTTCCACACACGAGGCCGCGCCCTCGCTGAGTCCGTCAAGATGCGCATTCCGATCAGAGAACAGCTCGCTGGCTTGATCCTACTGGCCGCTGCCATCGGCCTTGCTGTCATATCCATAGCAACATGGGTTCGTCTCTGTCAGGTACATCCAATCCCGCAACCACTGACTCGTGTCACAGTATACCAACCACAACTTCGTCCTCGAGATTCGTACGACCAGACTTTCCTTGACCGCATCGCTCAAAGCAGCCCAAATCGCATCCAACCTGGCCCTCATTCAAAACAGCGTGCAGCTTGTCTCGAGTCGAATTGTAATGCAGTCTGCACTTAAGAGATACAACCTGCAAGGAAACAACACTGCCGCAAACTGGGAAGCTGCTCAATCAGATTTCGAAGCCGCTATCGCCGCTCCTGCTTCTGGTGCTGTCGGCCAGGCCCTCATGCTGCAGGGTAAAATCTTTCCACGTGATGCCGATGGTCCCAATGGTCGCTATTCGGTCCTGAATGCTACCTCGGAGGGCATCGAGTCTATTCTTCTTCCTTACAAGGCACCCAACGGAAGTGATGTCTACCTGAGTGACACCGACTATGGCTACCCTCCCGAGCTCTACCCCAACCTGACTTACTTCTCTGTTCCAATCAACAGTACCTACCGCGAGTCACGCGCCATCTACAACGGCGAGGTGCTCAAGGCTCCCAATTCCACTCTGCTCTTGGGTCCCTACGCTGTCAACGAGTCTTTCAGTCTCTTGTCTCTTACCATGCCTGTCATCAATAATACCTCGTCCATTGACGTTCTGGGATGGTTGACCATTGTCTGTGATGCTCGTTTGATCGGTAGTGTTGTTGACTCTGCCGAGGGCCTAGGCTCTACTGGTATGACCCTTATAGTCGGCCCTGCTAACACCACCAATCATTTTCCTGAGGGCTTACTCTACAACTCACCCGAAAACGGCACAGTTGATCCAGCTGATATTCAAGGACGTTACATTTGGCCTCTACCTGATACGTTCCCGCACCGCCATCCTGACTCCTCAGGCCAGGTCGAGCCTCCATCTTTTCCCATTACGAGTTACCCAGCTGTCGTCACCGCTCTTACCCAAGACCAATATTCGATGGGCAATGCTGGTGGTGACATCAGCACCCATAACGAAGCTGGAAAAGGCGTTTCTGTTGGCTTCGCTCTTCCAAACACCGCACTCGTTGATTGGGTCGTGATAATCGAGCAAGACAAGAGTGAAGTGTGGCAGCCTATCCGTCATCTGCGCAAAGTCCTTTTGACATGTATCTTCTCGGTTCTAGGCGGTGTCATTCTCTTCGCTTGGCCGCTTGCCCACTTCGCAAGTGCTCCCATCCGCAGACTTAGAGAAGCCACGCGTAGATCTGTACTGCCTATGGGATATTCTGAGAGCAACTACAGCCGGGATTCGCATGACATGTTCAACGATCCTGACGGCGATGGAAGCAATGATGAGCAAGCGGACGCAGTCATCGCTCGTAAAGAGGGCTTCTTTGCAAATGTGAGTAGCTGGAGCTCGAGGCACAAGAAATCCCGGAAAGACCGCAAAGAAGAACAACGAAGGCGCCAATTCCATATTCCTGGCAAGGTCAAAGAGCGTAAAACCTGTATCCAGGATGAGTTGACTGATCTTACACGGACTTTCAACGAAATGTCGGACGAGCTTATGATGCAGTACGAGCGTCTGGAAGAAAGAGTAAAGCAACGCACTGCAGAACTGGAACTCAGCAAGAAGGCTGCCGAAGCGGCCAATGAGAGTAAAACGCTCTTCATCGCCAACATCTCGCACGAACTCAAGACTCCTCTGAACGGTATTCTAGGCATGTGTGCTGTTTGCATGCAAGAAGAAGATCCGATTAAGCTCAAGAGATCTCTGGGCATTATCTACAAAAGCGGAGACCTTCTTCTCAACCTCCTCACGGATCTTCTCACCTTCAGCAAAAACCAGGTCGGTCAACAACTGAGTCTCGATTCCAAAGAATTCCGACTACGTGAAATCAGCTCACAAGTCTTGGCAATTTTCGACAAACAAGCAAATGAAGGACAAATCACTTTACGCGTTGAGTTCCAGGGTGCCGAAGCGATGAATGGTATAGTCTTCCCTTCGGATGAGGATCGCAATCAATACGGCCCGGCTGGTACAGGACGCGTAAAAGACATGATTCTTTGGGGAGACGTCCATCGTATCTTGCAGGTTGTTATCAACCTCGTTTCGAACAGTCTAAAATTCACCCCCGCGGGTGGCTCAGTCGTCCTCACGGTTCGTTGTACAGGCGAAGCTGCAGAAGTCAACAGCCGAAAGACCTCTCTTCAATCTAAGAGCTCGAAGCCCATCTCTAGCAGGCATAAGAATTCTGATGCTTCGATTGCGGGACCTTTTGGAACCAAGAATTCAGCCACTGCCAACGAAATCAACCCCTATCGCGAACGATCTGACGCATACGCACACATTCTCGCTTCTGAGCGACCGGCTTCCCCACCTCCTGGGCGAACTCTTATGTTCGAATTTGAAGTCACAGATACAGGACCGGGTATTGCAGAGCACCTTCAGCAACGAATCTTCGAACCTTTTGTCCAAGGCGACCTCGCCCTTAGCAAAAAGTTTGGTGGTACCGGTCTAGGTCTGAGTATCTGCTCTCAACTAGCTAAACTCATGAAAGGCACTATCGAACTAGACAGCGAACTTGGCCACGGCAGCACTTTCAAAATGCGGATACCGCTGCGGCACATTGTAACTAGGTCTGACAGTACTGCAAGCTCAGTCGTCGGTAATAGTAACGACGTCGGGCTTGGGCTTGAAGGAGTCCGTTCGCCACAGCGTGTCAGTCAACTCATCACTGATGATGCACAGTCGCATCTGTCAGGCCACTCGCACAGTAGCACCGGCCAATCTCCAACGGTCGCACAGGCTCAAGTCCCTAATGTACAGAATTCCTCACGAGATGCGCAGCCTCGCCTGGTGGGCTTAAGTCAACCTTACTTTTCATCAAACCAAGCCATGGAGTCTCCTGGTTCTCAAGCAGCAGCAATGGAGAAGATTACCAAAGATGTCAAGGAGACTGGCAAGATTCGTGTGCTTGTTGCTGAGGACAACAAGGTGAACCAAGAGGTTGTTCTGCGTATGCTCAAGCTCGAGGATATCTATGATGTGACGGTCGCAAAAGATGGTCAGGAAGCCCTGGATTTCGTCAAAGAAAGCATGACTGCTCCTGGAAGAAGTCCTTACAACCTTATCTTCATGGATGTCCAAATGCCGAATCTTGATGGCCTTCAATCAACACGACTCATCCGTGAGATGGGTTACGACGCTCCTATCGTTGCCCTCACTGCATTCGCGGAAGAGAGCAATGTAAAAGATTGTCTAGAGTCGGGCATGAACTATTTCCTCAGCAAGCCTATCCGAAGGCCCGCGCTCAAGAAGGTGCTCAAAGAGTACTGCCCTCCCATCATGGAGGTCGACGAAGACGTCAGCCCTATGGCAGAGAAGTCTCAACCGAAGGTAACGACGAAAGCTGCACCCCAGGTGCACGAATCACCAGTGCGAAATCAATCTCCTCCGCCGCGACCAATGTCTCCTGCCATTTCAGTGCATTCGATTGGCAACTCGAGGACCAGGACCACCATCGTGAACCAGAACTCCAGGCCCAATTCACTAGATCTGCCTGGGGCACCACGACTGTCGAGCGAGAATTAGATTATGTTTGTTGGTTCTTCTTTCCTTTTTTGAGACATGTATGTAGCATTGAGCGTGGTGTTGGCAGGCGTCATACTTTTTTCCTCTGGATTGTGTAAAAGCAAAAACTCGACAGCAGCAAGTGTAGGACAGAAACAAGGCTGCGTGTTGGCGGGCGTTCGAGGGTCCTGTTCGATCTAGACACATGATGAGTTTTGACGAATGGGTTGATACTCGACAAATAAAAATCTTATCTCTAATAATTCATTTTTTTCTTCTTCAAACTGCAGAAGGATATTTGCATCAATGATCTTTCCTCTATCTACATTGTCGAGTTATATCTATGTCGATAAAGTATACTGCAAACAGGGAGACGATGAAGAGCCAGTCCATTCAATATTCACACCACATACAATCCCTCAACAACAACAATAGAACAAATGTCCGAAAGGTGGTTCTGATAGCAGAACAAGGTATCATAAGAAAAATAACAAGCCGAACCAGAAAGAATACGGCAGCAAAGGAGTAGGAGGAGATAGGGTTCTGGCTTTACACATCCTCTCTCACCGTCCTGACCTGATAAGACGTATGTACCATAATCCCTTCTTGGTCAGGCTTAACATGAAACTCCTCTTCGTCCACAATATGCTCCATACTCGCCGTATCAGCACCAACATCACGACTCGTTATCAAAGCCTTGTTTTTCGTACCCCTGCCTTGCAGCATCTCGATGAAGTTTGGCAGGTGACTTGCGTCAGAGCCCAGACGTGAAGACTTTGCGAGTGTGGTATCAGTGGCGTAGGATGAGTTGCCGTGGGAGTGGGAATGGGATCGTGAGCGTGTGGAACTGCTTCCCCAGCTCTTGCTCCAGCTGCGTGACATCCAGGATTTGCTCCAGCTGCGTTCGCTGGTTATTGTTTTGACGATTTTGATTTGACGGTCTATGAAGGTGCGGAGGGTAGGGCCGCAGGCGCAGATCATGCAGACGGTGAGTTCGAGTTGGCTGGTTGGTTCATTGTTAGCATGTGTGCTCAGTCATAGTGGAGAGACGGTGAAGCTTACGTCCAGAGGACTATATCCCATAATGTGTAAGTGATGTCGTTGTCATTAGCACCATGATGAAGCCAATCGACAAGGACCTTTAGTCTAGCTATACTTGTTACGCAAGGTAATGATCCAAGGGCAAAGAGAGAGGTAAGAAGGTATTTTTGGTCGTTCTTCAAGGCAAGACTCCAGACAATCGGCATGGGCATTAGTAGAATCCACCATGTACTGATGCTGTTCATAACAGTGTAGGCGATATACAACGCTGTTCTGTTGATGCATTTGTGCTCTGATACAGTAATATCCCTGTGGTCTGTCAGTTCAAGAAGAGTGAAACATCTAAGTTTAGTACGTACCATGCTGCTGAGACCGGAGAGCAAGAGAATAGCGATGCAAAAATGAACATCACGCTGTAAGCATTGACAAAAAAGAATGCACACCACCACTGAATACGAAAGTTCTGGATAGGGAAGAGACGACGGTATAGCATGAGGACGGACAGTTTCATGGTGAGCATGCATGCTGAGTATAGTACAGCTACCGTGAGCCAGGCGCGGAGAAAATTGGGCGAGTAGTTCTCCAATGGTACGTCCCAGAGATGTTTTCCTAGTCCTAGTGACACCATCCATTGGAAGACGCCCATGATGGCCAAGAATGACGCAGTAGCAAAAAGAATGAGTGCTGAATCCCATATCAGTATTCTGTCCCACCGAGTAGCAGGTGTACGCTTACAGTCATCGTGACCAAATGATCTATTGAGGAATATCCGAGTAATCAAACGGACAACTACTACAATCATGAAGAGAACTATACAGACAATGTTGGTGATGGTGATGCGGTACCCAACACCAGTGGGGTTGATGAGGTTGCTCACTCGACCATCCGGGGCTTGTGTTGCTGGTGTGAGGTTCGAAGCCATCTTTATGGTCGAGTGGCAACAAGGTCAAGTCAATTGGGACCTCTATCTGGGGCAACAAGATTTCAAAAGAGAGTCGTCACCCCATGGGTGGGATAGAAAGAGAGTCGGAGTTATGAACAAAGAGACTGGAGGGCAAAAGCCTCGTCTTCTGAGCTGAGAAGAGCCCCAACATTCCACACCACGCGTCATTAGTTCTTTGATGCGGTGCGACTTAGCTTAATCTTCTTTGTCAATGGACGATCCAACTCGTCTGGGAAGGCAAGCCAATGCATGCAGTTTTCGCATGGCTTTTTGTTGGCATTTGGCCGAAGGTGTGTGGGTGTCGATCGTTGTTCTTGGATAAATTGCACCATCTCTCTATTTGGCGGCGTCCCTGTTAATGATCGTAGATAGCCAAATGCTATTTAGCGCCGTCGCGGGCCGGTGCGTAATAATTGATTAACGATTTTTCTCTTGGTAGGGTGTGATTGAAGCTTGCATGGTGCATGCCTTCAGGCACGCTGGAAGTACTCTGAAGTGATGAGAAGGTCCGGACCCGGGATCGAGGCGACACGATCTCACTGACCCCTGATCTAGCGGCGTAGCAACTCTTCTGGCGCAGCGTGGTAGGCTGAGCGGCTATCAAGTGCCAACTTGTCGGTGCCCAAGCTGACACTCGTCGGTGGCTGTGTTTCTTTCTTAGCTCTCTGGAGATCTGGTATAGCCGTTAAAGAGAGTGATAGCCACGAGCTTGAGCGATTATAACGGTCGAGTCTCGGCTATTGGTTGCACAAGCAGACGTGCGAACTGTTCTCGATGATAGCGAGCAAGCACAGCCGTTGAGTGGTCTTTCTTCACCTGTTACTTGCATGATGTGCATTGTGGACACATGGCGCCGTCTGAGTAATTCCGATTCCCGCGCGAGGCATGAACCCCGCCTGTGGGACGACAATATCGTAAATTCGTAATCGCAATGTTCGATACGGATGTCAGACGTGCAGGTCGGCAAAAGACTTATCGGATTGTGGGAGCCAGGTAACGATGAAGAGGTCGCATCAATTATCGTGGGCTTGCTTGCAAGCATAGTTAGGTTGAAACAGGTTGTCTTTCGGCGGTGGAGGTTTATTCAGAGACTCGAGTTCAAAGACATGTCGAAGTCATGCAAGTGACCGCTCTCTAGAACGGAAAGTCGCAGCGACAGGAACGAGTCATCTCCTTCTCAAAAAGGCGACGTGCAGCAGAAGTGTCAAAAAGCTTGGGCGCTGTCAAATCAAAAGTGGAGAGAAAACGACATGGCCCTAAATTAAATAGGGTCTGTCAATGTTTCCATCGTGTTGATAAAACAAAGCTTGCTTCCTGAAGACACCTCACCTTCTGCATGCATGCTCAAAGATACAGAGGGGTTTGTTGTGCTCGGTTGCGCTGTCAGCAGAAGTCTTGAAGCATGCACGGAGGATCGAGACTTCCACGTTGCACCACGATGCGTTCTATCTGAAGCCGCGACTGCATGAGAGGCACCGACTGACATGCATCTCCCACACAGACGTGCGCATAATTGCTGTGATATGCCGCTCCTCCACTGTAACGAGCCGTCGAACGTACACTTGTCTTTTGTTCTCCGCGTCAATGATGGCGCTACGCATACCCGCTGTCTACCGCTCACATTTACAGTCTTGGCTTCACCGCCTTGTCTTCCTTTAGCCCTGCAAGCGACTCTTGCAACTTCGACAACGCTTGTAACAATACCCGCTCCTGCTTTGCCTGAGATACCACCTGCACACACAAAGTGCCGCCGAGGAACTCACTACGATTGCCGTCCCAGAGCTTGCGGTTGTACTTCTCCCAGCCACTCGGTGCCGAAGCTTGATCGGTCATCTTAGTGTTGAGATCTGTCACTCGGATGGGACGGATAGGCAAAGTTGCCGCTGGATAGTCGAGTAAGTTGAACGAGGAGGTGTACGAGACGGTGTTCCAGGTATCAATCTTTGGGGTTGGATGGGGCGCTACTGGACAGATGAAAACATCCAGACTGCTGGCGCTTCCTGTTGCGTTCTTCCAATAACCGCCATCTGCTTTCCAAATATCGAGGAAGCGTGTTTGCAACTCGTTTCGTCGTGCTTGAAGATCGCGTATCTTCTCCGCTGTGAGATTCTTCTTGCGACGCAGGCGAGACTTGAGCCACGGTGAGATCGGTTCAGAGGTGGCCTCCAGAAGATCGAAGGCTGTATTGGCACCATCGACTCCGAACAAGCCGTTGGCCAGTGACTGACATTGCGAGAGCAAGGAGGTAATGTCCAACTCCACAACTTCGATGGCAGCATTGCTCTTCAACGTAGTACGAATTTCTTCCAAAACTGCCTGAACAGGTGGAAGAGGGGTCGTAATGCCATCGGTTGTCACAATGCCTATTCTCAGCCTTCTCATGTGATCAGATAGCGATGGCGTTCTTAGAGCACTGCGCACAACCTGCTGTTCCCAGGTTTGCGCAACACACTCGGGATCGAAAGTCCACGGCTCCAGATCTCCGATAACTCTGAAGAACAGCTCGCAGTCTCTAACGCTATGAGCAATCGGACCAGCAACAGCTCTGATACTAAGGGTCTCGGTGCCGGGAATGCCGCCACTTTCCTGTCCAGCATAAGGTATGCGGCCATGACTGGGCTTTACGCCTACAAGTCCGTTACACATAGCTGGGATGCGGATGCTACCTCCCACATCGGTGGCCGCGCCTAGGACACTGCCACGCATCGCGATCAAGGCTCCTTCTCCACCTGAACTACCTCCAGCGGTGAGGTTCAGATTCGCAGGGTTGAGCACGCGGCCGAAGACGTTGTTGTGAGAGTCCAATGCTTGCAACGTGAGAGGGATGTTCGTCTTGCAATGGATGACGGCTCCTGCTTGTAGAAGCATTTCGACCAATGCTGAGTTAGACTCGGCAGGTTTGAAGCACAAAGACGCATAGCCAATAGATGCATCTTTGCCAATGACCTTGAAAGAGTCCTTGACTGATATAGGCAAGCCGTGCAGAGGGCCCATAGGCTTGCCGCTTCTGGCGAGGTGGTCATCCAATTGCTTTGCCCTGGCGATCGCTTCGTCGAACATGATTTCAGTCAGGCATTTTGTCTGTCTCTTGATCAGCGTGACTCTCTTGTGTTGAGTATCAATAGAGGTTTACCAATTGCTGGGCAATAGCTGCTCGTTTACAGAATGCAGTAACAACATCCACACTCTTCAACCTCTTTGCTGCTAGCTCTTTTACCAACGCAGTGGCATCATATCTTTCTGTGATCTCAATCTCCTGAGCGCTCAGAAGGCCACATTCTCGAGGGATGGCCAGCACATTGTTGCGATTAGCCGCTGGTCGAGTTTTGAGGATCCAGTCTTTGGGTATGGAATCCAGTTGCTCTTGCTGCTTGCGACGAGCAATTGATTGCCAAGGAGCTTCTGCTGATGACATCTTCGATTGGCTTTAGAGAATACAAATACAAAAGTTCGGCAAGTCACACGAGTTGTAGATCTTCATTGATGAGAGACTCGGTAATGCGGGGAGTTGAGATGCCGAGGCAGCGAGGCTTCTGTTTCATGGTCAAGCATGCCACCCTGGCCGTATTTTTTCACCACTATGCTCTGCTTGAACGTGTACCATCTTTTCTTCTGCACAGCACGTGGTACCTCGTAGATGGAGATGTTTTCCAGATATCTGAGAGTATCCAGGTACTGTCAAATCAATGAACATGTCTTGCTGTTCAACAATTTTCCAGCTCCACTCTAGTGACGTTTCCATACCTGCCAACATCCTCGAGTTGACAACCACCATTCGATCGCGTTGTACACACCACGGATACTTACCAAAATGACACTTGCAGAAGACGTGAACAAGATCTCGACTTTTGTCTCTCACGAGCAAGTACGACTCACCTCCGATGCAAAAGAAACTCAACATTACGACACCATCGTGCTTTGCGTCAGCGCCATCTTCCACTGCGCAGAAACACTCTTCCATGCTCTCCAACAAAGAGGTTCAGACCTCACATCTACAGTAGTCCTCTGCGGTGGCATAGGACACTCAACGCCACACCTTTACAGCGCAGTGGCAAAGAACCCTCGCTATGCTCATCTCGCTAAACAAATCAACGGGCTGCCAGAAGCCCAAGTAATGGAGAAGATCCTCGATGCCTGCTTCTCTGGAGACAAGGTCCGAGACTCTGGTGTGAAGGTGCTGGTGGAGGATAAAAGCACCAATTGTGGTGCCAATGCTACAGAGACGAAGAAGTTGTTGCAGAAGCACGGCCTACTACTGGCATCTGGAAGCAATGTTTTGATCATTCAAGATCCGACCATGAGTCTGAGGACGAAAATGTCGTTTGAAAAGGCATTTGAAGGCGATGAGGTGGTGTTTGAGGCGTGTCCTACTTTCGTGCCTAAAGTTACAGAGCAGGAAGGAACATTGAGGTTCGAGGAGGGAGAAGGCGTCACGGAAGGTGAATTATGGGACATGGATAGATTTTTGGGGTTGATCTTGGGAGAAATTGTCAGATTGAAGGACGACGAGACGGGCTATGGACCAAGAGGAAAAGGCTTCATCGGGCATGTCGATGTGCCTGACGCAGTGTTGGAGGCGTATGCGCGACTGGAGAAGTCTGTCCAGGCGAAGAGATAGTAATTAATGCCGTGCGGAATGATAGACAAAGTACACGGGATACAATTGGCGGTCAGAGCTGCATGTCAGAGATGCATCCCGGACAACAAATGCCGTGTGACCTTGGGCAAGATTTGATGCATGTCTAGCCAGTATGACATTCAATCAAAGGCTCTTTCCTTGACCATTTCCCGACCACTTTCTCAAAACAGAAGTTGTATCAGTTGGCCAGCAGTCAAGAATTGGATAATGCATAGCAAAATTTGAGGACATTGCAGCCGAACCTCGGCTTGTTATTCGACGTGCCCCTCCCAAACGTCACGAGCGCCACTTCTCAGACGGGAAATACTATGGGAACGACCATGAACATCTCTTGGCCAGAGGAGTGCCGTTACGGAAGAGGCACTCCCAAAGGATGCGCGTGATGGTCGATTTAGCCCCTCCGTGGAGGCAGCCTCAGGTAGGTGGTCGTAGTTGACTAGTCTTTCTCTGCTTGCTCATCCTCATTTCCCTCTACCACATCGTCCTATTCTGTGACCAGCTTGGACTCCTCAAGCTTTGGAAAGCTTAGCAACAGTGAGCTTCAGGAAACAAACTCGTAGATATGGCTGGTACATCGGGTCTTTGAGACCAATGGCTATTGCGTCTTGCTAACCTCCTCTCCAGCCATACCATGGACCCTCGCAGCCCCAGCGGCAGTCGCATCCCTCGCCTACCTCCGTGCCAAAACCAGCTGGCCAAATGACTATGCCCTGTTGAAGGCAACAACCCTCGGCGGACTCTACGCCAAAAACTGCGTCAAGAATGACCGCGTCAATCTCTTCTACGAGCTCGAAAAGCACGCCCTAGATCCAAAGGCACACGACCGCTCTTTCCTCGCCGTCCCACCTCACGTCCCCAAAGACGTCTCTACCCCAGCAGATCTGAAGGGCTTGCAAGCAACAGAACTGAGTTACAAACATGTTTATGAGACTGTCTTGAAGTTTGCTGCATGGTTGAAGCAAGAGCATGGTGTCAACAAGGGTGATATGGTCGCCATTGACTGTACCAACAAACCTCAATTCATCTATTTGTGGTTTGCAATCTGGTCGTTGGGTGCGAAGGCTGCCTTCATCAACACAAACCTTAGAGGAAAGGCCTTGTTGCATTGTGTCAAGGCTTGTGAGGCGAAGCTCTTGATCGTGGATCCCGCAATCAAAGAGGCGTTGACCGACGAAGTCAGACAAGAGCTCGGAAGTTCAGTTGTGTCTGTTGTGCTGGACGAGATCATTGAGAGCAGGATCGTTGCGCTCAAGGGTTTAAGAGTGCCTGACGAAGAGCGGGGAGGTCAACAGATGTGGGACACAGCAGTCCTCATTTTCACCTCTGGAACCACCGGACTGCCCAAACCTGCTGTAGTGCCTTGGAGGAAGTTCCTGCTGTCTCCCAAGACCGTCGGTACCTGGATGGGCATCAAGTCTACAGACCGATACTACACTGTAAGTGAATTTGCATATACCACTCAGACTTGGCGATACTAACAACCATCTAGGCCATGCCCCTCTACCACAGTTCCGCGACCCTTCTCAACGTCTCCATTGTCCTGCATGTAGGCGCAACAACAATTCTTTCTCACCATTTCTCGCCCAAGACTTTCTTCGCCTCAGCCACTGCTTCCAAAGCAACAATGATGCAGTACATTGGCGAGATGTGCCGATATCTCCTGAGCACACCCCCTTCTCCTTTTGACCAGTCTCACACTATCCGCTTGGCCTTTGGCAACGGTCTACGTCCAGACGTATGGCTGAAATTCAAGGAACGCTTTAACATTCTCGAGATTGCAGAGTTCTATGCCGCTACCGAAGCTCCTGGCGGCACTTTCATCAAAAGTAAGAACAACTATGGTCTTGGCGCTGTAGGCAGAGCAGGAACAGCCATATCCACTCTCTTGGGCAGCCAATCCGCAATCGTCAAACACAATGTCGAGAGCGGAGAGCCCTACCGCAACTCTTCAAACTTCTGCGAGAGGGTTTCGCCAGGGGAAGCGGGCGAGTTCATTAATGCGATGGATCCTAACAACATCAAAGAGAGTTTCTTGGGTTATTACGGCAACCAGAAAGCTTCTAATTCCAAAATCCTGCGCGATGTCTTCAAGAAGGGAGATGCATGGTATCGTACCGGCGACTTGTTGCGCAAAGACTCCGAGGGTCGACTTTTCTTTGTGGATAGAATCGGAGATACTTATCGCTGGAAGTCTGAAAACGTCAGCACGAATGAAGTCGCCGAAGCCCTTTCTACATCACCTCACGTCGGCGAGATCAACGTCTACGGTGTGGCACTCCCTAACCATGACGGACGCGCTGGCTGTGCAGCTGTCATGCTCAGATCAGCCCCATCCTCCCAAGTCTTGCAAGAGCTTGCCGCACATGCTCGAGAGAAGATGCCCAGATTTGCAGTTCCGCTGTTCTTGAGAGTGGTCAAGGAGTTTGAGGTCACGGCTACTTCTAAGTACACCAAGTATGGATTGAGAGAGCAAGGTGTGGATCCAAGCAAGACGGGCGAGGATGCATTGTTCTGGCTACCTGTTGGTGCGGAAGCCTACGAGGAGTTTGGAAAGAGGGATTGGGAGAATATCGTTGGAGGTGGTGTTAAGCTTTGAGATATAATTCTGTAATGCCATTGTATATATGGGAGGTTGGTGAGATATTGCTGCTCGTTTCATTTTCGAAGCTGCTCGAGCATTTTTTGCTTGACTATCTCCATAATTGGATTCTCTATGCATTGCTCGGGCCTTCATTACTTCTGCTCAACAACATTGAGAAAGCAGCAGCATCCCTATCCAACTCCTCCTTGAACCTTTCCTTCTGCTCCACAACAGTCTCTGCAAGAGCGAGCCGAACCTGCTCCTCCACAGCCAAAGTTATAGGAATGCGGCAAACCTTGTCCATGGCTTTTGCTTTCCAGACCTTTTCAAATGCGGCCTCTTGCTCGTTGCAGCGTAATAGGTACCAGATGTAGAGGTATTCGTTTAATTCTCCTTCGGCATCTGCGGTTATGCGGGTGGTCAAGGAGGCGATTTCTTTGGTGACGGTGTCTGAGAGAATGGGGCGAAGACGTTCCAAAATACTGTAGAGACTTGTTAGTAAAGGTTTGTAAAACATCTCTGGTCAAGGCCGAATTTGATCATGGTCGAATCTACATGATCTTAACATGGCCGAATTCATAAGTGACCGATTTTCGACAGGCTGAATCCAAACATGACCAATTTTGAGCAGGCCTAATGCAATCATGATCGATTGTGAACAGGCCGATTTTGAACATGGTCGAATTTGACGTGACAGCATTTGACATGTCCGAGTTTAAAATGGCCAAATGCAACCACAATCGTGTTCAATCATGGCCGAATTCACACTTGGCTAAAACGTACCTTGCTTCTTCTGGAGTGAGTCGGTTGGGCTCATCGGCCGGTTGCTGAGTTGCTGGTTGAGTAGGTGGCTGCTGGCTCGGGGTTTGGGGCGGAGACTCGAAAAGAGATTCGATACTTGGATCTAGACGAGGTCTTTTGGCTGGTCCTTGTTCGGCTGACCATGCGTGGTCTTGGGTAGAGGTTGTGGTTTGTCCTTCGGCCGGTTGTTCGAGCACAGCATCTTGCTGTTGAGGGGAGGAAGGAGTTGATTTTTCACTTGCTGAATCGGTGTCCAGAAGTCTTTTGTTGTCGGTATTGAGAAAGCTCGCAGCAGTACTGCGGCTAGAAGGCTGTCTTGGAATCCTCGACTTTCGAGCTCTGTTCTTGAGTACAGGTTTTTTGAGTCCAGCGTCCTCGTCCAGATCATCTGCTTGCACGGCATAGGGCTTGGGTCTTCTCGGAGGTTCGTCGTCGGAAGATTCGTCTTCTTCAGGATTGTCTGCGTCGGATTGATTGATGTCTTTCATTATATCATCATTGGATGACTCGTCCTGGCTGTCCTCATAGACGGAACCTGTCTCCTCGGTGCTCGAATTCGTCTCATCGGATCTCTCGTGCGCATTTCCCACAGTGGCGTCGACCGCATCGTTGTTCTCGGGCGATTCGGACGATTCGGCAGGCTTGGGCGATTGTTGTTCTCTTCTAGCCTGTTCCATGATCCAATTGTCTCTTTCGGCCCAATCCTTGTTGAAAGCGTCCTCGAAATAAGAAGCGTGTTGATAGGTCTCGCTAATTTTCGGATAGGACTTGAAGCAAAAATTGATCATGTTTCTGATACGCCTTTCGGCCTCAGCGCAACGAACCATCTGGTTGGATTTCAGCTTTTCCAAGACAGTTTCCAGACTCATTGGACTTTTGAACTTTCGAGCAGGGTCAACAACGCCATCTGCCTTAGGGTCAAGTGGTTTGCGGAAGGGGTTTATGCATGCTTTGTTCGAGCTCAGGTAGCCTTCGACCAATTGTATGCAGTACTCGCGTTCCAGTTCTGATTTGCGGCCATCTGTCAAGGCTAGGCTTCGCTGCTCTGCACTTCGCAACGAACGATTCGATAACATCTTGTGCGTGTCGGATCTGCAATGCGAGAGGCCAATGCGACTTATCCAAAAGGTCTGTAAAAGAAGTCGCAGGCCAGGTCAGAAAGACAACCAAGTACTCCCACTGACTGGAAGGCCCTTCAAGCACTAGGAGCAAGTGGTACGTTCTGATGATGAAGAAGAAGTTGGCGGAGGAGGAATGACGAGAACAAAAAAGCGTGGACGATCGGAAGGCAGATAATGTTAGTGTCAGAGTCAAGAAATAGCGGTATCTCACTGTTTCAACTGAACAAAGCTGATAGTGAAAGTGATATGCGAGCCTCCGTGTAAATTCAGCGATTCTATCTGCCGCTGAATGTCACGGCAAGACCGAGTGACTCTGAATATGAAAACAAGTTTTGGCCGTTCAGCTGTGGCTGTATTATACATGTGGTCGTTAACCCGAACTTATCGTAACATAACCTACTCGCCTTGAAGTGGCTGTCCCATGCCACCGAGAGTAACCATCTTGGTGACCATGTACTCATCAATACCGATCTTCGAGCCCTCGCGACCGAAACCTGATTGCTTAACACCGCCAAATGGTGCAGCAGGGTCACTGATGAGACCAGTGTTCACACCGACCATACCGACCTCGAGAGCCTCTGCCACTCTGTATACACGTTGGATATCGCGTGAGAAGAAGTATCCAGCAAGACCGACTTCGGTGTCGTTGGCGAGCTTGACAACCTCAGCTTCAGTGTCGAAGGGGAACAGGCCAGCGACAGGTCCAAAGGTTTCCTCATGGGCCAGCGCCATGTCAGCAGTCATGTCGCGAATAACTGTAGGCTGGAAGAAGTTGTCGCCAAGGTCAGGAAGCTTCTGACCACCAACGAGAACCTTACCACCCTGCTTGACAGCATCCTTGACGTGTGCCTCGACCTTGCTGACAGCGCGGTCGTGGATCAGAGGACCGTGAGTCACACCCTCATCGTATCCATGGCCAACCTTAAAGTTCTTGACCTTCTCGGTGAAAGCTTCAGCAAACTTGTCGTAGATGCCTCTCTGAATGTAAAGACGGTTGGCACAAACACATGTCTGGCCAGATGAGCGGAACTTGGAAGCGATGGCACCGTTTACGGCAGTCTCGAGATCAGCGTCGTCGAAGACGATGAAGGGAGCGTTTCCGCCGAGCTCGAAGGACAACTTCTTGAGAGTGTCTGCAGATTGCTTCATGAGAAGCTTGCCAACTCCAGTGCTACCTGTGAAGGAGACCTTCTTGACAATGTCAGATGATGTGATGGCCTCTCCAACCTCAGGGGTGTTCTTCATAGCTGTAATGATGTTGACGACACCTGGGGGAATACCGGCACGGACAGAGAGCTCAGCCAGAGCAGCGGCGGTGAAAGGAGTCTCGCCAGGAGATTTTGCAACAACGGTACAACCAGCTGCCAGGGCAGGACCGATCTTTCTGGTAATCATGGCGGCAGGGAAGTTCCAAGGAGTGATTAGGCCGCAGACACCGACGGGTTCCTTGAGGGTGAAGACCCTGTTACCAGCAACGGTAGCAGAGATGGTGTCTCCGTATGCTCTGGGAGCCTCCTCGCTGAACCACTCGAAGAAGTTGGCAGCATATGCGGCCTCGCCTTTTGCGTCGGCCATGGGCTTTCCGTTCTCCCATGTGATGAGTCTTGCAATGTCTTCGGCGTTCTCAACCATCAAGTCGTACCACTTGCGCAACATCTTTGCTCTTTCTCTTGCGGTCGTCTTGCGGAACTTTGGGAAAGCGGCGGCGGCGGCGTCGATGGCGAGCTGGGCGTCTTCCTTGTTCATTTCGGGCATCTTGCCAATAGGCTTGTGTGTAGCAGGGTCTGGGTGTGCTTAGCATGAAGCCTTGAGCTCTCACTCGCGCTGTGGTGTCTCACCATGGACGTCAAAAGTCTGGCCCGACTTTGCGTCGACCCATTTGCCGTTGATGAAGGCCTGTTGCTTGAACAGCGATGGGTCGTTGAGCTATGAGTCCTATCAGCATTTGGGCTTCGAAAGATCGGGGCGGGCTCCTGCCTCTCCGTGTAGCAGAGGGCCAAATGTACACCATAAAAAGGCACAGTACTATCAAGAAACACAGACGTGTCCACTGAGAGACCACCATGAGGAATTATCTCAGTGGATACCGCTCTGATTCCTGATGAATCGTGCATTTTTACAGCCACATTGTGACCGTGTTTCGGAGAGGGAGCAGTCGAGCGACTCACGGGCGGTACACTGTGTCCCATAGCGGCGTATGATCTCGAGGTTATGTTGATGCGTGTGACTGGTTGGAATGATGACCTGAGCGCAGGCTTTGCAACAATGCGAGAGATGAAAGACATGGCAGGTTCGGGCAGAAGGTTGCTCAAACTGCTGGATTACAAAAAGTCCTCGGCAAGTCGATAGGCGGACTCAATTGACGATGACGATACACGCGGTCAGATGCGGGGAAAGCTCGCCGACTCGGGAGGTCGTGGTTGCGATTCTGTCAAGCTGTTCCTTTCGAACGAGGATCTTGTTGTGTTTTGAACAAGAATGAGAACGAGATGTGGCCTCCTACGGGGAAGTCTTGAGTCACTGTCACAAATATTGACTCAGAGAAACCACGTACGTCGCATTGGGTATATCGATAGGCCAGCTTCGGTGACGGGCTTCTATGTGTAAAAAGCTGTCGTTTACACTTTCCTCTCATGGACCCGCACCCCACTCCTTCGTCGGCCTTCACATTCCAACCTCCTCGTGCGAGTGACTATTTCTTCATCACGAGTACACGGATTGTCATAAGCTGTCGAAATGCACAGTTGCACTGAAATGCGATTCTGGCCACAGAGATGCCTTTATTGCAGCATCCCTGTGGGAATCACATTCCTTGCGAAACTATCGTGCATTTCTACAACCGCCTATGACCTTCAGGACGCGGGGAAAGATCTGTTCCATCTCATCCTCTCTCTAAAGACCCGCACAATCCTGTGATTGATTCCTCTCCCGACACGGGTAGAAGTGTTGTTGTATTCTGTTGAAACGCACAATCACAATGCAGATGTGATTCTGGCCATCGAGATAGCCTTTTATGAGACATCCCTGTAGACACCGCATTCTTTGCGAGAAGATTGTGCATTTCTACAGCTACCTGTGATAGCATTTGGGACACCGGGATGGTCTTGCATCGAGGTGTTCGTTCCTTCATACTGTGTCAAGATGTAACGATTCTGGAGTTGCTGCGGTAGGACGAACTGGCATATATTCGCCTTTGGACAGCTTCTCGCTGCTGCTGGACAGCTGCATGGCCAAATAGAAGATGCACATCCTTGTCCTTGAAAGAAATTCACCCATGGCCCTGCGTTGAGGGTGAGTTCGTAGCCACTGCAGTCCTTGGCGATCATGAAAATGGTAATGACAACCACGATAGCGACATGGCAACTCTTCAAGAGTATCGTACCGGTCAGAAGATCGCGGTGCAGCCGGGTAAACAATGGAGAGATGATGCTAACCTCTTGCTATGCGTTGTCTTATAAACTGATCTACCGACTAATCGAAGTGCATGTCTGGTCAAGTACTCTGTGTTGGTTATTGGCAAAGCTGATAGGAATAGCGATCGCTGGTATCACCGCCTGCTGGTAGGGGCGCTTCACATGGTTTACCGCGCGGTAAACGCCATACATGAAGTGCAACCGTTTGAGATTGGTCATGCAGTAAAATAGTTGTTATCCCAAATCGAAGGGGTTGAATGCTGATCTTCGAAGATCAATATCCCAATCTGCCTCATCATAACTTCCAAGCAATTTGAACTGTCCTGTCAGAGAACCTTTCTCAAAACACGTTGTCGGCATGGAGGCGCACCGATGGTCACCTAGAGATGCATGATTCCAATAGTTCCTTCACATGAGGAGTGCATGCAACAGCTAGACTGCCTTCTTTCTTTTCTTCGAGAGGCAAAAACCTTACCCGTTCTTGCTCAAAGACTACCATCGGTAGATAATAAGTTCCTTATCTTACAATGTTGTCATGAAGAGAAGCATCAGCGGCGGCATTCGGATGGGTATTGCAGATGCAGAGACTAGTCTGTATCGACAACTCGAGTGGAGCGGAAATAGGCCATCCATGCCAAGCAATGATCTGAAATCGCGACATCATTATCGAAAAGCCATGGTGGGAGATTAGAGCGCACGACGTCAAGAGATGCGCCTGGCTGAACAAATTGGCCCTGGAAGAGGGCCTGCTCTTCATCCGCCGTTGTCCGCGGTCTGCGACAATGTCGCAATTGCATCTCGGTGAGAAGAGCTTGATCTGGTCTCAGATGATTTGTTCGGATAAGACTGTCTTTCCTTGAGCCGTTGCACGTGTTCAGCCATCGAAGCCCTAGCGACTCAGAGATTGGCTATTCTCAGTCATCAAAAAACGCCATTTTCGCATCAAAGTTCGTGTCCAAAGTCTGTTCTTTCAGCGCGCGGCGTGGCAGGTTTCTCCAACTGAAAGCCCGCCATTGACAGCCAAATTCCTTGGCACGGAAGTCCAGACCTCCTTTTCACAAGCGGCTTTCGCTAGATGGAATCCTTCGCCAAAATTGACACAGGCTTGAGAAATGCTTGTCACGCATGATTTTAGGGGTTCCTGTGGAGAGACTGAAGTTGGGGAAGCGTTGGACATGTTCGTCGGGGATGATTTTCAGATCTACACATCATGATCGCTGCCGGCGGCTCATGATCGCTGACAAGCCTCTATCGTGCCAGCTGAACCTTCTCAGACTCTCAGCTGGACTTTGATCAAAAGAAACTTCACTCTCCCGAGTCAACCTCGGGTCTCACAGCGTTGCAGCGAAGAAGTGGAAGCTGAGCCCGACTGCCCGGTAGCGTGTGCATCAAAGTCTCGCTCTTATTTGATGACCACCGACCTGACCGTTGAACATCTCAGTACAAGTCTCGAACGCTAACTCGTAGTCTTCCCAAACGTCGTAAAGCCACCTTCCTATATATATGCACCTCGCCAAATCTTGCTAACGGCATCACAACGTGCTTGCTGGAATATATACTCTGGCTGGTACTCTGTCGTCCTCTTTCTCATATCTAGCTATCATTTCGTGTCATATTCGAGCCTCAAGTCAAGATGTCACAACAGACTATCCTCTCAGAGAAGCAGCAATTAGCGCAAGAGCTCGAGAAGAAGCAACCTCAGAACAATGACCTTGAGAGTCAGAGTCCAGGATCACCACCACCAGCACGACCAGTCTTCTTACTATTGTGGTTGCTATTCGTCCTGGGCACAGTGGCCACGATAGTCTCTTCGAACTGGAGCAAGCCAGATTGCCTGAACAAGGCCCAACACATACTACACAAGTCGACAAACCCAGTTACTACAAGTACATCATTGCCAAAGTCGGCACCAACAAGCACATGCGATAACCTCACACTCCGCCGCGAATGGCGAAGCATGAAACCTCTGGAGCAAGCACGTTACAGAAGTGCTGTTCGCTGCCTTCTCGACCTACCCTCCAAGAACGACAACACCGGCAACAGACTTGGTGACTTCTTGTCTGCCTACAGCGTATCCGGCTGGCACGCGACACAAACCTCAGACTACCTTCCCTGGAACCGCTTCTTCATGCATAGCCTTGAATCTGCTCTGCGGAACGAATGCGCGTACAGAGGAGACATGCCTTACCTCGACTGGACTGTTGCTGCTGCCTATCCAGAGTCTCTCGGAGAACCCGCATCAGCTACGACAGCCTCACCGCAAGCCGCTTTCCATGACAAACTCACAAAACAACATCTTGACCCTGCGCTCGTGTCTGAGATTATGTCTGCCGGCACTTACGACGACTTTGCACACGTCCTCGAAGCTCGTATTACCTCCTTGGCACCCTTTGACCTTTCAAGCCCTGAACTGCCTCAAGGTACGTGACAAAGTTTTCAAAGGCTCGTGTTCAAAGTGTTTCAACTAACGCTCTTTGCAGATCCTCTTTTCTTGCACCAATTGCAGGTAGATCGTCTGTGGTGGCTGTGGCAACAACAACACCCCAAGGCAGAGATGCTGGTTGAAGACGAACGCGTAAGGTTGCATGGATTTGGCAACTCTATTGCAGTCAAGAGTGTTGCCTCGACAGAGGGTTATGACCTTTGTTATAGATATGTTTAAAGCACTGCTCTTTGTGCGCAAAATGTCATATATAATGTTTTACGATCATCATAGATTAATTTCCATATTCAGCGTGTTGTAATGGTGAGCCATTGTGTGTTTGTGGTATATTGTGGTTGCTGACACAGCCATGTTTGTTGCAGCACGACGCTAAGAAGGGAGTCCATGACAAGTGTTGGCTCTGGTGATGTGTTTGGCATAAGCTGGTAATCTCGAGCTAGATGGTAATAGGTCAAGGAAGTGAAAGGATGACATCCCTGATGGAATACACGCGACCAGGTTACCAAAGTCATGGATGTCACTGGCCTTGTCTCAGTTGTCGGATCATCTCCGATGCCGAAGTCCTATCTCTTGTTGAGATACTTGGATCGTCTTCAAGGCATTTTTGATTGTTCCTCCTGACAAGAGTCAAGCTCAGAGATCCCTCTGCTTACAGTACATCACGCGACTCTCTCAATCTCGTTGTCAGCAACACACGCTAACTCTCATTTATGGCCCGTCCTCGCAAGGCCGCCACAACCCTTTTTACCTATTACTCAATTTGGGATTCGCGGCATCCCTATACCATGCTCCCCTAGTCAAAAGCCTCCGCGGCCTCCGTTGGCTATACGAGACTTCCCCGCTGCGCCCTCAGGAGCATGTTCCAGCTGTGGACGCCTAATTTCTTTCTATTGGGGATTTTACCTCACCATTTATTCTATACGGGAAACGGTCCAAAGTAAAATCTATTTGGAGGCCTGAATTGAAGACAGTGCACTGGCGAGCATTGACAAGCGGTAGTTAGCTAGGGCTTCCACAACGAATGCGATAATACCTCAACCTTTAGTGCCCGATTGAATGCACGATAGGATGGAAAAAGGCCGCGAAAAGGCTATCCTAGGTAGACGAACGCAGGCCGCGCAAGCCATCAACAAACATGTCAAGATTTCGGCAACGAACCGGCAATAAAAGTAAGGTTTTATCGAGATCTGTAACTCTGAGTCTTGATGAGAGTTTCGAAGGCTGGTAAGATTGGCGACATTCAATCTCGACACGGCGCCTGATCTAGTACTCTCTCAAGTACATGTTGCACACTCGGATGCAATAGGCGTTGAGGCAGAGAGTTAAAGTGAGTTTGCTTGCCCGGGTTAAGAAATGCCGAGGTATTACCGATGGGCTTCATCGCTCGAACTCGATTCTCCTTCTCTCGAGTCTCGACCACCGCATATCACTAGTGTCAATGAAGTTGCAGCGCGGCAGAAAAAGATGACGGAGTGAAGACAAGCCTCTCTCATCGAAGCTTGATCTGTATCGTCTAGCTTGAGTGACTACTGGGAGCAAATCTGACATGAGCTTTGTAAGCCTCGTCACTTGTGAAGTCACGATGGAATCGGCAAGTGCTTCCCTGGGCAAGCAGCTCGATAGGGTCTTTTCAATACATGAATGTAGTTGTCATGTGCTATGAGTCGTTCAATTGAAGAAAGCGCTCCGAAGGCAGGAGCGACAGAGTGACAGCTTCCCCAAGAGCTAAACAACATCCAAGCTTCAAGCATATCAGAGCCTGTTCTCAGTATCAAATGCCACCTCGGATCAAGAAAAGCCATTTCCAGAGTTGGACCACACTACACTATCGTTGCCTCTGCTCTGTCTCCTGAAAGTGCTTGACTTTCCTGGAGAAAGCCTCAGCCGGCTATTGTGTTCAATCATCGACGTTGCCCTTTCAATAATCGAGGATTCCTCGCCACGAGCGGCCATCGAGTCCAATCAAGTCAGCAAGCTCCTTCAAGAGCACTGGAAAAGCATAATCGGAGGCCGTTCAGGCATCGAAAGGAGCATTTCCTAACGTCACTCGAGGACGCTTACCGGACCTGGTAGCCTCTCTTGGAACAGCAGAAGGACCATTGATTCATCCGAACCGGGTTCTACGCGACACTGATCCGTTCGAACAGTCTGTCAGGACGAGAAAGAGATTCTGCCGAAAGGACGACAGTCAAGCTTAAATACACCGTCCAGGACGAAGCATCAGCAACAAAAGATTTCAGTCCCGCCAGTGTCTCAAAGCAAATTCTCTGGATCGGATCGAAGGGTTCAGCCCAAGCATTGTGTTTTCGTGGTGGTTCTGCTTTCTTGACGAAAGCTGTTCAGATAAGCCAAGGCCAAATTTTGATTCTGTTTGAGTCCAAGATCAAAATCAGATCAATTAAGCCTCTCCAACCAGTATTGGCGCCGTATTATCTCGGAAGGTCCTTGCTCTTTGCCAGATCAACAGAGCTGCTCATCCGATTCGGCATCGCCGAGGATAGATCGAGCCCTGCAAAACTTTTGAGTTAGCACAAAATTCCTCAGCATCCATCGATGAGGAAAAGAATTGATATTTGTTGCCAGTCAGAAGAATTGCTAAGGTTTGGCGTGGTTTATTGTGTGTTTGGCGGGGTTCTGAACTCATTCTGACTCGATTGAAGAGGCATTTCGAGCTCGACGATTGCAGATGTCGTTCTGGAAAGGCTTATCATTCATGTCAAGAGCCAAAGTCGCTCGAGAGACTCGAGAAGGACGTGGCGGTCCTTCGTTCTGTTCTGAATTGGTCCCGAAACATGACCAGCTGCAGCAAGGTCTTGGTTATGGATGGAGTTTTGACGAAGATGGCCAGACCAGCTTTCTGGATTGTCTTGAGCCTGCAACAGATATCTATGGCCGGTCGGATGACACTGGTGGACATGCGTCATTGACTACTGCCTCTCTCATGCGTTTGATCAGTGAGCAAAACGCTGTCAATGGTCATACTTCACCTCCAAAGGCGTCAGCGAACGCACGGACTTCTACATGTCGAGTGTTACCTGTGAACAATCACGCATCTTCTTCCTCTTTGACAGCAATATCAAGTCCTTGTAAGTTTTGTTTTTCTATCTCAATGGTCAATGCATTGCACACCAACTGCATCCTGCATTTTGATAGCCACATCATTTCACACCTCTCCAATTGGGAGCACATGCTTTTCCATGAGCGCTCCTATATTGGTTTCAAGGGCTCAGCTGACACTATTGTAGCTTCAACCTCCCTCCTCGACCTCTACCTCCTTCAAAGCTCCTCCTGCATCAACGCAGGCAACAACACCGTAAGTCATCCGGTCCTTGTATATGAGCAATGTAGCTGAAATTTTGTAGACCCTTCCCTCCTCCACCGTCATGAACGGTCAATCGCCCAGCAAGCGCAACAGACGCTTGAGTGGCTCGACCACTCTCAGCACTCTCGAGGGCCTCGTAGAGGCATATGCTGCGTCGGAGCGGTCCGAGGTCTCCCCCGCCTTCATCCACGCGGGAGACCTCGACCGCCAGTCATTTGTCGACGCCCGGCGTGAGCTCGTGGCTGGACGTCCCTCTCTCCCTGCTCCTGGCCCGGCTCCTTCGCTCCTCCTCCCTCCGCCTCCTGTCTACCACCCGGCTCCGTACCGGGGCGAGGACGAGAGTGATGAGGTGGTCCCAACCCCTCCCACCCGGATTCTTGACCGGGCTCCTCTTCCTTCGGTCTCGCGGTTCTTATCGGAACTGGGTTCGGGCGTTTTCCACGCCGAAGAGTCGGACCACGACTCTGTCTCTGCAATGGGACAGCAAGAAGAAGAGACTTCCGTTTTTGGAGGAGTAAAGGCTTCCCAGCCTTATGAAACGTCGTTCGGCAGGTACAATCTGTTTCCCGACGTAAAGCTGGCACCAAGAATCTCTAGGCCTGACAGCACGATACCTCAGATCTCACCGAAGATCCATCCTCGACCTAGCACTCCGTCACTAGCCAGCACCATTCCCCTCGACATCTCTGGCTATAATAACGACCAAGACCTAATGCTGCAGAGGCAAGACAAACCATCACCTCGCCTGATCGAAAATGCCCGCACACACAGCCTGATCAACGACAGCGTGTGGCTACAAAGAGACAAAGAAGGAAGGCGCAGATCATGGAGCCTCTTCGTCGTCTGTGCGATCTTCCCATTCATTCTGTTCTTGTTCGCTTTCGGAGTTTTCGACAGAATCATGGTACAGCTGGCCGGTACCCATGCTCGTCCCACCTTACGCCAGAAGTCCCTCGCAAAATATCTCTGCGTTGTCGAAATCGTGGCCTGGCCCAGCCTGGTAGCTTAGTTGGTCGCCCGCGCTTACAGCCATGGACAGTGAGCATGCTCTGTCTGCATGACAACACTTTGAACGGTCTCAGCGACATCTGAGCGCATGCAAGTATCGGTTTCGAGACAAATACGATGAGGGAAAAAAAGGGTTCGTGGGCTATCGCACTACCGGTGACAGTCAGACTGACTGCCTTCGCTAGATGAATTGATGCACGAATGGGCTTGATGGTTACTGGTATATGATGGAGATGCATAAAGTGGTTACTTTTTCTTATTATGGCTCACAATGTCATGGAAACGAGGGAACGAACGATACGATGGGCTCGAAGGACGATGCCGGCCTAGCTTCTGAGGAATGATACGCAAAGAGAACGCTTCAACTTCCGAGATCTCTACAACTGCCGCTTGTGATGTGACTCGTGTGAGATCGCTTACTTTTCATCGCCGATTTCAACCTGTGAACGAACGACTTGATGCTAAGAAAATGCATGATTGGTTGGATGCAAGGAGGGGCAGAGGAAGAAAGAAAGTAAGAAAGATATGATTTATGACTCTCAATCGAAACATTGTGGTCTAGCAGATAGCTAAGCATTTGCATGGACAGGAACGTGCTGGAGCGACGGGCTGGAGACAAGGCTTGGTTTGGCTTTTCGTATCCAGCTCCGAGATCAAAATTTTGCCCCTCCAAATCGTATCGATGATAAGATGCATGGTAGCTTCGATATAAACGGGAAGGCCTGCGAGATCACGCATGTTGTTACATTCTCCAAATGCTATGATGGCTCGAGAATTGGCATGAAAGCTGAATCTAAGACCAGCTCTGACTCAGTCTTTGCACAATCTTGTCGACACAAGGACCCTCCCGAGCTTCCGAGCCATCGGAGTAACAGTCATGGTCTTGGTGGCTCGCTCGATGTAGAACGAGGGGTAGAATCTTGCCCTGATTTTTTCGTATCACGAGATCTGAGTTCGTGCAAGCATAGCTTTGTTCTAGCTTTGATGAGTGTCCACCGAGGACGGGATGTTGAACGGCTCTCTTTCTACATCGTCGATTCGGGGATATGTTTGCATCTTGATGGGTTGAAAACCTCCTGACGATCAAGAGGAGATGAGAGCCGGTGCATGTAGTCCTCTAGTATTGAAACCGTTGTTCTCTGAGCTATAGAAGATTCAGCTATAGAAATGCATGGAATTGTTCTCCTGCTGTCAAGGCCGCAATCTCCTATCTAGGTATAGTGCGGCTGTCTCTCGGGGTTTCGGAAACACCTGCGCCAGTGGTCTCACCCGAGGACCATTCCAAATATGGTTAGCGCACTTGATTAAGACCCCTCCGACTGCAGCCTCAACTCTCAAGCATCGTGATTTTGTATGAGACGGCTGCAAGTGATCGAAGCACCATGTGAACCCTTGACTCAAGAGAAAAAAGCGCCGCTTGGTTGCCCAGATAACTATGGCTGTATGCGCAGCTAGCGACACATTCTGTTCCTCGTAACTTCACAATCTCGTTTGTGTGACCATCCAGCGAACTGGCACCCACACTCACGGCACTAGTGATCATCCGACGCGTGCCATCGTCCTGGGATAAAGTGTTTGGTGTTTAGAGCTGCAACAATAAAGGTCTCGTCCTTCGCTCTTAGCTCCGATTGTGCGTCGCAATCGCTCGCGTACATACATATTCTACAAAGCTTTTACTTGCCGCGAGCTCGCAGCCTCTTCCCTGTACAAACAAAGCTTTGCTGACATTGCTGCCTTGCTCCTACCGAATCTGACAACACAGCCTCTGTCATGCTGGTAAACACTCGATAAAACCCAACCTGTTTCCAGATCCAGCAAAGTACCAAGCTGCATCGACGAAGTTTTAGAGTCTCCTCATGGCAGTCGCAGATTCGCGACTTGCTGCACTTCACGATGCTGGCGCTCTACTGGAAGTGCTAGAGGGAGACGACCGTCCGACATTCATTCTTGAGCACGGAGACGAAGCTGGCAAGCCTAAGATTGTCTTTCGAAATACCTCTCTTGACAAATTCGTTTACCATGTCACACATCCATCAGCTTTTGACGACTGGGCTGCAGCCATCGCGTTCAAATCATTGCCGACTGGCCCTTATCTTTATGCTGGAAGAGACTGGTCAAGCAAACCATTTCGCGACGCTTGGACGATAGTTTATTGCAGTCCGTCAACAGAGAAATTGCCTAGCTCAATCAGCACAAGCAGCTTCGAGACCCCAATAAAGTCGACCAGTCGAAGTGCAAGCATTTCAACTCAGTGGAGGCGCAACTCGTCCCAATTCGTAACACCTACAACACCATTGACACCCCTCTCGCCCAGCATGCCAAAGTTCACAAAGAGGTTGGCAGACTGGACGTTGTCTGATTCAACTTCTCCTTGGTTGCATTTTGTCAAGCACTTTTCTTGGTCTGACACCCCTTTTGGTGCTATTGATACATGGTCATTAGAATTGCGACGCTCCACCGCCAAAATCATGAACTCTCCTGACCCACGCATTCTCCTCTTTGGCGATCAAAGAGCTATAATCTACAACGAAGCGTTCGCTGCTGTCGTCGGAAGACACCATCCACAGTGCTTAGGCGCGCCTCTCGCTGATGTACAAGTCGACACAATCTTCGAGATCCTATGGAACATGTCGTTGACTGCTTATGATGGTCGAGGTGCACGACGTACGCGTCAAGAGTTGCTCCTTGAACGTAGTGGCTCTATGGAGCAGACTTTCTGGAACATCTTTCTTTCACCTTTACCTGGGTCAGACGGATATTGTGACAGTGTTGTTGGCGAGTTTACTGATGTGACAGACTTGGTTGTCCAAGACCAGCGCCGATCACAAGGTCTAGACATCCTGGATTCTGTCTCGAAGGTGGAGTGTTTGCCCGAACTGTGGTCCCAGTTCTTAGGTGCACTCGAGAAGAATGCCCCTGACATCTCTTACGCCATGATTTACACAGCTTTCGACCATTCATCTTTCGTGCGCTCAGAAGGTCTGCCGACACCTGACATTACACCTCACGATGACACTCTCCAATCTGCAACATCATACTTTGTAAAGCAATATCAGCTTGCTGGTTCTCTGAGCTTACCAGAAAGTGTGCTCGAACCTATCATTGACCTTTCTATTGCTGGAAGCTCTAGGGCGCCGGGTCTTGCGAATGCTTTTCGCGAAGCCCTCGAGACAAAAGAGATTACGATCTTGTCAGATGCAGCACTTCCAAATGAGTTGTCAGTCCGGATCGCAGACTCTGGCACCGTCCGTTGTGCATCTATACTTCCAATTGCAAACCTTGATGGCAAACCGTTAGCTGTTGTCGTCCTAGGACTCGACCCAAGACGACCATTCAACGAACATATGAGTCGCTTTGTTCATTGTATACACGAGGCAGTTTGCAAGCAGGCCATCCTGATTACGCTTCCACAGGACCAGCAACAATTCCAAAGAAAATATGAAGAGACCACTATGGCACTCTCAACCGAACTTCGACTCTCGATACTGAAGGCCAAGAAGAAGGAAGAAAAATTCCTTCGCATTGCTAAGAGCGCGCCACTTGGAATGTTTCTCTACTCACCAAAAGAGAGGACAATCCAGGTTAATGATGCTTACCTGAAAATCACGGGGACCACGAAAGAAGACCTGGACAAGACAGCAGGGTTAGAGCTACCCTGGCTGCAGACCGTATCTGAGGAGTATATGGACGTTGCAATCAAGGAGTGGCAGCATCTAATGACTGAAAAGACACCCTCTGTGATCGAGTACAAGATACGTGACCTATCTGACAATCCTACCTCGCGATGGGTGTCTGCAACGTCTTTCCCAGACCTCGATGAGCATGGCGAGGTCTATTTGATACATGGTTGGCTTGTGGACATCAGCGATCGTCTGGCGAAGGATACCTTACTTGCTCAAAGACTCGAAGACGCGCTGGAGACAAAAACGGCTACCGAACACTTTCTTGACAGTACGTAATCTCATCCAGAAAAATTGCTCACATCACAAAGACTGCTGCTAACCAACTCAACAGTGGTTTCTCACGAGATGAGAAATCCTCTCAGCGCCATTTTCCAGTGCTCTGACGAGATTCTGGACACTATTCAGACACACAAAAATCAGCCTGGCATGCCATCCATGACCACAGCACAGCTCAAAAGCTTGGAAGACGCAGCTCATACGATCGCGCTATGCGCCCAACATCAGAATGGCATATTCAGCGACATCCTGACCGTCAGCAAGCTTGATTCGCAATTGCTTACTATCATGCCGGAGAAGATCCGACCAGTCGATATAGTGCAAAGAGCATTGAAGATGTATGGCCAAGAGGCGAAGAGAAGCGATATCATTACTTCTATCGATGTCCAGGATACATACACGAAACACATCTCAGAGTTTGTCATGGCAGACCCCAATAGACTCTTGCAGATCATCATCAATCTGCTCACGAACGCAATCAACCACACGAGATCGTGTAGAGAACGATCAATTGTCATTTCACTTGGTGCATCTACTACTGAGCCGAATAATGCCTCAGACCAAATCGTCTTTATGCCACCAACACCAAGAAGATCTAGCAGCCCGTTGACTCCCTCAACGGAGCAGGATCAGTTCAGTGCTGCCTTCTTGGATTCGTGTTCGGGGCAAGATGTTTACCTGCACATTGCAGTCCAAGATACTGGCTGTGGATTGTCAGAGAGCGAAATGAGACTTCTGTTCAAGAGGTTTTCTCAGCCAAAGACGTATGGCCAATACAGTGGTTCTGGACTGGGTCTATTCCTAAGCAAAGAGCTGATTGAGCTGCAAGCTGGTCGCATTGGTGTTACCAGCACCGAAGGACTTGGGACAACCTTTTCCTTCTACATCAAGTGTCGAAAGCCCACCGAAGAACCAGCTTCTGTTCCGATGACTACCCCAAGGTCGCCTCGCATCAAAGGTCACAGACCTCGTATGAGCCGTACAGAAGCCTTCAACGACAGAGACCTTGAGTTCACCCGCCAACCTTCTCCAGTACGAGGCTTGCACGTCCTGGTCGTAGAAGACAATCCTTTGAACCAACGCCTCGTCGCCAAACAGCTACGAAATCAGGGCTGTACAGTCCACACCGCTGATCATGGACTCGAAGCTTTGGAATTCTTATCTAAGACGAGTATCACTTCGTCGTCAACCTCAGGCATAAAACTCGACATCGTGTTACTTGACATCGAAATGCCTGTCATGGATGGTCTCAGCTGCATTCGCAAGATCAGAGACTTGGAACAAGAAGGTTTCTATCTCCGACGAGTACCCGTTATTGCTGTCACGGCCAATGCTCGTGACGAACAGATGAGAGAAGCGCTTGAGGCAGGTATGGATGCTGTGGTGACCAAGCCGTTCAGAATCCCTGAACTGCTTGTGAGGATGAGTGAAGTGGTCAGCGGCCAGCACTTTGCATAACTTGATGGATCGATTTTTATGCCTGCGGGATAGAAAATAGAGCGATGAAATTTCTGAACAGGTTTCGTCGTACAGCGATAAGGCATTGATAGTCATAGATGAGAACACTACGTATGATTGACGAAACATAGATATCACACCAATGCTTTCAAAATTACACACTCGGACCACGAGAAAACGGATCGATTGAACTGACTATGGGAGCTACAGAACAGAGCGCATGCCCGCTTGTGTAATAGTATATAGGACACGTTGTTGATCACATTGATGATGAGGCCAGTGCACGCAGTGGTCAGAAAACACTGGAAACAGATGAAATCTTGAATTCTTCTTCGTCGTTTAATCGTTACTAAAATGATTGTCTCATGGCTGCTCGTTCGCAGCTCCCTTCACCCCGTCGTTCAAACAGTTTTAATTCTCGAGATTTTCCTTTTGCCTTTTGATTGCCGTTGTCCGTCGAAGTTGCGCCGTGAAGAGTCATTAGGAATTAGAATGAATGATAGTAGAGAAGAGAAAAGACAAGAAAAAGAAGGACAAAAGGGAAAATGCAAACATCCATCGAGCAGTGTTGTAAGGAATCGATATCGGTGGTGACTTCTTGAAATGCGTGAGCGGTGACCGGATGAAGAGTGCGAATCTGTCGCCTAGAATCCAGCGCCTGCCCAAGTCTCTCTGTGGTTCTGGCTATGAGGCCGACTCTGAGCTCCACTCCTCAAGTCACTGATATCAAAGCCAGTATCAGCACTCACATCAAAAGAGTGTGCGAAATTATGAGTGTCAGTGCCACCAACAAAAGACTCAGTATGACTTGTGGCAAAAGAATCCTGACGACCTTGCTCAAACTCCTCCTGTTGCTGTTGAGAGAGTCCGAAGCTTTCCTGCTGAGGGAAGTCCGCCTTCATATATCCAAACCCTTGATGTGTGGTTGGTGAAAAGTGGTGGTCGTCGTGGAGGGCAACACCACCAGCCTCTGTGTCTTCAGGAACGGCTGAGAAACTCTGTTGGCGAGACGTAGGATCGAGATCTGAAGTTCCATTGCCAGCACCAGCGAAGGCTTGATTAGCGGACAGTGAAAAGGAGTTGACATCGAAAGTGTCGGTAAGTCCTCCGGCGGCGGCAGCGAGGTGATCGGCCAACTCTGCTCCGTTGCTGTTCGAATAGTCAGGGAAAGCGGCGCTGGCGGGAGAGTGTGGTTGGCTGAACAGAGCGCCGTAGTCGGTGGGTGTAGCATTTGAACTCATTAGCCATGGTGTTGTAGTGCGCGATGGCTGTAGCAGCAATGGGTCTGTGGCTGTGAGGTCGAGGTCCAAGGCGTCAATGGCAGATGAGAAGGCAGCAGACGATTGAGGAAGAGGTTGATGAGGCGACAAGGCCGAGCTGTCGAGAGAGATGGAGATATTGCCATTACTGAAATCGAAGGAGTTGACATCGTGCAAGTTATGCTGTTGGAGATTTGACTGACTGCTATGCGGCAGGAGCGGATCAAGTACAGTGGCAGCAAGGTGATCGAGGTCAGAAGTTGAAGTGGGCAAGAGCCATGAAGTGCTGTAACCTGCAGTTGCTTGTGTGTCGTGTAAGTCAATGGGCGAGGCCAACTCGTTTGTATTCTTGAGGGTCGGATCAGGGTAGTGATGTTCATTGTTAACAGCAGAAAGATCGAAACCCGCATAGTCGTGACTGCCTCCGGTGTAGGCATCTTGAACACTGAGAGCACTTTCCTGACTGTCACTAGCAGATTGTGAGACTTGACTCACGCCTCCTGCAGACATGGGCATTGCATCGTCAAACGCACTTGCCATGTCTAGATACTGCCACGTCGTCACTGCAGCCTCCTTGCTCGCTGCATGCGAGAACGAGAAGTGGACAGTCAAGACCACTCGAGGCTCGCCCAACTCTGTTCTTGCGATGATTTCTTGGACAGCTGTAAGTTCGCTGAGAGCCGAACAGACCTCGAGACACTTCTTGGAGAGCTGGTCGTGGCGATCTTCAGCAGTCTCATCTGGCTGCAAAGGACGATTTTCGAGATCAGTAGCCTGTCGTTGGAGCAAGACGACGTGATAAAGATAGCGAGCCCAGAATGTGCTGGAGAAAGGAACGTAATACTGGATCATGCCACCACTCGAGCTGCAATGGCCATTCGAGTTCATGTCGAGTGCATCGTTGTTTTCAGAGACTTCAGCTGCGTCGTATTCCTTGGTAAAGTTGAGCCAGTCCTGATGCATTTCTTCGGTCACCTCGAAGTTTTGGTTGTCGTAGAACTGACGATTGCCCAATCTGTCACAGTACATGGGTCGACCATTGAGGTACAATCTTGTACGACTGCTGACAGAGACAGGTGGGTTACGAGCAGGAGCTTTGAAAACCCAACGGATAGCCAGTTCTATGTCGCCAACTAGGTTCTTCGAGTGCAGCACAATAGGCACATGCAAAGCGAGAAACTTGCCCATAGAGAAACGCTCGAGTGGGACGTTGGCGAGACCAGGGAAGCAGTCGTAGAGTTCTGCTTGAGTCTGTACGAAGCAGCTGCTAGGGCCGAAGCTTTCGGTGGCACTGTATGTGTGCAGTGTTTCTGAACCTTTACAAGAACGCATAAACATGCAAAACTCTTCAGGCTGCAAGTCAAATCCAGTCTGTAGTGAGTAATTGCGTTGTTGATTCAAAGAGCTCATACGTGATTGGGAATCAGGATTGTACACCGATGCTCTCTTCCGAGCAGCTTTCGTAGCCGCGGACTCTTTCTCGCCAGGCGTAGCGAGGAAACGCATGACTATCCAATGTAAGCATTGTGGTCCACACCATTATGTCTAGACAGGGGACTTACTGATTGCCTCGTTTTGCACGAACGGCTTGAGCACCTGAATGTGGCTCGACACCTGCTTCCTAGTGCGAACATCTCCAGTGTTACGGAAAATGTAGTCCGCGATCAACTCGTTCCTTCCCATCGCCTTCGCATCGTCGTTGTGCTGTTCGCCTGGGGCTTTCGACTTCTTACGACCACAGGGAGGGTGGCGGCATAGAGCTTATGACATCAGTGTTAGCAAGTATATGACATTACGATCTTAGAATATACCAACCTACGATGAAAGCATCCTCGATATGATCGGGCCATTTGGCATCTTCCTTGTTGCCCTTCTTTTCCTTAGGCTGGCGATTTCGGTACTTGATGTAGCCATCACACCGTAAGAATCTTGATGCAAGCAGCCTGGCCTTTCTCTCTGCCTCTTGATCCTTCTCCTGATCATCGGTAGGCATGTTTCCCAAGCCACGAAATCTGCCACGATTGACATTGTTGAGCAAGTGTTGAGATCCTGGCTCGTATTTCTGTGCTAGCCCTGCCATCCAAGAGTGTTGTAGCTTGCCTGGTCGTGGCCTACCATATTGCAGTGGTTGATAGGCCGCTGGGCGTCCACCAGCAGATCCACATGTAGAGTCATCGTTGAGGTTTGAGTAATATTCCAGATTATTCTGTGTTTGGAGGTATCCGAGTTGTCTGTTGCCACACTGCTCTTTGAGGATGCGTGAATCCTGATCGATATCAGACCACAATGGAGCGTTGGATGGCACGACTGGAGTCGGCCGAAAAGATTCCATGTGAGGATAAGCTTCGTAGCAGAAGAATGGAGAGCAAAGAATGGATTGTGTTCTTAAGAATGCTGACGGTAAATATGGTTTACAATGAGAGAAAGAAAGGATCGTAAGAAGTTGGATGGTCTAAAGGAATGACTTGAGTGAATACTAGGTGATGAATAGATTCATTGCCATTGGACCGATTACATGTTTATAGAACAGGTGCTCATCCAAGGGACATCTACAGAGGCCACGACCCATGCCAATCTCGGCAAGGGTCATGGCCTTCGAAGGAAGCCTACAGTAACAGGCTGTACTTGCCGTAAGAGATGGTCGGTGGTCGCGCAGTGCCACAGATACCACCTTCTGATGGAATTCATCATTTCATCGACAGCAAGGGTCCCAACATGACGTGTGGGGGAACATGAATGATCGCCCTCAGTGGCATTAACTGTTCCGGAAAGGGAACATGAAGGTGGTGGGCTAATTTCACCACTCACACGACCCAGGAATGCGATCACGCAGAAGCCCTGACTAAAACAGTCTCGATCGACTGGTGCACGTGCAAGGACCTGACGAGAGGACAAGTACCAACCTTGATCAGAGGAGATAAGATGTCCGATACGCCACCGGTGGATTACTAGAAGAACCTGCCAAGTGAGCAAAGCCAAGGGAGAGGGTAAGTGTAAGATTGAAAGGTGAGAGCGTACAAGCAAGGGATCTTGCCGCACCCTCCAAAGATCTCAAAATTTAATGCTGCACTCACGCCTCGTCCAAACCATCTTGATCGTCGCCCACACGGAACTTTTTGCGGCCGCCGCTGGTGAGTTTTTGTAGAGCGACTTTGTTGAGTTGCGAGCCTGCCTTCTTTGCCATGGCTTCGATTTCGGCCTCGGCGTCTTCTGCGTCTTCTGCAGCAAAGTCGAGAACAAGTCTACGACCAAGCAAGTGAGTGTCGCGCAAAGCATCCATTGCATTCTCTGCTTCTTTTGGTGTGGTGAAGTCGGCAAAAGCAAAACCGCGAGCACCTTTATCGAATTTCTTCGGAACACGGACCGAGCGGAGTTGTCCATAGGCAGCAAAGAGAGCGCGCACGTCCTTCTTGGTCGCTTCGAATGGCAAGTTTTTGATGATAATCTTGGTTCCCCGAGCAGCAAGCTTCTTGGCCTTGTCTTCTTTGCGACGCTCTTCGGCAGCATCAGTAGCCTTGTGCGACGCACGCAGCTGCAGCTTGTGACCATCGAGACTGTAGCCATCCATTGCTGTAATGGCAGCTGCAGCCTGTTGCTTGCTGGCGAACTCCAAAAAGCCGAAACCCATACTGAGAACCTGACCAGGCTTCTTGGGGTCTGTCTTCGTCTTGACTCTTGCGGTCAGGAAGCCAGAGAGTGGACGGAAGACATCGGTCAGACGATCTGTTGTAGTGGAGAAGTTGAGGTTTCTCACGAAGAGAGTACTGGTAGTGCCAGCAGCAACCTCCGTACCAGTCTCTTGCAGCAGTTCGCTAGCGGAAGCCTTGGCATCCAGACCAGCTTGTGTTGTCTCTCTATCGGTACTATCAGTAAGCGGAGCTGTTGCCTGGAACAGATCTTTGGGCGCCTTCTCAAGGAAGAGAACCGATGTGTGAATTTTGCGATAAGCCAGAGAAGCAAATGCAGCACGAGCCTCAGGGGCATGATGGAACTCGACAATGGCAATGGTGCCTGACGGTGGCATCAAGAATCTCTTGACTTTGCCATGTTGCTCGAATAGCTCCTTCAGCTCACTGGCCTTGGTCTCGTAGGGGAAGTTCTTCACCAGAATGGCTGTGTCGCCACGCTCCCGCCTCTTGAAAGCATCCATATCAACACCGTTCTGCTTGAAGTATGACTTCGTCTCCTGAATAACGTGTGTCTCGGCATGTGCCTGCTTGACAGCCGCATCCGAAGAGGTAGGATCCAGCAGCTCAGCCTTGGAAACTCCAAGACGGTCAGCGACTGAAGACATGACAGCATCAGCGTTCATGTAAAGCGAGTTCCAGTTGAATGTAGCGGATGCAGCTTCACGCTTGCGCTTGATGGCTTGCTGCTTCTTGAGAGGAAGCTTCGACAAGGCGAAGTCGTCGAGCTTATCCTCTCGTTTGGCAGCGGCGGGAAGGATGTGTAGCAGGCGACCTTGAAAGACTTTGCCATCCATATCACGCAATGCCTTCAAAGCACTATCAGCATTTGTAAAATGAAGATAAGCGAAGCCCTTGGGAGTGCCAGTCTTGGGATCTATCGGTACGTGAACCTAAAGCGATGATGCATTAGCCAGCTGCTATGAAATAATGAATGCAGGTAATGAAGGTTGTGCATGCTGGTGTGTTTTCAGACTAGAGAGGCATCTACTAAAATACTCTTCCTGAGTTCTCAGCATCTGCACATAGTGCATCAGCTGTCCCTATCAGGTGTTCATCCCTGAACCAGCACACTCGAAACGTAACGAGAAAAAAAAGGTTTAGTGCTTACCTCTTCAAGATTTCCAAATTCAGCGAAAGCACTCCGTAAGTCGTCCTCCTGGGTAGCGTAGGAAAGATTTCGTAGGTACAAGCGTTGACTTGATCTGACCTTCTCTTCGACCTCATCTGTTGGTGGTGCTGGCTCATCTTCAAAGCCCTCAAATTCTTCGTCGTTCGCTGCTGCAGGTTCTGGTTGAGGGACAGGTTCAGGGGTCGGCGATGCGGCGACGGTATGCGAGGGTCGTGTTGTAGTAGTGCCTTCCTCCTCTTCGTCGTCATCTGCCAGACCGAGTAGTCTGCTTGTCCGTGAGCGCATCCAGTCGTCATCATTCATAGCTGTTTCTTGTTCTTTGGCCGGCTCGGTACTCTCGTCCATTTGTTCCTCTTGCATTGGAGCAGGTTGTTCAACTTCCATGGCGTCTGTAGTGGGAGGTAGCGGAGGAGGTTTCACAGCTGGTGCTGCACTCTTCTGCTTCTTGGGCACGTTCTCATACTCGGAATCACTGTCGGCCTCGGGCACAACAACCTTGGTGTCTAGCTCTTGGGCAGCGATGTCGACCTCCTCACCTCGAGTGCCACGAAGCTTTGAAGGAGCCTGCATAGCGTTCAAGAATTCGCTCAGCTTGGGGTCCTTCTCTTTTGCCTCGGGTTCGGGAGTGGCACGTTTCCGCTTGAGGTTTGCTACTACAGGCTCGGCGTTTGCATTGTGCGCAGGCAACTTTGCCATTGCCAAGGGGTGTTGTGAAGATTGACCTTGCTTCCTTGTCGGAGCCTCACCGATCTGGTGGAAGAGTTAGTAGAGGGTTGGAGGAAGAAGAGAAGCCGACAACGTACGGGTCTAGCCAGCTCAACGCCGATCTTGGACATGCGAATGAAAGTACGGTTGAAGTACTTGACAGCCTTTTTCGCATCTTCAGGCGACTTGTATCCGACATAACCAATTCGGCGCTGAGGAAAGAGTCTGGCATCCGTGACTTCATATTTGCCAAAGTGCTTCTTGAAGTCGGCCTCGCTCATGGTCGGGGGCAGTCCCCGAACGAATATACGCGATGACTCTGTCTCCATGGCGGAACTTATATCTCTGTGTTGAAGATAGGGAAGGAGAAAAGAGATTGGTAGAGAGGAAGGGATGATGTAAAAAATTTATGGCAGGTCCAAGATTGTCGAGATTTGCGCGCGGCGACTTTGCGGCGGGCGACTCGCTCGGCTCCACACGTGCCATCGTTACGACGCGACTCCTCTCAACATCATCCAGTCTGTCCCAATCACTTTCTAAAGAAATCTATAGATTATAGAACTGCAAAGACCATTCATCACAATGTCCGACGAGAAGACCACAACAAACCAGCTCGAGCAGACCGAGAGGCTCGAGGGTAAGTCAAGATGCTGGTCATGATTCACTATCAGGGGTAGTTGAGCTAATGCCATGCTCACAGCCCAGGTCAAGTCTGCAGACATGGTATGATGTTCATGCATGTTCATTCGATGCGTATCCGTGGCTCATATTGTTGCATAGACCGAGGACATGCAGCAGGAAGCTATCGAAGTCGGTAAGTTGAGCACTTGGTGGAAAGTCATATATACCGAAAGTGATAGCCAGAAGAGAGAATGCTAACCAATGCAATGTTTACAGCACAAGAAGCTATGGAGAAGTTCAACATTGAGAAGGTGGGTCTGATACGAATTTGATACAGGTTGTGTACAAACGCTGATTTCACGGTACAGGACATTGCACACCACATCAAGAAGACGGTCCGGCAAAACGATATCGATATGACGGGAAAGAGACTAACAGGTAGACAGTTCGACGAGCGCAAGGGTGTTACCTGGCACTGCATTGTCGGCAGAAACTTTGGCAGCTTCGTTACACACGGTAAAGTGCCCTGAAGCCTGCTGGAGACATTCATGGCTAATGACTTGCTACAGAGACCAAGCACTTCATCTACTTCTACCTGGGACACTGCGCCATCCTGCTGTTCAAGACTCAATAAGAGTGTAGACGAAATACCTTAGAGTAGGAACAATGTCGGAATACCCCATGGAGTTGAGGAGCAGTGGAGTAGCAAGAAAAGGGTAGTCTTGATTGAGAGACAATTAGACATGGCCTCATGACGTTTTCAGCATTAAACGAGCATATGTAACTCAGCAACGCAATGTCAGCGAATTGACACAAAGACCATAGCTCAGCCGTTGTGATAATCACATGCAAGAGGACATGTAAGTCTTGGCACCGTGCCCATGTCAGCCAAGTTTGGAACATGCGACCATTTCGCGATCGACGTTTGTCTCGCCAGCTCGCAATGCGCCTATAGCATTAGCATATCCATACACAGCACAAGACCGCCATGTTGACGAGTGACGAGATCCTGGAGCAAGCGGCTCGTGATGGCTCCATCGACATGTGAGTCGCGTATCTTGTTCCACCATCACACGCGTTCCGTTTCCTGACGCATGACGACAGATCCGAATGGCCACGAGTATTGGAGAATATCCTGCAAAAACTACACAACGTATGCGCGTTCCGCCGACTTCCTATACAGCCCCATTGCTGACTTGGAACAAGATCGTTCATGACGAATTCACTACACCAAAGGCTCCATCACCACCCAACCCTCCAGTTCTGATACCTGCTGCACCCGTCATTCTCCCTTCCAACGACGACTCAGTCCGCCCACAAAAGTCGCCCGAACCTACCCTACCAGCGGCAGAGCCCTCTGAACCAGCATCCACCACCGACAAGGAGAATGCAGTTCCACGACCACCCGTCCCCTCCTTCGCCGCAATCCCCCAAGTCCGCCAGCAATCTCCTCCCTCGCCCCTACCTCCAGAATTATACGCTCTCTACAACTATTCGAGGTCTACCCTCGAGAACAACTTTCCCAACAATCCGCCATATACGATCCAACGCCTTGCCGAGCTAGTCCTACATCCAAAGAGATACTACCGCTACTTGCCGCCCTTCCTACAAGCCCTCGATCGCGTCGTTTCTGTTACCAGCACTGTAAATGAGTTCCCGCTAGCTCATGCCAACATCGACTCTGCGAGCAATTTCCTGGCCAACGGCGAGCCCTCCGAGACCCACTCCGAACGCGAAGGCCTTGGAAGTGACGAAAGTCTGGGCGGCGCGTTACTCACTCCTATCCCCTGGTTGAAGCGCGAGAACGGCCATCATGATTTCCGCAGCGAAAGTTCACAGACCATAGAAGGTCCCAATGGCGTTGGCGTCATTGAAACTGTCTCTGTCTCAAATGGTGGATCTGCTCTACCCCAGGAGGAGGACACAATGAGTCACGAACAACACTTGCGAGCAGAGGGTGGTGTCACACAAGGCGAATTGCTACGTCAAGAGCAGGAAGCCGGTATTGTGCCCGTGGGCCAGGAAGTCCCGCGTCGCACTTTGATGGCTAGTGGTTCGGCCAACGCTGTTGGTAGAGGAGAAAGCACATTGATCGCAGAAGAAGAAGCAGGAGAGAAGCCAGAGGAACATGCCCACGCGCGCGGCCCCGAAGAGATTGGAGCCGAAGACATGGGCCCTCAACCGGAAGCATCCATTGGCGTCACGAGACCCTTGAACATGGAGGCTGCAGTTGGCAGAGCTAAGTCGCCAGAAGTCTCACACGATGATAAGGATACCGAAGGCGATGTTGCCAAAGCAGGCCTGGCTCAAGCCGAAGAGGACAAGAAGGCAGAACCTGAAGAAGAGAAACTGGACCAAAAAGTTGAGCAAGTTGACGAAGAGATGACAGACGCATAGTCGCTCTGAATATAACATGCCTTCATTCTCGCCTGTCACTGCATTTCTAACCACTTCCTGTGCCAAAGATGACATCTCCCACGTAGCTATAAGAAGACACGATGCGTTTCGAGAACGCAGGAGCTTCGCGTGCAACCCTCGGGAAACATGACAGCGGTAACCATCCAGCAGAATGAGTGAATCACTGGCTTGATCGTTTCATTCCCTTGACTCTTCCTGTACACAATGCAAGCAGAATCTGCCATTACCTGAAACCAACTACAATCAAGCGAGCGAAGGAAACGTAGAACCAAAACTAGGCAAGGCCGTAGGAAAGATATATTATGTAAATAGTGCCAGGGTCGCACTCGCAACTGGCTGTCTTGGGTGATATCTAATCCATAAGGTCTGCAACAGTACCCAAAAACTCTCCATGCACACCAGCCTCCTGCTGCTGCAACAGAGAATCAATGTCCAACCCACTTGAAGTCAAATACCTCTCACTAACACCAACATTGACCCTCGAGCTCAACATTTCCTTGAGCTGAGCTCTCAGCGCCCCAGTCTCAGCCTTGGTAAGTCCTCTGGCTTCCCTCTCTTTCTTGATTCTGCCAGCACCTCGTCCTCTCTTACCGGGTGCGTTTTCAAATTCTTCAGAGTCGTAGTCGACACCCAAGTCTTCAGCTGCTTGGCGCAAAAAGTCGTCTTCGCTGTGTTTCTTCTCTTTGGCTATGGTCGTGTCGGCGAGTTTCTTGGACAGGTTTGCTCGGGGTTTGAGTCTGCTGACCACGCGACGATCAATGTCGAGACTGCGGATGAAGTAGCCGTTTTTTGCTGCGTCGTTGGCGGGTTCGGCGCCTGCGGCTGCGGAACTGGCGTGTACTTTTGCGATTAGTCTGCGTACGCCGGCTACTTCTTCGGGTCCGCAGATTAGGATGCTGGAACCAGTTTCGCCGGCACGGGCTGTGCGACCGGATCTGTGGACGTAGTTGTCCGCGGCACGAGGGAGATGGTAGTGGATGACCAAGTTGACGTTGGGAATATCAAGACCACGGGCGGCAACGTCAGTAGCGAGAAGGATGGACCCTTTGTGGTTGGTCTTGTTCTGGTTGTTGGAGGTAAAACGTTCGATGGCACGAAGACGTGCCTTCTGTGCCATTGAAGAGTGCAATGCATGGACAGGGAGCTGCAAGTTTTGCAAGAATGGTGTCAGGCGACGCACGGCAGAGATAGAGTTGCAGAAGACTATCGTTCTGGCGTTGGGGTTTAACAGAAGAAGTGCATATAGGTAAAGATCCTGGAAAAGAGTTTAGTCAAATGGCGTATGTAAGGGCAATTGTTAGCACAAACCTTCTCAGTACCACCGCACTCAACCATGCCTTCCTTCAAGCCAGAAGCCATCTGAGTGATTGGGTTGACATCGACAAACTTGGGTTTCTCTTCGCGGAAGTTGAGCTTTTTGAGCAGATACTCCATACTCTCCTTCTTGTCCATCAGACCAGCACCGGGCTTGGCCTTGCCTGCGAGCTTGTGCTGTAAGCCCTTGTGAAAGGTGGCCGAGAAAACAAGTGTTTGTCTCTCGACAGCCTCAACTTCTTCAGGCGCCTCATCCTCATCCTCATGCTCCTCGGCCTGGAAGTCATCTTTGCGTTCAAGGACATTGATAATCTCTTCGAGCTCCTTGAAATGACCCTGACTGAGCAGTCTGTCGGCTTCATCGATGACCAGAAACTGAATCTGCTTCAGCCATTTGAGCACACCATGACCGCCGCTGATGATTTCCCACAGACGTCCAGGGGTACCGATGATGATGTCTGCGTTCTTGAGTTGTCTCTGCTGCTTTGCCATGGAAAGACCACCAGTGAGTGTTGCAATCCAGGGTGCTTTATCAAGACCAGAGCATAGCTTTGTGAGATGAGCGGAGATTTGGTGAGCGAGTTCACGAGTAGGAGAGAGGATCAGAGCCAGGGCAGGCTTGCGAGCAGCCTCTTCCTCGCTGTTGACCTTCTTTTTGTTGTTTCCAGCAATCTTCTGCATCTCGAGATAGCGCTCCAGAATGGGAATACCGAAAGCCAGTGTCTTTCCAGATCCGGTGCTGGCCTTTCCGATGACATCGTGTCCTGCCAGAACCTCAGGAATGGCTGCTTTCTGAATCGCTGATGGTTGATGGAACTTCATCTTCGAAAGTGCCCCGAGCGTGTCGTCCGAGAGGTTCAGAGGGCGCCATGCGCTAATGTCAACCCCCTCGTCCTCTTCCTCGTCCATGAGGTTGGCAAATGTTGAGGATTCAATTTCGGCCTGGGCAGCAGTCTCCTTCTGCTTTTTCTCTGCCTTTGGCTTCTTTTCCTTCTTCTCTTTCTTCTCTTTTTGCTTCTTCTCCTTCAGTTGCTGCTTCTGCAACTCTTTTTGTTTGTTCTTTCTGTTCTCCCAGGTTTCTCCTTCCTCAAGTTCGGGAGCAGATCTAGGCGTGACGGTTTCGACGATCATAGCACCACCTTCTGCCTTATCATCTTCCTCCTGATCATCGTCGTCAAAGCCAGTGAACTCCTCACCGTCATCCTCTGACTCTTCGGGAGCAGGTCTCTTCTTGGTAGCCTTGTCGCTGATAGCCCGATAAGAAATAATGCCATTGTCGTCCTTGACAACATCCACATCATCAATCTCCTCAAGACCATAGAAACCTTCAAAATCATCCAATCGATCCGGCATTTCGACATTGTTCCAAGCCAGGTCGTCCAAACGCACTTTTTGCGATTTTGGTGGCGCCGCCTTGGAAGATTTGTTTGTGGTTGCCTTGTTTCCAGCCTTTGGTTCCTCCAGCTTTTGGCGCTTTCTGGCCTTCATTGCTGCGACCTTTGGAGGCAAAGCCCGCTTGTTTTCGGTTGCCGCCATGATTAGTTTCGTGTTTGATAATGTTGATGGAAGGAAAGATGGAAAATGTCAATAGACGCCAAGAGGTGGAAAAGTTCAAGGGTCCAGATTTGCGGGAGAGCCTCGGCAGACTCTTTCTGAGATTGATGAACTGCCTGCAGAAGATGCATCAACCACCAGAATAAACATCGAATCAAATTTCAGTCCCGTTCGATTTGACTTGATTGACAATGGGAAAATCGTCAAAAGACAAACGCGACGCCTACTACCGTCTTGCCAAAGAGCAAGGTTGGCGAGCCCGCAGTGCATTCAAACTTCTACAACTGGACGAGGAATTCAATCTTTTCGAAGGAGTCACTCGTGTAGTCGACCTTTGCGCCGCACCTGGAAGTTGGAGTCAAGTCTTGTCTCGCGTTTTGATCAAGGGCGAAAAGATTGGACGCGCTGGCTGGGAGGACAAACAAGCTAGAGAAAAGCTTGAACAACATGGCCAAACTACCACATCGATTTCTGGACAAAGTCATGAACTGGAGGCAAAGCAAAAACTTCAGCCGAGAGAAAACGTCAAGATTGTGGCAATTGATTTACAACCAATGTCACCCCTGGAAGGCATTATCACTATGCGCGCAGACATTACACATCCATCGACCATCCCTCTGTTACTCAAGGCCCTGGACCCGGAGACTTTCGACCCAAGCTCTGTTCAATCGTCTCACCCCGTGGACCTGGTCATCTCGGATGGCGCACCCGACGTGACTGGTCTTCACGATCTCGACACATACGTGCAATCACAACTGATCTGGGCAGCACTAAATCTTGCTCTTTGCGTCCTAAAACCTGGCGGTAAATTTGTGGCCAAGATCTTCCGCGGCAAGGATGTGGATCTTCTTTACGCGCAACTCAAGATTGTCTTTGAGCGAGTGCGTGTAGCCAAGCCCAGGAGTAGTCGTGCGAGTAGTGTGGAGGCATTCGTTGTGTGCACAGGATTCCGCCCTCCGAACGGCTTCAAGGCCAGTCTGGAGAACCCTCTCGGTGCAGGTATGCAACTGCAAGTACCGGAGCATATGAAAGCCGAGAAGACTCAGCCATCACGCACGCTCAGATCAGATGGCATCACGGAGCTAGAGCTGGGTTCTGAAGACGAAGAAGAGAGCAAGGATATCAGATGGATCGCACCATTCTTGGCCTGTGGAGATCTGTCAGCTTACGATGCAGACGCTTCATATCATCTGCCGAAGGATCACGTTGTGCTGGACCCTGTGCAACCGCCAACTGCACCACCATACAGAAAGGCTTTAGAGATGCGCAAGACAGCTGGCGGGGCTTATGGTAAAACGAAGCTGGGTTGAAGGAGTTTTAGAACGTCCTTAACTGCAATCCTGCCCTAGTGAGAGCGAAAAGTGGTATAACACGAGCAGTAACCGCTCTGCGATGCTCCAGAATCCCTCCATCGCTCCCGCTCCCGGATATTCAAGATCTGGACTTCCGCCGCTTGGCGTCTTGCGCCTTCCCAATACATCTTGAGCACGTGCCGAGCATTAAGATGCAGGAACTCCTGCTTGCGAAAAGAGGTTGACTCGCCGCACGAGACATGTTGAGCAACTATCGAATCAATGTACAATTGCTTGTCTCTCCTGGTCTCATATATACATAGTCTTCCCAGCTACTGACGCTGCATCGCAAATCTCTTGTTGCGCTCCTTGTACGTATCTGCCCAAATCTGTTGTATCTCTGCTTCGTGTTAGCATCTATCGGAAGCAAATCAATTCGCAGGGACTCACCCTTGGGCACCTCTCTCCCACCCGTCTTCTCAATCTCGTTCTTGTAATGGATATCGTCACCCCTTCCCTCAACGACCTGTCCGTTAGGCCCTTGACCACCCCAGCTTTCTGTCCCGACCTGATCAAATCTACCCAATGCATCGAAAGCCTTCATCAATGTCTCCATCTTGGTCAATGCCTCCTTGGGATAATTCTCAAGCAAACCCGGAGGTGCAAGATTTGATGGTGTAAGTGCCGGCGCAACAGCATTAATCGAAATACCAGATTCAGCAGCCGAGGGGGCCATTGCCCGTACCATTCCTACAATAGCGTGTTTGGTAGCTGTATACTGAGGCACAGCCGGCAAAGCCCAAAGTCCCGCATCCGAAGCAGTGACAACGATTCTTCCACCTTTGCCGCTGCTTTGACCATTCAATGGTTTGTTCAAAGCCATGTAGTGAGCAGCCAACTTGATGCCATAATAAGGACCATACAAGTTTACTTCAAAGGTCTTCATGTTCGGTTTGGTGGGTGGGGTGTTGAGATCGTTGCTGGTGGAGTAGAAGATATCATCGCGGTCGTCGATGCCAGCGTTCAGAGCACAAAAATCGAGACGACCAAAGGTAGACCAACAGGTTGCGAAAGCTGAGGCTTGCGCATCCCAGGACGAGACATCTGTAGCGTGGAACTGGTAGGATGAGGCAGAGAAATTGGAGAGTTCGGATGAAGGAGGTGGATTGATGTCGGCAATGAAGACATGCCAGGATTTATTGAGGAGGTGTTTGGTCAATGCAAGACCAATGCCTTTGGTGTACAATTGTCAGATCATGCATTCAAGCATGGGAGAAGAATATGAGATTATACCTGAAGAGCCGCCTGTGATAAGTGCTACTGGTGCTATGGGAGCCATGATTGGTCTGCTGTCTAAAAGAAGGAGACTATTCTTGCATCTTCATTGACTACGAAAGAGAGATCTAATTTAATAAACCACTGCTGAGCATACTCGGCAATCATGACCTTTAAAATGGGGCCCCAGAAGCGATGTGGGGTCTGCGGGGTTGTCTAGAGGTGGCATTTGAGAGCGGAACCATGGCCGCACTCCCTCGTTTTGTGCACTTTTATGGTTGTGCATATCTTATGCGTAGTATATGGAGCACGCAAATGCACAGTAATGCAAGGAGCATGACGCATTCCCCAAGCAACCCCACCAAGGGACAAACAGGAGCTCTAGCAAGAGTTTCCCTTTAGACGTCTTTCTTTCTGTAACGTCAACACTACCGACACACAGCAACCATGGTCGACAGAGCACACAAACCCTCAGCCCTCTCACCCAGTACTACTGGCCCCCAACCTACCGTCCACTCAGATGGCAAGAAGGTGACGGCTAGCTTGCCCAGCGGCGATTCAGTTGAGGTCATGCTGTACGGCGCTACAGTCATCTCGTGGAAAAGCAATGGAAAGGAGAACCTCTGGTTAAGCTCCGCCGCCAATATGGAAGGCAAGAAGGCCATCAGAGGTGGTGTTCCTGTTGTATTCCCTGTATGTCTATTCGAACACCGCCTCTCTCGAGCAAATAACTGACTTTGCTCTAGAACTTCGGTCCTGCCCCCAAGAACCACGCTACTTCGGCCCTTCCTCAACACGGCTTCGCACGCATCTCTCCTTGGGAATACCTTGGCACCACCTCGTCAGAATCCGGCAACCAGGGCAAGGGCAGCGACGACTCAATTCGCCTCGACTTTGGCTTGACGCCCAACAACCTCAGCGATGAAATGAGAAAGGCCTGGCCCTACGACTTCAGCCTGCAATACAGCGTCACTCTGTCCAAGGACGGCCTGCAGACCATGCTGAACGTCCGCAACCAGGGCGACAAGCCTTTCGACTTCCAGACCCTCTTCCACACCTACTTTGCCATTCCTGTACGCAATCTACACCATACTTGTTCGCTTCCCTTAACACCGTGCTAACGTTTTTGTGCAGGACATCTCCAAGGTCAAGGTCACCGGCCTGGCGGGCGTCAGATACATCGACAAGATCCTCAACGCAACCGAGCACGACTCCAAGGGCAACGAGCTCCGTTTCGAAGGCACCGTCGACCGCGTCTACAAGTCCTTCAGCCAAGACACAACCTCAATCCTTGTTGACGACAAGCCTCGCCTGGATGTCATCAGAGACAACATGCAAGACACCGTCATCTGGAACCCCTGGAAGGAGGGTGCCGAAGCCATTGCCGACTTCGAGCCCAAGGATGGCTACAAGAACATGGTCTGTGTTGAGGCTGGTGCAGTCAATGGCTGGATCACCCTTGAAGCTCAGGACGGCTTTGAAGCCGGTCAGGCGCTTAAGAGCCACCTGTAAGCAGCTATCGCAGATGGAACAACATGGTATGAGAGTGATGAAAAGACATGGATGGCATGATTCAAAACAGCGAACGCATAGTATATGTTGACTCAGTATAGACTTAATCAAACACGGTTGACAGTCATCAATCAGAGTTGCTACATTCCAACCAAGCGCCCAAGAGACACGTGCAGCTCCTGCCTACCTCGTGCAAGCTACAATCAACATAGTCTCGTGATCACATGCCATGGAACCACTATAAATTGTCACCTTCAGTCACTTCGCTTGCTCCGGTGCGTCAACAACCACGTCACTGGTAGTAGAGGGGGCCCGTGACTGACATAAAAATAGGTGGTATCTACTGTGCGCAACACACGGATCTAGTATACTTGAAGAGATTCACGATACAATTTTCAGGGTCAGGGGAAGTGATGCCCACGGGGAGCTTGTTGCCTTCGAGTATCTTTAGGGGAACACCTCTCCTAGGAAGCAACTGTGCATTTCTACAGCTGCACCGCGACAAGCACACAAGATGACGAAGTGCTCGTCTTGGTGTTGTTTACAGACCTGGATGGGTATGTGTGTGTTGGCTGTCAGGTCATGGTGATTGTGAGCAAGTAGGGAGAAGGACTATGTCTACGTCGTGCACTAAACACCGTAAGTCCTCTTGTTATAGGCTATTTCTACTCATCATCTCACGTCTAAGATCATTTGTGTCTGTCTTCAGCACAGAAATTGCTCTTCGCTCTAATAGAAAAGCGGAACGATGCAAGGTCACTTCACGAACCTCGTACATCAGCGGAGACAGGGGCTATATTACATATATCTAGGAAACTGTGATCCTCGCTATGCGGTGGAGCGGCGTATGCATACTATGAAGATACACAATGTACTTTGTGAGATAAGAATCACGTATATCTCTTAAGAGCTCACTAACCTTAGACTCTCGTCAGTGGAGCCTCAGATCTGATAGCTTTTGTGTCTTTTGTTCATCATGTCCTGGTAGGAGCGAGCCCTTAGAGGGCAAAGATCATCCCAGCCTACAGAGATTTTGCATTGAGATGACTGTGACATTGCACAATGGTTGGAAGATGATAGCTTCCTACGAAGAGAGCCGATGAGAAAAGGACGACTATCGGTGATCACGGTTCAGCATCGGGGTGGCTTGACCGTTGTTCATCGATTAAGGTCTTACATATCTAAATACAGCTGGCGGCAATCCGACTAACCATCGAATCGTCTCCGTGCCTCGTAGAAATTTCTCCCTAGCACGTACATAGCGTCGTTTATTTCTCTTTCCTCATGTGGTCCAATGACCAAGGTTGCGGCGTTGATGATGATTTCTTGCAACCTTGTGATCACCCACCTGGCCTGCGTGGGTCGTTGTTCATGGATTGCTTTCTCAGCCTCATGCTTCAGCTGCGAGTCTGCTTCTTGGTCATGTCCATTTGCGTCCTCTTCCTGCTCTTCAATCATCGCATCATCGATCATTGACTCTTCCATCAGTGAGGATTCGCCATGTGGCCTAGGACTGACGAGAACAGCCTCCAACTCGCGACCTCGGCGACGGTGCGTAGGAAAAAGCATGACGTGTTCAACTGGCTGGCCGGTCTTCGCATCTTGACTTCGCGTCGTCCTCCGAGACTTGGTAGGCGCAGGCGTATCGATGACCACAGATTCCTCGTTCTCTTCCCCTTCCAGTGTTGACGCACGACGTTTCGAAGCTCGAGTTCTGACGGATGAAACAGGAGCGGAGACAGGTGTCGTCGATTTCCGCGGTCTTCCACGTCCACGTTTGACTGTAGCTGGAGCGATACCTGCCGGAGCCGATTCTCGGATCGGAGAGTCCTCTGCAGGTTCCGACTGGCTTTCATCTTCCACAGCCTGTTGACTCCCAACTACGATACAGTCTTGCACTTCCTCATCGTCCTCATCATCGTCATCGTCTTTCTTTTCCACTTGGCTACCGGTAAGGAAGGAATATGCTCTTGTCATCGCGCGTCTAAATGGTGATGCAGACGATTTGCGACGCTTAACTGAGCCTCGTGCCTCCTGCGGCTCTTCTCGCTTACGCTTGGATGCAGAGAGAGCAGGATTTGGCTCGATAACAGAGTTGGTTCGTGTCTCTTCTCTAGCCAATGCAGTATCGTCTTCATCAGGCGCGCTCCCTACGAAGGAATCCAGGACCCTACTAATGTCACCTGGTGTCACAGCAGCCTTGTGCGCAGAAGGTTCTGCAGGGTTCTCAGCTTCCTCTTGAGGCGGTTCTGCGAGACTATCTGTGAAGGGTACGGGAGAAGAATCATCAGATCCAATGGCGTTCTGGCCTTCCAAATCTCCTTCAGCGACTTGATTGCTTGTCTTTGAATCGTCCATGTTAGAGTTTTGATTGTTGAGTTCCGAATGAGCGTCGGTAAAGACGTCTGAGGAGATACCACCCTCGAGGTTTTGGGCGAGGCGCTTGATCGAAGGATGCGCCTGAACATGTACATGAGCCGCTTGCTCGACCGCAGGTGTTTGTTTCGGCAGTGCTCTAGATTCGTCGGCTCTGGTCTCTTTTTGAGGCACTACTGTGGACAAGTCCTCGGGCACATTCTCGAACCGCAAGTGACTCGGACCCTGTTGCTCAGCAGTTTGTAAATTCTCAATCTCTGTTGTGCCCTCGTACACAGTCTCGTCTTCCATCTCGTCATCAGCCATCTCGGGCGGCGAAGATGGGATGTTGTCATCCTCAGCTTCCGGGGCCGATTCAACAAGATCCGTGTTCTGGTCAGCAGCGGGCTGTAATTTCTCAGCTGCCTTTGGGGTAGGTGAGGAGGTGATGTACTCATCCATCGGACCTTGATCATCATTCAGTGTGGGTGTAGCATAACCGTTCTCCGCGCCGGGTTGCTGGCTAGAGAAATCTAGTAGTGGCAATCCTGACTTCGAGGCTCTCCTTCCTGGAACTGGACTTGATGAGAATTCAGGATACAGCGGTGCCGTCTCAAATCGCTGTCGAGATCTGACCTCCCTTTGATGTTCAGTGAGAAGTTGAGATTCCATCGCGACTGGGGATGAGCTCTCGACGGCCGTGAATTCAACTTGAGAATCGTTGTGTCGCAACTTTGACTTCGGTGCTCCTTTGAAAATAGGTTGCCTTCTTGTGCTGGGCTTCTCACTTTGTGGGCTAGAAGAGATAGCACGATTGAGCACACTCGTTCTCTTGGATCTTCTGATAGGTTGCTGCTTAGCAGGCGATGGCGTTTCTTGAATGTTTACGTCTTGCTGAGACTCAATCAAGTCACGGAGAGGTGATGGCGCCTACTCTTGTCAGTTTGAGTGCGCAGTTGTCATTGGACTCTGCTTACCGATGCTTCATCGTTCTCTGGGAAAGTAGGTAGGTCAAGCTCAACGAGCGGTCGAAGTCGCCTCATCGCTTGCTCAATCTGGCTGGGATACTCGAGAGAATCAAGCTGCCCAAAGGTAGTGTTCCAGAAAGACACAGTGAGGTTGATGATGTCTCGATGCGTGCTGTTCAAGCCAGCTGCGAACAATTCGTTCAACCCTTTCAATAGGGTTTTGTTGGATGGTAGGTTCTTCAGCTGAGCGAGTATGGACTGCCAAAGAGCAAGTACCTAGGAGCATTAGCAATGGATTGGAACATGTTGCATACCATGACTTACTTTGAAGAACACTTCTTGAGTCTCCTTGCTACCTGCAATCGTGCGACTCTCATCTTTGATGACCAAGGACAATCCGCATTGCACTTTGCGTAGTGCTGGTGACGCGAAGAGAGAAAGAGGACATTTCGAGAGGAAGTCTTGGACCGCTTCGATGAATGGTGCTAGGCACTGCGCGGTCTCTGCAATGCTGCTATATGAGATCAATAGGGCCGAATTTGTAAGCTCATACACGTGGTTGAACGGCTCAAAGCTTGATTGCTTTGAGAGCGGCGGATGCGTGTTCCAAAGAGATCTGCGTGCTTCGTCCATTTGCTGTTTATTACGTGGAAATGCTCCCACCCGAAGCAACTTCTCAGAGAACTGAACAAAGACAGATTTCGAGATCATCTCGTCTCTGTGCTGGAACAACGCCTCAGCCAAAGGTTCCATGAGACCGAGAACCACACCGCCTTCGCCAGCTTCTTGTTTCAGAATTCTTGCCAGCACACTTACAAGTTCGAAAGCAGCAGGTAAAGTAGCACTCTCTTCGTGTTGGAGGTGGAGACCAGACGCCAGTATCGAGATAGCATGGCGAGCTTGATGTCCAAGGCGAGCTGGTTCCTGAACAGGTTCGTTGAGGCTAGAGTCAAGGAGAACTGTGGTGGTCTCTTGTACTGCTGTAGTCCACAACAACACGGATTTCAACGCCGAACTCGACTGTGAGCATTTGCGTATAAGCTCCAGTCGCTCCTTGCGTGAGTTTCTGCCCTGACAGATCTGATGGAGTAAGCATCTCAAAGCATCAGAATAGGCAACATCTGTACTGATTGCGAGCGGCGGCTGGGCAAATAGATCGAACAGGAAACCGGCAGGTGACTGCAGTCTCGCATGATGTTTCGATGAACGATTCGATGGAGTTGGTGCAGCTTCGAAATTCTTAGACTCACTTCGAGCCAGGTTCTCCTCGCTGAATGGCAAAGGACCGATGATCTCAATAGAGCATTGTACCAGGGCTGCGAAGCGTGAAATCCAAGGCGTTTCCAGATGATCCACACTCTCTGGAGCCTTTGCCCAAAGACGACCGAAGAAATTCATCAGTTGAGCCAAGCACTCTTTGAGTTCTTGTGACCTCAGGACCTCATGACTTCCAGCACTAGCGATGGCAGTCAAAAACTCACGCCAAGGCGTTCCATCGATACCACGTCCGTCTCCTGACTGGGCCAAAGAAAGTTCGAGGAAAGGGCCCAGCAATTCCAGAATCTTTTGTGCTCTGGAACGCACCCACTTAGAGTCTAGTCGAGACAAAGCCTCAGGAAGTATTGGGGCCTTGCTCGCTACTTCCTCGTCCCAGAAGGTCGACTTGCCGTCGAAAAGTGCCTTAAGCACCCGACAGGCTAGACTGGCATCTCTTCCGCCCGCAAGGAGTAACTTGAGAAGAACTTCCTTGACATAGAGATCCCAAAAATAGTCGAGATCTTGCCAAGGCTGAGAAGGTCGTAGGGCGTAATGTAGCAGATTGCAATAGCCAGATAGTGCGATGTGACGAACTTCCTTACTCTTCTTGTCTCGACCCTTGTTCGTGTGGAGAATGTGTACGAATGGGACTCGAAGCGTGTGATCCCATCCTTCCATCTTTTCTAGCATCTCGCGATCCGGATTGGCGACATAGACCAGGCGGTTCCAAGCGCACGTGGCTCGAAACTTAACGGTGATATTCTTACTATTGAGACAATTTTGAATCAAGAGGAACCACTCTTCACAGAACAAGCGCCACTGTGATAGTTTCACCTTCTTGCTTCTGAAGAAAAGTACCACCATTGACCAAATTTGTGGAACAGCCTCTTCAAGGTCTGTGTTCTCGCCACCATCTTTTGGTTTGGACATGTCGAAAAGACGGGCAGTAAAATAAGCACCGTAAGTGCTGCCCTCAGCAGTGACCGTGTGAAAAAGATCAATGATGACTTTGGTTGATGAGTAGCTTTTGCCGTACATCATAGCAGCGTGCATTCCAGTTTCGATGGCGCGCACTCGAACGTCTTTGATGCTACTCAAAACACCGTGGAAGATGTGAGGCATCCAATCACGCATACTGGCAAGCATAGTAGATGAGGCCTGATCCATCAGACGCTGGAAGATGACCAAACGAGATGCGATGACACTGTTGCCGCTTACGCGCTCGTGGATTGTGGTGAGTGAAGAGACAATTCGCTCCACTTTGGTCGGGGTCATGACTCTTGACGAAAAGCGTTGAGTTGCAAGGAGAAACATGTGATGGTTGGCAATAGATTTTGGTACTGGGTCTTGCTCCAAAATCTCGATAGCACGATCGACAAGCAGAGTCTCAAATTGCTCATCCAGAGAGTCGGCAAGAGCAGGCAGCATAAGGATTGCAGTGGTGAGCTTCAAGGCTTGTGTGGTCAGGTTTGATGCCATCGGGTCTGGTTTGCGACTCGATTCAAGAATATCTCGAGACATGTATTTGACCAGAAGAGGCATTTTAGAACGCATTGCATCGACGTCGGGCAGATCATCGTAGGCCTTGAGAGCGCCATTGAGAGTGCTGTATCCGTCCAGGCGCAGGGCCGTAGAAGAGGCGTCGAGGAACTTGAGGACCGAGTCAAGCATGACGGGAAAGGTCTTTGGGTCGGAGATGGAGAAGTAGTCGGGTGCCGGCGATGCAGCGTCAGGTGTCGGGGTCTGCAGGTCGAGACTAGCCTTCAGAATAGATCGGACAGGCCTTGGTTGCTTGCTTGAGGGAAAACGGCGAGGAAGTGGACTGGCAGTGCCTGCTGAAGTGGCATAAAAAGGTGTAGGGTCATGAGCAGTGACGCATGGCGAGAATTCGACTCGCTTGCTTGACCTGTGCCGCGAGCCTTCTCCTTGGGAAGAGGGAGGGGATGGTTGGACGGGAGTGCCTGAACGAGAACAGGCTGGTCGCACTTGCTTTTGCTCGGGTTCGAAGTCGACGTCTAGAAGACCAATTGCTTGATTTATGTCGTTGTCGACGTCTTTGGGAGGAGTAGGAGGACGATTGGCGAGATGCTCGAAAGGCTCAGCAGAGACCATTGCCGTACGAGGAAGACGATGTTTAGTCTGAGGTCAAGTTGGATCGACCCTGCTGGTTCAGCATCAGCAGCATAATCGTGTTGTCTCTGAGCGTTGTCCCGTAAACTGCAAGTCCAGATGACGCGCCTCGAACGTGCTTTCCTCGCGTTCCACTTTACCATCTTTTCTTGGCACGCTTGCAGTTGCACAGTGACCGCGTCCCAATCCGGAAATTGCTCCTTCCTTCTCCTGATGGTCGTTGAACCTTGACATACAGCACATTTCACCATGTTTTCTCGACCTTCACAAGCCAGTGGCCAAGGTACGTGTGCCAGACTTTGTTTTCAATCTGGTCTCTCTCTTCTGCAATGGCACCGAGCGAACCAAACACTATGAAAAGGCACAATTATTTTCAAAACAGAGGTGTAGCCAACGAGAGCCGATAAAATGTCGCATCTCAGAGGATACTGTCCCTGTTTCAATAACACTGTGCATTGTTATAGTCACTTGAATTGCTTTCTGTACCATACGGGGAGACTGTATTTTGTTGTCTGGTTCTTTTTGCTGATTCATATCTTGCTTAGGCAAAGCCAGGGTCGACGAGCTTCTGTACAAGCTCCAGGCCGACCTGCAGGACGAAAAATTGACTCCTGAAGCACGTCAGAGTCTATTAGAGCAGCTCAAAGTCCTTGGGAGAGATCCATCAAATTCTGAATCTATCTTTGCTAAGAAGGTAAGCAACATCGTATTCCATTCGGTAAAGCTCTGCTAAATTCAATGATAGGGGATTGCAACCCTGTGTGAATATGGCTTTGACGTCGCTGAGCTAGAGGTTTCACAAGAAGCTCTGAGATGTTTAGCTAACGCTATGCTTCTACAAGAAGCCCCAAGACAATATCTGCTAGACTTAGGATATGGCGGCAAGGCAGCTGAAAGACTCAGGATTGACGATCGAAACGACGAATTCCTCATCTCTCGCATCATCTTCCTCCTGACGTACAAGACGACGGTCGACCTCGTGGAGCTCGTCGAAAAGCACGAACTAGCGAGCAGCATCTGCAGAGTATGTTTTTATGATCAATTAGGAAGTGGATAGTCGCTGACACGTGAGCAGAACTTAGCTGGTCATGCTGACAGGCTTGATGACCCAACAAGTCAACATGCTCACCCAATGAACGATATGGCTTTGACAGAAACTCTGAAACTGCTGTACAATGTAACAGCTAATCAACCAGAGCTAATAATCAAGTTCGCGAGCTCTGTGCCAGACTTGTTCAGCATTCTCTCTCACCAGAAGCTGCCTTCGCCGCCGTTGCAAGGGTCCGTTAGTGCTACCATCAATGCATTGATGAACATGCAGATAGCAAACGAAACCTCTCCTGACAAGGCACGAGTCGATCAACTGATTGACATTCTTGACCTCTCGACGGAGGCATATTCGGAATCGGAACTTGAGAGAACCGGAACTCCGCTAGTGTTGCTGTTGCGCAAGATCCAGAGCAAAGCATCACCAGATGTGCGCGAACACATGCAGTCTCTCTTATTACCCAATGAAGAGGCACGTTCCAAGCCTCTGGGTCAAGGCGACTCGTTGCCATCTAGGCTACTTCGACTTTCCATCTCTCCTGCTCAGACGAAACTGCGTGAGAGCATCTCCGGTCTGTTCTATGAGCTCTCTGACAGCAACCCAACAACATTCATCCACAACATCGGATATGGTTACGCTGCTGGCTACCTCTCTACGCACAAGATTGAGGTGCCTGAGACTATGATTAAGGCCGATGCTCAGGACGCAGACATAAACCCTGTCACTGGTCAACGTCGGGCTGCTGAACCGACGAATCCCGAACCTGAGATGACAGACGAAGAGAAGGAGCGTGAGGCTGAGAGATTGTTTGTGTTGTTTGAGAGGTTGAAGGCTACTGGTGTTGTCGATGTTGAAAACCCAGTGCATCAAGCCATGAGGGAGGGTCGCTTCGACAACTAATTTTGTGCCATCCACACATTCGTTACCTGGCAATCAATGGGGACGACGATCATGCATGTGGTAATATTCAAGAATTGAAAGAATTGACTGTGACTATCAATTGAAAAATTGCTACACGTGGTCCCTGAATGGTTAGGTTCTATAAGAACTTGCTCAGACACGATCACTTCCCAAGTTGGTGACCCAACTCACTTCACAAGCATAATATAAGTGACGCTCCGCATGCCTTCCTGATTTTCTCCTTTTTATTGGATTCTTAAAAAGGAGCGAAGCGTCGCGAGCCCTACATAATTCGATCGATTGACATCTGTCACCATCGCATCGACATCAATTCACTTCACTCTACTTTCATTATTCATCGTCTATCCAAAGTGAGGAAAACCCCACGATGGTCAGATTGACACAGCTTTTCTGGGCTATCTCTGTGGCCACTGGTGCCGTCAGAGACCGATTCGGCAACAAGTTACAGCTTCGAACCTACTCTTCTCACATCATCGAGGCCGAGACGACTGTTCAGCTTAGGAACCTCCCAGAGAACAAGGAAGGATACGCGATCATATGGACTGGAGTACAGGATGCGGCAAACGAAGTAATCGTCCAAGGAATGGCCAGCAACGTGGGCTTTGAATGCAGCGGTACCTCAGAGCAGTGGTGTGTCTTCGCAACCGGAAACTTGGGAATCAGCTTTGCAGAAGGCCAGCGACAAAAGTTTGCTCCCGGATTCGCTTTGACACCAGGACCCAGCTACAAAGTTCGCTGTAAGACTGCATCAACATGTGAAGGTCTGAAAGTATACAATATTGACATATATGACAGACAAATTCGACGAGAAGAAGGGTCAAATCGACCTGACTCTGACCTCAGAGGATGGAGCACTCTCCACGTCGACCATATCCATGCAAAGGGGCAAGCCTACCGTCTGGCTGATGGAGGAATTGGCCGTGCTGAGCTTCAATGGCGAGGTTTCTGAGCACTCTTTCGTCAACACGACTATTGTTCTGGCCGCTCCGGATGCCAAATTCTCAGCAACACGTCCGTTCGACAGAGGCGTGTCTGGTGAATGGTCCACCACGGACGACAAGACGTTCACGGCTCCCAAGCTCACCGTTGCTAGCTTCAACTTCACTGGAAGTGGTTAGTCGAGTTGTATGTGGCAGGCACGTTGAGGTCTGGTTGTCGAAAACCGGCTAAAATGTCTACTGAGAAGAAAGGAAAGAACTTGATGACCAATCTGCTAAACTACTTGCATCCTTAATGATCTTAATCATGAGCGTGTACGAAGAGGACAAAGCAAGCCAGAGCTGCAGTCGCTGAAATCCATTCCAAGCTCGAAGGTTTCTCTCGGTCGGATCCGCGAGTCGCGGCATCGGGATGCGATAAGCAGCCGCAGCGTGGGAGATAGGCCGTGCACGAGATGTCCTGCCTTAGTGGGGCAAGTCATTTCCTTCTATGGACGAAAGCTTCGGCGCAATGACGCGTGACAAGGCGATAACGCGTGAATCCTTATGACTTTTTCTTGGATGCCCTCTCTTGAGAAGGCTGGGTCATGGACGCACAGCGCGCTCTTCGGCTCAATTGGTATGGAGCTTGCTCTGGCAGCGATAAGCCATCTTGGCCTTCCTCTGTGAGACTGCCGCATTTAAAGTCTGCTTGATCTGCAGCCATGTAGAAAATCTCTCACTCGTAGGTCCTGCTTCTCTCGTTTCCAAGCCCTTCCTTTGTGGTTGCTCAAAGATGCGTTTCTCGTCCAGCATTGCCTCGACCCTCTTGGGTTTGAGCTCCGTCGTTTCTGCCTCCGTCGTCCACAAGCCTGTGGCTGTTGCTGAAAGAGCAATTGAATATGTTATCAAGCCGAAGATGGTTATTATTTCCATGTTCGCTCCCGAGGCAGAGATCTGGTATGGCATCCCAGAGTTCAACCTGCTGGCCAGAAACATCTCTCTTCCTGGAGCTTCGCCCTTGTTCCCTGATGTTCACTGTACCGAGGATGGAGATGTCTGCCAGGTTATCACAGGAGAATCCGAGATCAATGCTGCAGTCACCATCGCCTCTTTGGTCCGTAGCCCTCGCTTCGACCTGACCAGCTCTTACTTCATGATCGCTGGTATTGCTGGAATCAACCCCGAGGTCGCTACCATCTGCTCCGTCACCTTCGCTCGCTACGCCGTCCAGGTCGCTCTTCAGCACGAATTCGACCCTCGCGATATCCCTGGCAACTACAGCACTGGCTACATCCCTCTCGGTGCCACCATTCCTTCCGAGTACCCTCAGAACATCTACGGCACCGAGGTCTTCGAGGTCAACCAGGACCTGCAAAAGATTGCTGCAAACTTTGCCCGCAAGGCTACCCTCAACGACTCTGCCGCTGCTGTCGCTTACCGCGCCTTGTACGCCCACGACGAGATCTACGCTGCTGGTGCTTCTCCCAGCGGCCCCAGTGTAGTCGAGTGCGATGTCGCTACCTCGGACGTCTACTACTCCGGCAAACTTCTCGGCGAAGCCTTTGGAAACTTCACCACTTTGATCACCAACGGCACTGGCAACTACTGCTCGACCGCCCAAGAAGACAACGCCACCCTTGAGGCTCTGCTGCGCGCAGCTTCCGAGAAACTTGTCGATTACAGCAGAGTCATTGTCATGAGAACTGCTTCTGACTTTGACCGTCCTTTCCTCGGCGGCTCGGCTACGCACAACTTGTTCGAGTCTTCAGAACAAGGTGCTTTCCTGCCTGCTGTCAACAACCTTTACCTCGCCGGTATCAAGGTCGTCGAGGGTATTCTCGAGGGCTGGAACAGCACCTTTGCACATGGCGTCAATGCCACAAACTATGTTGGCGATATCTTTGGAACTCTTGGTGGTGAGCCTGACTTTGGTCTTGGTCCTGTCGTTTCTGGCGATATCCTCAGCAAGAGAGATGTTCCCATGAAGAGAAACGCCATGGGTAGAAGAAGCATGCCTGCCCGCCTTATTCGTGCTTAAAAAGCTACCAAGATGAAGGAAATCTACCTTAATGTCGATATATGTTGAAACTGTAGATCTCAACACAAAATATTTGTATATATAATGTATATGCTTGACCAGTTGGCAAGCTGAATGTTCAAAAGAAATTCACAAGTATCACCAAAGAGTCCTATTCGTGCAAAGTCATCATAGGCATGATACACTACTTGCGTGTGAAGATGTAGATCATGGTGCCATTCATTGGTATCGAGTTGTGATAGAAAGACCGACTATTCGCTCATCTTCTACTGACCCAGGTTATAAGAAAGACGATCTGGAAACGGGAGAGTACATTTGATAGAAAATCACAGCCCGAGAACGTCAAAGCGCCTCAAAAGTATCTTCAGCCTTCCACCTCGAACCATTTCCACTGCACAGCATACTCCACCTTCTCGCCATGACCACAATCAACACATGCAGGGCCATCAACAGCAAGCTTTCTCTCGTTCCTGTCTTCAAAACGGTGAGATCTAGAATGGCAAGGCCCATGAGCGAATACAGGAACCACGCCTTGGCAGCAAATGGTGCGCAAGGATAACTGAGCAAGAAGAGTTTGAGACCAAAAAGGAGAACCTTGAAGCATAGAAGAGGTGAAAGATGGGTAGTGAGTCTGCGAGCTTGAAGGGGTGGTGGGGGTGGAAGCATAAGTCGACCAGGCTGTTTGGTAAGTGGTGGTGTGCCGACATCTCGACCACGAAAAGCAAGCGTCGAGGCATCTGGTGGTGATGGAGTACTGGTATCAGTACTCGTGCCTGCGCTAATATCCCTGCTGAAGCGACGAGGCTGTAGTGGTGGACTTCTAGAATGTACGAGTTCGCCTGAGTGATGCTTCGCTAGTCGTGATATCCTTGGTCTAGAAGTCGGAATGGTATTGGCTCGAGTGACTTTTTGTGGTGCAGGCGAATCAATTGATGAGATGCGTGAACTCATGTTTCTGAGATCTGGAGACTGCTCTCCTCCTGTCCTTGTGGTATTCACAGGTATGTCATCGATTTCACCTCCAGCTTTGATGGCCTGTAGAATCTGTTCTGTGCTGGGTCGCTCTGCTGGATTGGGACTCAACAATCTCTTCAAAAACTTGTAGAGTTTATCTGGCAGGTCTTTCCTGGCTCTCGTCACGTCATCAAATCCATGCCAGGCCGAAACTTCAGCACGTAGCTTGTCAAGATCCTCATTTCCATCGTTAACGGCATCCGCATTTTGATAAGGTAGTCGACCAAAGCACATGAAGTAGACAATCATGCCCAACGAAAAGATGTCTGATTTGGTCGTAAATTCGCCAAATCCTGAGCCTTGTCTGCGCAAAACCTCAGGAGCGCAATAAGATATCGTGCCTGTTGCGCCAGTGGAAGTTCGTTGCTCGTTGGCAGCCTGTACTTCACCGAAATCCGAAACATGAACCGACACTTTCTGGCCGTCATTGTGTAGGAGACAGTTTGATGGCTTGAGATCTCGATGAATGTAGCCGTTGGTGTGCAGATGATGCAGTCCGGATGTGATGTCGCGAAAGAAGGAAAAGATCTCATCGAAGTTCATAGTGCGACCTCCTAGATTGATCGGTCGCTCTGCCAACCCCTTTGATCGTCTTCTCATGCGCTCTTTCAAAACTTCGGTTGGACTCGTAGTGTGTGTCGAGCCAAGGACATAGTTGTGCAAGTCTCCTGAGTTACAGTACTGCTGCAGGATGAAGATGCATGGGACACTTGGCCCAAAATTGGTGATTTGCGCATCTTCCAACCAGACGTGATGATAAGACACCAAATTCGGATGGGTGAGCCTTTGAAGCAGTTGCACCTCAATCAGAACCTTCTCTAGCCAGCCATGATCATTGCCGACTGGGATTCGTTTGCAGGCAAATTCTCCCAGGAAAACCTTGTCCAGGAAGTGCTCAACCAAAAGGACAACTCCACGACCACCTCGACCTAGTTCACGTTTCTCGACGAAGAAATGTTTGAAGTAGTTTGGTAGGAAGCTATCATCTTTGATGCCCTGGTTGGTTGTGCCAGGTGAAGGAGCACTGCCAACAAACTCTGCACCAGTTGGAGTATCTGCTTTTCTGGAACTACCAGGCAGTAAGTCTGGAAGCTGCTTCAGTGGTGAAGCAGGCCTGGAGGTTGTTGCTGAGTTGGGTATACTATGTGCAAGCATCCGAAAGTAGTCCGGGTTAACAAAGGCATTTTGGTTATGCGCGGCAGCCGCCTCGTCCTCGGACTCATACTGGTGCGGTTCCGCGTTATCGCTCAAAGGGCGATGGCAGTATGGACATTGTTGAAGGTCAAGGCCTCCGACGGCCGTCTGTGGGTTTCCGCGTAACGACAATTGTCGCGACTCTGGATCGAAGACAACTACCGCATTACCGCGACGTCTATAAGATCAGCGCATGAAGACCTACTTGGTGTTTGTCACATATCAGAAGCTTACAAGACAATTTCCTGAGAATCGGAGGTGTATGGTATGAGCGACATCTGACGCTGGCGTTCGTCGGCCATGTTTACATGCTGGTGATGAGGTCCAGCCACTTGCTGTTAGCTATGATTGCTCAACCGTAGTGAAACGACAGCAATTGTCTATCGAAAACGATGTCTTGTGTTGATCTAAGAAGAACACACGGACTAGCGAAAAGGTAAGGTACGCAACGTAGATCGTACTTGTCACCTGAGCAATCAATCATCAATGCCAAGAACATAATAGCGGTCTACCCATGTATTGCTGCAGGTACAGGCAAGAACACTTCATCCTGAAACCGATAATCCTAAATTGATCTGGGTTGAATTTCTAGTGGTAGAAAAAAGGTATAATGACATGCCAACGCCTTTTTCGGGGGTATCATTTAACGTTCATCATGAGTTCAAAAGGGGTCCTCCATCTTGACATCTTTTGCGCCAGTACCGCCATGAACGGCAGCCGCAGTGCCAATAGTGGCTGCATTGTGTGTACCGTTTTGTTCAGCCTTCTCCTCCCCGACGATGACTCCAAGACCTGAGAATGCTTCGCATAGTGCCCGTGAATGGAACTCGTGTTTGCTGTAGCCACCTGCAACGATAGCAATCTGTGTGTCGATCTCATTGAGCCAATCCCAATCGTAGTGGTCTTGCACAATATGGTACTCGTTCGAGAACTTGAGTCCTCCAAATGCATCGTAAGGAGCCTCCGGACCAGGGTCTTTGCGTGTTTTGAGACCTTTGATGACAATCGCACTGCTGCCATTGGTAGCATCCTTTGCAGCAGCGGCGGCTTGCAACTGTCTTTGTCTATCGGCAGCCTGCTTCTTGTCGAGTCGTTTCTTGAGCGTGACACGGCCCTCTTGTGCGATGGTTTGCGCGTCGCCAGAACCGGTAGCAAGGCGATCGATGATGTCCTGTCTTCCTTCTGCACGAGCTCTTCGTTCCTCCTCCTCTTCCCGACGAGCTGCCTCTCTCCGTAGACGAGCCTGTTCTCTTTCTGCGGCTTGGAGTGCGGAGTAGTCGTGCGATTCTTGGGACGCAAGGGCGGCATTCGTGGTGATGGCTTTGGCATTCTGATCAGCATACACCGAGATCTTCTTTTCCGTCTCTTCAACGTCGATCTTGTAGATGAGATTGAATGTGATATCCTCAACCTCGTTCAGGTAGTTGTTGTAGTCAAGTAATGAATCAAAGTCGTCTTCACGGCGGTTAAAGATGTTGGCTATGCGTTTTCGAATATCGATTTCGCGCTCGACATGGATATCCTCAAAGGTCTGTTCTCGGAACTTGTGCTTTCGTAGGGTACGGTGGCAGCCAGCGATCGGACACTTGTTCGGGCCGTGGGAGAAGATGCGGTCCACACAAGACTCGCACATCTTGTGGTAGCATTCTGGGTTGACCAGAAAGCGCATGGACTTGTTGAGATAGCGTGAGGACTTGCATACGGGGCAGATGTCTGAGGTCAGGCTGTCAGCAATGCCCGCAGTCAGGCGGAGACTCGACAGGTCGAGGTCGGCGATATGTGGCTCACCATCTTCGCCCGGCCGCGCAGGCGCCGACCTGGGTTGTGCAACACGAGACATTGCCGTGTTGGATGATGGTGAGCTCACGACAGTTGGAATGTGAGGCTCAACTTGTTGCTTTCGAGACTCGCCCATGCTTCGGCTTGCGGACCGGCATCTGCCGTTGTATACCCGATTTTGGTCACTTCGAGAAGACATCCTCTCTGATTACAAACATACATTTTTAGAAAAGTTTTCTCCCTTGCTTCTGCTTGCTTGAATTGGGATGCACTATGGCGGACTTTGCCCAACTTGAGACGCGCCGGCTTGAACTGGAAGAGAACGTGGCAAAGCTACGCAAATCTTTGCAACACTGGCGAACATGGGATGCCGAGTATGAAGGCTTGAAAGAAGAGCTTTCATCTGGTGTAAACGTTCAATCGGAAACGGACTGTGTGAGTGATATGTATCATGATTTCACAGACTTGTTTGCTAACAACAAGCAGGCACGCATCAGTGAAAAGTTCGGGGGTGAACTTGTCAATGAAAAAGGTTTGATGAAGAAGCATACCAGACTTTGTATACCATTCTGACCGTTCTAGAAATTTTTGATTTGTTTGGAGTTGGAAAAGGAGCTATCCGCCATCCGATAGAGGTCAGCCGACTCGTCGACAGGCGGCTCGACTATGTTCAACAAAATGTATCCACCATTACCAAGCAGGTGGAAAAGGCTGAAACTCAATTGTCCGAAGTATTGGAAGAAATGGATAGAGAAGACGATGAAGGGCCAGAACCTGGACTGCCTATGACTGAGATTCTCGAGGAACTGGATGAGGACGGAAACGTTATATCGAGCAAGGTCACCCAACCTGAAGAGCAAACAGCACAGATTATCGACACTCTCCGAAAGGCTGGCTTGAAGGACATGGACCCTAAGCCAAAGAATGAAGAAAAGACCAAGGAACCAACCACCGGGGCCAATGAGAAGCTTAGCACTGCTCCGGCGAACAAGACACAAGATGTGCCACAACCCTCAGCAAGTACTTCAAAGCCGGCCAAGAAAGGAGTTAGCTTCGCAGAGGAGGTTCAAGAAAAAGAAATTCCCTCGCGCGCCGACAATGCCAATGCCAGCAGGTCATCGGGAGTCAACCCTGCCTTGTTCAATGGCTCATTCTCAAATGGCGAGCGTGTCATTGAGTTGGACGATGACGACGATATCATCGGAACCCAAGCAGTCATTCCTGAGGATGAATCTCCCGAAGACGCAAGACTACGAAGAGAAATGCTCCAGTACAACCTGAATGAAGTTGGCCAAGTGGTAGCCGAACTGGATCTCGACGAAAACTTGTCAGACTTCGAAGATGACGATGACTATTTCGATGAAGAATATGACAGCGAGATGTCCGAGGAGGAAGACGAGTATGGGAGATCAATCCGTCCTGGAGTCAGCAAAAGCTACAGACAGCAGATGCAGGACTTGGAGGAACAACTTCGCTCGAAAGTTATTGGAAATCTTGGACCCAATCTTCAAGAAGTCGATCCTGTATACGATCCCGAAGGACTTCGTCGACTTGTGGTTCGTGGTGAGGAAGTAGCCTCGGACGAGAATGTCAAGCCGGCAATTTCGAAAGGCAAAGAGGCTGTCAAGCCAGATGCACCTGCAAAGAAAGGCGTCAGATTTTCGGAAGCGTTGGATGTGCAGGAAGCACCCAAAAGATCAGAGGCTCCAGTCTCGAAGCCGCGCTCTGCACCAATTGCAGATGTTGTCGAGCGAGCACCTTCCAAAGCTCAGGCACCCTCCGAGCCAGCAAAACCTGCCAAGGTCTCACGCTTCAAGCAAAACAGGGCAGCTGCTTCAGAGTCCTCCCCATCCGAGCCTACACCAAATCAAGTCACTGGCTCTGTCATCTCAGACAAGATTGTTGAAAAGCCAACTGCCCCATCGACTAATGCACGCGCACCTGAAGAAGCAGACGAACTCGATCCTGAACTGCAGCAACGTCAACTGGCCTCCGAGTACTATCGTCTGAGAAACAACATCATTCGTCAACAAGGCGGTTTCAAGGAGACGGAAGAAGAAAAGGATGATCCTTTGATGGAGCAGTTCCCCGATGGCAAGATGAAGAAGGTGAGTAGATTCAAGGCTGCCAGGATGAAGTTTTAGACTACTAGACAAAAGCAATGGCTATTTGCTATTTACATGTACCATCCAAACTAGACTCGAGAAGTTACATGGAACGTCACAGTCCATCCGCAAGGCTGGCGAATGTGGAGGCGGAGAGCTGATTCTGCCTTTCCACTTCATCGACGGCTCCTAGAACAAAGCAGGGCTCTCTGATTCGGCGACCTTTTCCTCCATGGACGCTGTATCTAGTTTCGTCCTGAACATGCAAGAGTGATTTTATAACATCTTCTTTGATTGTTCTTGAAAAGTGGATTTTTGATGACATGAAAACATAAAAATACAGATTGGTCTTTATGCAAGACCAAGTGACCACCACAATCCTCTCTTTCTGGTGGCGACATATGAACTTCGAGGAGAGTGAAGAGAAGACAGGAGCCGTTATGAGGCGCCGGGTCGTGTATGAGTAAAAAGATAAAAGCAGCCCCAGCAGATCAAAGTAAAAATGATGCTTTTCGCTCCAAACGCCGAATATACCCGTATGTAGTAAGACAAGTTCTTTTTTAAGCGGCGATGGGCTTGGGGGCGGCCTCGATGCCTTGCGGAGGTGGAGGAGGCATGTCGAGTCTGGTGTTTTCTGCCATCATGCGCTGGAAACCGATACCGACACCTTCGATGACGGCGAGCAGAATGGCGCAACCGATGGCACCGTTGCGCATGGCCTTGTAACCACCACGGACAGCGAGAGCACCACCAGTGAAGAAACCGGCAATGATGGCGTTCCAAGGGTCTTCCTTCTTGCTACGTTGGGTCAGTCTGGTGTTCGAAATGGGCAGATCCGAAGAAAGCGTACCGAATGCCCTTGACTGCACAGTCAAAGGTACTGAACATGCCACCCCAGACACCAAAGTTACCACCGAGAACAGGAGCACGCGCCTTGATGGCGGTCAGAGCGCCTATCCTTCTCTCGCCATAGCTGTCGCATCGAGTCTCAGTATCTTGTTTCTGGTCGTGTAATATGATTGAAAGCTGGTTTTGACGTACGGACTGTTTCTGAAACCCTTGATACCGTGCCAGAGCGAACCGCCGATTGCGCCCATACAGAAAGCACCTCCAAAATCGTTCAAGGCCCTGTTGGAGGAGCAGAGTTAGCGAGTGGGTGGGATGCGGCGGAGCGAGAGGTGGACATACACCCAAGGGCAAGGGTCTCTGCTGTGATCCATGGCGAATGCAAGATGTGTGTGGTTGTGGTGGAGCGAGTTTGTTCAGTTCTGGCGTGAATGTCGGATTGGCCTCCACCTGCAACTTTTCGCCGACGATGATGGAACCTTGTCGCCGGATGGTCTGTGCGTGACGTGGTTTTGCTTGGCCAAAATTATTATTTTATTCCACTGCCACTTTCGAACTACTTTGCAGAAACATCAGCAAACATGTCGCTAGGAGCGCCAGAGGTCGCGCCCGTCTTGTCGACTCCGGATACCCATGTCTTCGAGGATCCTACCCCTGCTGTCGACCCCTCTCTGGTGCGAACTCTCTCAGACGAACAATTATACCTAACCTACGAGATCAAGAGGACTGTCAACGAGATCCGCCATGGACGTTATAGAAGGATCGCACTCCAATTCCCTGACCACATGTTGACCGATGCGCCGAGGGTCTTCGAGGCTTTGCAGAAAGAGCTGCGCACACAGAAACGAGATCAAGACGTGACAGAAGCATTGGACAAGACTTCGCTGGACGCAGAGCAGGAGAGACTATGTATTCTGGGTGACACCTCATATGGTGCCTGCTGTGTCGACGAGGTTGCTGCTGAGCACGTCCACGCTGATGTTGTAGTACATTATGGCCGCACCTGTCTCTCTCCGACTCAGCGCCTCCCTGTCATCTACGTCTTCACCTTCCGTCCGCTTGACTTGGATACTGTTGTCACCAGCTTCCAGAAGACTTATCCGGACAAGGACCATAAGGTACTCTTAATGGCAGATATTCCTTACTCTGAGCATGTCCAACCTCTCCAATCTGCTCTTCAAAATCTTGGCTACACAAACCTCTTCTCTACATCCATTGTCCACAACCCTTCGTCCTTGTTGCCTAATCGCACTGTCCCTGCTGGAGTAGACGAGGATCCCACTGTTCTTCGCGACTACTCACTCTTCCACATCTCGGAGCCTCCCACCTCCCTCCTTCTCAACCTCACCTCTCGCGTGGCTTCCATCGACATCTATCCTACAGTGTCCGAGGGTGCTGAAGCTCCTCAAACCATGTCAGCATCCACCGCTCAGATCCTTCGACGTCGCTATGCTCTCGTCACCAACCTCAGCACTGTTTCTGTCTTTGGTATCCTTATCAACACTCTTTCTGTCAAGAACTACATGGAAGCTCTATCTCATGTTCAAGACCTCATCACCCGCGCCGGAAAGAAGTACTACACTTTCGTTGTCGGCAAGGTCAACGCTGCCAAGGTCGCAAATTTCTCTGAAGTCGATGGTTGGGTCATCATTGGTTGCTGGGAGAGCAGTCTGATTGAAAGCAAAGATTTCTGGAAACCTATCATTACACCTTTTGAATTGGAACTGGCTCTCACAGATGAACGGGACCGCATCTGGACCGGAGAGTGGAACAGTGATTTCCAGTCTCTGCTCGGCAAGAAAACTGTTGTCAGGGGCGAAGGTGCGCAGGAAGATGGATCAGACGACCAGGACGGCCAAGGCATCGATGATGAGTCGGACTCAGAATCAGAGGCACCCGTCTTCGATCTGCGTACTGGACGCTACGTTTCGCAAAGTCGACCTATGGCACGACCTTCTGCTTCTGCCTCGAAAAAGACTGCGGCCACTAGTCTCATCAAGCGTGCTAATGGCGATCTCGCTCAGATTGGTGGCGAGGTCTCTCCTGCTGCTGAGTTCTTGCGCAGCAAGCGCACTTGGCAGGGTCTAGGTACCGACTATGAGATTGCCTATGACTACGATGAAGATGGCAAGATCAAAGGTGCGCCCATGGAAGAAGGTCGCGGTGGTGTTGCTCGAGGATATGTTGTTGGTGATTCTGAGCGCTCCTGATCTGTCAAAAGATCTGCTGGCCACTTTGGATGGCCCGAAACTATGCCATCATCCCATGGAGGTCTCCCGATACAGAGGTAAGTCTTACACTTCTCCGTTTCTTTGTCTTTCAAAATGCACTGGTTCCAAGGATGAACACCTGATAGGGACAGCTTATACACTATGTGTAGATGCTGAGAACTCAGGAAGAGTATTTTAGTAGATGCCTCTCTAGTCTGAAAACATACCAGCTTGCACAATCTTAACTCCTGCAATCATCATTTGTAGCAGCTGGCTAACTCATCATGCTTAGGTTCATGACTACGCACTCCGATCTGCAGTATCTCCGCTTCCAAGAGATCATCCCATAAAGGTTGATGTACTGCACGGTAATTACCAGGAAGAGGTGACCCTCCCGGGGAGAGTACACAACTTGCGTTGGTCTTACAGACCCTAGATGCTGGGGTAGCGCCATCTTAATCTCCGTCTCCGTACTGCACTGCCACGGTCTCCCAGCGTCCCATAGCGACTGTAACTGTGGTCGTCTGTGCTGCGACAGTAGCGATCAGCCACAACAACATCAACGCGCGCAGCAGATGAGCAGGCGTCTTGAGTCTGCAACTTTCGAAGCAATACTGCTTGATCGAAGAATTTATAGATCACTTGAGCCTCTTCTCCAAAAGGGTTGGTCTCCTCGTCAACTTTCACTTGCCGGTCGTGAATGCCATGTTCATTCGGCATTGAACCACTAGTGATAGATCTTCTTCCTGAGCCATGCTCTTGGATTGTGGGCGAAACAATACATTTTGATAGCTATGGTATCATTACACATATCTATGGGAGCAAGCCATCTCCTTCTCTGCAACGACAATTATGCTTCTTCACTCGTTTCGCGCGTCTTTACTGCTCACTCCTCTTCTCGGACCCCATCTGTGGGCTCCGAATTGTTTCTCGATTATAAATCGCATGTTGCAGTACTTCCAACCATCTCCTTATCAGAACCAACAAGCCTCAGAGCACCTCCGTGCCTGGAGGGCAGCAGGGTCGAATCGTATCATCAACAAGGTCAAATGCGAATGAAAGGTCAACGTAAACCTCTGAGACCTTATGATCTCCGTTGATGCGTTGAATAACATCATGCAGTTTTTCAACTTCATCATAATTTGCTGTGTGCTCAGGGAGATGTTACAACAACGTGCAATGTTCGTGTGCCTGATGAAAAGCTCTCCTCTCCTGTCCCACCATCTTCCCAAGAAATGAAGAACGTTGTGCTAGTCATCGGACTGGGAACGTGTGATGGCTTGGTGGCATGGTTGGTGAAAGAAGCCATATTCTTGATCGATGCATCTTATCTTAGAATAACTCAGATGGTGATGATGTTGATAATTGTGAGAGCCAGTCGAACCTATCGACCGTCAGTGTACCTTTCTGTTAAATTGTTGTAGCAATGAAAGTTGCTAAAACATCCACTGGAAGTGCACCTGACGACAGAGTAGGGGATTTGGTATCGATAGCCTGCTTCGCGGTGTCCACGGTAATAGCAGGGACAAACCTATCTGTATGAGGGTGAGTGGTACAGATCCAGTGAGTGAAACTTTTGTACTTAAGAGCTTTCGCTGCGAGAGTGACCAATCGTGAGATTATGACAGTCTAAAGCACAAAAGGAGAACTAAGCTAATTCTTCAGACTATCAAGCCCACCTTCATACTCACTGACGTCGTACTCGTCAGGATACTTTTCGATGATAGTCCTCAGTTTCTCCATCTGCTCTCTTTGTTCCTCGGTCAACTCTTCATATACACCTTCCATCATATTTCTCAATGCCGGTCTCTTCTCCTTCTCAGCTTGCTTGAATGCGTCCAAGATCTCCTTCTTGAGTACAGCTCGAGCCTCTTTCTCCTTCTCATCATCCCAAATGCCTTTCCCTTCCATCCACTTTCGCAGGCGAGTGATGGGATTGTCTCTGCGCTTCCAGTCTTCTACTTCGACTTTGGCGCGGTAAGCGAAACTGTCATCGGATGTACTGTGATGTGAAACACGGTAGCTCATTGCTTCGATCAAAATAGGTTTGCCGCCGTCTTCGAGACACATCTTGCGAGCCTCTTTGGTGACTTCCCTGACGGCGAGGATGTCGTTGCCATCGACTCGAATAGTATCGATGCCGTAGCCTACACCTCTAGATGCGATGCCATCACCACGGTACTGCTCAAGCGTTGGCGTGGAAATGGCATAACCGTTGTTTCTGCAAATAAATATGACGGGGCATTTTCTGGTAGCAGCGATGTTTAGTGCTGCGTGAAAGTCACCTTCACTGGCTGCGCCTTCGCCAAAGTAGCATGCTACACAGCGTTGTGTATCTTTAGGGTTCATGGCGTTCTGCATCTTGACAGCATATGCTGCACCAGAAGCTTGGGGGATCTGAGTAGCTAGAGGTGAACTGATGGTATGAATATGGTACTTCATGCTTCCGTAGTGCACAGGCATGTTGCGACCTAGACCTGGATCGTGCTTGTTGGCATAAAGTTGGTTCATAAAGTCTGCAGGTGTGAAGCCTCGGTATTTGAAGATGCCAGTCTCGCGATATTGAGCAAAGATTGGATCACTGGGATCTAAGGCGGAGGTTGAGCCGACTGCTATGCCTTCTTCGCCTGCTGAGACCATGTAGAAACTGATGCGGCCTTGTCTTTGGGCATCGAACATGATTACGTCCATGACTGTGGACAAGATTAGTCATTGCTTCGGCATTGTAAACTGATTAGTCCTTACTGCTCACGCTCAGCATGTCTTTGTACATCTTGATCAAATGTTCATCTGAGATATCAGTCGGTTCCCGTGACTTATCGACAATAACACCATCTTGATCCAGGATACGATAAGTCGGCATGGCTTTCTTGTCCGAAGGTCGTGTAAAGTCAAGTTTTGTTGTAAACTTGCTGTCTATGGCACCAGGAAATCGCAACCTGGCAGCTTCTCAGTAAACCACCGACAAGAAGGATAAACAGCAATATACCGATCTGAACCCGGCCGTTGTGATACTGAAGAGTTCCATCTTTTGGTCACAGTTTGGAGATAGCATCTTGATTGGCGGATAACCGCAGGAAACGTAGATCTGAGGACACGCATGATGCATGTAACTCTGCAACCAGACACATGTTCAGCGAGACAGGAGACCGAGAAGTACAATGATGGGTACCCCTCCGCAGACTCGGGTCCTCGGCAGCGCCCTCCAACTTCGTCTGGGGTACGCCCTACGCTAAGCAGAGGATCTACCCGCCGGATCTAATCTCAGATCAGGATGATAGACACTGCTTGGCAAGCGGCGTGAGCGTTTGATTTGCCAAAGTTCCATGGTTGCTTGAAGCTGGAGGAGGCAAGTAACAAATCAACATCACCATGTCTTCATTCGTTCCGCGCGCCGCAAAGCGGTTACGGCTTTCCACTCGTGCTGTTACGCCTGTGCCCGTCCGCGCCTTTTCGTCTTCGCCGTATCTTGCCGAGCAGAAGCCTAGTCGCAATGATGAGAAGACGACGCATTTCGGTTTCGAGAGCATTGCCGAGTCATTGAAGGAGTCCAAGGGTAAGAACACACTTCCGGGCAATCAGTATCATTTGCATACCATCAGCAGTAGCTGACTGGTCAACGCGACAGTCGGCGCCGTCTTCAGTTCCGTTGCCTCCTCATACGACACAATGAACGACCTCATGTCCCTGGGTATCCACCGCCTCTGGAAAGACCACTTCGTCCGCAGCTTGAACCCCGGCAGCCATACCCCCGGCGCACCCCAAAAGGGCTGGAAGATCCTAGATATCGCAGGCGGCACCGGCGACATCGCCTTCCGTATGCTCGACCACGCGACAAACATAAACCACGACCCAAACACACACGTTACAATCTCAGACATCAACCCGGACATGCTTGCCGAAGGTCGCAAGCGCGCTGCCGCCTCCCACTACAATGGTACTGGAAGACTGGACTTCGTAGAGGCCAATGCTGAAAACTTGCACATGATTCCCGACAACAGTATGGATCTGTACACCGTCTCATTCGGTATTAGAAACTTTACACACAAGGATGTTGCGCTGAAGGAGGCATTCCGTGTTTTGAAGCCTGGTGGTGTCTTTGCCTGCCTCGAATTCAGCAAGGTCAACAACCCTGTTTTTGATTTCGTCTACAAGCGATGGAGTTTTGGCGCCATCCCTTTGATCGGTCAAGTCGTTGCTGGAGACAGAGACAGCTACCAATATCTTGTTGAGAGTATCGAGAGATTCCCCAGTCAGACTGAGTGGAGGGATATGATTAAGGAGGCTGGTTTCGTTGTTCCTGGCGGTGAGAACGGTCAAGGCTGGGAGGATCTGACCAATGGTATTGCTGCCATCCACAAGGGTATCAAGCCTCTGAACTAGAGCAGTTGTTCGCTGTGGAACGACGACCTCTCTACATGTAAAACATATATAAAAGCATATTGTATAAATATCAAGATACTCAATTATCTCGACTTCTTTGACATGCTGCCGAGCCACAGGTAGCTGTTGGTTGCTTGAGGTACGGTGGAAGTCCCTCTCCAGATCGTCGAGAGCCTGCCTCATGTCTCGGTTGGACTTTGAATACAGGCAGGGTCGCATTCCCAACAATGCATTCCTTGCCTTTTTCTCCTCTTCCTTGCCTATATAGGTATTTAATATATATTTGACCTCTCTGTAAGCACACAAATCTCGTATGATCGACCGATCTCCCTCCACAACTTCAAGCAACTATGTGTTGTCCATGAACATCCGCCAGCAAGCCTCGCGTCTCAAAAGCCACAGCCCAACATCTCAAACGTCATAACCCTTCTTACTACATATTCAAAGACGCTCGATAACAACTTCTCTCTAATGTGGTCGAGGAGCGACCAATGTCTTAGCAAGAAACATGGTAGCTTTTCCATGCTTGAAAACAAGGTTGAAACCGCAAATCGGAAAGACAGAGAGTTCGGAAATAAGGTATGTATGTCTCTTTTTGTGACGCGTAAGCCTCACGCTGCACCACACAGGGCCTCGGTTCTGGCCATACACACGCGGTCATATTCGGATGACCATCAACATGAAGTGCATCTGTCATGTCAGTCGGCAAGGCGCGGAGAATCAACATCATGATTGTAGGGAAAATCAGGTTTTACAGATTGAGTACATCCAGAATGAAGAATGTGTATGAATGACACTGTTCAAAGAAATGTTTGTAAATGGGTCTTGCCATTCTTTAGCTCGCTCTATTTCAAAAAACTACCAACCTGACCGCCAGCTCCAACGCTTTCCGCAAAAACAAGGGGTATGAGAGACCAAGAGACGCAAAAGCATGGATCACCCTCAAGCGGCTTGAGCCGCAAAGAGAGATCCATGTAAAGCGTCCCCCAGCTGACCGGCTTTCAAATGACGAGTATTGACATGAGAGGCGTCAACTGTAAACCGGTGCAGCCGGAAGTGTGAAAAAGGGGGCATGTAAAGGAAAATTGAAAAGAATGAGTGACTTCGACAAAATCGACAAGCCGAAAGTGAAAGAGGTAAGAAACCACAATAAAGTAATAGTATCGGGGTATCGCCTAGAAGAAAATAAAAACCTGCTACCGGACAACTACTACTCAGAAGCTGAAACTTAGGAGTAAGACGATAGGAGAGGCTCTATACCATGAGTCATCAGCATCGTTAATCGAGAACATTAAGACAAAAGAAGCGCAGATCATTGTTGTGGGCCTGAAGAGGCACACCACAAGGGTTAGCTTGTCCAGCCCTGGCTGTTGAAATCATTTGTCGAAAAGTTCTGATCAAAGTTGTACGAGTTGAGGAAGTCTTGTCCGGCAGGAACCATGATGCTGTCATTCCAGTTGACAAGTTTTGAACCATTGTCAAAGTCGAAATATTGGTCATTGACGCTTGAGTTGTCTGCGTTGAACTTTGGAGAAGGAGCGGCGGTTGGGGCCATTGAGGGACCTGAAGAACCAGCTACCGAGTACGCAAGCGAGGCGCTGTTGTCGGAATTGTTGCCCATTGCATAGTCCATAAGGGCCGGGTCCCACTGGAAGTTGGACTGGGCAGGGGACTGAGACTGAACAGAAGAGGCCAGGTCAAACCCAGAGAATTGATTAAGAGACATAGACTGCTCAGGAGACTGCTTGGGTTTCGCGAAGGTGTCAGCGGTCATTGAAGCCAGATCCATGTTGCTTGTGTTGGAGTTTGAGTAGGCAGGCATGCTCCAGCGGTTCGACTGTCCAGTAGCCACACCAAAGTCAAGATCAAAGTTGTTGGTGCTGTTATTGACGCTGGTACCCATGAGACCTTGCATGTTCATCTGGTAAGGATTGTTGTCAAAAGCGTTGATATCCTCTGTAGCTGGGATCTCGTCAACTTCAGACATAGTGCCAGAAGAAGTATTTGTCAAAGCAGGCTGGTTATCAAAGGAAGTAGTGTCAACCTTCGACCAGTCAAAATTGTTCCAGAAGTCGGTGTTCAATCCGAGGTCAGAGCTGGGCAAGGAGAACGGTGGCATAGAGGCTTCAGTAGTGGTAGTGCCAACGGACGAGGTGCTGGGGAATCCAAAATCGGCGAACATGCTTGTGGGAACACTTGACGAGACACTCGAGAGAGGGTATTGAGATTGAATGTCGTTCGAAAGCTTGCGGTCTTGTTGCATGGTTTCAGTCTGCATGGTCATGGCAGAGACGGGCGAAGCTTGACCGGAGTTGGTGGTCGACGGCTGGGCGGACATGTTCGGTTGGAACCAAGAGTGTGGTTGGCTCGAGGCGACTGAAGCAAGGCTGTCTACTGAACGGCGAGCATTGCTCTTGGCCGAGATAGGTTGAGTGGTATGCGAGCGAGGCAACTTGTAAGGAGCACCAGATTCATGGGCAGCATTGTTGTTGCGATGGCATGGTTTGTGGTGGCCATTCGCAAAAACGGTCAAATGACCTTCGGACTGGTGTGAAGTGAGGCGTGGTTTGCGTTGGCTCAGCGACTTCTTAGGTACGGTTGATGATTCCTTGACAGCATCCTTCTTTGGTGACACTTCGATAGGCTCCTTTTGGTCTTTAGCATCTTCGGGGGACGACTCCTTGTGGGTTGAGCAAACACACTTCCCACCGTGGGGACAGCAGCAACGATGTTCGTCGGATGAGGGGGATTCTTCAGCAACGGGGTAGAGTTCAGGCGAGTGGTGTTCTCCAGAGGTCGAATGAGGTGGCATAGGAACTCCGGACTCGGCAGCGGCAGCGGCAGCAGCAGCTTTGGCTTCGGCCTCGCGCAGATGGATACATTTTTCTTTGGTGTGGGGTTTCTCTCCACAATCGCATTTGACATGGGATGAGCGCTTCTTGCGTTCGGCGCGGCAGTGCGGGCATTGGGTGATGGGGCGGCCCTTCTTGGGGACAAAGAAGAGCTCACGGTCTGGTAATGGCTATGAGAAAAGCACTATATATACTGGCGTCGGGGTGCAGCTACTTACCTGTATGGGTGCAGCCGCTGACACGGTGACCCTTTAGGCACGATTGGCATGCCCATTTGGTCCCATCTTCCTTGACTACCATACCTGACGGATTGAGAGCGTGGCCGGCGGAGATACGTCGGTCGAGCGCGAGAAGATGCGGTCTGTGGTGGGGGTTCGTCGCAGGGCCGGCCTGACGGATTGGGCCTTGTTATTGCAGTGTTTTTGACAGGAAAGGACCAAGGAAAATAGCGTGGAGCTGGTATGTAAACAGAGATCACAAAATGGAGAGTATCTTTGCGAAAACGGTCTTTCGGAACGCCAGAGATGCAGGAGCGGGGCAGGCGGGGTGTTACGGTCGAGTCCTTGCGGCGATGGTATGACGGGTGCCGGCGTGGATGGCAAAACGACAGCGACGGGCGGTGAGAGATCAAGAGGCGGCGGATAGAGAAAAGAGCACAGAGCGTATGGCCTTGGCACACCGACAACGTCGGGGCCTTTCGAATGGCCTTTGGGCAAATATGAGTGACCACAAAACAAACAAGTTGTCGAAAGACGATTGTAGTGAGAGAGGAGAGGACGGAGAGTCGTTGTGGCATGAAGAGCCCGCACTTCTGAACGCCAAGCCAACAAACCAATACTAAAAGTGCAAGTGCGATCTAGCACAGGCCACCCGAGCACCCCGAGGCTAACGACTTCGACACTTTGAAACAGGCAAGAGGCCGTTCAAACCTGTCCATACACAAAAGCACCAACGCGATCCGCAATCTGCCGCCTGCAACCCCTCGTCTCTCCGGACCCCGTCTTCCTGTCGTGCCCGCTCAGGACGCCTGTTTTCGACGCTTGAGGTGTTCTCTACTTAGGACCCCGTTGAGCGTTCGTCATGATTTCACAGCCACCCCATAGACTTTCAAGGGGAACAAGCCTGTCGATCGTTCGTGAAGGAGTTGCTGACCGCTGCGCTTGCGAGTTGCGACCCCTCGTATTGGTATCACGCTCGCACGCACGAATGCCGTCAACTGCAAAGTAGTTGATACTGCATGACGGCACCTCCCTCATTCGTGTTTGCATGCACGCAATTGCAATTTATGCAGCGCGCTCCATAGCGGCCGTCGTTGCATGAATGTTATCGCCCGTCTGTCTGCTGACAGCGATCCATCGAGCTGAGGCTTTTAACAGCTCAAGCGCGGACTCGGTCCTTTCCCCTTCGTGCATGACAATCTCATGTTTGTGATTACATGATAGACGATGATAACATCCGTCCATGAAATGCGCAAAACCTCCTATGCAATGAACATAATGAGTACCGAGAAGTCTCAGTCTTTACGAATCAAGACGTTCCGGCGAACAAAGATGATTCCAATTCTCTGAGACCATAGGCAACATTTCAGAATCAGAGCCTAGAATCCATCTTATGCAACGGCTAAAGACAATGGCACCTCGGTTCAGGTAGGGCGTCCGTTTGAACAGGTCATTTAATTAGGCAGGCGTGGTCTCAAGTTACGGGCAGTTCTGGCGGTCTGGCAAAGATGAAGGATCAAGAGGGGCATTTGAAGGGGTTTCGGCCAAACCATTGATCCGGATGGACTCGAATGGGCAAGATAACAGCATGAGAGATGAAGACCGGAAAAAATAGAGTCGGCCGTGGTTCGTTATAGCCGTAGTTCTGCAACGCCATGAGAACGATGATGGTTGACCAAGTTCGGGCTCCTCGGCATGGAGTTTGTGATAGTCGTTGTATAACTCTCTCCACTCCACATCTCGCAACAACCTCTCCGCGCGACCCTCATGTAGATGGCGAGCGGACATAGCCCTTACGCATCTCCGACGGTGGTCGACCCCTCTTTAGGGCCCTACTATAGTCACAATGGTAACACGCATCAACTGGGCCATCCTGAGATCGATGATGATCTGGCCCTTCGCGCCGAGTTGAGCAGGTCGCTGGGCCTGAACCATTCGACTCACGAATCAGCAAACACGTCACATCAACACTCGCCGCAACCGCATGACGACCTGCAACAACACCACCATGTCCAGCAACAGCAGCAACAACAACATGCGCAACCAGCTACACTGCCTTCGCAGCCGCAACACACGTCGCCGTCGCAACACGCCGTGAACCCCGACCTCTTGCCCGAGCACCACGCGAGTCCACCGCCTGGTCAACATACCGCCTCCGACAACAACAGGGACAAGCGAAGCAAAGTCAGCCGTGCATGCGATGAATGTCGCCGCAAGAAGATCCGTTGCGACGCCTTGAACGAGCATGAGACATGTACCAATTGCAAGCGCTCCAGCTCTACATGCGCTTTCAGTCGCCAGCCACTGAAGCGAGGTCCTAGCAAGGGCTACATCAAAGAGCTCGCAGAGCGCTTGAACGCCCTCGAGGGTCAGATGCAGCCGCAACAACCTGGACACGTCGACCAGGAATTGCAGTCATTGCTTGCAGAAGCAGCCTACGTTACGCGCGACCATCACTCACCGCCCCGTCACGCCGGCCAGAAACGAAGACTCTCACAGACCGATCCGATAGTCATCGATCCACCAATTCTGGCTCCTCGACCTGCTCCAGCGCCACAACACATCCAACCTGCTGCTCAACCTCCCTCTGCTCCTGCCTCTCTCCATACCTATGGAAACCCTTACTCTCGCGACTCGCGAATGTCGCCGTATCCAGTCCAACAAAACTACCGTCAAGACATCAGGCCCACACCCCAATCACAACCTATCAACACGCAACCTTTCTTCAAATATGGTGCAGACACTCGCCGTCACGAAAGTGTTAGTATTCCTTTCGATACACAAGCAGGTGCACCTATCCTGGTTGAGTGGGATGAAGAAGTGGTTGACGAGTATTATCGCACTATACACCAGACCTTTCCGTTACTGCCCCACTCGAAACACCGCCTTCGTATGCGCCTGGCCGAATGTCCCCCAACTTTACGAGAGGCCTTCTTGACTGTCCTGGAGTGCACAATGCGTACCTTTCCCTCCTTTTCATCAACGCTGCGTCCCCAACAGACATACGCACCTATGATGAAACGTGCTGCTGAATTGCTTGCTGGTTACCCGTTCGAGAACCCAGCCACACATAACAGCGGGACTAACCTGGTTTACCTGCAAACTCTCCTGTTGATGGCTCTAGAATCCGACAACCATGGACCAGCGACTGTTAGGGGTCAAGCTGGTCCTTCGCGCGCCGAGTGGTTGGGAAGGGCTGCCGGTGTCGCAGGACAGTTGGAGATTAACCTGGTCCGCCCGCGGGAACGCTTCGCTACCGAAGGCGACCCAGACTCTGAAGAAAGACTGTCAAGGAGGGTATGGTGGGTACTGTTCATTCTCGACCGCTGGCATGCTTCCAGTACATCGGACCTACTCAAGCTTCCCGAGAACAGTGTTGTTCTGCTACCTGAGGACCAGATCCTACTCGGCGAATCGACATATCACCTAGCACGCCTCTCATTCATCATAGGGCATCTCGCCGCCATTCTCACCACAACAAAAACACCCGAGACTAATGTCATGGCTCCTTCAAATCCGGCTTCTTCACTTCTAGGCTTGACACTAGCTGGCGAAATCGACCGTTTCCGCGAATCGGTAGAAAGTGTCTGGGGCTCACTGAACCTGGTTCATCTCTCCTACCATCACTGCCATCTCCTCATCAAACGCCTCAACCCCACAACAGAACCTACCGAGTTAATCGGCCATGCAGTCAAAGTAGCCACAGTGCTGAATATGCGACAAACACCCATTACACCTCTAAACCATCACTTTGCAGCCCTAGCAGCAATGACCCTATGCGAGCTCGTAGACATAGAAAAGACACGCGCCGAAGCCATTAGAGGCCTCGAACACATCTCCGAAGCTCTAGGGTTCGGTCGCGGCCTGGCCGGGCACGAAAAGTCTACAGGTTGGGACTCTGCAATTCGAGACTTGATTGTGCAAAAAAGAAATAAGTTGCAGTTGATTCTTGGAGGGATTGAACAATTGCCGCCTGGGTTGCAGCATTTGGCTCATGCTTCTGCTGGTGAGGGTGGGAATGGAACTTTGACGCCTAGTTCGGCGCAAGGAAATGTTGCTGCTACTAGCGTGGCGGGAGAGAATGGAAGGCCTGGCAAATTCGATCCTACTATGCTGACAAGGTATGGTTACCTTACTGCTTTGGGACAGGGCATGTTTGTTTCGAAGTGAGGTAGCAAGTTGCCATCAGAGACTCCCCTGACTCAGGTACCCGAACTTATACCTTATTACAACATCTCCACGTGCCATTAATGTTTATGATGTAGTTGCCAAAATGCATGATATTATTTCCAAGGGGCTTTGATCCACAGAAACCATGCTACTCGAGAGCCTCTCAATGGAAAAGGCGATAATTCGAAATCTATGCTGCTTTTCGACAGCATACCAAGTACGCGCCCACATTGGAGATGTTCCATCAGGCACACAATCTTTGTTTGCTGTTGTAGCATCTCCACGCGTCGATGTCAGTTATATTGTGGCTGGAAAAATGCATGATATTGTCCGAGAGAGAGAGAGCATCATCCACGGAGCTCATCTGATAATCACAAAAGCTCTTCTGGATCCATACTCGCGGTTGCACAGGCAGAACACCCGGAACGGCAAGGCACATGAAAGCCATTGATGGAATATAGCCTCTCCTCGAGTGTTTTCTTTATAACACTGCGTTATTTGAAGTCACGAAACTTTCCGAATCCATGCCACTCCTGCAGAGAGGCCACAAAGACACAAGCTCTCAATAGATGATGCGGTAATTTTGATACTATTCTATATCTTGCTTTAAACACTATTCATAGACAGCCATTATTCTTTCCATCTGCTTCAGCAATCGCCATTATCTTTGTACATCTCAACGATCGAGGGTACACCTGTGTGTAATGCATCATAACAAATATAGCGCCTCTTCAAGCAGTTTCAAGCAATCAATTATGGTGTGTTCGGTCGACATCAAACACGTCTGTCAAGCACCTGGCGTTGCCAACATGCCTCCACGTCAACACACAGCTTGAGGAAGTCATCGTCGTGAAGACTAGCCAAGATGAACTGCTTGATGGCTTCTGCGCGGGTCTCTTTGGGCTGCTCAGCATATTGCCTCAGCGCATCCTGCGCACTCTGCTGTGTTGAACTTGTTGTCATTCCCATGTCTTGCATCTCGGTATCTTGTTGGATGTGCTTCTGAGCCAGGCGCTGGCTACGTCTTTCCGACGGGCTGGAGGATGTCATTTGATCACGACTCGAAAAGAATGATCGTTCTGGACTCGAAGGTAGCTTGTCTTCTGGACTGGAGCCGGTGAAGTACACAGGGCTTACGCTACTACCGCAGCGTTGATCTGAATCGGCGAGAACATCCTGGTTGCTCATGTGAGCAAGAGTGATAGTTTCGCTCGTTCCAGGACTATCGACAACCATAGGATCATCTTTCGGATTAAAGTTGTACATGCGTGATGCTGGAGGTTCAAACCTTGTGGGTCCGCGAGGAGTAGTAAGTCGTGTGATTCCATGTTCGGTCTTGTTCTCCGGTGATGCTCGGCTTGAGTTCTCTTCTGGCACTGATCTATCTGGTTTGGCGGCTTCTGAAACATAACTTGGCTTGGGAAGAGGCGGCAGCGTTTTGGTTTTTGCAGGACTGCTGGAAGGTTTCGGGAAAGGAAGTTCCCGACGAGGAGGTAACATCTTTCTCGTCATGTCTGATGGCCACTCTATGGGCGCGGTTGATGGCCTTTCCACTGGCCCCTCACTCGTGCGAATTGGAGCAAAGGTTGGCTGTCTTTGTATGCTTCGAGTATCGTATTCTTTCGGTCCTTGAGAAGAAGTGAATGGGTGCATGCGAGATGGCTCATCCTGATTGACCGAGGGTAGTCTTTCGATGTTCATGGTTTGATAAGATTTCGGACCCGGCGACGAAGTGAACATGTGCTGGTCGGTGAGGTCATTGGCGTCCTGACTCGGATGTTGCTGAATGCTTGAGGTTGATTTAAAAGCATCTGAATTGGTCAACATGCAGTCTCTCTTACAACACAAGACATGATAGTCATACCTTGTATCGTCGGTACGATAATCGAGGAAGTGGCATGGTCGAAGCGGGCGGATTGCACAGAAGGTTGGCGGTTCAGGTACGAATTAGCTGTCACAGGGCGAGCTTGAGTCTGTGTGTTCGGTTTGGTGTTTGGTACAGAGAACATGAGGCCGTGAGCGGAGAGCAGCTGTACCGTCTCGTTGCATGAGGCTTCATCAGGGAAACGCAGTTGAATGCGTCTGACCTAGAACAAGAGACCATGATGTTGGTATCTGGTCCGTCGAGATTACAAGATATTTTTGCGTCGCTTACCTGGTTATTCTGGCAAAAATAACGGATGGCTAAGGCTGTACCTTTGGTCAGGCCAAAGATAGGCAGATTGTCGGGTGATCGATTAGGCTGTCTTCTGTGCAATTCCTTGGTCTCTTGGATGATGGCAGTAAGTGGAAGGACTTCCTAATGTTCTTGTAAGTACTCAACAAAGACGTACTATAGTCAGTAAGCAACGGACTAGATCGTTGGTTCCATGGATGATTCTGAGCTGGATTCCACTGCGGTTGAGCTGCTCAATTACAGTAAAGAGATCAGGAGTTTGGATGTGATTCCAGCCAGAAGGATTCGCTGAGCGAGGGAGAGTGGAGTGAGAGAACTTGAGGATAGAATGGCACAACAGGGCACCGCCGAAGAGTGCATCTTGACTTGCCATGTTCGAGTTAATGAGCACAAAGGTGAGGAGTCAGGGTGTAAATTGACAAGAACCCGTATACTTTGCTCAAGACTCGAGGAGAAATGCGAATGTATTCTGACAAAGTTGAATTGACAGGGAAGGAAGCACTTCCTTAGGTAAGCGGGAAACTTCCATCTCTTGCATATGATGTCGATCGACAAGTCTCAAAGCAGCTGCTGAAGCTGGTCGCGAACAGGAAGGGACGAAGGTGCAAATGTGCTTGAGGAAGGAGCCCGAGCCAAGCACAAGGACCGGCCTCCCCTCCTTGTCTCTTCCGCATAACATTTCTGGCTCTCTACAAGTTGTATGCAATGATTTATAGCATTCTTGAAGATCTTCAAGCATGCTTGTAGTGTCTTGCTTGGTTAAAGGGAAGCCATTCTGTGTTGGTTTGATAAGTTGAAACGCGGAGATATAACAAACGCTAGCACGCTATCACCGAAGAAGATGCCAAGTCGGCGTGCAAAGTGTGGAGGAAGCCGATCAGCGACAGCGCGCAGGTCGGCGCAAGGAAGGTGTAACTGGACGCGTCGCGATAGAGCATCCAACATTGCGCCGAGCTCTGGTGCGCATCATCGAGCAATTCCAACCATCTGGCATTTTGCTGGGATATTGAAAAAACAGACGACTTCTCGGACGCCCGGACAGCTCGGCATCATGCCTCCAAAGAAAGTCGGCCAGCGAGTCGATCGAGAATCCTCCATCGAAAAGACCGAGGAATACGAAGAGTTTCTCAAGGAGTTAGCTGCCTACCATGAGAAGAGAGGGTAGGTGCTCCAGAAATCAGCCGTCCCAAAACAGCAGAGAAGGCGTTCCTAATACAATGCGCAGCACCTCAATGGAGAATGAGCCCAAAGTCGAAACACAGCACATCGATCTGTTGAAATTGTATAAGCGTGTGATAGCAGAGGGAGGATATGACCTGGTGTCGGACACAAAGAAAAAGCCTTTAATGTGGAGAAAAATCGCCGACGAACTTCTACCTGGAATTAAGAACCTGGCTGGTGCAGCCTTCCTGGTAAAGAGGGCATACTACTACAACCTCGTTGCATACGAGATCTCGACGCATTGGGGCAAGGAACCACCGCCGAAGGAGGTTGTTGAGGATGTGACTGCGAAAGGAGGTGATGTTATGTCGAGGACGCTGGACAACTACCCAAACTCGGCAGTGAAAGAGAAGAGCATGGCCAACGGGCACTCGTCCGACAACGAGGACAATGCCAAGGACAACCACGACGATGGCGAACCGGGAAGTGTGCGGTCGACCAGGGGACTCCGCCAGGCACCGCCGCAGCGGGTTCTCTTCCAACCCGACACGACCGCTCCTCGCCAAACACGCAACCAAGGTCAACACACCTCGCAGACACCTGCTTCACCATCCCCTGCGTATGCCAACACCACTCCTATGACTTTAGCAACCTACGAACCGCAGCAGCAGCTGCCCTTGACGCTCAAGCCCGTCACCACTCCCGCCAACAATGCTGAGTATTACCGCCTGAAGCGCAAGCAAGAGCAAGAGGCCCAAGCCAGCCATGTCGCAAAGAAGCATAGAGGTCTCATGCTGCCAGGCACTGGTTTCATCGGCCCTAACATCTACGTTCGCGCTCAGCTCGCTCTACAGTCCGGTCTGCCCGACGAGGAGGAGTACGCTTTGCATCATCTCGTCAAGATCTCCCATGAGCGAGGCGACAAGTACCGCTTCGATCAATTCGCCGGTCTGGCCGAGGCTCTTGTGAACAAGCTGTTGCAGGTGACCTCTCTCTTCTACGACCTCGAGTGGGACATCTCTTACGACGAAGTTTCTGGTCCGCGCACTCTTGACGCACTCAACGGCACACCCGATCTCCTCCAGAAGCTGCAGTCTGCTGTTCCTTTGGACACCGCTCACTCAGTCGAGACCACAGAGTTCAGACAGGCCCTTGGCCGCATCACTGAAGCTGGTCTTGTCATTCGCAACATGGTCATGCTGGACGAAAACGCTCAGTACATTTCTAGACTGCCCCTTCTACGCGACTACTTCTGCATCGTGCTCAACTTGCAACCCCATCCCGCCCTGGTTGAGCTTCAGTACTATGCTCTCGAAACCATCGAGCAGCTCACAAAGCACTACGACCTCGATGCGACTGACCTTCTGTACGAAACTCTGCTTGCTCAGCTGGAGTCCAACGATCGTGGCAGAATCGTCACTTCGTTGCGTGCCATCGCTCGCCTAGGCATGACCTACGAGGAAAACAAGCGACTCGAGCTTGTTCCTCTTGAGGTTGTCCAAAAGCTGCCTGACTGGATGATGCTCCCCGACGAAGAGCTGCGTTCCGCCTGCTTAGACTTCCTCTTCCAATACACAAGTATCGCTGACAATGTCGAGACACTGGCACTGGATGCTGATGTCCAGAACCTCGTCAAGCAGCTGTCGGATCTGTTGCTCTATAACGCAAAGAAGGAGGTGCCTAAGACACCCAAGCCTCGCCCTTCTGAGCCCCATTACGACTCTGAAAGCTCGGCTCATGTTCCGCGCCTGTGTCAAGATGTGATAGAGTCACTTATGCAGTTCGCCGAGCCTGACCGTAGTTCTCGCTGGTAAGTGATTTCAGATGTGCTTCTTTCGACAGGAACTAACCAACATAGGCTGCGTATGTGCTTCGAGATGGACCCCGATTCCGAAATGACCCAAATCCACCTATGGCAGTCCTACCAAGCCACTTTCGTGAAGTACTCACAGACTCATCAAAACCTCATAGCAGGAGAATTCATCAAGAATGTCTCAAACACATTCACTGGCGCATCTGCCCAAGTCGCTAATTCTAAATACGTGATCAAGGGCATCAGACCCCGCAAGATCGCTCTTGACGTCGATGGCAAGGAGCTCGTCAAGTGCTGCTGGCGCACTAATCCCACAGATGTTGTTCCACAAGAGCACATCGCCATCTTTGCTATGGAGAGTGGTAAAGAATGTGGCGAGTTCTTCAGCAACGGCCCGAAGGTCTGGGAGCATATTCTCTCTTCGCATCTCAAGGTCCCCAAGAAGGCACCGGTCACTGCCAACGGTGATGCTCCTCAGCCACCACAGAGCACTTCGAAGGTTGCTGCCTTCGACTTCGCTGCAGCTGATTCATCCTTGTCGTACAGTTGCAAGTGGAGTAGCTGTCCTCGCCAAATCTCTGGTGAACACAGTCTGCCTGTCGAGCTTGCACTGTTGGCTCGTCACATCAACACTCATCTGCCAGACAGCGGTCCCCTGGCCGAGCAAAGACGTCAAAACCAGCACAACTCAAAGGAGGTCGAGGATTCTGTTCCAAGCAACCGCGTCTGGCACCGTACAATGGCAGACGAACGTAACGACGCTGCCGGTCTACCTCTGGGCTCAGCGCTTGTGTTGCGAAACATCGCCCGTGGTGTTCGTAAGATGGCACACAGTGCAAACGGAGCCGCTGCCACCGCTGCTGCCGTTGAAGAAAAGGCTCATCCTGCTGAGGAGGACGAGCAGCCTCCTCGTGATGGTGAAGACGATGAGACTGCTGTCGCCATGCCTGAGGCACCCGTCCCAGCCTCGGCCGAGCTGATGAAGAAGATCTTTGACCCTATCAGGGAGAAGCTCTTCTTCGCCATGGCCCACAATCCTACTCTCAAGGATCACCTGACTGCTGTCCTCTGCGCCATCTCCAACGGTGGAGGTTAGATGGGTCGCTCTTTCTCTTTTTCTGGTACAACGACCTCTCGGGGGATACAAGGGATTTACGATGATATGCAGAGTGGCGTCTCGGTTTCTTTTTTATTGCTCCCTTCACTTGGAGCATCTCTTTCATAGCGTCGGCGAGGATAACATGGAGAAAAACTGTACTTTTAGTTTTGCGAATACCACTTTTTCTTTTCGCTTTGAGCACCCACAAACCTTAAGCCTACACACCACGAGATAAGATTAGGAGAATAGAACAAAACAGATCTGCTTGCATGTATTCGTTTATTCGTTGCAGTCTAGCAGTTTTTCAACCATGACACATTACTTATCCATGATTTCACTAGCAAACTTGCTCCTAGCTCTGATCTTCGGCCCCCAAATTAACAGCGCGAAGGGCACCAATGTCAACACAGCACCAATACCGCCCAAAAGGCTACCAGCGCCCTGGAACGTCATGGCCCTAAACATCTGCGGCACAAAAAGAGGAAACGCGCCTCCTAGCATATTCCTGCAGAAACTCTGTGCTGCTAGTGCTGAACTGGCATAGCGATGATATGTGTCGGCCAGGTAGTTGAAGACAGCCAGATAGATGCTGAAGATGCCCATTGTGGCACAGCCAATGGCCAAGGTGGGAACGATCCAATGTACATTACTGCCAGATGTCCAAGCAAGCCAGAAGAGTCCGACGGGTAGTAGGATACTTTGCGCACAAGCGAAGTACAAACGTCCTTCTGGCGAGTCACCGAGGTGAGGGAAGCGGCGTTTTGACCATTTGTCGCCGAGTATGGAGATGATGGTTGAGATTATGGATGCTATGCTGATGGCGGCGAACACCGAGCCGACCTGGTAAAGATTGAAGTTGTGTGATGCTGTGAAGATTACGGGTATAGCGCCGAAAGTTAAGTAGAGAATCGCCCATGAGAATGCGACCCATAGACTGAAGAAGAAGACAACAGGTTCTGTGAATAATAGGTGGAAGGGACGTATGAGCGAAATCCTGATCATTTGCAACAAACTGGCACGCTCCTCATCACTCTTCACTTTCCAGCGTATCCTCTGACTCGAGGTCTTGCAGGTCTTGCCCGAGATAGAATCGCTGGGCATATCGACACCTGTAAACCCTGCTGCCTCGAGTTTATCGTAGTACTTGTTGAGGCATTTGGCCTTCTTTGATAATAGCACCGAGCCTCGCGACTCTTTGAAGAACAAAACTACCAAGATTTGGACGACTCCGCAGGTAATGATTTGCAGGTAGAAGATCCATCTCCACGTCGTGTAGTAGGCTATGAATGACGAGACCAGTGGTCCAAGTCCTGTACCAAACAGGGCAGCTCCAGAGAAAAGAGCCATAGCAGTGTTGCGATCCTCGGCATGATAGATATCACTAATGACGCCACCTACCATGGTGCTGAAAGTACTAGATGCACAACCTTTGAAGAAGCGTGCAGCGAGCATGCCACCGTAAGAGCGAGTAACGGCGCAGCAGACCTGGAAGATAACATACAGGATTCCAGTAACCACGAACATAGGACGACGTCCATTGATTTCTGAGAACGGAGCCAGGATCATAGGTGCGATGGCGAAACCGCAGGTGAAGATGGTCACTCCGACTGTGATTGCAACGCGAGATACACCCCACTCTTGTTCCATTTGTGCATCACCGGCCGTATAGCTACCGGCTGCGTAGGCTGTCACCATTGTTGCAAGGCATGACAGCCAAGTTATTGCGCGCTTCCTGCTCTTAGACCACTTGAAAGGTGACTCATATTTCTTGAGATCGGGCTCTGGTGGTGGGCTTGAATGGAGCTGGTACGGAGCTGCAAGATAAGAAGGACGAGGAATTGGCGTGTCGAACTCTAGGTAATGGTAGACAACATCATCTGAGCTGGACAGAGTGTGTGCTGGCGATAAATTCGTGGAGCCATCTGGGGATTTTTTGTCGTCGTCATTTCGAGCTTTCTCATTGACGTAGTCCGGAGGAGGCTGGGATAGATGAATCTCAGGATTTGCACTCATTGTTACGAGAGCAGCTGGGTGTCATACTGCTTTTCGGTCATGGAAAGACAGAACAATGATTGGGAAATGCAGGCAAACAGAGCCGCAAAAGTATCGAACATTTTAAGGCAAAGTACTCCACCTTGTAGTGGTTACCGAATGCCGAATGAGTCGCGGAGGTGCGCATATTGCGGCAAGAGCGGCCGATCTCGCATCAGAGTTCACATCAGGTCGACTACATCTTGCCTTACGTCCTTTGCTTCAGGAACATGGTTGACTGATGGGTGCTGCGGTCGCGCAATGCAATCAGTGAATATTCCCCGAATGGGACTACGCATGCCAAGATAGATGCTTGAGCAAGACTGGGTAATTAAACCCACGGCGATATGGACGATGCTCAGCCAGTTGAAGAAGGTACTATGGTACTGCTGATCGGCATTGTTTGAAATGACTTTGTCGTTCTAGTCACCTACTCAGTAGCCACGCATGGAAAAGTGTGATGCGACTAGACTCATGCGTGTCTTAAGCAAAGATGACGATGCTGTCTGCTTGTACACAGATTCATCAGAGCTCGAAATGCTTTCGAGCGTCCATACCGAAGCGGCGTCAGACCTGTGGGGTCCGTCACTTGAATGTCTTGGGTCGGGTTATACGCCATTTCGTACCAATCAGAATGCGCCAGCTTTCAGCCACTCCGCGAACAATTGGGAGCTTCTCCGAGTTCGGTCCAGCTCGTTGCTGAGCTGGATGTGGGGTGCTTGAACATGAAAGGCTTGTGAAATTGTTCAAAGAGATGGGCAAGCCGAGTCAATCTGCTAATCAGGTGCCTGTTGGTGCAAGAGCGGATCCAGATTGTCTGTTGTCCGTGTAAGAGATCATAGAAGGAGGAAGAAGTCGAACGAGACGACGACAAGGAGAATGGAAGTCTTTATGCACAGACAGATGATGCGAGTTCTAGTGGCTGTGGCGTGAGGGTCCCGCGATTAATAACCCTCAGCATCCACCCCACTTCGAGGTCGCCTTCTGTTGTCCTTTGCAAGCTGCTCTCTTCTCTCTTCAGTACTTCTCATACACACACAATCACAGACAACATGTCCCAAAGACCTGAGCCTCTCCGCCTCGGCAGCGTTGCCCCCAACTTCGATGCCGACACCACCAATGGGTAATCAACACTGTCGCATACTTTTTTGTCATGGATGCTGACACGATTCAATTCCAGTCCCATCAACTTCCACGAGTTCATTGGAGACAAGTGGGTGATTCTGTTCTCTCACCCCGAGGACTACACCCCTGTCTGCACCACTGAGCTTGGTGCCTTCGCTAAGCTCGAGCCCGAGTTCACCAAGCGTGGTGTCAAGCTCATTGGTCTTTCCGCCAACACTGTCGACAGCCACGGTGGCTGGATCAAGGACATTGACGAGATCTCTGGCTCCAGCCTCAAGTTCCCCATCATCGGCGACAAGGAGCGCCAGGTTGCTCTTGCCTACGACATGCTCGACCACCAGGACGCCACCAACGTCGACTCCAAGGGCATTGCTTTCACCATCCGCTCTGTCTTCATCATTGACCCCAAGAAGACCATCCGCACCATTCTCTCATACCCTGCTTCCACTGGTCGCAACACTGCTGAGGTCCTCCGCATTGTCGACTCTCTCCAGACTGGCGACAAGCACAGAGTCACCACTCCTATCAACTGGGTTCCTGGTTAGTATTCATGCGATTCTCCAGGACAAATCATTTTCTGACTGTACATAGGTGACGACGTCATTGTCCACCCCTCGATCAAGACCGAGGAGGCCCAGAAGATCTTCCCCAAGGTCAACATTGTCAAGCCCTACCTCAGATTCACCACCTTGCCCAAGGAGGAGACCTCTGCCAACGTCTAAATTGGTTTACTGCGTTTGAAAAGCGAATGATATCCCCTGTTCCAGACCTATCGAGGAGATGGCCTCTTCTCAAATACATATGACGAGATAAAAGAATTTGATGTCTACCATAAACAATTCCTGTCAATCTGCGTGATGGCAACAAGACTGTGCATTTGCTATGCCTCGGCTGGTTACGGACCCTAACTCCGGAATACGATATCATCGTATTAGTGCTGATGTTGATTCTTGGCATTTTTGAGAAATGTACAGCAGTTGCCTCAGCGATGCAACTATCAAGAGGCAGACTGGCCTGGGATCATTGTAGAGGTGGGAAAGAGCTGTCGTTTGTTAGATGATATAGAATTGTGCTCGTTTGTGCATTTGATGTTACAAGGAAGGAGCCATCTTGCTTGACCTGTACGTTTCCGTTTGGCAGCAAACGGCTTGTTCCGGCATTTAGGGTGAAACCCATCCAGCGTGCCTCCCTTCCTCCAAACAGTCCAATTGTTGTTCTACAAGCCCTCGTACAACCGCGTCTGGTACTGCCAATCGTCTGGTGATATCGGGCTGGTGTTTCGTCTGTTGCAAATCTTCGCGCTCTTCCAGTAGGTCCAATCCTTTCTTCCCGTATCATCAAAAACACTACCCCTTCTGTTTGAATGTTTCCTCTTGCGCATTCACACAATCAAGAGATGGACATTTCACTGTTTCAACCCGCATTTTGATACGAGCCATAATCGTTTGGGGTCGAGGTCGTGAGAAAAGAAGAAGTTGTCGGAAGTTTCAAACGAACAACTAGGACACATGCGCCGATCAAGTGATTATGATGAAAGATCTGGCAATGGATCAGAGATCAAAACACAGGGCATATACATTTGTACTGGCCGTCATTCTTGCGTGCCAGATATGTATGGCGCTTTGGGTCTCCATTGGATCGTGTTTTGTTTCGGACCCACAGCTCACATTGCTTCATTTGCGCTGCCTTTGAGCACACTTGTACTCAAATCGGGTGTTTTTTGTGATATTGTATCGCTAACATGTCGGCATCAACAGGAGCCAAATCGGGGCTAGGATTGAGGAGAACTGCTTCTAATATCCTGTTCAGGCACAAGGATACTCACGTTCAGTCTGAGGCACCTTGCAAGCCAGGCCCGTACGCTCTTCCATATTGTAGTGGAAGCCTGCTTCTTCCAAAGTCAAACGACTTAGCAACTCGCGAACGTACGCCTAGTCCACAGAGATCGAGGCACATCCCAATCATCGTAAACACCTCTAGCGAACCACGAACCCCTAATTCTGTGGAACCCAGTATCTACTTTTCTAGCTCAACATCTACTCTTGGATGCTATCGAGAAATCCGTCCACAGTACAGCTTCGTAGGACCGATCACGCTCGTTGATATCGCTGGAGTTTCACCCGTAACACCCAATAGATCTGATATCTATATTGATCATATCGCACTTGATATCAATACAACGCCTAATTTTGCCGAAGGGCAACGACATGCCTACTTGACTCGACATTCCTCGCCAGTACCTAGTCTTTCTACAAGCTCATTCCACACAGCAGAGGATCCTGATTTCGAAGACGCGCATAAGGCTGTAGCAACAATGGCTCAGCCACCTGCTAGCAATCGCACGAACGCACTCGATCACCTGATAGCCTCACCCACACCATCTCATCTTACTTCGAGAAAAGGCTCGAATGCTCAACTCTCGGTAGCAAGCTACCAATCCGGCATGTCAAAACGAGATGACTACGAATCATCCTCAGAGATGGATGCGATGAGCCATGCTTCAGATCATCACATTCGCTCAGCTGCTGGCTCGCCCGTTCCACCTCAGACTCCAAGTGCAATCTCGGCTACCGCAAACCTATCTGGCCTGGTTTGCAACGTACATCGAACTACTGGAAGAGAGCCTCATCCCCTGGTCGGAGCTACAACCACGATACTTGGCGACAAGATGTACGTATTTGGTGGTCGCAAGATTTCGAAGTCTCGACCTACTTTGACCTCGGACCTTTACGAGCTCGACCTTATCCGAAGGCATTGGTCCAAGATTGAGACCAAAGGTGACATCCCACCTCCGAGATATTTCCACAGTGTGTGTGCTCTTGGAGACAACAAGCTCGTCTGCTACGGAGGTATGTCGCCCGAGGGTGGGCCTACCGCACAGAATGAATCGCCGGATGCCCAGGTCAGCGTCATGTCCGATGTGCACATCTACGATATACCCTCACATACATGGACACGGATCAGCACTGGAGAGGCACCGCAAGGCCGCTATGCCCATTGCGCAGCTATTCTCCCATCAGGAGCAGTATTTTCTTCTTCCAACGCACCTCTGTCTGCGATACACCACAATCCTTCAGGAGACCAACCAAACACGGGTTCGATCGGTGTGGAACTTGACGGAAGGGGAGGTGCTGAGATGATTGTTGTTGGTGGCCAGGACAGCGGTAATCATTACATTGAGCAAATCAGTGTGTTCAACTTACGCAGCTTGAAGTGGACCTCAACCAAGCCTATTGGAGGTCGAAGCTGTGGTGCTTACAGATCCGTCGTCACACCCTTGGTCAGCATGGAGAGCACCAAGGTCGGCGCAGGTCATGAAGCATCAATGGATGACTACGACGATGACGATGAAGATGATGACAGCGACCTTAACTCATCTGGTTCGGCTATGCTCATTTACACCAACTATAACTTTCTTGATGTCAAGCTTGAGCTTCAAGTCCGTAACCGTGATGGTACTCTCGTCGATAAACAGATGCAGGGTACGGTAACACCTCCTGGACTTCGATTCCCTACTGGTGGTGTCATTGGCAACAACTTTGTTGTGGCCGGCACATTCTTGACATCCTCTAAGCAGGAGTTTTCTCTGTGGGCTCTGGATCTTCGATCATTGACTTGGGCCCGCATCGACAGTGGAAGCAGCATTTTCAGTCAAGGAAGCTGGAATCGAGGTGTTCTGTGGGAGCGCAGGAATTCGTTCATCATCCTCGGAAACCGCAAGCGAAATCTTGTCGATGACTACAACAATCGCCGCCTGAATTTCAACAACATGTGTGTTGTTCAGCTCGAAGCGTTCGGATTATACGACAATCCCAGGAAAGTCTGCCCTACTTCGGATTATGTATCAGCTAGTGCTCCGCAGTACCAACCAGGCTCTGAAGGCTCTGCAGGTGGAAGAAGGTTGTACAGTGGTGCTGAAGACTTAGGCGAGATGATGCTTCAGTCGCGAGAGCTCTGTGATATGGACTTTCTTGCTATTGATGGCACCCGGATCCCTGTCAATTCGCGCCTCATCGGACGTAGGTGGGGATCTTTCTTCAACCAACTCGTACGCGAAAGTGCTGGTCCTTGTGAGAGTGGCGAGACTGCGACCCTCAGACCAGCCACAATGGCTTCTCGCAATTCCAGCATCACCATCACGCCTACACTTACTTCGAATGGCTCGACACTGACAGCCAACAGTGTGACCGGTACCACGGTGACACTAGAACCCGCTGATGTCAGGAACCTGCCTCCTAACTCACGCCCGAGGACATTGTATCTTCCCCATACAGTCCCAGCGCTTCAAGCACTAATCCACTACCTTTACACTGGCTCACTCCCTCAACAGCCATCACATCTTGCGACACCTCAAATCTTCTGCTCTCTGCTTCAGCTTGCTCGGCCCTACGAGATTGACGGTCTGGCTGAAGAAGTCACAGAGCGACTACACGAAACCCTGGATGGCCGTAATGCCGCAGCTATCTTCAATGCTGCAGCCATGGCGGCCGGTGGCGGCCAAGGTGTTGTCTTCAAAGACGTCGGTACCAATGTGCATCCGCCTCGCGTGCAGAGTCTCGGGGGCATTGAGGCTTTGTCTATCAATGGAGGCGTAGGCCGTAACCCGTTGCGTGTCGATACTGAGATGGCCAACGGACGTACTACCCGCACGACCTTGCGTGGAGAAAGCTTGACTGAGGAAGATGAAGATGTCCCAGACTCGGCCTCGACAGCCGGGTCAGCGTACAGCATCACGAGTAGTCGTCAAGGTGGCCGCGATGATGAGGACATATGGGATGGTGGTCAAAGTCATGTCATCGGATTACAGAAGCGCGGATTGCGTGGTCTTATGGAAGGCCGCCGCATTCGTGAACGAGGCCGCAGCGATGGCACTGGTACAGCTAGTAGTGTTACGGCTAGCAGTGTTACCGGCAGCAGCATTACTGGCGGCGGAAGTGTGGCCAGTGGTAGCATCAGCGGTCCCTCGGATCCCAAGGGTCTCGGCTTGGGCATCTCATAGAGTGGCCTTCTTATTGGAAGAAAGCAGAGTTCGTCAAACAAGGAAAAGGTGTGTGCATTGGGGACATTTGGAATGGAGTTAGGAAACCTAAAGGCCGGCGGAAAATAATCGTGTCTAGTGTAATATCAAAAATCTTCGGTATTCTGCAGTCTGCAGTGTCTTCATGTCGTATGAAGGGTGATGCTCTGCTTCGAGATGAGGTAGCTTGTCGATGTCGCCGCTCAGGTCTGTCCCCTTCGATGCCTCAAATGCGGTCGTTCTCTCATTGAGGGCCAGGTGCCTTCGAAGCTGCCAAAATGCACAACTGTGTCCAGATCATAAATCTGTCCACGGAGAGTCAAGAGACTGTCAGATCTCTGTGGATTAGTTTTTCACCAGTATAGTATCGGGGAGCTCAACGATCGACTATGTGACCCCCTGCCTGAGATGGAGAATATCGTCGTCACTTCGTGAGCAGGGTGATAGGAGCAACAAAAAGTGTTGGTAGTGTTATTGCGAAGCCGGAGTAAGCCATTACTTAGCGGATTTAGTATATAATCGTGCCGTGCGCCAGTAGTCTAAAAAATTAAGTTCCTTTAGCAATTACATCTAGTAGCTAAGCTCTAGAAGGCCTCTATAGCCTAAGGTACCCTCTATAGCCCTTAAAAGGTAGACTTATAACTATCTTAACCTTATATAACGCTAGCATTACTATTACGCTCCTTATTAGTTAACTTATAGGAGTTATAAGGATATAATATAGTTATAAGAGTAAGCTAATATTAGCTTCCCTTAGTCTATAACTACACTTTTCTTATAATTAGCTATAACCCTTATAACTTTAAAAATAAGAGTAGTAAGGCATTTATCTTTAAGCTAAGCTTATAGCTTTCTATTCTACTAAAGATAAACATATATCTATAAGGAGTTATAAGATAGATCTAAGTAGTCTTTCTAGCTAGAGGAACTCTAATTAATATAAGAAGGATATCTCTTCTTATAAGAGAACTAGATAGTATAGTACTACTAATATAGTACTTTAGCCTCTTTAAAACTTCTTTATATCCCCTACTTATATAACTCTCTTATATTCTAATAGAACCTAATCTCTACTATAACCCTATAACTAGCTACGCCTAGCTAGAGAGATCTATAACTAGCTATTAACTAGTTAGAGGACCTATAACTAGGCTATAATAAGTTAGTTAAGAACCTTAAGACCCTTTATTAATAACCTATAAAGAACTACTTAAGATCCTTTATTATATAGAGTAGAACTACCTAAACTAAGAGGCCGAATATATAGAATACTAGGTAAGGAACTAACTTAGTCTATAATAGCCTCTATAATAAGCGCCTTTACCTCCTTTATAGCTAGAGCTAATATAATAAGATACTTCTCCTACTTCTAGCTTTATAACTACTACTAAAGAGCATAAGTATTATCTAAAAGTACCTATTTAGAAACCTCCTATCTTTAAGAAAAAGATAAAGAATAAAGAAATAGATAATTAGATTACTTAACTTAAAAACTAGATAGGTTTATAAAAGGACTTTATCTTTTATAGACTATTATAGGATAATAAAAAGAACTACCTTACTTCTTTTTATCTAGAAGGGGACCTATTTAATTACTAGTAAGAACACCTTATAGTTAATTCTTTTATAGCCTAATTATTAAAGATCTAGTACTATTATATAGATCTCGATTAGATAGAAATTAAAAAGAGACGATTTAAGCATATAAGATAGACTAGTTTAGCTAAGGCTTTTATAAAAGACTTATAAACCCTTTTACGTAAACTTATTTTTATCTTATCTCCTAAAACTTTTCTTAGAAGGTATAAAGATAGCCTTTAAGAAGATATAAGAGATACTCTAGATATATAGCTTTATTTACCCTTAAATACCTTAAAAGATAATTATATTAATAGGGCTATTACTCTTAATAAGGTTTATTTCTATTATAGAAGAAAGAACTAAAGTAAGAACCTAAATATAATTATTAAATCCCTTAATATAATAAGTAAGAAAAAGAAAGGTAAGAGTAATAGTAAAGAAAAGAGTAAATAAGATAAGTTAAAAGTTACTTACTATTCCTATAATAAGCTTAGCTACTATACTAGAGAATGCTATTTAAAAAATAAGTAGGTAAGGTTATAACTAAGGTAACTTCCTTACCTTCTAAGGCCTTTAATAAAGAAAAGAACCTAGTTATAAGTATAGATATAAACGTAACTACTAGATCTTTACTAAAAAAGGAGACTAAATACTTTACTACCTTAGATAGTAGTCTTCTTATACTATATAGAACTATTAGACCTTATAATAATATCTATAAGATTATCTTTATACTTAATACTATAGTATCTAGTGTTTATATATTAGCTTTAAAAGCTAGAACCTTTTAGAAGAATTCTATTATTCTTATTATAATAAAGTTAATTATTTTACTAAATAGGTAAACTATTATAATAAAGGAAGGACTTAAGTTACCTTATACCTTAGAAGACTAGTTAAAAACTCTTAAAGCGCGACTTATAGACTTTAAAGGATACAACGTTATCCTAGGACTATCCTAGTTTATAAGATATAACCTTATAATTAATTAGTAGGTTAGTATAGTATAACTATTATATAAAGATACCCTTATAACTTATGTTCTTAAATCTTACTCTAGGATCTTTATATTATAAGATATAAAGGTAGAGGATAAATAAGAACTACTATATATACTTACTTACCTTATAATAAATAGATAACTTAGTATAAAAAGAGCTTCCTTACTACTTATAGCACTATATACTTTTTCTAGTCTAGAGCTAGATAGTAAACCTACTATTATAATGCTCTCTATCTTCGTTATAGTCTTATAATAATATCTATCTATATTTAGAGAGGAATTACTAACTAGACTACTAAAGAAAAGAGATATTATCTATTTAATTAATACTAGAGATGTAAAGC